AAAAAAAATGGAAAAACCAAGAAAAAAAAAAAAAAAAAAAAAAAAAAAAAAAAAAAAAAAAAAAAACAATTAAACACACGTTCGTGTCATGTACCAATTTACTGTATTCATACGAATTCCAATCATTTGCTTCATTTGTGTGTTGATGGGCAAATACATACTGGAAAAATAACATGTATGTAATTTTTCACTTTATTTTCCCTTTCCTTAATTTTGTTTTACTTTAATTGGCATAATTTTTTTTTTTTTTACTTTCTCTCCGTTTCTCATTACTTTTTTATTTACTTCTGTTGGCAGCTTAATTCTTAGTTGCCCATTTCTCGGGACTATTCCAAAAAAGAGGGGAAATCAAGTTCTAAAGTATATTTTCTTAAGCTGAGGGGAATGCTGATTGGAGGCAAATGCATTACCATCCTTATGCACTTCACCTTTATTAATTTTTATTGACAAAAACATAAACTTGTAAAAAGTGCACTATACATATCTCTATCTCATCGATCTGTTTCCATAGCACTACTCTATTGTTCTCCATGTAATTACAACTTGGGAACCCATGTTCATACATGTTACATGTATATATGTTTATTCATACATACATATACGCATGCGTGTGTGTATTTTTTTTTTTTTTTTTTTTTTCTCTTAGTTAAAAAATATATATATACATACATATATTTTTTAGTGCTATTCTAAGATTAGCATGCAGAATAAAAACATATAACACTAGTGAAAGAACAAAAGACCTATATGCACATTTTTTTTTAATATAAAAATGAAAAGGTAAAGATATATATATCCCTTCCACTTTTTTTTTCCCCCCCTTCCCCTAAAATAATATATTGTTATGGTCACTTTTTTTTTTTTTTTTTAAAGTTATTCAAATTTCCGAATTGTTCTCTTGCACAAAACGTATTTTCTTGACAAATCTGTGAACAGTTTTACATAAAAAAAAATAAAAAAAAAAAAAAAAAAATGAATAAATAAATAAAAAATGAGTTCTAAAAAATATATCCACTAAACAGAATGAATGTTATCCGGAAAAGAAGTATAAGAAAAAAAAAGGTAAAGGAAAAAACGAAAGCAGACTCAAGGACAAACAAACAGAGTAAAAGAAAAAAAAAAACAGAGTAAAAAAAAAAAAAAAAAAAAAAAAAAAAAAAAAAAAAAAAAAAAAAAAAAAAAAAAAAAAAAAAAAAAAAAAAAAAAAAAAAAAAAAAAAAAAAAAAAAAAAAAAAAAAAAAAAAAAAAAAAATAGGGTGTAAGTAAAAACAGAACAAAGCAAAAGAAAAAAACAAAAATATACTAAGTCAAGGAAGCAACTAAAAAAAAAAAACATCCCTCAGTCCAATTTACTCCTCGTGCCGAGGCAAACAAATAAGTAGACAACCAGACTGATGGAACGATAAGTAAACACGCCCTCATTTCCCCTTCACCGAAAAATTCTATGACGTCCCATGGCTAGCAAAAAATTATACGAATGCTTTAAATGGACGTTCAAATGTGTATAAAAACAATCATGCATAAGAAATACCATTACACAGACACAATGAATACATATACACTTGGTTTCATAATGTATTAACACGTTCCTTCTTAGTCTTAAGAAACACCCCTTTTACTTTATTTTGCTCATTTTTTTTTCCTTGATTTTAATCCATTCGTGCACAGGGGCAAAAAGAAAAGAAAAAAAAAAAAAAAAAAAAAGGGAAATGCACCTTTCTGTATTTTTCCCTTATCCAGGCACTTCGCAGCAACTTTGAGGCATCAATACGATCACTTCAAGGCAGATTCAAGACCAATTCAAGGCAGATTCAAGACCAATTCAAGACATATTACAGACCAATTCAAGACATATTCCAGACCAATTCAAGACATATTCCAGACCAATTCAAGACATATTACAGACCAATTCAAGACATATTCCAGACCAATTCAAGACATATTACAGACCAATTCAAGACATATTCCAGACCAATTCAAGACATATTACAGACCAATTCAAGACATATTACAGACCAATTCAACTCCCCACCTTAATCAACTCTTTATGTCACCCACGCATGAAGATAACGGTTCTTCAGTTAATTCATACCCAAAAAAAACAAAAATTAAAGCAAGGGATAATTGTGTCGTAAAATGAGAATTCGGCTTTTTCAACCAATCATATTTTACATTAGTAGTATCTTAGTGAAAAAAATAAGCTGTTCTTACAAAAATGAGAATAGAGAAGAGTTAATGAAAATAATAAATAATGAAGAAATTTATGAGAATTTAGGAAGTCTAGAAGACATGATACTACAGACTTTGAAGCAAGACAATTTGAAGTTACCAATCATAAGAAACGATGTTCAGATATATTTTGATTCATCTAAATTTAAAATGATTCCATTTAAAGGAGCAAGTAATGAAGATCTTGAATATGTTGTTCCTACAGCAAATGCAGAAGCAGAAGACATAATTAAATATGAACATGCACTAAAAATACAGATAGCCATGGATTACAAAAATGAACACTCTGATTTAATTAAAAAAAAAATTTTAGTTGTAAGGACTTTAAAAATTATTAAAATTATGCAAATACCAATGAATGAATATAAAAGAACACATAAATTAAATGAAGCTTTGCGTAAGCTCAATAATATATTCATTAATAAAAAAGATCCAAAAATACAAGACGAAATAGGTATCCGTATGATTAAAAAGAAAATTTTAGGTAAAGCAGGATTTTCAGCTAAAAATATAAGAAAAAGAATAGCATTGAAAATGCCATTGGATTTTACAAAAGACATTTTTAATTACAACGATTTGCTCTTTACCTACCAGCCTGACATTGGATTTATGAGAAATCTGGATCTCATGGCAAATTACTTTGACATAGGAGTATTTAACTACGTTGGTTCACATTTCATAGGTGAGCTAATAAAAAAAAAAAAAAAAAAAAATATATATTTTATGAGCAATTTATTATGAATGTTCATGATAAGCTTATTCAAAAACAATTTTTATATGTTTCCATCATCTTTCACAATTATTAAGATTATATTTTTCTCCCTTTTATTTCAATTTACACCCCCCCTTCCTATTATTTCTACAGCCCTTGGACATTTCCTCCTGTTGAAATTAGCTCACAGACACTATAATAAATATTTTGAAATTGGAAATCTGAAATTCCACAATTGGCATAGCATCCTACAATTCAATCATTCAGATAGATATAAAGTTATAGATATCATGTGTGACGAAAGTAGTATGTTTGGAGGAGACAAAAAAAGGAGAGAACTATACTTAAAAAGTAATATTTCTCCAGCTACTGAAGAATGTATAATTTTAGAGTTTCTAATACATCATATTAATAAATATCAAATGGAACTATTTACAAATGCTGCAAAGTTAAATCTAAATTTACAAATGCTTCTAGAAAATGATCATTTAAAGGAAAGATATTTTAATTTTATGTGCAAAAATAATTCTAAGGGTGTTTGTTCTATATATGACAGTCCAAAATTTAAAGAGGAAGATCAGGAAGAGTTATCATTTGTAGATAGCCATAATTATACCTTTGTAACTACCAAGACAATTGCACCTACAAATATTGATCCCCATGATGTCTATTTAAACTATATTAATTTTATAAAGTATTACAACGAATTTAATGGAGACCAAATTTTGTACATTCACCTACTCAATTTTATTGGCCTTTTGGGTAAGATTTCCTGCTTCATTATTTGATTCGCCTCTCTCGCCTTGCTGTTTCCTCAGGCGAGGGGGATCACACCAACCACGGTTGACATATATACCACAATTACCACATCTACCATATCTACCATATCTACCACATTTACCACACTCACCACTTCTATCACTCCCATCACTTCTATCACTCCCATCACTTCTATCACTCCCATCACTTCTATCACTCCCATCACTTCTATCACTCCCATCACTTCTATCACTCCCACTCGTGTCAGATGGGCAAGCCAGTGCACATGTCGCGTCTCTGTTCCTCCCTGGATATTACAACGGTAAAGAAGACAAAGAAGAAAAAAAAATGAAACCTAATTTGAGAAATGAAAACGACCAAAAGTTCAATCAAGATTGGACAACCAAAGATAAATCCTGAAAGCTTCCACCTCCTACATACCCCCCTCTGATCTATTTAACACTTGTTGAATCTGTCATGTGTGTTTGTGTGTGTGTGTGTGTGTATGCCACTCTTATATCTTAAAACCACTCATCCTTTTCGCCCCCTTCTTCCATACACATACCAATAAACAGCAATACAATTGGCCTACGAAGACAATCGCCCATTGAAGGAACTTTATGAACACCTCATAAAATGTAAATTCATTTACATCACATCAAATAATCCAGATAGTGTGTACACACGAATGGTGAATTTTCTTTTCCTCATCTATGAACAATTTTTTCTTACATTTTAATTTTACAGGTGTCGAGATGTGCTATACTAGGACAAAGAAAAACCAACCCCTCACTCTTAAAATTAACTCATTATTTAAAAGGAAAATGTTTGATTCCTCTAAATGTAAGATATGTGAAGGCACCCTCTTCTACATAAACAGTAATTCTACATGGAAAGAATCTCCTAAAGCTTCAGGTTAGATCATCACCACCACGGTCAATCGTGATTTCTTTCATAGTTGTCTCGTGTGATTCTCTTGTGTGTTCGTCTGACGTGATTTGTCTGTTGTAAATCCCCTTGGTAGATGCATCTCGAACATAATGAAACACACATTCCCCATTCACAGACGAAGAGCAGAACAATATGTCCATGCTGCAAAAATACAATGTTTACACGACGAAGATATTGAAAGTAAACATTGTAAGCTCTTTGATAAGATGTATGAATATTTTTGAAGAATACAACAATTTCTTAATGCACGACTTGAACTGGTTCACGTTTCTCTTCCTCTTTAGAATGACATCATATAAAGGTAATTACGCAGAAATAAAAATGGCTGTTTGGGGGGAAGGAGTAAAATATGGCAATATTTTTATTATACTCTAAATATAATATTCGCTCGTAGATAGATCTACACATTTTTTTTTTTTTTTTTTTTTTGCTTAAATTGGTACATGTCTATTTGAGTATATAGAAACTACATCACCCTTGAGAATCATTCCAGAGTGAATCTCCATTTCCTTCAGTGATTAAAAAAAATGTTCATATTTTTCATATTCCAATTTTGTAATACATTTTCTCCACAGTTATGCATAAAGAAAAAAAAAAAATATAATATTCCTGAAATTTTTTTTTTTTTGCATTCTCAGATATCCCAAATCATAGCATTTCCAATGCCATGTATTTAGATTTGAAAGATGAAGACACACATACAAAAACTATAGTAACTTATCATTGGTATCCTTCATATTTAAAGAAATACATAACGAATAGGACAAGGGAAAATGAGGCTGTTAATCTGCTAGAAGGTAATTTAATAAGAAACCAAAGGAATGAGACAAATTTTTGTTGAAATTCCTCAGAGTGATGTGTTTCCCAAGATTTCTAAGCAAAAGCTATCTACAGCACGAGATGCAAGATAATGCAAGAGAGAAAAAACTTCATATAGTTGATGGTTATGGAGTCAGATGATTACTTCGAAGTGTTGGAAAGACACATGTGTTATGCTATTCTCAGTTACACACATAAAGGAGCGCAAAAAAAAAAAAAAAAAAAAAAAAAAAACACACATACCTGCATTCATGCATTCATGCATTCATGCATGCATACGTGCTTACCCTTCACGCAGAGCTGGAGAAGCTGATAGACAAAGACATCATAGAAAAGATGAAGAAATGCATAAAATTTGTGATACACGTAACTGCAGTGCTACAAATGGATTTCTTCTATTACCTGAACGAGACGCCATTAAGGCAGCAGCATCCATTTGGTCTTATGATGGATATAGAAGCGAAATTTCGTGAATGGTTCAATAACTACCTTTATGATTTTTTGTTGATAAATTATGAAAACCCTCATGAAAGGTATAACATGCCAAAAAGAAAAAGTAAAGGAGAATTTATCGCACCACAATATAGTAAATGGACATTACATTTGAAGAAAATAATAGAACAAGCTTTCATTAATCAATTTAATCAGAAACATGTAAAAACACTATTTAAACATTATGATACCTACAATATAAATAATAAAATAATGTTACTTCGAGATTCATATGAACTTTATTTAAAAAATTTTGAAAATATATATTTCATTGGAGATATTATGCTTTTAAGAAAATTTTTCGGAGCAACCCCAAAATCCATTCTTCGAAAGCAACAATTGCATTACTTCGTTCATAATATATTTGGAAATCCTTTAAATTTTTACAAATTTGGACTCATATATGGATATACATTTAACAAAGAATATTTGAAACAAATTTCGGATGCCTTGTATGTAATCTATCAGATGAATAGATCCATTTTTACAGAAATGTCTTTTTTGCAAACGGTCAGATTGCTCTTCAGGAAAATACAGTACGGCTTTTCTTCGCACAGGAGGAACGACGACATAGTAAGCGACGCACATCACACACATGACATGCATGAAGCATATGACACACATGATATACATGAAGGACATGATATACATGAAGCATATGACACACATGATACACATGACATACATGACACACATGACACACACACCCTCGGTTCTGTTTCTCCATGCTCCTACGTCACGTCTGTGCAGGCGTGCTGATACCCATGGAGGGGAAGGGGGAATTCGCCCCTCGCACCGTGGACCCAATCACTTCTAATCGATCACTTCTAATCGATCACATCTAATCGATCACTTCTAATCGATCACTTCTAATCGATCACTTCTAATAGATCACTTCTAATCGATCACTTCTAATAGATCACTTCTAATAGATCACTTCTAATCGATCACTTCTAGTTTATCACTCCTAATCAATCATTTCTAGCTCATCACTTCTAGCTACTCCTAGCTTATCTGTGAGGCACTAGAAAAACATACACAGTGCCATCCACCGTTATGAATTCACCAATTTTTCTCTTCCCCTCACTCGTAGAGCATGAACAATATCTTCTTCTTCAACGTGAGACCAGATTACTCCAAACTAAAGAAGGAAATGCGAGAGGAAGAAATACATTTATCTATGGCCTCCAGGTTTTATGAAAAAACAATGTACACACTATTTCAAATGATGTTTGTTACACGATTAAGTAAACATATTAACAAATTGGATAGGAAGTTTGGGGATGCAAAAATGCTTGGGCTATCAGTACATGATGAACCCGTTCTCAAATTTTACTACGTCTATCATGGTAGTATGTTTGATAGTATGTTAAATGTCTTCTTCCCTATGTTCATAAAAAAACCAGTAGTACAACTCAAGTATGGAAAAACCTTTGTATTAGCAAATATGTATAAATTGGCATCAGAACTTTTTTCTCTTTACAATTTAAATAACTTGAGCCAACTGTGTGAGTATCAATCTCTCACAAGTGCCAATTCTTATGTCTTTAATAAAATGATGAAATTTATTGATAAAAAATTTATACCTATAGTTGTTGCAGCCTTTTTTATGAAAATTAATGTAGAAATAAGTGAAGCAGCTGAGGGAAAAGGGTTTTGGGAAACATATTATAAAGGTCGTTTGGAAGGAGCAAAAATTTCACAATATTTTGTCTATCTCTCCATTTATGGCGCTGGAAATTTGTATATACGGAACTCCTTATTTTTCCCTAATGAAATTTCAAAAGAACTTTCAAAACAAACAGAAGGATTATTAAATATGCCTCCCAATGAAAAACCTAGTGTTCATTATATAAATGGATTAGTATTAATGGGAGTAGTACATTCTTTATCAATTTCATTTTTTATTTTTACAGTTATGAGATGGTATGCATTTTATGATAATGTTATTTTTATGTTTAGATCGACGTTCCGTATATTTGATAGATTCTACACTATCCTGGAGACATATGTAAATAGATTTATAAAAAAAATGTATAATAAAGTTACCACAGATGCTTTGTTAAAATCTTTAAGACGGGCATATGATAGGGCCAAATTTGAAGGGTACTATGAGGAGGCTATGAAATCCAGAATAAGTAATAAAGAATTCAGTAAAAATGAAGAAAATGATGAATTTATGGATCCACTCTCTTTACTACGAGAAATTGATATTGAAGCTATCCAGGACAATAGTAGTCTTTTCTACACTGATAATGGATCTCTCTTCGATGACCTGGATGACGATGAACAATACTTAAACCAGAGAGATATTATTTTCTATGAAGACATTGTTGATCAGGCCACCGTATGCAATTTGGAGCCCATCATAAATCCTTAGTCCAGGTGCAACAATGAAACCAGTTCCTCCGCAGAAGGGAGGAAAAAAGAAAAAAAAAAAAAAAAAAAAAAAAGGCGGATAACGAGTGATAAGCAGCGAGTGATGAGTAATGAGTGACAGAGGGGGGAATTTACATAACCTCCCTCGTTTTAAACTCACTGGGTGGAGGTGCACAAACGAATGGACTTTCCATGCGAATGTGTAAATTTTACATAAACTCTTCCATGGCTCGACAAAATATGCTTTTGTTAGTATCCATACTGGTATCTAACACATTATAAAGTGCAATGCGACGTTTGGGGGTGGGAAGCATCATAAATTGATGCATCTTCAAAATTAGTTACATGTCGTATGAAAGCAACATTCCATTTCTTTTATAATTTAATGTGCATATCATGCTGGGGTGAAATCTTACCTCCGCATTGTTTTTCTTTTCTTTTCTTTTCTTTTCTTTTCTTTTCTTTTCTTTTCTTTTCTTTTCTTTTCTTTTTTTTTTTTTTTTTTTTTTTCTCTCTCTCTTTAATTTGGCATTCATATTTTAACACGCGTGTGCATATTTTACACAAAGTGTATATGTATGTCATAAGGAAAAAAAAAAAAAAAAGGGGAGGAAATTGTCCCATGTCCCATTCTCCTTGTGTGTACATATTTTACAGAAAAAATGTATGTATGACATAGGGGAAAAAAAAAAAAAAGGGGAGAAAATTTCCCCATGTCCTATGCGCCTTGTGTGTGCATATTTTTAATTTTCTTTTTTTTCTTTTTTTTTTTTTTTTCTTTTGCCTGGGGCTTTTTATCTCTTTACAGTTCATCTTCTTCAGCATAAATAATTGTTTAGACTTTTTAAACCCCTTGGGACTTTCTTTTCTTCTTCCTTTTTAAGTTTTCTCAAGTTGTTTAAATTAAAAAAAAAAAAAAAATCACATCATATCATAGCTATCAATTTTAGTATAGCCTCATTTGGACGTATAAACCTACGCGTTCATTCTGTAACATTATATTTTTTGCACACTTTACTGCAAATTTAAGATTTCCCAATCTTTACTACAAATGCTCCAGTTGTACATATACGCAACTTGCGTTGACGTTTCCTTTGATTATTCACATTTCTCTCACTCGTACACACGTCCCCTACTACTTGTATATGCATATATATATGCATATATATATATATGTATACATATCACCTCCACCACCCGTATCCTCCCAAAGAATCAATCGAACAAAAACAAATTTGTACTTATCCTACCCTACCCCTTCCAAGTTTGTATCACCACAAAAGTATAACAAAATAAGGCTATATCATTCATTACTAATCAAGCATTACAATCCCTAAATAATCATTAATTTTCCCTTCTGTTAAAATGAATACATAGAATATTGTACTGTTCTTTGGATGTGGAAAGGAGGGAGACATGGGGTTCCCTTGGTTTGTTGCTTCAAAACATCCAATATTGCAATAGTAGAAAATGTTTCTCCATCACATGTATGTAACAATTCTTGCTAATGGTTAAATAAATATTTTATTTTTATTTTAACTTTCTTTTTAGTCTTTTTATTCGAAAATTTTTATCTAATTAAAGCCACATGTACACATAAAATGTAAAAAAAAATATATATATATAAATATGCATACGTGTAAGTATATCATACATACAAACATAACACACACACAAGGATGCAAAAGACATGTGAAATTAACTTCACATAAATTCGAAGTGAAACCGTTTTGGATAAATGTTTCAATTTGTGAAATTCCATCGACTGCTTAAATTCTTAAAACCTGAATCGAGTAAGCCACATTATCAAATGTGCAATTCCGAAGTGTAATGAAATTATTATATCAATGACCCAAAAAAAAAAAAAAAAAGATAAAATAAAAATAAATTAATTTAAGTTAAAAATGAATTAAAATGAATTAAAATGAATTAAAATAGATTAAATATATTAAAATAGACTAAATAGATTAAATATACTAAATAGATTAAATATACTAAATAGATTAAATAGATTAGGTATATTAAAATATATTAAAATAAATTAAACTAAATTAAACAAAAAACTAAAATGGAAGAAAAAAAGCATAAATGGGTAAAGGGGGGAGGGGGAATATCTATTTTGTTTGTCTCCATTTGTAAGCGAGGGATTTTTTCTTACTAGGACCCACTTCAAATGGAGTATTGTCAAAACGAACAGATGTCCATAGAGGGAACAGCAAACGATCACTTAGACCAAATATTTAAAGGCCACGTCAACGGGCCATCGAAGCCTCGTCAAATTGGAACACATTATATATGTATACACATATGTAATATGTCAAAATGTATAGGAAAACTAAAAAAAAATAAAAAAAAAAAAAAAAAAAACAAAGTCTCAAAGCAAATAAAATTTTTTCTTTTTTTATTTCTATTTTATAACACGTGATATATTCAAATAAACATTATAATAAATGATTATCAATAAATATATATGAATAACGGAAAAGACAAAATTTTAAACATGTAATGCGTGTATAAAGCCTTGTGAATGAGGTGCCTAAATGGGTAGTAGTATATATATTTAAATATTTTTTGTGCGTTTTTCTTCTCTTTTTTTTTTTTTACAAATAAGACTGGTTTTTCTTTTTTCCCCTTTGAAGGGAATAAACTCATATAACATAGAGTCATCAAACGGGTACGTATATATATATATATGCCATGTTGCTTGGGGGGAGGAGGGGTCGAGAAAAGACCAATTTAGTCCTCTTAAGATTATTCCGTTTTTACATGCATCCTTCATTGTATTCGTTCGATTCGTTCTATTCGTTCTATTCGTGCTCATCGTGTGCTTGTGCTCACATAAAAACTTGACTTTCACGTAAAATGTTTCTACGGCTGTTCAATATATATATGTATATATATGCATATATATGCATGTAGACTACTCATGAGCTTTTGCATGCACTTTTAATATCTCTGTGTTTCTAGAAAGGGTTGTCCTTTTTTAAGCACTTATCCAAAATGGTAGACGTTGTTTTGTTACGATTTATTAATTTATCTCATTCAGTTTAATTTTTGTTCTGTTTAATTTTATTCAGTTTAATTTTATTTCACTTTTATTTTTTTTTTTTTTTTTTTTTTTTTCTCGGACGCTTTTTCCACAGTGTTACTATTCTGGAATTTGTTCTGAATAGACTCTCTTCACGCGAAACCCCCCAACCCCTTGTCCTCTCGTCTTTCCCCTCCCTTTAAGAATATAACTTTGCAATATCTTTTTTCTTCATTTTTTTCAAAACTTTTCTGACCTTCAACACTTTATGTTCCATTTTATCAAAAACTTGGCTCCTAAAATTCATCCATTCCTTTATGACATGATCAATCAGTTTTGACCTTTCATTTACAAGTGTATCATAAAAAATGCTGAAAGTTTTTCTCTTTGCTAAAATAAATTCATTGTATTCACCTTTTGTTGGTTTTTTATTTTTAAAGGCTATAAAATCCTCATGATCACTCTTTTCCTTTGCTAATATATTTTTACTCATCTGATCCCTAAAGTTTTTCCACATTTCATTTTCCCACTTAAAATTTACATTGTTAATTAAACACACTCTTTTAAATTCCCAAAATGTTTCTTTATTAATCAAATACACATCACTTTTCCATTTTTCCATTTCTTTCTTCCATAATTTATCTAACCAATCTTGGTTATTAGTATGTTTAGTGTTCTCTTTATTTTTCCCTTCTTCGAGTTCTGATAAAACTCTCCAATTCCATTTTTTATTTTTTTCATTCAAATCCATTCCTTTGCTTTCATCCTTTAATCCATGATTCTGCTCCTACGAGAAACGGGGCACACACATAACATGGGAAGAAGAAAAAAAAAAATTATACAATTGAACACAAGGAAACGGTGCATATATATATATATATATATATATATATATGTATATGTCTATTTGCTTCTCTCTATTTGCTTCTGCCCATTTGCTTCTCTCTATTTGCTTCTGCCCATTTGCTTCTCTCTATTTGCTTTGGTCACAACGTATGGCTAAAATTATTGCAAATTCCAGATGCAGAAGAGTAAAACGAATATGTACACATTTGATTTGCCAGCACAGCATTTTCTACAATCCGATTGGGTTCACACAAAAAGGAACGGAGTGTTGTAACCCTTGGAATTCCTATGCAGACAATATATACAAAGATATTTCTTTTTTTTTTTCTTTTTTTTTTTTTTCCCCTTACATTAAACACACAAAAAAAGAGTAAACTGATAACAGCAAGTTTCAAAATCGTTTGACAAATAAAATTTTTATTCTTGATGATCCCCATAGAATTCTCAATTTTCATTTCTGATGATTGATACTTAACATTTCTCTTCTTGTCACATTTTGAAAATAAATTATATGCACACTTTTCCCCCAAATTATTATTTAATAGAAATGAGTGCATCACCATAATCATCATTTTTTTTTTTTTTTCTTTTATCTATCTTTTATCTATCTGTTATGTATCTGTTATGTATTTGCTATCTATCTTTTATCTTTCTTTTCTCTACTTTTGTTTTGGCACTATTTGGGTTTGTTCTGTGTACACCCTCTTTGGTTTAATAAGCTGTATAAACACAAGGTGTGAAAAACCTATTATGCATTACTAACTTCCTTTATCCTTAAATTGTTACTCTATCGTAAGCGCAAAAATAATTACTGTTTACATGTCTCCAAATATATATGCGCGGGTTCATGTTCGGAGAGAACATTCATAAATACATCGCCTCTGTCTCTTTTCTCTTTGTTTTAAAAGTGAAAAAAAAAAAAAAAAAAAAAAAAATACAATAAAATAAATAAACAAATTAAAAAGAAAACTTCTTCAACTGGTATGTCTAGTACAATAACGCTTTATTATATAACTCCCCACACACACACACGCATGCATGTGTGAGTGTATAAGTATCTATGTATGTATCTATGTATACGTGCGTGTTTATATACACCACTTCCCTATGTCAATACACATACACGTTTACGTCCACGTAACACACATATATTAACAAAAAATAAAAAAAAAGTAGAAACTAAAATTAAAAAGAAAAAAAAAAAAAAAAAAAAAAGGTCCTCTTAATGTAATATTAATTATATAAAATTAGCTTCATTAAAAATTACTAAGTTGGATATTTAATCTATTTTCCTTTTATTTACAAAGTTAAAAATGAAATGAAAATAAATCACTATAGGTCAATGATGTAAGCTGGGTAAACTATCCTATATCCGTTTGCAGTATATACTTATGTTATACATATGCATGCAAATGTAAATACAGGCATACATTTATGTAAGTACATTCTATATGTATGCAAATTACCAAGTACAAAACAGTTACGTATTCAACTTAGGTTCATATATATGTATATATATTCACATATATGCTTATTACAAAATGAACTCATTTTTAGTAAATTCATATGAGAAGGGGTAAACTCATAAATCTCTAAACATATCCCCACATCAAGCGTGATACGTAAACTTGTCAAGCCTCAAAGAACAAAAAAAAAAAAATGAAAAAGAAAAAGAAAATAATTCACATAAGGTAAAACATTTTATTAAGTGTATTCTTTCCCCTTTTGACTAATTTCATGTAATGTAATTTTATTCATAATAATGTGTACATATGAATTGCAAGCGTTTGTTTTATGTGTATACTTTGGCATACATGTAAAAAATTCATATTTAATAGGCAGTGTAAATGTTTTTTTTTTTTTCTTTTTAGCTCTTTTAGTAAATCTCATGCAGTATCAAACTAATAAATATTATGCGAATATATGTAAATACATATATATATATATATATATATATATATATATATATATAATTATGTATCTGTTTTTTCTTTATTCAAAGGTATAGAAAAAAGAATTCTAAAAACCTTTTATCTATTTTTTATAAATATTTTTTATATATGTGTATTTTACCTTTTACCTAAAGGGAGAAACAACGCATGTTTACGCCGCGAAGGAAATTTTTTTTCTTGTAAATTTTGAAAAAATGTTGATATATAGAAAATTAGCAAAATTAGCAAAATTAGCAGAATTAGCAGAATTAGCAGAATTAGCAAAATTAACCAAATTAGCAAAATTAACCAAATTAGCAAAATTAACCAAATTAGCAAAATTAACCAAATTAGCAAAATTAACAAATTTAGAAAAATTAGGCAAAAATAGGCAAAATTATCAAATTAACGCAATTAGAAAAATTAACAAAATTAGCAAAACTAACAAAATTAGCAAAACTAACAAAAACTAAAAAATTAACAAAATTTTCTAGCGTATGCATAAAATGTTAGAAATAGCATATTTGTATGTTCCTAAAAAAATATATATTTTTTCTTCAGTGCTGAAGAAAATATGACAAATCCCATATCCTATTATATTTCTATATATATGTAAATCCTACAGTATCTTTTTTTATACTGTTATTTATTTTTATTTTATTTTTTTTTTTTTTTAACCCCCTCTTTTTTTCCTTTACTGATATTTATTTATTTTTTTCTTAGTCCCGCACTTTTTTTTTTTTTTTTAATTTTTTTTTTTTTTTTTTCTCCTAAAAATGAGGAGAAAAATATAAAATGATATTCCTCAACAACCCACCGAAGTTGGAAATACTCGTTTCAATTTTAAAACATGTCATTCCATTTTTTAATAGTTCGGATTATAAATTTTTTCTTTTTAAAATTGTGAACATTAAAATAAGCAATTATCATTAATAAGCAATAATAAGCAATAATAAGGAATAATAAGCAATAATAAGGAATAATAAGCAATAATAAACAATAAGCAATAATAAACAATAAGCAATAATAAGCAATATATTTTGCCGAACAAAAAAAAATTAGTCTTCGAGAATAAATAAAATTGTTTTGTGCAAAATTATACTATATTGTTATATATATATATATATATATATATATTAAGTGGCAAACATAATTTGGAGGAAGTAGCAAAAATGAGGGGAAAAATTTTTTTTCTTCCCCTTTTGCATAATAATAGGAGGTTTTTTATTACCTCACAAGTTTTAAAAATCCACCAAATCAAAATTTTCGAAAAGAGCCAGTAAATTTGTATTACATCCCCACAATTTGACATACTGAGAAAATAAATTATTCAGTTTGTTCACCGAATGAAAATTATCAACGGTGTAAACCCCAAACCTCGATGGGGATATAGTTCTCCTACAAGTTTTGTACTCCTCTTTTTCCTGTCCTTTTTCCCAACCCTTTTTTTTTTTTGTCTACGCATCATCACGTCTTATGCATTATTCCAATTATATGTGCTGACTTGCTGGTTTAGTGACTTTCTAGTTTGCCAGTTTATTTTGCTTGTTGGTTTTTTTTTTTTTTTTTTTTTTTTTTTTTTTTTCCAAAAGAGACGGAACAAATGCACATAGGTGGAGAAAGGAGAAACGATAACTTAAAAAAAAAAAAATCTGAATGTATCCAATTCCTACTTATAGTACCCCATTTCAACCACAATTGGGCATAGACAAAAAACATTCTACAATAAGCTCCTAATTTTCTTAAACCAAGAAAACCAATATATAGAATATACCTCCATTTGTGTTCTTCGAAAATATTTTGTGCACACCATGTTACAGTTTAGCAACTAATGCGTAAAATAACAAAACAAGGTGAAATTGCAAAGTAAGAATTACACTTTCTCAATTTTTCATTAAGGTCTTATAAAAACCAAATCATTGGGAGATCAATCAGAAGAATGACGAAACAGGTATATGTCACACGCCACTCTTATATACAACACTACTGTGAATCAAGCTTGTCCAAATTAACCCTAAGAGGTCTGCTTAAAATGTCGAAAATTTTGGCCAAGCACACACACACCATCATATCTACATGTACACAAAGGTTAAGAATAATTGTACGAAATTTACGCGTCACATTTAATAGATTTGTCAGGCGCGCAGAAAAAAATAAAAATATGCATATATGTGTGTACATTTGCATGTCTGTTCATATATGTGTACATTTGCATGTCTGTTCATATAAATATGAGAGAATAACCAAAGTGGTGTCGTGTTACATGTAGAGTATGCGGAGGTGTCCTTCGATTTAACAGAAAAAAAAAAAAAAAAGAAACTCATTTGTCGTAGTATTTGTATTAGAAGAAATATAAATTTCCTTTTTAAAAAGTTTTTTTTAAAAAAAAAAAAAAAAAAAAACATTAATTTGAATGAAACGTAGGAGAAGCTGTACCAAAATTATGAAAAATTTTTGGGCGTGGGGATGAAATAAAACTGGTACATATGCTTATGCATACATATGTAAACACGTTCATAATAAGTATATTGAGGTTAAATATACTCAAACACATGCAAAAATGCTGGAGGGTGGAGATGGGGAAAATATACGTGCTAGTAGTGAATAGAAAAAATCGGGAGTGAGATATACACACTGAAGAATTGTATTATAAAAATGGATATTCGTGTGTGTTTTGGAGTGTTTTTGTCAAAATATGTAAACACGTGATGTGTATGTAAAAAGTGTACGTAAATGTATATACATATACACACACATATGTATAATGTATTTATATACATATTCAATTTACACGCATCAAATCAAACATTCTTATTCTTGAATTGAAAAAATAAAAAAAAAGTTCCTTTTTTTTTTTTTTCTTTTTTCCTATTTCAACCTAACCAATGGCATATATATATCTCCTCTCTCCTTTTTCATTTTTGTTCACCATCGTCTTCTACTTCATGAGCTACCTTTTTTTTTTTTTTTTTTTTTTTTTTTTTATTCAAATTTTATTCTTCGTTTCTTGCCTCATCAATGATGTCTTCATATGTGTCATCTTCGATTGAATCATCCATTGCCTCATCCGATTCTTCCACTACCTCATCTGATTCTTCAATTTCCTCTTCAGCTTCTTCCCCATTCGATATCTCCACCTCTTGTTCTTGTGTATCATATAATGGTGCCTCAAAATTGTCTTCCTCTTGGACATTGTGATCTACTACTATGTCAGATTCGCTAATATCCTCAAAATTATCTTGTTTTTCTTCCAATTCTAATCCTTTTCCTTCCTCATGGTGAACATACTCAGATGCATTACTACTTCCGTTCTCATGTGGTGCTGCCTCCTCCTCTTCATCTTCTTCTACTTCTCCTTGTTCGTTTTCTTCTTCAAGGTCGTCTTTGTTATTTACGATGTTTTTTTCTACAGTGGAGGAGTACTCTTGATCGGATTCTTCTTCCAACTTTTCCAAAGGAACTTTAGATGCTCCTACATTCTTGTATTTCTCTAAATTTACCTTCAATGCATTTACATGTTCTCTTTCTTTCTGTCTTTCAGATTCCAAATGCATAAACTTATCATAATCACTAATGGGATCATCTTCTTCATCACCAGAATCGTCAGCCAATTTTTTTGCAACTTTTTCGCTTTTTTCGCTCTTTTCGATCGTTTCGAACTTTTCAGTCTGTTCACTGTTTCCACCCTTTTCATTCTCTTCAATGTTTTGTTTTTCTTCATAATTTTCCTCGACGTGTGATGATATGTCAACATGTGGAGTAGTACTACTATTACTGATTTCTTCAGATTCCATTTCGAATGGGTTGTTTCCATCGACAAATGGGTTGTTGTAAAAGACATTGTTATTATGATCCACTTGATCAAATTGAAAACCATAGTTTGTATATCCATAAGAATTAACATTTTGATCATGTAACAAGTTTGATGCACCATTAGCCGATTGTCCATTTGCAGATGTGTCCTCGTCATCATCATTTTCGAATGGATTACCATAGTTAGAATTCGTAAATATTTCGTCTTCATAGTTGTCTCCATAGCTATCAGCAAAACGAGCATCATCAAATCCGAAAGCTGGGTTCTGTGCATCCATACCACCTCTTCTTCCTCCACTAACAGCACTGTTGTTTTCATTGTTAATGTTTAAATTGTTATATCCAATATTGCTGTGGCTCATGTTTTTACCTGAGCTGTTACTATTCCTACTACCATGGTTACCACCAGCATTATTATTTCCATTATTGCTTCCATTATTACTTTCATAATTTGTCATACGATACATGTTAGCATAGTTTGGATATCTAAATATATCAGCGTATGGTGCATGTTCATACCCATAATGAAAATTCTGCTGATTATTATTTCTAGAAGAATTATTAGTATCATTGTAAAATAAGGATGCATCACTATTTGACATATGATACCTGTCAACAAATTGAGCGCCTTCATATACCTCTCCATAATTGGGTTCTTGATAAGTTCTTCCTTGTGTATTGTTCGATGATACTTGATTACTTAAATCATCAAATGGGTTAGCCATATGTGTTTCTGGGGAACTATATGGTGTGTTCATTAGATTATGAATTTCTCTTTCATGTAAATAATATTCACCTTCATCAGAAGAAATTTCTCTATCATCTTCGTCTACCTCTTCTTCATCATCATAGTCACTGTTTCTTACATTTTCTGGTAATGGTGAATGGCGTTCATCATAATTATCAGCATTTGGTAATAAAGGATCCGTTTCATTGTAATTATTAAGCTCTTCTTCAAAAAATGGAGAACTTGGACGAGTAACAACATCTTCAAATTTTTGATAATCTATATTTGTAGACTTTTCTTCTTTCCTTCCTAAGTTTGGTAAAGTTGATTCAAATTCTCTTTTTGATATACCCGGTCTCAGCATATGTTTCTTGCGTAATACCACCTGAGTGAGCGGAAAAAAAAAAAAAAAAAAAAAAAAAAAAAAAAAAAATGTCAAAATACAAACACAATCAAGAACATTGTAAAAATAAATGGAAAAAAAAAAAAAATGAAACTCATCCCACCATCTGCACACACACATAGAGAAAAGTAGAGGCGGAGGGAGAATCTATTTGTACTCTCTTATCCCCCACGCAGACAAGTAACTCTCTCTCTCTCTCTCTCTCTCTCTCTCTCTATATATATATATATATATATATATATACATACGAACATGCATGTGTATATATTTTTTTTTTTTCCTTTTCTCTTCTTTTTCACACTAACACTGAGAAAAGCCACCGTAGCGAATGCTACTGCTTGCATAAAATAGATTAAGCTGACGTCATCTCTCATTTCATATGATGAAAACTCCGGTTGCAACCCCCTTAATGCTCCTAGGCTTGAATTGAAGTTCTCTAGATAGCTATATCCTGGGGATGTTCCATAATTGATTCCATAAATGGTATTCATTTGTGGATCCATGTTGTAGTGCCCAGTGTTGTAGTGCCCGGTGTTGTAGTGTCCCGTGTTGTAGTGTCCCGTGTTGTAATGGCCAGTGTTGTAATGGCCAGTGTTGTAATGGCCAGCGTTGTAATCACCTGCATTGTAGATACCTGCATTGTACGCACCTGCATTGTAAGCTCCAGTGTTGGTGTTAAAACCTAATCTTCCAGTTTCCCCTCCTTGGCGATTTTCATAAGCACCTGAGTTCACTGTACGTACATTTTGAGTGCTATTATCATCATCATCTGAATAGTCGTCATCTATAATTGGAAGCAACAGAAAAAAAAAGGGAAAAGAGTTCTTTAGATAAATGATCTTACATTTCAAGAACAGGTATGTACAAGCATTCAAAGGAGAAATATGAAAAAGCACATTGTGTCCATAGTCAAACAGAATATTTTTCATCTACCCTTAATATCACACTTACATATGTGTAAAAAAAAAAAAAAAAAAATGAGCACATGTATAGGATTATGCACAGGTTTATACACAAATTCATGCACAGATTTCATGCGGGGATTCCATTTTTGGCACATTCACATGCACACTCACCGTCGATAAAGGGGTTGGTGTTCCTCTTGGGTGGTCGTCCATCCATTGTTCATAAAAAACTAGTCCAAAAGTATATGTTAGAATTTTCTACAGGTCTTTGCAGTGCTATTTTCTTATTAAACAATAATTAAGAACTGTGCAAGAAGCAAGCTCAGTTCAAAAATTAGGTATACAAATATATAAGATACACAATACAATAATCACAAAAAGGATGAGAAATAAAATGCATTAGAGAAGTGAGTGATAAACCTAACAAAGATGAACAATTCTAAAACGTTTTTTTATATATAAATATATTTATTTACTCAAAGTACAAAATTATATATACAACTTTAAAAAAAAAAAAAAAAAAATGACTTAGCCTTTTTCTGAAATTTTTTTTTTTTTTTTTTCTCTCTATGGATTAGTAAAATAGATTATACAAATAACAGTAACAGTTCTAAATGTCTTCCTTAAGCTTCAAATTTTTTTTCTAAAAAATTCTAAAGTGTTAACAAAGTCTTACAACCGAAAGAGCAACTATTTCTAATTAAATACAAAAAGGTATATACATAAAATGGTACGTATAAAAATGTTATGTAGATACATAAATACATGAATACAGAAATATAGAAATATAGAAATATAGAAATATATAGTTATGTAATTGTACAATTATATAAATATGTAAACATGTAAATATATATATAAATATATATATATATATATATATGTGAAAAGTATGCACGTAAAAAATTTATAAAAATATACATAATTGTATGTATTATGTATATATTATAATATATTTATTAATATATAATATGAAAGAGAAGAGAAAAAAAAAAAAAAAAAAAAAAAAAAAAAAGAGAGCCTTGGGGGTTGTTTCATTGCTAAATTAAATTACTTTTGCCCGCCTCCCTACAACGTCATTTTTATTTTTTTTATTTTTTTTATTTATTTTTTCTTTTTTTTGCATAGTTTTGTTCTATATATTGTTCTAATGTAGAAAGAAAAGGTTACCCTGTATATATATATATATAAATATATATGTGTTTAGATTTAGAAAAAAAAAAAAAAAAATGGTAGGGTTAAGCTAAAAGGCTACTAGTCCTGCTAGGTCATCCTCGGGTTCGGTAGTTTGCGTTCATAGTTTATACATGTATAATGTAGTACGTACGCAGCACCAATAAGATTCAATAAAGTGCGGAGCGGTTTGTGGAAGCAATTCGAGGCAGTTACATGTTGCAACAATTTATTTTACCATTAAATTGCACAAAAAATTAAGTGCAGCGCCCCTGTACCAACTCCAATAAGTGAAGCGAATATGCAATTTAATTTTATTTTTTTCTCGTACGAGCATGCATGCATGGATGCAACATTTTATATACGCCATAGGTGAGTTGTTTAATAAAAAAGATAAAAAAAAAAAAAAAAAAAAAATTCCAGTTTAATGGTATAAAAAATAAGAGAGTAAAAATTTGTAAATATAAAAAAATATACATTTTTGTCAATTTAACAAAAATACTGCTCTCGTTCATAGCGCAAGTTTAAAATGATTATATATATATATATATATATATATATATATATATATGTATATGTGCATTTATCGAGCTCATTTTTACTCCTTAGGCCTATGAAATCCGTTTCAAGTACTTTCTATTTTTGCATGCGCGCTTAGATTTTCTAAGTTTGTGCTTGTTCTATGCTTTCTCTTTTTTTCTCATTTTCTCCTTTTCGCATTTTCTTTTTTTCTCCTTTTCGCATTTTCTTTTTTTCTCATTTTCTCTTTTTCTCCTTTTATAAAACATAAACGTATATTAATATTTTCTTAACTCAATCTACTACCTAATAATTACCAAGCTTGCGTTGTTTTAGGAAAAATTTCTCGTAATCAGTCCCAGCAGTACAGTGCCCTTAGAAACGCGCGCGCAGTAATATGTCACATGCGTAGCAAGTAATACGTGGCAAATAATACATAGCAACTAATACATAGCAAATAATATACATAACAAATGATATGCAACACCTGTGTTGTAATGATCTACTACATGCAAATATAAAACAGAGTTGGCACTTTTTTTTTTTTTTTTTTTTGCTCTCCATTTTGTTATTGCATTTTTTGTGTTAGCAACTGGTGGAAATGACAAAAAGCAAAAATCGGAAAAACATTGTGAAGAAAATGTTTTAGAGCTGCTAACATTTGTCAGGAAAAATTTTTTATCAGGGGAGGTGACAGGTGTAGAGAATTGTTACCTTTAGTCATTATATCTCATACCCATTTTGCTAACACATTAATATAAATTATGACCTTAAAGAGATCTACTATACTGTATACTTAAATATGTATAAAATCTTTAAATGGAAAAAGTGTTATTGTGTGTATATCATGTGTATACAATCATATAACCACATGTTCACTTTGTATTTTTTTTTTTTTTTTTTTTTTTGCTGAATTGCTTTATTTTGTTTTAATTTACTATATTATATTTTATACTATTATATTTTATTTTATACTATTATATTACATTCAATTTTATTATATTTTTCTTCCCTTTTTTTTTTCACTGGTATTGTGAAAAAATGTGGAATAACGAGAATTTCCCTGTCTTCATTTTTAAAAGGAACAAAAATCAAAAAATGAGGCATGGTTTTGTAGGGAATACTAACGGAAAAACAAATAAAAAAAAAATATATATATATATATATACACCTTTAAGTGTACACCATATCATCGTCAACTTTGTTCATACAAATTTTGCTCTTGTTACAACTTTTCCCATTTAGGAAAAGGGAAAAAAAAGCAGAAAAAAAGAAACATAAAAAAGAAACATAAAAAAGAAACATAAAAAAGAAACATAAAAAAGAAACATAAAAAAGAAACATAAAAAAGAAACATAAAAAAGAAACATAAAAAAGAAACTAAAAAGGAAACTAAAAAAGAAACATAAAAAGGAAACATAAAAAAGAAACATAAAAAAGAAACATAAAAAAGAAACATAAAAAAGAAACATAAAAAAGAAACATAAAAAAGAAACATAAAAAAGAAACTAAAAAGGAAACTAAAAAAGAAACATAAAAAGGAAACATAAAAAAGAAACTAAAAAAGAAACATAAAAAGGAAACATAAAAAAGAAACATAAAAAAGAAACAAAAAAAAGAAACAAAATAAAGAAGATAAAAAAAAGCAGATAAAAAAAAAAGCAGAAAAAAATACATTTAACCGCCCCTTCTTTTTATCCCATCTTCGTGTTAGTGTATTAAATGTATATAAACTGCCACCAGTTCTTCCAACTTTTTCATTGCCATTGCTGCGACCACATCAATTGACAACTCCATTAGGGATGTTATTGCATAAGTTGTCTTTGCAGCATGGAGAATCTTTCATATGATGACCCTGTTCACTCTGCACGCCCAAACGCGAGCTCATTCAAAATAAGTATACATACATGTACGTATATGGATACATATACATATGCATATTGGTGTTCTCATAAGTCTTCATCTGAATCCCTGTTATGACATGGCATAACGGCATAGGAGATGATTTTTATTTTTTCCATTTTTTTCCATTTTTTCCCGATTTTGTCCGTAACCCTTGGAGCAACAAGTTAAGAGGCATTTGCCTTTTTCGTCCTCCTCTTCTTAGACTTACTCTTGGTTGGCTCTGCTGCCGCCTTCCTTTCCTTTTGCCATTTTTCTAAATTGGAATTTATAAAGTGATTCCATGCATTGAGGATTTTTTTTTGTTTTACCTTTTCAAAATGTCTTTTCTTTTTAGTATATTTATTACTAATATAAATATAAGAATAACATTTTTCAATTCTTTTTTTAAATTGTTTCGTGTCTTCAACATCTTCCATCCACATGATTCTATGGATGTAAGTAAACCAAATATCCCACATTTTGTTTTTCCAATTTTGATCTATTCCTCTCGTTTTTTCTCCAAAAAACAATTCAGACCATGTATATATTTCAAATTGGTTCCAGAATTTCATTTTCTTTTCCCAATACTTTTCTTTTTCCTTAAGGCATTTGTTATACCATATTTTATTTGCTTTACTATTAATTTTTAAAAAAGCTAATAAATTCCGATTAATAAATTCGGTGGAAATTATAATATCTGTTTCATCTTCTGATGAATCATTATACCCAACTTCTTCTATTAATTTCCTTACGCTTTCCTCCAGTTCTTTATCGCATATATTGGAGTTCCTCAATTTTACTCTGTTTGCTTCACTCATCATTCTGCACACTTTTTGCAAATCTGCAGATTCTCCAACAAACCAGTTAAACTCATTCCACGGTATCTGATAAAAAAAAAAGAAAAAAAAAGTTCCCGATGCATTTAAAAATTATTAGTCATATATTCATTTCTCAAAAATGATTAAGAAACTATTTTTCCATCTACATACAACTTACACCATTGTTAAACCACTTCTCCTCTTACCTTGAAAAAAATAAAACACAAAAACAATGAGATTCCCAAGAATAATTTTATCCATGCCTTCAAATTTAACACCTTCATCCTTTTACATTTCTTAGCATCATTCTCCTGAACATGGTTCCAAATTTTTTTTTTATCACTGTTACCCAAACACACTCTCTCTAATAAGCCTCGTGGGAGTTCTAAAATATTCATTTCGGACATTTTCTCGTCCTCTACTTATGTATATGTGAGAAACGTCACACATGCGTAGAAAAAAAAAGGAGGTACCACGATCCGAAAAAAGTGCAATTGCAGCAAAAAAAAAACAAGCATAACATAACAAGCATAACAAAACAAGCATAACAAAACAAGCATAACCTAACATGCATAACATAACATGCATAACGTAACATGCATAACATAACATGCATAACATAACATGCATAACATAACATGCATAACATAACAAACAAAACGGAAAGCACATGATGTGCCCAAGCATTCACTGCACTCGCTTCCCTCCCCTCCGTGTATGACCACCCCTACTTGTGCCCTTGTCTCCACCAACCAATTAAATTTAAGTTTTTTCCTTCTTTTTCTCATTACTTCGAAAAAGTTTTAAATATTTCCAAAAAGATCTGAGGATAAGGGAAAATGCTTCAATGGCATGTCTATCCCGATGTGATGTCACAAAATTAGCAACAGATTTCTCACTACACAACAATGCGTGAAAACACAATCATAAAAATCTGAGACACGTGGATAATACGTCTGGAAGCAGAAGAGTGCAAAGGTGACAAATGTTAAGTAGCAAAAGCGTGTGCTAGGAGATACTTGTACATGCTTTTACACACATGCATATACATGTGTATATATATATATATATATTTTTGCATGCATTAGCGACTATTTAAAAAGGTTCAGTGCAAAATTAATTCAATAGCTTGTGGAACACGTGTGTGTTCAATTGGAGGGCTATCTTAAATTCGGCCATTTGGAGGTATCCCATAGTGTGATCTTCCTAAATCATTCTAGGATTGTGACACAAGTTTTATTTTTCGCTTCATCCAAAGTTAGGGAATAAACAAAGGTTTTTAAAAAAAAGAAAAAAGAGGGCACATACACACCCTATTTTTTCTCCTTTTTTTTTTTTTTTCAATTAGCAAAACCTAATTGTAATATTTTAAAAAAAGGAATACACATCCAAAAAAGAAAAAAAAAAAAAAAATTGAATTCATTTTTTCATTTACACACCTTTTGCATTTTACGAATTGTTAGAATTTTATATAAATTAGCTTTTCTCTTTTTTTTTTTTTTTTTTTTTGTTCAAATGTGTATGTGTGGTTTCTTTTGTTGCCTAACTCACAATATATTGTTTACAATTTGTACTCTCCTTTTAATGCTTATTGTTTAGTGCCCCTCATTAACAGCGTTGGAACTTCTAGGCCCGGCTTATTTACTGCACTCGGTTATTGTTTCTATTTTAACATGTCACTAGGGCTTTTCCTCTCAGGTAATGTTTTTATTTCGTTTGATTTTATTTTATTTTGTTTGATTTTATTTTATTTTGTTTGATTTTGTTTGATTTTGTTTGATTTTATTTTGTTTTATTTTGTTTTATTTTGTTTGATTTTATTTTGTTTTATTTTGTTTGATTTTATTTTGTTTTATTTTGTTTGATTTTATTTTGTTTTATTTCATTTTTTTTAAAAAAAATTGTTGGGTGTTGCTACCAAACGTTACAGCAATCTGTTCAGGTGGTTAAGTCTAGGGATCTGTTTTTTTATTTGTTCAAATTCAAAATTGCAAAAAAGTAATACTAAAAAGGAATGTTAAAAAAAAAAAAAATCAGTGTACAAAATGGAGGAAATAGATAAAAGTAACACTTTGTTAGACAAAGAAGATGATTGCATGAAATTTTCAGTAGAACGATGAGCATTTTATGAGGGACCCTTTTCCCATTGTTGTTCTTCCTAAGAATAATATCCCCGTCATAATTTTTATAAATTCATCTTTCCCTGTGCAGGCATATTATGCACAAATGAATGGCGCAATTAACATAAAAAGAAGGAAAAAAAAAAAAAGCTATCAACTTTTTCAAAAGGGCTATGTTGAATCATGAACTTTCTCAAAAGGGCTAAGTTATGTCATGAACTTTTCGAAAAGAGCTGTGTTGAGATATGAACTTTTTCAAAAGGGCTAAGTTATGTCATGAACTTTTCGAAAAGAGCTCCATAATGTCACAGGCTTTTCCAAGAAAGCTGGGGATAACGAAAGTTTATACAATGTGAACGTGATTTTCTTTTTAAATCATTCACATGAAGATGTGCATAAATATGAAATGAAAATAGTTCCTTCTTTTTTAAATCTGTATATAACATAATGTGCTCATTCGTAAGATAACTTGATCCTTCTCCCACCTTTTCAGAAACAAACAATAAAAAAAAAAAAAAAAAAGGAATTCCAAAACGAATTTCTCGATTCAAAAATCTACTCAAAATAAAGAGACGTGTCGTATAACAACTTATTTACTTGTTCAATCTTTATATCACACACGCTGTTCAGACAAGTTTCTGTCATTTTATTTTCAAATACTGAGTGCTCATCTGAAGAAAGAGGGAATAATGTATGAAAATGTGTAGCACGTCAAGATTTTTTACGCATGTCTTGTATCTGCATTCATAACTATCATCTAATTTTCTCTCAAAAGAACATTTTCCTCCTTATTCTGATGTGTTATATATATATATATATATATATATATATATATATATATATATATATATATATATTTGTGTAACCTTCAACTAAGTGTATCGAATTGGGTGGTTCCGTTTTGACAAATGAGTAAATAATGGTAAAGAGAATGAAACAGAAGGATGAAAAAATGATCGCACATGGGATGATAGCTGCCCAGTACCTACACGAGAAGAAGAGATGCAAAAGTGAAAAGCATGAAAAAAAAAGCTACTCTGGGGAGGAACATACAAAGCTTATACACAAGGCGTAAACAAAGCATAGACATATGTGATCATAAAGGGATGGTCGTTCGAATATCTTTTTTTTTTTTTTTTTTTTTTTTTTTTTTTTTTTGTTCAGTACTTGGAGGGAAAGGGGAACGGTAGTATGCTTAGGAAATCATCGAATACAAATGTCCATATCAAATATGACACTGTAAATTCAAATTCAAAAACAGGGAATTGGATCATTCCACGTGAAAAGAAATGGAAGCTGTGCTTGAGCCATATTCGGATGCAGCCCATGCAATGTCATATGTGTGTACGTATATATATGTTTGTATGCATGTTTGTGTGTACGTATATATATGTTTTTGTGCATGTTTTTGTGTACGTATATATATGTTTTTGTGCATGTTTTTGTGTACGTATATATATGTTTTTGTGCATGTTTTTGTGCATGTTTTTGTGCATGTTTTTGTGCATGTTTTTGTGCATGTTTTTGTGCGTGTGTGAGTCGCCTCTTCATCGAGGCCTGAGGCGTTTTCCACTGTTTCACCCCTTGTACAGGATTTATTTTCTCTGTTTTTTTTTACAAACCCCAAAGTATGTGCGAAAGGTAAAGAATGAAAAACGCGTAACCCTCTTTTATGGACTGCATTGTGAGTGGTGTGCATGTGATTGTATGCGAATTCTGAAGAAAGAGAAAAAGTTGGTATACCACACATACGAACTTGCATACAAACTGAAAAGCAAAAATTAAACCTAATGTAAACCCTGAACCCTCGAAATGAAACAAAAAAAAAAAAAAAAAAAGCCACACAAAATGAGAATACACTGTGCGACAATGGGAGAGAGTAAAGTAAAAGGAAAAAATGGTAAACTAGAAAAAGGAAGAAAATGAGAAAGTGAAAGGGGAAAAAAAAAAAAAAAAAAAAAAAAAAATGAGCGAGAAAAAATAATACATGGATGAAGTGTAAAATGGGAGAGGATGATGCAAATTCAAGCAACAGAAAATTCGTCGTCAATTTGTAAAGCCTCTCATCCCCCCACCACTAATAACATAAAATGCTTCCTAAGATATCGCAGGCCCAACAAAATATATTCTAGAATGTTTTTTCGAACAAAGTTTTTCTTTCCCGGTCGCAACAGCTCCTAAGGGTTGCCTCATTCTTTATTTTATTTTTTTATTTTTTTATTTGTTTATTTGTTTGTTTATTCATTTATATATATATATATATATATATATATATTTTTCCCCTTTGTTACATGCTACACTTTACGCAAACTCTGATATATTTTTTTTTTTTGTTTTCAGCTTAATTTCACCTGGGTTCGTGATGTATATTGTCCCCTTTTTTTCTACTCCTTGTATACATAATTTGGAACATCTGGTTTGATTATCTACAATTTATTCCATTTTAATGTACTTTTCTTTTTTTCTCCTGCCTTTAAAGTATCCTAGTGGTCATCACACTACTTTTACACTCTATTGATCTTGTAACACGTTTAATTCTGTCACATTTCATGTGTCACTTTGTGATATACACTTTATTGAATCTTAGCACAATGAAAAAATAACAGTTATGAAATAAAAGACGTATTTTGACATATGGGGGAGAGAAACAGGAAAGTACGAAAAAATAGGAAAAAGCAGGAAAAAGCAGGAAAAAGCAGGAAAAAGTAGGAAAAAACAGGAAAAAACAGGAAAAAACAGGAAAAAACAGGAAAAAACAGGAAAAAACAGGAAAAAACAGGAAAAAACTGTATTTTTTTTTTTTTTCCCCTTTTCTGCATTCTTCACCTTTTCTTCCTCGCTTCTTTTCTTCATTCCTATTTGGATAGCAAGGCGAGTAGAGTCCCACCCATATTATGCAAAACATGCATACGTATATGTATGTATATATATACATATACATGCACGGGCTTATTGCATTTCCACATGAACGTGTGTGGAGGACTAGTTAATGGGGATGTGGGCTATGACAAGTCCTTAAAACAGACAGAGACAAAATGAATACAATGAATGTATTGAAGGAGCAGGAAAGGAACCTCCTGCTAAACATTATGAAAAAGTTTAAAGGGAAAAAGTGTCTTTTTTTCCAACCGTCCTTACACATAATTTTGAATGTAATCTTGAATGATGATGATATTAACAAAGAACAGATTGAACATGTGTTTTTTACAGAGAATGAAACAGAAGTAAATATAAACAAGCTGGATAACATTTTTAACATTTTATTTTTTATTCGTCCAAACTTTTATGAAATTGAGAATATTTTTAAAATAATTGAAAAATTAGAAAAATCAGAATTAAATGAAAATGGAAAATCTACTAGTAATAGAAACAAGAAATATGCTATTATTTTCATCCCTTATATGACTACCATGTGCAAAAAGGAAATTTTAAAACATAATATACTTGACATTCCTATTAAAATTATTATATTTCCTCTTTATTTTATTCCATTATATAATGATGTATTTAGCTTAGAAATCAAGGGATTATTTAAAGAATATTATGTAGATAATGATTTTAGCAACTTAATTTTCTGTTCATTCAGTCTAATGTTTCTTCAATACTTTTTTAACGGTGTTTTTAAAAATATTAAATCTTTAGGAAAATTATCTCATTTTATTTCTGAACAGTTAATACAATTAAGAAAAGAAATTGTAGCTACAAATTTTGATATTCAATCTCCAAACAATTTTGAACAGGACTTTTTCGATATTATAACGAATTTACAAAATTTTAAAGACATGAATCATTCCAAAAATTCTGCTCAACCCATCGCTGTTCCCCTCAAATATGCAATCCACAAAATATTCATCTCAGAAAAAATACACAGGAAGAAGAAGAAGAAGCAGAAGGGACACAATTTGAAAGATAGTAATATGAATGGAATCGATTCCAAGTTAGCCAATCCCATGAGAAGAGCAAGTACAAAAAAGAGAGATGCCAAGAAAAATTATGATAATACAACAAATCATATGCACAGGGAAGATGTTAGAAATGAAAAGAACGCAAGGGAAGTAACTGTTTCAGGAAAGCAAGGGCCGAAGTTGCATGAACAGGATGGCGAAGAAGAGGAGGAAGAAGAGGCAGAGGAGGAAGATGAAGAAGAGGAAGAAGAGGAAGATGAAGAAGAGGAAGAAGAGGAAGATGAAGAAGATGAAGAGGAAGGAGACGAAGAGGAAGGAGACGAAGAGGAAGGAGACGAAGAGGAAGGAGACGAAGAGGAAGGAGACGAAGAGGAAGGAGACGAAGAGGAAGGAGACGAAGAGGAAGGAGACGAAGACAAATATTATGACCTTCACAACAGTGACAACCACCACGACAGTGATGACTGTGACCATTCCGTGGATGGACAACATGCAGAAGATGAAAAATCCCAAGAGAATGAAAACCATCGTGGGGGGAGAGGAAGAGAAAAAAATCCCGAAAAAAAAAAGGAGAGAATAACGGAACGGTCAGAAGGAGAACTCGTAACGGGGTGCACTGAGAATTCAACAGAGGGAGAAATGCCAAAGCAGGTCGCCGGTGCATTAGCAGTAGCAGTAGCAGAAGTTGAGGAAAAGACAAACAGAGGCGAAACAAGACATACCACACATGAAGTTAAAAAAGGAGACAAACTCAACAGACCCCAAGACAAATATAAAAGGCAAAACCAAAATGGTACGAACGAGGAAGAAAAAATCTCTCCTTTTACAGGAAAGGAACATATGCACGCAGAAGATCAAAAGTGGACAGCACAAATTGGAAAGAAAACAGAAGACATTGGTGAGCCCCTCAAAGATGAAACAAAAACGAATCAAACATTCGAATCTGCATTGAACCGGGAGAGTATACGGAGGGGTAAGGGAAAGTGGAGAGAAGAAGAATGTACAAAAAGGGGGGTGCAGAAAATTGGCTCACCAAAGAGCCGTTCCAAAATGGGTTCTACTGAGGACCGTTCCAAAATGGGTTCTACTGAGGACCGTTCCAAAATGGGTTCTACTGAGGACCGTTCCAAAATAGGTTCTACAGAGGACCGTTCCAAAATGGGTTCTACAGAGGACCGTTCCAAAATGGGTTCTACAAAGGACGATGCTTACAACCATGACGAAATTCCCCCAATGGCGAATTTCATGGCGAAGGAGGACAACACAAAATTCTTGTCCAAAAAGAAGGAAAATCGAAAGATGGAAAAGATAAAAAAAAAGGAGAAAAATTACGTTTTAGAAAAATTAGGAATAAATAATTTCAATTTTCTGCTAAATGTGTCAAGCAGGGTAGATTCCTGTATAATCTTGGATCGAAAAATAGACATGGTTACACCTTTTTGCACTCCATTCACGTACGAAGGGCTACTTGATCATCTTTTTTGTATCAATAACTTGCAGATAGAAGTTCCACGATACATAATTTTTAACGATAGTTATAAAAATGCAATGGTGAAAAAGGAACATAAATTGTGTGAAAGAGAAGAGAACACTGATGATGAACTATTAAAAAATATGCAAGTGCGTATAAAATTAAAAAACACAGTAGATGTGCTATATAATGATATAAAGGACCTAAGTCAGAACGAAATTGGAATCTTTTTACATAATAAAGCTAGCGAAATTCAAAAAACGTATAAAGAAAAGGATACACTAAAAGATATTGAACAGATAAATGAGTTCATGAGAAAATTTAAAGTAAAACATTATGAACATAATTCTTTGTCTACCCATGTAAATTTAGCTTCTTTCATCCAGAATACAATGAAAAAAGAATCCAATTTTAACAAATTAAAACTAGAAGATGAAATTATACAATTGAACACAAACACAAATAAAAGTACTCTCCAAAATATTGTGCAACAGATTCAGTTGCTCATACATACAAATGAAGACATTTATGAAGTCTATCGATTGTTATGTCTCTTCTCAATTGTCACTAATGGAATTTATGAAACGTACATGAATGAAATAAAAAAAGATATTGTAGAACAATATGGAATTAACGAATTAACAAGAATAAACAAATTACATCTGTGTAATATTTTAAAATACCAACCCAAGCAAAAATTTATTTGGAATCATTTAAAAAACCATTTTAATCTATTTTCAAATGAACAAAACGATATTTCATATGTATGCAATGGTTATGCTCCTCTATCCGTTAGACTAATTGAATATATGGGGATTCTAAAAAATAATATACAAGTTTTTCCAGAAATTTTTAACCTTCTCAATGGTCCTACACATCACATTATGCAAAATGCTGTAGGTTTTGACAATTTATTACCATCAACCACAACAAAAATAAGTTCAAGACAAGATCAGGAACCTCATACTGATGATGCAAACAGTTCGCACATACAAAAGGACATTGTTATTCTTTTCTACGTAGGAGGTATATCCTATGTAGAAATAGCAGCTATCCGAAATTTAAACAAGACTAATAAATATTATCACTACTTGATATTCACCACGGAAATTATTAGTTCCAGGAAAATATTGCACAGCATGGATGGATATTTGATTTAAGGTCCTAATCAGAAAACAATAATTTATATCACTTGTTAAGTCTCGTTATACACCTATACCTAGACGCTGTGTACAGGTCAGAAGTATATCTGTGTGTAAAATATTTCAGCTATCCATCGCTGTTTTGATATCACTCCATTTCATGAAGATTTTTTTTTTTTTTTTTTTTTGTGAATATGAACTATTGGGAGTTTTATTCCCAGATAAAGGGCACAAAAAATATACGTATTCTTTTTTTTTTAACTTCTTATAATCTTAACATGAATATGTTGTTCCATATTTGTGTATATTTTTTTTTTTTTTTTTTTTTTTTAATATATATATATTACTAAGAATTAACCCGTTTTCTTCCTCTTATTTTATTTAATATATATATATTGTTAAGAATTTACCCCTTTTTCCGTGTTTTTTTTTTTTTTTTTTTTTTTTTTTCTTCTTTTCCATTTTACACATTTTAACGCAAAGCATAAAAGTAACAATCGTTTTTGTTTTACTCCCCTCTTCACATGCTCAGTCTCGTGAATTTTACGCTAAATTTGGGAAAGTATGGAGTTGTAATAAATGTACTTTTATATATATGCCATATATCATGTTTATGCTGAGATCATATATATTTTCCTTATAAGCACATCGGGCATATGTCCAAATAAAAATGTAATGAAAATGTTATACTTAGGTAAAGTGAGCAGGTACAAATGCAGCAAAAAAAAAAGGAAAAAAAAAAAAAAAATCAAGAAAAATGAGGAAAAATCTGGGATAATCCCGTTTAGGAGTATGAACTATCTTTTTTTTTTTTTTTTTTTTTTTTTTTTTTCGTTCTGTTCCGTTGAGTCCCCTTCCCTCTCAGTAACATTCTAAAGAAAAATGCTTCAACACGATACAGGGTTAAGTGAAAAGATAAAAAAAAAAAACATTAACGGATGATGGGTTGAAAGTTCGGGCCCAGAGTGGGGGACACTCCAATTCTGCATTAACTTCCACAAATTTTCAAAAATTTACAGATCTGCTTCTTCATTTTTTTTTTTTCTCCTATTTCGATGCCCAAAAAAAATATCGCTTTCTTTTTTCATAACAAATTGGAGTGAAGTGATGTATAAAAAAACTGCACAGTTTTAAGCCACTATTTGTTGTAAATATTTCTCCATTTTGATGCATTTTTTTTTTTTTTTTTTTTCTGATAAGCGTGTTTAGATAGGCCAGTTTTTTTTTTTTTTTTTTTTTTTTTTTTTTCCTTACGCTTATTTGATTTGAGAAATTCGCCACGCTGTTCTTTCGTATGCAAAATTTATGAACACTTTTTTATTCAAATTTTTTTTTTTTTTTTTCAAGTAGCAATTTATGACCAAGAGAGGGGATAATCATTGCAAAGAGGAATGAACAAGCGTATGCAAGCCAAAAAATATACACATACATATGCATACATAAACATACATACATATCTACACTTGTACCATCACGAAGACTAGTGAACCCCACTCGAATTGTGGAGAACACAACCCAATTTGATTAGCGGAAAACCATGTCAGCTCTGTTCAACCTAGAGGCTATGATAACTGTCATAATTTTATGCATATGTACATGCACATATTTGAAACCCAAATTTCCAAACATCTTTGATAATAAGAAAAACGGATTTCTTGGAACACTGGGAAAGTTTGCAGTTATTGGTGATCGGTTATCGATATATGTATCTATCGCATGTGTTATTCTAGCATTTGTTAATATATTTCTAAGATAGATTACAACTAGTGTGACCTGCAACACGTATACTCATTTGTACAGCAAAAAAAAAAAAAAAAAAACCAGAAGGCACTGCCATCGACAGAATCAAGAAACGGGTGTGCAAACTCGTCCACAGATCAGTTGACAAATTATTGGTCAAATTAGTGGTCAAATTTGTTGGCAAATTCGTGTACAAATTGTGAAGAAAGAACAACTTTCGATCTTATCAACAAGAAGACCTTGGAACTGTTAAAGAAGGGAAAACACAAAGTGCACATCTACTACCACTACCCGCTTCCAGCATCGCTAATACACGATGGATCAATTTGACATTCCACCAAATCAAACACTCTACGTCAACAATCTGGAAGAAAAAATAAATGTGAATGACTTGAGATATCTATTGTATGAATTTTTTTCTCCATATGGAAATGTAGTAGATATAGTTTTAAAGAAATCCAATAAATCAAGAGGACAAGCATTTGTCATTTTTAGTAATTTAGCATCTTCAACCTTAGCGTATAAAAATTTAAAAGGAAAATTATTCTTAAATAAATATATAAATATAAATTATGCAAAAACAAAATCGAGAATAATTGAAAAGTTTGAAGGAACATACAAACCAATTACCAACTATAAATCTGCAAATATATATGAACATAAATCAAATTTTTTCACTCTCTTTGTTCAAAATCTTCCAAATGAAATTAATAAAAATGCTTTAGAAATTTTATTTAATCAATATCCAGGGTTTTGCGAAGTTAGATATATTCCTGGTAGGAATGTTGCATTTATTGATTTCAATTCATTTCAAAGTGGTGAAATTGCTATGAATGGCTTGCAGGGATTTAAAGTAACTACTCATTACCCCATGAAAATTTCCTGGTCTAATTGATCACCCCTTCCACCCATGGTTCAGATACTTGCACTAGTGCATGTATATATATCTTTATGCACACACATTTGTCCCTTCCCTGGGAAAATTTTACACAACAAATGTTGACAGCTTCTCAATCCTCGTAGAACTCGCATGTCAACCAAGAAGACATTTCCAAATCTGTCTGTTTTACTCTGCTACTCCACTTGCCTGCACATCACGATGATCACAAAAAAGAACCCAAACTTTGCATGCAAACACTTGCATGCGTAAATTCAGCTTGTCCAGATGTACACAGATTGCATATGTTTGTGTTTATTTTATTTTTTTTTTTTTCATTCCTTCTGCTTTGCTCTTTTTTTTTTTTTTTTTTTTATATGTCACGTCATCAGATTCACATTTTAAAAGACACAAAAAGATCTATTCATTTAAGTATCGTAACACTTCATCCAACAACCAAATTTGGTGTACATATTTCTCATAAAAACATGATTCTGCACGCAATTTCGTGAAATATATTTATTCCATCCAAAAAAGTGATTTTTTTTATGCCTACTTTTTATTCGTTATACTACATTAAATAAAACAAAACCAGACAGCAAAAAAAAAAAAAAAAAAAAAAAAAAACATAACCAAGGCTGTAGAAAAAAAAGAATTACGATTAGTTCCTATTTTTTTTTTTTTTTTTTTTTTTTTTAATTTCTGAAAAGATTTTCCAACACATACTCAGAAGAGATGAGGAAAAACAATCCTGAGCAGTAAAATTTGAAAACTATTAAAGGAATATCTTTAATGGGGAAGTTGTCCAAAAAATAGAAAACTAAATTTGAATAAATAAACAAGATATTTTAATTCATATCATTTCTCATCTTAACATCACGAACAAATACGTGGCAATTTTTTTTTTTTTTTTTCTTTTCATTTTCCACACCATCTGTAGTATTCCTCTCCTTGAGAAGATCAGTCTGGGCAAGTGAACACAAGACGCAACATCCGCTAGGCCACACAAACACATACATATATATATATATATATATATATATATATATATATATATATGTATACAGTTCCACATGCATAATTTGTACACCCCCACTAGATTACCATGCATGATGACCCACTGAATCCCCTTTTCGATTCTGCAGAGCAGAATAAAGTAAAAAATAAAATGTTCAAATGCAAATATGAAAACTTCACAGCTGGAAACCATGTCTTGTTCAACTCCTATGCAAAAATGAATAACTTGTGCAATAACTTCATAAGTAATTCCTTCAACTTTTTTGGCACCTTCATGGAAGAATACTCCAAGTCTAGCTTTTCTCAGCTCCAGGGGAAGTTAAATTCGAAACGGGAAAATGAACCTGCTTTAGCACATGAAGTGGAAGAAGTGAAAGAAGTGAAAGAAGTAGAAGAAATAGAAGACGTGGAAGAAGTGAAAGAAGTAGAAGAAATAGAAGATGTGGAAGAAGTGAAAGAAGTAGAAGAAATAGAAGACGTGGAAGAAGTGAAAGAAGTAGAAGAAATAGAAGATGTGGAAGAAGTAGAAGATGTGGAAGAAGTAGAAGAAGTGGAAGAAGTAGAAAACGTGAAAGAAGTAGAAGACGTGAAAGAAGTAGAAGAAGTGAAAGACGTAGAAGTTGATGGGGCAGAAGAGGATCACAGCACAGACAAGCTGCAATCAGAAAAAATAAAACATGCATGGCACTCGGTTGAGTCAAACCAAGAAATAAATTGCTCCACAACTTTAAAATATGAACACGCCTCTGCCCTCTTAAGATTCACGAGTGGCTATGAAAATATGAATATAAGTTCGAAGAAAATTAAAACTTATTGCACACACACCATAAGGAGACAAACCAAATGTAGCATACTTAAAGGCAAGTCATTAATAAAAAATAAAAGACTCAAATTGTACATGCGCCATACAAATCATTACTCAAGTAAACAGAAGAAAAAAAAGCATCATAATATTATGAGTCTTAAACAAAAATATAAAAAAAAAAAAAAAAAATCACGACCTTGTGATTCACCGAATAAGAAAGATCTAAATGAAAATGAGATCACATTTTTAGTAGATTCTTCCCTCAAAGACGTAAATAAAATTAATGACATTTCTACTTCTACCAATGCATGCCAAAGAGTGACAAGCGTAATTACTCCTTCTGAGGCAATCCATCTAAAGAAAAGTACTCAGACACAAAGATATTGCAGTGGAGGAGAAAGAGTCGATGAGATTTTTGAAATTTCAACAGATGACAAGAAAAACCGGGAGGAATACATGACATATATTTCACAATCCCTTAAGAGGCAAGAATATAAAATCCAGTGTATAGAAAAAAACACTGATCAACATCTCGATCTAGTGGAACTTTTGCTACACAAGAGGATGAAAGAAATTTTTGTTTTAAAAGAAAAAATTTCTAGCACACACACATATAAAGAGTTATGCCCAGATCTTTTCTATTTCAACAACGACGGTGAGTCAATCGAGCGAAATTTGTTCGCGTCCACATTGTTTTATTTGCTCATTTGTTTATATTTTTAAATATGCATATATTTATTTATATATTTATATATACATATATATATTTATTTATATATTTATATATACATATATATATTTATTTATATATGCATATATTTATTTATTTATATATGCACATATTTATTTATTTATATATGCATATATATATTATTTATATATGCATACATTTATTTATTTTATTTAGACGACCTGATCGAAACAATGGACAAGGGCCTTCGGTTCCTGGCGAAAATTCCAGCAAAAGAAAACTTGACCCCCTACTTGGGTCCCTCGGCATTCATCATTTTTGGAAAATATTACACGACCTACAAACACTTTTATAAGCTAGTGCAAGTCAGTATGAAGTTATACAAATCACCTGATCCCTATTTTACAGCAAATCATGTACAGAACAAAAATTTACAAAATGTGAACTGCTGGATTTTGCTACTAAATTACAAAAGTGGAACAAATCATCCAACCGTGGGGGGGATTAGAAGGGCTAGCAAAATTGATAAAACGGGGAAGGACAAGTGGGAAAAGAGAAAAATGTTTTTTTCTCTTTTCAGTTCCCTTCTCTCACCAGAAAAAAGGAGTAAACAACACACGGGATACACACGTGTGAATGAAATTCCGCAGGATTTAATTCACTTCTTGAATTACAGAGATGTAACAATTTTGTGACGTTTCAATGGCTTGCTCAGAAGACGCATACTCAAATTTGCTACCAGTTGGTGCCATGTGTGTGCATGTATATATACATATTTGTAGAAACGTGCTCATATATGTATGCGTGTGTGTATGTATAGTTCGGTGTACCCCCCCCCCCCCCCCTGGGCACAGAAATGAGAGTTAACTTTTTTTTTCTCCTTTTTACAACGTTTATTTCTACACTTACTTCCCCACTCGAATTTATTTTTTTCTTTATTTGTTTTTTAATTTTATTTCCTTTTATAATATCTGCTCATATATGTATGCGTGTGTGTATGTATAGTTCGGGGGACCCCCCCCCCCCCCTGGGCACAGAAATGAGAGTTAACTTTTTTTTTCTCCTTTTTTTCACCGTTTATTCTCTCCCCCTTAACCGCTCATCCTTTTATTTTGGTCTACTTTGCTTTTTCCAGACCTTCCTTGCCACGATTTAATTTTTTTTTTTTTTTTTTTTTTTTTTTTGTTTCCAAATAAAGACATGGCTCATATATAGAAAACCAGCTATAAAAATTAGACAACTGTAAATGAAAAGGACGAATTTACTTTTTCACAGACATGTCTGTATATTTTCATTTGTGTTCGCACGTTTTTGTACATGAATTTTTTTTTTTTTTTTTATGAATATCACACCTTGCCTGTTCAGGCGTTTTTGCAAAACTTTTTATTCTACACAGTTAAAACAAAATTGACATTTTTGTGGTATAAAGACGTGAAGGAAGAGGAAGAAATATTATGTGACATGCAGGAGGCATAACTTTGGGAATCAATAAGGAATGGACACCAAATAATGAGAATTGTTGTATTATAGTCTAAATATTGGCTTAATGTCAATCCCAAGGGAGGGCGCAGAAAATTGCGAAACAAGGGAGACTGCCAATCCTAACACGTTGCAGCCAAAACAAGTAAAAAAAGTTAAGCACATAAAAATAAAATAATATAAAAAAAGTGAGCAAATTATCCAAATTAAACTTAAAAACAAAAACAAGAAAAAAAAAAAAAATAAAATAGTAAGATAGAATAATAAAATGGAATAATAAACTAGAATAGTAAAATAAATAAATTAATGTTCATACGAATGTGTGTACCTGTTTTGCAAAAAAAATAGAAAAAAAAAAAAAAAAAAAAATGTATTAACGTTCATACGGAATTGTACATCCATTTACCAAAAAAAAAAAAAAAAAAAAAAAAAAAATATTCATGTTCATACGATTTGTGCACCTGTTTAATAAAAAAAAAAAATGAAAGGGACACAAATTTACCAATCGAAAAAAGGATCATTTTCATTTGTAATTTTATCTGCTATTGTTAAATCTTCTTGTACTCTTTCAAAATTTGAAGAATCGAAAATATTTTTATATTTCGGCTTGTACGGAACATCTACATTTTTATTCAATAAATTAACCCAATCAATATTACCAAACCAAGGATGTTCCTTAACATTCTGGGCCCCCTTTTTTAAGTTCCCATAACGTTTTGTCAAATCATGAGATAGCAATTTCTTCATAAGGTGTTTACAATTGCTGTCCAAAAATTTGGGAAAATAAATTATGCCCTCCAAAATTTTTTGATAAATAAGAAGAGGCTCGTTTGCATAAAATGGGGGGCATCCAACTAAAATTTCGTAAATGAAAATCCCTAGGGTCCACCAGTCTGCCTGTAATGTGTGCAAAAGTAAGACACGACAAAAATGGAACTGAACTTGTCAAAAATGGAAATCATCTCATCAGAAATGGAACCAGCCTCATCAGAAATGGAACCAGCCTCATCAGAAATGGAACCAGCCTCATCAGAAATGGAACCAGCCTCATCAGAAATGGAACCAGCCTCATCAGAAATGGAACCAGCCTCATCAGAAATGGAACCAGCCTCATCAGAAATGGAATTAGCCTCGTCAAAAATGGAACTCCTCTTATCAGAAGTAGAGATGGATTCGTCAAAAATGGAACTCCTCTTATCAGAAGTAAAGATGGACTCGTCAAAAAGGAGGGAGGAAGGGGGTCCCCACCTGAAAAAAAAGACACTTGTGTGTGTGTGAACGGGACGAATCCATCACCACCCATTTTTCTCCTCCTCTCACTTACCGCCTTTCCGTGTCCTATGTTTAGAAGAATTTCAGGAGCAATGTACTCTGGTGTTCCACACAAGGTGTATGTTCGTGTGTCTACAACCTTTGCAAATCCAAAGTCTGTCATCTTTATGAATCCATCCTTATCGAGAAGTAGATTTTCTGGCTTTAGGTCTCTTCAAAAAAAAAAAAAAAGGGAATAAATAGATGGAAGTGTGCGTGGGTGGGTACATAGATGTATGAATTATTTTCATGGTATCATTATCCCTACTGTGTTAAATTGGGTAAACTGTTACGCACCCAAATGGCAATGCAAATGCAAAGAAGCCCCCCTACCTATAGACAATATTCAAACTTTGAAGGTACTCAAATATCAAGACTATTTGTGCTGCATAAAAACATCCTACATCATTTGGAAATCGTTTATTTCTTCTCAAAAAGGTAAAAAATTCACCACCAATTACAAATTCTAGCACTAAATATAAGTAAGACTCATCCTTGAAAGATCCATATAAATTCACCTGAAGAAAATGTTGGGACAAAGGAAGGGAGAATAATCCATGAATTCATATAAGACTAACCTTATTTTACCACATATAGTTTTTTTTTTTTTTTTTTTTTTTTTTTTTATCATTAATGAAAATGAACATTTTATTATTATTTTTTTTTTTTTTTTTTTTTTTTATGATATGTATTATGGCCTGTCTTTCTGCAGGAAGAATATACATTTCAATGTTAAAAAAAAAAAAAAAAAAAAATGCAACTCTTTGTGTAAATGGGATAAATAGTAGAACAAGGAAACACGCCAAATGGTATATATCAAACGGGACACGAACTAGAATAACATTTATTTTCATGTGTGCCATTCCAAATGGTCCTCTTCATCCTTACACAGAATGGGTGGTTTATATAGTTCAGTATCTTCCTCTCAGAAAATACATGATCGACTTGCTTCTGTTTTATTATTTTGCTTTTTTCGAATCTCTTTATTGCCACAGGGGGTAAGTCTTCATTTTTGTGTGTCGCAAGAATTACTCGTCCAAACGAACCTATGAGTTTGAGAGGAGTGGAGAATTTATGCCTCATGCGTGAATATGCAGTGTTAGACATGAATGCGTATATGGGATCGGATCGACACATGCATGAGAAAGAAAATGGAATTTGCATCTGTTTACGAATGTATGCATCTTTTTGTGCATCTTTTTGTGCATCTTCTTGTGCATCTTTTTGTGCATCTTTTTGTGCATCTTTTTGTGCATCTTTTTGTGCATCTTCTTGTGCATCTTCTTGTGCATCTTCTTGTGCATGTTTGTGGGAGGGGAGGAGCGTGTCTACCTGTACCAAGCGTGCGAATAAAGTTAAAGTCATCATATTTCATTTTACCCTTTCTCTTCGGCTCTTTAGTACTATCACTATCCTTCTTCTTATGAAGCTGTAAATTTTTCAGAAATTGAATCATCTTTGATGATGGTAAATTCTTTCTTTTTTCGAGGGATTTTTTTTTTTTTAAATTCCCGTGTTGACACAAATACGGGAGAAGAAAAGTGGACACGAAAAAAAAAAAAAAAAAAAAGAGAAAAATAAAAAAATAAAACACTATACTGATGCGATCAAAGTGGATATTAATTGTATATCAGCATGACAATGAAATTTTATCTATCAAGATAAACATTAAAACAAAGTGGAAAAAGAGGAAAAAAAAAAAAAAAAAAAAAAAAAAAAAAAAAATCGTAAAATACAGAACAAATCAAAAAGGTGTAACTGTGAATTGGAGGGGCGTGGTAAAAAAAAAAAAAATAAAGTAATAAAACAAAATAAAATGTGTATATGTGTACACATACAATATGCACATACAGTATACACATATATGCACGTGTTAACATGCATGCGACCTCAGCCCTTTAAGCGAATTTCAACAAAAAAAAGAAAAATATAAATTTTAATGCGTACGTCTTTACCCGTTCACGAGTATGCACCAGCATGTGTCCGAAGTTGTTTTTCCAAAAGGGGCATTTAAAAACTTACCAAAAAAAAAAAAAAAAAAAATGAAGCAAAACAGAATGAAGCAAAACAGAATGAAGCAAAACAGAATGAAGCAAAACAGAATGAAGCAAACAGAATGAAGCAGAATAAAATGCAGTAATACAAAATGAAGCAAGTTTCAACCCCCACACTTTCAATGAATGGTGAACATGTTCATTTCACTTGGACTATAAAAAACAATTTCAAAATGCAAAAACTCGTAGACGAAATTTCTTCTTCCACTGTAATACGAATAAATTAGACACGACCCCAAGGTGATCATTTCGCATGTACGAATCTAGCCACCGATTTCTGATGAGGTGGGGGTTTCATACTTGTCAATTTCTCTCTGACAGGATCAGCAAAATGAAGCAAAATAAAATCAAGTAAAAGCAACGATATTGTTGTTGTTAGCAACCGTTCAAACACACAAGCACGTGCACATTCCCCACACACACACACACACTTTTCCGTATACACATTTTATATGGAGGGTATGCATACACACATAAACATAAACATATATATATATATATATATATATATATATATATATATATACAGATGTACATTTTTTGTTTATTCCCCCTGTTTATTCCATTGATTCCGTTTTTTGTGTTGCAAATTACCGGTTACCTCCTAACTTGTTTTTGATTGGATTTCTGTTCTCGTTCACTGATCAGGGGCCTTTCAATGGGACACGAGCGTGTACCTACGCATGTGTAATTAAATGTATGCATACGAATGTGTAATCAAATGTATGCATACGAATGTGTAATCAAATGTATGCATACGCATGTGTAATCAAATGTATGCATACGCATGTGTGTACCAGAGTGGCTGTGCTGTCACACTCTCATTAGAAGAGAAGTTACGTTATTTTATTTCATGTCTTTTCTTTACATTTCCTTTCTCTTCCTTTGCTTTTACCTACTTCTCTGTGCACAATGTCTTCACCTTTTTGATAAAGACACAACTGTGTTCCCACTTCTCACCCGTGTCCACACGTAATCATATAACCAAAAAAAAGGGATAGTGAAAGAAAATTCCTTTCTTGAAATTTCAAAAGTTTGCATTCTATGTGGGAGGTGGGGAGAAAAACAAAAAAAAAAAAAAAATTTCCACTTTTTTTATTTTTACAATGTAATTTAAGGGATTTACTTTCTTTTTCTTACAAAAAAAAAAAAAAAAAAAAAAAAAATATAATCAGTGAGAGAAAAAATACTCTCATTACAAATATGGAATGAGGAAATGTTCCTATTTTATTATTATTATTATTTTTTTTTTTTTTTTGGGAAATATGCTAAGTGTGACTAGCTTTTTCTCCTTCCTGTTTAAACCCATTCCCAAATTGGTTAACTTTCATCAGTTATGCATGTGCCATATGTATAGTGAGAGGTGATCAAACGAGACTTTTACTCAGACACACAGGAGAAAATAAAAGCAAGGCAGGGAAAGGCAAAATCAAGAAAACAAAACAGTAAGGACAAAACGGGGAGCACAAAAAAAAAAAAAAGAAAAAAAAAATCACAACAAAGCAAATCCATATGACAAAGGAACACGGACACAATCAGACATGTCTTACGCGAACGATTTTATTTGTGTCTTCTATTGGACTATCCATCCATTGTGCATACATATGTCTTGCTAGAATTCTTAAAAAAAAAAAAAAAAAAAAAAAAGGGAAAATAGAAGAAAAAATAGAAGAAAAAATAGAAGAAAAAATAGAAGAAAAAATAGAAGAAAAAATAGAAGCGAAGAATAGAAGGGAAGAATAGAAGGGAAGAAGGATCTTTACCTGCACAAGCACATACAATTACATGAATGGCAGTGGAATATTTTTACCTACATATGCTTATTATATTTACACATTCATAGATATAAGAAATATATTGTTGTTCCTCTTTCCCAAATTTCCTATGCTCATATACTCTCCATTCTGTAAAGAGAGCTGCATAATATTTAATCTCACTGCCAAACAGAAAGTAGAAGATGAAGTAGAATAAGAGGTAGGGGTAAAAAAAAAAAAAAAAAAAAAAAAAAAGGACGTGTTTTTATTTCACAAAAGGTTTCATCAATATAAATATTCTTACACAATTGACGTTAAAAAAAAAAAAAAAAAAAAAAAAGGTCCATCTTTTATTTATACTTGAAAAAGTCATTGGTACTTAAATTTGTGTGCAGAAAAGTGCACGTTCAGGTGATAAAAAAGGAGAGAGTGAGGAAAAAAAAAAAGAAAAAAAAAAAAGTATGAAAATGGGCAAATAGCAATGTGAACTGAATAGCTGGCAAAAAACAAAAAATTGTAAAAAGTTGTAAAAGAGTGTACGTACGTGTGAAGAAGCATAGCGGTGAAGATGGGTAAAAAAGAATTATAATTAAAAAAATAACAAAGTATAGTGGATCCTTCAGGCTACGAATGCACGAACTGAAGCATCTTACAAAATAAGGAAAAAAGAAGAAAAGGCTTCTTATCCAAACAAACAAAACGGAACAGCTATGCAAAAAAAAAAAAAAAAAAAAAAAAATGATAAAAAACGAAGAGGCTAAAATTAATGAACTACTTGTTACATGTCCAAATGTATGTCCCTCTTTGTCTTTGTTGCAAAAATTACCTTAGTCTCACTAATGGGGACCGCTAACCCTTCTGTGTGTCCGATTTTGGGAAAGCTCAATCACTGTCACACTGTCACACTATCACACTATCACACTATCACACTATCACACTATCACACTATCACAACTCTTCAACATGCACAAGGCGAGAGATAGAGAGAGAGGCAGTGACAGTAACTGAAAAACTACGTCTCAAGCTGCGTCCGAAGCCACGTCTGAAGCAGGGATATCACTATAACAGTCTTCTCCTCACAAACATAATGTGCCCATCCAGTGATGTAATCTTGAATATTTCTTTATCCCACCATCTGCACATCCTCACTTCTGAACTGAACACACCAACAATCCTCTCCACGAAAGAGAATAGAACAAATGAATACACACCAAAATATATCAATGTAGAAGGAATAGGTCCATACATACACAGATGCATATATATATATATATATATATATATATATATCCACCTTTATGCTTGAAAATTTTATTATTATCCCTCTGATGTAAAGGTGTGCATAGCTCGGCAGAAACTGAGAGGGGTATAATATATAACCTTTCTCTCTCTGATTTCATTTTAATTATTCTTCATCAGAAGAATCCAAGGATTTCATGTTAAGGACTGCACTCGGGTAAAGATCGAAATCCTTTATCTCCTTTTTCTCTCGTTTCAGTACAACTTTGGTATGTCCACAAACTAGTTCGAATTTGAATGGAATGCTGAATTCTTTCTTTTCTTCCATTTTTGAACTTTGTCCCTTTTCTTCCATTTTAGAACTTTGTCCCTTTTCTTCCATTTTAGAACTTTGTCCCTTTTCTTCCATTTTAGAACTTTGTCCCTTTTCTTCCATTTTAGAACTTTGTCCCTTTTCTTCCATTTTTGAATTTCGTCCCTTTCCTCCAACTTCTCCATTTTCTGCCGTTCCCTTAACACTATTCGTTTGCAAGAATTCAGAACACTCGGCCCAATCGTACACATCCTCTAAGGTATGGTTCAAGCTAAACTTGTTTTGTATCTTAACTCCATTAGGTAATCGAATGCAAATTTTTGTGGCTTTTTCATTTTCCTTGATTAGTAATGGGAATTTCTTTAACTTTTCTTTTCTTCCATTTTTGATATTTTTTTTCAATTGTATTTTTTTCAATTTTTCATCTTCTTTTTTTTTTTTTTCCTCTACTTTAAGCTTATCCTTTTTTAGTGCCTCCTGATATTCTCGATCTTGTTCTTCTCTTATTAATCTATCTGTATAATTTTTATTTTTAATTTTTTTTAAATTATTTTTTTTCATATTCATTTGTTCAATACCATGGCTTACAGTATTTATAATATGGTTAACTGTTGGAGTACCATAAATAATAGCCAACTCTTGAAATTCTTTAACATGATTTGTCAATATTACACTAATCTGTGGTAACATAAAAACGTTTAATGTATTTCCTAATTCTTTAACATCTCCTTTGGTTATATCTTGTGAAAAAAAAATACAATTTGAATCAAAAAAACACATTATTTCTTCATTCTTAAAAATGGACTCACAGAAATATATGCTTTCATTATTTTCGATATGTAAATAAACAAGTAATAATTTTTCTTCTTGCCTTGATGTTTTTATAGCTTCACTTAGACTACCTTTAAAAAACTTCACATGCTTCTTCCCATATTTCTCTTCATAATATGAGGAAAAATTGTTACTTTCAAATGAACTTACAATGTATGTGCTTACTAATTTAAAACAAGCTGACAATAGATTACAAACATTTCTGAATATTGGACATATTAAAGTTCCTAATTGGTTAAGTACATGTAAAAAATTTGCTCGTTCTATTTTCTCTTCGTTTCTCTGGCATACACTTTTATTTTCCTCTCTGTATTCCTTCACGTCTCTTTGGCTAAAGTTGGTGTTGACGCTCCTTACCTTTAGAGAAAAAAAAAAAAAAAAAAAAAAAAAAAAGTGTGGTGTTTAACGAGAAGTGTGTACCATCTCTGCTCTTTTATTAGACGTGTGAAACTATTTTGCTATTTTTGTTGATTGGAGTGTAACTCGAGTGTGTGTACATTAGCTGATCAGTCTACATCTGTTTCGATGTGTCATGGGAAGGGTGTGATATGCAGAGTGGGGAAATGAACGCGTCTCTCCCCCTCCCTCCCCTCTTTTCTCTCTTCTCGCTTCCTCATTTTTTTATCTCTCCTTTTTTTTTTTTTTCATTCCTGCATCGGCCTTACTTCGTCCATTCCAGTAAAGTCAACCTTACTCATGTACGTTGATATTGCTTCCTAAAAAGGGAGAATAGTAAAATTAAGTTTTCATAAGCAGACGTGGAAGAAAATTGGTTCATCTGATGAAATTTTTTTCAGATGTGCATGCAATTATATGCCTTTTCATGCAAATCACCCTTTTTGTAACCCATTTACTTACCTCTAAATTTCCATAACATGCTTCTAGGATATTTTTTGCCTCCTCCTCATCTGTTGTATTCGTCACTTCCATGAATAACTTCACCTGTTCCTCCATTCTTCCACCTGCACGGTGTCTCACAATATATTTCTTAGTATTCGTCTGAGCACGACTCACAGAATATTTCTTAGTATATCTCTCAAAATGCCTTTCTGCTTCTTTACCTTCGAATGAGTGTTAACCTTCTCAGGTTGATGTATCACGTCGTGTGTTTTTGTATCACCTTTTTCTCACTTGTCACTATCTACATGGATTTACAAACTCTGGAGATATGTTTCTGTAAACATTGGGTCACCCCCTTTCCCCTCCACAACCTTACTTTATATAGTTTTCTTCACTTTTTTTATTTTTTTTATTTTTGTGCTTTTCATGAATATGTCTCATGTCACACCAGCCTATTGATTTATCCTTTCAAAAAATTGTTCAGAAAACAAAGGCCCAATTGTTGAATGCCAATAAGAAATAACGTAAGAAAAAATGGGAGCACAACGGATGCCAATATGTAGAAGAACAAGGAAGAGCCAGGAAGACAGATTTGCAAAAAAAAGTTGTTACTCTGATTCCACAAACCTTTTTTGTTGGTTATGTAAACTAGTATCATTTATGATGTTTTTAAAAAAAAAAAAAAAAAAAAAAAAAAGTTATGTCCACTGGTTTCGCAAGTAAATACCTTTTGCCTCTATACACCTACTCTTTCATTTATGCTTGCAATGTTTCTCCTTTGTTACATATCTGTGTATGTATGTGTGTATGCAAGTACGTATGCTTGTATGCATCCCATATGCATTTCCGTAGAAGGCCATACGTTTTTGTTGTACCATGGCATGCACATACATATTTGTATGCACTTTTTTTCCTTTTTATTTTTTCTTCCCCACTCCTAATCACTTATTCGACAATACGTCAATATGGGAATATGTCAATATGGGAATATGTCAATTCGTGTGCTTCCTCGTTTTCCCATTTATTGCGTCCTTCACTTTATATTTTTTTTTTTTTTTTTTTTTTTTCTGCTCGTCCGACGGAATTCTATGGGAATGAAAAAAAAAAAAAATAAAAAATTTTTTTTTCTGCTCGTCCGACGGAATTCTATGGGAATGCAAAAAAAAAAAAATAAAATAAATAAATAAATAAATAATAAATAAATAAATAAATAATAAATAAATAATAAATAAATAATAAATAAATAATGAATAAATAAATAATGAATAAATAAAAACGAAGTTAAACGAAACGCGAAAAAATAAATGATGTTAAAAAAAGGAAGGGAAAAAAATGGGGGAAAAAAAAAAAAAAAAAATGAACGAACGAACGAACGAACGAACGAACGAGCGAGCGAGCGAGCGGAATGAAGGACATTCAGAACATATAACATATCTGAATATAAAATAAATAAAAAGGCAGCATTTGCAGAAGTCTGTTATTTTATTTTATTTTTTTTTTTTTTTTTTTTTTCCCGCTCATTTTTGTAATTCCATCTAATGCATACAAGAAAATATGTCGTAGTGAAAATCCAAGTGGGGAGGGGTTGCAAAAGTCTTACCAGGTGAAGCGACACGACAACTGAGATATTAAGTGGAATGCCAATCCGATAAGAGAGAGGGAAAAAAAAAAAAAAAAAAAGGAACGAAACAGACGAAGTAACGAAAGAAGGAACGAAAAGATCTCTCCGTTTTCTTCTACTACTCAAACCCGATGACACGACAATTATTTACATTTTATGTGATTTTTTTTTTTTTTTTCTTTTTTTTTTCTCTAGTTCTCCCCTCACATCCATCAATGAATATTTTTGCTGCGCTACAACAATTCTCCTAAGGGAGTTTATTATTCCCCTTTTTTGCATGCAGTACATATTTTTTTCTCCCCTATGAGAGTTGACGTTATGTCATATATGTGAAGACATCATGTGTAAACTTTTTTTACTTCCATCTTATGTTGTGATGAAAAATATGCATAGGGGATGATCTGTCTATACAAATGTACCTTTGTATGTTGTTGCGTGTGTGTGTGTGTTCATGCGAATTTGGAAAAAAAAATATGTGAACAATTTCAAGTCCATTCATTCGTTGCGAAAATGAAGGAGGGGTGTATGAAAAAGGCAAATCAAAAGTGGAGCGGTAAAATGGAGCAACAAAACGGAGCAACAGAAGAGAGGACAGAAGAGAGGACAGAAGAGAGGACAGAAGAGAGGAACGAACGGATATAGGGAATTTTCCTCTTTGATTAACCCCCTCACATGTGTTCACACTTTTACGTCTTCCAGTTTTCTCTACGATATGCATAGAGGCACGTTTTTCCTGCTACTTGAGAAATTCAAGGCCACTACAGGAGTGTAAAAAAAAAAAAAAAAAAAAGAATAAAAAAAAGAGGGAAAAAAAGAAAAAAAAAAAAAAAAAAAAGATAAATAGATGAACAGGATAATGGGCAAATGAAATAAAAATACATACAAGAAAGAATGAACAGTTGTCAAGTTGGATGGATTAAATTATTTCTGCGCTATTTCATGAGAGTCTTGATGAAGTGTCGCCCTGCCCACCCTCTTTTGGTTATTTATGGAGATGGGGGCTTAGCTGCTTCCGGCCAATCAGCGCGTCTTCAAAACGTGAAAACATGAAAACGGTAAAACTTCGCAACTTCGCAACTTCATAACTTCGCAACTTCATAACTTCGCAACTTCATAACTTCACAACTTCACAACTTCATAACTTCGCAACTTCGCAACTTCATAACTTCGCAACTTCGCAACTTCACAACTTCGCAACTTCGCAACTTCGCAACTTCATAACTTCCCACGCAAGGGGCACTCCCTCAACTGTGTTATGAGGGTGATGTCGATTCCCCAGTGACGAAAAAATTTGTTCAGATTTTTTTCCAATTTTTCCCGGTAATCAGTATTCAACTTGCTATTTCCAATTGTTATTATTATCCTTCTGAGGTTCTTCGAATTGAAACAAAAGTTTTTTAACAAAGGTATGCATACAGGTGACTTGATGAATATCTTGAAACACACAAGTTGAGGGAACATGTTCTGGATGCAGTTGAAGAAAAGTGGGCTCAGGTTACACGAACCTATGATTAGCTCTCTGTATGGGGGCGAGGGTAAGTGTAGAATGGTATGACCATATGGTATGGTGGTGTGTTATTATTCAATTGTCACTAATCCATGTACTGCACATATGCAAACTCGCTTTGACACGATCCCAGAAACTGGGGAACTTAAAAGGAAAACTGAATAATAGCAAATCAAGACAGACAAGTAAGACAAGGTTGGAGAACTTACATATAATACCACACACACAGTGCCATACGTAAGTACCTAACACACGGGCAACAGCTAAAAGGTACACTTGTTAAGGGTCTCCATTTTTTTCTTTTTTTTCTACAAGGTCAGAGATTCACTTACAGAACGTTTGGAAAATGCCGCAAGGAGGGAGAGATTCCTTCGAGTGGATGCTCAATCCTATCAACCAATTCAGTTTTAATCAATTCTCCTTCACGTCCATTTCTGCTACTACCCTTCATGTATTTCAAAATGAGTAAAATGTATTTTTTATTTTTCATTCTCATAATTTTTTTCGCGTTTAGGAAATTTGTATTTGTGATTACATCTAGAATCGCTGCTTTCCATGACCGATTCTGCAAAATGGGAATGTGAAGGGGGAGCGTAAGCGTGTGTGTGAAGTGGAAGCGTGTGTGTGAAGTGGAAGCGTGTGTGTGAAGTGGAAGCGTGTGTGTGAAGTGGAAGCGTGTGTGTGAAGTGGAAGCGTGTGTGTGAACTGGAAACGTATGTGTGAACTGGAAACGTAAAAGCAGACAAAGCAAACAAAGCAAACACACACAAGCAATTTTAGAGAAACAAAATGCCACATAACACAACATGTCATGGAGGTGGTCGGAATGATGGATATTGAAATGTATAGTTTGCCATTTTTCAAAATAAAATTAAAAAGGTCCCCACGGAGAAGTGCCTTACCAAGTACATCAACGTAAACAAATCATCCAAAAAAGGAAAAAATTCTAAAAGTTGCACAATCACTGATGTGGTGCAAATGGCATTCATATTTGAATGAACATTTTTTTTTTTTTCTTCTTCTTCCCCTCCTCCCACCATGTTGTTTTGACAAAATGAGCTAATTCGACAAGTTGCATGTTAAATTCATGGGACATTATGAATTTGTAGAAGCATGTCAATTGTGTCAACTTATTTTCTATTACGCTGCAAGCGCTTATGATTCCATTTCCCACCCGAACTGTTTTATTACTACTACTACTACTATTACTACTATTACTGCTATTATTTTTATTTTATAAAAACTCTACATGTCACAACCACATTTGGATAAACCATTTGACGTTCCTCATATCATTACATTCGCGAGAAGGGGATGGGCCAAATTTCTCATTTTTCTAAATGTGTCAATAGGTAAAAACTAGTTCCAATTATGAACATTTGAAAACGTGGAAAAATCTAACAAACGTGTGTAAAAAAAAAAAAGAAAAAAAAAAAAAAATTGGAACTTGTAGATTTATTCTACAGGTCCATGAAAAACTGACCACAAAATGTTTTTGAAAACATAGTAATGCGAGAAAGATAAATTAACACATTGGTGCGGAACAAAAAAAAAAAAAAAAAAAAAAAAAAAAAAAAAAAAAAAAAAAAAAAAAAAAAAAAAAAAAAAAAAAAAAAAAAAAAAAAAAAAAAAAAAAAAAAAAAAAAAAAAAAAAAAAAAAAAAAAAAAAAAAAAAAAAAAAAAAAAAAAAAAAAAAAAAAAAAAAAAAAAAAAAAAAAAAATTGGAACTTGTAGATTTATTCTACAGGTCCATGAAAAACTGACCAAAAAATGTTTTTGAAAAAAAAGTAAAGCGAAAAAAAAAAATTAACACATTGGTGCGGAAAAAAAAAAAAAAAAAAAAAAAAAAAAGGCAAACAATAAGAGGAAAAAAATGAAGTAAAAAATATGAGGAAAAAAATGAAGTAAAAAATATGAGGAAAAAAATGAAGTAAAAAATATGAGGAAAAAAATAAAACAAAAAATGTGAGGAAAAAAATGAAGTAAAAAATATGAGGAAAAAAATAACGCAAAAAATAAGAGGAAAAAAATAACGCAAAAAATATGAGGAAAAAAATGGGGGAAAAAAAGATCACGTTTGCATGCCTACACAGGTGTGCACGCTTCAATGGTTAACGTACTAGTCCTTCAAAGTCCTATCACCATAATCATACAATTTGCATTTGTAGTTTTATGTTTTAAATGTGTGTAAAAATTGGAAGAGACATATTTCGATCTAGTTAAACCACCACACGACAACCCTTTTTTTTCTCATCATCTTTTTTCTTCGAATTCATGATGAAAGTTATAAAGGAATAAAAAATTCTATTTCCTTACAGTCCCTGTATTCACACAACTGCTTCTGTAGTAACTAGACTTGACGAGATGAAAAAATTTCCTATTTTATTAATACGAGAGAGGGGGAGGGGGAGAGGCTAGCAATTTTTCACCTGAAATCCCTCATGCTTAAATTGTTCTTTAGTTTTTTTTTTTTTTTTTTTTTTTGCATGTCTGTATACATGGCATCATAATGCATAAGGGAGGTGTTCCCCACATGCTGATTCCTCTATAAAACTTTACAGACGATAAATTGGAAAAGAGGAAAATATGTAATTATTTATCACCTCATGGGAGTTCCAATTTTGGGGTTACCATTTAATGCTCGTAGAGGTGGTCAAGCCACGTGGAATTTTGCCAAAAAAAAAAAAAAAAAAAAAAAAACAGAAGTAGAGGTAGAAACAGAGGTAGAGGTAGAAACAGAGGTAGAGGTAGAAACAGGAACAGAAACAAATTTCTACCCCCTTCACATCTGAACAAATTTCAATTCTCTGTCACTTTAAACTAGCTCAATAAGCGAACGAGCGAAGAAATGGTGTTGTAATGCCACACCGATTTGAAATGTCTTCCTACCAACATTGCAAATAGATCGTCCTTGACACTATCTTAGTAAAAATGTGTCTTTGCACACTTGCCTAATAAAAAGGGAATTTTTTTTTTTTTTTTTTTTTTCTCTTCTCTATCTTTTTCACAAAGAAAATGCACAAGCAAATGGTAGTCATTTTACTTTGTGAAGTAAATTAAAGTCGATGGTGATTGCAAAAAGAGAAAAAAAAAAAAGTACATTTTGTTTCCTTCCGTTCTGACATTTACGTTGGCCATGCAGTATGCATATATATATATATACATATATATATATATATATATATATATGTATATATGTAATCTACCAGACGTGGCACAAAATCCTTTGAAGCGTACAAATGTAAAAGATTGTCGAAAGACAACAACGAGAGATAGGTGTCGAAAGGTGTATGAATGTAAAAATAAAATAGAAAAAAAAAAAAAAAAAAATACTCCATGTTGTGTGCGTTTCATACACCAATATCCCCATTTTGGACACATTTCTCCTTGCTCTCCTTCTTTAAAGGTAAATGATTTTTCATTAAAAATGGTGAGAATAGGGAGGGGATAATTTACTCTACCTGGGTAAGTATAGTGGAAGACGCAAAACTTGGCAACTTGCAAATTTTTGTACCTCATTTCTTCTTCTGCAGATATTTTTTTTTTGTGAATGTTTTTTCAACTGTAAAAAAAAAAAACAAAACTGCAAACCAAACTGCCAACCAAACTGCGAACAAATGAACGAGGCACTTTTTTACTTAAATTAGAAACACCTTACCTGCAGAATTCCTGCTTTGCTTTGTATTTCCCCTAAAAGTATTCAATGTCGATTTGCCACTCTGTGGAGTCGAAATAACAACGGGGAGGGGAATAAAAAAAAAAAAAAAAAAAAAAAAAAAGAAAAACTAAGAACTATGAAGAATTAAGAAGTAAGAACTGTGAGAAACTGGGAAGTAAGAATTCTGACGAATTGTGAAGAATTATGAGGTAAGGAGCACACTTCTGTACAAAGCATACACATAATTTACACGAAAAAAACACTTGCAAGTGCTGAATGCCGTACTGCCCATTTTTCCCCAACTCATGTATTCCTCTTTTTAAAAAAAAAAAAAAAAAAAAATACATTCTCTCATATATCTACTAATTCAAAACAAGTTGTAGCAAAAATCCTCGCTTTCAGCTAAACCTACCCTTAAAAAAAAAAAAAAAAAAAAAAAAAAAAAAAGGGTATTGCAACGTTTTTCTTATATATTTATGTATTTATTCATTTATGTGTTTATTCATTTATGTGTTTATTCATTTATATGTTTATTCATTTATGTGTTTATTCATTTATGTGTTTATTCATTTATGTGTTTATTCATTTATGTGTTTATTCATTTATGTATTTATTCATTTATGTGTTTATTCATTTATGTATTTATTCATTTACGTATTTATTCATTTATCTATTTATGCATTTTTTGGCATTGCGAAGATATCCACTTCGTCAACATAAGAAAGTCCTTCACGAGATAAGGAAAAAAAAAAAAAAAAAAAAAAAAAAAAAAAAGGCATTTCAGAAAAGAGAGAGAAGAGAAAGCACACGCATTTCCCCCCTCCCTTTGCTTGGCACAAAACATAGGCGAGCATAAAAGTTTGTTTAATTTATTTACCTCCTAAATTTATTGCTCCATTTAGCTGCCACACTTTGCTGTTTCACTTAAAAAATCGCTCGAAAGAGAATGGCACTGGTAAGTTCAAGAAAAAAAAAACCAAAGAATGACCTGTTTCTTTTGCAGTAAACTATATTTTATTGCATGTATTTTCTCTCCTGGGTACACAGTATGTGTGTGTGTGTGTCTCTTCCCCCTACCCTCTCTCACAAATCTCCCTATCCATTCTCACAAACCTCCCTATCCATTCTCACAAACCTCCCTATCCATTCTCACAAACCTCCCTATCCATTCTCACAAACCTCCCTATCCATTCTCACAAACCTCCCTATCCATTCTCACAAACCTCCCTATCCATTCTCACAAACCTCCCTATCCATTCTCACAAACCTCTCTACCCTCTCTCACAAACCTCCCTATCCATTCTCACAAACCTCCCTACCCAATCTACCCCATCTTAGGACGACAGTGAGGCGCAGAAGCAAATCCAGCAGATGGTAAATTTCATCCTTAATGAAGCAAAGGATAAGGCACACGAAATTGAGGCCAAAGCATTGGAAGATTTCAATATAGAAAAATTACGAATTGTGCAAAAAATGAAAGAAAAAATAAGAGTAGAATTTCAGAAGAAGTCTAAACAAATGGAAATAAAAAGATCTATTAGTCGCTCATCTGCTATTAACAAAGCAAGGTTAAAGAAAATGTGTGCAAAGGATCAAGTTTTTAAAGAAATATATAAAATAAGTAGTGAACGATTAGGAGAATTATATAAAGACAAGGAAAAGTACAAAAATTTAATAATAGATTTAATTGTTCAATCTTTATATTATATGCAAGAACCACATGTTATTGTTCGCTGTAGAGATATTGACAAGACGATTGTTGAAAATTGCTTAAATGATGCCATTCATAAATATAATGATAATTTAAAAAAGCAATTCAATGTTACTAAGAATGTTAAAATTGAAATAGATAAATCAGGTAATTATTTACCTCCTCCACCTTCAAATGAAAATGAAGGAAATTCATGCCTCGGAGGAATCATACTTACAACTCCTAATAGAAAAATCAATTGTGATAACACATTAGATGTCCGTCTCAAGCTTGCCATTGAATATTGCACGCCAGAAATAAAACGAATGTTTTTTGAAACGCTTTAAAAAAAAAAAAAAAAAAAAAAAATGATTCACAATAGAGCTTTCTACTAAGCACGGCAAGGGGTGGGAAGGAGGGCCATCCCTGCCCCATTTGGACTTATTAATTTCTATCACCCATGTAATTGTAAACAGAAATTCGCATCCTTAGTTTTGTCACCCAATTTTCGTTAAATGATGCACACACATGCGCGATTATACAGGGACACAGTTATGCACGTACACTACTGCATATGTACAAGATTGCACATGCACTAGTACACACATGCTGGATGGAAAAAAAAATCGCATAGCTTATCCTCGTTCCCACCCCATGTTCAGGCACGCAGACAATCAACAAAAATGATTACACCCGCTACATCCCCAAGCATGATATCCTTTTTTAAAACAAAATTTGGACTCCATTTTTTGGTTCATTTTTTTGTTAATTTTTTTTTTTTTTTTTCCTATTTTTTTAAAAAATTTATATTTAAAATATTCCCACTTTGATAAGTATTAATAATATACAGTGTTCAGTGCGACATGCAATTATTAGTTAGCACTTTTTTTTTTTTTCTACCTCTTCAAAAAATTGTAGCGCAAAAAAAAAAAAATTTCTTCAAGGTACCGATCAGGTTGTAATGAAAAAGGTTTATATGGTTCCCCTACCCAAATCTATATGTGGGTACCATATTTGGTGTTATAAAATATTCCTATTGAGAGATGAGATGTTTTCTTTTTTTGTAGACTGGCAAATGTGGTATCCTGAGTTGTGTGTTTTATCCTTTGAACCTTCCACGTTGGGATAACACACACACACACACGGAGACACGGAGACACAAATATGAACATGTCATGCGAATATGAACGTGGTCATGCGAATAAAGCGAACCACCACACCACGCTCACAGCACGGCCTCTAGAACTGACCCTTTGAAATTTTGGAATATCTCTTCTTTCGAAGCAATCGCTCGTCACGCTTCTGTATGTAGTCCATTCGGAGCTGTCTCTCTGATTTCCTGTTGTCCACTCGACCAGATTCCTCTAAATTTTTTCTGAACTGTTCAGCTGCTAATTTCGCTTGTAGAATACCAAATGCACACCGAAATCTGCGAATTCGATGAACTCCATTTTCAACCCACTGCACCATCCACACGTTTAGACGTCTATAAAAGGAAACCCCTTTCACTTTAGATACAAACCATGGTATTTCATTATACTGAATATTATATTTTCTTTTCTTCCAGTATTTCCAATTGGGTAATAAATTCCATGGATAATCATTCCCCAAGTATTCACCACTCCTTAGGGATTCTATCCATTTCGTTCTATAATAATTGCATGGTATATACTGTTGTAACTGATTTGTCTTAGCTTCAAAACAATCTGATGGGGACAAATATTCTGGTACTGTCACATGAGGATGAATAATTTCTTTCGTCTTCGGTTTATACGGATGTTTTGATAGTCGTATGTCTGACCATGTGCATATCTTTTTCAGTCCCCACACACGTTGCAGAAATGTGTATCTATCAATGCTCACAAATAGATGTTTTGTAAAATTACCTGACTTTATCATGTTTTTTTCTTTCTTTTTTTGGGGAGAATAGAAAGATATTATTTTTATCCTTTGACTGAAAAAAAAAAAAAAAAAAAAAAAAAAAAAAAAGATAATCCAAATTATTCCCCCCTTTCGTGTCACCTTTGGGTAATAATTTTATTTTTTTATAATTTATTTTTTCTCAATGTTTTCAACTACGCAAAAATGACTCTTACAAGTGTTCCTACATTTGCTCATTGTGTATAGTCATTAGGAATAGGGGTGGTGGGACATGTTTTACCTGCCCCTCTTGTTGTGCATTTTATTTTTATTTCTCTTTATTTTATTTTATTTTACTTCATCCTGTTTTGCTTCATTTTGTTTTACTTCATTCTGTTTTGCTTCATTTTATTTCTATCCCTTTTTCGAAGGGCACGAAAAGAGAGAAATAAAATATGAACAGGTCAGGCAATTCTGCCACGTTCCCCACTTCACCATTTTGCGGGGATTATTTTTTTTTTTTTTTTTTTTTTTTTTTGGCAATGTACCTTTTTCGGCTCGATCAACTTAGGATAAAAATCTTATTTGTATACACACCTGTACAGAGAAAAAAAATTAAGAACATGTGCACGACAGAATGGGTGCTCAGAAAAATGACTCTCTCCTAATCCAACGAAACCAAATTGATAATATGAAAATATGACAAACACTCTAATACTACATTGTCGTGACGTATCGAAATGTTTCTTAACCTAGTTTCTCATTTTCACAATTATCAACGAAAAAAATGATCGGATAATGTGTTGAAATAAGGAAGATATATAAAAAAAAAAAAAAAAAAAAAACTTGTACAAATCGGACAAATGTATACACTAATTATTACTCTACACCTATGTGTTCAACTTTTCCTTCACATTTCAGAACATCAATCTGTTTGAAGAAAATATTCTTCATCTTACGCATTATATATTTTGCCATTTTCTTTCAACAGAGGTTATTCCCCCTAATTTCCTACTTGGTGTAATTACACAAAACAAGGGTTCCATCACCTTGTTAAGAAATTATAAATTAAAAAAAAAAAAAAAGCTTTTTAAAATTCAAATATGTTACCCATATATATATACATGTAGGGGAAAAAATGACCTGAACATCATCACGTATTTTCATAAGTAAAAAAGAGAAATGTACAAATGGGGAAAAGGTATGAAGTTGTCCTTTCACAGTTGGGAACGTTTTCTCTAAAACGTAATTTCGAAAAAAAAAAAAAAAAAAAAAAAAAAAACAGACTTGTTAACAGCTTGATCAACATGTTCTTCTACAAACTGCTTAGCTGGCTCGTCTACAAGCTACTCACAATGTGCATAAGAAATGACTCAGTAACAATGCAAGGAAAAGGCGTACGAAAATAAGTATTAACGAGTGGTCGTACAACTACAGTTGTAAAATTTTGTGTGCACAAAATAATTATGCATTCTCTCCATGTCTTCCAAAACAGGGAAAAATATGAGCGAAATAAATATTCACACATGCACATTTTTTCAAGCTTATTTTTCATCTTCCCATGAGAATCTTCCATCCTTTGTCTTAAACTGATCTACCTTTCCCAGATACTCTATGCTTATCCAAGTACTTCATATAATTCGGGTGACCAATAGAAAACATATTATTAGCATACTTAAACTTTAGCTTCTGAACCATGAGATTAATCCTATTATCATGAGCAAGTAGAGCTAGATAAGCAACAAAAAAAGTTAAATAAAGTATAGATGTTCCAAATTCATTTTCAAACAATTTCTGTGTCAAAAAATCAATTGTTTTTCCTGCCATAAAAATGTATTCACTCTTGGGTTCGTTTACTTCTTCTTTATTTTTCATTTCAAACATGATGGGAGACACCATCAGCATTGCTCCTCCTCCACCTATTCCAACTGCTTTTCTTTTCCCGACATTCTCTCCATAATGAACTATCTTCTCCTTAACACTTGTCCCATTTCTTCTCATCAAATACAAGTACATGTCCCTCAGGTGTGAAAATCCTTTTATCATTTTTGTCAACTCTTCAGAAGTGCAGATGTGTATATGTGTTCGAATACATAAAAATGCTTTAAGGAGCTATACACATAAGCTGCTGAGCATATGTGTATCGGCTGAGCTTATCCTATATTATTCACACAATTTCACCACTTAAAGAGAAAATACTCATGAGATTTACGTACTCTTGAAAACAATGAGATGAATATAAAAAAAAAAAAAAAAAAAAAAAAAAAAAAACCTCCCTCCTTTTTTTCTTATTAAACATGTTAATTGATGGCACTCTTCTTCAGGCATACAAAGGTAAATTCAAAGGTTTTCTTAAAATTGGATTCCTTTTTTTTTTTTTTTTTTTTTTTTTTTTCTAAACATCCCCTAGTTCAGCTTGATGATGTGAACAGACCTTGCACTAGGTTCTTAAAAATAATGCGTACGACTTTCTTTCATACCTCCAACGAGAAGAAAAAAAAAAGTGAACAAGTGGAGAAAAAAATAAAAAAACTCTTCAAAAAGGCTACAATAATATACTTATTTATTTTTATGCACATGTACATGGACATATAAAAGCTCTAACACATATTTTTAGAAAGTCCATTCCTCGTCACCATTTCCGCTGGCGTACGAATAGGGAAGGAAATGATTTGTTCTCACGTGTAAAAAATCCCCAAATGAAATTTCAAAACGGGTTTAATAAAAAAAAAAAAAAAAAAAGAAAAGAAAAAAAATGTATTAACACGTCCTGGAACTATATGGGAAGAAAAAAATCAAAAAAAGTTGTCACCATTGTTACCTCACTGTCACCACTACTACCACTTGAAGTTTTTTTTTTTTTTTTTTTTTTTTTTTTTTTTGGGGCTGCCTCGTCTCTTCTGTGAGCATCCTCAACTTGAGCTTTGCTTGAACATGCTCGAGATTCCACATTTCCAACGTCAGCATTTTCGGTGCAACATTCACCATTTTCACATTTCAAAACATATGAAGAGAGACGTTTCCAAATTTTATAAACAAAGGGATGTAATTCACCACAAATGAATTTTACCTTCACCCATACACAAAAGACCGCGCGATAGAAATAAAAAAAACCTTTCAGTTCATGCATTGTTGTATAAAAACAAAGCAGAGGAAGGTGAGAGAAAAAGCACTCCACACAGGGAAAAGGATTAATTTTGAGGATGTTACAAATAAATTTTTCAATTCATCAAGGAACACGACAGTAGAAAATAATTCACAAAAGGCACAAACAAAAGTGTAAAAAAAAGAGAAGACACATATTAAGATTGGCACTGATAACACAAGTATCAAATCGGCTATACTGGTGATGTGAAACCAAGTCAGCTAAACTTATTGAACCCAAATGACGAGCTCAAGATGCACTACAACCTCATCGGAAGCAGAATAAACAACCACTATGTTGTGGATCCTTACGTTAGTATGCTATACATCAAGAGGGCTTACAAATTCCTAAGTCTGTTGAAGAAGAATAACGGGAATGCAATAATCATTGGAAACAAATTTAAGGAAATAAAGTTGGAAAATTATTTTCACAAAATAGAACATAAAGAGACGTGCGATTTGAATATGCTAACCAACATAACAAAGAACTTTGACCTGCTTATTTGCACTGACCTTGTGTTATACTATCCACACATTAAAAACATACTAATCCCAAAAATGCTCGTTGCAGATGGGAATACATTTGTTAAGCATAAAAATTTCTTGCATGCTTTTGAATATTTCATTCCTCTTACGGATAGGAAGTTGGATCACCACCTGCACTATGTCTTGGCCAAGAAGTACCTTTCCTGAACCCCCAGCGTCCTTTTCGTCAAAAATTTCCAACACTTTCCCAGTGAATTCGTGGCATGTTCGCTACATATTTGTGACTTTTCCCTTTTTTTTCCTCCAAAATTCCACTGCACATGCATATCTGCTTCCACCTAGGCACAAAACGAGAATAAACTTTCCCAATAATCGATTCTTTCCAGTGATGCAGATGCATGTGATCCCATCCTCTAACTGCCTTTTTCGGCTCGGAGGTTATTATAAGCAGCAAAAAAAAATAAACAAAACAAAGCGGGGCAAGGAAACAAAATAAACAAAACAAAGCGGGGCAAGGAAACAAAATAAACAAAACAAAGCGGTGCAAGGAAACAAAATAAACAAAGAAAAAATGATTGAATGATTGAACGGTTGGGACGTCGAGACGGAGCGGAAAAAAACGGGCTTGTTGTGTATTCACCACATTGATACAACAAAAAAGAGATTTACACACGAGTGTAGCATTATTCCTCGATGTAGGTCGTTCACAGAAGCCATTGCAATGAATCCATTTTATGTTTCTGCACCGGCGTGCTGCCCCTCCCCCTCCCTTCCTCTCTCTCCCAGGTGACTTCAAATAAAATCGTCCATGTTAAGCACAGATTTCACCAATCCCCAGCACTGAACCTGGTTCCGTATGAGGTCTTGAGAAAGCTTGGTTTGATCAGTCTCCTTATACTCCTGAGACATATTGAGAAGGAACTTACGAGATATGTTTACAGCAGTAGTGACAGTTAGATTGACATTGGAAGTATCCATACACTTGATTATCCATGGTGGTAACTTACTTTTTTTATCATTTTTTGCATAGCGAATATCTGCAAAAATCATAATACCATAATCCTTCTTATTTCGAATAATTCTACCTACACATTGAGAAGCTTGTCGCATGGCATCAAATGTTAAAAATTCATTTTCTTGGATATTATACGTTTCTTTTAAAAAATCTAATCTAGATTTCAATATCCTAGATAGAGTATACTGATAAGGAATACCGAATAGAATGACACATTTCCCATAATGTTTATCAAAGTCGATACCTTCAGCAATTTTTCCTCTACAGATAGAGAGGAATACTGCACCTTTTCCTAAGTCACATGCTTTTTTAAAATTATGCAAAGCTATAGTAGTAGAAACTATATCTTTTGTTTCTATGAAAATTAATTTATAATCTAGAATATTAGATATTATTCCAAGTTCATACCATGAAGATATTACTTCTTCCATATAAATGTATGATGGAAAATAAGCTACAATTCCATCTGGGATATTTTTACACATCTCCACCAACAACATGCCATAATTCTTTATAACTGTTATATCACTTCTTAAAGAAAACTGAGATGATAAAGGTACAAGATCAGAACTCTTCGTTACAATTAATGGACATACACAATTCCTATCAAAAGACATTGGAAAAGATGCAGTTAAAACTGTTTTGAAATTTAACAACTTTGGATACAATTCTAATGGTGTTATAGTACCACTTGTCAAAACCACAGATCTGTATTTATTGATAACCGATTTCATAGCTATGGACGAATCTAAACAAGCAAACTGAATCACGGGATCATATATACCTGTTGCTTCTGGATATGGTTCACATATAATTATGAACCCGTTAAAATAATTCCCAAGCAAGGTACAAAAATTACATACTATATTTAATGCTGAATAATCATCTACATTTACAATTTGCAATGCGTTCAATAATGATTTTAGACGATCAAAACAAAACTTAAAAAAAGATGTATCTAATTTTGTTTCTTTTTCACACTTATATAAAAATGAAAGCGGACCTTCTGACGTTATCTCATATGTATTTACGTACTTCTTTAAATATATTACTACTATTCTCATCAAGTTTAGGAAATGTTCTGATTTTCTTATATTCCCTGGGATTACTACATTTTTTATGATATCTTCCATTAACAATGGGCTGTAATGCAAATCTGTTGGATCATCACTATTTCCTTCATTTTGTTTATCTTTCTCAAAAATAGGATTAATTATTCCATTTTCACTTCCCACAAACCCAGGGAAGGGGGGTCCATTCGACTTCCCTAACAATTTGGCTAGTCCCTCGATGAGATCCGTTCCTCTTCCCTCTTTGTAGATGTGGTTCTGCTTCTGACCACGACCACAATCATCCACCCTTGTTGCGTCCAAATTATTTTCATCTTTCTCACCATCGTCATTCTCATAAACAGCCTTGTGCTCTCCTTTCTGATTATTTCTTTCCTTTGAAAAAACCAAGTTCATGTCCTCATCAAAGTATACTTCTGAATTTCCATCGTCTAGCTTCCTCTTCTTGGGAGCCTCTCCTTTTCGATCAACTTCGCGCGAACCGTCTTTTACATCTGAGAAGGGGGGATTTTTTAAATACCCTAACCCGGCTCCTGACCCGGTGCCTAACCCGGTGCCTGACCCAGCTCCTGACCCAGTTTCTACCCCCGCTTCTACCCCCGCTTCTACCCCCGCTTCTACCCCCCTTTGGGCCTTCATCTTCTCGAGTATGCGACTACACTCCTCCTTCAGTTTCTCCTCATTGACAATTTTAGAATCCTCGATTTTTTTCAGCAACTTCTTAATATTCACAGTGGCCTTGTTAAGAACATTCCGATCGATGTTCACACTTAGGGCTTCTAAACAAACACTATCAATATTGTGTGCCTCATCAAAAACAATAATGTCGTTTTTCTGAAAGTTAACTCTATTGTTTACATCCTTTCCAATGAAAAGAGATTTCGACACTTTAGGATCGATAACATATTGATAGTTCAGCACGACCACCTTGGACACTTCAATAATTTTCTTTGCACAAAAATATGGACATATAGGTGTATTCACATTTTGCATATTCTTAAAATTCTTACATAGAACCTTTAAATCTTCAATAGTATATACCCCAGGCTGCACCAAATCAAACGAAAATTCTTTTTTAAAATTTTCAAAGTAACCACATAATCCTATATCATCATATTCCTCAAGAGTGTTATTAGAATTATATATGTCAAAATAATCTTCCATATCTATGTGTTGTCTATTTTTTATAATGAATTCAGAAATCCTTTCTGAATTCTTATTCCCCATTTTGTTTATTTTATGATTAATATATTTTTTTTCTCTAACAAACGTTGCTGTTAATTTACGACACTCCTCATCGATTTTTTCTCTTTCGTGTCTTCTCGACACCTTTTCGTTAATGCACATGCATCTCCTTGCGCTGATTCCAATAGCCAATATTTCTCCACTCCTTGGAACAGATTCCATGTCACTCTGATTACGTCTGAAAAACTGGGTCTCACCTTGGGTCGTCTTCTCTTCTTTCTTTTTGCCACTTTCTCCCTCGTTGCGACTTTCCAAAATGTCTACTCTGTACTGAATTACCTTCTTTAATTCGATAAGAGATTTTTCCATCTCAGCAACAGTACGTGTGCAGAAAATAAATTTCCCTTCATCATTCTTACTATACTGATAGGAAGTTATGAGAGAAAATATTGCAACTGTCTTCCCCGTTCCGGTTGGCATCTCCAACACACAGTGTCCTTCGCTGTCAAGCGTCTTCTTCAAATATCTCATATATGCATACTGCTCCGGGTAAATGTAATCATATGGGAAAAACACCTCCAGCTCGTCAAGTTGAAACACCACCATCCTTCTGAGATGTGCCTGAAATTTTCTGTGCAAACTCGGTTCCAAATGCTGCTCCAAATTCTGCTCAAAATTGTGCTCCAAATTCGGGTGCCTTCCTTCCGTTTCTATTTCTCCCTCTCGTCGCGTACGCTTATTCCACATGCACACTTTTCACATGTACAGGGAGTACTCAGGGGAGAGGGGGAAGGTGGGGCGCTGAGGTACCAGAAAATAGAAATAAACTGGAGAGAAACGAGCGGAAACAAACATAAGGTGAAAGAAGCAAACGTAAAGTGAGAGAAGCAAACGTAAAATGAGAGAAGCAAACGTAAAGTGAGAGAAGCAAACGTAAAGTGAAAGAAGAAAACATAAGGTGAAAGAAGCAAACGTAAGGTGAAAGAAGCAAACGTAAAGTGAAAGAAGCAAACGTAAAGTGAAAAAGTGTCAACCCACTGCTCCAAGTACTTCTTCTTTTGTCAACTCCATGGAATAGAGATAGAGACTGCACTTCCTTCCGGTGAGGGTCCATAAACTCATATATATAGAATAATTTAATTTGTCAAAATGTATTTTCAGATCATCAGATGTGTATGACTTAGGCATACGCATTTGTCGACAGGGTCACGTGAGAAGGAGGAGTCTCAAAAATGGCAAAAGTGGCAACAGCAAAGAATTAACAAATTGACAAAAATGGGTGTCGAAAAAAGGGTGTCATACAAAATGGGATTAAAAAATTTTCCTTAAGATTGTCATAAAGTTGCCATGGGGTTATCATGAATTCGCCAAGCGATTAGCACAAGCTAACTACGCGATTGCCATAAGTCTACCACGCAACTGTCACAAATTGACCAAACCCTGTTGTATAAAAAAAACGATGGGTTTGCCACCTCTCTTGGCTAATGTCACTACCCTATACAACGCTTGAAACTAGAGAAGTTGTCCATCACAAAGGTAATCAAAAAAAAGAGAGAAAAATATTGAGGTGCTTGTAGAATAAAAAAAAAAAAAAAAAAAAAAAAAAAAAAAAGAATAAAATATTCATGAGATTGTGGACTGAAAAAAAAAAAAAAAGAAAAAGAATAATAATACAGTGCAGCACAAGTTCCATATGCAAAAAGGGATCGTCACTATCATTATCTTCTCAATTTATGCTGACTCAAAAAAAAGGGAGATAACTTTTTTATCATCTTCGCATTAATCGAAAGGAAAAAAAAAAAAAAAAAATGTTCAACTATTTGCCTGACCTGTTAAGGTAAAAAAGGGAAAAAAAAAAAAAAAATAAAAATTAACCACCCTTTTTATCACCCAATTCACCACCCTTTTTATCACCCAATTCACCACCCTTTTTATCACCCAATTCACCACCATTTGTATCACCCTATTCACCACCATTTGTATCACCCTATTCGCCACCATTTTTTTCACCCCATTCACCAAAACGAATTAAACTCCCTATTTTCTTTCCTTTCTCTTTCTTCTCCCACCGAGACATGTAGAATGTCTCTGGGCACTTTTCCCATTTGGCGCGCACCATGAGACCAATCAAATGCGTGTGAGAAAAGAACCAGAGTTAAACAACACTGCAGAAAAGAAGGAAAACTTCATTGTGATATTTTGACCTAGACCCGTGGATCATTGGAAGAAGTAGCACATAAGTGTATAAATAATACAGTGTGTGGTGTAGAATCGCTGATCCCACTACCCTAACCAGATGGTATAAATGTTTTCATAAAAATAAAAAAAAAATATGCTCATTAGTCTATCCCTGATCCTAGTGACACTGGTGGAAATTCATTCTTTTCGTACAAGGATAGATAAAGAAAGCAACTTTTCCTATCATTTATTTTTTCAAACAAATTCGTTTGCAAATAAATCCAGACTACATACTTACAACAGCACTTTTCTGAAGAAGAATAAGGAAAAAAAACAAATATGCTTAAAAGGAGTAAAAGGGATTAGGACCTTTAATCCATACAATTATGCAAAAAGAGAATATCTGTTCAAAATATGGAAAGAAATATCCGAGAGTTTTTCATACAGCTTGTACGATTTGCCAGTACTCGAGGATTATGAAATGTTTAGGAAAAGCAAAATAAATGAGTCTTACGATTTTGTCAAAAATAACAGACATTTAATTCTACGCCCAGAAATTACACCCCAGTTGGTTAACCATTTGTTCATACGAAAAAAACGCGTATCCGTAAAGAAGGCAAAACAACAAAATTCCAAAAATGGTTCATCATGTCAGCATGGAAGGAAAAAAGAACAGAAAGATTTACACAGCAGTACTAGCCACCCATGTGTAAATCTGAAATCAGAAAGAAATGTCTACCTCCTGCACAACCTTCGACAGATACACAAAATGAGCACCATCGGACAATGTTTTCGATATGAGAAAACTTCAAGCTGTCGAAAGAGAGAACATTATCAATGGAATATGGACATAATTGGAACAAATAGCATTGAGGCAGAAATAGAAATGCTGACAATTCTTATTGCATTTTTTCGTAAAGTTAATTTAGGGCACAGTGATGTAGTGATTAAAATAAATGATAAAAGAATTGTCGATTTTGTAATTAGAAAAGTTTTCAAAATATCTTTAGATCAATTTTCACCTTCTTATATTCAACATAATGTCGTGAAAAATATTATGCACATACTTGATAAATATAAGAAAATTTCAAGTGGTACATTTAAATTATTACTAAAAAAAAATATCCCAAATCTGGACATGTATGAAATAAAACATTTTTATAATGTCATACAGAAAATTAACACATTACCAGACCTTGAAATATTCTTTAATTCGAAAAAAAAATCTATTTATTATGACCTGCACACACTTGTCACATATTTTGAAAAAATTAATTTAAGCAATTTTTTTCAAATTGATTTAACTATCGTTAGAGGACTTGATTATTACACTAACATCATCTTTGAAAGTTTTTATAAACACAAAAATTATAGGGCTATATGTGGAGGGGGAAGATATAATTTTTTTCTTAACCAAGGAGGCCCAAAAGTTTGTGCAGTTGGCTTTGGAATGGGTGATGTCGTAATAACAGAAATACTCTTTAACAATCACAGTAATAATAAACACAGCAACAAGGACAGACAGGAAAATTTAGCCGCTAATCTGTGCAAGAACATTGACGTCGTTAGTTTTTTTCCCCACATGACCAATCAGCAGGCATTGCAGAGTCATATACAAATGGAATACTTCAGCATTGTGGACGTGCTCCGCAGAAATGGCTTGCGCGTTTATTCTCTTTTGACCAGCAGCAACAGTAGCAGCATCAGCAGCATCAGAAGCATCAGAAGCATCAGAAGCATGAACCTTTCCAAAGCTTTGAAAAAGGCCAATTCCTTAGACGCACACTTTTTTCTCTTCTTCGATGAACACGCCTCCGCCTTCTCCCTCAAGGACCTGAAAACGGGGGAACAGAAAATCGTCACTCCAGCGGATGTTCTTTCTGTCTACGGACGTGCTTAGCGGAAAATGTATAAAAGTCTATGGAGCACACCATATATGTGTTTATGTGCATAAAGTAACACGTACCCACCTCGAATACATATACACCAAATGGTTACATTTTTATCGTGTCGAAACTATTTTTCAATGTTTTATTGAGACTTCAAATATTTTTTTTTTTTTTTTTAATTTTACTCCGTATATATATATATATATATCAACACCGCCCCTCTTTACACATTTCGTAAGTTAATAGTTTTTTTTCCCTTCCATGTTTTGACCTATTCACCTTGACTAATCAGTTTGACCACCATTTTTCCTTTTTTTTTTTTATTCTTCTTTATTTTTACCTAACGGGGGAACCATCATATGACAGTTCATTTTTTTCTTTTTTCTTTTTTTTTTTTTTTTTTTTAGTCCTTTTTATTTTTATTTTATTTTTTTTTTTTTTTACCCCCCGAATCTACGCTATCTGGATATGATTACAATGTGAGTAGCAATGTATGATATATCTCTAGGATGTTTTCATTTTTTAAGAAAAAAATGTTTCAAATAATTGCGCTACAATTGTGTGTGCTAATTTATATCGCCTTAATGGCAAGAAAATACATCCGTTTCCTCACATCGTTGCGCTGTACAGATATCTACACAAGAACATATGTTGTATGTATGTATATATATATGTACAATGTGGTGTGATTTTTTTTTTTTTTTTTTTTTTTTTTTCCCCCATTTTTGCTGACCTGTTCAGGCAAAATGAGCACAACTAATATTTAAAAAAAAAAAAAAAAAAAAAAAAAAAAAACCTTAAATGAGTTGACTTACCCAATTTCGCGAAACAGTGATAAGAAAAATGTTCTGCATCAGTTATAGCTCTTTGGAGTAGTTGGTTTTATTTATTTTTTCACATTCTACTAACCCAATCTTTAATTGCTATACTTTATGATGCAAAATAAATAGCTCATTGGGGAGGGGGAAAGTTGAAGAAGGAGAAAAAAAGAGAGATAGAGGGGAGGGACAACGGAAAAGGAAGCATGGATGGTGCCATGTCACAGTTTGAACAAACAAACACATAAAAAAAATACGAATAAGAAAAAAAAAAAAAAAAAAAAAAAAAAAAAAAGGAGCACCAATTCCATGTCTATCACAGTACGTGCAATTTTCTGCTAAAACGATCAAAACAGTTTTGCAATAATAACCAAAGGAAAACGTGAGGAGAGAAGAAAACGGAGGAGAAGAAAACGGAGGAGAAGAAAACAGAGGAGCAAAAAACAGAGGAGCAAAAAACAGAGGAGCAAAAAACAGAGGAGCAAAAAACAGAGGAGCAAAAAACAGAGGAGCAAAAAACAGAGGAGCAAAAAACAGAGGAGCAAAAAACAGAGGAGCAAAAAACAGAGGAGCAAAAAATAGAGGAGCAGAAAGCAGAAGAGAAGAAAAACTATCAACTACCTACAATTCTAGATGCATCATCTCAATGGAGGACAGCGATGATGACGAGAATTTCCAGGTTGGTCTTTTTTAGAGCATTGGGATATCATGCCACCATATTAGTATTAAGGAAATTTTGTGTATCATCAATTATGTATGAGACATGTATCCCCAAGTAGAACTGATTTCACATATATCACATCCGTATCTTCCTCTTTATACATGTATATAATTCATTTGTGATATCTGTTTTCCCATCCTTTTTTATATATGCATAGGTGATCGTTTTTGGAAATTCAACGGAAGCCAATTTCGATGACTTTTACAAAGAACAGGAACCCATAAAAGATCGTGAAGATGGTAAGTGTAGCTAGCCAAAGGGAGTACCCTTTTCTCCCCTTCCCCATCCTCCAAAAAAAAAAAAAAAAGAAAAGTCCAAATAAAGTGAAAACATTATCTTCTGAAATTTCCATACTTCTTCCTTTCATCAGAGTTCAGAAGTCACCCCACTGATGATGCCTTTTCCAGAGCCGAAGCCGAGGTAAGCAGCTGTTCAAAAATGTCAAAATGAATAACGGACTAAACCAGTAACAAAAACAATCAAATGGAAAATCTTGACCAGAATGAGATGAACAGTTGGGAGAAACATCCACTCGGACATGCATATACCGTAGGGAACTCCCATCACCACTATCAACCCAAAACAGATGACATTACCTCCCTTTATGTTTTTTTTTCACATCCCCTCCACCCCACTCATGAACAGGAACAATCACATGACACAGATCTGGACGCGAAGGTTCAGAAGGCAACTCGAGAAAATAAAGTTTTCATGAAGTATGATTACACGCGTGAAAAACCGTGGGCACATCACGCAGACAAAAGTATGTGGTTCAATTACAACTTCGATGAACACAGTTTCAAAGAATGGGTTCAGAAACATATAGATAAACGTATTGAAAAGCAAAAGAACTATCAAATTGAGAATGTGGACAATATATATGATGACAATTTGGAAGCACTTGTTAAGCCTCCACTGAATTTTGAAGATAGTGCACACATTGGCAATCGTGCTGTACCCACGTCTTTCACACCTTCCGCTCATCCAACAGCTACCCCTTATTCCACATCTGCCGTTCATTCCACATCTGCCGTTCATTCCACATCTGCCGTTCATCCCACATCTGCCACTCATCCCACATCTGCCACTCATACAACAGCTACCGCCTGCCCCCTCTCTGAACCACATCAGAACCGGAAAAGTGTAAATTACACAAAAGGGGTAAATGCAAAAAACAACAGAATGATGAAATATAGAAACCAGAACAACTCCTATTTAAATAGTAAAAATAATAATTATAATGTGCATAGAGAAAACAATGCATCAATTCAATCCCATGAAGAGAGAAGTTTTACATTTCAACAACCAAGGGTACAGGACTCAAGCTACACAGATGTTAATAGAAGAAATGCTGCCCTTGAGAGAAGACAAAATAGTAAGGATAATTTTATTCATAATGGGGATACCAAAGGGGAAATAATTCAAACAATTGGAGGTAACGAATGGAAAAATCGGGAAATTAAAAATGTAGAGTTGGGACATCGAGAAAGGAAAAATGGTAGTAGTTCAGCTCAAGGCGAGGACCTCACGCAGTTTCAGAATTTAATAAATTTCTTCAAGCAAAACCCGGATATGTGAAGCACATCAAGGAAATAGAGCCAAGAATAGCAGCAAAAATAGGGGAAAAAAATAGGAAGAAAAAAATAGGAAGAAAAAAATAGGAAGAAAAAAAAAAAAAAAAAAAACAAGACAAAGCAAGGCAAAGCGTAGAGACCACACTGTGCAACATCAAATGGATCAATATAAAAGTAAAGTAAAATCGAGCAAAAATAATGACACAATGTTAAGCGTTTACATCGAGGCGCGACACACCACCACACAACACACCGCTACTGGACGAACGATATATATATATATATATATATATATGTATGTATGTGTGTGCGTGCCCCTAGTCGCTGGAAAAACTTTCATATGAACTGATCACCTGCTCAATGGCCATGAGAGAAGTGTGAACTTGATCGTGAGACACCCCATAAGCATTATACTGATACATGTACGCATTTGAACCGTATAACATCTTTGCATTTTCCAGAATTTTCTTCAACGTTGGTATAGGGGTCAAGCAGTTTGATATCATGGATAAGCTGTTATAGGAAAATTCTTTACTGTCATCAATGTACACTTCTATCGGATTTAACGATTTGTTACTGTACAAGACATGACTCTTAAATAAATCAAAGTTAATATTTTCTTGTATTTCACCTCGCATCATCATTTTGGAAGAAAACACTACATTGTTGTGCAGAAAGTGCGTACCATTAGTTATTTGTACATCGGATGACCCAACCAAATGATGATGTGTTCTATTCGGAACATCGATAGGAGAAGATCCTCTATTCTTCATGTTAGACATATTGATTACGGTTGAAGTATTTGTAGTGGATATGGATCCTCCTCCTGTAGGGGCATAATTTTTTGTCTGTCCGCGAATGGAATAATTTTTTACTCCTTTTTTCAAAAGCATAGAATTTTGTTGTGAAATTAAATAAGATTTACTTATAGATTCTCGTAAATATATAGGTATATGAATCTGTTTCAAAAAAGCACAACTGTTACGTAAGTCTCTGGATGATAAGCGAACAAAATATGGATCCACATTAAAATTTTCCGTTGCATAATAAGCGCTTGCAACACCGGGAGCTGTACATCTATTATTTGGAATGTCATAATCCAGAACACGACCACTTATCAACATTTTGTGCATACGTTTAAGTAGCATATTGAACGAGTTCTGTTCGAATTTCATATTTTCTTCAAATACTTGGGGTAGATAACGAGCTGTTAATAATTTATAATTTGGATGACAACATAAATCTCGTAACACGGAATTCATAACATTGGTATATTTATTATACCCACTTGTGCTAGCACTTGCACTTGCACTTCCACCTGCACTTGTACGTGCACTTCCACCTGCACTTGTACGTGCACTTCCACCTGCACATGGTAGGTTTGAAAAATCAACAGGCAATCCTATAGTGTAAGCCAAAAATAGACTAATGTACCTGTTTATCTCGTCTGTGTTTATATTTTCATTATTTATTCTTTTGCACATTAACTCAAATTTATCATTTTCGAAAAGAACTATTCCATCTGACACGTCATATAAAGATGATAAACAAAGTATCGAATTCATACTCTGAACACTTATTTCTCCGAACATGTAAGGTAAAACACAAACATTAAATAAATTAACCTTGGGATATTCATCTTTGAGTAGATAAGAAATGTAAGAACTTATCCCACTTCCACTTCCACCAGCTAGACTATGGAACAACAATATGTTGTCAATATTTTCTTTACTTTCATTTTTTTCCATTTCCTTATTCATCAAATTTAAGAAATGTTCACATATGTTCTTTGCATGCACATTAAATCCGTATGACCAATTATTACCTGACCCGTTCAGGCCATAAATGAAACTTCTGTTGTTATACTTCCATGTGTTTACAGTGTATTCTCGCTTGCGTCTTGCATTTGTCCTTTCTGATCCGATGCCCATATGCCCACATAACTGCCCTGATAGTGAACATTCGCATGACTCCTCTTTTCGATTATCACAAGATACAGTGTTGGAACATACCTCCACGGATTTGTCTTGCTTAAATATTTTCAACAAATTGTTGGACGGTTCATAGTATTCTTCCATTCCACAAACATACTTTTGTTGTGATTCGGCATCCTCAATGTTATCACACATTTCTTTCTTTTTCTTCGTCCTGTACTCGTTCATATTATCAACAACTCTATGTTCAGAAATGTCTCCGTAAAGGCACTTTTCAATAACCTTGGGTTCCATGTCAATTAAAATACATCTAGCTATGTAATTACTTAAGCACATCACATTGTTACTTTCGCTTACAATTGATCTCCTTGTGTTGCTGTAATCTTCATATTCTATAATTGGAAAAATGTTATTGCCATATTGGTACTCTTCATCAAAATACATATCTGTCAATTTACTTCTGAAGCTTTCATTCTTCGAAGAACATATGTGGTTATAAATTGTGTCTAGGAATGATCGCCCCAATTGGTTCCCACACTGCCCAATCTGAACGCTAAGGACTGTCATCGTTCCTGAGCACCAACGAGCTAAACACTACATATATATTTCTCACTTTTGCATATTTGCACTTCTTCGTATGTATAGGCACATGGGTAATCCTCCTCAAACACACGTATTTTCTTTTACAAATCCACATGAACAGTTATACATACCTATGACGTGTGACCCCTCTCCTTGTCCGTGCAGAGGCGTATGGAAGGAAACCCATTTTCATAGACTGTGAATGGACGCAAAAAAAAGGTAATAATAAAAAAAAAAAAAAAAAAAAAAAAAAAACAGTACTTAATCGCCCATTTAATTCAGTCATTCGGGAAAATTCAATTTCCTTTTCCTCCTTATTGTGCTTTTTCTGTCTTGTCATATATTCAGGTCATTCATTGCTAGTATTTTTTTTTTTTTTTTCTAGCTAATTACGTTGTGCATATTTTTTTTTTTTTTTTTTTCTAGCTAATTACGTTGTGCATATTTTTTTTTAAAATTGAAGTTCTACCTGCTGTGTTGCATTGTGTTGTGTGTGTGTATGTTTTTTTTTTTTTTTTTCTTCAACTCTGTTCTTACCATTTCGGAAAGTAGCAAATAGGTACGAGCCTCCTCCTGCTTCCCTGACATTTCCCCCCAATTGTATTCCAACCAATGCATGTGGGAAAACTCATCACCATGACGCTTCTATATCCGCATGCACGTGTTCAGAAGAAAGTTTCATTTTTGGGAGATACCCCTCCTACCAATCCCCCTTTTTTTTTTTTTTTTTTTTTTTTTTTTTTTCAACTATTTCCTCGTAACTGCCCAAGAAGTGGTAGTAACATCGCATTAAAACAAAGGAAAATAAAATAAATATCCTTTTTATTCACATTTTTGCACATATCTCATATCCCTATTCAAATGCGTAAAACTGAGGTGTGTGTCAGATTGTAGCATGCACGCACCGAACCTATCATCACGCACACACACCCTCCGCTCATTCATGGTGTTTCACCACCATCACCACACGCATTTTCCCATTGTATCATTCGCTACACATTTTACAAGCAACTTACATAATTAAATGGAAGAGAATTTTTTTTTACAAAATTTCGAAAATATCAACGAAGCAAGTATCCCTTCTCCAATTATAAATCATTCATCTGAGTGCAGAAAATTTAACTCCTTACGAAAGAAGAGCAGGCAGGGGGGGACATCTCCGGGCGCGCTTCCCAAAACGGGCCAAGGTAACAGGAAAGAAGAGAAAGAGGAGAAAGAAGAAAACGAAGTAGAGAAAGAAGAAAACGAAGAGAAAGAGGAGAAAGAAGGAAAGAAAGATGACGACATCGAAGTGGATGATGAGTACCCTGATGAAGGAAAAGACAACTACCTCTGCATAAACGCGAACGCATTTAATGGAAAATGCTACCACAAGAAAATACCAATACTTGATGATATTCACTTACGTTTTACATTGGGAGAATCCTTGACATATCTCCTTAACGCTTATTTGCAAAGAGGTCTTATAAAACGGGTCCTGTACAACAAAATACTTCACACCTTTCAAATTGTAAGATTCCATTGAAAATCTGACATGCGTATAAATTGCCGTTCCATAAGAGTTGTTATGTCAAGTATCTCTTTACAGTTACATTCCATCTTTTTAATGTATGCCACATATATACCACCACCACCTTTCGCAGGCCATCATCAGCATTCTACTTCAGCTGAAGGAATCCAGAGGAAACAAATGGACTATCAAAGGAAAATTGATCAATTTCAAAAAAGAAAACAATGTACAATTGCTTTATGTAGAAAACGCCGTTCTCTCCTTCAGCAAAATTGTATTACATGTACCTCTATTGAAAATTAAATCCATTGATTTATAGTGTTTCCCAGTGAAATTGCCATTCTCATGCATTTCGTTTGTACATGTGTTTGTGTTTGTGTTTGTGTTTGTGTGTGTTTGTGTATGTGTATGTGTATGTGTATGTGTATGTATATGTATATGTAAATGTATGGGGACCCATTTCTTATCTCGACATGGCGAACGTGACGCACATGTCGTAATGTCTAATACGTGCATGAGGGCACATCTTTTTTTTTTTTTTTTTTTTTTTACACCATTTCCCTTGATAACATTGTTTACAAGTTTTACACTTGTTAAAGTTCAGCATGTAAAAAAATGATATGTACATGTTCATGTCAAATATGTTGGCAAAACTGATAAATCCCAGGTTGTTTAGTTTTTACCTTATTCCTCTTGGGATCTTATCAATAGGGAAATGTTCACCTGAACAACTGATTAAATTTTTTTTTAGCCATGGTATATTTTCCAGTTCCTCACAGGAAAACAAACATGTTCATATTTGTATGGGTTCTTTATTTATTTCATATAAACTTCCAAAGTAATGGTTATATGTGTTGACTCACTCCTCATCACACATCATTAGAGTGTTATCCAAGTTCTACACACGTTGATGAAAAACGGAGGGTCCTTTCCCCGTTCTGTCCTGAATGAACAAATTTCTCGAACCAGTTCCCTCTTGTCAGACTCAAACTTTTCCATTCATCTACGCGAAAAATATTTCGCCAACATTTCAGCGAGCATTTCAAGGAACATTTCAAGGAACATTTCAAGGAACATTTCCACGAACATAGCTGTAACCCTTTTCTGTGCACTACCAATGTTCCTCCTTCCGGATTGCTCTTTTTTTTTTTTTTTTTTTTTTTTTCCCTTTTTCGGTCGAGATTGGGTGCAATGTAGAGCCTTTATACTTTATATATATTTTTTTTTCCCCTTTTTTATTCTTCCTTTTTTTTCTTCCTTTGGGGGACGATAGCATATGCCACACTCCACGGAGAGATGCATTACATATATGATATCTACCTATATGAATATACCAACCAAATATCATCCTACCTTTTTGCAACGAAATTTTTGCAACGAAATTTTTGCGACGAAATTTTTGCGACGAAATTTTTGCAACGAAATTTTTGCGACGAAATTTTTGCGACGAAATTTTTGCGACGAAATTGAATTGGCTATTAATGAATATGTACATCATGTGGAGGGGAGGCGTGATATTGTGAAAATATTCGTTTTATTGGAGTACCTCAAACGAATGCCTTTTTTTTTTTTTTTTTTTTTAATTCTAAGAAATTAATTGCAAAACATGCATAAAATTTCTTTATGATTTAGAATATCTCCATTTAAAGATATTTAACGCAAGATATATCTTACCCCAGTTCGAGCCTTTTCCCAGGAGTTTCCACATTATCGGTAGCAAAGCTGCTTTCCCTCCTTTTTTTTTTTTTTTTTTTTTTTTGATGTAATTCACCCTGCGTCAGGCCCATATCTGCACACAGTATAACTACCTTCTCTCCTTCATGTCCATCCCAAGGGTGTTTTCCCCAATTAAGTGCTTACTAACGAAACAACAGTTAAGATGTTTTATAGGACTTACCTCAGTGCACCTCACGTTTACACATACAGAGCGCACGAATAGAGGGAAATGCGTCACATTAGTGCAGAAAGAAGAACAAAAAGGACAAACATACAAATAGATGTGCATGCTTATAAATGTGCATGCTTATAAATGTGCATGCTTATAAATGTGCATGCATATAGATGTGCATACAAATAGATGTGCATACAAATAGATGTGCATACAAATAGATGTGCATACAAATAGATGTGCATGCATATAGATGTGCATGCATATAGATGTGCATACACACAGATACACACGCATTTATAATAAGCAAGCGGAAAACGCTTGGTGAAGTGAGGCAAAGCCAAGACGCGAAAAAAACTGAGGGCCACTCCCCACACACACACACACAGACACACCAACACATACTGCATCTACACTCGTCTCTGATCCGATATGCATCTCAACTCCCTCATGTTCAGAAGAAAAATTCAAAGCGCACTTCGTCATGGGGTTGCCATGGACATGTGCAATAGACAAGTGGTAGGGAAAAGAAAGCACAGCACCCTGAAGAACCTTCCGAACGAAATTTTGAACCAACCAATGACTCAAATTAGTAGCTTATCAAATAAATTAAAAGTTGCAACAATCAGAAATAGTTGCGAAGTTCCAACTATTGGAATATGGATCAGTAGTGGAAGTAAGTATGAAAACAAAAGCAACAATGGTGTTGCACACTTTTTGGAACATATGATATTTAAAGGGACAAAAAAAAGGAATAGAATCCAATTAGAAAAAGAAATTGAAAATATGGGTGCACATCTGAACGCATACACAGCGAGAGAACAAACTAGCTATTACTGTAGATGCTTTAAAGAAGACATTAAATGGTGCATCGAACTTTTAAGTGATATTCTTAGCAATAGTATATTCGATGATAACTTAATTGATTTAGAAAAACACGTGATATTAAGAGAAATGGAAGAAGTGGAAAAATCCAAAGATGAAGTGATTTTTGATAAATTACACATGACTGCTTTCAGAGATCATCCATTAGGCTACACCATTTTAGGACCCGTAGAAAATATTCAAAATATGAACAGACAGAATATCATTAATTATATTCAAACTAATTACACATCGGATAGAATGGTTTTATGTGCAGTTGGTGATGTACAACATGAAGAAGTTGTAAAATTAGCTGAACAATATTTCAGTCATATAAAACCGCAATCCAAAAACAATACATCTACATCTAATATAGATAATGTAAAACCATTTTTTTGTGGTTCTGAAATTATTATGAGAGATGATGATTCAGGGCCTAATGCACACATAGCTGTAGCATTCGAAGGAGTAGATTGGAAATCACCTGATTCTATTACATTCATGTTAATGCAATGTATTATTGGAACATATAAAAAAAGTGAAGAAGGAATTCTTCCAGGAAAGCTATCCGCAAACAGAACTGTAAATAATATATGCAACAAAATGACCATCGGATGTGCTGATTATTTTTCTTCATTCAATACATGTTATAACAATACAGGTTTGTTCGGATTCTATGTTCAATGTGATGAACTAGCCGTAGAACATGCCTTAGGAGAACTCATGTTTGGAATCACCTCTCTAAGTTATAGTGTCACAGACGAAGAAGTAGAACTAGCCAAAATACAATTAAAAACGCAACTTATTAATATGTTCGAGTCTTCCTCTACATTAGCTGAAGAAGTTTCACGACAGATACTTGTATATGGCAGAAATATTCCATTGGCTGAGTTCATACTAAGACTTGACAAAATTGATACAGAGGAAGTTAAAAGAGTTGCATGGAAATATTTGCACGATCGAGAAATAGCAGTTGCAGCAATGGGTGCACTCCATGGCATGCCTCAGTACATAGACTTACGACAGAAGACCTATTGGTTGAGATATTAGATAAAAGTTCTACCAACACACTGCTTCATACAAAAGCAAATGTGCTTCTAAGATGAACGTGAAAGAAACGGACGCTAAAGAAAGAGAGAAAAATATCATACAAACTAACCTCGTCTTAACCTCCCTCACTGGAATCCAAATGCATATAACATTTGCCAAATATTTTGTGTGCAAGATGTACTTATGAAGTGGGTATATGAGGCTGTTATGAAGTTTTCATATGAAGTGCCAATTTTTTTTTTTTTTTTTAACCAACCCCGATTTGCACCTACCTTCACCTTTTTGTGTGTTTACTGTTTTTTTTTTTTGCTTCTCCTCCTTTGCATCTTCAGCTTTTACACTGAACCAAGCAGTCCTTGAGTATATGAACATGAACCTGTAAATATATGCATACATGCGCACAAACATACTTGTATGCACGTCTATTCCTGTTAGGAACGGAGGACATGTGAAAAGGAAAAAGATAACTGCACCTGTCCGGACGTTACACAATGGGAGTGTAAAAATCGCAGCGCTCTTCACACGGACAGGTGTTCATTCGGAAAAGCAGATTTGCCTGAACAGGCCGATTCTCATGGCCATTTCGTTTTGCCTGAACAGGCGAATTCGTATGACCAGTTAGATTTGCCTGAACAGGCCGATTCGCTTGGTCAGGCATTTTCCTTTTGCTTCACCTCCGTTACCAATTCTAGTAATATGTTAAAAAAAAAAAAAAAAAAAAAAACAATGAATATGTTTTCCTCTATCTGCACAACTTGTGAACACATATAAAACTACTCCACGGGAAAGGAAGTCTATTTTGTTTTTCTCCTTTTCTAGCGATAAAATTTGCTGCCACTCATATTCTAATGAGATCCAATTAACGAATAGCGAAAAAGGATCAAAATTTTTCTAACCATTATCTCCTTATGTCTACATACTCGTGAATTATAGATCTCTGTTCTTCTTCTATGATTATGGAATTTATTTTTCGTTCAAGTCATTTTTATTAATCTACCTTTACATATACACACACACACACACACACTTGTGGGAAAATACTTGTGTTAGTTTTTTAAAAAAAAAAAAAAAATTAAAAGGTGTATGCCAAAGTGGGATGAAAAATCCAGTTCATGGTAGTAAAAACCACTTTCAACATATACCAAATGAACACAAAATAGGAAACCTTGCGAAAAAAGAAAAAAAAAAAAAAAATCCACCAAATAAATCTTCACATGTGATGCACATACAAAATTTTATGTGCAAATAAGAAAAAAAAAAAAAAAAAAAAAAAAAAAAAGCAAGTATACTAGAAATCTAGAAGCCTAACTCAGGTACTTCTCTCCTTCCCCTATTTTCAAACTTTGCAATGAAATAATCACATCTTTATGTTGACAATCGAGGAGAAAGTAAAATTATTTTCCACCTCCTTTTTTCCTAGTCCCGTTGCTGAACTCAAGGTTATTGTGCTTAAGCATAGTATTCCATCTGAGCTTCCCTTTTTTTTTTTTTTTTTTTTTTTTTTTTTTTTTTTTTTTTTTTTTTTCTCGAAGAGGCTTTGCAATATATATATATATACATATGTACACACGGTATGTGCACGCATTTAATGCATTGAAACCTTCGATAGGCTGAGAACGTGTAATGATAAAAGTTACCCAGGAGAGAAGTATATTACATTAGGTTCCAAACGGAACCATAACAGAGCGAGTCATGGTGGGAGGAAGTCCACACTTGCAATCCTGTCAAAGCATACCGCAAAGCAAATATACGAGGCCCTACAAACATATTTGCATATAAACGCTTGCATCCAAAATTTATCACTACAGGTGTGCAGCACATTTCACATTTAGAGTGAGGAAAAAGAGGAAACCCCTAGGTGTTATCTTATCCAGACAAGAAGAAAGCAGAAAAACAGAAAAATTTCCCAAAAGAAGGGAAGAAAAAAAAAAAAAAAAACACTCAGTTAGAGGGACCATGTCAGGGACATATATTCCATTTGAAGAAATCCTAGAATGAGTGAATGCCTCAAATAAAGTAGCACAAAATTTTTTTTTTTTTTTTTTTTTTTTTTTTCTCCCGTTTTTCCTCCGCGTAGTGCAAGATAAAGCTACTTTACAAAAAATGAACATAAATCAGAACCATAATCTGAACCTGAACCTTAACTTGAACGTGAATCAGAATTCTCCACACCTGAATGCTGCACACCCGAATTCACCTCACACGAATTCTGCAAACCTTGCAACATCCAAATTGCTGCACCTCACAGGATCAGTAGCGAATAAAGAGGGACCAAATGCAAATGACATAAATAAGAGCATGAAAAATGGAGTGGAGATTGGAAAAACTTATGTGTATAAAGAAATGCACCATGGGAAGATTAACATGAATCCACATGTTGGAAATTATGGAAAAATAGACATTCCACAGGGGGATTTAACCACACTAAATCAAAACAGACGCGACATGAACGATAATCCATCAAGAGATAGACAAAACAAAAAAAAGGAAGAACATTTTAAAAGTATAACACATTTTGCAAAATACCTTTTCTTTATAGCTAAAAAAATTGCTTATGAAGATTTGGAGAAACCAAGTGGAAATACAATACACCAGAATCCAAACGATGAATTACATAAATCTCTAGTTAAACATCTAATATACAAATTAAATAAAATCCTTTCTACTTTAATAAATTTCAACATTCTTCAATATAATGAAAATGTTAACGTTAAACAAGAAATTGAATACTTATGCATAAAAAATAGTTCCATAACCATAAACAAAATTAGAATCATGTTAAAAAAACTTGAAGAAAGTAATATCAATTATAAATATATTCTGTATATTCTACTCAAGTTAAGAATTTATCATGATGAAAATGCCACAACAAATTCGTTTTCTACCTTAAGTAGCGCACCTCTAGGTCCAGATAATATACCTATAGTGACATATGAAAATAGAAAAATGAAACCACTACAAGCAGATGTAGAATCACAAAGACAGACAAATATCATAGCTATGGGACATCATGGCGAAAATCAAAGACATATCAATAGTGAAGTTGTCCCGTACGATCAGAAGACAATGCAAACTGCTGCCACAAACAATCAGACTAGACATAACATGCATGGAGAAGTACATATGTCTAAATTGGAAGATGAAATTGGAGGCAGAAGACAAAACTGTCCAGATGTAAATCATAGAAAAGAACACAATCTAGCCATTGGAAATGATCATCGTTTCGGGGGGTCGTATATTCCAAATGTAGAAGCGAGAGAGGTGGGAGAGGTGGGAGAAGTAGGAGAAGCGAGAGAAATGAGAGAAGTAGGAGAAGCGAGAGAGATGAGAGACGTGAGAGAGATGAGAGACCCGAGAGACGTGAGAGACCTGAGAGACGTGAGAGACCTGAGAGACGTGAGAGACCAGAGAGAAATGAACCTGGTGAGAAACGCTGCGAACAGAAAAGAAGTAGAACTCATGTGCAAGAAGAATTTCATAAATAAAAGCCTCTACGCAACAATCATACTGAATAATAAATTCAACAGTTTAGAAGTAGAAGAAAATGTAATCATGAGAGATTTAATATACCCGTTGCAAGGTATGAGTGGACAGTATGTAAAGTACAACAAAGCACAAAACTGCTTCTGTGTGTCTAATATAAAAGTAAACATCGGTATGCACCATTTGATAAACAATATAAGCAGTGTGGGAATACTGTTCAGACGTATTAAGAAATGCGTTGGATTTACATCTTCTTCAGAAACGGATGCAGAGACAGGACAGCTTTACAACCAAGTGGGACATGATGACGATGGTAGTGGTCGTGGTGATGAAGAGAACATCTACAATCAGGAAGACCAAAACTTTGAACCTGAAACAGAAGAAAAAACAAGATCATATATGCATAATCTTGAGCTGTGTAACCAGCGTAATCGAGGACTATTGCACACACGTAAAAAACGTGGAAGTTTAGTAATTGATGCATTGCATCAAATTGTTCGTGAGTATATAAATGAATATTATAAATTATTATCATATATCGAAAGTGATATAAATGAACATATACACAAGAATACAGTGTACATAGGAGTTAAAAAATTATATCTACTTCTACAAGAATCGTATAAAATATTACGGGTTCTAATGAACGTAGTGGATGAGTCGTTTAGAAGTACCGGTTGTAATTTCCTTTCTTTCCTTTACTCAAAATCACAAACATACGACTATGAAGAACAAAAAATATACAAAATGATGTTGCAGAAATGTTTGAAACCAATTAATTTCATTCTAAAACAGTGGGTTGAATATGGTATATTGAAAGATAAATACAACGAAACTTTTATTTCTACTAATAAAAATGTCCCTTCTGAAAAAATCTGGATTTACAAATTTTACCTGAACAGCAATAATATTCCTCTATTTCTGAGTGTCAATACAGCAAAGAGAATCCTCCTTACAGGGAAGTGTGTTCACTTATTGAACTCTTTCAGAAATGATAATAACAATCCAGAAAGTTCCCAGTTAGACAGATCAGAATACAACCGAATTGGACCCTCTATGTCAGTCTCACATACCGAATCAAGCACCATGGATATTATGCAAAACGAATACATATCACATGATTCACCTGACCATTCAGATGTGGACATATTTTCCGTGACAGATGTGAACACGTATATAGAAAATATTGATCAATACATAAGAAAATCATCGAATAGAAAAAATAAGAGACTCATTTCAATGCTTGTAAACAAATACGGATTGTATGAACACTTCAAAGCATTTCGACATTTTCTCTTATTAGTAGATGGAGACTTATTTGAAACCATTTTTGATAACATGAAAACCGACCTTTATATGAACGCAGAAGAATTGAAGAGACATTACCTGAACAGTAAGCTAGATTTGTGCATAAAGTCATCCTCTATATTTACATCAAATCAGAATATTATGAACAAATTAATATTAGATAAATTTCAAATAAAAAGAGGTGATATCGGTTGGGATGTATTAGTCTTTGATTTCATTGTAGAGAAACCACTAAACATTATATTCACTGAAAAAATAAAAAAAATTTACAAAAGTATAAATGTATTGTTAATAAAATTAAAAAAAATTCTATACGAATTAGCAAATATATGGTACTTATTTACACATCTTTTTAAAATTATGAATGTCGTTTGTTACAACCATGTATTCATATATTGCAATGTCATAAGAAATGAAATGTTTCATTTTATTCAAAACATATTATCCTACTTTTACTATGATGTTATAGACATGAATTGGCGTGAATTCAAAAAAATCATTTTTAATTGTAATAACTTGGATCGATTGATACACGAACATTACTACTACATAACTCAAATTCAGTTTGATTTGTTTCTAGGAAATTTTGCAGAAAGTAAAAGTGGCAATAGTACTGTCACTAAGGGTACACACATAAGTAGTACTAATAGAAGCAACAATAATTGTAATAATAAGGATAGCAACCCTCCTCCCGCCCCATACTTAGATACACCTGCAGGAACATCTGTCAGCAGAACCCACCAACATAAGGTGGATTCTAACAAGGATCCATATACAGATGCATATCACACATCTTCTTCAAATGTATTTTCTGAAGATTATTCTGCTGATGATGATTCTGAGGTGGATTATGAAAATTTTTCTGAAGATGGTTCCACAGTTAGCTATCTTAACAATTCATTGAATCCACAACTTGTCGGAGCTACTGATTTTGTATATGCACCAGCACCTGCTCATCCTTTGAATGGAAATATGAAAGAAACAAAGGATAAATTTATACCATCATCAAGATCAAGAAATGTGCACAACCCCTCAAATCCGATGGGAGGTGGAGGAGGAGAGAGATATGGAAACACAGAAGTTGTTCATAATCCAACAGCTACTTCTAACAGAACACATAATAATATGGATAATGAAATGCATATGTGTCTTAACAGAATATTAGATATAATTACGAGATTTATTAATCTCACAAGTGCTTTAATATCATCTGTGTGTGAAAGTTACGCTGAAATAAAACAACTGACAGAAGAAAAAAAGGAAGAAAAAACAAATCTTGAAAATGATATCGAATATATTAACAGCTTCATCAATTCAAATATAATTGGAGAAAAAACCATTCGGGATATTAAGATGCTTCTAAAATATTATAGGAATTATATTTATAAGTTTATTTGCTTATTACTTAATGATAACAAGTTTTTATATACTCATTCCAGAGTCTCGAAGCGCGACAAGCTGAACTCACATCGTCTATTGGCATCTAGACTAGACTTTAATTTGTATTATGTCAATATATCAAAACTTATGGGAACCAAAACTTCTAAACTGAATATATCCAATCAGATTAAGATGATTAAGCGATAGATTCGAAGCAGAGGGGGGTGTATCCCCTCAGTTTCTCCAGGTCGGTCTGTTAATTCAGCTATTTAAACCGATACACACACTCTCCTTCATGCAACTGGGACAGACATTGCAACCGCCTTCATCCCTCGAAAGAGACTCTTCCTCGACCCCACTCCACCCTCTTATCAGAAACAAGCTCATGTTTTTCTCTCTTCTGCTTTCCCCAACCCATGCTCTTAACGCACCTCTACTTGACAAGGGATTCCTCCATCCGGAGCAGAGAAAGTAACTTAGCTTCCTCCATTGCATCTTGGGGATATCCATCTACATTTTTCTTCACACGAGGAATAGAAGAAACCGATTCATCTTTTCCATGTTTCTTATTATAACAAAATGCACTGATATTAAAGTTGTTGAAATCGTAAGGATACAAAACATCTGTGTTATTCATGGGCTTATTTGTCTCGGAGCATTTGTATCGAGGAATAAAAAAAGGCAATATCATATTATACTTAAAAAGTAAGGAAAACAAATTCTTCTTTTTTAAATATATTTTAATATATTTTCTATCTTTGCACACTTGTTCTATTTCGTGAAGTGATAAAATTATTTGTTTTTTTTGAAATATATTTTTTTTTTTTTTTTCGTGGGGTAGAATTTTTTTTTTTTCTTCATCTTCCCCTCCCTCATTCATTCTAAATATTGTAAATGGATAAAGTAACAAATGCTTGTTTTTATAATCTAAGACTGCTCTTAAAATAACTGAATTGTAAAAATAAAGGTAACTCGTGTAAAACGCTAACAATCCTGTGCATAATAAATAACCATACATACTTGTAATCACATCAAATTCAATTAAACATATAGACATGGATGATAACAATATCCCACCAATCAATGAATTATGTATATTTTTCTTTATTCTCTTATTTTCACTCTTTTCAATATCTAACAACACTATTTTGAATTTCCCTTTTTCATCATGTTCATATTTTAAATTATAATATTTACCATAAGTGTTGTTATATCTCTCATTAATGAAGAACATATGAATCTCTCTTCTGCTCTTTCTTCCTATACTCTCATGATGATCAAACTTCACTTTTTCACTACTTAAAAAGGGGAACCCGTTCCAGTGTTTACCTACTATTTTTTTTCTTATGTTGTTGTTCATTTCGGTTGTTGGAATGAGCGACTCTGATGGAGCATGTTCAGAAAAAGAGGCCAGACCAGACCAAATGAGAAGAAAAAAAATAAAATATAATCTAATATAATCAAATCCAATCAAATCTAATCGATTCTAATCGATTCATTTATTTTTATGCCTTAGCAGAAACATGAACAAAACCTTTTGCAGTGATTTCGACTGTTACTCGCGTGATGACCCCCACACACACACCCTTTTATGCGTGTTTTTTAATCTCCTTTTTTTTATCTCTATTTTAACCGCTCTTTCCACCTCTTTTTTTTAATCTCCTTTTTAATCTCTTTTTTTATCTCCATTTTTTATCTCCTTTTTAATCTCTTTTTTTTATCTCTATTTTTTTTTTTTTTTTTTTTTTCTCTCTCTCTTCTCTTTAAGCATCCAATAGGAAAAAAAAAAAAAAAAAAAAAAAAATTATTCATCCATCAGAACCCATACACGGGATGACATAATGAACTACACACATATACACATATGTATGTATATATATATATGTATGTACACGGGCGCTAAGGTGCAAACTTGTATGCAAAATAAAACGTGCACAGGATGACCAAAACCGATACAAGTGAAGATACCCACAGAACATATAAGTATCTCTCTCGACCTCGTGGCATTGAATAAACATAAATAACATCCACGTAATAGTTCTCTTCACGATGTAGAGAATAATATATAGGAATGTTCATCTTCTGTATGTTATTCATCGCTGTAACATGTTTCTTTAATTTTTTGTTCTCTTGAATCTTGTCGAAGTTGAATGTATTGTTCTTCACCCTTTGTGTGTTAATCGTTCTGGCCAGTGTATAGTTCATGAGTTCCTCTTGCTTGCAGTGATCTCTTCGTTCATTAAGGCCATTTGTCCCACTTCGACCATTAATGCCATTTGTCCCACTTCGACCATTAATGCCATTTGTCCCACTTCGATCATTAATGCCATTTGTCCCACTTCGATCATTAATGCCATTTGTCCCATTTCTCAGCACAGGAGGTGCATGCAACAACTGAACGAAGGACGTCTCCCTCAAGTACACATAAAAATCTCTAGTGTGAATGCTTAGCATGCTTTTCCCTCCATTCATATAAACATGTTTTGCATCTGCATACACAGTTCCACCACCCTCTCTCATCCTATCGATACCTGTAGAACCACCCAATCCCCTATCACATAAACAATTCAAAAATACTTTCGCGTTAGATATCACTACTGCATCATAATATGTACAGTCTTCCTCCTCCTTCCCATGGAGGTTCACAAAATCATCGGACATATGTATACTACTACTCCACATGTTGAAACTCATCTTCCATTTGTTTTTTTTTCCTCGAGTTGTTTTCTCACATGGTGCAACATACCTACTGCCAATCGGAACCTCGTACCAGAGCGAAGCACAAGCTGCGTGTTCTGAATCGTTCTTCCTTCGTCTTTTTATCACAAAGCGATGGGGGATTCTTCCACCACTTTGGCTTGAGTCATCTCTCCTACTTGAATCACCACTCCGACTTGAATCACCACTCCTACTTGAATCACCACTCCTACTTGAATCACCACTCCTACTTGAATCACCACTCCTACTTGAATCACCACTCCTACTTGAATCACCACTCCTACTTGAATCACCACTCCTACTTGAATCACCACTCCTACTTGAATCACCACTCCGACTTGAATCACCACTCCTACTTGAATCACCACTCCTACTTGAATCACCACTCTGGTTTGAGCTCCTACTAGCCAAATGAACCCGCGTGACTTCATCCCCGATGGTGCCTCTTCTCTGAGAACGCCCACCATAGATGCATGTTAGAACCCGTAAATAGCCAAGCCGATGGTGCAACTGCTTGAGCGCCCCGCAAGGCCGATAATGGCCCGACCCCCATTGTTCAGGTAAAAGTCTAGAACGATACTGTGTAACGATAGGAGGAGACATGTACTTGTAATTCTCCACATCTGAAAAAGATGCTGTAAAGTTGGGACTTGTTATCTTCTCCTTATCTAGTAGAATTCCGTTCGGGTACAAATCCAGTATAATCACTTTACATCTTTGTAAAAATGCAGCATTACACGCTGCCCTGTTGCCTTCGCAGAGGACCCTAATCATACCTCGTGAACACTTTTTCATACCTTCTCCCTCAAATTCTTTATGAACAATCAGGTTAAAAATGTTTCTATTCCATCTCACCTCATTTGTCTCTTCCCTATACATGACATAATCATGTGTGCCATAAAGGTGATCATGAAAAAGCAATGGCATGTGGGTAACATTGCTGATCCCTTCCACGATAGAGTAGTTTCTTTTTATTTTAAAGCAAGAGCTATCATTACACAATCGTTTGCTTATCCCGCTTAGATGTGCATACATGTAAGACAACAGAACCACCCCACTTCTTAACCCATTTCTGTATGTGACATTTTCATAACGCATTTCTTCCTCTCTCTCTTTGGAATATACATATATCTGATTATTTAAGAAGCTGCTCATGATTTCAGTTTCTTTTCTCAAATCTTTACACTGGAATTTTTCAAAAAGGAAGGATAGATGATCCATACACTTGTGGTTCTTTACATGCATGTCGAACGAGATGGTGAACACCTCTTTTATATGAACACCTTTGTGGGGTCTTCTTCTCTTTTCCCCAGACTTATCCTGCATGTGCACCTCAGCTAAACTTCTAACACGCAAGTTGGAAATCAACCCATGGTACATAACAAACTGAAGAAAAATATGAGAACATTTATTTCTCATTTTCACTCTTTGCATATATAACTCCTTTAAGTGTTCCTCGAACTTGGCCTTTATCAAATCACTCTTCGAAATGTACATGAACCCCCATATGTCTTCTTCGTCTTCTTCGCCTCCTTCATCTTCTTCGCCTCCTTCATCTTCTTCGTCTTCTTCATCTTCATCATATGCATCCGTGTCTTTATTCTCCTTCTCACCCTTCGTTGTTATTTTTTCTTCATATTTCTTCTGCCTCAGTTTTTCTATCCTGGTTTTGTCATCCCAATTAAGTAAAACGTACTTATGTGATAAGCAATGTTTATCTACTACATGAATTCCATTGGTTTCTACATCCGTGCCATTTATGATTCCAAGGAAAGATTGATCACATCCTTTGTACAAATCCTCAATTGCTTTACTATTAACATAAAGTGGGTTCAAATTTTTCATCAAATTGGAGATGTATGTTTCTTTCACATCTCTGCCATTTCCTCTGTAAATTCCTTCTCTTTTCCATGTCTTTAGTAATATCCCACTAGGAATATAGACTTTGTCAAACTGCTCAGATGAATGAGATTCTTGAGGTTCCCCTTGATGGGCAGACCCCGATGGGGAGTGATTCATCGAGTAACTTCTAATCATGTTGTTCCAGTTAGAACCTGAATAGTACACTTTCTGCAGGAACTGTCCCATAATTTCTACCTTGCCTTGTTCATAATTTTTTTTCTTCCATTTCAGAAAAGCGGATAGGCCATTAAAATGCTCATTTGCCTCGTACATCCCACTACTTCTATCCTTATAAATAATAAAATGACGTGATTCATGGAAAGCAATCTCATCTTCTTCATATATGAACACACCTTCGCAACGCATTTTTCTTATCCTTCCTTCACATTCTGATGTAGATTGTAGTAGGATTCCTACCACTAACAAAACTCGTCTTGATGATAAGAACATCCTCTTCTTGCCTTTCAGCAACACTGCCGTTATAAACCCACGCAAGAGGAGATTCACTGTGGAGCTCTTCATTGTGAAGAGGATGCACTATGGGAAGGCTCACTAAGAAGAGAAAGCACTATGGGAAGGCTCACTAAGAAGAGAATGCACTACTGGAGGATACACTATGGGAAGACTCATTGCAAAATGGCTTCCTCCTCCTTAACACGTCCTTTGTGCATTTATTATTAGAGTCCAAAGAATAACAAAATTTACACGAGCTTGCTTACCAATGTTTCCTATTCTTTTTGCACTTGTACACACTTAACAAGCTTCAATCAGGAAATTTTTTTTTTTTTTTTTTTTTAAAAAATATGAAATGTCCTCACGACCACAATGGTCTTCCCCACTATCTCTCTCTCTCGTTCTCGCTCTTTAACTTGGACACAATTCAACACAACGCTCTTATCAAAAGAAACGTCTACATATGTGGGGTACAAATCGAACATTATCAATTCTTTTTCACATTTCAATTCTAGTTTGTATTCCCTCTTTTAGTTTGGAAATTCACTTTAGTACAACCCCTTTCTGCTTTTTGAAGTTTTACCCCACCGCTACTAGGTTATTATTTTTTATTGTTTTTTTTTTTTTTTTTTTTTTTTTTTCTCTTGTTACATGCATGCATTGAAAAAAAAAACAAATTTATATCCCAAAATCGAACATCCCCATGTTCCTCGCTTGGTCATATGGTGTGTAGCGGGCTTCTACACATGTGCATAAGAGTGCTTTTATATTGCAAAATAAGTGCATGTACACAATATGTGTATAAGTTGTATGTAATATATATGCGTACAAGTAGGTAATGCCTCCACTTTTATTACAGATTCTTATGTGTGCTTGTTGGGGCATGGAAACTTAGTTAGCTCATTATCACACCTTTACTTCATCTCTCTCTCTCCACGACTCTCTATTTCGTTATCCCTACCTCTCTATACGTCTCTCTCCCTACCTTCTCTATACGTCTCTCTCTTTTTTTTTTTTCTGCGCTTCCTTTTTGAAAATACGTTTTGGCTACCCCATCCCATCATGGCAATGCTCCCCCGTGCCACAAGTGGCCCATTAAAATGTTTATTTTTATTTTTTTTTTTTTTATTTTTTTTTTTTTTTATTTTTTTTTTTTTTTTTTTTTTCTAGCACAACACTGCTTGATTACTTCACCTCTCTATGACTTTATAAGACCCCTTTTTTTCACGCCTCTGCACAAATAGATATGCCTCTTTTTTTTTTTTTTTTTTTTTTGGTTTTCTCTCCACCATACATTTTTAAGCATATCTACCATTCATCCACGTGTTGTTTCACACCCAGTCTGGAGTCTCCTACAAGAAAAGCAGATAAGCAATTAAGTGGCAAAGTGGAACAGTTCGTGGGGAGAAAACAAAAAAAAAAAAAAGAGAAGAGAATAAAAAAAAAGAAAAGAAAACGCCACATATTACCTTAATGACATGTAGGAGAAATGGGTTAGCTACATGTGTATATATGCACGTGTTATATGCACGTGTTATATGCACGTGTTATATGCACGTGTTATATGAACGTGTTATATGAACGTGTTATATGAACGTGTTATATGAACGTGTTATATGAACGTGTTATATGCATGTATTATGTACATGTATTATGTACATGTGTGTGAGTGCGTCCTTTTCTGAAGATTGAGATATGCACATAGAACCTTACTGAGTAGACGAGACACAGACACAACAACGTACAGCTACTCTTTTCCCTCTGTCACTGTATGCCACACCATATTCATTATGTCCACTTTGACAGATAATGAATCGCATAAAAATGAAGACGCATACACAAATACAAAATATGAAAACATCTTAAAACTGAAAGAGACCAAAACAAAGCTTAGTGAGAAACTCATAAGGTACACATTCTCTTTTCCATCCCATCCACCTTTTTCCAAAAAAAAAAAAAAAAAAAAAAAAAGTGCTGATTTGGGAACTCGTTCCTTATATCCGTTTCTACCATTCATTATCATTCATCATACAGTACCAACAATTTACATAAAAAAAAAAAAAAAAAGTCTCACAATCTATTTTTCTCCACAGATATGACTGGTCTCAGACAAGTGGAAGAATATTTGTAACTCTGTACAAAAAGAATCTTGATGAAGACAATTTGCTTTACTACATAAAAGATGGTTTTTTGGAAATACTCATAAACATGAGTGGTACGTCCCTTACCTGTTACACCACACATATATGCCACTCCCCTCACCTGTTACACCACACATATATGCCACTCCCCTCACCTGTTACATCACACTTCATACAGATGACGAGATATATCTTCTGGAAAAACGTCTCTTTTCGAAAATAATTCCAAATCAGACAAGGATTTGCATAACACCCGTAAGTCAAGCCAATTTTTTCTCCATTTCGATAAACCCATCGACACGAGTGCGAGCGTGTTTTTTTTTTTTTTCACACCTACTTGTGCACCACTCTCTCACCCATTTACATGCACATATGCACGAAGATGAAAATAGAAATCAACCTCCAAAAGGAACAAGAAGGTAAACAGAAGAGGGTTATGTCTGCATGGAATCGATGACTCTACTGGGTGGGGTGCCGTACATATATATGTATATGCATGCATGTGTGTGTGTGTGTTTTTTTTTTATTTTACCTTTTTTTACATTTTCTTACCTTTTTTTACATTTTCTTACATTTTTTTACATTTTCTTACATTTTCGTACACTTTCTTACATTTTTGTACATTTTCTTACATTTTTTTACATTTTTGTACATTTTCTTACATTTTCGTACACTTTCTTACATTTTCTTACACTTTCTTACATTTTCGTACACTTTCTTACATTTTCTTACACTTTCTTACATTTTCGTACACTTTCTTACATTTTCGTACACTTTCTTACATTTTCGTACACTTTCTTACATTTTCTTACACTTTCTTACATTTTCTTACATTTTTTTACCTTTTTTTTTATTTACTCTCGCCCCACCTTTCTGAAGACCTCGAATGGCCTCAACTGGAGAAAAACGCAGAAAAAGAAAAAGAAAACATGAATGGAATATCCAAAAATAAAGATAACCTCTTAAACCCATTCAGCGGAAAAAGTACCCACGAGTGGGACCAGCTAACCAAGGTTCGTATAAAATAATAATAATAACAATAAAATCAAGGGAGAATTATGTCTCAACACCTGAGCAAAATATAATAACATAGAATAGAACAGCTGCGCTTGTTAAAATGCCACAATTGACAATGCTTAAAAGGAAACTAGTTAAACAAGTGTAAAATAAAATAATAATTTTAAGCACATTTTGTCTTACCCCTTTTTTTTTCTATCTCATCCATCATCTGAAAAATAGTCCATAAAGGAAGATGAAGAAGAAGGAAACATCGACACGTTTTTTAGAAAAATATACAATGAGGGAGATGATGACACGAAGAGAGCCATGATTAAGTCATTCGTAAGTGCACACCGTGCAGTGGTGGCTGTCTGTTTGCCTGCGTCTGTGTCTATGTCTGTGTCTATGCCTGTGTCTGTGTAGCTATAATCCCACCATTAGCCAGAGTGCTTGGTTACAAACACGCGTTCGAAAGAAAAAAAGAAAAGATAAAGTTTTTAAAAACAACTCTGCAAGCATGCTGCACCTGTCCCCCTATCTGTTTTTTTTTTTTTTTTTTTTTTTTTTTCAACCCATCCAATCCCTCTTCCCTTGCAGCAAACGTCCCGAGGAACCGTTCTCTCCACCAACTGGAAAGATGTTCAACACAAAAATTACGAAAAAGTAAAACCTTGAAGGGGGAAAAGTGGAAAATGGGGAATGCAAACGCATCTCCTTCACATGAGAGGTTTATTTATTTATTTATTTTATTTATTTATTTTATTTAATTATTTATTTTATTTAATTATTTATTTTATTTAATTATTTATTTTATTTAATTATTTATTTTACTTTAATTTCTCAACGTCACACGTGAATGTTTCACCCCTTTCAGGACAAGTCATTAACAGAGGAAAAAAAATAGATAATTTGAAAGTGCCTCTTTTAAACGCGGTGTTATAAATAAAGCAGGGGCAAACACACATTTATATCCAGAGGAAGACGTGGGGAAAAAAAAAAGAAAAAAAAAAAAAAAAAAAAGTTTGGCGTTAAAAATCAATTTTCAGCCGTGCACCCATTTTACCTGAACATGTTCAGGCGAAAATAACATTTTGTCACTTTTTTCGTATTTTATTTTACCCTCTTCTCTTTTGTCTTATTCTCTTTTACCCCATTTTTGAACTTTTCTTTCCTGTTATGACGTCCATTTCTGCATCGTCACTCTCCTCATTGTGTATCTAAAACGGGTTGCTAATATGACGATGACTCCTAAAATAAGCCCTGTCTGCATTAACAACTTTGTTTATATTTCCAATTCCATTGCGAAGGATGTGTTTCGAAATGCGTTTTAAGTATGTGGGCATTTCCTCCATATCATATTGGTTCTTTAAAATAATTGAAGTATCAGTACCTCTGTTTATAAGAACATAGAAAGTCACCAAAGCCAAGATCATCACAAGGAGTATACATAAAAAAAATATGACCATTCGGAGCATATTTTTCATTATTCCAAAAAATATCGAAGAAGATACAATGATTAGTTCTTTTTCGAATTTATTTTGCAATTTTTCCTCTTTTTCACTTTTCCTAAACTTGGACATGATGACTTCTTCTATTAAGACACGTTTTACATTGCCACCTTTTTCATCTTCTACATGAAGAGTACGCTCATTCACAGAACAATTAGTCTCACACACATTTTCGTGCGAAAACGGATAGTCCTTCTCATCACTCTTTAGCTGATCCACTTCTTTCAACTTCTCATCACTCTCTAGCTGATCCACTTCTTTCAACTTCTCATCACTCTCTAGCTGATCCACTTCTTTCAACTTCTCATCACTCTCTAGCTGATCCACTTCTTTCAACTTCTCATCACTCTCTAGCTGATCCACTTCTTTCAACTTCTCATCACTCTCTAGCTGATCCACTTCTTTCAACTTCTCATCACTCTTTAGCTGATCCACTTCTTTCAACTTCTCCACACCAGTACCACTTGACGCAATTCCCCAGTCTTCATAACTTGGGTAGAAGAAAGAGGCCAACTTGGACACGTCAACCTCCTTATGCAAAACACCTGTCTGTTCATAATTTATTTTATTGTCAATGTTAGTTTTACCTGCACAAGAATTGCCCCTATGCGTGCAGAAGAAAGCTTTATATATCTTCTCAAATAAATCTTGTTTCAAAAATTCATTATCAGGTGGTTGAAATCTGTTGTATATGTCGATCTTAAAAGGAAATGTTAGCTTGTTAGAGATATATCCAAAATGGTTGTACCGGCTTACAGTTGCGCTAGATTTAGACATTTCAATGATATGTTTATTTTTTTCAGAAGGCCCTGCCCCTTCGAAATTCAACATGTGCTTCATCATGAATGCAATTTTGAATTCACGTGAATTTTTCTTCTTCTCGTAAAATTCTGGACATAGCCAGTAGAACGTGCTTTTCCTGCAAACACGGGAGAAGGACACACGTGGGCACATGTGAAGCCTCTGCAAGTTTGAGAAGTTGCAAGTTTGAGAAGTTGCAAGTTTGAGAAGTTGCAAGTTTGAGAAGCTATGAGTGCATAAGACTTCCGGGGAAATTTCCCTGCCTTCTCTTGTAAGCACAACGATGACAGATGTGCACACACGAGCCGCAAGGGATACAAACGGTGCAAACTGACACTTTCGAATAAACCTACCCGAACATCTTCCTATAGGTGGAACTACAAATGTGTTCAGATTTTTCCAAGAGGAAGTTCCATCCCCCTAGAGGTTCTTCATTCACGGGAATTCCTACAAATGGAAAGTGACGTCGGTGCAGCAAGTGAATATGAAAAAGTGACGTCGGTGCAGCAAGTGAATATGAAAAAGTGACGTCGGTGCAGCACATGAATAAGAAAAAGTGTCATCCCTGTCTGCATATACGTGACTGTTTTTGTGTGGCTACTTTCATTTCCTCCCCCCTTCTCAAAAGCGCTGGTTGTGCACATGAAGACATTTAGATGCAGACACATGCAAGCGGCTCTTACTTTCTCCGTCTGATTTGTGAAGAAAGAAGTAGTCCAAGTTACAGACGTAGTCATTTAGGAATGGATACACATACTTGATTTTGTCTGCGAGGGGAGGAAGTAAGACGTGGTGGTAAGACGTAGGAGAAAACGAATTGATAAGACGTGGTGGTAAGACGTGGGAGAAAGAGTGGCTGCTCTCGGTGAGGACCTGCCAGTGCTGAACCACTCTGCATCTCACCCCCTATGATAATTTTCTCGCCCATGTAGAAACCTTTGAAAGCATTTTCAATATATCGCTTCTGCTTCTTGAGGTTTTCAAACATATCCGTGTTTCTCACATGACCAGTATACCTCTTGTATAGGTGTATACGTTTGTTGCGTATAATGTTTTCATTATCATTAACATTAACACAATGTTGAGTGCCAACGGTCTTTGTGCACTTATTTGCTTTTTCAAAATTGAAAATGTCATCAAAAGTTTCATCCTTGGGAATGCTATACACGACTTGGCAATCAGTACACTTTACTTTATCTGTCATCAAAAGAGTGTATTTTTTTTTTTTTATTAAACGAAATTTTTCTTCTTCTGCCTTGGCCTGAGATATATCCATCTTCATTTGTATGTGTTTCATAGCAGAATATACCTTGAGTACATGTTCTTTCTTTAGTTCATTAATTTGAGAATTATTAAAAAAACTGCTAATGTCTTTATGCAAAACTATCGGACAATCAGTGTATGAAATTGTACATTCTACATGATTTTTATTGTTATAAACGATCAGACATGCAATCCAACAGAAGACGAAAAATAAACTGACACATGTAAAAAGAGTCAATTTAAAATTCTGCATTATTTTATATTTATGTATCCTCCTTTTTATATTTCTTATCTTCACCCCCTTGTCACTTGTGTATCCCATGTACAAACTCCTTTTAGAATTATTATAATATTCCACGTTACTTAAATCTTTGTAACACTTGCTGAACTTGTAGAGTCTCATCAACCAGCTCTCTCCATCGTCTCCTTTCTTGTATAGACAATGCGAGTGCCTTTTCGTGGTGAAGTTTTTTATCACTATGTTGTTTATCAGATATCGTTCCTTCATTCGCTCAGCCGATTGTTCGCTCAGCCGATTGTTCGCTCAGCAGATTGTCCGTTTGTCCAAATGTCCTCTTCTCCGCTTAACTGCTTAACCGCTTAACCGCTTAACCGATTAACCGCTTAACCGCTTAACCGATTAACCACTTAACTTCTTAACCACTTAACTGCTTAACTGCTTACCCTATCAGCCTTGCATCTTTGCAAAAGTGGAGTCAGGCCATGCGTGCACATGTGGAGAGAGAGCTACAGCTTGAAGTGTAGGTAAGCTATATTACACTGTATCTATTTTACTAATCAAAATCACAATTTTTTTTTTTTTTCTTTTTTCCCCTCCCCCTCTCCTTATCTATGTAGTTATATGTGTTTCCTTGTGTACGTATCAAATTGATTATCACAATGGATGTTTTTAGTTAATGACGGTGTACGCACAATAGGCGTATAGGTTTTAAAAAAAAAAAAAAAAAAAAAAAAAAAACCTACACTGGAGTTATCACGAAACGGTCAAATAGAGCATATGGGATAAGAGGGGTGGGGGGCAGAGGGGAAAGCAAAAAAACTCGCAAAAATTAGCATAACATATAAGTACACTTTTTTGCATACATTTTGTATAACACAGCACACAAGCTCGCGTAAGTACATGAAGTTACCACTTTGCACGTTGCAAATATTACTGCAAAATGGAAATGACACAGAGGTAAAAAAGAAGGATGATATGCTCTTTAGCACTTCACAGAAAAAAATAAAAAAAAAAAAAAAAAAAAGCGGCGAAATGTGAGGACACATCCAAATGATCCTTTCTATACACACATCACCATCATGCATGTGTATGTTTGTGTGTATGTTTGTGTGTATGTTTGTGTGTATGTTTGCTTGTATGTCACGTATCAATATGCTGGCATTCACCAAATGGGGATTGGACTCCAAAAGACTCGTGGGGCCCCAGGTGCTGTATCATCTTCTACCACCACCTCGGTTACTGCAGAAGGTACCCCTTCAGAAGTAAAGCTTTCTGGATGGAAATAACCTGCACACGTTGCTCATGGTTCCAAGTTTTCATATCCTCCACCTTAGACTTCAAAATATTGTTCATAATGTCTTGATTCTTCATTACTTCATTTACCAGTTCCTCATCAGGTAGTTCAATATTCGCATAAATTGGATCTTCAAGGATACAATTTTTATTCTTTATAGTACGTATGCTGTTACTATCATCCCTGACATAATCAGTTTTCTCTCGCTGCCCAGCATCTCGCTCCTTATCCTCTCGCTCCTTATCCTCTCGCTCCTCATCCTCCCGCTCCTCATCCTCTCGCTCCTCATCCTCTCGCTCCTCATCCTCTCGCTCCTCATCCTCCCGCTCCTCATCCTCTCGCTCCTCATCCTCTCGCTCCTCATCCTCCACTCTAATGTATCCATTATCATTATTTCCATACACATTTTTGTAATATTTTCTCTTGTTCATTTTTTCAACTAAATTTTGACTACTGTTCTTTCCATTCTCTTTATCACTAAAGGTATTTTCCATTTTTTCCTCATTCTCAATAACATTTCGATGAGACAATAAATATTTACTACTTCCATTCATCATGTAGTTATTATTTCTTTTCCTCAAATTTGGATATAAGTTTTTCCTTAAATTTGTAACTATCTCATTTCCTCGATATGTATCACCTGAACTGTTCATATTATTTGCAATACCTCCGTATAACAGTTCATCGTCCTCATCATCAACACCTCCTGCACATTTCCCATTCCTTTCTATGTTTATGAATTCGCTTCTTATCTCTACTTCACTCCTCTGGTTGTGCAAACCGTTTGACATGCTATCGAGGTCCTGCACCCCCTTATTCCCACGTCTACGAGAGTCACTCTCATTAATGCTGCCATTCTCATGAATGCTCCCGTTCTCACTAACCTTGCCATTCTCACTAACCTTGCCATTCTCACTAACCTTGCCATTCTCACTAACCTTGCCATTCTCACTAACCTTGCCATTCTCACTAACCTTACCATCCTCACTATTCCTACCATCCTCGTTGTGCTTCTTCTTCTTCCGTCTGTCCAAATGCCTCCAATCCAGATGACTTCCTAGGGTGCTTTTTTTTTCTCCCCTTTCGATGTGGTTCACGTGGGTATTATTTCCGATTGTGCTGACACGGTTTGGGTAATCTGATTCGAAATTATGTTTAAATTCCTCGGCCCCACTATTGCCACTATTGCCACTATTGCCACTTCTGCTGCTGTCGTTATTCACACCCTCAACATAGCCAATATTGCCAGCACCGCCAACACCGCCAGCACCGACAACACCGCCAACACCGACAACACCGCCAACACCGACAACACCGCCAGCACCTCTCACATTCCTACCGCCTCCATTTCTACTTCTGACCTCCCTACCGTCAGAACTAACTGCGAGATTGGAAAGGCTCGAGTCATAGTGCCTCCCACTTTGTGATTGGTCATTACCCGCTTTGTTCATGTGAAACGTGATGGTATTACCATATAGCTCCTTCTTCCTTTGCCTCGGTTTCAAATTAGAACCAACAGTGCTGTTCCCTTGAGGGCAAAGGGTACTACTACTACTACCATAATCATGTGCATCGCCTTGTCCACTATACATACTGGAGCGACCATTGTATATATTATTATTACTACCTCTTCCACCACATTGATAATCTTCATCCATATTTGACAGAAACAACCCTTTGCTATAGACCAAATTGTCTAGCTCTTTTTTTTCAGTATTTTTATTACTACTATTCATGAGTGTAGAAGGATGCGCTAAAAATTCCTTCTTAGAAATGGCATACAATCCAGTGACAGGACCAGGAGAATTTCTTTTCGATTTTCCAACTGCATTATTTAAATTGTGTATATAGGAAGATGATAAACCAACATTGTCGATTCCTCTTCCAAAGGAGTGATCTTCATTTATATTAGAAATGATATTTTCTTCATACTGATTATTTTTTCTATTCATCTTCTGATGAAATGTGTTCGATGTGTAGTCATCCATATTTCTACTACCTCTTCCATCAGTTATGCTGCTGACCATACTAATTTTTATATTACCACTTCTTCTCATTTGCATGATTCGTTCTCCTCTGTTTAATATAGCTTCATCATTTATGAACATATTTAAATCGTTATTCATCATATGGTACTCATTGATTACATTTAAAAGGAATAAACAATGGAGTAATGCATATGCAACATTTTTATGTTTTTGTAAATATATTCTTAGCATACCAGAATTGTCAGATGCGTAATTTTTAAAGTATGTTAAGATATACATAATTTGTGATGTTGTTAATGTATGAACAATGTTTGATATGCATACTTTCTTTATATTATTTGCGTTAAACTGATTCACTACCATTTCTTCTTCTTTGCTTTCTAAATATTCATATTTCTTATTTTGTTGTGACATTCCTGTCTGACTTACCTGTCCTTTATGTTTTCTACCAAAATGGCTAGCTAGCTCCAATCCAGATTCAAATCTTACGTTCCCCTTAGAACCCAATGCCCCTCTCCCCCCCCGTTTGTTCCCATGTTCGCCACGCCCCCTCGACAGCACTCCTCCGCCAGGACCGCCAATCGGACCAGTCGGGCCAATCGAGCCAATCCCTGAAGCGCTGAGCTTCTCCTTGAACTCTTCGTTCGCCCAGTATAGACGTAACTTCCTACCCTTCACTTCATACCCGTTAATGTGCTTAAGAGCCAGCATGCAGGTCTCCAAGTCTTTGTATTCGCAAAATGCAAATCCTTTGCTTATGTTTTTATCTACATCATACTTAATCCTCACATTTATCACTTGCCCCACCTTGGACAGAATTTCATGTAACTCCTTTTCTGTCACGTCGAATGGGATGTTCCCAATCCACAGACTGTAGTTGCTCTTGTTCGACATGCGCTAGGTTCAGGAAGTTGTGAAGTTGTGCGGAAGTAGGAAAAGTGGACCACGAATCAGTTGTAGGGATGGGAAAAAGAAAAAAAAAAAAAAAAAAAAAAAAAAACCTGCTTCTTTCAAGTGAAACCAGCGAAATAACTAATTATTAATTATAAGAAAAGTCAATTTTTTTTTTTTTTTTTTTACAAGTACCAACCTTCCACTAAAAATACATGTTTTTTATTCCACTTCGATAATATTCATATACTAGTTGAAACTTTTTTTTTTTTTTCTCCTGCGGTTAGGAAGAAAAAAGGATGGATTTGCTTTTACCGTCGTCCTAGTTTCCCAGCTGGAAAAATAAAATAGACTAAATTTGAGTGACACAGGGGAAAATAGAATGAAATGGAGTAAAACAGAACGTAATGGAGTGAAATAAAATACTCTTCTTTTCCCCTACTACTTGGCGCCCATATAATTTTGTCACTTCCACGTAATATTATCACGGGCTATAAACATACATCCGTGGGTCATCTTCCAATTCGTCCTTCTTACCTTTTACCTTAATTACTTCTTTTCTTTTTCCACTCATTAAAAAAGTATAAATGCGCACAAATCAGTGTGCATGGTTATACTTTCATATATATAATATATATTATGAACATATAATATATGCACGAATAGAAATAGGAGAAAAAAAATATATTCGCGAGGAAAACAATTAAAACCCCCGTTAGGGGGCTGGATGGGCAGAGGAGTGGAATACTATTGCTCATTAGCCGAATAATTTTTAGCATGTTATGTTATCACATCAAATGTGTTGCAATCATGTGACAATTTCTCCTATTTGTGGGTGTTGCTTTCTGGACGTCGCAAATTTTGCGTTCAATGGGGAAAAAAAAAAAAAAAAAAAAAAAAAAAAAAAAAAAAAAAACACGTACGTAAGTACATATATGAACATATGCATGTGTGAATATGGTGCACGTATAAATATGAATACAATCCACATGTGCAATATGGAAATGCTGAGTTGCGATGGACGACACCATCTCCACATTTTCTTTCTCTTTTCACCAGATGGCAGAAATGCACTCACCCCCCTCCTAGACCCAGACACATTCACAAATGCATATGGAAAACCTCCCTACCACATATGAGAGAAAAAGGTACCCAACACACAAGTGAAAACATGTGCATTCATCCAAGGTGTGGAGAAGTAAATATACAAATGGTATTTACTTTTACGTTGCAAATTGGACATATATATATATATATATATATATATGTGTGTATTCTTTTATGTATAGTACTATTTGTTGATCTTACCCTTTTACAAGATGATATGTGTCGCAACTTGACAAATTGCATCTGTGCCTTATCAGCTGCACTTCGGAGAATTTACATTTATACTTAACATGTTTTCTGGACGTGGCTTATTGTGACACCTTTTTTTAAGTCCTATTTTTGCATGCACATGTTCAGGCGAAAATTGGCACTTTTGCGTGAATTTTTTTTTTTTTTTTTTACTGAAGCATTTGGATGGATATTTTTTTTTTTTTTTTTTTTTTTAATTTCTCCCCACTGTGTATGGCTCTTCAGACAGTCGCCGTTACACTATATATAGGAGCATAATCATCTAATGAAGAGAAGCATAATTTTTGAAAGAGTCCAGAAAGTGGAATTACCAATACAGGGGGATATGTTATAATCATTTGTAACATCATATGCCCTCACTTCAACGGTCGTACATGAAAAGGGGAATAAAAATCTTTGGACCGACACATGAAAGAGGACCGTGCCAAGAGTGGTAAATAACATGGGGGGTTGAAGGAAAAAAAAAAAAACACATATATATATACATATAAACACACACATATATGCACATCCTGAGGGATCGCCAACCTAGGTGCACGTGCTTATACTCAGATAAATCCATTTGTTTGTACACGCACGCCAGTCCTGCTGCATTTGGAAGCGCAAGAAAGAAGCTGTTGGCCGTCTTTTTCACCCCCATTTTTGCTTATTATAAGCTGATCTCACAAAAACGCAATCGAAATAACCTGCACATGTTCATGCAAAAATGCACGGAAAGAAAAAAAACACCTCATTTGACATTTTACCTCCGCCATTGGAGAGAATAAGCAAACCAGATAAGAAAAATACGAAGGAGGATGAAAAGAATAATCTGAGTAATCAATTGAACTTGAATTTGTCCAAAACAAACAATCACACTAAAACTAAAGCCAATAAACAAGAGGACACATTTCAAAAAGATGAAATGGATAACATGAACAAGAAAATAAAAAATAATACAAATTACATATCGGAAAAATATAGCAACGTTATTTTAAATAGTGAAGAGATTAGTTCCATCATGAACAGTAATTCCGATTTTAAATCTCTCATCGAGAATGACAAGGTGTCAGCTTTTATGAACGACTACTTAGCAAATCCATTGGTTGCCATAAGCAAATATCACAAAGATGAAACAATTTCTAAATTCCTTGATTCCCTATTTCAGTACATGAATGCAAAGAGCACCAACATTCATTTAAACAATTTAGAGGATCACTTTACCGTTTCAAGGAGCTAACAAATGCGAATCTTCACACATAATTTGTTACCCCCACGCAAATTTGATTATATCCTTACATTTATGCATCTTCCCAACATTCTCATAATGGTCAGGCTAAAACTGGTGCCTTCTTCCCTGCGTAAAAATATGCTATCATAGTGTATTACATACATGTGTACATCCGTACATACATACTTACATGCATTATGTATGGACGACTCATTCATCGTGAGCAGAAAAATTATACAAAAATTGGAATCAGCGCCACCAACACTATCATAAGAAGAGCATGGTTGAGTGGGACATTTCAACTCATCTCTTGTCAATTATTACAAGATAAACTTCCGTTTATCACATTCTAAAAACCTTTTAAAATATGAAATTAAAGAAATGATGGAAACGCACCTCATAATGAGTCTTTTTTTTTTTTTTTTTTTTTTTTTTTTGTCCTTAAAACTTTGACTCATTTTTTAAAAATCCATTTGGTTTGATCTACTAATTCATGTGTTGGGGTTATATACTTCTGTTTTTGTTCAGATGTAGACATCCCATTTATTTGTCAGTATAAGTAAACGCTAGTTTTCCTTTGTACACACCACCAATAATGGGTTCAGAGATTTAACAACCGTTTAATATATACACACTATGTTTCACGTCAAATTGGAGGGAATCTCGAACACGTTGCACGTATACCCCCTCATGCTTCTCTCCTACACCTGCACGTTCATACAAATGTGTACATATATAGGTGCACATTATGTACCGGGTATGTGCATGCAGTTTTGCATAACAATGTTCACTTTTGTCACGGGCACAAAAATGTATGTCACTTTAGGAGATGCTTTTAAAAACGTATAGCACAGTAAAAAAAACTGTCAAAAATGGCGAAAATGGTAAAAATGGCAAAAATGACAAAAATGATGAAAACGTGAAAATGTGAAAAAATGCTACTTACCCCAAAATTTCTTTCTTAGAAAAAAAAAAAAAAATATAGGTAGTGGAAGGGAGAGAAATTTATTTTCACATTTGAGGAAAATGCAATTAAAATTGTATCATCTCATACTCGAGGGTAAGGAGGGAAGAAAAATTCATCACATCTGCTTCTCCCAAAGTTCATTGTTACATTTGTGTAACCCAGAGTTTATGTATAGAAATTTTTCGTCTTTAACAAACTTGTTCCTTCTTCACAGGTGTTTACTTGTTTAGTGTTCTTGTGTTCCTTTCCATGGTGGTTTGGGTGCTCTTTTTTTTCCTAAGTTTCTTTGCTTTCTTTGCCTCTTGTTTTTTCTCGCTCTATTTCCTCTTGGGTTTTCTCATTTGCACTGGTTTTTTTTTTTTTTTTTTTTTTTTTTTATACACGCACCAGTATATGCTTTTCTCAATTACCTCCCTAATTTTAATACACGCACCAGTATATGCTTTTCTCAATTACCTCCCTAACCTTGTGCAAGTGCATGAAAGCACATAAATTATGACCTGTTCAGGCGAATAAGAAAAAAAAAAAAAAAAAAAAAAAAAACAGGGGAAAAAAAAAAAAAGGAAAAACCATAATAAAGCTAATATTTCACAAAATGAATAAAGTGTAGTCAATTTATGCAAAAAACAGAAAGAGGATCCCTCCTGTTATGAAGCAGTTTTTTTTTTTTTTTTTTTTTTCTTCTTTTTCTTCTCTTTCTCTTCTTTTTTTCTTTCCGCTTTTGCATTACTTTTTTTTCCCCCCCCCCCCCTTTTCATATTTTTTTTTTTTTTTTTTTTTTTTTTTTTTTTTTTTTTTTTTTTTTTTTTTTTTTTTTTTTTTTTTTTTTTTTTTTTCCCTTCTCTTCGAACTATTCCTATCATTCCATTTTTATTCCTACGTATCCTTATCTTATCCCTTTTGAATTTTTTTTTTTTTTTTTTTTTTTCCACCTAAAATAGTAAAAAGAAAAAGGCTCACCACCTGTCCCTTTTTCTCCTCTTCATTTGTTTGTATTTTTCTCCTTGCACAATTTCATTCCTTTTCCTACCCCGGTATTTTTTCGCTCGTTCTTCATTTCAGCTAGCCAGGAGAAATACTCAAATCGTGTGACGCAACCAAAAATCCCACACCACCACAAACAGTGTACTGTTTCAGTCTAGCAACCGGGACACGGGAGCATAGGGAGTGGGAACAAGGAATGAAAAACAGTACCATAGTGCAATCAAGCGTAGCCTATAATATATATATATATGTATATATATATATGTATCCTTACGAACATGTACACATGCTTGCGTGTGTGAAACAAAGCGGGAATCAGAAAATCGAACATAGATCGATCAAGTAGAGGATATGCATACACCTCCCTCGAAGAATCAGCGTGTACGTGTGTCAAGCCACTCCCCTTGTGTGGTTGATTAGTTAACTCAGCACACAGCAAGGTTTCGGATGGAGAATTCATCCCTTCTTGTAGGTATAAGATAATACTTGTGAAGACATTTTTCATTACGCGTAGCTGGAAGAGAGAGCAGAAATTCCTCAAGCAGAACTGCCTTGCACGAGCAGAACTCTCATATAGAAACACTGCTTTGCACGAGCAAAAATTTCTACTAGCAGAACTTCCTTGCACGCTTTGAGCGCTTGGTAAGCACACCATGGAGGAAAAGATAGAAAGCGATTTGCTTAGGATATTTACACAGAGTGTGTCGAACAATTTTGGGGACATCAAAGAGAGTGAATCCAAAATTAGTGCATTGTACAATGACACCAATAGGGAGAATTACATTCGATTACTTTTGAAGTTTATTATTTATCCATATGAGGAAAAGAATGAGAAAAAGAATTTATATGATAATTTATTGAACAAGAATGTTAAGATAGGAATACTGATAAGCATAAAAAATTTCATAAAAAAAAGTGTACATAGTAATTTAGAGGATCTAGAATTGAGTCCCGATTTATGTATTCAAATTAAGCACATTTGTTTACACATTTTGCTAGATGTTGATAACGAAGATATAAAAAATTTGGAAAAATATTTTTATGAGATACTATTATACCTATTTAAATTCAGTATTTGTGATGATTATGATTATTTACTATTCTATCTGATAATTTTATATATTAATGATGGTGGAGTGTCAAGTGTCCTTCAATTAATGCACAATGAAGAAAAAAAAAAAATAGAGGATACGACCAATATCATCCAGTGCATTATGCTATACGTAAGGAATAAAGAAATTATAGAAAATTTAAATCAAGATAATTTCTTCATTCAATACCCTAAATTTATGAGCAACTTAGAAGATATCAAGAATGTTATTAGTTGTAGAAATAAATCCCTAAGTGATGACATTGTAAATTATATTAACAATACAAAGAGGGTTTACAAAACTGGTGACAAGTACGATTTGTTTATGTTAAGTGATTTCACGCTGTACAATATTCCAGATAATGCTTCCCCAGCGGGTACGGGAAATTGGGTCGGAACGGGGCTATCGGGTCAGGTCGGAACGGGGCTATCGGGTCAGGTCGGAACGGGGTTATCGGGTCAGGTCGGAACGGGGTTATCGGGTCAGGTCGCAAGTAATAGTCTTGACATGAGAGACAGTTCTCTTAGCTCCATAAGCACAGGAAGTGCAACACTGGATTTTCCAGGAAAGGGAACCATTTTAAATGATTTCAATGGAAATATCAAAGTAATACCGACGTGCATCTCCGTGCCCCACCTCCCATATAAACAAATGAACATAAGTGAACTTCAAAAAAAACTTATAGCCATGAAAATTATAAGAAAAATAGTGAAAAAATACAAAAATAACGATTATGTAACAAAATATGACTTAAAAATAATTCTGACACATATAGAATTTCCAATAACCTTGTATTTTATTTATTTATATTTAAAATTTGCTCAGTGTAACTCTTATCTGATGGATAAGCTGAATAATGAAATGGATGGAAATAAAAATTCAATTCTTGCAATTACACATGGAGCAGATGCACACAATGAAACGTATTCTCACATGAGTAGATGTTTTCTTGCAATGAATTACATTCTTCAGAATATGTATGTTTTTTTAAAAATTTTTTACTCTATCATTAGTATCGACTTACCAGAATATTATGAAGATAATTTTGAAATATTTTTCAACATTTTTAACAATATTTTGCTTTATGATAATGCCATGATCAGAAATTTTCACAACCATATGGATGCGTTATATAAAAGGGGAAAACCAGCCAATGCTGTCAGCAGTGGGATTGGCAGCGGGATCGGCAGTGGGATGTCTGCTTATGGGTCTGGCTCGCCCCCAGGCCAATCACATCTGAGTGAACCAAATTGCGTAAACAATTTGGGATCAAACAACTTATCGAGGGGTAAAAATATTTCAAAGGGAGAGTTAAACGCAGAGGATTTAAACAAGATAAGTGCCATATTTTCTCAGAATATTTTAAAATGCAAAGTCATGTTAGTAGATGTAATTAAAATAATTTCAGAGTCTTATCAAGATGAATCCAAAAAGTACATCGTAAAGTTAATATTTTCTTTAACACAAGTGTTGTATACAGAAAATGACAAGAATCTTTTGTGCCATAATTACAACTGTCTTGCATCTACTATCAAACTTATTCATCACATGAATCTAAATAAAAATGAATCCAATCCATATAAAGACAAAGAATTTTTGCACAAAATACTAGAACGAGTATTACATCACATTAGACTTAAACGAATTGACATTGAAGAAATTCTAGATGCAGATCTGGATTACTTTAGAAATGATCTTAATAAAATCAATTCATTTTCTGTGCGATCCACAGCCACGTGTTTCTTAAAAACACTTTGTGATAATTACTTCGATGTTTGCTTTCCAATGTTAGAAATGCGTATACTGTCGAAGGATTCACTCATGCTTGGTTCAGGAACAGTTGGAGGTATCCAGATGGGTGGTGCTGTGGGTGCACAGATGCATACCCAGTTCAACAATGCACAGCAAAACATGAACACGAGTGACAACAACCAACACGCTGTGGTAATAGACAAGAACGACCCGTTTTATGAAGCGTGCAATATAGAATACAAGATTCAGCTGATTACATGCCTAGGTCAGGTAAATTTAGCCTTAAACTTTTATGAACAAAATGTGCAGCACATGTTGAAAGAATTTGTGATGACAGTAGGGATGAAGTATCCAGATGTAGAATCCATTTGTTACAATATAGACGATTATGACTTTGCAAGTGTACATATGGGAAATGCTGCTATTAATATGAACAGTAATGCCAATAGTGCAAGTAACACACATATGAATAGCGGAAGCAGGAACAACGCAGGTGGTGGTGCTGCTGGTAGTAGTGGTAGTAGTACTACTACTTGCAACAACAAATGTGTATGGTTGTCAAATGAAGAACTTTTTAACAATACAAACACCATATATTTATTGGCAATTTTGAAATTTATACTAAATAATAGAAACATATGCACAAGCTCTAACAGGAACGCTTTAGATGTATTCGCTTTTCTTTACAACTTACTCTTTAGTGAGAAAGTCATGATACACAGCTATGCATGTTTATGTATTAACAGAATTTTAAATCAACAAATAAGTAACGAGTTGTCTGAATCTATTTTTTCAACATGTATTATGAAAATTCTGAATCGATTGTTATTCCTTCTAAAATATCATATACATATGAGGGTGTTAAATGAGTATATATTAATAACTATCATGCGAATTTTTATTATATTTTCAGAAAAATTAGAAAATTTATATGTTACAGTTTTATTAATATTGGACAACACGATAAAAACAATTATAAATGATTCACACAACCCATTGTTTAATCATTACTTATTTGAATTACTAACCATTGTAATTTCATTAATATATAAATCACATAATGTTAGAAGCATAAATCAAGTAGAAGAAATTATCATTTGTACCTTCTCCCAAATTTTACAAGTCTATATTCATGATTTCATTCCATATATTTTCCAAATCTTATCTATCATTATAGATAATACATCTACCATTCAGAAAGTGCATATTAAAATTTTAACAAATTTGTATGAAATGGATTTATGGAAAAGCACAGTTGGAAATGCTAATGGAATTATATGTGTCCTACAGAGTTATTTTAAAAAATATCATCTTTTTCAAGAAATTATCAAAAATAACATGCAACAATTGTTTAACATTTATCACTATTGCTTATCTAATAAAAAAATATCAACTGATTCATTTCAGATCGTACTTATTATTTTTACCTACCTCCCTTTGGAATCTTATAAAACCTACTTAAAACCTCTCTTTGTATTACTTTTCACGTTTATTCAGCAGTACAAAAATGACATCATTAAAATCAAAGTTGTTCACACTCTCTCCATTTTGGTGCTCAAGATAGACGTGACTCTCTTCATTGACATTGTCGAGCAGATTCACACTGGTAAGTCATGCCACCTGTTAGTGGTGGAGGCAGCACTAGCGCTAACGTTCTCACTAGAAGTGACATTCAAATTAGAAGTGACATTCAAATTAGAAGTGACATTCAAATTAGAAGTGACATTCTCACTAGGAGTGACATTCTCACTAGGAGTGACATTCTCACTAGGAGTGACATTCTCACTAGGAGTGACATTCTCACTAGGAGTGACATTCTCACTAGGAGTGACATTCTCACTAGAAGTGACATTCAAATTAGAAGTGCCCACACCCCTCTATCATTTATATCCACACGCACGTTTTTCTTGCAGGTCTCATATTCAACATACTGAAGAACCTGTACATGCCCATACTAGACAAGCTAATCAATGTAAATGAAAAAATTATAATATTCCTCGCACTGACAAAACTGATAAGTAATAACAAAATTAGAGAAGAACCGTTCGTGGTAGACATCCTTAACCTGCTTAATCAGAACATCACTAATAATGAACTCGTTTTGAAGAAGAACAAAATCCATGTGCAGGATGTCCAGAAGGATGAGATAGACAAAAACTTCGAGGTTACCTATGTTAAACTCCAGATGATCAATAATGACAATATTAATGAAACTGTAAGTATGCTGAGGGGGGGTACCTCAGTTGTGCAACCGGGACATTTTTTCCATACCCGGTTTATGCTTGCACCGTTTTTTCCTTGCACCGTTTTTTCCTTGCACCGTTTTTTTCTTGTACCTTTTTTCCAGCATGGATCTCCAGTCCACACATCTTAGCACATCTAACCTGCACGTCATTTCCTCCTCCCTCTCAGGTCCTTCGCAACATCAACATCAACCTCGAGCTGAAGCAAAACCTGTACAATTCCACGTTCATGCAAATTTGCCACACACACGGGTTCAACAGCATCTTGCAGTTGTTCAATACCTGAACCCTGAACCCTGAACCCTGAACCCTGCACCCCCCCCCGATGCCTCGCCCTCCTCATGGCCACTCCTTGTAGAAGAAGCGGAGACAGAAGATGGAGAAGAAGATGGAGAAGAAGATGGAGAAGAAGATGGAGAAGAAGATGAATCACCACGAATATACCCCAGATATATAAGTGTATTGTATATACGAGTTCGTGGGTGTCAAACGTTATGTGTGCATATGTTATTCTCGCTTGAGTGCATGTTTATACATACATCCAGCTTCATCCAGTTTCCTGCATTTCATGAACTTTCATAATTTGCATGCATTTTTCATACATTTTCGTACATTTTTCATACATTTTCGTACATTCTCGTACATTCTCGTACGGTTCTCGTGTTGTGCTCCACCCCAAGGCGGACGAGTCGCTTTTGCTTGCGTGTACCCAACTTTTTTTTTTTTTTTTTTTTTTTTTCTCTATGCACAAAATGAAGTAAAAAAGAAAAGAAAAAAAAACTAAAAAACTTGTTAACAAAGAGTGAATATTTTAAAACTTGAAAATTCGAAGCCTGGAAAATGTAAAGAGATAAAAATTTTGAAAATGCAACTCTTAAAAGGGGAACGATTTTGAAAGGGCATGTTCAAAATAAAGCATACGATAAGGGAGCAAATTGGTGAAGTAATATAATCACAATGGGGGTTGGTTTTAAGATAGATGTGATGGGGTTTTGGGGGGGGGGGCCCGAAAAAATGTTCTACCAGCATCATCTGCTCCCCTCTGAACCTGCCAGTACCCCCAGGAAGGAAGCGGTGGGAGAGAGGTATATATATAAAAAAAAAAAAAAAAATAAATGCTAATTTTATCACCCATCCAAAGTTATATCCTCTACCTTATCATGAAAACATTTTTATTAAATTCAGTAAACAACATTTTTAAAAGAAAAAGCGAAAAGTATTTAAAACAATTTTTTAAATTTATTCTGAGAAAGGAACATATCGAGAACATACAAACGGACGATGTTGTGTTGTACCCTTTGTCAACACTTTGCATCTACCTGACCCATTTGGACGATGCGGTAGCTAGCTCTTTTGGTCCATTCGAAGGACCCAATGTAACACCTGAACCAGGGGAAAATCAGCATTTAATTTATAAATATGGTATGAACAGTAAGGCGAGGGAGTCCCAGCCCCCCCCGGATGAGCTGAAACAGTTCCTCTTAATCAGCAAAGCACACACGAGCACCTTCTTCGAGGCATATATGAAACATTTTCTTTTTTCGAAAAGACATGAAGCAAAACTGAACCTACGAAGTTGTACATATCTTCTGAATGCACTATGCTTACTGAATTATGAGGATCACAAGAACCATCGAAAATGGCTTTTCGAAAGATTGATGAAAGAGTTTATATATGGATATCATGCATACTTAAGAAAAATTGGAACAAAGCACCAACTCGATCAAGTGCAAAACAGTCAGATGGGTAACTTAACTAACAACTTCTTAAATTGTCAGATTCTTGTGGAATCCCTTACAGTAATAAATAAACACATATCGAAATTAAAAACATACGATTTAAAAAACGTACACCTCTTCCACGTCTTCTACTTGAATGTCATTAATTACTTATTCGCATGTGAAACATTTCACACATCTGGTGAACTTCCCCAAGAATTCTGTGCCAAACATCGGACAGGTGAATCAGAGCAGCCCCCATGTGTGGTACTAACCAACCATATTGATGAAAAATGTGTGAACATAAATCGAATCAAGCAATTCTACCAACTCGTACTTTTAGATATGCACAATTTTTTCAGCATAGCCCTTTTCTTAAAGAAGTATGAAGAATCTGTTTACCACTTGGACTTTTACTGCGCTCAGGAGAGTACTGTCTCATCGGATGGTTCCTCCCCCGAGCAGGGTTGTTCTGGAAGTGACCCCATCAGAGGTGATCCTGTCAGAAGTGACCCCATCAGAGGAGACTATATCCGCGCCATGATAAATAGAACCATTGTCCACATCTACCTGAACCTGTTTTATGGGACTCCATCGGGGAGAGAAGACCAGCGGGGGGAAGGGCACAAATCACTGCATTGTGATGAAGGGAACACAACCAAACGGTGCAACTGGAGAACGAACTCCTCTGTCACCAAAGAACTTCATATAAATAATAAACACACGCATAGTCGCAAAAAAAAATTTATGAACGAAAAATCAGCACTGTTGTCCCACGACTTGGCAGAAGCAAGGAAAAAAAACCCCCGAATGGAAATTCTTAACATGAGTGCATCATACCTACTACAAATGTGGAATAACTTTTATGACGAATTCGATCAATTATACAAAGGGGGGAAAATAAATATTAATTTTGTTATTTTTCAAAATGGTATGAACATGGTCAGATTTTTAAACACCTTGTCCTTCTCAATATTATCTACCGATATTCACGCATGTGACCATTTTAACAAAAATTTATACAACCATATGTCAAATTTTAAGCTATTTATAAAATTAAAGAAAACATCAACTGATACGTCCATCCTGAATGCAGCAATATATACATATATCCAATTGTTCCTCTTCATTTTGAACTTTTATATTTCTCTTGTATGTACCAATACCTTGGTTTCCCTTCTCAGCTGTTTTTCCCAAATTGGGCTTACACACACCAAAGAGGGGAAAAGAACAATTAGATGTTCCATCCTCCCAATTCGATTAATAAACGAGGAAATAATTTCCAGATCCTATGAATGTGTCGTGGATCTCCACAAGGGACACCCCTATGAGAGGAAGAAACTTCTGCTTCTGCACCCTATGTCATCGATCCATGGCATTTCTCCCACCTCCACTAGTGTCAATCGAAGGCACCTCTTTAACTTGTGTAACATATATGGCAAACTCAACTTCTACCATGTATCATTTGTCGAATTGATTGAAAATGTTATCATTACTGAACTGCCACATTTAGACAAGAAAGATATCTTAGCACTGATATATTTTCTAAACAGGATGTTTTCTCTCACAACTAGAAAAACAAATTCCACAACTCACAATCAAACAAATTCTCAAAGCAGAAGCGGAAGCCCAAGTCTAACACAAGGGTTACGACTACGACATGATGTATTGCTACATCTACTTAGAAACATAGAACCCAATATTATCAGATTCCAAATGAGCGAAATTCATTTAATTTTGAAAACCCTACTTAGTTTTAGTCGTAAATATACAGATCCAGATCTTTTTTTATCAACATTTGCAGACACCTTACTTCACCACGTGGTCCTTCGAACTCTTGTCATGTGGTCTGTTCGGCAATCATACGAAAAGTTCCATGTGGAGAAATCCCAGGTGGAGATTGAGTCATATGCAAAGGGGACCCCCTCAAGCATGCACGGAAAGGAACGTGTCGACAGAACCGATTTTAAGAAAACAATTCAGGAATTCTCCAAAATGATTCGCTTGTCACGTTCAAGTAACAAAACATATCTGAAGAAAACAGGAGATGTTCTTCAAGTGCACGAAGGTAATTCCAGTTTTTCCATTAAAGAAAATGAAATGTTTAATATCTACTCCTCCCTTTTAGAAACTGATAGAAGAATAACCACACCAATTTTGAACACACTTATGCGTGATTTTGTAAACATCCTAAGTGTAGTAACCAAATTGAACATGAAAAAATACATTCCTCTATTTGATGTACTATATCTATTCATTGCTCGAATTCCAAATTGTAGAAATGTCTTAAATACACATGAGTGGGTAAGCCTAATTTTAAGTCACTGTAAGGTCAAACACACCCCATACTATGTAAACCAGTATTTGCAGCTTCTTCATGAAAACATTCTTAATATCCCTGCTTCCACTTTTGCGAACACGGACAACCCTGTCGAAGAATTGCATCCCTCGGAGGGGAGGACTCATGTGAAGGAGCAGAATGAGAGTGAGAAAAATATTCACCTCATCAGAACGTTATCCCATCGACTAAAAAATACTGGCTTAAAAAATAAGGAACTCATTTGTCGTTTGGCACAAAGAACAAGAGATCGTTAAAGAAGAGGACATACAGAACACATGTAACTAGTTTGGAAGTGCACCATTTTGAGAATGGGTTTGGGTTGGGGGTGGGGGTAACCCATGGATGTTCCTTTCCCCTCACACCTCTGCACTTTTTTTTGGAAATTTTTCTCCCGGGGCTTAGTAGCTCAGCCCGTGCCCTAGCAAGGCGAGAAAAAATGGCACGCAAATTGGCACGCAAATTGGCACGCAAATTGGTACGCAAATTGGTACGCAAAATGGCATAAAAATAAGGAGAAAAAAAAAAAAAAAAAATTCACATGTTTGCATATATATCTGCTCTTGCTTCGCCTCGCTTTCCCGATCCCTGGTTCTTCACTTGCTCGTTTGTTTGTTTTATAGCCCATTTTATCTGCTCATTCGATAGCCCATTTTATCCGTTCGTTTGTTCGACTATTTTTTCTACATCTTTGTTTGCCCCTTTATTTTTTTCCATTTTTTTTTACCTTTTTTACTTTTTTTTTTTTTTTTTTTACTTTCATCTCTCTCCCCATTTTTCACCACATGTGCACACCTGTTCGACCACCAAAATTTACCTGCCGAGGAAAACTCGCTGAAAGTGGCCAGATCTTCCTCATTTGAAGGATCTTCTCTTTCACCTTGGAAACTTCCCCATCAAGCTAATTTTCTCACCTACCCAACTTCTCTCACGGTGCCAAAACTTCTTATGCACCTGCTTGTGGTTTTACTGCTTCTCATTCTTATCATAACTCCTAGAACCCACATTTCATCCCATAGAATTTATGAACACTTTAAAATAAGAAGCATACCCCCATGTCATAGAATTGGAACAAGGGCAAGATGGAGCTTCATCAACGGATATGTCAATTTGGATAATGCTGTGCAGTTCCGATGGAATGAGCACCACCCCGTGTATAACAATCAGAGGATGATTCGTCCAGAGGGAAGAGACAGAAGAAAATTCCAACTCAGAGGATCACTAAACGATTACATATACAAACTTCTCATCAGGAGGTTTAAAAAAGTTACATACCAAGGAGAGAGAAATATTTACAAATCTCTCTTATCTGCAAAAAGTAGTTACAACATCGACTTTCTGTTCTCGTGCAATTATAGCTTAAGTGATATTAAAAAAAAATTAGCTGAATATATATATGAGCTCAAGTTTGTTGATGGAGACGAATTCAAAATTGTTTACTTAGGAAAGAGGAGACTCGTGCGACCTATTAAAAAACAGGATGAAGCTTACTATATCTTGTTTACCTTTCAAATATACCCTTCAATGATTTATGAAATATCCAAGAAGCTCCGTCTGCAGGACCCTGTCCTCAGGTACCAACCCATGCAAAAACACAAAAACACATGCAGTAGTGCTTCTCCGGCACCAACTTATGGAAACATCCAAAAATCTGCAGTTTGCAAAATATTCTAAACTAGCGAAAAAATGTGCCACCACACGTACCGACACTGGACCCATCCATTCTATGCAGACAATACACATCTCCATTTCATTCCATTCCATCCCCCTTGCTAGGTTTATGATAACGAAAAATGAGAAAAAAACCAGGAACCTCGAATACATGGAAAATGAGCCCATCAAGGAGGGACTGGCCTCCACTGAAGCCCATTTTTTCAAAAAGCTCAGCTGATCATACACACGCACACAAAACATTCGAACGGAAAAACATACGAAGCACACTATTTTTTTTTTTTTTACGACAATTCAGGCTTTTTCATTAAGTGGCTATTATATTGGTCCAGCTTTTTTCCCCCTTTTTTGCACCGTTTTCGCGAATGCGGAACGCCCCTCATTTTTTCCATATCAATACGGCACCCCGCATAGGAACTAGCTGCATGTGAGGAAAAAAAAAAATAACAAATCAACAAATGAACACATATGTAAATGTTTAAATGTGTAAATAAATAAATGAAATAATATGAAATAATATGAAAATACCCATGTGTAACCCACGGGCGATGGGGCACATCCGTTTAATGCTCAATATAACCACTTTGCATGAAAAAAAAAAAAAATAAACAATAAAAGGGTCCGAAAAAGGGTCATAAAAGGGGCCAGAAAAAGAGCCAGTAAAAGGGCCAGTAAAAGGGCCAATTAAAATGCAACTCAGTCATGCCTTTTCACCCCCTTCTCTTCTCATCTCTTCTCCCCCTTCTCATCTCATCTCCTCGCTTCTCTCTTTTTTGCACAATAAAACCTAGAGGGGCGCGAGATGTACGCATGAAACTTTTTTGTTTCCTCTCTCAAACAGATATCTCCCCTTCAAGCATTTCATGCACGTGTGCATCTGGGGGTGGGGGATATGTGTGAGACCATGGTATAAGATGAAAAACTGGTTGCCACTCTTAGTCATATGCCTGAAATTGGCTTCCTTAGCTACCCTAATTTACCTAAAGTGGACAAGCCAACAGTTGGGAGAAAAAAGGAGCTCCTTCCTCTTCTTCTACTTCACTTCATTTATACTATATGCCATCTCGTCCCTTTCCGATCCGTAAGCAGAAAAATAAATCGAAGAAGCGCAGGGTGTTACCCCATTGCACTTTTACGCTATTGCACCGTTGCACCATTGCGCCGTTATGCTGGTGTGCCCCTTTTCCGCATGAACATGGTCAGGTAAAATTGCGCCTCACCTGTGGTTATTCCCCCCCCCCCCCTCTCTCATTTGTAGTGGATACCTCACCACATGTCCACTCACGTACTTGAAAGATGATGAACGTAATGAGTTCAAAAAGGTCTTAAAAGAGAAAAATAATCAACATAAAACAGAAAGAAAATTATCTCTAGCCTCATCCACCACAGTTGACCAGATATCATCTTCGGGTTCATCTTCGGGTTCATATTCCGATTCATCTTCGGGTTCATATTCTGATTTATCTTCGGGTTCATATTCCGATTCTTCTTTCGATTCATCACCCTCTGCAAGGCTCATTACAAATGGTTACACGAAAGGATCAATTGGTGAGTAGAATCATGCGGAGGCGAAAAGCTTTTGAGCAACGTAGCTCATCCTAGTCCGCATGCCGATCCGAATGGAGTGTTTATCTTTGCATCTATTTGGCTTCACACTAAGCACTAACATCGCACCGATTTACAACATCTAACTAAGTATTCACTCTTCCCCACATGCAGAGGAGCTGGAAAGCCTCACCATCATCCACCATGCGAAGGAAAATACAATAATAACAGAAAAGGGAATAAGAAAAAATCAAAAAGGTGGAACTACTGTATGCCACAATCAACGGGAAAATAACATAGTGCACCAAGAAGACAACTGTAGAATATGTAAGAACAAGAAGAACATAACAAAATTTATGAACACAGTTCATGGAACAGCAGACAGAAAAAGAGATGAGACAAAATTTGAAGGATTTTCCAAATGTTCATTGCTGAATAAGTTGAATAATGGAAACTCTCATATCACACGTGATAGTATGGAAAGTGTTAGCGTCCTACATACCACCATAGAACGACACAACAATGGCGAACTAGACACGAAGCATTATCCTTCGAAGAGCAAATGGGATACCAACCCGAGAGTGAAATCCAGAGATAGAGGTAGAGATAGCGAAAAAAAAATGCAACTCCTTTCACTTAAATCTCTTAAAATGAGACAGAAGAAGAAGAAGAAGAAGAAAAAACAAAGGAATGGGATGTACAGGCACAAACTTCTACCCCTAACAGAGTCCTGTCACATAACACACGACAATCGAAGATATCATGAGGCGGAACCATCTCCAATGTATAAGACAATACAAACCAAACGAATTGATAAAAGTGAAATAATATTTTCCACGGATATTGAAATGAAACTGTCTAAAATTTTCCGCTTACGTAAGAGTAAAGTATATCAGTATGGACAACAACTGACATACTGCTCCCTATGCAACCTTGTTCAGGTCAGTGAAGAACATTACACGTATTCATCTTTTTCCACAATTGCATTTGTGCATCCTCGACATGCATGTGTGTTTTGCTCTCCCACGCATAAGCACTCCAAGGGTGAAGTTCCCCCTCTCTCCCTCCTCCCCCACGTAACTGTGCAACATCTCACTACACAACTGCTCACCCGTGCGCAGATCCTTCGAAGTAAACACTGCCATACGTGTCAAAAGTGTGTATGCACATTCGACCACCACTGCCCATGGATGAATAATTGCATTGCAGAAAATAACAGAATTGCCTTTTTACTTTATCTCTTTTTTGAAGACATTAATATTTTTCTCGCCTTAAAGGAACTTGTTCACGTCATTTACAAAATGCTGCTTTGTGAAAATGGGTTCGTTTCATGAAAGAAGCCCGGGACTGGCGAAGAGAACATATATATATATATATACATACCTTCATGTTGAACAAAAACCTGATTAACATTTTTATCCTTCTCTCCACCATTCTCGCAATGACTATTTTTTTTTCTTTCTTTCCCATCTAGCGAGAAAGGGACAAATGGATGATCCCTTCTTTCATTACACACACACACATACACATACACAGGAAAAAAAGATTCTTTAGGTTCTGTTTTCATTTTTGTCTCCTCATCCCCACCCCCTCCCTTTTTCGACACAGATGGTTTTTCGCTTGGCTAGTAACACTCTTCATTATTCTCTCTTTCCTTTTCATAATAATTTCTTGTCTCAGTATTTATCACTTATATTTATGCTTAGTAAGTGTGTATTTTCTGGTTGCAAAAAAAAAAAAAGAATAACCTATCCGTTTTTATATTATAAGTCCACTGTTTGCATTCTATCGAATGTGTTTCTTCACTATAGCCTAAAGCGGTTCATTTGTCTACCCCTTATGTCCCATATATATCCCTCCCGAATAAAATCGAAAATTTATCACTATTATTACATTTCCCACTTACACCTCCATTTCAGATAAACGAAACTACATATGAAAATGTGATGCGATTTAAAAATATACCACAACTGAAGAACTCAAAGAGGAATCTAACTGACTCTCACTCCAACATCTTAAGTTATCAACAGAACCTTTTAATTTACTTTTCCAACTTTTTTCTTCCAAGTTGGATATTCCCTCAAGTCCTCCGATCTTATGTGTCAAATTTGATGCATCCCACGAGTGTCCCCACGCAGGGCCACAACGGGGAGATCTTCTGGAAGCCAAGTAAGAAATGGGGAAAATCTCGAAAGTGGTGAAGTGATAAATCACTAATTTAATGAAATGTGGAGGACGCTTCTAAAAAAAAAAAAAAAAACCAAAATGAAACCTCGCGGATGAAAAAATTTCCAAAAAAAGTGGAAACCATGTGATGAAAATAACCGATTTGTTGGCAGCCCCATTTTCTACGTTTTCATTCACCTCCACTTTTTTTTTTTTTTTTCACGGGGTTCCCTATACACACATGTAAGAAGGCCAATTTTATTATATTATATTATTTTTTATTTTTTTATTTTTTTTTTCTTAGGCCAGAAATCGCCCGTTCGGGGTTCCCCTTTTTTTTTCTCAATTTTTAAAGTAAGAGTTATGTGCTTCTACAAGTGCTCTACCAGTGTTTTGCTAGTGCTCTACAAGTGTTTTTTTTTTTTTTTTTTTTTTTTTTTTTTTCTTCCATCAATCTCGCCCTCCCTCCATCTTTAAATGAACGGACTTAAGATGCGTAGAATTTCCTCTGACCCATGGCCCATCTGTTTTGCCTCCTAAGCGACACTGCATGTGATTTACATCACTTCTTGCTTTTCTTACATAACTGAGCTGCATATTAACACTTCTCTCTCGGTGCAAGGAGAAAAACCTTTTTACGCAAAAATTTACTTCTACTTCAACACAGACGCTACAACATGTCACAGGATTCACACGAAGAAACTTTCCAATTATGATTATTTCATTTATAGAATCCAAATGAATAAAATATGCAGGGTAGTGATCCTTCCTAATTTCTTCATGTTTAGAAAATATAGATTCTGTTCTTCTTTAAGTACACTTGAATTAACAGCAGCTCATCGAAAGCTGTTCATACAAATTGCTAACAGTACCATTTTGAAAACGTGTGATGGTAGGACATACCAAAAGATAATCAAAATTCAAGAAAGATCCAAGATATTTAAATCTCTCCATGAAGAACTAGATGTGTATGAACAACTTTTCCAAGAAAGATTCGAGATCGATGCAAAGGAAACAAATACTACAATTGATTATAAACAAATGTATGACAGAATTATGAATGATGATGTTGATATGAAGGATCTTATGCAAAACATACATGCCATTGGTAACCTGCTTCTCCTTGATGTGATAGACTTCTACAAAACTGTCCTGAACAAAGATCACCACTTGGACACCGATGAGGTGCAGATAGAGGTAGGTTCTGCACTCCTACCTGAGATGCATAAGATTACCCAATTTTTACACGCATACTCAAGTTTCATTCATGTAGCTGCTTTAAATTCATGTAGCTGCTTTAAATTCATGTAGCTGCTTTAAATTCACCGCCCTCCATCAGATCACGCCCGGGGTTGGGGGCCAGGAGGCGCAGCTCTTTTGCAGGGACCTGTGGAACATGTACGAACACTTGTGTAAGCTGAAAAACTTTGAGTGGAAATCGATTCGTGGAGAAATTGAAGAAGGGAAGGAGAACAGCACAAAGGGAATGATGGCAGTAGTGAGAGGGGAACAAGTGTACGAACATTTTATACAAGAAAATGGAATTCATAGAGTCCAACGTGTTCCAGTAAATAGCAAAAAAATTCATACATCTACATCTATCGTTTTTGTATTTGATGAAAAAAGCGTAACAAATAAAATATTAAAAAAAATCAAGTTAGAAAAACAAGACCTCCTCTTTGAAACCAAAAGGTCAGGTGGTGCTGGTGGACAAAGCGTTAATAAAAACGAAACATGTGTAAAGGTAACTCATAAACCAACAAATATTTCTGTTGAAATGCAAAAAACATCGAGTCAAATACAAAATAAAAGTATGGCTATTCAAGCTCTTAAAAACAAACTCTATAATTTCTACTATGAATATGAAAAAGAACAATTTATCAAAAATAAAAAAAGTCATAAAATGAATGGAGATAGGAGCCAAAAAATACGTACATACAATTTTGTGCACAATTTTGTTATGGATCATATCACCAATACCCACTATCCACATATCGACCAATTCTTTAAAGGAGACCAACTCCTTCAACTTATGTATCGACACAGACAAAACTTTTACCAACGCATCGTGGATGAAGCATTTGCTTCCATTCTCTCACACACCACCCTCTAGCCACAGCCATCTATCGAAGTACCCGAAATGTGCAATCCACTTTTCAATCCAGGATTTTCTATGTCTCACCCCCATGAGCTCTGCACAAAACCAGTACACACTGCCGACCCGGTATATGCTTGCATCTTTTCACTCGTGCATGTATATATATGTATACAGCAGAATGCCACTTCTCCAGCGTTTAAGTTTTTACTCATCTTTGTGAGCATCTATTTATGCACATCCATTTGCGCATCTCTATTTGCTTATGTTTTTGTATTTCCTTATTTATACCACTTCGGTTCACCCTTTTTGATGAGCTCTCCTTTTTTTTTTTTTTTTTTTTTTTTTTTTTTCCGTCTCGACTCCTCATTCCACACACAATGAAGAGTTCAATCTGGTGGGCCAAAAGGAACAATACCTGTCGCGTCCTCAACCCCAGAACCTCTCTTCCTTTTCTTCTATCGAATTCCAATCAGTAAATAAAGAAGAAAAATATATTCTGTCAACTCTTCATATTCCTCTTTAACTTTTGGAGAACGAAAGAAATTATGTATAAATCTGCAGTTTCGAAATGTTCATATTTTCTCGAATCTACATGGAAAACCATTTTTTTGCAAAAAAAAAAAAAAAAAAAAAAAGGGGTTCATATGGTACCCCACTTGGAGGAACCAATGTACAATTTTGTTCATTCTCAGCTGCACCTTCCCTGTTTATTCTTCTTATGATCTGTTGCAGCGGATCAAACGGATCCTTTTAACTTCCCTTATATACACACTTACAAGTGGGGAAAAAATCGTGCAATTCTTTTTTTTTTTTTTTTTTTTTTTTTTTTTTTTTTTTGCGACCATGGAATATTTCACTCCGTATATGCAAAATTAATCGACTCTTCCTTTCACGTGTCGAAGCGTCCTCGCAAGTCGTGTGCTTTATATATTAACTCACAAGCACAGGGTGCATATGTACATACATACGTGCATACATACGTACATACATATTATATACACATATATGCACATACTTTTGCAGTATATGGACGCTGTCACAAAGCCCAAACGTCGAACAGTACCACGAGCAGGTGAGACGAAGAAAGGAATTTTTTTTTTTTTTTCCTTCTAGTTTTATTTCAAAGAGAAAATTAGAGATAATTCTACTGGGAAGTGTTACGCGTTGCAGAATTGAAGCGATCCCTATTTGCATTTTACAACTTGGAAAAATCTTGAGCACGTGCCTTGGTTCATGCAAGTAGAACAAGTGGGGGAGGGTAACTTCTTTTTGAAGAAAAAGCTACGAATCTGCAGAATTTTTTTTTTCCACGTTTTAATGTAATTGGCAAAAGGTGCAGCAGCACAACTGGAAGCAAACTGCTCCACTAGACCAAGCACGCACCCGTGTGGTTGAAAAATAAGAGGCTGAGGAAATTTTGGAAAAATAAAAGAACTTGTAAAAAAAAAAAAAACCTAGGAAATTTTTTGCGAATAAAGAAAGCAGAAATATCGAGCCATTTTAAGTCAAAACCACAGAATGGATAAGAAAGCGAGGGAATATGCACAGGGAGCCATAAAGTTCATCCAGAAAAGTGGAAGTAATTTTCTGGCATGCAAGAACATAAGGGAGAAGTTAGAGGAAAAGGGGTTCAAGAGAATCGAGGAAGGAGATATATGGAATCTGGAAAAAAATGAAGGATATGTATTCAGTAAACAGAATAGAAATATATGCAGTTTTTTTATTGGGAAAAATTTCAGCATTCATAAAGGTTCTATTCTCATATCTATTGGACATATTGATTCGTGTTGCTTAAAAATATCCCCCAATAATAATCTAGTAAGAAGTAAACTAAATCAATTAAATGTTGAATGCTATGGTTCTGGATTGTGGCATACATGGTTTGATCGAAGTTTAGGATTATCTGGACAAGTTGTGTATAAAAAAGGAAAAAAACTCGTGGAAAAGCTCATTCAGATTGATAAATCCATTTTATTTTTACCCAGTCTTGCCATACATCTGCAAAATAGAACCCGATTCGAATTCAATGTCAAAATTAATTATGAGAATCATTTGAAACCTATTTTGTCTACCCTTCTCTATGACCAACTCGTGAAGGGAAACTCTCCCACATCTGCCCAACTGGCAGAAGAGGGAAACGTCCAAGATGTTGAAAAGAAAAACCAAACAGACGACCAACTTATGAAGAACCGACTAATGAAAAACGAACCGATAGAAGAAGGCGAACCAATAGACACCAAAATAGTCGATGGGACATTGGCCAAGTGTGATTCTCATCAAGAAAATCCAAACGCATCTCCACTTCTTTACGTTCTAGCAAAAGAATTGAAGTGTGCAGAAATGGATATTCTGGACTTCGAGCTGTGCCTTATGGATGTAAATGAACCATGCTTCACAGGGGCGTATGAAGAATTTATCGAGGGTGCCAGATTCGACAATCTTCTAGGTTCCTACTGTATATTTCAGGGGTTCGCAGAGATGGTAGAAAATATAAAAGCCAGCGACAGGAAACTGACACAAGGGAGTGATCCAAACGGGAGTGCACCCAATGGAAGTGGGCACACAAATGTACATCCAGATGTGCAACCAGATGTGCAACCAGATGTACACAACAACCTGTACATATGCATTGGCTATGATCACGAAGAAATAGGATCCTTGAGTGAAGTGGGGGCACAATCGTATTTTACCCAAAGTTTCATTAAAAGAATATTAAGTGCTCTTTGCAGACAGGAGAATCCAGATGGTCTCGCATCTACCTCCATCGATGAACTTTATGGTAGCCTCATGAACAGATCTCTCCTTTTAAGTGTCGATATGGCTCACTGCAGTCATCCAAATTATCCAGAAACGGTGCAAACGAATCACCAACTATTTTTTCATGAAGGAATTGCTATTAAATATAACACAAATAAGAACTATGTAACATCTCCTTATTACACATGTCTGCTTAAAAGAACCTTCGAATTGTTTGCATCTAATTATAAGGAACCTATAAAGTATCAAAATTTTATGGTAAAAAATGATACCCCTTGTGGCAGTACTGTGGGTTCTATGCTTGCATCGAACTTGTCAATGCCTGGTATTGATATTGGCATACCTCAGCTAGCTATGCACTCGATCAGAGAAATTGCAGCAATACGTGACATCTATTATCTCATCAAGGGAGTCTTGGCTTTCTACACGTATTATAACCAAGTCCATGCAGCATGCGTGCCAGACGCGTAAGAAGTGGCTAAGAAGTGGTTGAGAAGTGGCTAAGAAGTGGTTGAGAAGTGGCTGAGAAGTGGTTGAGAAGTGGCTAAGAAGTGGTTGAGAAGTGGCTGAGACGTTGCTAAGAAGTGGTTGAGAAGTGGCTGAGACGTTGCTAAGAAGTGGTTGAGAAGTGGCTGAGACGTTGCTAAGAAGTGGTTGAAAAGTCGCATGATCAGCCATACGACACACGAGTCCAAGAACATCAAACCAATGACAGCTAGCATTTCTTCCCCTTGCACACCAACAAATCTCTCGTACAAATATCTTTGCTGTGTATGCAAAACCGATCCACACCCATTCACCCCCTTATAAACAATTCATCGTAAGATTGCATCGTTTCGAAAAATAGGAACAGAAATACGTGTATTCTGCTCATTCACATATTATTTCCAGATTTTTTTTGCCATATTTTATTCATTCCATTTTTTCTCCCTATAACTGCACTTAAAACGTTTCATATGAATATGCATATGTGGGGTTGTCTCCCCGTGATGGAATCTCCCGTTCCATATGTTCTCCATCGATCGTATCCACATAGCCACATATTGACATGCTCATAAAGCTAGTTATCTAGTGATGTAATGATGTAAAGCAAACAGATGTAATTGTAAAGCACTGATTTGTGTGTATCATGTGGAGGACGGAGGTAAAAAAAAAAAAAAAAAAAAAAATATACATATATGTACATACACATATATGTATATATATATATGTAATAAAATAAAAAGGTACTGAGCCAAGCTACTAATTAAATAAACTCGTCATATTAAAACTTAGGGTATAACAGTTCGTGATTACAGTATCCAATGGAGAGCAAGGGGAAAATGTCAAATTTAACACCCCAGTGGTGTTGTTTGATGGGTGACGTGGCTGAAAATGTTTTTTTTTCTTTCTTTCTTTTTTTTTTTTTTTTTTTTTTTTTTTTTTTTTTTTACACATTGTAGTACAGTAATGGGTCGAGTTTGGTTACATAGGGGCGATTTTCGCCATATACGCACATGTGTGTATGTGTACATTTATTTATATGTACACATATTTATATGCACACATATTTATGTGTTCTTCATTCCCTATTGACCACCACTTTCCGCCAATTCCTTTGAAAAGGTCAAAGCAGCAATTTTAGAATTTCCTAAAAAGAAAAAAAAGAAATATGCAGTATGGAAGGGGCGCATGGGGAGAAAGGATCACCACAAAAGTGTGACATCACAAATGGTGCAGCAAAACCAACCTCGATCGTGCTCCTTCTCCTCGTCATATAACACAACCAGAATATTTCCACCAGGTACTTTAATCAAGTGTAACCCTCCTTTCAGCTTGGCGCATGTAGCAACATCAAATGTATATCCCTCGAATTCCAAATCCCTTTCGATATTTATAAACTGATACTTAGTCCCTCCCAGCCACACTCCATCGGGTGCATATCCCTCCTTAAAAACTGTCAACAGAGTTTGCCCTTCGTTAATCGTTTTCTTGCTTTTGTTTCCATTCTGTAGACATAAAAACGGGGGAAATAAGAGAGAGAGAAAAAAAAAAATGGAGATAAATGAATGGTATATATCATATGTGCCAAACGCATCATCTGCACAATTGCTTCTCTGCAGAAGCGACATGTTCACGTGCGGTCGGTCCTTGCAATTTTTAAACTAGACCAGATCCTTTCGGGGAATTTCCCACACATGTATATATGCATGTATATATATGCATGTATATATATGCACGTCTATATATGCACGTCTATATATGCACGTCTATATATGCACGTCTATATATGCACGTCTATATATGCACGTCTATACATGCACGTCTATACATGCATGTGCCATACCTCATCCTCCACTTCTATTTCGAAATCTTCCTTATAAAATAGAGTCCATTTGTCAAAGTTTGGGTCATTCTCATCGGCTTGAGCGACACAGGCATATACAACTCCATCTTCCTCCTGCGTTCAAAAGGCGGAGAAAATCAAGTTTCTCAATGTGTGTGATTATTCATTATTATTATTATTTGTCATTATTGTTTTTCATTATTTTTTGTCATTATTTTTTGTCATTATTTTTTGTCATTATTGTTTGTCATTATTTTTTGTCATTATTTTTTGTCATTATTTTTTGTCATTATTGTTTTTCATTATTTTTTGTCATTATTTTTTGTCATTATTTTTTGTCATTATTGTTTGTCATTATTTTTTGTTATTATTATAATTGTTTATTTCTTTTTTTTTTTATGATCTGTTCAGGTAAAAATTTCCGTCCGCCAGACGTGCAAACTCAAGAGCCATTGTTCCTTCAGAGGGGAACACATGAACATTTCCGAGTGACGTGAGAGGACGGGCTGAATTGTCACGAGGAAATTCCACTCTCCCTTACCGATGCCAACCCCGCAGCCGACACTTGGTTTGTTGCCAAAAGTCGATCATTCAGGTAACTATCCCATGAATATTCCTCTTCCATTTTGCTTTTAATTTGGGTATGTGTATGTGTATGTGTACGTTTATGTATATGTACGTATATGCATGTGCATATATATATCTGTGTATATTTTCTTCTTATTTTGATTTTGTTTAAGGGGTAAATGGCACGTATGTACAACACAATGTGGGAAATATGTGGAAATGATTAATATTGCACAGTCAGGCAAAAAAAAAAAAAAAAAAAAAAAAAAAAAAAAAAAAAAAAAAAAAAAAAAAAAAAAAAAAAAAAAAAAAAAAAAAAAAAAAAAAAAAAAAAAAAAAAAAAATTAAAAAAATTAAAAAAATTAAAAAGATTAACAAAATGGAAAAAACTAAGAAAGGATAAAAATTGGTAAAGCATGAAAAACAGCGAAAGTCAACACGAGATCGAATAAATCAACATGTGCATAAATTGGAACATTGCTAAAAAGACGAATGAACAAATGCGATTGGTTTCATTTGTGCGAGGGAAAATGTAAGCAGAAAATGCGATCGGCAAAAAATAAACGCCAAGTAGTGTATAGCTATCCGAAGAAATAAACCTGAAGTAACTACCAAAAAAAAAAAAAATAAAATAAAATAATTATTAAATAATAAGTAACACAGAATGGATGATAAACGTAAGCAAAATAAAATGAGCAAAAACTGTGAACGCATAAAACCCTCACAAACGTCAATGAAAGTTGAGTGATGAGTTTGATGAGCAAGCCAAGCTGAGTTTTTTTTTTTTTTTTTTTTTTTTTTTTATCCTTTACCCTTTTTTTTCCTTTTTAAAAGTAACAAAAAAAAAAAAAAAAAAAAAAAAAAAAAAAAAAAAAAAAAAAAAAAAAAAAAAAAAAAAAAAAAAAAAAAAAAAAAAAAAAAAAAAAAAAAAAAAAAAAAAAAAAAAAATTTTTTTTTTTTTTTTTTTTTTTTTTTTTATCCTTTACCCTTTTTTTTCCTTTTTAAAAGAAAAAAAAAAAAAAAAAAAAAAAAAAAAAGAAGCGAGAAAGTTAATTACACCCCAATTTAGTCGCGAATATGTGCATACCTCTTCCCGTTCGCATTTGCATGTACTGATGTGTCAACACACCAATATGCCAATGTGTCAACACGCCAATATGCCAATGTGTCAACACACCAATGTGCCAATTTTTCAATACCCCCTTGTTCTCATGATCCCACAACTTCAAAACACAGCATCACAATTTTGAACAAATTCGAATTTGTCCTTCTTGTCTCATCAAATATACAAAGCATACAAATGTGTGAAATAACCATTTTTATCAAATTGGATACATACGAGAGAGAAAAAAAAAAAAAAAAATAAAATAAAAAAATATGTAAGCAAATCTCCAATTATGCATGAACATGTTCAGGTTCATTATATGCCTTTTTTTTTTTTTTTTTTTTTTTAGGCACCATTTTCTAAATATCTTGTCTTCTCCCCCCCCCCCAAATTTCCCTTTCATATTTATATCAGTTCAAAATGAACAATTAAATGACAAATCTGTCTCATTTTAAATTATGTCATGATGTTCACTGAGTTTGTCCAATCCAACACTTTTATTTTATTTTATTTTTTTTTTTTTTTTGTTGATTTAAAAAAAAAAAAAAAAAAAAGGCAATAATAAGAACAGTGACAACAGTAAGGATGGCATCAAACCCTCCTATACTTCTATGTGTGCAAAGTAGAAAGGGGGTGGGGAGTGAAATGGAAGAAACAACAATATCCATCGCTCTGTCATAATGAAAAATGAACTAGCGTTTCTGAATAAAGCGTTGTAAAAAGAAAAAAAAAAAAAATAGGCACTTCTTTAAACAATTACTTTGTAATGAGATACATTGCAAAGGACAATCTTTTTATCTGTGGGGAACCATTTTGTCACATTTTTTTTTTTTTTTTTTTTTTTTTTACCACATGGTGTTTCTTCCACTCCCATATTCTCTTTGTATATCCACAACTATCACTACTAGCATGACATTCCTTTTTTTTTTTTTTTTAAGTAAAAAAAAAAAATTCACTTAAAGTTTAACAATACTCATCAACTGAACGTGTGCAAAATGTTCTCTCTCTCGAACTTAATATAAATTTGTATCATTCTAGTTGCAAATTGCTTGCACTCGTCATTATTGAGTATGTCCTATATAACCTGTCACATTTGTTATATGCACATCAACTAATGTCCAGATGGCACGACACAGTTGTTTTTCCCTTATGGGGTTGTACCCTAAGGATTTAATGTAGTAATCAACTTAGTGTAGTAATCAACATAACGTAGTAATCACGTTAGTGAAGTAGTGACATGACAAAATGAAGCATGTGAAAGCGCAAAGAAAATTTCTTCCCAATAGTGTTAAATTAACTGTTTAACTTTTTCCCTTCTTATGCAACTCGCATGTGTTATAAGAGGACACATTGGAATATACATGGTGTGTACCAACAAAGAGTTCTGTGGAAATTCACCTGTGTTGCCAAATCTTCGTTATCATCCATGTTTACCCATCAGAACCACTCAACTTTTCTCTCTTCTTTGGGTTCATCAAAAATGGCAAGGTCCTCAAAGAGTCATCATGTGGTGCGGGGAGACAATGACAAGGAGCAGAAAGGGACAAAAAAAGAAAAAAAAAATCAAAAAATTATGGAAAATTAGTGGAAATTGCTTCAAATGGGTGGAAATTGCTTCAAATGGGTGGAAATTGCTTCAAATGGGTGGAAATTGCTTCAAAATGGGTGGAAATTGCTTCAAATGGGTGAAAAGTATGCATTTTCCATTTGTGCAGAGAGAAAAGTGAAACAAAAATAAGTGACACAGAAAATGAGGCACTGTGAAAAGTAAGCTGCGCCCAAAACAAACATGAAGGTGAAGAGGTATAGCGGAAATGTGTGTGTCAATGTCAAGCTGAGTCAAAGCAGGAAATTTTCTCCTTTGTGAACCCAAATAATTTCCCGTTCCTCACAGGGGATGGTAGTAAATGAGACAATACTTTTCATCCACCCATGGGTGCATAATGAAGCTTCTAAAAGGGCAACTAAAAATGCGACTTAAAAGTGTCTACCTCTCCTGAGACTCTTAAAAAAAAAAAAAAATGAAAACTACGCCTGTGAAATTTTCTGTGAAATTTTCTGTGAAATTGAAAGCCGATGCAGAAAAATAAAAAAAATCAGGAAGAGTGAAAACAGTGAACAACTCTCTGCTTTCTCTTTTAAACATTGTCACAGCAAAAAAAGGAAGGAAAAAGAAGGGAGCATCTGTATTATGCATACATGTGTACATACGTACATGCAAAATAAATGTATGCACGTTTTTTTTTTTTTTTTTTTTCTCACTTTTCTTTACTTGTTTTCATGTTTTTTCCTTTTTTTCCTTTTTTTCCTTTTTTTCCTTTTTTTCCTTTTTCTCCCAACTACCTCCTTTGGATAAATCAATTGAGAGATACCTGTTACAAAGTGTGTACCCATCAGAGGGCATCCTCTTTAGCGTTTTTCTAAATGTGTCATCTTTAAAATTTTTATTATTTTAGCTATTTTTGAAATTTTTTCCGTTTCTGCTATTTTTGCAATTTTTTCCGTTTCTGCTATTTTTGCAATTTTTTCCGTTTCTGCCATTTTTGCTATTTTTTCAATTTCTTCAATTTTTTCCATTTTTTCAATTTTTTCAATTTTTTCCATTTTTTCCATTTTTTCCATTTTTTCCATTTCTTCAATTTTTTCCATTTCTTCAATTTTTTCCATTTTTTCCATTTCAGTTTAATTTGCTCAATCAAGTATAAAGAGTTGGCATATACCTTAGCCTATGCCACGGGTGTTACCTATTTTTTTTTTTTATTTTCTGTATTCTTTTTTTTTTTCACACTTTTTCATTTTCTCATATTTGTATTTTTTTCCATATTTCTTCCCACTTTTGAATCTCTCATATTTGCAAGTTCCACTTCGCGGTGCAAGAACCTTGGTGGAAAGGAGGCACCCCAGATTAAAAGAGATACAAAATATAAACGTTCCTTTTCAGATTTTTTTTTTTTTTTTTTTTTTCTCAACTGAGACAACTGAATATTCATCTATATTTCTTGTTCAATTATTACCCCTTGGGGATTTTCCCGTTCCTCTGTTTCCGCATCTGTTTATATGTCCATTTCTGCGTTTCTTTTTGCTCCTACGTGAGATTGCTCAATCGCACACGATCGTTTATCAGCTTCGTCTGAGGCACCACTGCACGAACTCGAATTCATCTCAGCCCTCTTTCTCAGTAAAGTTCTTCTCAAATGCAATTATGGATTCTGATAACCTGCATTGTAGTGTGTGGAATTCTGAGTGCACTTTTTTCAGGTGCGAGCAAAATCTCCACCAGTATGTTCATGGCTAGTCCGATCTGTGAATTACGGACCTCCCTCTATCCCTGTGCCACATGCAGTAACTTATGCAGTGACCGCTGCAATGACTGAACTCATAGTGTGGAACAACCCCACTCCCTGCAGGCCTCTCCCTTGGAATCATGATGCTAGATACACTGCAATTAAACCTGTTAATCCTTGTATCAGAAAAAGACAAAAAAGAATTGAACAACGCAAAGAATGCGAGAAAAATATTGCCTCTAAGAAACAACACGAATGAAATTCTGGTGACATTTATTACAGCCAATGTAATGGTGAATTCAGCTTTTAGCTTGTTGCTTAGCGAATTGACAGACGGAGTTACCTCATTTATTATTTCAACTTTAATTATTACTATTTTTGGAGAAATTATACCACAATCCATCTGTTCGAAACATGGACTAGCCATTGGAGGCTTCTTCGCTCCCCTTATTCACTGCTTGAAGTTCTGTCTTTTCATATTCGCCAAACCGATTAGTCTAATTCTGGATCATTTCGTTGGTAGGTTCTATTCCAAATGAGTTTCGTCTCTGTTGTACACTTTTGCACACAATATGCATATGCACTATACACTTTTGCAAGACCCTCACCTGCGTTGCAACCTGTTTTCTTCGCCCATTCCTCACTGTTTTACATCTCGCATGATACCACCCCGACTAAATGGTTCACATCACATTAAGACATTTTTGCTTACTTCTCATCACCCACACACACCTTAGGGAAAAATGTACTAAATACATATGATAAGAAACAACTGAAGGCACTCGTGGACATGCACAAAAGTGCAGCTGACATTCTGCACGAAGATGAAGCAAAAATTGTTGTTAGCGCCTTGGAAATGTCACAATACAAAGTGATGCACATCATGACAGATATAGATTACGTCTTTGGAATTGATTATAACAGCTTTATAAACTATGACACGATAAAACGGATTCTAAAAAGTGGGTTCTCAAGAATACCTGTTCTAAATAGACATAGATCTGAATGTGTTGTTGGACTCATTCACATTAAAGACTTAATAAACATCTGGTTTGGTATCAACAAAATAATTTTTGATAATAATTCGCTAGTTCAATATAGAAAAAGAAGAGACAGTAATAAACATAGATATTACAAAAAAAAAACAAAATCAGGAATATTCCATCTGATTAAACAAAAATCAGAAAAAATTAGAATAGCCAATAAAATATATGCATATAATGGAGAAAAAATTATTGCACGTCCTACCACTGCATCTAGTAAAAATTTCAAAAACAAAAAAGGGGACGATAAGCACCTCATAAGTGCTCGCTTAAAAAATACACATAACAAAAAAATAAAAAACACTTCAACAGAAGAAAAACATCTTATCGGTAGGAAGAAAAACGGGTATTGCACAGATACAGCCGATAGTGAAAATGATTTGGACAGTACCCTCGGTAAGGAAAATGAAAGAGAAGTTGGAGTTTATGACCACGCTGATTCCACTCTTCATGATGAGCACCACGGCAGGGGAGGAACAGCAGCAGAAGTAGAAGCAGAAGTAGAAGCAGAAGTAGAAGTAGAAGCAGAAGCAGCAGCTGCAGCAGAGATGGTTCAAGTGGAAATCTCAGATTTGAAAGGAAAGAGAGGGAACTCAAAAACAAATGCAAATGGGCATGTGGAAACAGACAGCGAATTAGAACCCGATAGAAAATCCAAAATGAGCGAAGTAAAAATTAACATAAGCCACTATTCCATGGAAAAACAAATCCAAAATGAAAATTTCGATCAGATGAAAAGGAAGAAGGGCGAAAAAAAGGTTCAAATAAAAGCGTCCAATAAAAAAGAGGAGAAAAAAATGGTAAGAAGCAACTATGACAGACACAAAAATGAACATATGCACACAAATAAATGCACACTGAATCCGAATGAAAATAACGATATTGTAAATCCGTCCAAACTTCGAGAAAAGAAAAGAAAAAAAATTAAAAAGAGTTACAAAAATCCATACGAAACAAAGAACAGAAATTTAAATTTTGTCGAATTCCTTTCGGATCAAATGATGCTTAGTGAAGATAATGAAGAACAGTCATCATCACTTGATGACATCGAATTTACCGACATTAGAAAGAGAATAAAATATTACAACAAATTGAACAAGGGGAGACAAGGGGCAAACACAACATGTGCTAATCTTCCTAGTGGAAATGGCTTCTCCACAGGAACTGTGAAAAGTTTTCATCCCTCAGGAAAATGTCAAACGAAAAGAAAGTTAACATCTCCAATTGAAAAAGAAAACTGTAATGTTAATCTATATGAAGAAAACCATCAGGAAACAACAGACACGAGAAATGATGCACTTAATGATGCACATGATAGTATTAGTGATATCACGTCCAACTATGGTCTTAACAGGTACGTGTCACAAAGCATCATGATAAAAGAAAATTTAAACAAAGAAAAAAATATGCAACACATTTTCTTGGATATAAAAAGTTACATCAGAATAACAAGAAATAAGGATATTGAAATTCCAGTGAAATATATTTTGAAACATATTGGAAGATACATTTACGGAGTCGACTATAATGAAAGTATACTCTCTTTGTTAAGTTTTTTTAAAAGTGCCAATAATCACATTGTAGTTGTGAGGAAGGTTATTTGTGATGAAAATGCAGACCCAAAATATTCACACATTGGAATTATTACTCTAGAAGATGTTATAGAAATTTTACTGCAAGAAGAAATAACGGATGAATTCGATTTTAGAAATATAAAAAAGGGAACCGACATTCCTTCCAATTTTGTCTGGAAAAATTCTGATGAATCGCTTAAGAATGCTAATAAAATGAGGGAAAAATCAATAGATAAGAAAAACGACAAAGCATACATAGAACCCAAGGGAATGCAACAATCACAGGAAAGAGGAGACGACAATAATACTGCACCTGAATGGATACACTCTTTCATGGAACAAAGGATTAACAGAAAGAACACACACCTACCAGCATGCAAAAAGGAAATTATCAGTGTTCTAAAAGAAAGTATATATTTTAAATACATAGATACACAGTTGATAAGAAAGTGGATACAAAAAAAAAAAATAAGAACTGTACAAAAAAATGAATATCTATTGAAAGAAAATACCTTTTTAAATTATGCAATTATACTCATGAAAGGACATGTGAAAAATGTAAAAAACAATAGTACACACATATTGGAAGATAAGTGCATTATTGCATTGGAAGCTCTCGGGCCATGTAACATTATCGAACTATTTAATAGCACTATTGAGAAAAGAATTCATGTTTTGGAAAATTATCAAGAAGAAAAAAAAAAAAAAAAAATAAATAATAAATCGCTATTTTTCAAAAGAAAAAATCAGGAAGACAAGAAAGGATCATTTAAAACAAAATGGAGTTCCCTAATCAGGGAAAAGCACAAAAATCAGAAAAACAAGTCGAACGGCATAAGCACTGATACTGACCTACACATCACAAACGTGATTCATAAGAACATCAATATCTTGTTCAAGAAGTGGTATACACAGCATGTCTACTTTAACAAGAGCACGTATATTGCAGGTGCGTACGAGCGATGCGCGTTCAGCTGCACCCATGAGCCCATTCTAGTGTGTTCATACATGTGTGTGAATATATGTGTGTTCATACAGGTGTGTTCATACATGTGTGTGAATATGCGCATGTTCATTCTAGTGTGTTCATACACATATATTCACACACATGTGACCTACAAATGCATCATCTGTCTGTGCTCACTCATTATTGTGTCCATTTAACCCTTCACACAGAAACTCCCTGCGAATATATTGTTCTGTCCAAAAACGAATATATGGACATGATAACTGGTAAGTCATCACACAGTCATCTCCTTCATGTCAATATGAAAAAGGAGATTATTTACACTATCCTCATTTTACATTTCTGATAATTCTGTTATTCTATATGTTGTTCCTTCTGTATCGTAATTACACAAATGTGAAAATATTCTCTTTTTTTTTTTTTTTTTTTTTTCATTATTTTCAGAATGCTACAGCAACAACAAGGTTGACGAAATTATTGAGGATAATTGACATTAGTTTTATTTATTTATTTTTTTTTTTTTTTTTTTTTTTGTATATAAATATCCATATCACCAATCCACATCCTTTTATCAATTTTAATTTTCCATATCATATTTTTTTTCATACATTTTTCCCAACCTTTTTTTTTCCTTTTTTTTTTTTTTTTTTTTTTTTTTTTTTTTTTTTTTTTTTTTGTATATAAATATCCATATCACCAATCCACATCCTTTTATCAATTTTAATTTTCCATATCATATTTTTTGTCATACATTTCTCCCAACCTGTTTTCTTCCTTTTTTTTTTTTTTTTTTTTTTTGTTTCCCCCTTTTAAATATTAATATTTGTTAATATATTTCCATTTTTTTTATAAATTTTTAAAAATTTTTTAAATTTTTTGTACATTTTTTATGAACAAAGTCATAATTTTAATGATTCAAAAAAGGAAAAAAAAAAAAAAAAAAAAAAAAAAAAAAAAAAAGACAGGGCAAAAGGTTGAAAATAGAAAGAAGCAGAAATTAAAGTAAAATTTATGAGGCACAATAAAACGAGTATACCTTGGAATCCTGTTATATTTATAACTTTGCGTGTCACTCAATGTGTAGACATAATATACCTCTCATTAACATGGTTGCGTAATGTTTATATATAGAACTCCTCTTATTTATTATTATTTTTTTTTTTTTCATATATTTGTTTTTTTTTTTTTTTTTTTTTTTTTACTTGCATATTCTATACATTTTGGCTAGCTCCACTATACACCATCCACATTTACATAGGATCTTCATATAATTCTTCTTCTTCTTCGTTTACGTTACAAGTGTTGGCACAAAAGTAGGATGAAAATAACAATGTCGAAGCGATCACTGTTGAGCTTAGTACTGCCAAGGATAGTCCGATTGCCCCGACGCCCATTCCTGTCACATTGACAAGGAAAACGGGAAAAAAAAAAAAAAATGAGAAAGAGAAGGATATGAAGAGGCAGCACTGTGGTAAAGAAAAATAAAAATATGTATGTACATGGACAGACAAAAACACTGGAATGGAAGAACATTCATCTTTTTATCAATTTGGGTGCAAAGAGTGAGATGATGTAATCGATGGGAAGAATAACGTGTGGAAGTATTAGACGATTGTGGTAAACACATTAAGGGAAAAGATGATCCCGAACTGTCACACAATATAATGTTCAACATGTATTATGTATTTCGCAATTTTCCAAATCTTTTTCTTCTGAACAGGTGTTAGAAAAAGATGAAGAATTTTTACCTGCACCATAAATGATATTGTCGACGATTCCGTATTCTGCAACGAGGGAGGAAAAAAAAAAAAAAAAAAAAAAAAAAACATGAACATAGACATAACATAGACATAACATAGACTTAACATAGACTTAACATAGACTTAACATAGACATAATATAGACATAACATAGACATAACATAGACATAACATAGACATAACATAGACATAACATAGACTTAACATAGACTTAACATAGACATAACATAGACATAACATAGACATAACATAGACATAACATAGACTTAACATAGACTTAACATAGACTTAACATAGACTTAACATAGACATAATATAGACATAACATAGACATAACATAGACATAACATAGACATAACATAGACTTAACATAGACTTAACATAGACTTAACATAGACATAATATAGACATAACATAGACATAACATAGACATAACATAGACATAACATAGACATAACATAGACTTAACATAGACTTAACATAGACATAACATAAACAATTTTGGAATTAAAAAATGGGAATGGATTACTACACGCGCTTATATCTGCATGATGAGAATACAAATTTTTTTGTGAACCTTTTGCTAATTTAATTTAACCTTTTTTTTCAAAACTTTTGCTTTCACTGAATGCTTCCCCCTGTAAAAGGAAATTCACATGTAATAATTTTATGTATGAACATTAATATCTTTGTACATACGATTTAATCTCATTATTCTACACATTCATGTGAAACGAATGAACGTACATGCCTGAGGGGCATAGAGGGGAGCGGAGTGTGTCGACCACTCACCAACCCCCTCGACTATATGTGCTTGCATATATGCGGCTTTTATATGTACAAGTTTTATATATATCAGTAGTATAAGCTTTGTGTGCACTTTTGCATGAACACGTTCAGATTAAGCACATATACATATACATATATATATATATATACACATTTGTACATGTATGCACCATGCTTCTTTTTCTCTTTTTTGTGTATTTCTCACCGATAGTTTCTCGGTGGAGAAGGTATCCTCGTCCTTGTCTCTGTTAAGGTGAGAAAGTGTGTACACGAAATTTTGAATGTGTCGCATATGTTTAATTGTTTATAATACATATGTCACACACTTAATAAATAATACAAAACAAACTTTTTCAGCGCTACGTGTCCGTAGCTGCTAGCGAAAACTCACCCTGATGGTATTCTTCGGAAATGCCCGTTGTAAATTTTTTTTAATGACATTTTGATGAACTTATGAAGAAGGTATAACGGGCCAAGTGCATAAGGGTAATGAAAGGGGTCGGAGAAAAGTGTAAAAACGCAAAACCAAAAGAGTGTAGAGGAGCGAAAATGTAGAGGTGCGAAAGTGTTTTAACGAAACAGCGTTGTTGTAAATCAAAAAAAATAATAAAATAAATAATAAATAAAACAAAAAAAACTCAAAGTGGAAAGTGAAGCGGAAAGTGAAGTGGCCATATATGTGTGCATATTTTTATTTTTTTTTCCACGTGCAAACACAATTTTATAACATTTGCGAGGAAGTCTACAAGGGTGAGCAGAAAATTGTAAAATGAAACTAAAGGAAGAGAGAAGACTGATAAGGGAAAGTAGGGAATAAAATTAAATGCAAAAAAAAAAAAAAAAAAAAAAAAAAAAAAAAAAAAAAAAAAAAAAAAAAAAAAAAAAAAAAAAAAAAAAAAAAAAAAAAAAAAAAAAAAAAAAAAAAAAAAAAAAAAAAAAAAAAAAAAAAAAAAAAAAAAAAAAAAGCAAAAAGGGGTAGGGTAAAAGTGGAATAAAACGGTAATAAAAAGGGGAAATGAAAAAGTAGTAAAAAAAAAAAAAAAAAAAAAAATGCATGTTAAATTTCAGGGGAAAATTTATCCTAAAACACAAGTAAAAACACTGTCATGAATTCAATAAAAACAAAAATAAAAATTTATAGACATCTTGGTGGTGTACTGTGTCGGTGTAAAGTGGCAGTTCAGTGTTGCCGCTCAATGTGACCGCATAATAATGTGATGATGATATAAAAAATGTTGTGAACTTTACCCCTCCATAAAAACTGTAACATTCAGAAAAACATGTGTAAATTTTACTTATTTTTGGAAACTTTTATCAGAACAATTGGGACAGACATTCCACGTCACCTTTCATCATCCACTTTTATTTGGTTTATTCATTTTTGTTCATTTTTTTTATTATTTTTTTTTTTTTTTTCCTTAATAATCTTTTTATACACTTTTTCAGACATGTCATGTGGACTAATTTTATCCACTTTTTAATTATGCATTATATGGTATGTTAGATAAAATATTATTTTTTTGTTTTTTGTTTTTTGTTTTTTGTTTTTTGTTTTTTATTTTTATTTTTATTTTATTTTTTTTGAACATTTGTCAGCCATGCACGAGAAGGGAGTTCGTTCATGTTGGCGTAAATTTGACCCAGTATTGAACTCTTTTTAGTAAAAATATTCTGAACAAAATTGTGTGTGAAAAATTGTCCATATATTTATGTGGAAAATATGAGCAAAATTGTGCTGAATGGACTGGCCGATATTTTTTCCCCATCACAATCGCACAGCTAGCTTTTCATAAAGTTCGTAAATTATCCCAAAGAATTTTTCCTCGCAATCTGAACCAGGCTGGAAATGGGAGAAAAAAAAAAAAAAAAAAAAAAAAAAACACAAAATTTGAAATTTGAAATTTGAAATTTGAAATTTGAAATTGTAAGATATGACAAGACTAAGGAGAAGAAATAAAATTATAAAACGAAGTTCCCGTGAAAGGTCTTTTTTCTCAAAAATATTTGTAAATACCGTGGGTTATTATACCAAGACAAGAGTGGAAAAAAAAAAAAAAAAAAATACTGTGCTGTGCACCCGTTTTACATGTCCATATGACAATACCGGGATGCATTACCCTCCATCCCTTCAATTTTAAAGACGAATCGAAAATGTCCAGCATACGTTCAAGTGATCTACACGGTAGTGAGTTATATATAAAAAAAAAATAAAACGAATAAAAAGCTGCACTTGTACTTCCATTTGTACTTCCATTTGTACTTCCATTTGTACTTCCATTTGCACTTCCATTTGCACTTCCATTTGCACTTCCATTTGCACTTCCATTTGCACTTCCATTCATACTTGCGCCTCTTTCCCACAAAAAGGAAATCATCACATGATCTCAACCGTAACTTAAAAGGTGCGTTCTCCGTGTGTGCAATTCGAAACACATACACATTGCTCATGCTTCCATGTTTACACAATTTTGATGGCACCTACAGGGGGAGAAGAGTCCTCCAAAGATGAAGCCGGATGAGACTTGATCAGCCTTGGTGAGACCTCTTCCCCCCGCCCCTCGCAATTATTTTTCAATTCATTGGATCCATCGTGCTCATCACGTCCGACGTGTAGTATATACGAACTATGAATTTATGTAACCCTGCCTTTCGCATGAACTCAATTAAAAAGAATTATTGTATGCACTGTTCAGGCTTATAACAAAAATCGACCAACAGCACTTGTACATAAGACATAACTTTGCAAAAAAACAATAAAATAAAAATAATGGAAACTCTTCTAGATAGCGAAACACTAAAGAATTACGAAAAAGAAACGAACGAATATATTCGCAAAAAAAAAGTAGAAAAATTGTTCGATGTCATTTTAAAAAATGTTCTAATAAACAAACCAGAAAATGTCTATTTGTACATATATAAGAACATTTATTCTTTCCTTTTGAATAAAATTTTTATAATCGGTCCTCCTTTGCTGAAAATTACTCCTACCTTATGTTCCGCCATTTCCAGCTGCTTCAGCTATTACCACCTTAGTATTTCACATATGATTGAGTCTTATATGCCTCTTGAGACAACGAACGATGTTGAAAATTCACCAAGAAAAAAATTAGGTAAGCTAAAGAGTACCTCACAGACATATACACGCTTGTGCAGATCCATTTAAGATGAACATAAATGATTGCTATGTAAATGCGAGCACATGGTTAAAAAAAAATTTTTTTTTTATGAACGCGGATAGCTGTAAATGTTTTTTTTTTTTATGAACGCGGATAGCTGTAAATGTTTTTTTTTTTTATGAACGCGGATAGCTGTAAATGTTTTTTTTTTTTATGAACGCAGATAGCTGTAAATAGTTTTTTTTTTTTTATGAACGCAGATAGCTGTAAATAGTTTTTTTTTTTTTTTATGAACGCTGACAACTGTAAATGTTTTTTCTTTTTTTTTTAAACAATTCACGCTTTAATTGCACGCATTGTGTGCATTTCTTTTAATAGCCAGTGATGATTTAATTTGTTCCATTGTTAAAAGAAATATAAACAACCTGAATGCAAAACAAAGGAGGGGCTTTGTTGTTGAAGGGTTCCCAAGTACTAATCTACAGGCACATAGCTGTCTTCAACATTTACCTTCCTACATTTTTGTCTTGTATGCCGACGAAGAGTATATTTATGAACAGTACGAGAAGGAAAGTAGAATAAAAATCTGCTCTGACATGAATAATCAAACATATGATGAAAATTCAGAATTATTCGAAATGGCGGAGATCGATACGCATCCTCTAAAGGATGAGGTAAAGGTCTACTTAAGGTGGGGTGTAACACTGTAGTAATGCTAGTACGGTAGCACCTGCTGAGTTTAATGTATAGTGAAACGAGTTCCTCGTCTTCCACGTTTTGCTCCTTATCACGCAAAATGTACATACATGCATAGACATAAGCATGCATAAACATATGCATACATAAACACACACATGAATACACACATAAACACACACATGAATACACACATAAACACACACATGAATACACACATACATACACACACGAATGACTCACCATTTAAGAAATCTTTTATTGACAGCACGTTGCAACTTTCCATCCAAAAAGAAACATTTCAGGGGTGTTATCTGTCCTCGGGGATCGTAAGGAAGTACTAAATTTACGTGATTATGATGAAAACGGCTTAATTGAACATGTCATGGTACAAGACAATTTTTCTTTCTTTTACTCAACCCGTTTGTGCTTTATTATACATACACATATATATATATATATATATATATATATATATATGTATATATACCCTCTTCTTTTTTCTTATTTTGTCGCATCACATGTTGCACACATTTTTAACCATTCATTACTTTACCTAAATTTGACGTTTTTCATATTTACTTTTTAAGAATAAGATTGGTCAAACTAAAGATGAATGGAATTGCGTCTTTGATGATTATTCAGTAAACTAGGGTTGAATATCTTTATTACCCCAGGGATCCTCTCACTTGTGTACGTATACATCTGTATGAGTGACACATGCACTGGATAAGTAGCTATAGCCTCAAGCTGAAGACAGTATCACTTCCATATGATGTCGTACATCCAATCCTCCTTTTAAGTGAATGCAAAGATTGAGAAAAAGGATGAAGATAAATGGGCTATATTATTCCTCCAGTTCGTTCCACTTGTGCAAATGAAAAAAGGAAATTTTTTATCCAATGGGACAACGAAATTAATCGATGAAGAGCTTTTTTATTACCCATATACATGGTACCAATTCGAGCAAAGGGTGCCATCTCGCATGGTGGATGTGTACATTAGATATATATATATATACATACATATATGCATATATACAAATATACATATATGCATATATACATATATGCATATATACATATATACATATACACATACGAATGTGCTGTGCCCACGACCATATGCAGCACTACAGATACGATGTATATGGCTCATTTGAAAATTGAAAGAAAAACTTTATACTTACTACACCTATTTTGCGTTAAAATGAAATGCAGCACATTGTCGGATAAGCGAAAAGGGAAAAAAAAAAAAAAAAAAAAACTGACCTCGTTCATACAAATTTGTTCTTTATTCTGCCTTTTTTTTTTTTTTTTTTTTTTTTTTTTTCTTACTCTCACGTAATATTATTATGACAATATAGAAACTAGAAACAACAAGAAACGATACAATTTTGTCACAAAAAAAAAAAAAAAAATAATTTACAAAGGGATACATTACACCATTTTCCCCTATTTATTGTGATATATATATATATATATATATATATATATATACATTAAGCAAGAGAGGTTATATACATAAGAGAATGAACATAATAAGAATGAGCACTTTTCTCATTACTATACCATGCGTTTTCCCCGTCACAAAATAAAAATTATTAACAGTTCATAACTTTTTTATTATTTATTTATGATACTTTTATTATTATTATTTTTTTTTTTTTTTTTTTTTTTTTCCAGCATGCATTGTCATGTGTTTACTACTGTTGACGTAACTAATTGGTTAAGTTGCTGATTATATTAGAGATATATATTTTATTCCATGTGACGAAAACGAATTGAAATTCTTTTTACACCCAAAATCAGGGCTCCTAACCACCCCTACAAAAAAACAATTATTTTTATGTATTCCAAGGACTTGGAATATGTTTTTTACCTGCACATAAAAGATTTACACTAGCATATATGTGTAACATAAATACATGTATGTACATATATATATGTACACCTCGTTTATGTAAGCACGTTTTACTGCATCAATAAACGTAATTTGTGTGCATACCATCGCCACCAACCCCCACTACTTCTCTCTTTGTTCTCACATTTATGTTTTGACCCACCCTGAGAGGAGGAATAACCTCACCTTTGTGAAGAACTTCAAACATACATGCACATATACATATGCACACATTGCCAAGCATGGAAATCGAAAGTATAAGAAGAGAAGAAGTGAACTCTTTTTTGTTGGAAAACCTGTACGATATTAAAACCCCCATTTCAGATGGAACAACAATTATAGGAATTATTTATGAACATGGTGTTATGCTGGCATGCGACACGAGAACATCCTCAGGAACTTTTGTTAGTAACAAATGTTCTCGAAAAATAAACAGAATTAATGAAAACATATATGTATGTCGTAGTGGTACTTCTGCTCATAGTCAGAAAGTTATAGAACTTATTAAGCATTATTCCCTAACCCTAAAATGTGAAAACAGAAAAAAAGGAAGATTTCATGAAGATGAAATAATAACAGATGATATTAGTAATGAGGAAGATATCGATTTAAATGCAATTAATAATTCCTTCAATTTAGGACAAAACAGTAATAACAACAATTTTGTCACGAAACATAAATATTTTTATGAAGACAAATTTATGGATTTTAATCCATTAGTTGAAAATGTTGCACACATTACCAAGAAATTACTTTATGTAAACAATAATTTTCTCTCCTGTGGACTTATATTTGGAGGATATGATAAAGTTAAAAAGCAACAATTATATTCAGTTAATTTAAATGGAAGTATCATCCAAAGGTTTGATTATGCTGTTAGTGGAAGTGGTAGTGTATACATACAATCCTACTTACAGGACAAGTACAAAAAAAATATGACTAAAAAAGAATGCTTTGATTTAATCCTTGGATGTGTTAAATATGCCATGTATAATGATAATAGTAGTGGAGGACTTGTTCGAATTATCAACATCACGAAACTCTTTGTGGAAGAATTCACAGTAACCAACACACACCTGCACTTTGATTATTAGCCTCATGTGAAATTTCAGTCCGAGACAAGCAAAGATATCCATAGAAATTTATCTAAATTGGGAGAGGATGGAAAGAGCGGAGGGAGAGGAAGGCCTTCTATCAGAGAATGTGATATTCCCTCATTTCCCTCTCTTAACAAAATTGTGTCTGTGACTTTTGCTTATTGGGTTGGGTTGGGGGTGGTGGAGGAGGAGGAGGGACTCCAAAAACGGAATACTTTCCATGTTTGAACATATTTCAAATGGGAAGTTAACATTGGACATATGTATGACAACTAGTCAAGTAAAAAACAACATATGAGTATTTTTATTTTATAGAAACAAAGAACTTTTTCAAAACTTTTTTTTTAAAATTGTACCATATAATGCATGGTAGTTTTTTTTTTTTTTTTGTGGAAGCAGGCAGGTCGCATATGGAGAAAAAAAAAAAGAAAAAAAACTACAATACTTTGTGTTCATGTGATTAATATGAATAGTGGATTTTATTTTGTTCCTGCTTTTTTCATATCACCTACTTCCCTCCTTGACAACATTTTTTACATTTTCATGAATTCCATTAAAAAAAAAAAAAGGGGAGATAATGGATCTTCTTGCATATACACACATGTCTGTTTTCGTCCAAAAGGGAAGGGAAAAATGTAAGATTAAGTAATGCTCATAAATGAGCAGTGAAAGGGTGAAATGCGGAAAAAAAAAAGAAAAAAGAAATAAAGTTAAATAAAATGAAATGAAGTCAAATAAAGTAGAATAAAATAGAGTAAAATAAAGTAGAGTAAAATAGAGTAAAATAAAGTAGAGTAAAATAGAGTAAAATAAAGTAGAGTAAAATAGAGTAAAATAAAACCAGTTATGAACACAATGAGAACGTTTTTCACGTACTTTCTCAATTTTTTTTTTCTTTTTTTTTTTTTTTCTTCTCGCCTCCCTCCTTTTACAAATACGCAGTCCATAATCTGCACGAGAAGGCCCCCTCCATATCCACACTTTCAAACATGTCTATATATGGCAAAAACTGGCCTCCATTAAAATCCACCCAGGAAGTAGGAATTTCTGGGCTTGTACTTTTCTTCACACACCCACTCAACTTATCATGTTGTTTTCCAGAATTTCTGGATGAACACTCTAGCAATTCCTGAGAACTCCCTTGGGCCACGCACATTTTTCCCATTGAAATATCGTCATTCACCACCTCACACTTGAAATAATCAGACGGGGTGGTTTTTCCGTTCTCTACTATTCCATTTTGTCTGTCCCATTTGTAATGAATGTGTTTTTTTTCTTTTCCGCTTTCATCCTTTTTACCTATCTTGCAATCTTCCTTGCAATCTTCCTTGCAATCTTCCTTACTATCTTCCTTGCAATCTTCCTTGCAATCTTCCTTGCAATCTTCCTTGCAATCTTCCTTGCAATCTTCCTTGCAATCTTCCTTGCAATCTTCCTTGCAATCTTCCTTGCAATCTTCCTTTCTATCTTCCTTACTATCACCATTGGCTTCCCTCGCACCCGCTAACTCTGCCACTTTCGCTGCTTCTGCCCCGTCTGCTACTTTTACCACTTCCATCACATGACCACATTCATCACTGATGTCCATTTTCAGTTTTTCACTTTTTACCGAAAAGTCCAAAAAATGTTTTTCCTTGCAATGGCATAAACCATTATCAAGTTTTTCCTCACCATTATTTTTCAATGCCCCCTTTAATTTTCCTTCATCAGTTGGGAATTCTGTATCCACTTGCTTTCCTTCTGAGATGTTGTATATGACCTTTTCTTCGCTTCCCTCCACATTGCTCAATTGTTTCTTCTCTGCATCCGTTTGCTTCTCTGCATCCGTTTGCTTCTCCCCATCTGTCTGCTTCTCCCCATCTGTCTGCTTCTCCCCATCTGTCTGCTTCTCCCCATCTGTCTGCTTCTCCCCATCTGTCTGCTTCTCCCCATCTGTCTGCTTCTCCCCATCTGTCTGCTTCTCCCCATCTGTCTGCTTCTCCCCACGCGATTTCTTCACTTCTTGAGCCTGCTCCTGATCCAACTCGTACCTGTGCACTATTTCGTCAATGTAATCCAACGAATCGACGTGCTCTTCACCGTTTGTTGTATCACGATCTAAGAAAAATTTCTGACATATACCTTTGGCATACTCATAAACAAACTGTTCGCACAATTTTAGGTATACTTCTATTTTTTTTTTCTCTTTCTTTAAAAGGCAAGTGTAGTCCTTCACGTTACATGGATATGGAAGGTCTGTCACCACATCTTCTTCATCACAATTCTTGAATTTCACTTCTAGCCTTTTTTTTTGAACCTCTACATGGATATTTGCACTCGTTACGTATCCCTGTGTGCATATTAAAACTTTTATTTTTTCAGGAATATTCAGACAAACATTTCTGTATTCATTTTGTTTAAAGAAAGAAGATGTATTTATGATCCCTTGATGATATATAAAAAATTTCGTTTTTCTTATCTTTTGCAACTCTCCTTTGGGTTCCATATTTACTTTACTTTCCTCATTTTGTGATATTTCTATCGTTTTTGATACATCTTGCTCAAGAGCTTTTTCCATATCCCCATCTGTTCCTATCTTTATTTCTGTGTCTACTTTACTTTTGTTGGATATTTTTTGAACATCACCTGGCGTAGTTGCAATAACTGTTTTCTCAAAATCATTTCTCATGCTTTCTAATTTTTTCTCTTCATCTATTAATACACTTGGTTTTAATACTTCCTTATTTATGCACATGGTAAATGGTTTCCCACCTTTACATGTCATATTCTTTAAAATTTTGAAATCTCGACATATTTTTTCTTTATCTTTCATTGCATTTTTTTCAATGTTCAAACACACGTTTTCTAGGAGGTAATTCAGAATTTCGTTGTATGATCTAACTACATCTATGGTAGATGGGTTCGTGCAACAGTCCACGGTTAAGCAGCACACTCCGTTTCCTGCGAGAGAGGAAAGAAGAGAGAGAGGGGCGTGAGCAGCATGCTTCACTCTTAAGAGAACACCGATATTTGCATATGTACATGTGCTCACGCAGGTATATACACGTCATGTCATGTCACCTAACGTCACGACATCTAACGTCATATCACTTCACCTCAACAGCTCACCACTTACCGCACTTGTCGGGTCTCATCTGCGAAAGAGAGTAAGGAATGCTCAACTCCCCTCGAGCAGCGTTCTCGAAAGAAATGCAATGTATTCCATCGTGGGAACAAATGTTTAGAAACAATTTCTGATGTGTCTGATTAGAATATAGAATTTTCGTTTTAACGCAAAAAGCTTCTGTTGGTTTTATGAGAATTTGATTTTTTTTTAGCTCTCCCTTAAAATATAAGCTTAATAAATAATTCTCTTTTTCTTTTCTGTACTTGTCATCTGATATCTCATCAAAATATTCATCGAATAGCATTCGAAATTCATGTTGTCTGAAGGCTTTTTGTAATTTCTCCTTTTCCTCATAGCTGACTTTTAGTTCATTCTTCATGTCCTGCATCTTGTCTTATATCCCTCTTTTTCTCTCTCTCTCTCTCTCTCTCTCTCTCCTTTTCTTAATGGCTGAGTGCACATGCGCGTATTGTGTATATGTCCATGTGGTTATGCCTTCCTTGGCACTCCCATATACACATATATATATATATATATATTTTTTTTTTTTTTTTTTTTTTTTTTGTGGAAGCAAAGGTGGCTAATATCGACACACTCCACTTCTCTGAAGATTTAGGAATTTTCTCATCCTTTGGAACCTCTCCAAGACTGATACGCGTAACAAGAGTGAAAAACAATGGAAATATCGAGAATGTCAAAATTTGCAATTCTAAAAGAAGAGCTAATTTTTCTAGTATGGCTCATGTTATTTGAGCACCTTGGGGACACGCACCCTTAATATAGCCCGATTTTACATATGCGTACTTTTACATTTATATTTATGTCTACGTGTCCACATTTGCATTTACGTGTAAATATATTTACAATTCACAAAGTGATTTCTCTTTTGGCACCGTTCAGAAAAAAAAAAAAAAAAAAAAAAAAAAAGGCAACATCGTCAAAGGGATTTGATTCTTTCCACCCTTTCACGAAAAATAGTATTCGTTTATTTTTTTATTTTTATTTATTTTTTTTTTTTTTTTTTTTACGCACCTAGCCCGATTCCTCCTTTTTCGAAGTGCGCTAGTCCATTTGAATAAAAATCCAAATTTTTCTATTTCTCCAGTGATGAATTTGGAGAACCGATTGAGTGCAGTAGGAACTAGGACACGCACAAAAATAGTAAAAAAATAAACAAGTAAAAAAATAATAAAAATAATAAAAAAGTAAAAATAATGAAAAAATAAAAGTGATAAAAAAAAAAAAAAAATATATATAATGTAACAAAAAAGGATAGCAAACCAAACCAAACCAAAGCAAAACAGAGTCCTCGCTTATAAGCCTTACACACGGCCGTGCAAACCTACAAACGCAAGGTGTAAAGCACACACTGCAAATAGTTCTTGTCACGAATTTCCAACCTTTCAACTTGTTCACACAAGGTTATTGTTTTATTATTTTCCCTTAAATCCATACCGAGAGGAGAACGACATTCACTTACATTATCATTCAGACAAATCTTAGTCTTTTGGGTAGAATTCAAAATAAAATATTTCCCGCTGCTTGTATACTTAAAAATGAGACCAATTCTTTTGTTCACTACTATTTCGAAATTTTCGCTGTTATTCGTACAGCTATAATTGTTATGCCAGTTGTAGTAAGCTAAATCTTTTTTACTCCCATAGATATATTTTTTTTGATTAATTTTCTGTCTAACCTTGTCATTGTTAATGTCTATATATGAACTTATTTCCGATTTATTTTTATTCACATATCGAATAAACAAGATAGTGCAAATTTTTTTTTCTTTACAAAAGTGCAAATGGCAATTTATTACATAAAAAAAGTCCTTTGTATTATCACCTAACGAATTCATGTCGTATATTATGGCATTTTCTTTTTCTTTTTCTTCCGATGTTCGCTCCTTTTCCTCTTTTATTTTTTTTTTATGATAAATGCTGTTAAAGTCTTCGAAGCTTAACACGCCTTTGCTTTTCAGTCCCAGCGAGAATATTTCGAACACTAGTTGTTCCTTTGCAAGAGTGGAAAAAAGAAATAAAGAGCGATTCAGTATCAGGGAATGTCCATTATGCACATTCATTCTTACAGCTAGTTTCGCTATGTCACTAATTCACTCTGTCCCTCCATAACTTCAGCAAGCACGCCATTTTGCATATCTCACTCAGAGGCACATAGTTACATCTTCGAGATAATACAAATCCGTGGGAGTGATTTTCGTTTTTATGTATTCTTCATACGAGCTAAACGTCAGCAGGTTATCCGTCTGGTCATTCATTGTTTCTGTTCAGAAAAAAAAAAAAAAACAACAAAAAAAACAGCAATAATGATAATAACAATGATAATAATAGCAATAATAATAATAGCAATAATAATAATAGCAATAATAATAATAGCAATAATAATAATAGCAATAATAATAATAGCAATAATAATAATAGCAATAATAATAACAGCAATAATAATAATAACAATAATAATAATAACGATCACAATAACAAAATTAACAAAAACAACATCAGGATGCATTGCGCTGCTTCGTTGCATGCGTACAAGAAACGTTATTTATAGCACATGCTACAGAATAAATAACTCCCACTACCCATTTTTATGTCTATTAGGCTTAATATAAACAAACCAAGGTGGGCAAAAGTTATGCACGTTCAGGTGTACATGTAAAAATGCACATATCTGAGTACCAATTTAATAATATATGTACTTCCAGCTAGCTATTCAGTTTTTTCCGCTATATTAGTGCAAAAAAAAAAAAAAAAAAAAAAAAGTTCTGTTACCTCAACCCAGTGCACATAAATTATTATTTACGTTGCTTTATTTCCACCTTTATATGAACAACTTTTTGTAATAAAGGAGAGCAAAAAAAAAAAAAAAAAAAAAAAAGGATAACTGATCTACGTGTTAGATCAGAAAGAAATTAATATTTGTCTTCCTCAAGTCTCTATCCCTTTGAAGTTTACAAAAGTGATAAAAACATGGTCAAGTCAATTAAGTAAAGATAAATTGTGTAATCATCCCCCTTTGTATATATCAATTTGATGTTGTATTAACAATACAGGCATTCATAATGTGCATTGGATACACAAACATACACATATCTACTAAGTGAAGAATCTCATTACACTATAACCCACCCTTATCACTTTTCAACCTTTCTTTCATTCTGAACATTAATGGAAGTATCATTTGTGCGTACTAACGCAAATGGACTATAAACTGATTTTTTTCCTTTTTTTTACAAATTGTTCTTACCACGGAGGATTATCTTATCATTTCCTTATTTTGAGTAAAATGAAACTAATTATTTTATTGCACCAGTTTGTAAAAAAAAAAAAAAAAAAAAAAAAAAAATCCTTGCACACGGACTAGCCATACAATTTTTAATAAAAAGAAAAAAAAAAAAAAAAAAAATACGAATAATGGAGAGGTTAAAAGATAGCACACAGTAAAAGATCTACAAAAAAAGTATATCCAATATATCATAAATTAAACTTGTAGAGGGAAAATAAGAACTTTTACTTAATCATTGTTTTGTTACTATTTTATTATGATTTTATCATGATTTTGTTATTGTTTTATTTTTTTTTTTTTTTTTTTTGTCTTGTGTCTTTAAACACAATGCTACTTTCATATTTTGCCATGAGTGAAATTCCTCATTCACTATTAAGACACGTGGATTGAGAAGCAAAAAAAATGAAAACATAAATATAGTTGTTCCTCTCAAAAATAAGTCCAAAGAAATTTGATACATTTTATATATGCATGCACGAAGTACAGGTCACCCATATAAGTGTGGTGATGAAAAGGGAAACGTTTTCAAAGGGGAAAAAATTTTAAGTGAAAACATAAAAAAAAGGGAGAAAATAAGAATGCAACAAGAGGGAGGAAGGGGGGGGGGGGGGTTATGATATGGTATGGTATGTAAATATTTTAAGCCGCTACCCTTTTTTTTTATCCCCCATCCACTCCACGGAGTTCTTACCATCTCAACTACCCTTTACAAAATCTATATATTTCTCATAAAAGATGAGACCGAAATAGAAAAACTTTATGTGAGAACAAAATATAAAACAATTTTTTTCTTTTTTTTTCTTTTTCGCCTCCACTTTAATAAATGTTTTTTGTACACTAAAAAACTGCTGCAAAAATGTGGACATAAAGGTTATTACTACGTATGTCAAATCCTATATTTACTACAATTTTTGTAAATTTGTCCAAATAGGCAAAAAAAATGGGAGAGAAATGGTAATTTTTACATGCACGCGGAATATGCATACACTAATTATACTAGGTCTAAGAAGTATACTTATATACAAAAATGATGCATATGCATGTGCTCGTTCTGTATTGCACGGTATACCACTCTCTCTCTGCATCCTCACATGCATATATACGTACATGAATGTATATATATGCATACATAATATGCATATATAATATATAGCTGAATCATGCAATCTCCCAACCCAATTATCGTGGGGCCGACTCCCCTTCAATGCAGATAAAAGTTACGTATTTTATAATCACTTTTCTATGAACGCTTCCAGTTCCAAAGTGGCATTTTATTTAAATATGTATTTTTTTTTTTTTTTTTTTTTTTTTTTTTTTTTTTTTTTTTTTTTTTTTGTGTTATAAAAAAAAAAATATACATTTTTAATTTCTAATTTTTTTAAATATTTTTTTTTTAGAAAACTTCATTACAACACGATAATATAAAAAAAAAAAAAAAAAAAAAAAAAAAAAAAAAAAAAAAAAAAAAAAAAAAAAAAAAAAAAAAAAAAAAAAAAAAAAAAAAAAAAAAAAAAAAAAAAAAAAAAAAAAAAAAAAAAAAAAAGGGGGGGAGAAAAAAAAAAAAAAAAAAAAAAATTAATATAATAAATAAAAAAAAAAAAAAAAAAAAAAAAAAAAAAAAAAAAAAAAATCCAAAGTTAATCCGGAAAAAAATGTTTTGCAAAACTAAATAAAAATAAAATATATAAAATCCCCAAAAAGTTAATCGATGAATGTTTTTGCATAACCTCCCACTAAAATGGCACAACATATATAATATCGTCCTTAATAAAAAAAAAATAATTCAACTTTTTTCAAAAAAAAAAAAAAAAAAAAAAAAAAAGTTTTAACAATGCAATAAAAGCAAACTAGGAAAGGAGCTAAAAAGTGAAGAAAAAATAAAAATAAAGAACATCATAATGTAGTTGCGCACATGTAAACATACGTTAAGAAATTCCACACAGCACGAACATCACTTTTAGGAACAAAAAATAGGTTATAAAAAGGAATAAAGTAAAAAAAAAAAAAAAAAAATCACCCAACCAAACCCAACAACCACCTTTGTATTTTTATTATAATTAGCATAAAAGAGTGCTTTCCCAAAAAAAGAGGGAAAAATGCCCCTAGCACCGTTATCTTTTTAGTAATACTGTTTTGCTCATTTGTCTGCTCATTTGTCTGCTCATTTGTCTGCTCATTTGTCTGCTCATTTGTCTGCTCGTTTGTCTGTCCGTTTTTCTGCCCATTTGTCTGCCCATTTGTCTGCCCATTTGTCTGCCCATTTGTCTGCTCGTTTGTCTGCCCATTTGTCTATTTGTTTGTCTCTTCGTTTTCCGATTTATTTTCCTATTTATCTGTCTTTTCGCCTTCCTCCATGCTTGTCTTCTTCCTGCCCCTCACTGGTGGAACATTTTTTTCCAGTGTATCAATCACCCAAATTTGCAACGTAAACGCGTAAATGTTTACAGGCATCGAATGAATTATATACGCATGTTACACTAGCTTTTTGCACGAGCTCTTGCAGTAGCTTTTATATATATATATATATATATATATATATATATATATATATTACGGGGAAAGGTGTGCACAAGGGAAGGAGGAGAGGTCATAACGCACAAATGTATTGTGCATATGTTGTAGAATGCTCATGTGTGATGTATTATGTACTCATAGGAGAACCATAAAACATAAGGTAACAAAGATTAAACTCACTGTAGAGGAAATATGCCGATAAGTAGATTGTCTCATATATATCCCCCCACATGTAATACGTGCATAAGGTGCACATTCTAAGTATCTCTATATCCATACAATTACAAGAAGCATCAATTGTAAAACAGACAAGACGCATATATAATTCCATATGCAAAACAGAACGGAATTACTGATCAAATAAAAACGTCTGAATTGAAGAAGACGAAGAAGAAAGAAAGAAAGAAAGAAAGAAAGAAAGAAGAAAGAAGAAAGAAGAAAGAAGAAAGAAAAAAAAAAAAAAAAAAAACTTCCTTTTAAAAAAACAAAACATTTAGACTAATGAGTTTCTTGTATCAATTTAGTAAAAATATCCATTCAATTGTTTATGCCTCTTTCATCATTATATTATGTGCAATTTGGACTAAATACCTTTGTAAGTTTCTCAAAAATAAGTATTCCGAATTTTTAAATAACAGTAAAATAGTTAAACTGGACAGTATAGCCATAACGAAAAATGATTTCCTAAAGCAGAATTTGCTATATAGGATCATCAAATATAACATCATCGGTAATGTATACAAAATGGATATATATACACATGCATATGAATATAGGAATATATGCATACATATACTTGCACTAATGTAACTTATGTGACAGAACGCAGGAATAACATATAATGCCATTTTTTTTTTTTTTGTTATTTTCCCCCATTTACTTCCAATAGGAAAAAATAACTATGAGGACAAGCTTACTTATAGAAAGAATGCTTCCTTCTATTACTTGAAAAGGGCAATATTTTTTTTACACAACTATAAATTTTTGCACATAAAAAAGAAGCTAAACTGCTTGTTTATTGTAAGGAAGACGAGAGGCTGAGCGTGTCACACATGTGCAGACGCATCAGAGCGAAAAAGTGAAAGAATATACATATAATACGCTTCTATGTGCATGCGCATATTCGTGCTTCATATCCCTTCTGCATAATTGCACACACCGCTTCCCCCTGCTCTCCACCCTTCGCAGAGAAACAACATTACAGATATACGGAATTTAAAATATTTGACTTACAAAACGGTTATTCAATTTAAAAAGGAAATGAACATTTGTCTTGTGGAGGCATACAACTCCTTCAGTTATAAAAACAAAAAGGAACTACTATATATATACTTCAAGCTGTATTCCAAAATTTTTTTCTTTTTTCAAAGTGAAAATATTTACTTTTTTCACTTCCTCACTCATGTCCTACTGGTTTCTTGGGTCTATACGCCTTTAAACCCGGCCTTGCGCTGATAACGTGTTCCTGACAAGAAAAAAACAATAAACATTTATACATATGCATACATGTACACACGCATACGCATACGCACACACACACGCACACACACAAATGCATGTGCAAGATATAGCTTTAGGGAGAGGTGTGGACCGGGTGTTGCCTTTGCCTAATCATTCTCAGACCTTTTTTCAGCTAGGCCGCAAGGCCAATTGTAAAGCAAAAAGAATTAAAGGGCTGTCAAAAAAGTTTGTGAATTTAAGCAAACTTGGCAAAAAAAAAAAAAAAAAAATTCACAAGTTTTCTCCGTCCCTAGACTGAGAACAACATACATACACACATACATACATACATATTTACATACGTATATACATACACATACACAAAAAAAAATACCCCTTGTTATACCTTTAAGTATATTGTATCATTCTTGTATTAAATTGCAAATTATTTGTGATCTTCATTTTTAATCATGTTGATATCAGTTAAGTGGCTATGTAACTGAAGTTTTTTTTTTTTTTTTTTTTTTTTTTTTTTTTTATTAATATGATCATAATGACATGTTCCTTTTAGCTAGCCAGATAAGCTTTTTTTTTTTTTTTTTTTTTTTTGATGTGACATATAAAAAATTTTTTTTATTTTTTTTTTTTTTTTTTTTTTTTTTTTTTTTTTTTTTTTTTTTTTTTTTTTTCCATTTTTTTTTTTTTTTTTTTTTTTTTTTTCATATAAGTTTTTTTTTTTTTTTTTTTTTTTTTGAATGTGACATATAAAACATTGTTATAATATTTTATTATATTTTATTATATTTTATTATATTTTATTTTATTTCATTTACTCCATTTCATTTATTTTATTTTTTTTTTTTTCCTCCCTTTTATTACGTCTAAATTAGTCTAATCCTTTTTTCTTTCTTATTCGCTGTTTTATTTTCACCTAAGAATTTAATGTCTTCACAATTAAATCAATAAATTTAATGGCTGATGCGAGTAAATACGTATTGGGGTAATTTTTAATTACATAAAAGTCACCTATGAGAGAGAGAAGGGGGGGGGTGCGATGGGAAAGACACGAATGGTCATCATCAGGTCTGTTGGTTGGGACTTGCGTTCGATTGTTGGAGGTGCAAGCAAAAGTACATGACATCTATGGGCAACACAAGTACACACAATACACAAGTGTTGGCAACAAATGGGAGGGGGAGGGGGAAGGGGACGTCCTAACCTGTATCCTCAAACCCGACAAGCAAAAAAACCTTCAGCATCTCCTCGTGGATCCTAATTTTTTCAAGGAACACCTTGTTCTCCTTTTTAATTTTTTGAAACTTTTTTTCGAGAATGTTTTCTTTTATATTCACAAAGTACGTTTTTAAAACGGCAAGAGAAGCGATTAATTCTTTTTTATTTTCCTTATGTTTATTTTTTAAGCTGTTAAGCAAAATGGCTATTTCTTCTCGTTTTTCATTTTCCGTAAGATCCTCAATATTTTTTTTTTTCTCATTTTCCATTTTATACGCAATGCCAAATTTTGCTTCATATTCTTTTCTCAACAATTCTAGTTGTTTTTCTTTTTCTTTTTTACGTTCATTTTTTTCTTTTTCCAGACTTTCTAAATATGCTTTTCTTTCAAATTCTTCAATTTGTTCTCTTCTCTTTTGCATTTCTTTTGCCATAGCAATTCGATTCTTTTCCTTTTGTATTTCTTCTTCTTTCTCTTTTAATAGCTTTTTCTCTCGAATTTTTTTCTGCAATTCCAGAGCCTTTTTTTGAGCTTCTTCTGGGGTTAATTTGCTTTTACCTTCACAGTTGGGGTTCCCCCCCCCTGCTCCTCCTTTGCGATCACCACTGCTGGTATTATTATTTCCTCCTTCCTTTTCTCCTTCCTTCTCTCTTGTGTCTTCTTTATCATTAAAACTGTCAGCAAGTCGATCCACTGTTGTACTATCATTCAACGGTTCATTGTCGTAGTTTTCATTTTCTTCTGTCTCTTCGATCCAATTCAAGGCCTCATCAACTGTTATTGGGGGGGGGGGGGGGGAAAGGGAGGGGAGACAGGAAAGTGAAAAATGGTGTAACCTCAGAGTGCCTCCAAACGTGCCTCCAAACGTGCCTCCAAACGTGCCACCAAACTTGCTCTCAAGAGTTTTCTCATACTCTACATGCATTGTTCGCAGAATGCATGGTGTGTCATGTGCAAATGGGTAGAAACATCAGCTCGTTATTGTGCCCCCGTTGATTTCACCATTCTCATCTCAACTACACTACTACTGTTATTGTGACACTAAATTCTGCTGATCTTTTTTTTTCTTCATCAGTTACCTGTTTTCGCACCGCTCTTTTTGACAACCTTGAGACAGATTTCTTTTGGATATCCGAACTCTATCAACTTCTCTACCAACTGCAAATGGGCAAACACATCGTGTTTATTGCTATTCTTTTGCACGTTCTTACAACATCGTTCTGTGCACATATATATATATATATATATTAACCAGGTTGCAATGTTAGGAAAACAGAAATAAAGAGAAATCGAGACACGTACACAATACTTTGCCGTATACATATATGTAAGCTTCAAAATAAAAAAATGTTGCAAATTTATGAACGAACATTCAGATATGAAAAAACATTTTTTTTTTTTTTTTTTTTGTTCTCCCAAAGAAGTTGCAATTTAATTTTAGTTACCTTATCCTGTTCTTCCATTTTGACTTGGTTGCACTAGTTGCCTTGTGTTGTTTTATTTTATTATTTTATTATTTTATTTTATTTTATTTTTTTTTTTTTTTCTTACTAGTTTGGCATGTGTGGCTTTGAAAGGATTTCAGTTAGATCTTTACCCATACGAAAATTTGCTCGTACCTTTTCTTGGAATATAATGTAACTCCTTCATCTCTCTCCACCCCCCTCGTCCTTCGGGTATGAGTTGAGTTCGTTTGTTTCTCCTTTTAATAAATCTTCTTGTTCCCTATGAACAATTCAGCAACACATGCTCATGGAGATGTAGGGGAGAGGGGAAGATATAGCTTCTAAGAGTGGAAAATTCTTTCGTGGGACGAAAACGAACAGGAAAAAAAAAAAAAAAAAAAAAAAAAAAAAAGGAAAAAGCTCTTTTGAGGAATATCCAACTGTCGTGTTAAAGTAAAAAGAAGGAACAAGTTTTATTCACACCTGTTTACAATAACGTATTTGTATGTGCTGCTATATATACAAACTTTCTGCATTAGTCACTACCCTTTTTGCATGAAATCATTTGAAGAATGTATCGAAATTATTTTGGATGAGCGGAAATTTTGAACTAACAGTGCATGTATATATATATGTAAAAGAATCCATGTTGCAGGCTCTTTTTTTTTTTTTTTTTTTTTTTTTTTTTTGGGTGTGACAAATAAAGCATTGTTTTGTTTTATTTTATTTATATATTTTTATATATTTATTCATTTTTATTTATTCATTTTTTTTGGATAGGTGGGTACAAGTGGGCGTGATAATTCCTTCAGTATTCTCTTTTATGGCAAAGGCTACACCCGAAACAAGCACATCCAATCTGAAAGTCCTTACGAATATGTATACATGCATATATAATTGCCATGTACATATAATTAATACACATATGCGTCACATAACATGTATACTCGCACACACAGTTGAAACCATGTCAACGCAACTCCTTTGTAGGGGAGGAGGGGCAGGGGAAAACACAATCAAACGTGAAACTTAGCTATAAGTTAAAAAATAGCCATGAAAAAAACACCCTTTCCTTTACTTGTATTTGAGAAACGTTTTGTGTTTAACCCACCCAAGAAATTTCCAGATATATATATATATATATATAGATATAGATAGATATATAACTGCCACCCGAGGGGAAAGAACGATATAGCACTTTCCAGAGAATATAGAGGATATACCTGATGTACATATGAGATCCCTACATGTGTATGCATATGGTTGCTTATAAATCCCAAGTATGTACTCACTGTGTAGTGGTTTGTTTTTCATACCTCTGCCCCAGCAAATGGAGATGAGCGTGAAATCTCATACTTCAAATTCAGTTCGTACATGAAAATATATATTTTTCTTATGGGGGGGGACGTTTGAAGAGTCCTCATTTTGACATTCGCAAGTCCCATTGACATTATGTTGCATATATGTAAATATGCATGTTCATACGACACCATACCTATGCATGTATGCGTGGGGGGGGGGAGGTGATCAGGTGTACAATCGGACGTGCTTTTTTTTTTTTTTTTTTTTTTTCTTAACCATAATTTTGCTTCTTAAAAGTGCTAGAAGTGCACAAAATAACCATTTATCAGACCTCTTTTAAAAAAGGAAAAAAAAAAAAAAAATTAAAAGTTTTACTTAAGTTAGAACAACTGAATTAAAATGTGCACATTTGTAGTGCTGTTAGTTTTAATATATAATTGTTTCACTTTTTCATGAAGACTAAAAAGAAGGGGAAAAAAGAAAAAGAGTCAAAACAGGGACAAAATGAGGAGTTGCTTGTCTTTTTTCAGTATCCCATATGTTTTATGTGCATGTGTATGGATATACTTATGTGTGTACTTGCACAAGGAAGAATAGTTAAATGTTGCATTAACAGAATCATTATATTGGGGAAGGGGGAAAGGGGGAAGAGGCTGTGGCGAGAGGAGTCACGTTGATGTGTGTATACCCATGTGCAGGTGTATGAATAAACAAAAAAACACTCGCACATTTTCCCCACATTTGTACTATTCTGTTGAACATGCAGATTGAACCAATATAATTAGGAGTATATACATCCGCACAACGAAGGGCTTTTAATTTGTAGAGGCCATAAGACAGTCCCACTTTAACAATTTTTTTTTTTTTTTTTTTTTTTTTCCGTTTTCTTTTTTGCTTATTCTGCATTTTCCTCCGTGTCAGTAATTTCAAACATTTGTTTAAGTTTGTTTACAATGAAAAAAACATCCTTTATTAATTCGTCTGAAATATTAGGTACGACAGAAATATTTACGTAAAAATTTAGTGGCCCATTTCCATTGGGGTCATTTCCATTATTAACATTTAAACTTATACATTTATTGACACCCTCTTTAACATTTAAATTTATAAATTTATTAACACCACCAACACTTACATTTGTTTCATCAATGGGATAATTATTTACATATTCTTCATTTTTGTTATGAATATTTTCAATATCATCTTTGTTATTCTCTCCTACTTGATTTTTATACACATTGTATATGTCTTCTGCTGATTCTGGAAAAATGTTACTTTGATTTTCTTTTTTTTCTTCCTCTCCGCATGATATACATTCGTTTTTGTTTGGTATGGTATCTGCATCAGGTTGGACGTCATCCCTTGATTTTTCTTCATTCATTGAATTCACCTCATCTGTTGATTTCTCCTCGTTCGATTTTTCTTCACCCACGTCTTGCTGTTCATTTCCTTCTAAAGGAGCAGCCTTGTTGTCATGAACTTCATCAACCAAATTTTGCATTTCAGATGACAATTGTTCATACTCCTCTTGTGCAGACATCCCATAACTGTCACTCAAGAGGGATTCCTTATTTTCCTGTAGTTGCTCATAGTTATTGTTATCTTGTGTGTCTTCTTGTCTATTCTCTGTAGAATAATAAATTCCATCTCCTGTGTTTTCATTTTCTCGTTTTCTTCTTAAATTTATTTTGTCTTCCACCTTTCTGTAGCTAAGGTCATCGTTAGAGGATCCTCTAATTAATTCACTCAGTTTTAGAAGGTATGGAACCCTGTATGTTTGTTGAGGTACACTTGAGTTCTCAACAAAACAGAAAGTGAAAAAATATGACTCCAAATTATTTGCCACAGCAAGGAGGAAGAGTAATGTGCATGTTAGTTTCATTTTTTTATAACCACTATGTAGGTATGTTATGTAGGTTTGTTATGAAGGTGCGTGTGTGTGCACAGAGAAAGTGTGTGACAAATGGGTTACACAAATTACGAAGGTGAAGGTTGTGAATTACTCAAGTAAGACAAAATGAAGCACGAAAAAAAAACAACAAAATTATGCAACAAAATTATGCAACAAAATTATGCAACAAAATTATGCAACAAAATTATGCAGCAAAATTACAAAATAAAATGAAATAAAAAAATTCTTATGCTTGAGGGAGAATAGGGGAGAAATGCGTAAAATAAGCAGAACAAGACTAGTAGGACGTGGTAAAAAAATGTGAATTAATTATTTGAGAAAGTTTTAACTTTTAAAATTAAAAATATTTAATTTCATTTTCTAAGTTTTTAATTTTAAAAAAAATAAATAAATTAGTAAAATAGCAATGTAAAAATTTGTCCATGTGGGTGTGTATATAAATATACATATACACTCATTTTCAACACAAATTAGAATTAAAATAAAATAAAATAAAAGCATTCCTTTTCCTACTTATCACTTCCCATTTTGTTCCTTGCCATTTTCACAATTTCCACATCGATGAATGTGTGTCTCCTTTTACGTGTCCTAATTTGCATGCACATGTAAGCAAAGGAAATTCACGCATGGAAAATGCAGCACTTCCTCCAGGCGGAAGCATGTCAAGGTGGCCCTTATATCCAACTCGTACAATTTCTCAACTTCTTCACTCACGCATATTTTCTTCCATCATATAGGCTTGTGCATTCGTATCTCTCAAGGAGACGTGCCACCCCCTTCCAAGTTCTCACCTGTATGCTTAAACACCCACGTTGCATGCATAAGTACGCATGTACTTATACACGTTTGGGCACAAGAACACGCCTCTTGACACCTTCTCCCTATATAGAGAACTCCCTTACTCTGCAATTTTCCAACCTTAAGAGAAATGTTATGTGATCTATCCTGAGAATGAGTGCAGAGAAAATCCTAAACACTTCTCATGATTTGTGCGAAACCTCGGAAAAAAACACAGACCTTAATTTGCACCCAAAAATTCTGCAAACGTAGGTATTGCATATTATTGCATGCCCAACCTTGTATATTATTGCACGCGTCTCATTGGTGCCTGAGATTAATTGTGAAACATTTTCCAATCTCCTGTATCTCCAGGCAATTCCCAAGAACGTCCTAGGGGACTTCCTCCCCCACACGCACACACGCATGCTACTATTTCTCTTCCGTAAAATAGCCTTACCCACATAAAAACATGGAATAAGTATTTTTTCCACATGCATGCAAATATTTTCTGTTCATGTTCTCAAACAATTTCTACCAATTAGCAATTCTTTCTTCTATTCAGATATAACGCGTGCAAATCGTAATGTAGATTAAAATTTTATGCAACCTCACAAATTCTAGATAGCTTAATCAAGGTAATAGCATCCATATTTTTTTTTTTTTTTTTTTTTTTTTTTTTGTGGTCATACAATTTTGAAAAATAAAGGATATAAGTTATGACTTGTTCATAATTTTTTTTTTTTTTTTTCTCACAAGTTTATGCTTCACGCGCACACACAAATTTGCGTGCGAGAGAATCAAAGAATTTTTCTTTTTCCTTCCTATTATCCACTTGTTCGAACATATTTCACGAGAAAAAAATAAAAATAGAACAATGAAGCGATGAAACAGTGAAATACAAAAATGGTAAAATAATAAAATAAAAAAACGAAACAGCGAAACAACGAAATAAAAAACTTCATGGCAACTGTTTGGGTTAGCAACTCCAGCTGCACTTACGTCCAAATTTTATTTGTCAAAAAATGTCCCCCGCGAGTGGTTTGTGACATTTTCATCATTTATAAATTCAGACGAAGCACAAAAGGGCACACCGCTTACAAAATTAATATCATTCGTTTCCCCCAACAACAGGTGTTTTCTTTCCACATTTCCATTCTTCTAACTTATCTTTACACACGTGTCATATTCTCCTGCATGCTCTTAACGAACAAGGAATCGGTATAATGGTCGTCATAAATCAAATTCCTGTTTTGATACACATGAATTACATTGGTATTACACAACATCCCATATATGATATTGTAAGAAAAAAACATGAGTGCAAATACCATAAGTTTTTTCTTCCTCATATTTTCAAATGTTTCGTTAAATCTTGGGTTGTCTAAAAGAAGCTGTGGTGTGAACGCATTTAAGTAATTCGGAAAAATCATATTTCCTGCTATGAGAACATAAATAAAGAAAACAAAGGAACATATTAATCGATAAATTAGTGCTGCTTTAATGTTTCTCAAGAATATTACATATTTATAATCACCATTCTCACGATCGTAACTGCTATTATCATAGTCTGCTACATAAGTGTCATCTTCAAAATAAATTTCCGTATCTTCCCCATGATTCAAAAAGTCGAAATATTTTTTTATTCGACTTAAAACATAATTAGATTGTCAAGACTTACAAAAATATATTGATATTTGATTATCTCGATTTATATATGATGGGAAAATATCCTTCTGAACAAATAAAAATTCATAGCTTTCTTTTAAAAAACCTCTATTCGATTGAACGACATTGTTATTATTCTCATTCTTCAAAATGACAAAATCGTAGCTTAAAAATAGAAAAAAGAGTACTTTCAAGCATAACTTTATGTAATGCTTTATCATTTTGCCTTAAACGAATTTTATAGAGGATTTTTTTCAAAGCTTAATTTTCAGTCCATTCCTCATTTTTATGCTCAGTTCAAAATTCCCTCTCCCACTTTAACGCTTTATTTTGTGTTCAACAATTCTGTATTTATATATTCTTCTTTTTTTTCTTTTTTTTTTTCATTCAAAATGGACTGTTTTCTTCTTTTTCCTTCTGTAGTATCCCCATGGATTTTATTTTGCCACATATCACACACACGAACACTCTAGTTGAGTGATACTTACAATACCAGCTTGGTTCAGTGTTTTTTTAACAGTATTTAATTTTTTTTCCTTTTCGCCTTTTTCCCTTTTCCTGTGTTTTTTAGTAGTGCTCAGGACAACGTAGAAAAAAGCTCAACCATGGAATTCAAAGGGGGTAAAAAAAAAAAATAACAATAAAAATCCAAGAAATATTGCATTTATAATTTTACACAATCTTAATCTTTTTGTAAAAAAAAAAAAAAAAAAAAAAAAAAATCTATGAATTAAGGAAAGTTAAGCAGTTTTATTACGTTGAATAAAAATATACTTGGTGTATTTTTCGCATGCTACCAGCTCAGTGCAGAATTGTTTTCCCCTGCTATCTTTTTCACCTAATATAGCAAAAAAAATAGGCCAAAAAGTAGGTGAAAAAAAAATAGGCCAAAAAAGTAGGTGCAAAAAAAATAGGCCAAAAAAGTAGGTGCGAAAAAAATAGGCCAAAAAGTAGGTGCAAAAAAAATAGGCCAAAAAAGTAGGTGCGAAAAAAATATGCTAAAAAAAAGGTGAATAAAAATGGGGGGGAATAGAACCATGGTAAGTTTATTATCTTGCACTCCCCCTCAAACACAACCTGAAACCATACACAATGGATATACAAATGAATAGAAACACTGAGATTTACAAACAGCATATATATATATATATATAATCCTTATAGGGTTACTATATCCATTACACCCCTTCGCCACTCCCCCCCCCCCCTCTAAGAGCTTTCCTACTTTTTCTATTTTTGTGATTTTTTTTATTTTATTTAATTTTTTTTTTTTTTTTTTTTTTACTACAAAAATGCGGGGACATTAATTAAGTTTCTGAAGTTATCAAGAAAGAAATATGAGTTGACATTTCTCTTTTTTCTTCGCGGGATATATTCAATTGTGTTTTTGTTTAAATTGAAATGAACCTTTTTGGTTACATGAGACTTGGTTTTTCCCTTTTTCAAAATTGTTTTTTTCACAATGCTATTTTTATTCGTTTCCGTAGTCCCCCCCACTTTTGAGTGGGTGGCTAATCCGTTGCTGAACTCATTTTTGTTTTTATTTTTTATTTTTTTTTTTCTCTCCCTGTCTTTGTCCTTGTCTTTGCCCTTGTTTTTGCCCTTGTTTTTGTCCTTGTTTTTGTCCTTGTCTTTGTCCTTGTCTTTGTCCTTGTCTTTGTCCTTGTCTTTGTCCTTGTTTTTGTCCTTGTCTTCATCCTCTTGGTTATTCCTATGAATTTTTTTTTCCGGTTTTGCATTTTTAGTTTTTTTTTTTTTTTTTTCCAACATTTGCAGTTTTTCCAACTTTTCACACTTGCTGTTTTTTGTCTTCTCCAATTGGACCTTTTTATTTTGTTTCTCCAAATTTTCCATTTTATTATTTTTTTTTTTTTTTTTCATTCCTATGTTTGTTTTCCTGTCACCCTTCTCTTTGGCAGTGTCTTCATTTCCTCGTTTTGCAGCCTTTGGCCATGTGGCAGCTCCGTGGTTTTCATCCATCAATATGGTATAACTCTTTTGTACTTTACGTTTATGCTTGCTGCAGTTGCTGCAGTTGCTACAGTTGCTACAGTTGCTACAGTTGCTACTACTATTACTTAGGGTGGCACTTGCTATGCTGTGACCATTTTGCCTTTTCCTATTCTTCTTAAACAGTTTATTCGCTTTTAATTTTCTCTTCTGTATGCACCCTTCTCGTAGATCCGACTTGTTAATTGAGTAGATTGCCAAATCCGATTTCTCCTCATTTTCAATAATGATACTTCCTGAAAAACCTTGTTTACTCTTATGCAGCAAATCCAAGATGCCCATATTGCGTTCGGTTTTTCTCTTTCCCACACTACTTGCATGTTTATCCACATGTGCAGCACCTTCTGTTGTTCCTTTTTTCTTTTTTTTTTTGTTTTTTGCTTCTCCCTTTTTTTTTCCAACACTTTTTTCCAACACTTTTTTCTCTTTCTTCGATGATGATATCCCCAACTTGCTTATTAAGTTGTTGTCATCCATGTTTATCACTTTCTGGATGTTCATTTTTTTTTTTTTTTTTTGGATTTTGTTCACGTCAGAGTTCCTGTTTCCTTCATTTCCCTTTATGGTCTTCTTCTTTTTCTCCTTCCTTTCCTTGTCTTCAATTTCACCTGAAAAAATATCCACCATTGAGCTCGAGGGGGCCCCTGCGTTTGCACTCGCTCCAGCAGAGGTGTCCATCATGCCTTTGTTCATATGCACATCAGAGTCCGCCTCAGTATCAGTATCAGTATCAGAATCAGAAGCAGTACCAGTACCCGTATCAGTACCCGTATCAGTACCCGTATCAGTACCTGTAGCAGTACCTGTAGCAGTACCCGTATCAGTACCTGTAGCAGTACCTGTAGCAGTATCCAATTGATCTTCCATCCCCCCTTCATCTATCATCGAAACGAACCGAGTATACTCGCATGGACCTCGATTCCGTTTCAACTTCATTTTGATATTAAATAAATTGTCAACTTCTTGTTCTCCATCAGTTGATCGAATTTCAGGCGTAACTACATTGGAAATGTCTTTTATTTGGGTGATTTTCTGTTTTTCGTTCTCAGAGTAAGTATTTTGATTTCCATTGACCTCAAATTTTTCCACAAAAATTGGAACTTTCTGAAAACCTTTAGTTTTTTTCTTGTTGTTTATACCTTCCTCCTCTTTAGTCATAGAAACAAGAGAATTGTAAAATCCTCTTAAAACTTTTGTAGCGTATTGATTTTTGCACTTCAAAACATAATTCGAAATTTTTTCTTTTAACAAATTTTTCTTTAAATTCATTTTTAATATAACAGAAAATATTTTTTTACGAATAACATCAATTATATGTTTTTTTTCTGTTCTACATATAATTTTTAAAAAAAGTTCAATCAATTGAACAAAATGTTTTATATGAACTTTTGCATTTTCATCTTTAGATTTTAAATAAAATTGATTTCCAAAAAATTCGTTAAAAAATGTATCTATATGGTTATAAAAAACGTCATTTGTATCATCAAATGTTTTTAGCATTATTTTATTATACTTCTTAATATAACGGCTATTCCATGAATATTTATGTAAGAACAATAAAAATTCTGCTTGGAATACTCGAAACAAAAATAAAAATTTATTCATTCGATATATGTCTAAATTGTCATATTTCTTTGACATAACATTTAAAAAACATTGCAAAAATAAAAAAACATTTCCTTTCTTCTTACTATTATCTATCTCATCGATATTTCTAATTAATCTACTTACTTTACATGCTGCTTTTTTCTGCTCTTCCATCGAATAACATAACCAGTAATAATAAAATAATCCTTTACAAATATACAATAAAGTCTTTCTATTCATCAACAATTTTCTCTTTTTTATATTCTCACACAGAATCTCCATTCCTACATCCCTATTCTCTTTGTTCACATGACTCAAATCAATAAACAGCATCTCCATTTCTGATTTATCCATTTTTTTCTCCTCCGTCAATGAAGAGAGTGTGGAGGACTCCTCTCGTTCCTTCACAAGTTCGTGCATGCCAAGATAGGAAAAAGATCAGTATAGGAAAAAGATCAGTATAGGAAAAAGATCAGTGTAGGAAAAAGATCAGTGTAGGAAAAAGATCAGTGTAGGAAAAAGATCAGTGTAGGAAAAAGATCAGTGTAGGAAAAAGATCAGTGTAGGAAAAAGATCAGTGTAGGAAAAAGATCAGTGTAGGAAAAAGATCAGTGTAGGAAAAAGATCAGTGTAGGAAAAAGATCAGTGTAGGAAAAAGATCACGGTAAGTTATTTCTGCCACGAGCAGATGAGAATCTGTGTTAATAAAAATGACGTGTAAATTTCTGCTACGAAAAAAAAACTCTCCCTTTTTTCTTCTCCCAGCATGTCAGGATTTTTCCACGTGCAGGAAGAAGCCGTCTCGTAGAACCTATGTGCAATGAATATCATTTATGTGAAAAGAACCCACACATACACAAGCACAAGCACACACTCTGGTACAGGATTTTGTTTTAAATATTATATAATTTTTCTGATAGTATTCTTTGTGTATATGTACACGTAAATATGTTTACATATACACACAATGTACATTGAAAAGGGCACTCTAGAAACGCCTCAGAGTTTCATGATTTAGGGACTTCTCTCCATTTAACGTTGTTCTTTTGTTTTCCGATAAGTAAAAAAAAAAAAATTGAGTATTCTAACATGTTCAGTAATCACTAAAAGTTATGTAGAAACATCAACAGTGATGTTAAGTACATTAGCTTATACAAATGACACAGGGAAATTTTAACCCTTCTTCTGGAACATACATTTATACTTGTACTTTTGCAATCTATTTCCTTATCTCTCTCTCCGTTTTGATATAGAATTAATTTGAAAAAAAAAAATGTCAGCTCTAATTTCTTTCAAAAAGAAAAAGAACGATTCAATTCAGCCGGGGAAATATGTAAAAAAAAAAAAAAAAAAAAAAAAAAAAAAAAAAAAATAGTATTTCCCCTTTTTTTTTTTGGTTATCAACATGGATAACCTCTCAGAAAGTTAAGGGGGAGGGGGTATATAATAATGCATATGTATCCTTTTTCCATACTTTAAAAATGGAAACATACACTTATTTCAGCTTATTCCCCTCACTTTCCTCACAAAAAAAAAAATGTAGAAAAGTGTTTACAACGATATAATAATCGTACATTCAGTATACACTCTTCTTGGTTCGCTTGTGATCCGCTTCTAACAGTTCTCCATAAGTTTTTACGTGAACTTTTATTTTTTAATTCGTGGATGATATATATTATTGGTTTGGGTTAGCTTCGATTAAAATGTCCCAAATTGGGGATTCAACTCAGTTGAATTAAATTGAGTTCAAATTAAACTGTACTGAATTAAACTAAAATATAACATTTGATAAATTGGGTTCCTTAAGCTGGTTTTGAATTTAACCTTTAACCATTTTTTAAAAAAAATTTTAAAATAGCTTTTAAATTTTTTGTAAATTGAAAATTTTCAACTTATTTTTTTTTTTTTTTTTTTTTTTTTCCGTTTTTATAAAATTCCTTTTTTAGTCACTTTTTTCAAAGTTGTTAATTTTAAAATTATTTTTTTAATTTTTTTTTTTATTGTTTTTAATATTGCATATATATATATATATATTTTTTTTTTATTTATTTTAGCTTAATTTTTTAAATCATTTTTTTTTTTTTTTTTTTACACTTTTAATTTGTTGCAACTTTATTTTGTAGTACAATTAAACTTTAAATCGCCTTTTAAAACTTATATCTCTAAATATTAAAAGTGGTCAAAAAAGAAATTAAATAAATAATAAATAAACAAGTAAATAATTTTCTGTCACTCTACAGTAGTGTATGCATCTTCCTACTACATGTTCCTATGCATTGCAAAAGGAGGTAACTTCAAATGAAGAAGCGGAGATAACTTTTCGAAAACGGGAAGAATTGATCTTGTACTCACATCAAGGTATGTATGTATATATATATATATGTATACATAAACATACTGTCGCGTAAGCTTATTGGGTACCACAAAGGTGATATAATATATAAACCTACATGGTGAAAAGTGGGAAATACAAAAATAAAATCGTGGTGGGGCGTGTAGCAGAGAGTTCCGTTATACCTACATGTGGAGTAGTGTGTATAGGAGTATGCAACGAGCAGAATAAACAAACAGCCTACTAATCTTGAAATGCAACATCCTCCCGATCACTTAAAACAATGGTAACACTTCGTTAAAATAAAAATACACAAAATGTAAAAAAATAAATGGGGACATGGGAGAGGAAATGACTTCACCCACCTTTCTATTTGTAGAAGACTTGTGATGGTTGTGTCTTCCTTACCCTTCAACATAAACTTCATATTGTAAAATAAATAAAAGATTTGTCGACAAGCTATATTAATGTGAAAACGAAATATTGTGCAAAAAAGAAAAAAAAAAAAAAAAAAAAAAAAAAAAAAAAAAAAAAAACACATAATAAGTAGTGACAATTCTGAACGCCCATTACGAATTAAAATACAGATAAAGAGGTGGTGGTAGCCACGTCAAAGGACTTGAATTTAAGATTTTGTTTTCTTTTCTTTTCATTTCTTCTGTTCTGTTCTGTTCTGTTCTGCTCTGTTTTGGTTTTTTTTTTTTTGCGGGGGGGGGGGGGGGGAAAGTAGTGGAGGAGTAAGTTGAGTCCTTATCCTGTATTTTATAAATTGGTAATAATGAGATAAGATTAGAAGAAGCCCCAACATTGCTGAGATTTTTTTTTTTTTTTTTTTCTTCCCATTTCGTTTCCCTTTTTTTTATTAACGTTCATAATTTTTTCACAAAAATTGTGGAAGGTAGCGAATTAGATGAGCACATATATATGTGTGCACTTACAGGAGGATAATTCATTTTTTTTTCTTTTCTTTCCCTTCTCTGTTCATAACAATGCACGTCGAAGTTGCATGTTATTATGGTGCAACTAAATCTAACTTAACCATATTTACATAAACTACTTAAATCACGCACACCAACAAAAATTAAAGATCTTTTCTCATCCATCTCTTGTGAATTCTCCACATGTTGCTTACTTTTATAATTATACCCATCCATTTTTCATACCTCAAATAGTTGTCATAACAACAAGTATAACCATATATGGATTCACCCATTAGTCTCCTTCTTTACTACAAAATGATATTTACACCTTTGAAAACATTTTCTCATAAGATGATATATACTATTTTACACCAAACTGTTTCCTTTTTTTAAGCATATAAAAATTTTTTTAAATTCTCAAAACTGTGTGTAAAAGAAAAAAAAAAAAAAAAAAAAAAATTGGACCTCCATTTTTTTATTTTCAAGTAAAACTACTTCCAACTTGTAAAAATGGAGAAAAGTTATTCATCTTCACAATTTTCACTCACAAGCGTATTTTATATACACATCTTTCCATCACAAAATTCCCAAATTGCACAGTTCAGATATAAAGCTTGTGCCATAAGATAAAAGAACATTCTATTTGGCTAAGTAAAAGAGAAAAAAAAAAAAAAAAAAAAAAAAAAAATAGTATGCTACTACAGTTCTGACATGCTTATATATTTGATACATACTACACAATCTCATTGGGGTATAGGGAAGGGGAACACTTCAAGTAAATCCTTTTTTATAAAAGTTTTCCCTCCACTTTTGAGAATTTTTTTTTTTTTTTTTTGTTTTACCTGCATAACTTGCAGTTTTTGCAAATTTGTAATTTACAGATTTGTGAACTTGAATATTTCTTTGAAAGGAAAATACAAGTTGGTTAAACCTACTTGGCTTAGTAGGATCTTGCATTGTTTTATATATAGTGGTACCATTTTAGAGTGACATTTTAAAGTATCATTTCCATAGATCACTACAGTTCAACATATTCTCACACACTAATGCATAACCTATGGCCTATTCCAACGAACGGCAACTGAAGTAATGGTTTCTTATCATGAACAGTTGTGTGGGCAAATTTCTTATTGTTGACATTTTTTGAAATACGTACAATTTCCGAATTGTCCACATAACTCGGGGAGGAGTTATATATATACATACAATCGCACAAAATGATAAAGATTTATGATGAAAAAAAAAAAAAAAAAAAAAAAAAAAACACTTGGTAAAAAATTCTCAATTGTGTGTTGTATACATCGTAATCCTAACCCCATTCAATGTATAGGAAGAGAAAATGGGAAATAAATTAAGATTTTTTTTTTTTTTTTTTTTTCTCCTGTTTTAACAAATTTTAAGAGGTAGGGAGACATATGTACATAACATTTCTTATACATATACAATTATACAACGTTTGTACAGCACCACATCAACCTCGGTTGAAACATGAAGTGAAACAACGCATTTGAAAAAAAAAAAAAATTATATGTGCTCATATTTATACACCTATATATTATATGTGCAACATTTTTGGAAGAAAAACTGAGAAGAATAAAATAAAAACTCGAATGAAATTGGGACAGAAGGCCATGTAAGTGTAATAGCCACTTTCCCCCAAACCATAGGAACATATCACAAAAACCACAGTACATATTTAATGGACTATTTTGAATAAAATATCTTTCAAAGAAACAAAAAATAGATATATACTACCCAATGTGTGCATACCGAACGAAAAGATCTTTTCATTTCTTATTTAAGAAGAAAAATACATATAATAAGCAGAACAATAGCGGCATAGTTGCACAAAAAAAAAAAAAAAAAAAATGAGTAATAAAAAATGGGGAAAAAATCTTCTGTATGATGATTATGAGGACGATTTAGTCGACTACGATAATTACGATGAGGAACATTATACAGAGTTTGATACCCAAGGACTAACGGAAAGTCTAAAAACAAAGGAAAAATATAATGCAAAAGGAAACACAACTCGGAAGAAGCCAAACCAAGTGAAAAAACCCAACAAAGAGAAGAATCCAAACCAAGTGAAGGAACCCAACAAAGAGAAGAAATCAAACCAAGTGAAGGAACCCAACAAAGAGAAGAAATCAAACCAAGATGAGACACCTTCGAATGTCTTCCATGATGACAATCATGGAGACAACAAAGGAAATAGATGCATCATGCTGAGCACACTGAATATACTCGTTCTAGGACATATCGATGCGGGGAAATCCACTCTTATAGGAGCACTTCTATACAACTTAAGCTACGTAAGCGAACAGACAGTGAAAAAATATGAACACATCAGGGAAAGTTCCAAGTATACCTTCATCTTAGATGAAGATGACGACGAAAGGGAGAGGAACATAACTCTTTTTAACAAAAAAAAAGAATTCTACATATATTACACAAAAACTGAGTTAGAAGAAGCATATAATCGTGTGGTACGAAATCCTAGGAAAAACAAGAAAAGAGAGACCACATCCAGTAATTACCTTAAAGAGGATATAAAGAGCTCTGTCGAAAGAGATGGAAATAACGTAGATAATGTTGTTCATATAGATAGAACCATATTTACCGATTTTTATAAAAGAAATATAATTCACAACGATGTGTTATTTTTAAGGAAAGTAAACATTTTTGACACTCCGGGACATGATGAACTGGTTACTAATTTGCACACATGGAGCTTCTTTGCTGACTCTGCAATTTTAGTAGTAGATGCAAATAATATTTACAGGAAAAAAAATGATGAGACTTATCGAAACGTTTCTATTTTAAAATCAGTAGGAATTTCTAACGTTATTGTAGTGGTAAACAAATTAGATCTCTTTGATTATGACGTAAATGTTTTTGAAGATATATGCAATACAATAAGGTCTTTTTTTCAATGTCCAAAAAATAACAGTATTTACGATTTCCTTCTTAGTAATAACTTCTATGTGCGTGTATCAACTGCACAAACTTGTGGTTTACCTACTGAAACAGAAAGACATACATTATTTCAACAAAATTTAACATTTATACCTCTTTCTGCATACAAAAATATAAACATTGTTAAATTCGAAAAATACAAAAAGAGTCTATTAAATCGTACCTTTTGTCTATACGATGAAATTAAATACATGAATTTAAGAAAAGATTTATTTCAATTAAAAGTGTGTGCAGAGATTCTGAATGATAAGAAAACTGCTCTCACAGGTTACTACAATTTTGTTAATAATAATAACCTGTTTGCAAATAATATATTTTGGAATTTTTACCAAGATGACAAGGGAGACATAACAAATTCAATGAAAAAGTCATCAAATGATGAAGACACATTTGTAGGGGTTATTCAAGATTTGACAGAATCAAATAATATGATCAATGCAAGTGTTAAAGTGTTGTATGGATTTTTAAAAAGTAAATGTAACTATGTCTTATTACCAATTCGGGAAAAAATTACCGTGAAAAAAATTGAAAAAAGTGACGAATTGTGTAAATATGTGAATATAGGTGATCTGTGTGAATTTTTAGCCACTACAAAATGTGTTCCTTTGATAAAAAAAATGTTAGAACAAGACCCCCGTTCATCCACCTTATGGAATAATAACGGAGAAGAAGAAGAAGAAAAAAAAAAAAAGAAAAAAAAAGGGGATCATACAGATGAGTCTAGCGGTAGTGATAGTTGTTGCAATGCCTACAAAGATCAAGGTGTATTCGAACCCTTTCTAAATGTTTTACCCAATCTCCTAACATCATGTTGTATCACCAAAAATGCACATATAACAAACGATATTGTAGAAAACGTTTTTTTTAAAATTGATGATAACAAAATAAAGAACGGATCTGTTTTTGTGAACAACACAGTGTCAATTAATTCTGAAGAAAGGTCCCCTTCCTATGTGACAAAAAATATCACCTTTGCATGTAACAAAATGAAAGTGTTAATAAAAATGAACCAAGTAAAAATTCCACTAATCATAGGACGACAGTATCTTTTATATTCCCTGAATTTTTCACACAGTATAACCATACAAAATATTTACTATGTTTATGAAAATAAAAAAAATTCCCTAATTTATGATGCATTACAACCTGAAAACAAATTAAACGTTAAATGTAACAAAAATGATTTAGCACAAATTAGTAATTTAAAAAATTATGTCAAAAATCAAAATGTGCTTTACGAAAAAATGGATAAGAAAAAATGTTTACGCAGCCATGACATTGGCCTTATTGAGATCCACGTCAATGACAATTCTTTCATGTGCATCCAGCATTTCAGGGATGACATAAACTATTACATTTCTCAAGATAACCCCTTTTTTAGTGCCTACGATCTCCTTTCATGCAGCATTTCTCCCCTGTCTCGTCTTATTCTCTCTGAGGAAAATAAAATTGTTGCCAGTGGTTTGGTTATAAGTGAAGCATGAGCTGATGTACGTGTGTGTATGCACCCATATGTATGTACCTACATGTATGTACCTATTTGTATGTACCTACATGTATGTACCTATTTGTATGCACCTATATGTACATATATATGCATGCACATGCCCACGCGAATGGTTGCGCCTGCGTGTTCAGGTGCAAACTCATCAAAACACAACTGTACCGTGTTCATAAAAGCTTGTTATTTTCTTGTCACCTTCGTTTCCATTCGCACTGCCGCAAGAATATGCCTGCGTTGTTGCACACGCGTGATAACAGTAAAGTAAAATGGATTGAAGTTAAAGAGAAGCGTGAAAAAATGGAAAAGTGAAAAAGCAGAAAAGTGAAAAAGCAGAAAAGTGAAAAAGCAGAAAAGTGAAAAAGCAGAAAAGTGAAAAAGCAGAAAAGTGAAAAAGCAGAAAAGTGAAAAAACGGAAAAGTGAAAAAGCAGGAAAGGTGTATCATTGTAAAGACTCACAAGGCACAACAAAAGTAAACATTCAAAAGATTAAGTTAAAAGAGTCCCATAAAAATAGGCAATTTTCGCTCGAATTGTGTATGTTTATTGGGAAAGCACTATCTATCCATTTAAGCACGATAATATAACGTAAAAAAAAATTTGCTTAAATTTTTCAAAGCCCCAATCCGTGCGTGCAAAAATGGTATATGCACAAAATCGTATTATCAAATTATACTACCCTTATATTATTTACATTTTTAGCCAAATAATATTTCATTATTTTTTTTTTTTTTTTTTTTTTCACTCCCCGCGTACAAATTTTTGCAAACAACATTTGTACATACATATATGCGCACAGAAATTTTCTGTATGCATGTACCATGTACACATAAAATCAAATAGGCTTTCTTCTTCTTCTTCCGCTTTTTAAAACTTTTAATCCCCTACCTTTCTGCTTGCCTCATTTTCTCTTTTTAGTTCATTCAATCTCGCTTGAATTAGTTTCTCCCATTCATACGGTGGGAGTTCAATTTGGCTTGGTTCGTAAGGAAACATCTTGGCTCCTTTGACACAAGCACGCATGTATGTATATATGTTTTCTTTGTATGAATGTACTTATGTGCATGTGAAGAATGCAGCTACAATAAATGAATACACATCTGAATATGTTCATACATACCATGTATATATATGCTTATTTTGTCCATACGAAAGGGCACACTATTTTGTAAAAAAACTGCCCCTTAAATCGAATTATCTATAATTTTTAAATAATTTTTAAGTAATTTTTTGAAAAATTACATCCCCCATGTATAGTCAAACATTTACAGATGTATTATACTTGTTTAAAACTGAATAAAGAAAAAAAAAAAAAAAAAAAAAATCTGCTTCTGTTTACGTGTTGAGAGATATTTTTACACACACGCAAGTAATCCAAAATTTTGTCATATAAAAAAAAAAAAAAAAAATTAAAAAAAATGATGCATTTTAAAAATAAATCACTATGTAGACAACTATATGTGAAAAGGAAAATAACCTTTAGTATTTGCAATAAAATGAATGTTCACTTCTTAAATTATGTTAATTTTTCAAATAAATGTCTTGCAACAAAAATAGTGAATAATGTATATTTTTCAACATCAAAAAACACTGATTATATTAATTTTGTAAATGAAATAAATAATTTTATTGATGTCTTTCAAAAGAATTCAGACGATAATTCATCCAGTGGGGAAAACATCCTCTCCGTATTGCAAAAAATAAAAAATGAAAAAATATATGAGCAAAATGAAGATCTCATGGAAATTATAAGTAGCATAAAATTGCTAATTGATAAAAGAGTTCGTCCAGTGGTTGTGAATGACGGAGGAGATATCAAATTCATATGTTTCGATGTAAATGACGGTATAGCAATTACCCCTCCCTTCCTGCCTTGCCCACAGGCGTGCAAGCGTGCAAATGAATATGCATACATATACACACATATAAACATATACATTTTTCCATGCGCTTTATTCACCGCTAATCATTTTCTTACGCATAAATTTACCCCTTTATAACACCACATTTCTGCAGGCGTAGTTTACGTGCAACTGGAGGGAGCTTGTGTCACATGTTCACAAAGTGAAATAACACTTCAGTACATGATTAAAAATATGCTGACATACTACATATCCGAAATTAAGGAAATTAAAAATGTATCAAAAAATGGAGTTATTCTTTAATTTTCACAGAAAAACAAGTTAAATATACAGCAAAAGTAGGGGAATTTCTTCTTTATTAAACACGGTATTATTACTGAAAGGATGTGAAAATTTAAAGGAGAATAATCGTTAAGGTGTTTCCCATGAAACAGTGCAAAGCATATATTTATTTTTAAAATGAAGATCTACCTGACATAACACCAATTTAAATAGCCTTTACGTGTGAGAGAAAAATTTTGAATTAAAACATTTCCATGGAAGATAAAGGGGCCACCCCTTCTTTGACTTTTCAACGAAAGTTACTATTTTCGAATACAGAAAAGACAGGGTATATAATACAATGTCGTTTTACATGTCTCACTGATAAAAGGGGGGCTCAATATTTATATCTTCAAATCATAAATTTAATCGAATATACATTTTTTTTATATCAAATCAAAAGTCAAAGCGATTTAATATAAAATGTGTTAGAAAAAAAACTCTGTAGTTTTATTTTTCCTTTTTTTTTTTTTTTTTTTTTTTAAACGTTTGTAAAATGTAACATCTTCATTAATATATTCCAAAAAATAAAGTGATTTTTTTATAATCAATATAATGTGTATGTTATCCAATCTACAATGCTATATCATTTGTTAAACATTTTTTTTGGCATAACTGACATAGAATTATTTTTTTTTTTTTCCCCCTTTTTCTTTTCAAATTAGTTTGGTGCTTTTTTTTTTTTTTTTTTTTTAAATGTTACACAAAATGCTTTGCTTAATAAAGCAAAAGCTAATCTTATTTTCATGTACGTAAAATATTATGAACAGTCATATTTTTTTTTTTTTTTTTTTTAATGCATTCCTGCACTTACCAAGATGGGTGCTTAAACCTGAAATTTGAATAGAATGAAATATCTCTAAATTTAAAAACATGCGCATGTATATATTCACATATATATATGTAATTCAATATCTTATAATTTAGAGTACAACAAAATGACAGTAAAAATGTTCTGAGAATGCCCGTTTCTATTCACATAACAACAATTTCCAATTCCTCCCTTTATATACATTTTCATGTCTTTCCCCATTTTCCACAACATTTAAAAACTGAAAAAGGCACTTATTCTTGTGAAAAAACTTATGATTCGTTCAAAATATGTATTTGTGAAATAAAACTGAAAATGCATAAAACAAATGGGCATAAATGTAGACCGACCTGTAAACATGCTTTTATATCCAACAAAAAGGGGAGTTGCACAAAGCAAGAAAATAGTTAATTTTTGCAATGCATTATTTCCCTTTTTTTTTTTTTCATTTCTTTTCCTCTTAAAAAGTGCGAAAAAAAAATTACCATAAAATGTGTGTGCATATATATCCCCTTTTTTAATCATTACACATTTTATATATCTGGTGAAGAAAAAAAAAAAATAAAATAACAAACCCTATGAATTTCACAAAAAGCGCAAAATTTCTTTGGGCAATGTCTTAAAAACGTACATTTTTATTTCAAAAAAAGAATGTTAGAATTGTTCTCTCTTTCCAATAAGATCTGTAATGAAAATGTCTGAAAAAGATGCTTGCACAATTTTTGTTTTTTTAATTTATTTGTATTGTTACAAGTTCAAGTACAAATTTCTTAAGCTTCTGATTGTCCATTTAACACATGGTTACAACATTTATATGTTCACATTTTAGCTAATTTCTTTTTTTAATTTATGTTGCGCTTAATATAACGATATGTAGAGTTAATACTTACATTCATGTTTATGTCTAAATCTTTTGATACTTCCAAAAAATGCACTTACAATTTTAATTGTAAAGTGCCTCATGTTTTAAAACAGTTACAAAGGCGATTTAAAACGTTATTTTTTTTTTTTTTTTTTTTCTTTTGTGTGTTTTACTGTAATGTGTGCTTCAAATATATAAAGATAATTAAAAGAAGTATATGCACTTAAGTGTCTTGCCTCTGTTTACACATGCAATCAATGAAAATGCACGTATCATTTATAATGTTCGAAAAAATGCTCAAAAACATTTCTACAATTTTATTTTAAAAGTAAACGCTTATGTTAATTAAATTTTAATCATATAATGTTATTGTGAAGTACACATATTTCCTTTAGTTCTTGTCTTTTTTTTTAACAAGTAGAAGTAAATGTATATCCAAAAGGGTTTTGATATATCCATTATAAATTAATAATTGTAGCCATAATGTTTTGCAGAAAATACAAAAAAAAGAAAAAGACAATTTCACATATGTTTCTCCCTAATTTAACATCATTCCATTTAATTCACAGCTGCATTTGTGTATTTTTCCAACCATTACAATGAAAATAAGCCATCACAAAAGTACAAGTAATGATATTTTCCTAAATGAAAAAAAAAATGTAGAGCCAATAAAGCAATTCGTAGAAGTTAAAAACGATTTGAACAATCAATCAGATTTTAGCTCAGAGTTCGAATTTAATTTCAAGAAGCATATCACAGATAGCTTCGAAGCAAAAAACAAAGGGTTATTTAAACTTCCTCTTGGAAACAAAATAAATCATAAACCAGATTTTATTAATTATAGTCAAAGTATAGCAGACAATGAATACAGCAAAAGGTTCTCGGGAAATAATCACAGAAATAATGAATTAACTGAACCCGAACATGCAACTCAAACTAAAAAGGGAAAACACTGTGAAAGTAAAGATGAAATAATAGCTAAACTGAAAAAAGACATAATTATATTAACCAACCAATTTGAAAAAAAATTAAGTAAAATAGAAAACGTTCAGAAAGACAATTTCCAACTGGAGCAAATATATAAAAATAAATATTATTTAGATATAAAAAAAGAAAAAAGCAAGACAATAGAAATTTACAATAAAAATAAAGAACTGTTAAAGGAAATTTATTATTATAATCAATTTCTTCAAGAATTAAAAAAAAAAAATAGCTGTCTTTTGAGAAACATACTTACCCTTGTAGAACACTTTGGACCTATTGAAAATATAAAACCTGTATTTAGTAATGTGAAAGATATTTCATCCCTCATAGAATCTGTAGAGCATAAATGTACCCCAAAAAATACGTGTAAATCAAAAGAAAAAAGTGAAAACATAAAAGGTTACAACTCAGAAAATATAAAAAACGAAAACAAGAAAAGAAAAAAAAAAGGTTCCTTAAAAAAAATACAGAGAACAGCAACCCCTTTTCATAAAAATAACAAAACTGCTACAATTTGTTCAAGGGGGCGTAAACAAGACGAAATACAAAAGGTGTGTAGCAATAAAGAAATTTATTTTCGGAATCGTTCACTTTTAAAGCATTATGAAAGGACAAATAATGAAAATGATATCAAAAATAATCCACGAATGAACCAAAGTTCATTTGGACATGATAATAGTTTAAGAAAAAGAAGAAATGTAAGTTTGGGAAATAGGCAAACGGGAAATAATGCTTGTTCTAAAAAAATGCGCAATGTAACAAATTTCACTATAAGATTGAAAAACGTCACAACCGAAAATTCAGATAATATTCTACATTTGTTGAGAAAGACAAGAAAAATTAAGTATTTGTTAAGAAATTCTTTAGATATACGATATGCTAAAGCAAGCTATTACCCAAATGACAATACAAGCGATGATAGGAACAACTATGAACCTTTTAAACAAAACATACCCAGAGAGTGCGTATTACGAAGAGATAGTAAAATGCCTATAATGCACAGCTCTTTATTTAAGAGGGAGCATATTGCATAACATACTAATGAAGAAACTACTAAATCAAAATGCTACGTATTGAAATGAAAAGAAAACAAAATTCACTTATTTACCAAGGGAAACTTAAAATATGAGTAAAAACTTTAAAAAAACATTACTTTAATTTTTAGGTTTCAATAAAAGGCTAATAAAACTATGGTTTTACGCAATCATTAATATTTGTTATATGCAAATCATGTTATCATAAGAGCACGTTGAAAGTTATTCAAAATACATTGACATTCTTAAAAGGCAAAAGCTTTACATTTAATGTATTATAAAAAGGCATAAATTCAGACATTTTGTTAGGATTTTCATATGAACAAATAGAGTTATTTTTTCCCGTCACATAATGATAAACGTCTGTTTCTACAATGCATAGATTAAAGGCGTGTACATTGTAATGAACATATTTTTAAGTATTAAGAAATGTGCATTTTTTTTTTGTTTCATTCCTTGTGGTGTCTCCATATCCTTGCTTTTTTTAATGATTTATCTAGGGATACGCATAACAGGACACATTGGTCAATTAATTAAAAGTATATAGTTAATGGATCACATGTCTAAATAAACATTCCTTTATATCTTGTTGTTTTTGTTGATTTTTAATTTTATATTGAAATTTTGAAACATCAAAGAAAAGGAAAAGGCTAATTTTATTATCTAACTTATAGTCATCATTTTGCTAAAGAGTTGGGCACCAAAGGTGCGGCGCTGCTTAAAACATCAGCTTTTAATAACAAAAAAACAAATTTTTTTGTTTTGTTTATCACCTTAATCTATTAGTGAAAAATGAAGTTACCTGATTTATATGATTCACCTTACACAAACTGGACATTTGTTTTAAATGGTAATAAAAAGCTGAAGTTACTATTTCATGACATAATTTTTGAATGGGAAAAGTATCACTGTGCTTTGCGCACATTTGCATAGTAATCATTTGGAACAAAAACACATGTTATTTTTCAGTGCTACATTATACACTATAGTTCAAAAATGTTAATAAAAATTAGTACCTTGTTACTCCAGTTACACAAATGAATTAAAAATGAACATTGTGCTTCATACGCAAAGCACAAGAATAGAATATCAAAATAAATATTAAATTTACGGAGGTATTATAGAAATCCACTTTTAGATAAAAAAAATTTGATAAAATGTAAAAGTATGACAACTTTTTTAACATAACAACAAGAAAAAAAAGATCATTATTTTTTTTTACTACACCATTTTCTTTGTATATATTCAACTATTGGAGTTGGTTGTTATCATCTGCTTGTCTGATATATTTTGAACACCTTTAACAGTTATTTCTCTATTTAGCCAACATAGGAATGTTATTTTTATGAATATTATAATCGTTAATACATTTGACTTTGGGAAATAAGAAAAAAAAGGTTTCTATTTGTTAAGGAACGTTATGAAGTGAATAGCATGAAAAAATACATTTTATTTTATCACTTATCTTCGACTGTTCTTTGTACACAAAATATCGTGTGCCTTAAGCTTACATGTTCATGTGCATTTTTTCATTATTTTCCTTTGTACACACAAAATCCTTTTCCAACCAGGATTCTTGAATTTGAATAGCAAATTGCTTAAAAAAATAATAGAAGCATAAAATTTACATTTTTAAAAAAAAGTGTTTTACTTGCTCTATGCATGTACAAGACTTTGATATTTGCTGTTATATTTTATTTAAAAAAAATGCATAAATCCACTAATACTCATAAAAAACTATAATGTCTAAAAAATATAAAATTTTCACAGTGCCATTATTATGATTAATATAAAATTTATTTAGTTCATACTTTTTAAAATAAGCAAAAAACATGATGTCATGAAATTTAGTCAAAAATAAACTAATCCTGCATTTTTGTTAAAATAAATAAAAAAATATAGGGAAAAATATAATAAGTTATATAAAATAAACAGAAAAAATGTGATCACAATTAAAATTTACACAATATATAAAAATAAAATATGTGTAATTAATGTGCGTTATTTTACTTAAAACGAAATTAAAATGCTATTAAATAATTGTTTAAATAATAAAAATCATTGCACAAGTTAAATTTAAAATAGTGTATAAAATAATTATTAAAATTAAATAATATAAAACAGTTATTATAATTAAATTAAAAAATATATATTAAAATTATTAAAATGGAATTAAAGAATATAAAGAAATTATTAAATTCAATTAAAAAGATATAATAATTATGATTAAAATAAAATATTTATTAAAATAAATGTATAAAAATATGATAAATTAAATAAAAATATTTAAATGTATATTTTGTAAGAATAATTAAAATTAATTCAACCTATTTTATAATTTAATAAAAATATTATTTTGTTTTTATAATAAATACATTATTATTTTAAATAGTGTATTATATAAAAATAAATATAATAAATTAATTAAAATAATATAAAATTATATTAATAATTTATTAAATAACAATAAAAAAATATTATAATTGAATACATTATCAATTATTTTATTTACATTAAAAAAATTTTAATTAAACAAAACATAAAAATTATATATATTAATATTTAATTAAAAAATAAACATTAATATAATTGTTTTAATTATTAAAAAAAAATTACATAGGTAAAATATATATATTAAACAGTACAAATTAATATATGTTAAATAAAATGAATAATAATATTTATTACTATACATGCATTAAATAAAATAAATAAGCAATTAAATAAGTATTTAATTAAATTAATATCAAAAATAATTAATTAAATATATAATAGTATATAATTAAATTAATATAAAAATATAATTATAAAATTAAAATATATAATATATATAATTAATTATAAAATATTGTATATTAAACTAAATTAATAAGATATAAATAAATAATTTATTAAATAAAATTAATAAATTAAAATAAATAATTAATCATAATATAAAATAAATAGAATTATTAATTTAGTATTATATATAAAATTAATTAAAATTAAATATAATTAATATATTTAAATATTTTATATAAAATCAATAATTTATTAATAAATTTACTAATTTTTATAAATAAATGTTTTGTTATCTTAATTTAATTATATATTACTGAATAATTTTATCATATATAATATATATTTTTATTATTAATTTATTATCGTAATAATATATAATTAATATATAATTCTTTTATTAATTAATTAAAATAATATGAGGAAAATAATTAATTAATTTAAAATAAATAGTATATAATTAATTTATTATATAATTAAATTAAAAATATATATATATAATAATATAATTATTAATACAATTAAATAAATTATATAATAAAAAATATATTTAATCTTTTATTTAAACAAATAAGAGATATTAATTTAAATAATATATTATATTGCTTTTAAATAAATTATTAATTTATTTATATTTAATAATATTGTTAATTTAATTTATATTTATTTTATTATTTAATTTCAAACATTATTATATTTTTAAATAAAATACTTAATATTAATTAATTATATATTTTTTTTTAATTTTTTTTTATTTATTCATATTAATCCATAAAATATATATATTTTTTAATTAAATAAAATTTATTTATAATAATTTATATTTTATATGTTAATTAAAAAAATAATAATGTTTATAATTAAATTTTATTATTATATATTTAAATTATGTTTTTTATAATATTTTAATAATTAATTAAAAACTTCACTTATTTATAATTAATTATAATATAAATATAAAATATTTGTTTTTTATTCCTTTTATTAAAATTATAATTTTTATTAATATTTATTTATTTTTATTTATTTAAAAGTGCTTAATACAAATTTACAATTTCTTATTATTATTTATTTTTCGATTTATTTTCAATTTTAACACTTATTTGCTAATTTTGATTATATATGAACTCTTTTTTTTTTTTTTTTTACTATATATTCATTTCTATTTTACTTTATAATTTAAATAATATCCTTTTATTTTATTTTTATGTATTTTAAGTAGACAATTTCAATATAATCATTTTGGTCATCATATATTTTTTTTTTTTTTCTACACATTAAAATTGATACACATTTTAAAGAAAATAATTTTGAGCTTTAAATTCAATTAGGTATAAATAATTGTAATATATATTATCTTAAAATATGGAACCTTTATATATAACTTCATTATAATGATAGTTATTATAAAATGCATGATTAACTTTACAAATAACTTCATAGGCAGTATATATTATTTGAATTCTAAGTTATGTTAAATTTATACCTACGTCATAATTTACCTTGGAATGTTTTCATTAAGCTTTATACCTCATTTTTTCTGTTCTAAAGTTGTCCATTCTGTATACACTAATATATAATAATTAATTACATTGTGTTTAGTGCTACGATATACATGAATACCATACTAACATAGTTTTTATACAATAAATGCACGAGACATTCCTTAACAATATTTTTCTAGGATGTTATCATCTTTAATATAAACCATGCTATTATTTATTATTAGAAATATAAATAAAATGTTACACCTTATGGCAATGGAATGAAGAAAATGGAAAACACACATTCATATGTTCAACATAAGAATTGGCATATCACAACTTTTACAAGGACATAATCCTATTCATGAAAAATATTTTCTAAGAAAATAAAATACTTGTAAATATATGCGCAACCCTTTTAAACTTATTGTTGGAAATCACAAAATATGTTAATTTTTTTAGAAAAACTTCAGACAGTTGTATTTGTTGTATATTTCCAAAAACTGGATACCATAAAGGGTAGCAGGGATATATACATCTATATGTAATATGCGAAATTTTATATTCTTTTTCACCAAGAGATAATATAGGCCCCTTTTTTTTTTAAATTCATGTTTCTAGTGTATTACAACTAATTACCTATGATTGCACCTTATATAAAACTTATGTTCATGCAAATAATATGATATTTTATGCAACATAAGAACGCAAATATACATTATTTCCTAAGTGGTTTGAATTATGTTATATTGTATAATTTAGGAAAAAGGATTAATATAAATGTACCTTAAAAATGAATTGTGTAGCTTCCTCTTATTAAAAACATATGCATTTATAACTTTTAGATACTATACCTAGAAAAATGTGTATATGCTATTTTTTATAGTTTTATAACACATGTATTCCAAATTTTGAAGACAGTAAGAAAAACAAATGTTTTTTGTGAATTCATAAAAAAAATGAAGTAAATATATAAAATGCTCCCTACACAGCACGCCAAGCAAAGAGAAGATGCATCATTTCCTGCTAATTGCTTGTATGGATTAAATCTAAATAAAGCATCCTCATTCAGTGAAAGATCTACTTAAAATTTAAAAAAATTTTCATATATTTTTTCTATATTTCCTATGTCACCTTTACAAAAGAGGTTAAAAGAACAAATATTTTGGAAAAGTTTATCACACCTTGAATCTATATTGAGAAAAATTATTAAGGTATCATAGAAGCGCTTTCACAAAATTTAATTTTTAAATCATAGTTTTTTTCTAGAAAACGAATGGTAATATGTTGCATCATTTAAATTAGAGAAAATACAAAATGAGAATAATAAAGTAATTCATTTTCCAATGCAAAAAAAATTTATTTATTGAACAATTTTTTTCTATACGTTGAGGTCTCAGGGACAACACAAAATTGTGACGCCAGTTTAAAGAAAAGTGAAAATGGGTAAATTTCTACTTGTTCTTTTATATCAAATCATAAAAAATTAATTATAGGGATTCTTTATGCAGAAGCACACCAAATTTCATAAAAATAATATAGAATTGTTTCAATTTATCCTCTTTAGTAAATTTTATGAACAAAAAGAACCTTAAGAAAATGTGTACGGCATTTTAATGATGCAATAAAACTTTTTACAAAACACGGAAAATCTAAAAGATTGTTGTAACATTGATAACACGTGCAAAATTCTGCAATTTTCATATGTTAATTGCATAATTTAGCTATTTTTAAAATTTGAAAAATTATTTTATCTCTTCAGTACAATATAATTTTTTGTTGCACTTTACTATTTACCTAGTAAACATATAAGTTCTCGTATTTCTAGAGGTGAAATCCTAAAAATTTTATTCTAAAACACTTTGAGAGATAAAATTAAAATGATACTATTTATTCACACTTAAGTCATGTATTATAATGTAAGCTATATGCTAAAAATGTCGCCATTTTTTTTGCTTTTATTTCAAAACAATGATGTAAAATTTAAACACAAAGTTTGTTAATAATATTAATCTATATTATAGAAAAATTGTGTTTACCATTTTGTTTAATTTATTTAAACCAAATATAAAGAAGCACAAAACTGTTGTACCTAATGTGTTTTTAACTAACAAACATGGTCATCGTTATTATAGTTTTATTTAAAAATATTTGCATCTTTAAAATACACAAATCACTCGTGTACTAATCATTTAGCACACTTTAAAAAAAAAAAAAGGAATAGACAAAAAGACAAAGTGATATAGTAAATCAATCTTAAATTGTATGCAAATTTTAATTTCCTTTATAGAACCTAAAAACATGAAAATTAACTTTACAAAAATAAACATGTATAAGCATTTTTCGAGAAAATATATATTTTCTATAACACAAACAAAACAAGTATTCTACATGTTCGGTTGAATATATATTGTGTTCCATTATATGAAATGACACATATCCCCCTAAATTAATAGTTAAAATCATTAGGGGTTACGACAAAAAAATTAATAAAACTATTACGAAAAAAAAGGTATACATAAAAACAAAAAAATAAGGAATATTTTCCTATGAATAATGTGTAAAGAAAAAACATTTCAATTTAATTAATATTTAGTTGACTTTTTGGGAGTTTTCTTCCCTTTTTTCTTTTTCATAACAAAGAGAGCGCAATTATTTCCAGCTTGTACCTATATATAAAAAAAAAAGAAAAAAATATATTAAAAAAAAGTTCATTTTTGCCACGTACTTTACAATGGTGTAAATATACATAAGAACAAAGTATTTATGTTCTATAAATTGCAATATATTAAATACTTTAAACACTTACTTGTTTTACTAAAAAATCAGGATTTTGTATTGTTAGCATGTTATATGAATGCTTTTGGTTATGTTTATTAGTAAAAAATATAGGATGATTGTATTTAAAGAAATCAATGTAATCATTATAACCTAATATTTTTAAAGAATTGTCATCGTAAATCAAAAATATATTATTTTGGTTAATTGATATATTTTTTACTGATTTTGTATTATTCAAATTAATTTTAATAAAAGGTGATGATCCATAAGCTATATGTTGAAAATAATTAGGAAAATAGTGCTTTAGGTCTCCTGCCATATATATGTTGTTATGTATATCAAGCACACATGTTACAATGTTACTACAAACAATTTTTTTTATTATTATAAATTGATTTGGAGAAATTCCTTGAGATTTCGAATTTGTTAGATTTGTATTAGTTTCTTTATTTGTAAGTGTGTTAAATCTATTTTTAAAGGTTGTAAGAGGGTTATTCTGTATATATGCTTTGTCGTTATTATGATTTATATGAACATTATTTTTATATATGTAATATAGGTAGTAATTGTACTTGTGCAGATATAGAAAATTATTAAAATTGTAGTAAAAAAAGTTGTTGGTAATGCGTGTAAAGGTGTAGACGCTTTGGTTAATGTTATTTAAGCATAAGTTATTGTTTGTATCCCTGCCACATACATAGATGCACATGTAATGTGCCAGTATTTCTTTTATCATCCGACATAAACGTGATGTGTCCGAACATGAATATGTTGAATTCATAATTTTAAATTCATCAAATGATTTATCTCCCCAATTTACAATTGTACTTGTGTAATTTTTAATGTCATAGATATCATTTCTATACATGAAATCATTTGTTTCACTCGCTGAGCTGAAGTAATAGTCAGGGAAAGTTATATTCATTTTTGATTTCATTTTTTCGTTTTCCATGTGCTTGTAATTGTCTAAACATGTAATGTTCTTCATTATGTATTGATAATATTTGTCATATATACTTTTCTTAAGGCATGTTATTACAGTGTTTGCTTCACCACATGATACATTTGATACCATTAAAATACTGTTCAAGAAAATTGTCATGTACTTTTTTTTTACAAATAAGAATAAAAAGACAATTAATTTAATATTGATACATACAGTTTCTTCTTTTTCAATATATTCATAAACCTGTGGATTAATAATTTCATTTTCCTTCATTAATTTCACAAATTTGTTTGGATCCTCAATATTAAGAATGTCAACTTTATTTTGTGAATTTAATGAATCATCATATTCCTTTTTATAACTGTATTTTTCATTTATTCCATTTTTACGTAAATCGTCATGCTTATTACAATCAGTTCCACTGGGATTATTGAATTTGTTATTACTGTTGTACGTAAATTCTTCTTTATTTTGTGTTTCATTATAATAATCTTGAACATTCATATACTTTTCATCGTAAAAATTGTAATCATAAAACTTCATTCCATATACATAAGGATTTATGTTAGTATTGTTGGGGATATTAGTATAGATATTTATGTCATTTCTAAAAAGGCTCATATAGACATTTACTACTTCTGCTTTTATAAAATTTTCTAGGTAATCGAATATTCTTACATAGCTGTTTTTTCTTTTTAAAATGCTCTTTTCTGCTTCTACTTTTTTTTGAGAAATTTTATTATCATTTCTATTATTATCAATATCATCATAACTTTCCATATCATGTAAATTGTAGTGCAAATTTATTAAACTTTGCATATTACACTTATCCTTTGATTCAATGGAGTCCTTACTGGTTTTATTATTTGAGTTACTTTTGCTTTCATTTTTTTTAACTCTATATGACAAATTAAATATACAAACTTGAATTGGCACAAGAACCAAATTGTTGTTAATTTTTTTCCTTTTTGAATTATTCATTGAGTTAAAATTAGAGTATAGTTTTAATTTCCTGTTGTTGAGAAGTATTTCATTATTTGTTATATTAAAACTATTTTGTATGGGGTTTTCGACATTAAAACTAAACTTTTTTTTGCAAAATGGAAGTTTAGCCTTGTTAAACCTGTTTTTTATATTTTCTATTTTCTTCTTATCTATCATATTAAAGTAGTAACTCTCCGTGGTTGATGAATATAAAGAAGAAGATAACATTTCTGATATTTTATTTTTTTTATTTTCCTTTTTCTCATTTTTTTTTGTTGTTTTATAGTTATTATTTGAGTCACTATCTGAAATTTCTGATATATTAAAAGTATCAAAATAAATGTTCTCAAAAGGAGTGGATATTTGCCCTAGCTTCTGTTCTCCCCACATAAATATAGACCCATTTGAATACGCGCAAACATGATTGCTCCCACAAAAAATAGAACTAATCGGAACATAAATTTTATGTACACTTATAATCACATTCTTAACTTCTAAATTTTCAAAATTAAACATATTTTCTGATGTATAGACATTATTTGTTTTTAGAGTAAAAAAGTCTTCATCTTTACATTTATTTGCATTTATAGAATTGCCTGCATTGCCTAATTTTCCATCAGTTTCAATAGATTTTAAAGTGTTTTCCTTTAAAACATTTTGTGAATTTTTATTTTTATTATGAATATTTTTTTTTATAGTTTCTAGTATTAAAGAGTTATATAAAATATTTTCACAGCATTCGGCATTTATCTTTTCTGATCCCTTTATTTTTATTTCTGTCTTATAATTTGTGTGTATCTGTAATTTTTCAAAATCGTACAAAAAAAAATGACCCGGATTAATTAGCGTAGGTGCATATCTATTGATTTTATCACCAGTCCCTAAGCATCCATATTTATTATTTCCCCATGAATACACATGACCAAAATTATTTATGGATATTACAAAGTCTGCACCATTATAAATATCAACAAATTTTACTCTAGTTTTTATATCATGAATAAAATTGTAAATGAATTTATTGTTATTAAGATTGCTGTCTAGCAACACTGTTTCACTTTTTCCTTTGGCTGATGTTACATTTTTCTTACAATTTCCTTTATCATTTTTTTTTTTTTTTTCTTTCATATACTTTTTTGAATATTTATAATCATCATAGTTTCGTTTTCCTTTGTCTACATTTTCATTTGTTTCATATTTTAAATTACTATTAATTCTTTCATCATAACGTTCGTTAGAAGATTTTCTAAAAAATTTATTTACTAATTTCATGCACGATTTCTGATCAGGCAAAACATGTGCTAAATATTGATTTGCATAAGATGAAGAGTATAATATAGAGTTATAAATATTAAAATTGTCTATAGACATTTTTTTTAAACAATAATTCTTTTTTTTTACATAAAAAAATTTATCTCTATGATTATTAAGTAGAATATTTATGTTCATGTTTTTCTTTATTTCATCTACATCATTAACTTTAATATATGTAATGTCACTATCTTCACTATCAAAAGAAGAGCACTTGTCACTTTCACATGAGCTAAAGTTATCTGACACAATGTTTAAGGGGGCACAAAATGTTGCGCAGTTACATAGGCTATTATTTTTTTGCTGTACATTATTGCAACATTCATTTAATTTCTCACATTGAAATATTGGTTTTAAGAAGTTTGTAATTTCATTTTGTCTTGATGAATTACCAAATAACAAATTGTCACTGTCGCATGATGAACTATTATAATCAAGAAAATTCTTTTCTTGTTTTTTCATTTTTTTGAGTCTTAAATTTGTAAAGTATTTGTCAATTTCTATTTTTTCATTAATACTCAATGAACTATTTTTTAATTTTCTTTTTTCATTATTTTTTCGTTTCGTATTCTTCTCTTTAATATTTAATTCATTTCTAGTATCAACTAAAGTGTTGTAGCCACCAATATATAAATTGTGCTTTTTATCAATTACTGAAATAATATTTTCATTCATACATATTTTTTTTATTTTAATTGGAATCAATTGCAAATTATTTGTAAACCAAAAATCTGTGCCTTTTTTTATGGTTTTTTTATTCTTATTATACCCCATTGGGCCAATAGTTGGTGACAACTTAAGATAAGAGGGTCTTCCGATAGCAAGACTTCCATTTTCATTATTTCCAAAAGTGTATGCATAATAACTTTCGCATAATTTCTTCTTGAATGTTTCTAATATTATTTTGTAATACTTACAATAATCTGATATAATTTTTTTATAATGGTAGTATTTGAAATTAAAAGAAACAAAATTGCATTTATTCAACTTTCTGTTCATTTTGTTAATATAAATTAGGTTGTATAATAACAAGTTACTTATATCCTTTTTGTCAATGCGCCCGAAAATGTATTTCCCGTGTTTATCGTTCGTAGATTCTCTTTCAGAAGGTAAATCATCTCTCACAGGGGCATCAATCGTGTTAATGTGTGCATTTTTATTTTCCCTTTTTTGTTTTATATTTTGTTGCTCTTTCAGTTTTTCTTTATCTATCTTATTATCACATTTAATGTCATTCAATCTGTCCATTTCTTGTATTTCTTTTGGGTTTTTATTTTTCATCTCAGCATCCATGTTATGATCAGAAAAATTTGTTCTTTTTTCAAAATCTGTGGTACTAAAGAGCGTTTTACTAACGTCATCCCCCACCCCCTTCAGGTAAACCTTAGGGACTTTTACATTTTTAACCGTAGGGTATAGTGATATAAATCTGTTATTAATGTTTATAAGTAAGTTGTTATCTTGTAGTTTATCATTCAAAATGGTTTCTCTTAGTGTGGAATTATCATAATATTTTTCTTTTTTCGATGAATTTATTTTATTTTTTTTTTTTAAATTTTTGTCTACCTCGTCATTATCATCTGTTTTCCCAAATTTATCAACCCTTATTTCTTCCTCTGTATGCTTCTTAAAAAGTTTTTTCATGTTTATAAATAAATAATTCAAAGGAACTAAATAAATGTTATTGTTAAAATTTACATAATTTGTCTTAATACTACGAATTATTTCCAAATACATCCATACTTCATACTTCTGTTTCAGCCACATGTTATTTGACATGAAATTATCTTCACTCAATGGTGTATTATTTTTCCTTTCTTCCCCCTGCTCTTCTGGATGCATCTGTTTCTTCTGCTTATTCTGCTGCGAGTAATTACCTGCGTTCTCTCCATTATTGTTATTGTCACATTGATATGTCTTCCCTTTTTCGATGCTATCGTGGGTAAATATATTTTTTTCTTTTTTCATTACATGTTCATGAAAATTAACTATATTTAATTTGGACAAAACTGTTAATACATACAAAATATATGTAACATATACTAAGAATGGATGACTGTTTTCGGAGCTTGTGGGATTTCCAAAAGAGAATATGATAAGGACAAAGACTTTCTTAAAACATTTTAACGCTCTGTGTGTGTTTAACAAAATAAGAGATGTATAACCTTTTATGAAGAAATAATATATAAACACATAAAAATTATTTTTCATTGATAAAATAATATTTTGAAAAGATCTTAAAAAATTTAATATTATTTTTAAATTGTAAATAATGGTCGATTTTGATGTGCTAATGTATTTATTTTTCTTTTGTTTAAAAAACGGAATTATTCTTAAAACTATTTTAAAGAAAAATTCTATTAAATACACATTGTAATCATTATCTAGTAGAATTATTTTAACTTTTTCCTTCACATTGCTGGAAGAACATTTTTCATATTCAACAGCTGCTTCTTTTGCGTTTTTATTTATTTCATTCAAATCCGAATCTGTCTCAGTTTGTGTTTCTGCTTCATTTTCTGTCTCTGTCTTATTTTCAGTTTCGCATTCCGTTTCATCATTATCTGTTTTGGTTTCATTTGAGTATCCATATGCATAATCATCTGTATTGTCATTATCACTTGGGGTATATCTTTGTCTTTTTATTATTTCTAGATAGTTATTTGTTGAATAACCAAATGAATTGTTTAAAAAAAGGTCTTTTGAATTTGTTTCACATAAAACATGGCTTCTGTGGTTAAGCTGAAATGCATCATTTTCTTTTTGTTTGGAAAAATTATTTTTATTCATCTTGGTGAAACTTTTTACTTTACTTTTTTTCTTATTATTTATATTACATATTTTATACTTGTCCGTTCTAATAAATATATAAAAAAATATATTTATTAAATAATTTTTTAAATCACATGTTAATAAGTTAAAAATTTCCTTCATGAATATTGGCAAAATGTTTAACAAATGAGAATAATGTATTTCTATTATGCTCAGCAGGACATGAAAAATGTTTTTTTCCATTAATTTATGCATCCCCCAAAATATGAAATTTTTATTTTGGTTAAATGTGTTACAATGTTGTATAGGTAAATCCAACTCTTTTGAATATTCTTCTGGATTTTCATAAAAATCTGGTGTCATTTTTATAAGGGGAGTATTTAATAATTCATTTGTTGCCATTTTTTCTGTGTCCTTTGTTTCGTCCTTGGAGTAATATGCATTTCTTACATTTTTATATTCGTTTATCTTATAATTTCCTCTTCTACAAAATGCAAATACAAAATTAACAAAGAGAGTGCGTACTAATGCAAAGAGGTCACAATGAACGCTACTACCTTGATTGAAGTAATGAATGTTCTTATTTGTTAAGAAAGAGAGTATATTGTTGGATGCACGAGGAAAATCATGAAATGTAAATGTCCTTAGGCAAGCATTAAAATTCATTTTAATCATAAGGTGTATAAGATTGAGGTTTTTTTTTCTTTCAGTCTTATTATGAAAACGCTTTAGAATTTTTCTGTTTATCCTTTTGTTTTTAAACAAATCTAATGAATCGTTGGAAATGTTATAATCACAAGTTTCATCCATCCATTCAATATGTTCCTTGTCGTTCATTTTTAAATATGTTTTACCATCATAGTAATTTTTGTCTTTACTTTCGTTCATACTTCTTAAATTATTTAAATCAAAATGAATAGAAGACATATTCCTTATTAATTCCTTATCAAATGAAAAAAAATCATTAAATAAATTTAGGGGCATATGCTTCAACTCGTAGAACATATAAAAGGGTAAATTTACGCCACATATATAATTTAAACAAAAGGCCAAAATTATTTTATATTTTTTGACCTTCCTTATAATTCTATATAAATTTAAATGTTGAACATTTAGTGGTATGTATTGTAAGACAAAGCTCAGTGACAAAAATAAGTTAAAATAAATAGATTTGAGAAGGTTTAAATGCAAATCATCATTTGGATTTCTTTGTTTGTTATTTGAAAAAAAGAAGAAACAAATACAACTGAATACATTTTCATAAGGAAGGTTCAAATTTGTGACAAAAAATTCTAGTATACGTTTACAAATAAAGGACAACAATACACATACTGAAAATAATAAAATTCTTCTAATGTAGAATTTCTTTTTGTTGCAATAATTGTAGTTCATTTTTTTTAAATAATCAAAGTTGAATGTCTCATTTCGATTGCTATTATTAAAAAATTTTACCAATTCTGCATGAACACAATATTTTTTGTAAATATTCATATAATTGTCATAGAGTACCCAAAAAAAGGTATCAAAATTAACTTCATATTTGTTTAATAATTGTAGAAAGTTTTGAATGTTTAAAAAGTTATTTAATTTTATTTCATTCACTATTTCAAATATTAGCTTATTTAATAATAAATAAAAATAATTTATAAAGATATCTCCACAGTTTTCATATAAATTATAAATGAAATCATATTTAGAAAATTTCTTTTCCTCTTCTTCTTTACTTATGTCTTTATCTTTATACTGTATTTTACCATCGTGCATTTCACAAGAACTTCTCTGATCTTCACCAAAAAATGTTTTATCGCTAAATATATCTGCTTTATTTTCATCTTCCATCATTTTTAAATATACATGTAAATTATCACGACTTATGTATATATCTTTAAAATATGGAATAATAATGTATCTATTGTGATGGAATAATTCCTTATTTGTGTTATTCTTTTTTTCATCATAAAAGTAAGTATAAACATTAAAATAATAATTAAACATAAAAATTACGTCGTTAGCATTAGAATAAAATTCATTGGGTGGCTTATTCTTCCTGTCTAATTTGAGAGAAAACATGTAATCTTTGTTTAAGTATAACTTCTTCAGATTTATATGTAAATTTGTACTTTCAATGAAACTAATAAAACTTCTGGTACGAATAAAATATGGTGTTGAAAAAGAGTTCCTGATGTCAATGATAATTTTATTCTTTTTCCATTTGTAATAGTGACATATGTTGTTGTTATTATATATGTCTTTAGTAAGACTGGTATATTTCATATACGATTTGTTATTTTTATATATATTTAATATTCTTATCATGTTGTTAATATACAAAAAATTATTATTGCTCTGAAATATGTGATTCTCTTTCGAAATTTCTTCCTCATTGATACTTTTGCTAAAACTTATTTTATAATTAAAAAAATTTGAACAATTGAAGAAATGAAAAAAGAAAAGATAAAAAATCAAATAAAAGTTACTACATACTGGAATAAACAGAAAGCAGAGACCCCTAAATTTGTGGACAAATATATAAGGACATAGATAGTAAGAACTGTTATTTTCCCTTATATAATTCACATAATCTGAGATAAATTCATATAGTTTCAAGTCTATTATTTTTATGTATATATTTTTGTATTTATACCCTATATCAAAAGGTTTTTCATTATTCATTTTATGCAAATGGTAATTGTTAAGTATGTTCGTCTCCTCATCATCCATGGTATTGCAATATTTGTTGCTCGTGCTGTTGTTGCTCCCAGCATGGTTAACATTAGCACTGTTCTTATCTGCACATAAACTGATATTGTCAACCTTACCATTGGCGTTTTTCCCTGTGTTTGTATTGCTCGTGCAATGTTCTGAATGAAAAGTGGAAGACACATTCATGATTTGTGATTTTGCATCCACGTTATTATTACCTTCTTTCGAGGTTGCATATTTCTCACTAAAATTTGAACGACGTTTTATGGAGGAAAGGTTTAAATCGTTACTGAGTAAACTCTCCTGATCTGAATTCTTTACACTATTTTTTTTTAACAAATTGCTAGTAATTGATAAAAGCTTGCCTTTTTTTTCTTCCTTATAAAAATTATCATTTCCTTTTTTTAACTTGGCCTCGAAATAATCATAGATATTTTTCATAAATTCCTTACATTTGTTTTCAAAATGGTATTGCAGCTTCTTAATTTTATTATAAATTTTTACTAAATCAATTAGAAGGAACAAAATAAGTTTTATAAAATTAATTTTTTCGAAGTAAACAGGAATGTAGGTATTCACTGAGGAATTCCTTGAACTATCACTGGGGGTTATACATAAATTTTCTAATATGATGTCACAATTACAACACATTGAATTCAAGAACAGATTATTTTCTGATTTGAAACTGTTGGTGATTATAATTTTCTTGGGAATATATATAAAATATAATCTATTATAATTTAAGTGTAAAAATAGTAAATCTATTATATATTTAAATTTTTCATTATTATTCAATGTAATCTTGTAATGAGTTACCTTTTCTGAATTTATTTTGTTAGTATCATTCTCCGTGTCTACCTTGTTTTCTGAGTTTACGTAAGTACTAAATATTAGTTTTTTTGTCTCTCCTTGTATTTTAAACATATCAAAATGGATATTTATATATTTGTTATTCACAAAGTAGCTCATTTCTCCTATTGGTTTATGTTGAATGAATATTTTCAAGCAATCAATACCATTGTTTTGGTATATTTCTTCTTCATAACTTTGTGTAGGAGTATCGATGTTTCTCAAATGGGGATCTTCTTCATTTTCTTCTTCATCTCTTTGTCTTTCATCTCTTCGTCTTTCATCTCTTTGCGTTTCTTCCTTTTTGCTATTTATTCTTTCCCCTTTATTTTCTTTCTTTATACTATTATTGCACTTCACTTCTTTCACATCATTTTGATTTATTTCTCCCGTATGAATTACATAATTTTCTAACTCTTGGGCATTTATATTTCTCTCTAAATCGTCTATCTCTTCTAATGTAGTGCAGAAATTATTTACAAGCATTTGCGCGCCTTTGGAATTATGCATATGATTATGTTTGTTCATTATTTGTTCTGTCCTTTTGTCATTTTTATCATTCTTGTGGTGTTCCTCATTTTTGTCGTTTTTTCCCTCTCTGGACTGTTCCAAAGGACTTAACGAATTAGAGCGTTTACCTATATTACCAAGGTTCAGGGAACATGTATTTTTTTCAAAATTGTAATTTTCCATACAAAAATTTGCCTTTTCTTCCTTTTTATTTGAATCCGTTTTATGTTTACTAGCATTTTGTAATTCCCTATACAAGATTTCTTTCTCTTGTTTTGAACTTATACATTCATGTTTTTCCTTTTCTATTTGAGAATACAATTCTTCACACTGCTCCTCAGAGGATTCATGTTCGTGCAGTGTGCTACTATTCCTATGCCCTTTTGTAATAATCCTAGCATGGCTAGGCATTTGCTTATATATATTTTTTTCCTTTTTAATTTCTTCCTCCTGTATCGTCTTAAAATGTGTACGTTTTAAAATCAATTTATCCATTTCGAAGGGGACAAATGTATCATGTATCCCAATAAAGAATGGTTTTTTGAGCTCATTTTGTATGGTAAAACAGAGAAGATCTTTTTTTCCTTCCTCCAATTCATTTAAATGTCTAATGTTGTTTTCTTCATTCATATCATTTTTCGATTCAAAATTAACATAATTTTTGTTTAACGAATTTGCGTCTTCCTCCCCCTTTTCCTTTTTAAATGTTTTTTCTGTACTTTTGGATCGATTAGAATTGTCATTGCTTTCCACTCGTATATAACTTCCATTTGGAAATGTTTTCCTTTCCTTCTTTATTTTATCATACGATTCGTCATAATAACTAGCTGGTGATATGTAACATATTTCTTTATTTCTCATGGTTTTTAAAACATTAAATACGTGTACGAAATTCTCTCTCATCATTTGTAGCAATTCGCGATCTCTATTGCTTTCAATTTTTTTTTTTATATAAAAGTGGCTATTATTTTTTTTTTCAATGGTGTACAATTTTGCAAAATTTTGAACATTCTCCTGAAATGTTTCCTTACTTTCAAAATTGAGATTGTGTAAATCGATTCTAAAAAACCCTATGCTGTTTAAGTCAAATTCAACTTGATCCACTGTTTCCAAATTGGAATTTGGAGAATCAACATTTTTTATTTCTAACTTATTGTCGTTCTCGTTATCGTTACTCTTGTGTTTATCATTATTTTTATATTCAAGGTTATCATTATTTTTATATTCATGGTTATCATTATTATTATATTCATGGTTATCATTATTATTATATTCATCGCTATCTTTCTCGTTACCCATGTCATTGTCTTCGTCCTTGTCCGTTCCACGTATGCTACAATTAGTATTGTAGTACTTGCTGTTGTTATTAGTGTGTCCAAATTTCATACTATGCATCACCTTTTTCCAGAATTTTTTTTTCAGTGCTAACTTTCCTTCGTACATTTGCATTCCTTTTTGAAACAGACTTCTATTCATATCGAAGAACGATTTATCATATTGATTATCATGGTTATTTCTTTTACTGCTGGTGCAGGACAAAGAATAACGTGAATTTTCAAATAATATAAAACAAAATACTATCATATTCTTCTTTATAAAATAATTACTATTTCCAACATTTAAAATACTTTTTACATACCTTTTCTGACATATGTAATGCGAATTTACAAGGCTATCATTAATGTAAGAATTTTTAATAGCTCTTATGGAACAATGATATATATTTTTTCCCTTATTTTCTTGTGAAAATAATTTTTTTTTTTTTTTTTGTGAATATGTGCAAATATTTAAAAATTCGGTTACATGTTTGATGAAACTTATATCCTTTTGATTTATATTAATATTTGTATTGAACAATGAATCTTCTTCAATTTTATTATCAAAACTAAGACATAGACATATGAATAGGTACGTTATATACACACTTTTGTGTTCTAGCGAATATTTTACTTTATCCTTAAAAACATATTTTTTTTTTGTATACTCATTATCTTGATTTTGATCTGAGTTGTTCTCCTTTTCATGCTGGTTCATGTAATTATTTACACCATATAAGGCATCATAATTATTTATAAAAAATAAAATGGTAAATATGTTATACATTATGGATTTAATTTTGTAATTATTATTCAGGATGTATAGACACATTACATTTGCCATTTTAAAGTTATCAAATGCATTGTAAGGCAAATTATTTCTACTAAAATTTTCGATTTTTCTAAAACTCTTTTTTATTATATGTATTATCTTTTTTTTTTCTGTTGATATACTACCCATTACTTTTTTATTCAATTGAAATAATTCAATTGATTTTTCCTTCTCTAATTCATTCGTGTTGAAAATTTTTTTCATTGTATTACCATTCATTTCACAAGTGTCATTCGAATTATCATACAATTCAAAATAGACATGTAGACAGATGTTTTCTAGGATATATTTTAACCGTACAAAATTATATATCTTTTGTATTATATTCATTTGTTCATAAAAGTTTGCAAATTTTGATTCATCTCGGAGAAAATAATTATAATAATTGCTGAAATAAAAATTATTCATGTTTTTATAGTATTCATTGTTCATTTTTTTGAATAACTTTAATAAAAAATTCAAAATTTCTATGTTGTAATCTTCGTTCAAATATACCACTGCATTTTTCACCTTTTTTCTATGGGAAGAGCTGACAAGATAGTACACGTATTCATCCTTGTTTTCAAGTTTTCTTTTCAAGACTGTGAAAAATGGGGAGAAATTAAAAATAAATAAATTCTTTTGTATAAAGTAAAATAAGCACGCAAATATGAACACACATAAGTTCATAGGTACAAACGACCAAGGGGATCATCTTTAGGTAATTTCACATGAAGAGATGAATAATGAAATTCTTTAACAATAGCAAAAATGTAATATAAAAAAGGTGCATAGGCATATACTTTTGAATACATGAATGCATTAAGTATACATATAAAATTTGTGATATATAACCTTAAGATATAACACTAAATGGTGTGTGGACATAACCGTTTATAAAATAGTACTAGTTGTAACGTTTTCACCGTACTTTTTGAAAAACAAAGAAACATAAACTCTTTAAGTGTATACAATTTTATCACTGTAAGACATATCATGTAAAAGCACATATTTACTCGTGAATAACAAGAACTGCATCATGGAGGCATATATATGTTATGCAATAAGAATAAAAATAGTGGGAGAAGTTCAAAATTGCGAAAGATTGCTCTTATATTGGTATGAATATGCACATATACATATGTATGTACATAAATTTATATATACTCATGTGCACATATGCACTCGTCATTTCACTTTGATATTAAATTTGTTCTATATCCTATGTTTATGTAAGTTTTTTTTTTTTTTTTTTTTCAATTACATTCATATATGACAAAGGCCTTCTGACAGAAGCTACGTTTATCCTGCCTAACAAAATTGCATATTAAATTTTCATATAAATCATTTGTGTTGTTCTTATAAACGTTAAAATTAGCTGAATATGATTTGCAATTACCCATTTTTTCCTCAGTGTATTACAACATTATTATTTATACTTTGGTTTAACTAACAATTGGTACAGAAACTTGAATTTTTTAATATATTATATTTTGTTATTATTATTGTCGTTGTTGCTGTTTTTTGTTCTGTAGGGGGAAGAGACTTATTTTTTTATTCTTGTTTTTTGTTCCCCTTAGATTTCTTTACTATTCTTCTTAGTGATATTTTTGTTTTTCTGTTACTTTTTTTTGTCTTTGTTTTTCACCCCATTAGTGTTGGCATTATTGTTATTTTAAGATCTACTTAGTGTTGTTCTGTTGTTCTATTTTCTTTTCTCTCTTTTTTTTTTTTTCTTCTTCTTATCAGTTTCACATTTACACTTTTGTAATTCACATGATCTGTACAGTTATACAACTTAAGAAATAAGGAGGGGGAGGGGGGAAAAAAAAAAAAAGGAAAGAAAAAGAGATAAAAATATACCTTCTTACTTTATAAGGAGTGTAAAAATTCTATATTCTGTGTATAAAAAAAAAAAAAAAACATTTTAAAAAGATAGTCCTAAAGAATATTATGTATACTTGCACAAAAACAAGGTTAAAAACATCATGCAGATTGTGTATTATGAAGGATAAATGTAATCTGCTTGGACTTTATTTAAATATATATATATATCTGCACATGTTCAACTGAATCATAACGTTTGTAGCTTGAGTCATGCGTAAGATATATATGTACATTCATTTATGTTCTCGTTTAAGCGAGTTGAAAAAAAAAAAAAAAAAAGTATAGGGCCAAATCTTTAATATGAAAATAAAAAAGGGGCAGGGAGATATAATAAGCTTACGTATTTATAACATGTTTTCAATGTGATATATTTTGAAAAATGGCAAATATATGAAGATATAAAAAAAAGTATGAAGCGTTTTCATTACTATTTGGTTCTTAACTGAGAACAGGGATACAAATTAAGAAATTTCAAAAAGGAAGGCCAAAAAAATGCATAAAACAAAATAGTGCTCGTCGTAACAAAATTGTGAAAAGGTAAAGATATATAACAAGCATTACATACACGAAGCAAATGAGTAAAATGCTTGTACATATATATATATATATATATATATATATACATACATACATGACATGAAAGAACTACAAAATGCATATAATTTCTACATGTATACATATGACATTGCAATACATTCTTCCAGTGGCGCATTTTACCAAAAGTTGCTTCTCTGCTTATTGCGTTACACTTTTTTTATTACGTCATTTTTTTATGTACATATATACATGCACATTTTTTTACGCAACAAAAATAATAACATATGTTATTGTTAGTTAAAAGGTTTATCCCAACAAAATTCTAGAAAAAGGTTTATTGCAAATGCTATTTTTACCCTTATATATATATGAGCTTTTGAAATATCTTTGAATCCTTAGCATTTTTACATATTTATTTATTATTATTTTTTTTTCATTGTTAGCCGAATTTTACATTTTTAGGGCACTTACAAAGTACCCTAGGTTTTATATGCATAAATGAAAATTATTTCATTTCATTCTATAATTTTTTATTTTTATTTATTTATTTTTTTTTTTTCTCATGCAACAAACACATGCTTTTAACAACGTTATTTTGTTTTATTTGTTATGTGCTAATGCTTATTCACAGGAGTTGTGTTTGTGAATAAAGATACACACGTAGTTATAATATATGATATATAATACACACAAGTACATGTGCTTGCGTGTACACACATTGGTGATCGAATTGGGTTTTTTAATATGAAAATGATACACAAAGAGGATTGCAAAATTTTGTTGTTATTTTGGAGAATAAACAAAAAGAGGATTGTGAAACAAAAGGTATTTTTGCTTATGCATTGTTCTTTTTTCTACATTAGCAAAAATTTGCCAGGGTTAAAGAGTTGAAATAGATATATATACATATCATATCAAAAAGCCTTAGGGGATATAATACATTTAGCCTATATGACTGAATTTTTAAACAAAATTTATGCTATGCGCATATAGTGACTTTTTTAAATACAAAAACGAATAGCTAAAAAAAAAAAAAAAAAGAAAAAAAAATGCACACTTAAACAAAATAAATGGGTAAATTGAATAAACAAAGGAAAATACAAAAGAAAATCTTAATAATAAACAGCTGTTAAAACTAAACAAAATGCAGCTAGAAATCGTGGTGATCCTCATTTGAGTCATCATGTTCATTCCCGATTTTATAGATTTTCATAACTAGTATTTTCATTTGTCTAGTGTAAACCGTGTTCTTTTGAAAGAGATACTGTAGGAGAAATAGAAGGGAAGGGATTAAAATTGAGGTGTGCAAATTCATGTACAACATTTAAAAACACATGTAAAGCCTGGATGAACATTCTAAATGTAAAAAATTTTGAATACTTACGTATAAGAAAAATTCGAAATGTTTTTTTGAGTAGCAACTCAAAATGCATTCTGCATGTAGGCGCATAACAAGGTTGTATAAATTGCTTAGATAACAAAAAATTATAACTGTCAACTTGTCTATTTTGTCATAAACAAATATCTTCTTAATCACTTTTAGGCATTCAATTAAAAGCTTTTTTTCAACTGTTGTTAAAAGGGTACTGGGTTTGTGAATTTTCTAAAAAGTAGGGGAAATGGAAATATGACTTGATAAGGGGGGGGAAACGAAACATGGGGTTCCCTTTTTTTTTTACATACACATCCAGGGTGTAAAAATCAAACAAAATAAAGAAAAAAAAAGAACAGCTTTATATCCAAAGCGTTAATATGTCTTACAAAAAGGGGGGTAAAAGCATGGGCATGACTATTTAAAGACTTTACATGTTCAGCAGTTAGCTGAGGCTTTTCAAGATATCTACATATGTTTATATATTTTGTATCAGCATTATCAATGCTTTTAACATGAAAACTACTCAAATAATTTTCATTTACAGAATTGTACTTATAAAATTCTGTAAATTTTACATTTTTGGTAAATTCCTTTATAATAATATTTTTTTTTACATTCGAAGAAAAGGATGACGCATTTTGTTTTAAAAAATGAATCATGTCTATGTAACATCCATTCTTTTTATCACTTAGGTATTGCTTTGAGTGTTCAATTTTTTCTAAGCATTCACAAAAAGGTGAATAAAAACAGTTAGTAGTATTATTACTCTTATGTTGGTATTTATAAGTAACTTCTTTGTCACTCATTTGTTCTTCTGTTTCTTCATCCCCTTTATACCTTTTTTTCAAATGTTTCTTAAGATATAAATGTGGGAAAGACAAATAACTGTTGCATAATACACACTTTTCTTGAAAATCTAAAAATTGATAATACCTTTTAAATAAAAATTCCATGTCTTGATAATGAAATTTTTTTATTTTTTTTTTATTAATGTATTCAATGACATATTCCTTCTTTTTTTTTTTGTATTCATTCTTTTTATCGTTTACAAAACTTACATATTCTTCTATATTTATTTTCCTATCAGGAGCAAAGAATTTTGCCGCCTTTGTGGCTTTACTATTATATATTTTTCCATTGCTAAATTCTGCAGAAATATTTCGGTTTTTAAACTCTTGAGTATCATTCTCGTTTTTTATTTCATCTTGAATTTCACTAAATATATTTCCAATGAACAAGCCGCTATATTCATTCGATGTGTCATATGAAGAGATGTTTAAGTCAACCGATTTTACCATAAGGGTCTGCAATTGTATGTATACTCTGTCATGTATGCGTGTGTGTATGTGCAAACAAATGTTCCTTTTCTTCACATTTTCAAGTGAAAATGCGTAAATCACAGCTTTAAACTTAATGTCCTTTTGCGTACTTGCATAAGAAAGTGTGACAGAGCTTCTACTGAAAGGCCTTAAATAGAAAAACAAAAGTCGGTTTTTCTATTTTCTCAAACTCTTTTAAAGCGTTATATGCGGTTCATTTTAAAAAAAAGGATTCAATGGGTGAAAAAGTGAAACGGTAGAAGTTTTAAAATGTTGAAAAAAAAAAAAAAATGTAAAACACGTATGTATGTGTTTATGTATATATGCATGTAGCCAATCCTAATACAGTTAAATGCATAAATTATCACAATTTCTAAAACGTTATGTACTAGTAAAATACTGATGGTAAAATAGGGTTCCTACATACAAATCTTATAATATTGCACTTCCCCCTTTTTAATTATCTTGGGGTTTATGCAACTGCCATTGTTGTGGAGCAAAACGTGGCTAGTTGAATTTGGAAAAAAAAAAAAAAAAAAAAAAAAAAAATATGTACATGCATGTAACGCATTATACATCAAAATATATATGTTTACATAAGGAGATAATTACGGAGAAGTTCCAAATGATACAAGGCACAATTAAAAAATTTTGTAGCAGGGATACAATACATTCTGGTTTGTGACAATATTCCAGTTAACGCGAACGAAGCGAAACGATATGAACAAAACTTTGCAATGACATTTTCAGCCCTGAAGCAAAATTGTAACACCTTAAAAGTGGAAAATCAAAAAATTGTGGAGCATATTTTATACAAATTTTAAGTTGTTAAAATTTACGAAATGAAAGCTTCCATTTGGCCAAAAAACAATGGGGAAACATAAACACAGCAAAGATAAGTTATACATTTTACAATCAGAGTATAGAAGAGATGCCTTGATAAAGAAACAGCAGAAATCCAAGAACTCAACCTTCCTCCCATTTAATTATTGGTGAGAAATATTATTTTACATATATATGTTATGCTGTCCAAGAACAAAAAAAAAAAGTAGCTACACATTTTGAGTCGTGAAAAAAGTCATTTTGCATAAATGTATATATATAAATACATGAATACATTATATGAATGTGTTCAGATGACAATTTTATACATACACACGTTTGGAGCCTTTTTTTTTTTTTTTTTTTTTTTTAATTGCATTATAGATTTGCTTACATGACAAATATGTATTTATGAGATTATGTGCATATACGTACATCTAAAGGAACGTTTGTGTATGTGTGTGTATTCCTGAACCCCATTTGGTTTAGTATTCATTATTTGACCACGAATTCCCTCACCCCATTTTTAGCTGCATAAGCTTAAGACCCTTTAGTGAACCATACTGTGATGAAGATGGAAGACTATATGATAAAAAAAGCGTTTTGGAAAAAATGGCCATGATAAAAGAGGAAGGGAAAAAAATGGAAGCAACTATTGACATAAAAAATTTAATTAAGGCAAACTTTTACAAACATAATAATGAATACATATGTCCTATAACGAGAAAGTATTTTAATCAACATTCAAAAATTATTTTAAATAAAAAAACAGGGAATGTATATTCATCAGAAATATTTAAATTATTTCATAACAAAAAAGATATGTTTGATCCAATTACTCATGACCCCATGGACAAAACAGATTTAATTGTCTTACAAGATCCGTTGAATAAAGTTGCCAATATGAATGAACTTAGTCAAAATTTTGTTCAGACGAAAAAAATAAAGTCCCAGTCGATTCAGGGAAACGGGGCAATTATGAATATCTTACAAGAAGTAAAGAAACAAAGAGGGGAAGCAAAATATGGTGACAAGAAATATGAACATGTCAAAATAGAGGAAGGAGATGGAGGGAAGCAGATCGAACAAAATACAACTCCAAATGAAAAAGGAATAAATGAAAAACAAATGAAAAGCGATGGGAAAAATGTTGCATTATCCCAATTTGATGATGAAGATGATGACAGTAGCGAAAATGAAATAAAAATAAAATGTGAAAATTATAGTGATAATAAACTGGCACAAAGTGTAACTTCAACTATATCGAATGTTACATACAAAAATAGTTTTATTTATCTTTCAGAAACTCAAGTTCACGATTTAATATATGAACATGTTAGAAAAAACAAAAAGAATAGTTATGTGAGATTAATAACTGACCTAGGTATGATCAATATAGAATTAAACGCATCGACATATCCTCAATTATGCCACAATTTTTTATTATTAAGTGAGTATAAATATTATGACAAAACTGACATTTTTAAAAAAGATAAAAGAGATGACATTGTTTATTTTGGTTCTAGTAAAAACAATTACCATTCTGCTGCATCCGGATTTTATTGGAGAAAAAAATTAAAAAAGCATAAATTAAAGAAAATAAAGGATGAAACCGTTATACATAAATTTAAAGAATCATTAATGACAGTAAATAGTGACAATGATAGTGATGTAGAAATTAAATATATAAAATACAATGATAATAAACATACCGTGGAGAAAACATGTTTTGGAAATATATATCTCTTTAGGTATTACAATCAAAAGTACTCAAATATGTTTTATATTTGCTTATCCGAGGAACACAAAACACGTGATGCTTGCGTAGGAAAGGGTGAGGATACATGTCTCCTTATGAAAACAATATGTACAATTCTTGAAAAAAGAAAACATTTCGAATATGTTTAAACAAATTTTGATCAATATGCTAAAAGTTTTTTTATTTTTTTCCTTTTAATTTGCATCATTTTGTTCTACACATTATTAAATAATTTTTATCTCGCCACTTTATATGTTCCTTTTTCTTTCCCCATTCAGTCGTAGGAGGAAATGAAACCTTAAGGAAATTAAAAAATTTGGACTCAACTGCAAACAGTGATGTAATAATATATAAAAGAATAGGGGAAAAAAAAAGAAAAAAAATTAGGCAGCGATCAAATTAGGACATACAATTTAATCAATATATACATGTATAAATGTACACATTCCCACACGCATTGGGGCATGTTGTACCTCCGTGTATGTATTTCAATATATATATCCATCCGTGTGTCTATACATTCAATTTTCATCCCTTTCGTAGACACAACATATACTGAATGAAGTGATTATTTACACAAACCCATTTAAAGATGTTGTAAAAGAAATGAAAGGAAATTTAAAAAAAAAGGAAGAAAAGAAAGACTATAAGGAGCATAATACAGAAAGCTACATAGATGATGAAAAATATGTTCAAAATAAAAATGATAGCATTGGTAAATATATAAAATGGGACAATTTTAAGAAGAGTGCAACAACATCAAATACTGCTACTGCTGCTGCTACCCAATCAGTTAATAGTAAGGAGGAATTAAGTAAACCTAACTTAAATGTTTTGAAAAAGGAAACATTCTCAAAATCGAAACAGATCAGTAGAATGAATTTTTCCTGTTGGTAGAATTAGAAAATACATAATGTTATTTTGAGATCAAAAAAAAAGAAATAGATAAAAAGTTTTTTTTTTTTTTTTATTAGATTGTATATAATATTCATCAGAATAAAAAAGGCACAAAGTGCTGCTTACATTTTTTGCATTTTTTTTTTTTTTTTTTTTGTGAATATTTTTTTTCGACAGCATTTGTAAAAATGTCATGTGTATATATATATAACAGTGCAATGTATTGTTTTACAATATATGCTATGGGGTGATATTTACCCTAATATTTTTTTTTTTTTTTTTTTTTCCAAAATTTTGTCATTTTCTTTGTTCGTTCGTTCTTCCTTTGTTTTCCTTTTTTTTTTTTTTTTGGTAAATTCTTCATTAGAGAATGTGTTATTTTTGCTTTGTTTTGTTTTTTTTTTTTTTTTTTTTCCTCCATTTTTTTTTTATTTTTTTTTTTTTTTTTTGTTTTTTTTTTTTTTTTTTTTTTTTTTTTTTTTTTTTTTTTTTTTTTTTTTTCTAAATTTTTTTTTTTTTTTTTTTTTTTTTTTTTTTCTTTTTTTTTTTTTTTTTTTTTTTTTTGGTAAATTCTTCATTAGAGAATGTGTTATTTTTGCTTTGTTTTGTTTTTTTTTTCTTTTCTTGTCCCCCATATTCATTTTACTAACTCCCCCCCCCCCCACCCCCCCCAAATTTCCCAACACAAGCTTTTTTCCTTCATAAAAAATATGTTTGTATTTTAAATTCCGATGTATTAGTTGCAATCATTTTTGTTCAAATTCTTTACTTTTTTATAAATCATTTTTCTTGTATGACAAAATTCAAAAAAAAAAAAAAAAAATGGAAATTTTTTTTTTTTTAATTTAAAAAAAAAAAAAAAAAAAAAAAAAAAAAATTTTTTACTAACATTTGGAATGAGCTTTTTTTTTTTTTTTTTTTTTTTTTTTTTTATACATTTAAATTCTTTTTCACATTTTATTTTATGTTAAACGGTACTTTTATTTATTACTTTTTTTAATTTTATTTTTTCCTTCTATTTTTACCGTATTTAGATTCTAAGTGGAAAAAGTAGAAAATATATAATACTACAAAGCTGAATTAGTGATGAAATAACAATATGTCATAATTTTTTTTTTTTTTTCAAGTTATTATTCATTGAAGAACAACTTAAATTTATGTATATTCAAGTGTCGTGAAATTAGCAAAATCGTAGAAAAGGGAACGTCGAAGGTATATATATAAATATATATATATATATATGTACATGTAGTATTTATTCACACCGTTTTGTGTACATACTACATATACACTAGTAAATACACCTAAAACACCATGCAAATAGCTAGGTTGAAGAGGTGAATAATCGAATTAAACTATTTCACTGAATAGTATGTTACGCCCTAATTTTTTACAGAAAGAGAAAAGTATATATAAACTATTTTAAAAAAGAAGAAAAAAAATAAGTGTAGAAATATTCAAGAAAAAATTATTATTTGTTGTGAAATAAAGGGATAAATATTTTGTTTAAAATTGTTTATTTAACTGGATAGTTTATTTTTTTTTTTTTTTTTCCGTCCTGCCATGTGTCTGTTTTTCCACTAGGTTCATTCCTTCCCCGTTTTTTCTTCATCACGCTTCATTCTTTCTGCTCTTCTGCTCTTCTGCTCTTCTGTTTTTCTGTTTTCGTTTTAACGCTTTTCAATATGCATAAATCTTGAGGTTCACCATACAATGCATTAATGAAATGCGTTTTTACAAAATAATACATTTTTAGCTCCAAGAAAAAAAAAATAAAAATCCCGACAGAGAAAAAAGGGGCACACTTGATAATTTCTGTTGGTACGTGATAGTTATGGACAATCAGGGAAGAGAAAAAAGAGAAATAGACTTGAAAGAAGAGAAGACTTGGAAGAATAGAAGACTTAGAAGATAAGTAGACGTGTTGGCAAGGAACACATAGACGTGCATTAGACACAAAAAAGGTCTTACAGCCCCGTGTAAGGGAAGGGTTTAGGGTTCTAAAATGCAAAACGGAGCAGGAACGCATACGTCCCGCAAAAACCCGTTGTCATATTAAGATTCATAAGAAATGGAAGATTTTGCATATGTAGACAAAAATGTCTATATAAATATTCTTCTGACGATTTTAAATAAATGCAAAGAATATTTGTTAGGAATTGGCATTTTAAAATTAACACTTTGTTTATGCATAATACTTATTAGCATCATTTTTGCAAAGCGAAAAAATAAAAAGAAGAAAAAGATTAGTATATATATACAGCTAAATAATGTACGAAAAAATAACAACAAAGATGAGAAATTAATAGATAATGAGAAATGTTCTTTCCCAAATGAAGAAGCAAAAATAACTGAACCAGATTTTTCAAAACTATGTGAACACACAGATGGAGAAAAAGGGAATAACGAATTTTACTACATATCGTACAGTCCTCATATATTCGATTTGAAAAGCATAAGCAGAACAGAATTATGTAATGTGTGCAATGAAAGTATATATTCATTTATTTTTTATAAAAAAGATATTTTCGAATGCGTTGTGTGTAGAAATAAATGCCACATAGAATGTGCACCGAACTCTAATTTAATGAGCTGTAAAACTAGTGTTTTTTTTAAAAATAAACACAAATTTATAAAAATTAGGAATTGTTTGTGGAATAATAAATGTGACATTTGTAATAAAAAATTTTCTTACTTTTCTTTTCCTCCATTTGTGAAACAATACATATACAACTGTATATGGTGTAATAAATATTTTCATGTCCATTGTATAGCTAAAATTTCAGATAAAAGAAAAAATACACGTGGTAAAAATCAAGTAAAAGATGCATTATGCACTTATGGAAATAGAAAATATATACTTTACCCGTATGAAGTATCAATTAAAGAAAATATTTTAATAGATTTCTTAACCCACGCCTACCATCTCGTGAAAGAATCTGAAATAACTAATGATGAAGTGCTTCTTAGCTACAGTTGCAATAAATTTAATGTTACCATAAAGGATGACGGGGAAGATGAGGACACGAGTAATCATTGTGAAAAGAAACCTAACGAAGGTGTAATGAAAGAGAAGGAGAAAGAGAAAGGAGGTCATTGTTCTACCACTTTAAAAAATACAGATGAAGTGTTATATTTGGATTACGTAAATGATTTTCATAAATTTAACAAAATTAGGAAATTTAAAAATGCTAATAAAACAAAGAAACATGTGATACCGGTACACGCAAATTTTTTGTTAAATTTTTTCCCTATTCATTTACCAATTTATGAAATAAAAAGTAGTGACAAATTTCTTCTAATTTTTGTAAATGTAAAAAGTGGAGGTCAAGCGGGAAAAAAATTATATCAACAACTGTTGATGTATTTTAACCCGTTACAAATTATAAGCATAAAAAATGAAAAAAATGTTTTAAGTGCCCTTAACATGTATAAAGAAATGTTATACTTAAATAAGGTTATTCTCTTACTGTGTGGAGGAGATGGAACTATAAGCATTTTCGTTGACACATTATTAAAATTTTTTTCAAAACAAGTATCATTTGCAATAGAACAGGGAAAAATGAAGAAAAAAAATAATAAACTATGCAGTAATGAAAACAAAAGTGAACAATATTATAGTTATACTAAAAGTACATTTTTAAATAAAACCATTATGAATATTACTGCAAAATTGAAACACAATAAAGATGCTTTTAGAAAAAAATGGACAAATAATATTACGTCTCAGTCCAAAAAACCAATAACATTTTTTTTAAAAAAAAGGAGTGAAAAAAATACATTTAATACAGATAATGATTCTGGTCATATAAGTGAGGAAAATGCAGAAACATATTTTGAAAATGATCTTTGTGAAGCACACATGTGGGGGGAAAATAACAGTGAAAATTCTAAATTGAAAATGAGCAGAAGATTTACAGGAAGTAGACGAATAGATGATCCAACTACATTGTGTGCATCTGGAAAGTGTGTTTTCAGTGGTGTTTTGGGTCAACTCCCTGATGAAATTCATCATAAGGATAAATCACATGCAGGAAGAACCTACAACGGAATATACCACTTGGATGGAAACACAGATATGAATGCAAATATTAACAGTAGAATAAACAGTGATGAAAATAACTTAAGTGGAGGAGGAAATATGCATAACGAAATGAGCAGTGAAATGAACAGTTCAGGCCCAGGGGGGACCGTCCCAAACGATCCCGACAAAAGGGGAACTGAAGCCAAGTGCACTAATGGGAAATATTTATATATGCATGAAAAGTTTAAAAATTTTAATAAGAAGAAAAATGGTAAACATGATACTAACGATGAAAAGGGAGAAAAAATATATGCAAATAGTGAACACGTTGGAGAAAAAGGAACTTATATTGAAAATGGTGGAGAAATAGGAACGTATATTGGAAATGATCGAGAAAAAGGAACTAATATTGGAAATGGTGGAGAAGACTGTGTTAAGGGAGGAGGAGATGATAAGGATGGATGGAAGGAAAGTACATTGAAAAGCTTTCAGAATGGGAATTCAATGATAGAAAAATATTATAATAGCAATACTATGATACATAGTAATTATACTGAAAATAATGAATATCTTTATTCTTCTTCCAAGGGTACAGAAAATGATAAAATGTATTACAATATTTTATATCATGATTATAAGGAAAAGGTAACTAGTTGTTCCTCAATGAAAACCAAAATAAATGAAAACTTCACATCCTATTTTAATGATGCAAATATGACGAACCAAGCATATGAAACAAATGGAACAACTGGAGAGGAGAATACATACACAATAGACAATAAACAATATAATAATGTATTCAATTCTAACTGCAGTAATAATAACAGTTTAGTTAATGATGGAAGCTGTAATAGTGATTGTCGCCCTCCCTTATGCATCTGCAATGGGGAACATTTAGCACATTTGGAAAAAGTTGAACAAGAGAATTTAAAAGGAAAGGGAAATCGGAGAAATGAAGAACATCTAAATTTAGGACAATTAGATTCTTATAAAAGTGATGAAAATAATATCATTTACAAAATTGATAATTATTATAAAATTGCTTATCCGAAAGAAAAAAGAAATGAAAAAAATTATCATAACATATGTGAAGAGAATGACATCATAAATAATGTTATTACAGGAGAAGATAAAGAAATGTATAACTTGAAACCTACACTCCAATCTTACATATCAAATACACCTATAAGCATATTGCCTTTAGGTACTGGAAATGATTTAAGCTACAGTTTAGGATGGGGGTGCGGGTATAATAATGACCCACTTGTATATTTAAATAAAGTAAAAGATTGTAAAAATGAATACGTAGATGTATGGAATATGAAAGCATATGATTTAGATAATAACTTAATTCTAAACAACAGTTTTATAAACTATTTTGACATTGGAATTATATCGAGATTAGCCTTGCATTTTGATAATATTAGGAAAAAATTTCCCCACTTTTTTAATAGTCGAATAGGTAATAAAATATTATACGGAGAAGTAGGATTTAGGGATTTCTGTTTTAATACGTACAAATATAAGCTAAATAAAAACATAAAACTTTACTGTGATGGGAAAAAAGTTAAAATTGATGAAGATTTAGAAAGTGTGTGCTTAATAAATGTACCCTATTTTCTTGGGGGACTTAAAATATGGAAAGAAGATGAACAAGAGAAAAATTATTATTCAGATGTTGATAGACAAAAAGAAGAATATAAAAAAAAGAAAAGAAATAAAAAAGGCAGAAAATCACTTGTAGAGGAAAATAAAGCAACTAATAGTTCAAGCAACAGTAGTTTTCTATGCCATTCAACTCGCGATAAAGTAGTACACAATGAAAAAAATCATGATGGAACCATTTCAAATAATATAAATGATAAAACCACTTTCTATAATAGTGAAAAAGTTACTGAGGAATTTTTAATACATGACACATCTAAGCATTCTGCCGAGGGAGAAAAGGTAGACCTAGATCCCCATTCCGAAAATTCCAAAAATGGGAATACATCATCTCAAAAACATCCAGAAGAAGGAGAAGAAAGTTCCATAGAGGAGAAGAAAAAACCTTCTGTACACACAAATGACAATATGTTTGATTGTAGCAATATATACAAATCATATAGGCTCGATTTTTATAGGCAAAAGAAAAACAAGCAAAAGTATAGGAAACAGAAAATGGATGATAAAGTCATTGAAGTCATCGGATTTCGAAATATGTTCCACCTACTTCAGGTGCAGATTGGAATGTCGAAAGCGATAAAGTTATGTCAGGGAAGTGAAATTAAGGTTAAAATAGATAAGACTTTTATTCAGAATAAAAATAAAATTTATTTTCAGTATGATGGGGAACCAGGTTTTCTCAACATCCATAAATTGCATTTTACCCATAAGTAAGTTAAAACGGAGTGAGAGATGCAAAAAAAAGAAAGAAAAAAAAAAAAAAAAAATATATATATATATAGAACGAGAGAGAAAAAGAAGGGTGTGCATGAATCGAGAGAACACTTCCCCAAAAAGTACACCGTTTGACATTCCCCCCTTTGCCCATCTTGCATTCCCCATTTGTTGTTTATATACCCCTTTTTATCCCATTCGCAGATGCCAATGTTTGTTTTTGTCTCCAAAGGATCCAATTTAACGCAGTCCTGGATAAACACTTTTTTTTTTTTTTTTTTTTTTTTTTTGTTAAAATGCATATTTTATTTATTTTTTACACACTTATAACAAATACTCCATTTTATTTACCGTATTTATTTTGTATTTTTTTTCTTTTTTCTTGTTCACGCCTTTTTTTTTTGTTTATGCATGATTACATTATCGTTGCTGGAGAATACAAACATGCGTCTTTTAAAGACATGCATTTAGTTATTTATTTAGTCATATTTATACACTTTTCTACCTATCCGTTTATGAATTTTTTTTTTTTTTTTTTTTTTTTTAAACGCTTTTTCTTTTACCCTAAAATATACCCCCTAAAAATATAAATGCGCATATATCATTTTGAATTGGGCTTTTAAAAAATAATCACACATTGTTATAAATGAAAAAACGAAATCAACAAAGGAGAATTTTGCTGAGTTTGCAAATGTGTTTAAAAAATAGGATTGGGTGAACAATGGGAATTGGCTGGAAGCCAAAAAAAAAAAAAAAAAAGGTGAGTATTTAAAAAATAATTAAAGTTACTAAATATGTACATATATACACATGCATGTATACATATATGTACACACACATCTACGCATACACGTAGATATACACATACGTGAGTTACATATAGACGAATACACACATGCATGACGCTCCTCATTTGTAAATGTTCAAAATTTTATAAAATACGTTCCGCCCATGATGTATAGAATGGGTCTGCGCTATTTCTTCTTTTTCTTCTGCACAGTCTGTCTGTTTAAAAGTTTATACTTTTTCGAGTCATTCTTGCTCAGCGTGATTGCGTTACGGCACCCTTTTCCTCCCTTCAAAAGTTGAATTGGTGATTAGAGGTGAGAGGGGTGTGAAGAAAAACAAATTCGTGTAAATACAAACATGTTCGTACATATGTATATATACATGTCCATAGACAAAACATGTACACGTAAAAATTATACACACACGCACGCACGCATTAAACTGCAATTTGTTTGTGTGCATTATAATGCATTTTTTAAAATTTTCATACCTCCCAAAAGTTTCCTCCTTTTTTCGTTTTCTTATCTCGCTGGCATATACACTCTTCATCGTCATTAAATTCGCGAAAGCAGAATCCACAAATGACCCGGGTAGCAATGCCACACTCGTGGTTGCTATTTAAATCGTGGCAAGTTGGGCATGGAAATATCTTTAAAAAAAAAAAAAAAAAAAATTTTATAAAATTGAATAAAATTGAATAAAATTGAGAGAAATACAAAATGCTGGTGGTCGTGGTTGGGTACGTAAAAAGAAACGGAGTGTGCAATTGCCTTCTCAAACCTGACGAAATGTACACATATATAAAAAAAAAAAAAAAAAAAAAAAAAAAAGATTTCGTAAACATGTATATCTCCCCCCCCTCCATATCACGTACCCACCAATGTGTGCATGTAATGATATGAAGTGGAAAAACTAACTTTATTACAACAGGGAAATTTAAAAAGACGATGTGATTTTTTAAAATGTTTACATGCACCATCCTTTACTTCTATATTATTTACTTTTATGACGTTTTTACATTTCTCTATTTTCAAATTGTTCGGTGCAGCAATGGCCTTCTTAGTGGATTTTTTCTTGGTGAATAGTTTGTTTATCATTTCGTCGATTCTGCAAAGCGGGGGGATTGTACGTGTGAAGTGCGTGTGTAACTGTAAATGCACGTATCCACCAGTGTGTGCATTGTCGTATGTATGTGCATGGTCGTATGTATGTGCATGGTCATATGTATGTGCATGGTCATATGTATGTGCATGGTCGTATGCATGTGCATGCACGTGGAAAGTTGCATGTTCATTCGTTACACACGTGTGTGTGTGCACACACATTCATGCATTCGTAATTTTACTTTTTTATGGCGGCATTGTTAGCGTTAGCTATTTCATCAAACGAGAAATCCCTGTATCTGAACTCCAACTTGGTAAAACATTTCTGACAATTGATGTATATTTCTTTACCTGCCAAGGTGTGTATTCATATATATAATGGAGCTGATTTAACAAGTGAACGAATGGATGATGGCACATTTCAGCATACGTGTACATGTACAAACACAATCGTGCAAGCATCCACCTGTGTAACATGCATTTATATGCGCGTGAAATGAATTCATTCAGCTGATGAGCTGAGAGTTCATAATTTTGTGTAATTTACCCGAGGTGACATTTTTCAGAATACTTTTTCTCCCGCAACTTTCGCAATTCACGCTAAAATCAGTGCTTAACAGGTCCTGAAATAGAAGAAAAAAAAAAAAAAAAAAAACGAACAAATAAAATAAAGTAATAAAATAGTGAAGAAAATAAAAAATAATTACAACATGGTAAAAAATAATATATAATACAGAATCAACCCTTATGTCTTACCATTAATGAACATTGGTTAAACTTCAAAACGCAAACGCAATTATTCTCCATAAAACATATATTTCTATACACTTCAACAACCACGCTGTTGTTGCAATTTGCACATGTACACACTGCATTATTCAATAGGATGGGGAAAGGGTAGTGCAAATCTCATGAAATAGCTAAATGGGAGAAAATGCAAAAAAAAAAAAAAGGAAAAAAAAAAAATATGCTTGACACATCAAATGTACATGATATAAAAATTCCTATTTTACCTAATTGGGGAGAATCCTTGCTCGTTGTTGTAACATCAAAAGTATTGCAACATCGATTGCAAACTAGCTGTAACCTTGAGGATTAAAAAAAAGAAGAAAAAAAAAAAAAAAGTGTATTCGTGCACGTATATAATGTATGCATACGAGAACATAATGTGGTCACTAGAAAAAATTGTGTATGCAATTATTTTTATATAAACTTCTTACTTCATCATCACTGCCTTATATAGTGATATATTTTTTATTTGGGTATTGTTTAGTATAAGACTTTTCCCTGTGATGTTCGTGTTATTATTTATATTCATGTCATCACTATCTATATCTTGATCAAGCTCCTCGTCGTTTGGATTATTAATACATTCCTCACTTTGTTCATTAGATTTGTTTTGTCGTTCCTGTTCTTGTCGCAATTCTTCCTCCTGTTTTCGTCTCATCTCTTCCTCTTTTTCTTTCTCTATCTTTTGCTTTTCCTTCATAACGATGAATCTGCAATAAAGGAATCGCTTCAAGCAATCATCAGGACTTTTCGTCTTTACAATTTCACTAACTTTTTTCCATTTTTCTGGACAATTTTTTAAATCTTTAAAAACTCTCAATCCTTCTTCAAGCAATGTTTGTTCCTCTAACTTCCAATTCATAACTTTTTTTTTTTCTTCTTCTCTCTTCATTTTTTTCATTTTCTCATTCGTAACTTCGTCACCTCCCGTAAGTAAATTATCCTTTTGGTTCATATTTCCATTTGGGGTTTCATTATTACTACTATCATTTTCTCTCAAATTCTTTTTTGCGCCTTGAGAATTCTCTTCATCATTTGGAGCTCCCATGGCACCATTGCTTCTCGTATCTGTATGCACATCGTCCTGCCCATTTTGTGAATTTTTATTTTCATTTTTAACTGAAGCCATGTTACTAACATTTATATCCGTGTTGAATGAATTGGATTTATTTAAATAATTATTGCACGATATAGAACTGATTATCCCATTATTTTCACAATTATTACTATGCCCAAAGTGTTCTTCTGATTTCTCGTTCTTTTGATTAAATTGGTGGATAACGTTTCTCTCACTGGGCTGGGGCTCATTTGTGTGCAAAAAATTTTCTTCACATTTGCTTTCCGATTCGTCCGTGCGAATTTTTCCTAGATCATTTTGCATTCCTTTCATATAAGCATCGTTACTATTGTTACTTCTGTTGTTGCCATTGCTTCTGCTGATTTTGTTATTGCTGTTAATATGATTGCTGCTATTATTGGCACTTTTGCCATTATAATTATTTTTACAAGTTCCCTCCCTTTTTTGGTAATAATTAGAATAACTTTTATTCATACCACTGGTATGAGAAGGTTTAATCGAATGTGACATTCTAAATCGATGACCACCTCTATATGTATCTTCATCTGTGTGTCTTTCACTCCTTTCTGGTGCTCTGTCATTTCTCTGATTGTTGTAATAATGGAATCGATCAGCTCTTTCTCTTCTACAGGACTCCTTTTGGTAGTTCCTACTTTGATCATTGTTTCGAGTGCTTCTTCCGTATTGACCGGAATAAGCATCTTCAGGATTTTTAAAATGGTCTACCATCTCCCTTTTCACGTAATCTGAATTATTGTAATAATTTAGATTTCCATATTTCATGCCCACTTTGCTATTACTGTAATAATTTCTGGCTCTCTGAAAATAGCCTTTATTACATTCGTTCATATTAGCATAACTGTTTTCATTACCAGATGTTGCAGTAGATTTATTTGTTCTGCTCACCCCACGGTTTACGTTAATATATATTTGATCATCTTTTTTACTTAAGCTTCCTTTCAAATTATGCCCTGAATGTGTACTTTGTTTAATGTTATCATTCATGCTATCACTCATGTAGCCATCCATGTTGCTATCCATGTTGACATGCATCTTATCATTGCTTGTAACATTTTTTCCATATTCCTCCCTTTCCTTCCGATTTGTCAAACAGTTATATTTTCCAAAACTGTGTACATAATCCATTTTATTATTTTTTCCTCCCTCATAAAAACATTTTTTTTCATTTTTTAAATAAAAATTTTTTCCCTTATTACATTCGTCCATGACATAATCATAATTATAATCATTTTGCGTAACATAACTTTTTGCGTACTTATTATTCATGTTAAGGAAATTCTTTTCCCCTTCATGTGCAGCATTTGTTCTCTTTTCATCGTCATGATCATTACCATCGCTATTACCATTATCATTGTAATCCGTTTTTTTTTTTTTTGAAGTAAATATGTGTGCAGTAATTTCCCCCATCTATAGCAATTTTTTTGTTCATTCCTCATATCCTCTCTCCTTGGGTTATTCTTTCTTTTTTTTTCTTAGTTGATAAAAATGTGGGTTTGCATTTATTTTACACCTTGGTGAGAAAATTACCTCATCTCTACCAAGATCGGAACTGCTACTTAATTGGACGCGATGTATTTCGCATGCTTTAACAGTTTGAATTTTGTGTAATAATTCGAATGAGATTGTCACTATTTTCTTTTTTTTTAAAGAAAAAAAAAAAAAAAAAAATTCTTTAGGCGGATGATAAGATTCAGTTTACACCATTTTGACACGATCAGATAGATCCTTTCTGTTTTTTCCCTATTAATCTGTTCATACTGTGGGATATCTATGTATCAATCAAAAGATCATAACATTTGTAATTGTGGTGTGAAACAAACGATAATTTCAAAATTACAATTTCCTACCACATAGAGATTAAAAACAACCTAGTGTCATTTTTTACACTGAATTTTTTTTTCTTTTTTTTTCAACAAAAATCATAACTCTTTGTGTGAAAAAAAAAGAACCGAATTAGTTTTGACGGAAGAAAATAAGAAATATTTTTTACCTTACAGTACAATCTAATGCTAATAATATATATATTATATTTTTTATTAAAGAAAAGAAAAAAAAAAAAGCTACTAAATTTGTGCTAGTTGGGGATTTAAAAAAAAGAAAAAAAAAAAAAAAAAATAACATAAAAAATGCTGACATGTATATATATATATATACATTGCAGCAAAATAGATGAACAAAAAAAGTGGGTCAAATTTTCCATCATGCTTTTTTTTTTTTTTTTTTGACAACTGATACCTCTATTGTGCTTCAAAAAATAGCATAAATATATGAATGAGCATTATTTCATGTATTTAAGCAAAAAGCCAAAAGTAACATGCATATTTCTTCACGTATCTGTGTATTGGTATATTGTGTGCATTAGGCAAATCATCTTTCACAAAAGTAAAGCAAATATTTTTTATTTATAATACTTATGAAAAGTATATACACGTAAAACATATATGCTCTTACAAAACTTCTTCGTCAAATTTGAGAAACATGATGGTAAAAAATTGTCCCAACGGTAGGCTCATGAATAAAAATGTATCTAGTAAAGCTTATGTAAAGATATGTATTTAAAGAATTTTTTTTTTTTTTTTCAAACTATATATATATGTATATAGCAAAATATATAAAAAATGGCATTACAAAATGTGTTACATTTTTTTTTTTTTTTCTTTTTGTGTCACTCTTAAAAAAATTGAAATGTTAAGTTCATAAGAACCTTAAACATTTTACACATGGCACTTCTACACTTTTTTTTTTTTTTTTTTTAAAGCTCACTGCATAGCAGAATAAACAAAATTAGTAATAAAAATGATAAACTTAAGAAACTTGAAGAACTACAGAAAACACCATCGAAGAGTGGTTGAGAACCTTCATTAGTACATTTACATACAATATCTTTGTTATCCATTTGTTTACATTCAGCATCTGGTGCACAGCCACCATTGTTATCTTCACAAGTTACATCTGTAGCTGCCACACATTTACCTCCATCCAATTTAAATTTTAATAGACATCTCCATTCTTCTCGTCCATCTAAATATCTATAGCATGCTGCATTCTCAGGAACAACAGTATCTATACATTTATGCTCAGAATCCATGTTGAGTAATGTGGTATTTACATTTAGTAATTCAGATAATATTGCCTTGGATTCATTACCTTTCATAACTTCTGAAACTTTCAGTTTTTTTAATAAATCATGTTCTGCATTAATCTCCTTTTTCTGTTTTTTAAAATCCTCTAACTTTTCGTCCATTTTGGTATAGTCATCTAATTTTCTAATTAATATTTCTGTTCTGTTCTTTTCCAATTGTAAGTTGTTATTAACAGTTTTTAAGTTGTATGTGTAGTTGTTAACCTTGTTCAATAAGGCTTCGTACGCGTTTTTGATGCTGTTTAAGAATGGGATATATTTTTCCAATTCCTGAACTTTAGTACTTGGATTTGTATCACTAGGTTCTTTTTTTGCTTCATCAATCTCCTTTTGATTTTTTTCAATCTCTTCGTTCACGGAAACTAAGTGTTCCTTGTACAATTTGGTCATCTTCTCAAAGTATTCCAAGCCATCCTTTGCTGTAGCCATATCCTTATCTATCGACCCATCAATGTATTTGTAACTTCCTAAAAGTTTTTTCTTCTTTTCCAAATTTAGCAATTTATATGGATCCTTAATGATGTAATCACCAGAAGATGCACGCTCATATGGAGCCAAATCTGAGTTTAATACACTTAAGAAATAATTTCTCTTCTTCAATCGAGATTCTAGCATATCCATTGTGTTATTGTTAAATGCGTTCAAGTGATTTTCTAATTGTTTTTTGATAGTTTTATATACTTCAGCTAATGGTTTCATGTATACAACTTCATATTCGTTTAGGTCACGTGGCACAATAACTTCTACCTGTCTTTCTTCTGCTTCTCCCATTGTCACTTGCTCTTCATCATATGCGTCCATCTTTTCTTCGAACAGGGGAAGTGCAATTACCTTCTCATCGTCTTCAGTGTCATCTTGTCCTGATAATGTTGATGTTGATTCTGCTGTTGATGGCGATGTTGGTATTGGTGCTGGTGTTGCTGCTCCCGATGTTCCTTCTGCTGCTCCTTCTTGAGGAACTGGTTCTACCGCAACTTCTGACGTTTGTGATGCTTCTGCTTGTGCTGGCGGAGTCACTTGTGCTGGCGGAGTCACTTGTGCAGGGCTTGCAGTCGTAGTTTCTACTTTTGGGAGCAAGTCTTTATATTCCTCCAAAGCCTTTTTAACTTCTTCAATATTCTTGGAGTAATCACTACCAGTATAGCTTTTATTCTTTATGATTTCTTTCAATTCTGTAAGCACATGATGCAATCCACTGGATAAGTAACTTATATTTTCTTTTTCCAAATCTATGTTTTTACCCAGTCTACTTTCCATTCTGCTTAATACTCTAAATTTCTCTAAGTTAAGGAAATTTTCCTCTTTTTGAATTGATTCTTTACTTATATTCTTTAGAGGGAATGATTCACCAATGTAATATTTTGCACGTGCTTTGTAGTATTTTAATAGAATATCTGTATTCTTCAATGTATTTTCAATTGTTTTTTTTTCTGATTCTCTTTTTTTATTGAAGAAAATTGTATAATTCTTTAATACATTTGTTGGATTATTCAACAGATTCTGTCTTCTTTCTAATTTAGCTTTTAACTTTGCAAGATTTTTAACATTTCCCTTACTACTAGATATTTTGTTCTTCTTTGTTAGCAATCTTTCTAATTTTAATTTATATTTATCGAAATGGTCAAGTGATACTTGTAATTTTTTTTTTAATAATTCAATTTCTTCTCCTAATTTGTTCCAGTTTGTGTCGTCCATCTTGTTTATTTCGTCTTTTTTGGATTCTACAAATTTTTTAAAGTAATAGTCATATTTACCAACTTCAGATAAATGTTTTTCGTACAATTCTTTGTCATTAATTGCATTTTCCTGTGTGACGTCATCACTGGAAGATGCTGTAACTTTTTGTTCATTTTGGGTTTCAGTAGTTGTGGTGGCTGTATCAACTGCACCAACACCTGAGGTTCCCCCAGGAGTGGCAGATGAATCACTAGTTTGAGCATCTTGTGGTGTAGTAGAAGCTGCGGTGTTTAAAGTTTCTGCCACAGCTGTATCTGGGGATGCAGGAACAGATGGTGCGACAGGGGGCGATGAAACTTCAGTATTTGTAGATGTTCCATCAGCAGCAGTAGTTGTTGGTGGTGTATTGCTTGCAGGTGTCTCTAGGAGAGCCTTAATTTTTTTGTCATCCTTTTTTTTATTCTTATATATACTGTAAATCATTTCTTTCTCATACAATTCAATATAAAGGTTTTGTAAATCGTTGCTCATACTTTCATATATGGAATACATAGCTGGTAAATTATTTTGAACATTAAATAGTAAATCTAGTTCATCACATGGGGATACATTAATTATCCTACTTTCTAGAGTATTCAGTTCATATTTTGTTAATGCTTCCTTTCCCATGGTTGAACGGTTTACGAAGATGTGTTTGTGGCATCTATATGCAGATTTTAAAAACTCGAGTAATTTTTCCAAATATTCTAATTTGGTCATTGCTGGAGCAGCTTGTGCTGGTGGTGCTGCTGGTGACGCGTTTTCTGGGTTTTCTGAGGATGATGATTCTTCTGATGCCTGTTCTTGCACTTCTGTTGCTTCGTTATTTGTTTCTGGTGCTGAAGTTCCTTCTTCTGCTCCTGGATTAGACACTGAATTTGGCTGACTTCCTTGTACAGGTGTAGATTGTATTGTGGATTCTACATGTGCTTGCGGTTGCTGAGATCCATCAGATGATGTTTGTTGCATTGATGTTTCAGTTGGAGCTGCAGCACTCGATGGGGTACTACTTGTAGATCGTTCATCTTGTGCAACAATTGTTCCTGTAGCTGGAGCTGTCTGTTTAGCCTTTTCAGCTTCGATCATTTTATGTATTTTTGGAATAAAATCCTTTAGTTTGTCAACTTCCCTTTTTAGCACAATTAAATAATAAGGTTCGGGTTTCTGAACAGTTTTATATACCTTTGGAATGTACAAGTCATCCTTCACTTTTGCATTTTTTAGAAGATTCTTGACATTTTTCAATGCTTCTATTTTTTTCATTATTAACACTTTCTGTACTTGTAATTCAACGACGTCTGATAATTCAAATTGATTATCTATGGTTATTTTACTTTCATTTTTTTTTATTTCTTTTTCTAGTTTATAGATTTCCTTCTTTAGTTCCCATTCCATAGCACTAAAATGATTTATTTCATCATTTGCAATTTCTTTTCTTAAAATGTAATCTTCTAAATAGGTAAGTTGTTTTTTTAATTTATTAATCAGGTTTGTAATTTGTTCATAAGGGCATTTCTCTAAGTCATTTTTCTTATTCATATATTCACTTCTCTTATTTTTAAATTCGTCAAATTTATTTCCTTCCATTGTGTTTTCAAGTCTGGCTTCGTAAAATTTTTCAAGTAATGGTAAAAATTCTTTTACCTTTTCATTATATTCTTTAAGTTTTTTTTCATACTCTTCTTTTAATTTTGGTAATTTTTCTTCTTCTAATTTAATTTTGTTAGCAATTTTGTCCAACAAATCTTTTCTCTCGTTTTCATCTGTAATAATTTCTTTTTTGGGTGCACTTTCATTATCTGGATTTTGGAGATCTCCAAATAAAGTTCCCGATCCCATTTTTTCTATTAGCTCATATATGTTACTTTCTGGAAGGGCATATGAAACACCATTTGGATAAATCTGATTAAATGTAGGAGCATTTTCTCCACCTTCAGGTGTTATCTGAGCACTTCCTGGGGTTATTAAAGTTCCTGCAGATTTTCCCTTTTCCCTTAAGTAATAATCTAATTCATCTGGATCTGTGAATAATCCATCCATATCAAATTTTACAGTTTTGGCGATAGCAATAATGCTATTCTCCAGTTCGTTAATTTTTTTTTTTATTTCTACCTGTTGTTCTTGTGTAGGTTGTTGATTGTCTTGTCCTGTTTCTGTTCCTGTAGCACCTTGTACTGGGAGTTTTGCTTTTTCTTGTGCAATTTTTTCAAGTAGCACCTTGATGTCTTTATGTTCCTTCAAAATTTTGACACGTTTCTCTATAACGCCAATTAGCTTTTGCGCTTCTTCCAATTGATTGGAGTAAAATATGGTGTTATATACAGCTTGGAATTGTTTCTTCTTATTTGTGTATTCTTCAGTTCCTGTTGTGCTAGAAGTGCCTGTGCCAGAAGCTGCTGTGACAGAATATCCACCTCTTTTTCCATGTTCTTCTGCAATTAATGCATTTATGTTCTCTACAGTTTTTTTATTTTTAGTGATGAATGCCTCCATTTTGTTTATGTCATCTTTTATGTTGTCTAATGGTTTTCTGTATCCTAATACAATTTTCTTCAACATGTCTAATTCCTTGTCATTGATTTTTAGATGCTCTGGTATTTTACAGTATTCATTTGCGCACATGTCATTCAATTTGGCTCTTAACAAATCATAGTGGAAATTTATTATGTGCATTAGTTGATTAAATTCTTCGTAGCTTTCCACTAAGTATTTTATTCCATTGGGATCTATAGCAAGTTCTCTTATTAGATGTAATAAGTTGCCATGTCCCGTAATTTGCAACTCCAGAAACTTATTAACAAAGCCTCTTATTTTATATCCCAAAGTGTTATTATTACTATTGCTGCTAGGATCATTACCTGTACTAACATTAGGAATAGTTATTTTTTGTTTGTGAAATAAATCGTATCCCTCCACGACTAGCTCTTCTAACTTATTCAACTTTGCAAGCAGTTGTTTATAATTTTCAATTGTTTCACTTTGACATTTTGTAACAAAAAAAATGAGAGAGAACAAAAATAATAGTACCTTCATTTTCGAATTAATCTAATTAATAATCAATATTCGAATGTTTTAAGATGTAGCAAAAATTGACTTTGCAAAAATGTGCGTTATTTTTGCATCTTAAAAATGTGACAATTTGTTCGGATGTATTTATTTATGTGTATATGTGTGTGTGTGTATATACATATGCACTGAACTATTAAAGCGCTGGTTGTATCATAGGCAAGTGGAGAAAAAAAAAAACTGCATAAAATTTGTCATACGAGTTGTAAATATAAAAAAAATTAATCATGCACAAGTGTGTACGTTATAAATATATATGTTACATGTTTTATATATATATTTATATACATACATGTTTGCGTGTACACATACAATTTTGTTTTTACATGTAATTTTCCTATTAAAAAAAAAAAAGAAAGTAAAAATGTGTACACTTTAAAGATTTTTTCTTTTTAGAACAAATTAAAAAAGTGTTATTTTTTTCTTTTCCAAAGTGTTACAACTAAACAATTTTTTTTTTCTTTTTTTTTTTTAACGATGAATTATAAACATCATTACAAAAATTTATATAAATAAGTGTAAATATGGAAAAAAACAAAAAAAAAATAAATACAACAAATTGAAACAAAATGAAACAAAATGAAACAAAATAAAACAAAATAAAATATGTGTTACACACTTTATTTTTTAATTAAAATAAAATAATAATTAACCGCAAGGACATTAAAAAAGGAAGGAGACAAATTGCCTGGAAAATAAAACTTTAACGGTACAACACAAAAAAAAAATGTGTGTATAAAATTTTGTTTGTAAAAACTATTTTACACACACATAAATGTATATATTTTGTATGCATTTTATTATTTCTGAACGTGCATAATTTTTTTTTTTTTAGTGCACTTCTCCAATTTGAACCCTTCCAATTAAATACAAGTTAAGAAACACAAGGGAAATTTACACTATTTTTTATTTTATTTTACTTTATTTTTTAAATTCATTAGTGCACTCTTCATCGAAAACAAATTTACATAATTTTCGTTAACAGAAGGTTGTATGGATGGAAGAAATGTTAGATATTATCTGAAAGTCTGGTGGTCTTCGTCTATACATTGGTTTTTTTTTTTCTTTTTTAGCTGATTTTAGAAATCAGACAACGATCATTTTAAAAGTGTTATTCTGTATCTCCCTTATGTTTTTTTTTTTTTTTCCTTTTTTTCCTAAAACACACATTTGCACTTTTTTCTTTTACTAAATAAAGTGTTAAAAATGATTCAATAGTATATATAAAATGATGAAATAATGGAGAAAAAAAAGAAAAAAGGAGAAAATTTATTTTCCAATTTTCATCTAGCTAAATATATTTTACAAATTGTATACACTTAAGTGCGTGTTAATTTATGTACACACATTTTATGTGTAACAAAAAAAAAAAAAAAAAAAAAAAAAAAAAAAGTAATGAGATAGGGTAAGGTAAATAAAATAAAAACATCAATGTGAAATTCTGAGAATTGTGTAGAAGATCAGGAATGAAGATTTAAACACACTGGAAAAAAAAAAAAAAAAAAAAACAGTTTCTGCAGAATGGAGCGACTGTGTTGTAAAACGGTAATGTTGCATCAATTGTTTTCCATATACCTTACATTTTCTCTGCATTCCTTATTTTTATCTTTTATTATATTTTGTACAAAAAGAAAAAAAAAAAAAAAAAAAATTCAATATTTCTCCAAATGAGGAGAAAATAAATTTAATACTCTACTTGCACAGTGCAAAGTTTCATTTCCACAACGATAATATCTCCTCTTGCCCCCAAAAAAATAAAAAAAAAAAAAACTCCACTTTTATGGGTCTATTTTACAGTGTTACTTGTCCTATTAATAAATGCACATTTTCAAACTACCTCTGTTCTGGTTACTACGAGTGCGAAAAAACAATAAAATTGTTTTACGTCCTGGGGATGTTTTTTTTTATGCAATAATATGTGTACACGTTACAAATGTTGCAAAGTTTTTCCCATTTAAAAAAAAAAAAAAATAAAATAACAAAAAGGGAAGAGTAAAATATGGCCACAAAAGGTGGCAGCAATGAATAGCCACAAAAAATGACGGAAAAGGTGAAAGCAATGAATGGCCACAAAAAATGATGGAAAAGGTGAAAGCAATGAATGGCCACAAAAAATGACGGAAAAAGTGGAAGTAATGAATGGCCACAAAAAATAACGGAAAAAACAACTGTGTTGAAACAAAAACTAAAAAAAAAAGGGGAAAAAAGCATCGCCAAATAGCGATCCATTTACAAAACGAAACAAATATTATGTTGCACAATTTTTAGAAAAAAAAATAAAATAAAATAACACGAGTACACTTTACGAAATGATATATACCAAGATGAACAGAAAAAGAATAATATTTGAAAATGATGAAACAAAAGAAAAACTGCACAAAACCCCTTCATGTACTGGTCTAGTACCTTCGGGACAAAAGCAAATAATCTTATTTTTATTTAATTCACATGTTGCTTTCAAATCACATCCCCCATTATTCATTTCACAAGAATTCTTTTTGTTTAAAATGCAATTCTTGCCAATCATGGTGTAGTTAAGAAAACAGAAGCATTCTTCATCATACTCATCAATGAAACAAAAAGAATTGGGGGGACATCTTTTATTGCTGCAGTTCATTTGCACACCATCCACTACAGCGTAAAAGTTGTCTCTGTCTCGGTTGCTCTCGTCATCAAATCCTTTTCCACTTACTTCATCCCTCCCAGATTCATTGAATACTCGCCACATTTCTTCATGTATAGTCATGGGATTTTCTTCTCCATTCTTTGTTACGTATTCTTGCTGGAGCAGATCATTTTCCCCCTCGTGAAATGCCAAAATTTGATCAACAAAATTTATGGCATCTATATATTTTTTACTATCATACTGCACAAAGTTATAAAACAGTGCCAAAGGATGAGTGGTAACGTTAAGTTGGTTCTCAAAGGAGTATCTAATGTTATTCATTACATTTTTATATACAATAATTTTTTTTTTCAAATTTTTTTCAAAATTTATGATCTGTTCATAATTTAACATATTTTCATAAAAAAAGTTTGTGTACAATGTTTGTATATTAGATGATAACACATCAGTGTCTGTTTTTAGCTTTTCTTTTATTTGTAATAAAGACGGCATTTTTTTCTCAATTTCCTCGAGTATCCGTTTTCTGTCTTCCACTTTTTCCTTCATGTTATGCATTATCAACAAATCATCATTTGTGTTTCCTATAAGTTCTTTATACGTTTTATAACTTCTTATATTTTCATCTTTGTCAGTAAAGAAATAAATATTTTCCTTTTTTTTTTCCATATAAAAATAGTTAGTACTGAGGTGAAAAGTTCTCTGTTTTTTATGAAGATTCGCATTAACTATGTCTATTATGTGTAATCTGTTCTTAATGTTTTTAAAATGAACCAGTATCCTGTTCGTGTTCTTTTCACATCGTATAAAATCGCGAAGTAGGTCACTCACACTGGTGTATATTTCTTTGTCTCTACCAATGTCTCTACCAATGTCTCTACCATTGTCTCTACCAATGTCTCTACCAATGTCTCTACCAATGTCTCCATCTTTATCTTCACCTCTCTCCCCCCTGGAACAGCAAAATGGAGGTAAAAACTTCAAATGAATTTTGATTTCCCTTATGTACGTATCACAACACACATTTTGCTTCTTAGCATACTTTAATATTTGCTCATGATAAAAAGTGTACATTTTCAAATCTTCCATTTGATGTTTTCTCAAGAGAGAGTATTTATTTAACTCGAAAATTTTCCCCACTTTTTCTTCTTCTCTTTCATTTTCCCTTTTCAAATTATTTAAATATTTTTCGCTTTTTTCAAACAGCTCTGTTATGTCTTTATATATATCTAGCAGAGATTCATATTTCTCCCTTGCTGCCCTTGTAACTTCTACTTTGTATTTCTTTTGCAAGGAATTCTGGAGGTTATTGCTCCTTCTCCTCCTGCTGATATTTGCATTTATTGAATATCTCATCTCAGCCATTTTTTCCTTCACATGTGAAATATTCTCATCGTATAATTTTGCCCTCCAGCGCAGATCAGATATCTCTCTTTCAATTTTTCTTACATTTTCAAGGTTATTATTTTTGTTCATTTTATGTTTATGAATCCAATTTAAAATTAAATTGTAGTATTCCATGGATTCCCTCTCGAATAATATTTCCTTTTTGATAACTGCACTACTCCTCATGAGAAGAAGGGGTACCTTGTTCTGTTTCTTCACCTCTAGCGTTTCATCAAATTTATTGACCAGTTTATTTTCCACAAAATGTGATATCTTCTGTTTATTACAGTAGATCTGTTCCCTTTTAAAATCCATTTGATATATATTCTTAGATGAGCTTTCCTCCTTTATAACCACGTCTTGAAAAAAAAGTGCATAAAATTCGTAGTCATATATTGTGTTCCTGTTTCTGTTTTCTTTTCCTGGTTCGAGCAGTGATTTTCCAATTGGGATATACGTTACATTTTTTATTTTAAAAGATGTAATTATTTTTTTTTTCACTCCATCTATCAAATTACATATGACCAAATGGTTCGATTTGTTACTGCTGGAATGTGGTCCCAAATTATCATACTTTTTATTCCCAATCATACTTGACACTTTTATAGATGTTGTATCTGTCTTTTGAGGATCATGGTCATCGTATCCTTTCTGCACAGAGCAGGAAATGGTGTCTATTCCTCTCTTCAGATAATCTTCATTTGGAATGTGTTTAACCTTCCCGTTTTTGTTTCTCGAAAGGAACTGCTCTGAATGAGCAACATTTGGATTTTGCTCCTCTTCATCTGTTTTTCCACGCTTTGCACAAAAGGATTTCACGATGTTACTCTTCAACTTGTTGTAATGCATCATGCCATAATTCATAACAAGTTGAAGAAGAATATTTTCCATAAGGGTTGTATGTGTTCGTTTATATAAATAGTACAATTTAAACATCTGGTTTTGCTGCTTTCTGTGCAGGATATGTTTAAACGACTCGGATAGCGAATTTGTGATAAATTCATTATTTAACAATTGGGATGGAATTTTCAAAGAGGAAGAAAAAGGAGAAGTTTCACAAGAACTAACTGAAGATATAGTTGTCTCATTTATCGCATCGAACTCGCTTTCTAGTTTGTCCAAATTTTGAAAAATAAAACCTTTTATCTTATCCTTTATGTAAATTTTGTTATCTTTGGAACATGCTTGATCACCAGAACAACCAGACGATCGACTTTCTTCCCAGTTTTCAAACTTTTTTAAAATATGCCCTGAAATTTCGTCATCATCGAATATACTGAAAAAATAAGAATAAATTTGGTCGAACGATTTTTTTACTTTCTCATCAGGTAATGGATTTTTCACATCAGGTAATGGATTTTTCTCATTATGTAATGGATTTTTCTCATTAGGTTTTGGATGTTTCTCATTAGGTGTCAGATTTTTCTCATTAGGTGTCGGATTTTTCTCATTGGGAAATATTTTCCTTCCTTGTAAAATATGTGGTGGTGCATGCACGAATGATTTTTTATTAAAATTTTTAGCCCGTTGATACAAAATGTGCAGATCTTTTTCATTTCCATAGTTGTCATCCTCATAATTTATCTCACCAAAGACATAGTTCGAATTTGTACTATTATCCTTGTCTATTCCAAGGTACTCACTCATGAACGTGGGATTGAGAGAGAATATGTAGAACATATACTTGATCAGAAGGTTTGGAAGGTCCATTTGTTTCATCATACCATTTAGATTTTCCAGAGTTATATCATTGCAAAAGTTTTTGTTTACATTTATTTGATAGTTCGCACCCCAAATTTTCATAATGTTGTTATACATCTTGTATAAGAAGTGTTTATTCAATAAAAAGGCTGATGGGGTAATTCTTCTTAAAAATTTTATCTTCAGTTTTAATTTAAGTAATATCCTTTTCATGATAAATATTTTTATGAACAGCAAGGTGCTTTTATAATATTTCACAATTTGATGTTGTCGAAATTTTAGTACAAGTACTATTGGTTCCCGTTCAATTTTATGTATATCTGAAATGTGCTTTATTTTTATTTTTTTATTTTTCAATTTCTTATAGCGGTTTACAAGACTCACAACATTTCTCAATCTGTGTAAATATTCATCTTCCCGTTTTATTAATTCATAGTTTAGTTTATCTCTCTTTAATCTGTCTTCTTCGTTCCAAAAGGATTTGTTTTCACTAGCTGATTCTTCCCATGGAAGGTACTCCTTGTCTACATAATTGTTTGAAGGGTGAGGAGCACGATTAGCTGAGTTGTTATTATATGATCCTCTTGATTTTGGGGAGTCTCCCTCATGTAATTCACTCTTTTTAGAAAAATTTCCAGTTTCATCATTTCTAGACGAGTTTATACCTTCCCTACTCTGTATACATTTTTCTATGAACTGTTCATATTTATTTTTAGCATTCTTATACATCAAAAAAGAATCATTTAATGCACCAATTTTTTGCGCAACCTTTTCGGCTATGTAGACTCTGTTATCTTTTGAGTTTTCCCAAATATAGTCCAAAGAAAAAATATCTCTAATATTTTTGTAGTAATCATTTGCATGTTGATGGGTAAATGAGTAGGTATTTAAATAATCATCAAGTAATTGGAAGATCTCCTTTATTTCTTTTCCTCCATTTAGTCTAACTTGTTGAAAATTTCCTTTCTGAAAAATGTGAAATTTGGTGCTACGCGAAGGTGAAGGTGAAGATGCAGATGCAGGTGCAGGTGCAGGTGCCAACACGCTGGAGAGGGATTCCAATTTGTTTTCTATACTTCGCCTAATTTCCAGCATTTTTTCAATAAGAAAAAAAAAATATTTTTCAAAAAAATTTCTTTTTTTATAGCTTTTCTTCTTTTCCTTTTCCAATAATGTGTATAAATTTTTCTCCATATAATTTTTTGTAAATTTTTCAAAATGTTCATTTTCTTCAAAAGATATTTTATCATAACTTTTATCTACCAGTTCTTTCACCACATCATTGCAGTTATTTTGGCCAAACTCTTCTTCTGACACTTGTAGCATATTTTTTCTTAAGTCTATCACAGAATTATGTATCTCCTTTTCGAGAGAAATGTCTACATTGTTCAGAAATTTTCTTACATTTTCGACAAACTCTTTCGTGCACTTTTCCCCCACGATATTTCTGTACTCATTATTACATCTTGCCCTTTCTTCCTGGTCCACATTTTTTTGTCTATTTGGATGGTCATTCCCCGGATTAATTTCCTGATTATTCATACCCATTTGGTTGTTGTAGCCCCTTCCTCCGTCACCTATATGATTAGTGTCTCCAACAACTCCTGTGCTTCCAACACCTTCTGTACTTCCAACAACTCCTGTGCTTCCAACACCTTCTGTGCTTCCAACAACTCCTGTGCTTCCAACAACTCCTGTACTTCCAACAACTCCTGTGCTTCCAACAACTCCTGTACTTCCAACAACTCCTGTGCTTCCAACAACTCCTGTACTTCCAACAACTCCTGTGCTTCCAACACCTTCTGTACTTCCAACACCTTCTGTACTTCCAACACCTTCTGTACTTCCAACACCTTCTGTACTTCCAACAACTCCTGTGCTTCCAACAACTCCTGTGCTTCCAACAACACCTGTGTTGCCTCTCCCTGTGGAGTGCTCTCCCCCTTCGACGATTAAAGGACCATCATAATTTTCGAAATTTCTCGAATAAACATTTTCTTTAATATCAAAAGAAGAATTAAAGAGAACGTTGAAAAGGTCTCCCTCTGTGGTTGCAAATTTTTTCAAGTATTTGACAAAATTTCTATAGTACAGTTTTGTGAGTATAAAACTGTAGGTAAATTTAAAAATTTCAATTTGCTTACGTAAGGAATTCTTCCTGTTAATGTAATAACAATCTCGTGGAGTCTTACTTTTCATAAATTCTTTTTTGTAATAATGTACCATTTTTTCCAAATGAATTTCCATATCTCTCCCTGTTTTTATATCACGTAAAACATTCTCATTGGTAAAAATTTCGTTACTATTTTGATAGACACCTGCTTGATCAATTTTATTTTCATTCATTTCTCCAACTCCATCTCCAAATAGATACAATTCTTTCTTAAAGGTTAAACCGAGTGATGAATATAAATGTTTAATTGAAAGATGTATACTGTTTAACATCTTCCTTACATTTTTTATATCTTCCTCATTTTGGTTCATCTTATCCTTGCCCTTTTCACCTAATCGTATCATTTCTGATTCTTCCATTAAAGAAATTAATTGTAGAGTGTGTTTCTTTGCTGCTTCGTGTACATTTTGGAGATTTTTAAAATCGAATGAGTAACATGAATGAATCAGCAACAGAGGAAGCGCATAAAGCAGCTTCATCTTAACGCCGTGAGGGAAGAAAAGAAAAAAGAAGAAAAAAAAGAAATAATACACAATGTCTTCATGCTTGCATAAAAGTACATAACTGTGTATATATAATGCAGCCATATATGCATGTATGTATGTATGTATATATACAAATCGTCCGTGTTGACGTAAAAAGAATTTCCACATAAAAGAAGACGCTCGCGACTTGCATCTGTTTGTCATCTTGGTTTAACCTTCACAAATTGAATGTAGTAGTGTGTGTAAAAGAGTGTATATATATATATATATGCAAATTACACCATTTGTTTTAAGGTCACCGATCCTGTTGAGAAATATCTTGAACGTGTCTTCATGCATTATCGACAGATGAAAAATGAACCTGCATGGTTCACGCTGCGTGGTTCGCGTGACATATACTCTCCACACGCACTTGAAATTGTGGCATTTGTAGAGGCGAATGAATTCATAACATTGATCATATTCATGAGAAAAAGGGGAAAAAAAAAAAAAAAAAGGAGAAAAGTCTTAATAAATGAATTTTCCCACTCCTAAAGAAAAAAATTGTAACGTTCTGTTTTTTATAAGGTAACATAGAAAAATCCGATTTTCTTTTTTGCTGCATGCAAATTTTACTTATTGCATGTGTTCTGAGGGAATAAAAAAAAAAAAAACAAAAAAAAAAACACATATATATATTTTTTATCATTTTACATCATTTTAAATAATTTCAACTTATTTCAACCTATTTCAACCTATTTCAACATGCTTCAACACACTTCAACATATTTCAACACATTTAGACACATTTTTCTAAAACGTTTGCTCTTCCACAAAGTAGAGAAGAAAATCGGTAGCTCCTGTGGAATGGAGGACAATTTTCAAAACATGATTTGCCCATGTTATTTGCAGACGGATGTGTACATAATCCCTTATGTATCTAAGAAATGGGAATATAATCATCTCTTAGCAAAAAGGAACCTCCATGAACTCATAACATCTCATATGAAGCTGATTTCATTCCTCTCATTTTTTACTTTTTTTTTACTTTTTTTTACTTTTCTTTTTCCCCATTTCTCCTTGTTCATGAATTGAGGACACATCATTTAATTGGTCTTTCAAAATGTAATTTCTAAAATGGAAGCAATAGGAAAACAGAAAATGAATAATTTACGTAAAAAAAAAAAAAAAAACAAAATTGAACATAAACCCAAAGAATGATTTCTCTTATACTGTCTTCATTCTCTGTTACTACAGACACATGTCTCATACGAATGAATACGTTCCTATTTTAGTATATACCTTTGTAGAAATGACACGTGTTCCGTCTCAACAAGCAAAAGAACCTCATGCAAAATTGTCATGTCTGTGGAAGAGAAAAACCATGATTCGTGTTGATCACTCTGAGAAAAAATTCTCAAATGCAAGTCTTAAATGTGCAAAACTTGTTTCGCCTAAAGGGGGAGAAAAAACGAAATCATAGTTTATCTCCTACATGTTCGCACAACATTAGTAGAACTTTTGCAAAAAAAAAAAAAAAAAAAAAAAAGGACTTCAAATGGTGAAATATGTTTATATTTGTACATCCACAAAGTTTTATTTTTCCTTCCACTCCAACTTCCATTTCTTCCTCGTTTCTCCTTTTTTTTTAAAAATGTCGTTGTCTTTGGCACACACCTCTTTTGCGCAAAATTTCCCAGAGCAGTGAAAAAATTTATACGCAAATGATTTGCACAACAGTGTAGGGAGAGAGAAAAAAGAAAAAAAAAAAAAAGAAAAAAAGAAAAAAAAATGGGGATGAATGGACAGGACATGAAAAGTGGGAATTCCCTACATGCTTGCAATTTGACATTTTTTTAAAATACAATTCCTGATGAGATCATTTAAAAAAAAAAAAAAAAAAAAAACATCCATGTTACTATATTTGTAATTATTTACAAAAAAAAGAAAAAATTCAAAGGGATTAGTATACCTGCCAAACGAGGAACGTTTTCACATCACCCGATTCCTAAAGAATGTGTGAACAAAATGAGATGAAAAAAATGGAAAAAAGTTGTAGTGAGAATGGAGATGATGTGGAAATGGTTCATACGAATGATAATTGTAGGGATGAAAAAAAGGAACATAAGAAAGACTTTCTGTTTGACGACATAATACCCGAAAGTGATTATAGACGGATAGGTACAAATGTTATAAATGAGAAAATGCTAATGGAAAATATAGATAACAAAAACAAGGTTAGAAGAACGAATCTCATTGATGAGTTTAACCATGTAAAAGTGCTTTCTTTGGAAAACAAGAATATATTGATCATACAGAATATAGACCTTTTTAAAAGTAGGATCAACTCGCTAAGTGAAATGCACCCCTTCATTTTTGATCTTCATTTTTGTGCTTCATGTGGAGTGATTCATTTTTGTGCCTCATGGGGAGTGATTAATTTCATGGGATCACAAATGACCGTACATACGCAGGTGCAATTCAGCAACACATCATTAGCACTCCTCCTTAACTGCTCATTCCTGTACGTACGTAGGTCTGGAAGAACTGAACTTAGACAACAACCTGATAGAAGATATTGAAAACCTTGATGGTTTGATAAACCTGAAAATTTTAAGCATGTCAAACAATAAAATAAAAGAAATAAAAAATTTGAACAAGTTAACAAATTTGTTAGAATTGAATTTGCATAACAACAGAATAGAAAGAATTGAAAACTTAAATAATAATGTAAAATTAAAAATTTTAATTTTAAGTAAAAATAAAATAAGTGAAATGCAAAATATAACTTATCTTAAAATTTTTAAAAATTTAAAATTTTTAAGTTTAATCGACAATCCTATATGTCAAAATAAAAATATAATTAATCATGTTGGATCCAATTTGATCAATCTCAAATATTTTAACAACTTGTTGTTGGTTGAAGAAATTAGATATGCAGAAAGATCATCATTTTCCCCTGTATCCAAAAAACAGAGTGATGAAGACAAAGACGATATGGATTATTTCACTCTAAAGAATAATGCAAATAGTAATGACAATTATGAAAAAAAAATTGAAGAAGCTTACTTGTTGAATATAACCACATTAGATCAGTCTCTCTTTAATAAAAAAAAGGATCCCTCTGTATTTCTCAAAATAGATTTTTACTCAAAAATTAAGGATGTCTTTTTGCAAGATATTCATCAGATGAGTTCTGTGTTGATGTAAGTCTCGACGTATGTGAGATGTACCTAGAGCGGTTGGCAAAATTTTCCTTTCGCGACAGAAAATCTTGATTTCTGCATACATTTCCCATTTATCTCGTTAGATATGTAATTCGACATGACAGCTCATTGCGTGCGTTCGTGTATTTGTGTTTTTTTTGTGTCTTTTTTACTGGAACACTCACAATCGTCCATTTAAACAAATGCTGCCTTGCCAATTGTGCATACTCCACCCCACGCAGAGATCAAATACTCCAACTAAATGAGGAACGAAACAAATGTTCAGACACTTTCGAAAATGATGTCGAGAATTTCACCTCTCAATATATGCAAAGCAATGTTGCAGCTTTTAACAAGTTGAGGAAGAGATCCAAGAGGGTGGTGCGTTCACTTCTCTCCTTCTTGGGTTGTGAGGAAGGTGAGTCTTCATGCTTTTTCAGCGGTTTGCAAACGCCTTCCCACACGTTATGACCACATTTACACATTGTAGACACATTCACATCCATGCATCTGCACGTGGAACCATCATGCACACTCGAAAGACAGGTCTTCACCCCGTGGAGTTAAAGAAATGTCCAGATTTTTACAAAAAAAGAACTGCACTAAATGATAACAAAACACTGAACGATGCAATTGCAAAACGAATACAAAACACTTTTGGAGATTTTCATTTCAAACAAGACAGTGATCAGGTGGGAACTTATGAACTCAGCTCATGTGACATTTATGCAAAGGAATCAGATGTGCATAACACCTTTATTGTCGAGGAAGCAAAATATAAAATAATAAAAAAGTACATTGAAAAAAACATGGAAGAAAATTTTCTTTTTAGAGACAAATTAATCAATGAAGAATTGGCCAATATGGTTTCCATTAACAGTTTTATAGAAAATTTTCAAAGGGATGTTTCGAAAATTATAAAATCTATAAATGATAAAATTTCCAACTATTTTAGAAAATTGGACGAATTAGAAGAAAATTTTAATTCAAAAATTATTAATTTTTTTGCTGAGGTAAAGAATAATGAGCACCCGTTGGTAACCTTAAGGTATAAAAAAAAAAAAAAAACGCCTTAACGATTTTTTTTTTTTTTTTTTTTCTGCCGTGTTAAATCTTACAAATGATTGGAAAATATAAAAAAAAAAAAAAGGACACAGGAACTTTTTCAGCTCCTTTGTTTCATCAAATGAAAGGGGTAACTAACACTTCTCCAATTATGATCCACTTGTTCTCACAGCGAAGATGAAATTAATGAGTATTACACTTATAAAGGAAATAGATCCAACATCCTGAATAACCTCGAAGACTTCATCTCAAGTAGTTACAACAAGTCTGGCAGCTTTTTAATTGAAGAAAAAAAGAAACACTTATTTATTAAATCGAGGAATCGAATTTCAGAAATTGAAAAAATTGTCGACATGTTTAATGACTTGTTTTATTCCTATCTATGTGTTCTGCGAGTCCAGTAAAGTGGTCTCAGCAGTCTCAGCAGTTTCAGCGACTGTGATTGTGTGTGTGCATGTGTGCGTTTCCATGCCAGGTTTCGTCTCAAACAAAGATCTCTGCATACGAGTTGTACAGTGAATGCACCACCTCCGTTCTGTGGGTTGGCAATTGTATACCTGTGCAAATGGTCATATGTGAGCGAATTTATTTCACACTTGTTATCTTATGGTGGATGGGATGATATATTCCTTCTCTCGCCCTTTTTTTTTTTCTCATTCCATTTCATTTTTTTCTAAGTCTTTCCTCTTCAATCCTTTTTATTTTCCTTTCCCAACTTTCCCAAAACTTAGAAGCACCATGCTGTTTTTTCATATCGCACCCCCACCCCACCTTCAAACATAGAGAAAAAAAAAAAAAAAAAGTCAATGGAAAAAAAAAATACTCCTATACATATATTAGCCTAAGCTCCAGGCATAACAACTTAACAATATATATATATATAGGGAGCTCAAATGAGCAAATATATGTATAATTTACGGTTGAGTACGAGATAAAAAAAAAAAAAAAAAAAAAAAAAAAAAAAGAAAAAGAAAAAGAAAAAGAAGAGAAAAGAAAAGAAAAACGCTCCCAGTGAAATAATTCTAAAAAAAAAAAAAAAAAAAAAAAAAGTGCCACACAAAGGGACACAGATCATGCAAGTTAAAAATGCCACACAGGCACAGCACAAAGGGACACAGAACATGTAAATTGAAAATACCACAGAAACGCAACATAAAACAATGCAAAACACATAAATTATAAAAGGGCTACAGTTTTCCCTCCTGTGATCCTCTGGATCGAATCACTGTAGAATAGTTTTGTGCTTGCCCCTCAACGTATGATATGAATATTTTTCTTTTTAAAAAGTTCACCTTAGTTATATTTTTTACATTGACATATAACTCATTTTATGCGAAGAAGTTGACCAGGGTGAACAACCATACCAATTACATTTCAGCATCCAATTCCAACAATGAGAGTCAATTAGCTAGCCATAACAGGAAATATTTTTTTCTGTTAAATAATGGGGAATTTGTAGGAAGTCGAAAAAGTAGATGGAAAGGTGGTTCCCACATGGGAACCTTAGGGTCAAGTGATGTTTCAACTCATAATACTTCCTTGAATTTTCCAAAAAATACCACAGACATGTTCAAAATAAATGATCCAACGTCTCTAATCGGAGGGCATGTAACCATCTGTAATGGGACATTCAAACAATGCAAGGGGGTTATTCTGGATTTGAAGCAAACAGAAAAATTTGAGTATGAACTCCTGGTAGTAATCAATAGAGACGAATCGATGAAGTATCCCAAGAACATTTTAAACAAATTTGGGAAAAGCTACTGGTTTAATATTAACGATGTTCAAATCGAGAAAGTGAAGGATTTGTTTTTTCACAAATATGAAAATTTTTATGATAAAAAAGAACGTGCATTGGATGAGGACTTTAAGGATGTGCGCGAGATTAAGGAGCGATTTGGTGAACTGGATGTGGCCCTCCGAGGGGTGGAAGCTGAGATGAAAAGTGAGTTCAGTAGTGAATTGGGTAGTAAAGTAGAAACAGAGTTGAGCACCGAATTTGGTAGCAAAATGGAAGCCAAGTTGGATTGCGCACTGGACAGCAAAGTGGAAACCGAGATGGATAGCGCACTGGACAGCAAAATGGAAGCCAAGTTGGATTGCGCACTGGACAGCAAAGTAGAAACCGAGATGGATAGCGAACTGGGAAGCAAAGTAGAAACCGAGATGGATAGCGAACTGGGAAGCAAAGTAGAAACCGAGATGTGGGGGGAAGAAACCCGAGGGATGGCATCACACGACCCACGTGAGCTGATCGGGATGCAAGAAAACTATTTTAGGGGGAGGAAGGGAAGGCGACGAAGTATTTTTTGTCACGAAGTTGTAAAAAAAATCGAAAAAAATTATTTTTATGAAGATCTTCTAAACCTGTACAAGGAAAAGAGACACTTATCAAATATAGTGGTGTGTTTTTACATACTAAAGCAACTCGTTCGAATTTACAATTTTGAAAGTGACAACGAAAATTGGAGAAATTTGTTTTTAAAAAATGTGATTCGTAGCAACATATTTGAATTAATTTTAACAGATGTTAAGGAATTTTTGGAAAAAAAAGAAATATATCGAGTGGTTGACAAAACATGGCTTCTATGGATTTTAGTGAAGTTGAATATACATAAGGAAGAAAGATACAAACCTATTTTTGAAGAAATTTTAAACTGCCTTGTTAAATATTTTAATTATGACATTTTAAAAAAATTAAATACGAAAACTATGTGTGCAATTTTGTGGAGTTTATCAAAATGTTCCTATGTAAATCCAAAAGTGTACAAAAAAATTATATATTTTTTAGAGAAATACATATCTGTTTTGTCATGTCAAGATATGTCCAATATATACTACTCATTAGCTTTGATAAATTACAAAAGTGATGAAAACTTTTTCAATTTAATTGATCAAGAAATAAACAAGAATATAAACAAATTTTCATTACAAAGTCTTATAAATATACTATGGGGTATGACCAAACTGAAAAGAAACAATTCCATCTTCTCAGTGGTAAAGGACAAGTTGTTATTTCATTCATCAAATATGGATATAAGAAACATGAGTTTATTTTTATGGTGCTTAAATAAAAATCAGTATTATCATGTTAATGTAAATTTCAAGGGGAAATCTTTTCAAAATTTAAACATAAAACAAGCTATGCAATTGTTAATGTTTTTTAATTACAATAAAGAAAAATATGTAGAATATTTCAAGTATGTTTTAAATTTCCTGTTTGAAAATATCTCCAAATTGACAAATCAAGAAATTTCCTTCCTTACATACTCTTTGTCAAAATTAAACTTGCTTAAAAAAAAATGCTTTTTGAAAATTAGAAAATATATATTAGCAAGAGATTATAGGACATTCAATTTGATAGACCTTAACATGATACTTCATTCTATGAACACTAGCAACATATATGATAAAATTCTTATGAATTACTTGTTCCATGCCATAAGGGACATTTTAACATCTACAATCACAAACAACACTTTAACAAAAACCAGTGTCTTACACAATCCGAATGAAAATGACAACAGCACAGAAATGACAAAAATGACAGAAATTAAATCATCGCTAAGTAGTGAGGGAGGCACCATAGATTGCACAAATTTTAATTATATAATAAAAAATTTGTCCGAGATGAAAATATTTGACCAAAGTATCATCTTGAAATATGCTCTCTTTTTTTCTCTCAACATTATACACATAAGCGTTGATCAAATTAGTGACTACCTGTTTTACACAATATCGTTAAGCCCACCTGGGGGCCAAAATGAGAAGATGGAAAAATTGGAAAATAACAAAACAAAAATGAACGTCCACTCGAAGAACCAAGTGAGCACCATTTCCCCCTCTCCTTTTTCGCGTGACCAAAAAATTGCAAAATTAGTAATGACCAATAATGAACTAAAGCTGAAGAACGCCAATTTTGAAAAAATCTACCAACATTATTTAAGCAAAATCATTCAATTTTTAAAAGGAAAATTATCTCATTTTGATGCGCATGCATTTCTTACCTATCTGGAGGAACAGAATAACGGAAAAAAACAAAATGGAGAAGATGACGAAAAATCAAAAAGCAAAATTGACACTTTTGTATTCAACTACCAAACGGAGAAGAAACATGAACATGTAAAAAAATTGAACGAACTAATTTTAGAAAAAACCACAAACAATAATTCCAGTACAACTATTCTGGAAAGCCTAATTTCAGATAAAGAATTCTCCTCATTTGTAAATCAACAGAAAAGTGATGAGGAGGAAGAAAAAAAAAAAAAAAAAAAAAAAACATTCTTATACATATCCCTCAATTCGCTTTTTCATCTATTTTATTCCCTTGCTTCGTTGAACGAATTTGATAAGAACCAAATTGATTTTTACTTTGACAATTTATACACTGTTGTAGAGAAAAAGAAAAGTGAAATAACTGCCTATCAATGGTTGCTCATAAAGGATATTGTTAATATGGTTCAGCTAAAGAAGAAAACACATTGGGAAATTCTCCTCGATAATGTAAATACCTATGTTAGCAACACAGAGCATGAGTCAAGTGCCAGGTTTGAAACCATCAAAATTGAAATATAGTGAGATAGTTCCTCCAGTGGCCAATAGGCGAGGGTACAAAAAAAAAAAAAAAAAAAAAAAAATATACACACTTCATTTAGTATAAACACGTCTATGCATGTATAAAGAACAAATATAACGGCTAGACCTATCTCCATTTATGGAAAATAAAATAAAATATTTCACAACCACACTCCCATTATAAGATACCATTTCACAGGGATAAAAAAACCGAAAGATTTTTTTTTTTTTTTTTTTTTTTTTCCAACGCCTACCCCATCTTCTTGTTAAAAATGTAAAAAATCCAAAACAAAATGGCCAAAATGAAAGAAACAAAACAAGAAAATACAATATCATCCAGCAGGAACATTGTTCTGCTTATGTGCCCTTCTGCCCTGATAAAATTTATACCCAAAGCTGTGTCAATATATTTTAAAAATGCTAATAAGTATTTCATCTGAATTAACAAAAGGGTGACAACAGCAACAACCGTTGAAAATAGAAGGCTAAAGTAATTAAAATTCAGTGTGCCTTTTAAGCTGTAAAATAGGTACCATATATTACTATACCATTTGGATGTATACAAATTTTTCAATCCCATGGTACTAATTATCCCATCGATATTTCGAAGGCAGTGCATATGAAGAACGCACGGAGAGGTGTGTGTATGCGTATCAATTATGGAATAGTTGAACGTTTTTTCTATTTGACCTATTTTTCGTTCTCCTTCATCCATATAAACATCATCCAGAATTGTTTTTTGCTTCATCCATTCGACCGCACTTTTGTTATTTTCCTGAACAAGTTTTTTTTTTTTTTTTGAATATTCCCCATTAGCGTGGAATTTCAAGTCATCCGTTTTGTCTTCGCCTAATTTTTGTTCACTCATCTCACTCCCGTCTTCTCCCTTTTTTTTTTTTTTTAAAAATTCCATTATGGAAGAAATAGCTGTTTTTTTTTTTTTTTTTTCTACCACGCTGGTCGTTTTCACCTGTCCGTTCAGGTAATAAGAGTTAAGCAAAGGACGAAAGGGAAAAAAATTGACACAATCTTGATAACTTAAAAGGACTACGTTTTCTTTGCTTCGAAATAAATGAAATATAATATTGTGATTGTCAACAATTATTCTGTTGTAATATTTTACATTTTCTTGAGGATTGCAATTATCAAGGAAATTATTTTTTTTTTTACAAATGAGAGATTTGTCTTGTTTAAATTTTAATAAATAATTACAGTCTAAGTATAAGTTAGTCAGAAATATTTGATCGTTCTCAATAAAAGAAGGTATGTATTGCAAAATTTTTTTTGCCAGAAAGACGTTACTTATCCATCCCCCTGAATTTAACAAATTTAAATTTTTATGAAAATGGGTGAAGTCTTTATATTTTTCCTTAATATTTGTTGAATCCCATTGAGTGTTATCATTATTTTTAAAAATGCTATTATGAAAAATTAAATGCATATTTTCAATAACTCTTAAAAAAAATAAATTACTCGAGTAGGTACTTTCACTTGTACATACAAATAAATTATCATAATTTATTATGTATCTTTCAATAATTACATTTGCTGGTTGAACAAAAAATGTATCAAATCCATCTACAAAAAGAATGATATCTTTGTCGTTGCATGATTTGAGGTACTCCTTCACTTTAATCAACTTGGCAATAAATCCTTCCCATTTATTCCCCATTCCTAGAATTTGCAAATCTATGTTCAAGCTCTTGCAGCTTTCCTGTAACGTTCTGAAGTACCCTTGTTCATGTGTTGCAAAGGTTAAAACATGTAGTTTGCTGTTTAAAATTCTTTCCTTCATTTTGGCTATGTCTATTTTGGTCCATTTACACATTTTTGTTTGGATTTGTGATGGTGTAAAAATAAAGCAATGGAATGACGCACACACATACACACTCAGTGGAAAGGAAACAAATCAAGCGGGTTGTGCGATGGAGAGAACAAGCCAGAATAACCTCTTGCAATTTAACGCATGTAGCAGGTTAAGTGTTCATGTTTCTTCTTCAACTTTTAACAATGTCTTTTTCTTTTTTTTTTAAACAAAAACAAAAATGTTCACTTGTTTATTCAACAAAGGTGACATACGGAGGACTTTGCTCAGCAGAATAATGCTTTTTTTTTTTTCTTTTATTTTCTATATATCTTGCTATTTTCTTTGGCCCTAGAAATGGCAAAATAGAGTGAACAAGTTAAAAAAAAAAAAAAAAGGCTTAATAAAACAAGACAAAATACACATAGAAAAAATAATAAATTAGGAGTTATACATTAATTGCCATTTATTTGATAATTACAAATGGAAAATAGGACCAAGAGACAAAATAACGTGATAATTAGTCACACTTAATAATCCATTGTGAAGCTTATAATGGATAGACCCAAATGATTCATCTTATAAATATACACAAAAGGTCTTTGTGTATATACATTTATGTAGGTTTTCCTTTTTTTTTTTTTTATTTACTATTATTTTATTTTATTTTTTTTGGCTAGGTAAGAGAAGACGTCTTTTCATTTTTAAAAAGAATAAATGTAGTTATCTTAATTTGAACGGTTGCGAATGGTATGTGTTAATTTTTATGCAAACCCTACCCATCACTACACCCAAAAAAAAAGGAAAATAAAATGGTGAAAAAAAAAAAAAAAAAGAAGCGAAAAGTGTATTATTTCACTTTAATGGATATAATATAGAGCATAGATTAATGCTTCCACGAAATTGTTAAAAATGGCAAAAAAAAAAAAAAAAAAAAAGGGACTTCATACAAATACCTATAGGACTTATTTTATAACGAATGTGTCAAAAAAAAAAAAAAAAAAAAAAAAAGAAAAAGCGTAAAATATAATACAACAAAATGGACGTTAAAAAAAGAAACATTTTTTATGAAGGAAATCAAAGGCAGTGATACTTAGTCCTTAAACTCTATATGCGGATTTTCATACTTTCCGAGCATTTTTATTTCTTGTTCGCTTATCTGTAGAAATGAGAAAATGGACAGGAAAAAAAGAAGAAATAAAATGAAAGAAAATCAACAATTTTAGTATTTTTTAATACCCTACGTTCACACGTGCGCATATATATATATCCCTCTTTCTGTACATTCAAAATAATACCATTTTATACTGATTTTGAAAAAACCGCTTCAGCATTAAAAGGAGCTTGGACACTGAATAAATTGTAAGACATGATGCTCCAAATATCACAAGGTTCTTCACCACATTGCCTCTGCAGGAGAAGTAGCACCGTCAGTGTGTTGTGTACAAACGAGGAGAGTAAATATGTTAAAAAAGAAAGTTGGAAGAAGAAATTAGAACACACAATGGTGTATTTGGAATCGAATTAATTCATAGAACTGTGCACGAAAGTGAAGACACAACGGGGGGAAGGGGGAAAAAAAAAATGGAAAAAATAAAAGGAAAAAAAAGAATAAAAAACTCTTTTCTCATGGAAGTGCTACTTTTGTATCAACTGAATCGTCTTCATATTTCGTATTATTATGTCTTTATGAGAGTTGAACAGGGGCTCGAACAGGAATCTGAATAGTCAGGTGGGAACCAAGGGAGAAAAATACGCATACGAGAGGGGGTTTAGGGGGGGGGGTATCTATGTAGATACATAAACATGTAAAAATTGAGCGAATCATGATTCCACTAAATTCACATGGTTATGCGCAAACGAAAGGAAAAATGAATTTAAGAATACCATCATTGACGTACACGAAATGGTGGAACTTACTTTGTGTTGAAAATTGTTTTGAAACCAGGAAAAAGGTTAGACATGTTTATATCTGCCAAGGGTAACGACAACAACCATTTATTTACAATTATGTATAAACGTGCACACATGTTTTCATATCTGATAATCTGCGCACTGACAGATGTGGGGGGGGGGGGGAGGAAAAAAAAAAAAACTTACCCTTAAATAACGAAAGGGTCATCTTTATCCTAGGTGCGTGATACGTTTGGATGCTCTTTTTGAACAAGTTCCTGCCTAACACGGTTGGAATGATGGGGTTCACATATATAGCACATACGCACACAAGCACGCGTACATATATTCAAGTAGAGCAAGGGCAAAGGTGTATACGAATAAGCACAAAATTTTTTCTCTGTCTTGATTTTTCCCTTTTTTTTAACACTGAATACTCATGCTTATAATCACAACTGAATGTGCATAGTTCGTTTGTCATATCTCTGTTCTTATGTTTAAACGTTTTCATTACTGGGAGAAACGTAGCAAAGACTATTTTTTTTCCACACTTGATTCAATAAGGTATTTTTGTCAAAATTATACACATTTTTTGGTTCAAGATTTAGCAGAGTCTGTTTATATCCTTTGTCACTCTTATATGCATAGCACAATTGTGAACAAGACATAAGATATAAAAAAAAGAATGTAACAAGGTGAGAAATGTCATTTTGATGGATTTTCATGCTTTTCTGCTCTAGTGCGTAATGCGAAAGGAAGTTGGACTCAGGGGGAATGGCAAAAAAGTTGAGGAAAAAGTTGGCAAAAAGGATGAAAAAAAAGTTGGCAAAAAGGATGAAAAAAAAGTTGGCAAAAAGGTTGAAAAAAAAGTTGGCAAAAAGGTTGAAAAAAAAATTTGGTGCGACAGTTTCGCAGAACTTTTCATGTGTGGCAAATTTGGAAACTCCCTTTTGTGTAACAAGTTGTTAAAACTTTTCCATAACAATTTGGCATAAAATACAGTGTCAATTTGTTTTAGCATGGCGATATTATTAAATTTTCCTGAAATTTAAAGTAACACACGAAAAGGAGAAAAAAACGAAAAGATGCATCTCATAAGTCTAAACATTTTAAGGAATCATGCAACTTGCTCATTAGAAAAGAAAACTATTTAACACCTTTAGGAGGAAAATTGTGTAATTTTATTCTTAAATGTAAAAAAAAGAAAAAAAAAAAAAAAAAAAATGTGTGCACAATTCAGGGGAACTGAAAATGTGTGTAGTAACGAACAAATGGTAATGAGGACATAGTAACCTAAGGACATATTGACACAAGGTCATGGTGATATAAGGACATAGTAACATAAGGACATAGTGACATAAGGACTAGTTTCGTGTTGGTGGTGTAGTTCCTAAATGAAAAATTTTCATCTTTATTATCCTTTTTCACATTTTGAACGAATTTTACCTAAACACAGCTGCTTAAGTGTGCTGCCATTTTCTGCAAGTTAAAAATTAAGGCAACGCAATTTTCTGAAGTTTGTCAAGGGCACATATTTTATGAAAAAAATAAAAAAATATAAAATAAAACAATGAAAGTCGTTTTTTTTTTTTTTTTTTTTTTTTTTTTTTTTTTTTGTTCTGCATAAATTATTCTACTCAAGTTTTTTTTCCAGAAAGCAAATATGAGATTTTCCCTCCTCTTTAACATAACGGCATACCTCCCTATTTTATTTTATTTCATTTTATTTTACTTTATTTTTTTTAAACTAGTCAGCAATTTGCTTGAGTACCATGTAATTTTACACAAATTAAACCCTTTCGCATGATATATTTGGGAGCACGAAAACAGGAATTTATGTACAAATATGTACATATATATACATGTTGAGGTGTATTAGAGGGGTTCATTACGTGATATAAAAAGCATTCAGTGTGATGTACACAGGAAATATAGCTAGCACAACCGCTTAACAATATCATGAGTTGTTTTGTAGAAAGATGGTTATAATGTAGTGTGATGCTCATATAGAGGTAACAGAATATGAAGCAGCAAGAGGGAGAGGAAAACTGACCTAGCACAATGAACCCCATGGGATGTACGTTCAAATAATGTAAGCCCATGCAATACACGCCCATGTAATGCACACATATCTGCTACCCATGTCCACGGTGCAAGTAAAAAAATGAAAATATTAACAAATTACATCACGAAGAAGTTTGAAAGGACGAAATACAGACTCCAAGTAATCGAGAGGAGATATAAACTTTTTTCGTGCGGTGCACCAATGGTACTTTTGATGTCTTTAACCATAAGCATAGGAACATTTTTGATAGATTTACAATACAGAATTAGAAATGTACGACAGGAAAATATAAACATACGGGAAAATAAATTGATAGAAGAAAAGAATAAGCTATTGAAAATACTCAAAGATTATGATTGTGTGAATTATGAAAATATTCCCATTAAAAGGGAATAAGGGAGAGACGACAGTCTGCAGATCGACTAGCAGTGCAGTTTTGAATGGAACAGACAATTTCCTCCCCCCAACACACGTACATATATGTATGTATAAATATATTCATTGTTATACATATACACACACATATATATATACACACTCATGCATGTATATTTTATGAAAAAGGCTTCGCCCCGCCCGCCATCCTTTTTTTTTCTTATTTTTCATTAACCAATCAATTCGATTTAATTTAAATTGTATGTTCGCTTAAAAATGTCCCATTATCATAGACTGACAAAAATACATACTTAAGCAAAACAATATATATATTTGTACATGTTCACGCATTGTATATAAAGGGAGAGAGGGCAAAAAGAGAAAAGTACCCACAAGGATTTTTCCCCCGTAAAAACCTTTTACGTGCTTAAATTGTTTCATCCCCCTCTGTGAAAATTTTTATCATTATATTCTGCTATCCACAGTTTGAGCCGTCTGAACTTATCATTACGTATGGTAGCTTATATGAAGCAATTTTCCCACTTTTAATACGCCACCCTTTTTTTTTTTTTTTTTTTTTTTTTTGGAAGTATGAAATTTAACAATTTAGACATTTGTGTTCAGGTAAAATGTATATCCTACTGTTCTTCCAATTTTTCCCCTCCGTTTCGACCATGGAAGAATTGCAAAATTGTGAACATAACAGAAGAGGAAGGTCTGGCTAATGTAAAGGTGAATGGTCACGAGAAAGATGATATAAAAGATGAATCCAAATTAAACTACTTGATTGGAAATGTATACATTGGTATAGTATTACATGCAGAAGGAGAAAACGGTACTACTACATCGCTCACTATGAAGGGGAAAAGCATAATTGGCATATTCACACTCAATTGCAAAATTAATAATGATAAAATTATTACACCATATCATGATATTATTGAATATCCTTATAACGATTTAAACAATAACTATGAACTGTGTGCTGTGCTTCGATCATTTTATGAATCTCACATTTGCTTAAGTTCTTTAAATTATTCCAACAAGTTACAATACATAGCTATTTTTGCGGACCAAATTTTCTTTGTACTTCCATTTTTAAAACTTGTACTGAAAAGGAAATTCCTTATAATGATATTTTTATCGAATCAAAATGGGGAAAAGGATGATGGTAAATCAAATGGTCAATATGATCAAATTAAAAAACAACTAGAACAGTTCCACATCAGCAGTAAGTGTATTGAAGAACGTGTTTCCATTTTGAATCTAGATATGAACATCCAGGAACATGTGTATAATGTTACAAACGGACTTGGTATAAAAACCATCTTTGTTTTTCCAAATGGAAATAGTAATATTAATGTTTTAAAAAGAAGCATCTTTACGATAAGTGCATTAAATGCCAGAATAATATTCACGTCCAATTTTGATTATTTAAATCCTCATGAATGTAAATTATTATATGAAAAGGGCATATCTGTGCACTTTTTCAATCTAAACAATTACATAAAATATGATTATTTCAAAATGACGGATTCTTTTAATTACGTTTTATTATCCATTTTAAACAAAGACATAGATATTCCATCGGTTCCAAGAACGACCAAATCATTTTCTAACATCGAGGAAATATTGTCAAGTGGTCCTCCCCCCGGTGGTTCAAGTTACAACATTTATGTTAATAAGAACATAGATTGAGCTGTAGTTTGGCAATACCTAAAACGGAACATTGCATTGTACGTAGAAAGGGGTGGGGGTGGAACAGACACTATACTACACGCAGACGCTTGCATGCATTTGTGCATCTATTTGTACGTGCATTTATACATGCTCACAATTTTTTGGCAACTACAAAAAAACACTTTTCACAAAATCTTTATTTTCATTCATTTCCGCGTTTGGAATATTTTCACTTATAATGGACGAACCTCATTCAGGAGACATCAAATTTGTAGCAAAGACAAAAGTGGTAGACGTTCCTGCCACAGTTCTGATCTGCGTTCCAATTTTTTGCATTTTAAAAGTAATGCACAAATGGGAGTAACAATTAAAAGGATTTACATGAGAAGAAAATTGAGAAATGTAAAATTAATCATAGTTTATTCTCTCAAGAGTGAGAATATAGCAGTTTGTCACTAATTTTTAACATCATATTTTTCCTTTTCCTTACACAAAAGCAGAAGCTAAAATGAACTATTCATATTATATTTCCATTTTGTAGATTTTCTTTCTTTTTTTAAAGGGATATATATAATATTACAAAATGGGAAAAACTACCAAGGAAATACTTTCCTCTCTTTTGTAGTGTTCCCAAAAAAATACTGACATTTTTAATTCTACAATTTTGAAAATGTAGACAGTAATTTTGGTTACTTATTTTTTTCTGTTTTTCTTCCATAAATGTAAACACTGGTTAAAGAAATAGCAAAAAAAAAAAAATAAAAAAAAAAAAAAAAAACACACACACACACATTCTTATTTTGCATAGTTTATATTATAAAATTAATTTTTTGTATGAACAGTTCAGAAAAAAAAAAAAAAAATAGCCAAATTGGAAAAACACATGACAGTTTTGCAACGTAGGTGTATTCTAATATAATCAATTTTCACTATAACATCAAGTACACACACTTTTGTTCTGTTGTCAAATAAGCTCATAAAAATGTTATTTGAATAGTATGCAAATATTTCCACTCTTTATACATATAAAGGTAGGATTTATGAAAAGTTCCAGTTAAGGCTACGCTTTCTATGTAGCTATATTTTATGACCTTGCCAATTTTTTTTTTTTTTTTTTTTTTTATTTTACATTTTTTAATGCTCCAAAGTGCGGGATGCAAATACTTACGAACAAGGAACTTTTTTGGATGGCTAATCGAAAGTCTACATTATGAATTTTAATGGCAAAAAAAAAAAAAAAAAAGAAAATTAGTAATGTGTTTTTAATTTATCCCTTTTGAGTAGGTACATGTAGAACAAAAAAGGGAACGCGGAAAAAAAATATAGCATGACAAAATGTAACATAGGAAAACGTAGCAAAACATTGCACAGCAAATAAGTAAAAAAACAAACAAATAAACATAAAAACAGAAATAAAAACAAAAAACAAAAAAAAAAAAAACAAAAAAAAAAACAATAACAAAACAAAAAAACAAATGTGTACGCCCATACATTCCCTGTATACACACACAAACAGTCAAAAACAAAATACGTTCCCTCATTTTAAGAATTACAATTTGTTCACCACAAATAATTCACTTTCATGTTTTTTTTTTTTTTTAACCCCTTTTTGTTCTTTAAAAAAGTGCTATCATTTTTTGACGATTACATGTCACTTATGTCACTGTAAAACGAAATAATCGCGCAGTTCACACTTGTTTTTATTCGTTTACCCAGCGTTGTAGAATTATTTATCTACTTCGTCTTTGTCTTTTTCCATTTATTGTTATTTTTGCATATTCTCACTTGTAATAGCATAAATACACGTACATATATACATGCCTTCTTTTTCTTAAACCTTTAACATTTACGCCTCACGTTTGCTATTCACCAATTTTCAAAGATATAAGTTTGTGTATAACCACGGGTGTGTATGTATATCCCACACGCCCCATGTAAAAGGATTTCCCCACTCAATCCACTTTTTCAATAATAGTCATAAATTATATTCCGTTACACCTCTTAACAAAAATGGGACAAATAGCATCAAAAGAAGAGGATTTCGAAAAACAGGATATCTATGCAAGCTACCCAGGGCTTGAGCAACAATTGGATATGGTTTTTGCCTGTCACGATATAGGAAATGAGGGAAAACTGTCATATAAAACTATAGAGATGATACTAAGGCACTTCTTAATGCAATGTGGTTTTATGGAGTATGTCTGTCGATTCGTTGACGAAAATGGTACGCTAAGTGTATGTATATGTCTTGTACACATGTACACAATCCTTGCGCAAAGCATAGGGACTTTTTTTTTTTTTTTTTTTTTTTTAATATCCATCTGATTCATTTATACAATAATATCCACCCCATACCCATATAACATACCTCCCCCATTATCATTTTGCATCAAATTGTACATAATTTTACACCCCCTTTCAGGACAGCTAGATTTGAAACATGTAGAAAACTATATGACCAGCAAGAAATGGTTGAAGAATTTGAAATGTTGTGAGGATAATATGCTTACGGTAGATGAAATGAAATCTTTGGTTCTAATGTTTTTAAAAAAAATATCCGATACGTACATAGATGATCAAGCCAAGTGGACGAATAAAATGAGGGATTCTCAAGAAGAACAAGGAAAAGCATTAGAAGAAGCAATGTCCGAATATGAAAAAAATATTCTCTTTAATCATGCTCTAAAGGAACAACAACTTTTACAAAATAATAAAAAATTAGAAGAATGGAATGAAACTATAGAAAATGCTTATGAGGCACAACAAGAAGTGTTACGCCAGTTTGAAGAAAAAAAGAGGGAGAGAAAAAAAAATATATCATTAGAAAAAAACAATGAATTAATAATAGCTAAAGATTATATAGATAAAATAAAAGAAGCTGCAACGGATAATCAATATGACAATTCAAAATGTTTTGTGTATCCAGCTTCCTCAGCTCCCTGTGGTGCTTGCACATCTGCAGGTGCTATTGCACCATACCGAAGATTCAGAGAACCCAGGAGAAAGAAGCAATATTCCCTATGCTTGTGATTTTTAGGAACTACTGAACCATACGTCTGGAACTTTTCGTCAGGGGAGGCACGCCCACAAGAAGAATAAAAACCTAGAAAATAAGAAGTAAAACGAAGCAGCAAAATGAAGGAGCAGAGCGATGGAGCAGAACTATGGAGAAAAATTAAAAGAATAGGTATGTATGCAGATTCCTTTTTTTTTTAGGTGTACTTGTCCAGACGAGGATCTAGGGCTAGGATAAGTTATTCATTGCAATAAAATCATACGAATCACAGCGACGAACCAGTTAAGTAACCCGCATCTCTTTAGGGTGTTACATTTCCCATATATCCATTCATACTTTAAGTGTGCGCACATATATGTGTATGCATATTTACCTGCATACTTATGTATGCCAAGGGTACCGAAAAATAAGAGTATTCTTGGATTCACACCTTTCATTTATCACACACAAATTTGTGTAATGTGATAAAAGTAACAAAAAAATGGATGCTTAATTAGTATTTGTTTCATGTGCACACCGAGTAGAAACGACAATGGTAAGGGAAGGAGAAGAAGAAACGGTACCCTGATGAGAATGATGCCATCTACGTGTTATGTATATATAATTCTTTTATATTCTCGTTTCATGATCCTCCTTTTTCTATTCTTTCGTGTATGTATATGTGTGTGTATGCGTGTCATTTCTGTTTGTGTGTGCATTATTATGCGAGTGATTTTGTTCTCTTTCGGCCGCATACCTCGCACGTAATTTTTGTCCTGCTTGTACATATAGATTGCATTCCATAGTCATTCGTGTGATATCTGCACATGCGTACATATATATATATATATATATATATATATATATATATGCATACATAACCTGACTTGTCGATAATGCACTGAAAAAATATCCATCACATTGTGTATTTATAAAATAGAAGTGAAGTTAAGTCACTAGTTTATGCTAACTATTTTATCTCTCTTCTTGATATTCCTTAAATTGTTTCTTTATTTTTTAAGAGATACACATTTTGTAGAAAGATATATCAAACATACAAGAAAAAAAAAAACTTAAATAAAACAAAACTTACGAAAAATAGGTATCATTTTTTTTTTCTTTTTCTGTTAGAAATGTTACGTGCATGCCTATATATATATATCTATTTTTATATACATCTATTTTTATATTCGGCTTCTGTCTAGTCAAACTATGGGCGAGCGATAAACACGTGTAGATGCTGACTTATGAATTATTTTACCCCTTTTGAAGGTTCAAATTATGTCAAAAAATTTATGCATGAGGCAGAGTTGGAACATCTAACTAGAGTTTAATTGTGCATTTGAGAACAAAAAAAAAAAAAAAAAAAAAGAAAGAAAGAAAGAAAGCGAAAAAGAAAAGATAATCTTGCTGTTTGCTGCAGCGGTAATATAGACAACAGAAGGAATTACTTCAAGGAGATAGAAAGGCATTGAGAGAATTCTTCCAGTTCCCAATTTTGTGGAATTCTATCTGTACTTACAATTATATTCACAATGTCGAACTTAAATGTCATTTAAAAAAAAATAAATCTCATCCCTTTTTGAGAATATCAAAATGTATAAACGTGTATGCAATTGATAGTAAATGTTTTTTTTTTTTTTTTTTTTTTTTTCCTGTATGAACCCCAAAGGTAACAAAATTGAAGAAATGTCTATATACACGTAGAATGTTCCTAATTTTGTGTCTCTTCTCTTTTAGTAGAAGTTTCACCAATGCATATCCCAGAAGTGTACTAACTTAGTTCACTGCAATTTGTCTGTATGAACCGTGTGTCATATAGCACATATATTTTTTTGGGCCAATATATATATATATATATATATATATTTTTTTTATTTATCATTTTCCCACTTTTATGAACTTTTCCTCATAATACCCACCCTATCTCCAACCCTCTTCCGTTGCTGACGCATATTATACATCTTCAGCAAGTGGTTGTCTGAAAAAAATGAGCAAAAACGAATTTACAAAAGTTGTGGTTAAGGTGAAAGAAGAAGAGCTAAATGATCTGTACGATTGGTTATATAGTTTCTCATTGTCGAGAAAAATAAAAAATATTCATAGAGAATTTTCAGATGGAGTATTAATGGCGGAACTTGTAAATATATGTCTACCCAAGTTTGTTGAATTACATAATTATAGTAAAGCAAATTCTATTAATCAGAAGAAATACAATTGGAACAGGTTAAATGAAAAAGTATTTAAGCGCTTGGGATTTAAAATCGATAAAAGACATGTAGAAGAAATTGTTAATTGTAAATATATGGGTGTGGAGAAGGTACTCAATACTTTTAAAAATCAATTACAGAAATTTCAAAATTCGGAAATAAATGGAGAAGAGGGTTCAAATACTTTGACCAATGGACAAGCAAATTCAGTTAACGACGAGGAACATTCCATTACACACGTGTTGGATGATCCATCATACCAGGTTTCATTTCAATGAGTCTCCATCAATTCGAAAAAACAGTGCAAAAAAAAAAAAAAAAAAAAAAAAAAAAAAAAGAGGTTAAAGCAGGTTTATGACTTATTCAAAAATTCCCCAATTGAGTCAAACAATAAACTAAAACGACCATATATATTTTATGAGGCCCTAAAAAAGGGACAAAGTAATGAGTCAAGGAATAGATAAACCTTTTTTTTTTTTTTTTTTTTTTTTCTTTTTCAGAACACAGAGATCCTAAACGATGAAATTGTTAAAATATTGCGGGATAAAATTCAAAATCTTGAAAAACTTTTAAAAATAAAGGTAATAACACAGAGGGGCGTTTTTTTTTTTTTTTTTTTTTTTTTTTTGTGGTGCCAGCATTTCGGGAGCAGACACACCACACACCTTAAAGTCTATAGCATAAGTGGTAGTATTTAAATTGTAACATTTATGAAGTAACTTTTAAAGCTTAATGTTTAAAGCATAAATTATACGGGCCAACATTGGGAACGCAACGTGAAAAATAAGTTTGAGATGAAGCATATGCACAAGGAGTGAGGGGAAAAATGCACAAAAATTCTAGTCAATGCACACGAAATGCATTAAAAAAAAAATCCTTACGTGTAAATGTAAAAGAAGTCATACTGATGTGAAGGAAAAAATGCAAAAAAAAAAAAAAAAAAAAAAAAAAAAAAATAGCATCTCTTATTCCTTCATCCGATTCTTTACATCATAACACGAAAGAAGATATATTAAAAAGTATTTTAAAAAAAAAAATTCGGATGCACACAAAGGAGAAGAAGAATTTAAAATAAAGTGTGACTTTCTCTGTTGTGCGTCTGGCACTTGTCTAATTTGTATAATTACATTCTACCTTTTTCACGCACTAATTTAAAACGATTTTTTTTTTTTTTTCTTCTTTTCTTCTCTCCCGTTAGGACAACAAAATTGACATTTTGAATAGAAAAATTGACACATTAAACAGGATGAAAAACACTTAAAGAATTGTATCTGCCTGCAGATGCAAAATTAAGAAAGTTGCACTTCTCAGTCCCCCTTTCTCCCACTGTTTGTGCATACATTGTTTTTTTTTTTTTTTTTTTTTTTTTTTTTTTTTTCCCCCTTTTCTAATTAGGGTTTGTATATCTTAATATCTAACTTGTACCCATCACTGTATCTTTTTACCATTAATAAGAACATAAGGTTACTTTCTAATTTGATCATTTATCATTTTGACTGTTCATTTGGGTACTCACAACCATGTGCTAATTTTGTGTCATACAATTGATCCTCCCACTTAGGGTATCCCCGTTTTTGTGTATCTCTTAATGTGAAGTAGTTGGAGAGGGGCAGGAGTCAGCAGGATCTGTGCCTACACCTATCACTCCTCCTCTCTCACGATGATTCATAGAAATAGATTAACACATGATCTTCAACATCATAATCGTGAATCTGGATGCGAATACGAATGCGGATGTGTGAGATTTATTTACCTTTTAAGATGTACAAATTTTTTATCAAATCTTCGCTGATTTCTCGGTACGGATCAGAGATGTCTGCGGTGGGGGAGAAGCGGAAAAATGGACGTGATGAAATGGACGCGATGGAATGGGCGAAGGGGAGGAACAGACAAGGATAGGAACCTTCGAACAAACAATTTAAGAAAAAAAAAAGAGACAACGTGTGTGAGTTAGCGTGAGTATATGCAATGCTGCCTCTGCCTCTGCCTCTGCCTCTGCCCATGGTCCCTTCGCCTTTTTCCCGATTTGTGCATACCTATATTGGTGCTGACCAAGTCGTAGTTGACATAACAAATGTCGTCCTCATTTTTGGGCACCTTTGATGCATTTTTTTTTAAAAATACTTTAAAATTATGTTCTCCAGTGAAATGAAAGACTGGCCTGTGAGTCAAGTTAAAGTGTTGTTCTGTGAGAAAATTCTTTTTAAAATATGTACCCATGCCTAAACAAACTCTTACATTATTTTCTTTAAAATCTCTCAGGGTTATTTCTTCATTAGTGAAGTGGTCGTGTTTTAAATTATGAATATATACATAATTTACATATATAGTTAATTCTTTTCTTTTCAGTGAAGCTGAATTTTCTGGAATTAAAGAATTATCTATGACTGTATCATTTTTTTTCGCTTTACTATTTCTTAAAATAACTTTGTTAAAATGATCAAGTGTGCAACGTCCAAAACATTCAGGAATGTTTATATCATCAAGAAGTAAATAATCTAATGTATTTTCTGTCACAAATAATCTAACAAGTTTCATCTCATGATTGTTATCAATGTTCTCAATTAAATAATATGGCTGCTTTAAAACATATACTTTATTGTCTAAGAAATCTCCTGGTTTTATTATATGAGTTGGGTCTGAATGATTATTTTTATAGTAATTAAGTTTACATTGAAAATATTCTTCTTTAATTTTGTAAGGTATATCTACACGATTATAATCTTCGCTATCTCTTAGTGATAAAAACAAAGATTGCATTTTTTCTTGACAGAAAGATTCAGAGTGAACTAGAGGTGAGTAGTAGTCTATAAGTTTCATTTCTGCTATTTCTCCTGCACAGGGGTGGGCATGGTGGTAGTGGTAATGTATTTTGTTACAAAATGGAAAATACATCATGTCATGTATGTGTAAGAATGGAACTGACAAACATAATAATTTTTCGTTCATCCACCTTGTCATGCATAGGAGTTACACAAAAGCATTATATGTCTCTTAATGCATCAGCATGTGGTTCAACCGTATCAACTCTTATTCTTTTTGGCACTTACCTGAGAAAAACTCCACATCCTTCACGGTTGTCTTGTTTTTGAATATAAACTGGAGATTGTTCCATATTTCTGAGAAGAAATTCTTTAGATATGTTCCAGTTCCCATATTACCTGAAGAGGCAGAAAAAAAAAAAAAAAAAAAAAATGTAGAAACAAAATAAACCATATAGACATACATTCACTATAGTACATATTGATTCACTTGTGGAAAACTGTTTGTAGAGGAACATATTCGAATGTTCATTATAGATAGGTTAGTGGTAGAAATATGTCCGGATAACTGCATTAATCGAAAATAAATAAATTTTTACTTGAAACGTGCATCCACAAGATCTTGAAATTTTCATAGCTGCTGAACCAGTAACACTGGTGATTGTCAATCAATTTCCTGGTCTTTTCCTCACCAAGGGGGCTACCTTTTATGATTTCATTATTCTGCTTAGTCTCGAAGGCTTTTTTGTCTTTTAAAAACTCCTCATATTCACTTCTGACATTTTGGGATAGTACTTTTTTCACATAAAAGAAGTCATACACATCCATGGCATCACTAACACGGAACCTGACAAATTTCTTTTTCAATATAATGGATTCTAATAAAGATACAGCTTGTCTCCCTAACTTGAAGCAGTGATATGTTTTTATCATTTCAGGAGCATCAGCAAGCTTATAAAAGCTATCCAGACCAATTTTTTCTACATTAATAGAATCATACATCATTTTCTGAAGTTTACAACTTAAGACAAAAGATTGGGTCATCTTTTCCAGCATCAGTGGATTCCATTTTTTCGCACTCATATTGATATCGATGAATTCGTCGAGCTTGTGTGGGTTCAGCCCGTAGAACTTTACATCACATGATTTGTTAATGTTTTCTATAACCTTCTCCTGAATCGTTTTTCCTAAGGTGCAGAGGAGGATGCATGGTGAGGAGGTTGCTTGATAAGGAGCTTCCTTGGTGAAGCAATTGCTCTATGAAACAGTTTTGCTATTCTGGACACGTGCTACCAAAACACACTCTATCACTCACGAATGGAAGGACAATGCAATCTGATCAAATTGCTGAGGCTCCTACTTACCCCCATTGAACACGCAGGCAATCATCAACTTCTTGTACAAACTTACATCTGGATCATAGAAAACAGATTTCTTACTCTCTTTTCCCCACAAAATTATGGTAGTCAAATTCAATAACTTAATATATTCTTCCATATTGGTTTGCTGATATTTCACTGTAGTTTTATTAATTTTCATGAAATTTACTAGCGAATCACATCTCTTTTTAAGCATCGTGAACCATTCCTTATTCATGTTGTCAATCAAGGGCAATGAATGCTTCATCAAAAAGTACTCCTTTGGTTGGTATCTAGATATGTCAATGTGTGATTCGATGTAGTACACTGAGAGGGGAGTGAAAAAGGGGTTGAAGCAAAACGGGTTGAAGCAAAACGGGTTGAAGCAAAACGGGTTGAAGCAAAACGGGTTGAAGTAAAACAGATTGAAGAAAAACAGATTGAAGAAAAACAGATTGAAGAAAAACAGATTGAAGAAAAACAGATTGAAGAAAAACAGATTGAAGCAAAATGAGTTTAGGCAAAACGGAGGGAGGATTTATCTAGAGTGATCTGCACACGATACTTGCAGATGCACATTCGTACATGTATAAATTTACGGAGAACAAGAGGGGGAAGGGGGAAGAAAAACGTGTAGGTTCAGGATTCGACTCAACCAGATGTACAAAACATATGAAGGATGAAATGTCAGAACTAACCTAAAGCCAACATATAAGCTGCATACACCAATCGAGGTCCCTTAGAATAAACATCATGATTCTTCCCAATGATGTTAATCAAGGTAAAGTAAGCATATTTGGACTTATCTTTTAGTTTCTTCTTCAATGGTGAATTAGTAACAACATTCATGTTGATGGCTAGCTCATTAAACAGCTGATAAGCAAGACTATACACATTGGGTAAATTCATATAAAATGTGTTGTCATATTCATTATTAAAAACTGGATGTTTTGTTTCATTAAAGAAGAAATAATTGTTTGCAATGGAATCAATGTAGTCATAAGTAAATAAAAGTCTATTTTTATCTTCTCCTTTTAGTGAATTGTAATCATTTTCATAGATGAAAAATCTGTTGGGAATTGAGAAATTCAATGCGTGTATTGATTTGTCCATTTCTAGGGATAAGTGTATCAGATCCATTAGTTTTGAAACTTGTGTATCCAAAAGGATTAGTGCTTCTGTATGTCTCAAAATGAAATTTCTGCTGACTGAAGGAGGGACGCATGTGGAGAACAAGTGTAATAAATAGGATTGCAAAACGGTGGAATGGTAAAAAAAGAAAAGAAGTAGAACAAATGGGATGGCGTAAAAGCAAAATCGAGAATCGCAAATCGAGAGTCGCAAATCGAGAGTCGCAAATCGAGAGTCGCAAATCGAGAGTCGCAAATCGAGAGTCGCAAATCGAGAGTCGCAAATCGAGAGTCGCAAATCGAGAGTCGCAAATCGCAAAATCTACTTACTCAGCATTTGTCTAACGAAACTCGTTTTGGAAAGACTCGAAATGACATTATGGGGATGAATATAAAACCCTGCAAAAAAAAAAAAAAAAAATCAAGAAAAAGTGAGACATTTGTTTATACCAAAAAAAAAAAAAAAAAAAAAAAAAAAAAGAGAGACAAGGTAGGAAAGTGAACTAAACAGGAAGAGACAAAAACATAAGTAGGTAGATATACACAACAACAATGAATGAAAAGAAGAAAAAAAAAAAAAAAAAAAATTCTTACATCCAAAATGATCAAATGCGTAGAGGAGTTCACTCCATAATCCTTTCGACACGTCAGAGTAGTCTGCACATTTTGGGGAATGGTTAGGAGAAATAAATCATGCACTAAAATGATAGCGAAACGGATAGAATGGTCGCAAAAACAAATAGAATGTAAGGAAGGGTGATATACATACACACCCGTGTGTATATGCATGTAGGTCGCTAGAGCTCAACGCAACAAACAACTCGTCTCACAAAAAAGTAGAAAAAAAAGTTACTTTGATTAATGTTGCAATTTTTAAAGGATGTGGTGAAGAAAAACTGATACTTGGATATCTCAGAAGGCTGAATTTCGAAATTCTCTGGGATACTCGGGAAGATAGATAAAAAGTGTTCATTCAATACTTCTGTAGAAATTATTGGCAAATGTGTAAGTTCATCTTTTTTGTTGAAGTATGCATAAGCCTTATCATTTGGAATTTTCTTAAAGTCTAAGTTTTTATAAAATTTGTACGCTAAATACTCTGAATTCTTTTCTTCCTCAAATCCTGTTTTTAGTAAATATAAGAAAAGAATTTGATTGGATCTATACAAATTTGTAAAGGTTGGAATTATATCATTGAACATAATCATGTTCTTGTCTTCTTCTATTTTTAAGAATCCATAATATAGGAAAAAGTTCAGATCAATAAGGACTAAGAACATAAAAAGTGAGGGGAAGGGGGAGGGAGGGAAAAGAGAAATATAGGATGGGTTTATGGTCTTTACGTACATGTGTATGTGAATGGATTTTCCATCCTTGCGTACACGTTTGTGTGGATGATCTTTCCTTTGAGAGCATACACACATTTGGACACCTGCACAGTTGCTTATTTGCACCTCTGCACAGTTGCATATTTGCACTTCTGCACTGTTGCACTCGCGCTGGCAAGAGCCTTACACTTCTCCACATCCTCGTGATCCAGCTCCCGAACAAGATTCGAAATGTCATTGTCGATCTGTGTAATAGAGAGAACATAATTCTTAATTGTCTTCATCAAATCAGAATATGACTCATCATCATTAATCTGCATTCTAATGTTTTTAATAGTTAGACTATAGCGTTCACTGATTTCTGCTTTTTGTATATCCCTAGGGTGCATAAGTTTGCTATTTCCATCTTGCATGACATCAACAATTAATTTGTCTTCATTATGTTTATTAGAAAATTTCAGAGATGGTATAACAGTTTCGTCTTCTAGTATATAACTCTTTTGAGCTTGTGTTGGTTCATTCGCATTATAATCCATATTTAACAGTGCTAACAGTTTTTCTTTTTTAAAATTCTTTGAATTTTGATCCACATAATTAATTAAATTTTTAAATATTACTTTTAATCTGTAATAAATTATTGATTGTTCATAAAATTTTTGACATAATTGAATATAATTGGAGCACAATTTTTCCTTTTTGATGTTAAGAAATGTTTCAGAGGAATGCTTCTCTGCAACATTTACACTTCCTTCATTATTAACTAGATAATCATTATATAATTCAAATTCTTCCTCTATCTTATTCAGCATTTTCATTTTTGCTGCATTCATATATTCTTCATTTTTGCTGCTTAACACTAACATTTCTTGTATATTTTTTACATTTGTTCTATCGCTTAAAAATTTATTATATAAGATTAAATGTTTAGCTTTGTCCATTGCTTCATCTTCACTTAAGGATCCATTTATACTTCTCAGCATATTGCTAAGAGCTACTTTGTCTGATTCATTTATTATTACATATTGTGAACGCATGTGAAGTAAGACTAGTAAAAATTCATTAAGTTCAGGTGTTTCTGAATTATCTGAAGTTCCACGTTTTATACTACCTAACATTTCTTCACATTCTTGCACATAATATTCTTGTTCTTTTTCTGAAAATAACTCATTTACATTTATGTATGCAAATGCATTTTGACATATTTTTTTCTCATCCTTTTCCACTTGGATGTTTAGTGCACTTGCGTCTGAGGCATTCTTAATGGATCCTCGATATCCTAGTCCAAAAGATAGACATTTTTGCATAGAACACAACACGTGCAAAAGAATTACAAGCAGCACACGCCTCATTCTTGCAACTCCTTCAAGCCCTTTTTCAGATGAGCAGCAAAAGATGAGCGACAAGAGATGAGCGGCAAAAGATGAGCAACAAAAGAAATATATTTATATATACAAAAAAATATCTAGACATAAAAAATATGTACTTATGCACACATTTTTATGAATTAGCTAAAGGTTCGTATTAGAATTCTTCTAATAAGCACAGAAAAATTGAAAAGTTAACAAGAGATAATCACTTGGACAGTAACATATAACTCTCTCCCTAGTATTACATGATTTATAACTTAACTGAAGTGCAAACAGTATATTCCCTTTTACTGCTTGCATGTGTGTGGAGGAGATAGGGTGTTCCCTTTCCCCATGTACTCGAAAGGGGGAGAATAAGAAAACACGTAACTGTGTCCAGTTCCAGGTTTTTAAAAATTGTGTGTGAGGGGAATGCACAAACTGGATGTGTGTCTTTTGTTTCGATTAGGTTTGCGAAACGGCTGAATTAGTGATTACCCAGGTATGAAAAAAGAAAAAAAAAAAAAAAAAAAAAAAAGGAAAAGAGAAAAAGAGAAAAAGGAATAAAGAAAATTCATGTACGACAAAATGAGCAAAATAAAGTCAGTGCGACTGTTTTGCTATTTTGCATATCTTGCATATTTTGCGTATCTTTAGTATCTTTTGTTCTTTAGCTCTTTAGCCCTTTTGTTCTTTTGTTCATTTTGTTCATTTTGTTCATTTTGTTCTTTTGTTCATTTTGTTCTTTTGTTCATTTTGTTCATTTTGTTCTTTTATTCATTTTGCTCTTTTATTCATTTTGCTCTTTTATTCATTTTGCTCTTTTTTTTTTTTTTTATTTATGACCTTTTACCCACCTATGCACATTTCGTAAGCCTCAAAATTGCACTAAAGCACTAGATCAAAAAATTGTATGTGCATCCATTTACACGGTGCATACAAGCAAAAACTCGTGTAACCTCCAAATGTGGACATGCACTCCTTCGGAAGAATTATGAACAACTCAAAAGGGAGCGATAAAAATTAGCAAAGAGATGCGTATGTGGGGAGGGGGTGGAGAAGAAGACGAAAAAAACTGAATTCATAAAAAAAAAAATACAAAAAAAAAAAAAATTTATACAATTAGTCGAAAAAGATATTGTTTTTTTTTTTTTTTTTACACACATGGTGTGTTATTTCCTTTGTGGCACACGCGTGGAAAATGGCAAAGTACGAAAAAAATAAGGCAAAAAAAAAAAAAAAAAAAAAAAAAAAAAAAAAAAAAAAAAAAATGGAAAAAAAAAATAAGCAAAAAAAAAAAAAAAAAAGGATTTACAAAAACAAAAAACTCCTACAAAAAAAAACAAAAAGTTTTTTTTAAAGGACAAAATTGATTTATAAAAAAAAAAGAAAAGGCAAAAAAAAAAAAAAAAAAAAAAAAAAAAAAAAAAAAAAAAAAAAAAAAAAAAAAAAAAAAAAAAAAAAAAAAAATAAATACACATAATTCTGCACACTTTACAATTTCACGAATATTTCCTCTCCGCTTTCGTCCCCCCCCCCCCCCTTCCCCCTCTTTTTTTTTTTTTTTTTTTTTTAATGTGTACATATATATATACATCCCCACGTAGCTTTAATCATATTCATCAGTGCACTGAATGTTTCACTTTAGGCTAGAATAAGGAGAAAGAACTAAGAACTATTCTTCTGTGTGTTTATCTCACTTTTTATACAGGATCATAGCACACACTTATTAATATTTTGTACACTTGACAAAAAGATTGGGGAAAAAAAAGAAGAAAAAAAATATCAGTTACGTCAAGTGAATTAACCAACTCGACAAATTCAATCTCATGATGGTACAATACCTTTAAAAAAATCGCGAAATAATTGCCTACAGTTTTGAAGTACCAACATAACGCGTGTTCCTTCCTTCTCTTTTATTTCCCCTGAACAAGTCGTTTTTTTTAACTCTTTTAAATTGTACGAATTTAAAAAAATATTTTGAATGTGTTCTTCTATATACTTTTTATAAAAACATATGTTATCACTATTTGTGTGCCTTACATGAATAGCTAGATTTACAGAATCAATTTCCTGTTCCCCTTGAATCATCGAATAATAGCAGTACTTATTGCTATTAAGTGGTACTTTTATTCTTTTTTTTTTATTTTCTCCGTTCATATATTCCAGGCCGCTGTTCAGATTGTTCTCTAAGGTATTACTTTCCGGAATTCTTTCTTCTCGGGTATCCCGCCTTGACATGACACTACTACTGTCATGCATGAAATGGAATCCCTCCACACTAAAGAAAGAAGTTACATCTTTTCCATTCTTATACACTGCACTATTGTTATTTCCCTGAGTGGATGAGCTACTTTCGATCCTTTCCTCAACCTGGCCCCGTTCGTCACACAAACCAGGTATATACTTGCGGCTGCTAATGGTGTTACCTCTGTCAGAATTCTCACTTATTCCGCTCAGCGTGGGGGGTCGAGAGTCCAGTTTGTTCTGACTTACAATACTAGCAAATGCATAAAACAGCATATGTGACTTGTTCCAATCTGTTAGACCACAGGATGTCAACTTAAAGGTCTGAGAAAAATTCTTAGTTATTTCTAAGAAGACAGATAAGACGGAGAAAAGGTAGTGATCATTGGGAGAAGTGGTAATATACAGATAGATAACAACCAAGTTTAGCATGTTAAAGAACAATAGAACTTTTAACAAGGTATTATCATTGTCTATGATGTATAACAAATTAGAATCGAGTGTGCGAATGAGAAAGTTGTAATTATAGTAGTGTTCATCTAATTTATAAGCCCAAGGGTAGATATTTTTTTCTAAATTCTGAAATGAAGAATTATTTACATTTTTTTTTTTTTTCAAAATTTTTATTATTTTTCGACATTCCACCTTATGACCACTACCACGACTGCGACTGCGACTGCGACTGCGACTACGACTACGACTACGACCACTCCCATCACGGTCCTTATTATGACCACTCTCATCACTGCTCTTTTTATGATCATTATTCTTGAGATTTCTCTTAAAGGTTATTTCTTTTCCTTTTATATTTTTTGTGAAATGTGTTATTGGCTCTTTCTGTGCAGGCTGTTTCTTCACACTTGTGACTATTCGTCTGAGTTGTTTTTCCCTCCTCATATCTTCTCCTATTATTTTGTTCCACCAATTTTTGCTTTCCATATTGTTGAAATTATTCGCAAATTCGAGTTTATCTTTTCCACAATTTACCTGAACATGTTCATAACATGTGTTATTGTGAAGCGCCACATGTAAGAAATTCATCACATTCCCTATGAAATGGTTGAAATGGATGCTCTTTTCTATGCTTACATGAATTCTTTGTTTCTTTTGCAGTGTGCATCCCGCAATGCCGTTCCTGTGCCTTCTCCCTTCCCACTTCTCGAAGTTCGCACAGTTTCTAGAACTCTTCAGGTTCTTAACCTTGTCAAATTCTATAGCCTTGTCAAGGTTCTTAACCTTGTCAAATTCTATAGCCTTGTCAATGTTCTTAACACTATCAAATTCTATAGCCTTGTCAAGGTTCATAACACTGTTGTATGGTGGCCCCACGTTCCTCTCAGCGTGGGTGAGACTGAAATCCCTTTTGCAAAACACCTCCTCCACGTACTTTCTGAAAGTGCAAATGGATCTGTCAGTCCTAAGGAACCGTTTTACCATTTCTACATGTCGACGTTGTATAGCTTTTTTTTCCAAAATCTTCTTAGTAAAATGATCTTGAATTGCTTTACCTATTCTTCCTTTTTTTTTTTTTCTGCATTTTTCCCATTTCTTTGACGTAGTACTATCAGAATGCTTTTCTGTATGACCATTACTTAAGTGTCTACATTTCCTTTTGTCTGTTCCACATACTTTTTTATCTTTTCTAAAAAGTATCAGCATATTATAATAACTTCTAATGACTAGACATAAACTGTGAAGGACTTTCTTTTCAAAGTAATATTCTTCCATTGGAAAATGCACTCCCCCTCTGATGTTATACTTATATGCATTTTTACGATTTCGTAAATTTTGCCTGATTTGTTCATATTGTTCTGTAATTTTTTTAAATCCTTTCATTTTTTGATGAAATGGGATATCGATTAGTTGTGTGAAAAAAAAAAAAAAAAAAAAAAACTTCAATCATATATCACTTTTCACGTCAATGGGATAACGTCTTTACCAAAACTTCTTCAAAATTGAACATTTCTTTTTTTGAAAATTTTACAAAACTATAATCCAATCACACATTTTGTTTTTCTCAATCACCAAAAAAAGGAAGAACAAAAAAAAAAGAAACACAGTTTGATTTTACACATATGTTTTGTTACAGGAACTATGTTATATTTTGTAAAAATTCTATACAATTACTTTATAAAAGAAAAAACTACCATCATGTAGGAATACTAAAAAGCTATTATAAAGTAATATGTAGAAAAAAATTTACAATTTTCGAAAGGGGGAAAAAAAAAAAATACCCAAAAGAGAGAAGAGGTTTGGGTATTCGCTAAAATCGAGGTGTAAAGCTTAAAAGGCAGTTGCGATGAAATACCATACATCACCATTTACTGGCAGTAGGAAAGAAAAACTTAAAGTGTTAAGTATTAAAATGTTGAAGTATTGAAGTGTTAAATATTAAAATGTTAAACAGTTAAAATGATATAATGATATAATGCTAAAATGATATAATGATAAAATGCTAAAATGATATAATGATAAAATGATAAAATGATAAAATGATATAATGATAAAATGCTAAAATGATATAATGATAAAATGCTAAAATGATATAATGATAAAATGATAAAATGATAAAATGATATAATGATAAAATGATAAAATGATAAAATTAGATAATGATAAAATGATAAAAGCAACTGGACTTCATTAAACTACAAAGAATGAGGAAAGTCCAACCCCGAGATAACAAATCGAAAAGTAATATATTACTGAGGGCGTGATACATAGAACAAAAAGGAGTATCACTGATATATATGTGTGTGTGCGTGTGTGTGGTTATGATTTCATAAAGCGTAAGGGATATATATTTCCAGGAAAATATATAACCCTCTTTTTTCTGCACCCTCTCTCTTCCACATGTATTATAGGTTCTATCCATTTTGAAAAACAATTTAAGTTTATTATTTTTTTTTTTTTTATTTGTAGAAAATGTGCTGAAAAAAAAAAAAAAAAAAAAAAAAAAAATGTTCTTACAAAAGAGTCACGTCGCCTAAGAAATGGCTCATATCGTCATTTTTGCAATTTTGCATGTTTACTCTCATTGAAAAAAAAAAAAAAAATGTTTCAAGATTCACTCTTGAGAAGTATACACAAAAACATACAGCTGTGCTTTCATTTTATTCCCTCATAATGATTACTAGAAAAAAAAGAAAAAAGTTTACTTCTTTGCATATCTATAATATTACACATATGATATATGATTTAATTAATTAATAAAAATGAGAAAAAAAAAAAAAAATTACAGCATGTTTTCAGTACATTCGGCACAATCTACACATGAACAACGTTGCAAACCAAAATATGGTTAAAAATATAACATAATATAATGTAGTATAATGTAATATAGTATAATATCTATACACATAATGGATTAATACAATGAACATATTTTCACTGCCTTTCTCTCCATTAAAGAATAATAAAAAAGAAAAAAAAAAAAAATTATAAATATCTGTTCACAAAGTAAGTGATATGTACAAACACACCATTTTCTTCATCTCCTGCTTCGGTTTCTTCTCTTTTTCTATGGAATTTTTTCAACTTTACGTGCACAGTGAGACAACATATTTTTATTATCCATAAGTTAGTTTATATTTTTACCTACCAACTACACTTTTTTCTCTTCCTCTTCTTCTTCTTCATCCTCGTATTTCTCCTTTTTTTCCTCAAAATGGAAGATAATTGCCCAATTAACGACAATCTAAGAATACTCTAATCCTATTGTCGTTCAGAAATCCACCATCATACATTCTAACAGCATCTGATGCAGATTCGTTTTTTTCATATTCAATGCTTACTATTCCAGTTAATTTTCTCTGTTAAAAAAAGTGATGCAAATGAAAGAATGAGAAAGAGATGTCATAAAATGCACACACCGAAGGAACAACGGAATGAACTTGATAAAAACACTACAAAATAAGCACAACTTTATAACACAATATATGTAAGGAGAGACAATGATATTTTTTTCCCTCTATCCCCTCCCCCTATACTCTACATTTGTAGAAGCATAATAAACGCAATGTAAAAAAAAAAAAAAAAAAAAAAAAAAAAAAAAAAAAAAAATACATCAAAATTCTCAACTTTTCTGGGAAAAGGTAAAAACAGTGTAAATTAGACTAAGTTACTGCAAAAACATAAAGATGAATATAAAATAAACATATACACGTAGACACACTTCACATATCTTCGTGTAGCTATATATATACTTACCTTCTCATTCATAAGAATCTGAACATCCACAATTTTTCCTGTTTCCTGAAAAGCTGAAAATATGTCTTCCGCATTCAGGTACGTGGGGACATTCGTTACTATTATGGTACTATTCTTTTGATTATCTAATAAATTGTGAAGCAAATGTGGGGTGGTGATGGTTAAACGTGTGTATTTGTAGCGGATCAGACATATAAAGAGGATATATATATATATATATATATATACATGTCTGTACATATGGGCAGGAACAACCTGAACATGCAGGGAAAATTTTTTTTGGCAAAATGTTAAGAATTACCATATATATTTTTATTATTTGCACTATTAAAAGGATGCATATTATCGTCAAACATATTATTCTGGTAAGTATTCTGATATGGAATATGATTATAGGGTCGTGGGTGATGGTGAGGATGATGATTATAATTACTGTTCATGTAATACGGGTACGGTGGATTGTGGTTGTATACTGGCATTTTAAATGGAGGAATAATTTTATTGTTGTGCATGTTGTTATTCATAAGATGATTATTTTGATTTGTATTCTTGTTGTTCTTCTTATCCGGTATTTTTTTTCCCTGAGGAAGGAGAGTTGGTTAATGAGGTGTGTGTGTGTATTCAATTGTTGGTATGAGTCGGCGCGTGCAGCATAAAAAATGTTTGTAACTCCATGAGAGTACAAATTTTTATTGTATGGAACTAGACACATCTAGGAATACGTTCGCAGCTTCATTATCCGAGTCAGCAAATGTTGTATTTCTATGCATGTATGTTGTGGGGTTCCTGACTTGGAGATACGTCTCCCCCTCCTCTCATCCCTTTTTTTCTTTTCTCTCTACATGAAGTAAATCATTACCAACACTATAGATATTGTGTCTCCATCTATGGATTTATTGTTCATGGTGCTTATGGCATTTTCACAGGAGTTCTTATTGTCATATTTCACATATCTGTTAAGAGTGAAGAGGCGAAGGAAGAGCGGAGAAAATGGAAATATGAAATGATGGCAGAGCAGAAGAACGGGACGGAGGAAACATCGACACACCACCTAACGGACAAAAGTTTTCCTCGCGCATAGCATGACAAGGAACAATCAAAAAGGACATAAGCAAAAACATTGAAGAAAAAAAAAAAAACTTACGTAATCTTCTTATCATTATCATGATAAATGTTATAAATTTTTCCAAAGTTGCTGAACTCCTTTTTATACAGTTCCAAATTATTACTGTTGACATTTGATATTATTATGCTGTGCAGATACTTCTGACCTAAGAACAGGGGGAGGAGGTTGTGTGTGTGTGTTTGTGTGTGACAAAAAAAAAAGTAATGCAAGGTGGTCGCGTTAAATAAATTCTGTCAAAAACAATTGCAATATACTGCGATTGTCATATTTTATCGAGTCTGATCCTTTAATCATTTTGGAAAAAAATATTCAAGTGGTTCACACAAGCCTGCAACACAGACGTGCAAACAACACTGCAACAGATAGACGTGCAGGAGGAACGCGCAATGCTTGAAAATTACCCGTGTTCTTTTCTATAGATTTAAGTGTCTTTTTTTCATTTGGCACCTTGTGATTAGCCTTAATATTTTCCTTCTCTATGAGTTCATCCAGACTCATGTCAATTTTACTCTTTATACTCATTCTGTATAACTGTTAGCATAACCCAGTTCGATGTGTTAACTTCCAAATTCGCTAACTTGTTATTCGTCCTTATGCGTCCTTATTCGTCCTTATTCGTCCTTATTCGTCCTTATTCGTCCTTATTCGTCCTTATTCGTCCTTATTCGTCCTTATTCGTCCTTATTCGTCCTTATTCGTCCTTATTGCTGGTTAATTCTTCGCGTTTTCTTCGACAAGCAAAACTTTATCGTGAATCTTCAGTATTGTACCAAGTACACGAACGTATCCCCTCTGTTTTTGCCACTTTTAATCAAAAACATCAACACATTTAGCTACTTGTATTTTTAATAGAATTCCTAACAATTTGCAATACTCATGAGACTGACTAATTCCGTGTAGGGGTAGATGCAGGAACAGGGTGGTGGGAAAAAGGGAGATATGATATGCTTATTTGTTGGTGCGGATAAATGTGTTTTCATGCAAACTATCAGCGCACGTGGGTATGTATAAGTGCATGTACATGTACATGAATGAGAAGATGTACACGGGCAGATTTGCAATGGCAAACTTGCAATGGCAAACGTGCAATGGCAAACGTGCAATGGCAAACGTGCAATGGCAAACGTGCAATGGCAAACTTGCAATGGCAGATGCACACGCTCCAGTTAGGTGGAACCGTTGCTCTTCTCTCTCAAACAGATGCTATCGAACACACAAATTTCAATGCCACCCTTATTGCCCTCTTCCAATATTTACATACAAACCTTTTGGGATTGCAAAACAAAGTCAATTTTCTCCTTCAATTCTGCAGGATATACGAGAAGAGTGGAAATTCCTAAAGAAAAAACGTCAACTAAATGCAGAAAAAATGGACAAAGCCAAATGAAAAGGTTTCTACAAATAATATGAACTCTTCTTTTTTTTTTTTTTTTTTTTATATGTACATGTATAAATACGTAAAAAAAAAAAAAAAAAATATACATACGTGCAGAAGAAATACAAGTATGGTTCAAATCAGCACGATTATTTTTTTTTTTTTTTTTTTTTTTTTTTTTATCACTTCATTCCTCCCCCTCCTTTGTATCCTTTCTGCGAATAACTTTTTATATTTTCTTCCCAAAAAAAAAAAAAAAAGGTTAAGTCATAAAAAAAAAATGCCTCTTCTTTGAACCGGGAGGAGGGGGGCAAATTCCATGCGTATAAAATTGGACCTTTTCTGGTTAATCATATTTACACGTGCCAGAAAATGCAGTTTTAGCGATGTGCCTCAAGCGCCTCGTTCTTGCATATATATGTGAATACCTTCGAGCATGCATACATGTATAAATACTCATATAAATACTCACATGGAGGCATGCTTATATATATGTAAACACTTATGTACATACATACCTGTTTGTACCCTCACTCCTGTATGTTTTGAAATGTTCCTGCTCTTCAATCCTCTTTTAAAAATAAAGCGATTCTTGGGAAAAAACTTCTCAGAAAAGCACTTCTTAGAAAAGCACTTCTTAGAAAAACACTCCTCAGAAAAGCACTTCTCAGAAAAGCACTTCTTAGAAAAGCACTTCTTAGAAAAGCACTTCTTAGAAAAGTACTTCTTAGAAAAGCACTTCTTAGAAAAGCACTTCTTAGAAAAGCACTTGTTGCTCTTAAAAATTTAAAACGGTCGTATGGGACGAGAAAATTTCCAGTGTTCGTAGGTCAGTTATGTTTTATATAATTATACGTGTAAAAAAATATACATATAATAATGCAAGTGACGTAATACTTTCTCCAGGCTCTTTTAAATTCATGTATTATTATCAGGGCATTTTTATGATTTACGCATAAACAAACATATATGCACGTAAAAAAATAAATTTTATTTTCTTGCTATATTTTTTCTATCTCTCTCTCTCTCTATATATATATGTACATATATATACTGTGTGTGTTTTTTTTTTTTTTTTTTTTTTTTTTTTTAAATATAAAAATATGTTATCTCTTTGCTTTGTCACATCTTTTCTGCGCGCCTAGCACAATGGGGCAAATATAACTACTCTTAGTTCAACTGCTACTCCTACTGCTGCTCCTACACCTACTTCTAATCCTACTTCTAATCCTACTTCTAATCCTGTTTTTACTTTTTTACCTAACTCCCCATTGTTGTTGTTACAAGCTGAAGTAACAGATGATAAAAGTACCACCACAATCACAATGCTTAAGGAAATATACAAGAACCTATGTACATGTAAATACAATTTCATTTGCAAGTCCCTTTACATTTACCAACAGTATACTATGTTTCATGTAAGAACAGTAAGCACTCGTACTGTTTTCTCATTCACCACCCTAAACATAATTCTTACGATTACAAGGTATTGCATACATGTATATATTTTACCACATGCAAAAAGTTAGAATAAGAATATCATTTTAGCACGTTCACCCCCATTGAAACCCTCATGTATGTATTTGTAAACACAAACAAGAATAGGAAAACGGATGCAATAAAAAATTCGTGAATAAAAGGAAATAACCTCATGAAATGCACATACATACGTACATATACGGGTACATACACACACACATACATGTGCCATGTACATGTGTATTAATTTCCCATACCCATTGAAGAAGCGTAGATTTTTATTGCATCATGAATTTTTTTTTTTTTTTTTTTTCTCCATTCGGCTGTCATCCAATCCGTTTTTCTCTCCCGTTCTTATGCGTGAGGAGTTCTAATGCAGTTGTGAAATTGCTTTAAAAGAAAGAAAAAAAATTATGCAACCGTGAAGTGGGGTAAAAAATAAAACCCCAGAACAACAGCACACAAAACGATGTTATAACATATCGTAGGAACATAAAGATTGAAAATGTGAGATTAAAGAAAACAGAGATGACTCTTCTTCCTTGCACATAGGTGTTACCTTAACCTAATTTAACGCAAATACAAATTAATTACTTTCTTAATTCTTGGACTGCGCAAAAGTACCTTAACAGAGAAACCTACGTAAAAGAGCATACTCTATACATGTATTTATATTATATAAAATATAGTATCAAAATAAATATGGGAAAAAAAAAAAAGAAAACAGAGGAATGAAAAAGTAGCAAAGCACCAGATGGATGGGGTAACATTTGCTTTGTTCCCCTATCGTCTCCAAAAAAAAAAAAAAAAAAAAAAAAAATTCCCTAAATGTATGACGACTCAATGGGCAGTAAAAAAAAAAAAGTATGCACATAAAACACGATTCTATTTTATGTTTTCACGTCTACTTTTATGATGATTCATTTGACGCATTCCTGTTTTCATAATTTTGGAAAATATGGAAATATATAACAACGTCAAAATTGGTTTCGTTTTAGAAATTTTTTTTTTTTTTTAATATTCTTGTCTTTTTTTTATGAGGTTACAATTATGTATGGATGTGTAAGGAGTTGTTTACATTATGAAAAAAAAAAAAAAAAAAAAAAAAATCCTAAGCATTAAAATGTGCACACCAACACATGTAGCAATTTTAATGATTATTCTGGTCAACTATGACATATTTGTATATATGGCATGGTATGTAAACCAAAAGCACTTGTTCATGAATACCCAAAAAAAGGTATCAGAATGAGATTAGCATTTTCACGTCCCCTTATTTTTAAACATATGATTGTAAAAAAGCGGAAAAAAAAAAAAAAAATTTAAAAGTAACACATGCGTGAAGTTTTTTCTTAATAAGTTTCACTTTAAAAAAAAGAGACTTTTCTTTTTACAAGAGTCTCCTTTTCTTTATTCCTCTAGTAAAGGCCCTTCTCGTCCTCGTTGCCATTTCTACCGGCATCCTATGATTTTCATATTGATGTCTGTATATTAGCTCAAAATATATGCACATCCATGCATATATATATATATATATATATATATATACGAACTTATTCTCGTGTGCAAATTACCCTCTTCAACCAATTCATTTCAGTCACACATTACATCCTATATATTTAATAGTACGTGTTTCTTCTTATTTATATGAGTTTTTCCCTCAGATTTGTCGAAATTGGATATACCCTTAGAACCAACTTCTGCATATCTTAATATGTGATTATATCTTTCCCGTAATTCATTCAGTTCTTTTTTTACTCTAACAAAGGTGCAGAAAAGGAGAGAAAGAAAAAAAAAAAAAAAAAAAAAATATGTACATAAATATAAATGCATACTTTTACGTATAGAATGTATGTATACATATGTATGTGTATATATTGGTGCATTTCTCTACAAGGCAATCCTTGTACAACTTGATTATCTTCATTTTTTGGCCTACTTTATCTTCTCTACTCCATCGTTCATTTTGCTAATGAGGTACTACAAGAAGAGGGATATTTTTTTTTTTTTTTTTGTGTGGGAATGGTAAGTGTGCAATGAAACATAAAATGAGTATGTTCCACATGTGCACATATAAAATGCAGTTAAACATATTCATTCAAAGTATATGCATGATTTGGACTTTGCTAATTTTCTCTCATTTCCGTCTTGGTTCTGACCAAACTTACCTCGTGGTAACTCAGATTTGTGATAAACTCGTTCAGGTAAAGGGATCTGTCAAAAAAAAAAAAAAAAAAAAAGTAAGGCTTACATGAGCGCACGTGCATACATGCGTGTGTGTACATATGTGTGTGTCTACACATGCGTAGGAACCTATATACAAATGTAACATGTTGCCATGTGTTGACAAAGATCACCCACCTGTTTCCCCGGTCCAGCGAGTTGTAATAATTGAACTCCACTTTTTTTATTTCGTTCATCAGTTTTCTATCTCTATATTTAATACAGCGTGCGAACAAAACCTTCCAAAAGGGAAAAAACAAAGAAAATGGAAATGAAAAAATAAAACAGAACAAAAAAGAGCAAATTTGTGCAAAATAAAAAAGGCACACATCGTTGATACAGGGGTGTCGCAGTTTTATATGCCTATGAAATCATAAGTGTGCCAGTTTTTTTTTTCCTTCATTTTTTCCTTCATTTTTTGTTTGATTTTTTGTTTGTTTGCTTCTTTTCCCCCTCATGTGCTTACATAATGCGGCTTGCAAGTATGCAGACGGGTAAATTTGTATTTCCTGTTTTGCACATTTTTGTGGTACTTCTTAATCACACAAGTGTCTAAATTGTTGTAATAGTTCAAACACAGATTTGCATACATCTTTTTTACGTTTCTGTTTTTTTCATCCATAAACCTAGTGTGTTTTTTAGAAATGTAATTGGAGATATTATCATATTCATATATATTATTCTTATGCCCATCATATACATATTTCTTGTTGTATATCATATGAACATACATGTCTTCATACTTCTCGTTATCCCTCTTATCCTTTATTATTAGTTTATTTTTATATATATTATTTGAATTGTTAAGGTTTTCTCTATCATACTGGTTGTAAATGTCTACTCTCTCCTCTGTGGGCGATACCCACGACGAATCATCCACTTCATTTTCTACATTAGCAACTTCTGCTGTTGCTACTCTTTCTACGACATTTGATGTTTCACCATTCCTCCCTTCCTCCCTGCTTGATATTAACACATTTTCTGGAGAATCATTTTTTTTTTTAGTTTTTCCCTCTAAGACATAACTTACATAGCGAGGCTTCAAGGGCAAGTTTATTTTGTAAACATAGCTATGAAGTTCGTTCAGGTTATAACCATACCTTTTTTCGAAGGTCTTTATGTTGGACTTATTATATTTCTACAAAGGGGTGATGGTGGTGGAGGGCGAAATTAATGAAGAAGTGATATTAAATGAGTTAGTTAATGACCTTGTAATTGGGATCAATAAAAAAAAAAAATAAAAATAAATGCACCACACGGGAGTAAGCGTGGCAACTCAATCTTGTGCAAAATTTCCAAAAAAAAAAAAAAAGAAATAAAATAATAATAGATATAAAAAAAAAAAAAAAAAAAAATACTAATGCAGCAAAATATACATGTAGTAAAATAATAAGGTATAATATGGAAACTTAAAAACCATGTAGGTATATTATGTGTAACATATACTGCAAGAAGAACACACGCATCCCATTACATTTTCTTTAAATCCAAGGTAATTTCCCATGACAAATATTATATATATTATTTGTTTATATATACAAAGATCTCTCACAAAAAAAAAAAAAAAAAAAAAAAATACCACCTGCTTGGTATTTTCATTTACTCTCTATCCGATTTTTTTCATACCCATTATGCAAGAGTTGTAATTTTATACATTTATGCTTATTCTCTACTCTTTCAACTTGTTCAAAAAAGATGTTCTAATTTTAAGGAAATTTTAAAACAGTATAAAACGTTGTAATTTTTGGGTGTGTCACTAAAAAATATCATAATAAAAAAAACAATTCCGAATTATACTTTTTTTTTTTTTTTTTTTTTTATGACTACGGGGATGGGAAAAAAAAAAAAAAAAAAAAAAAAAAGATAAAATTTAACTAATTTTTGGCATTCATTTGTTTTGCACCAGGTATATAGAAATTTCCATTTCGAAAAAAAAAATAAAAAAATAAAAAACTGTTCAGCCGCACAAAACAAAATGTAACTAAATTCTTTATCAACTTTGTAAAAATAGAAACATGCCTTTTATATACCTGTTTATCAAACCTAATTTTTCATTTTTACAACATGTGTATATTTTCACGTTGATAGTTGAGTGAACGTAGCCAATCTTGTGTCGCAAAACAGACAAAAGCGCGCGTAGGCATGTGTTCGTGTAGGTATGTATTTTTGTGGGCATGCATTCATGTAAGCATGTGTTTTTGTAGACATGTGTTCGAGTAAGCATGCGTCTCTTTTTTCTCCAACGGTGTACGGATCGAGCCTTGCAAAAGTCATTGTAAAACTTTATGTAGGTAAAAATATGCATACATACATATTCTCTGTTGGACTCATGCGCTGTATATATATTTATTCGCAGTATTGTATATATACACTTCTGAATGTATAAGAATGTGTGCACATACATTGATCCATTTTTATGAATGCTTTGATAGAATGTTTCATTTTTTTTTTTTTTTTTTTTTATTTCTTTTTTATTTTCCTCATAAAGTGGAAATTACACTATAAAAGGATATTTTAAATAAAAGGAACATTTGGTTTTCCCCCCTCCTCTGAAATTGTAAACATAACATATAAATATAAAAATTAAAAACTTAGCATTTATGAATGTGGCTTGAAGTGTTTATGTAAAGATACTAAAATTAATTTTTGTGCAATGATGAAGGCATGCTTCCTCTTGCACTTGTAACGAATTAAAAAGAGGGAAACACAAAAAAAAAGTAGTAAAAAAAAAGCCGTAAAACAAAAGCAGTAAAAAATAAGGAGCAAAAAAAAAAAAGACATCATATTTTAATTATACATCTTGCTGAGAAATATAAATTGTTATTGTTTTCTCTCAAAGGGTATATATATATATATATATATATATATATATATATACATGTATGTACATCACTCCAAATTGCACCAATTGAGGAGAATTCTATTACTTGATAAATGGTAGCTAAACATACAGTTGCTTTTTTCTCTTCCTTTTGAAATCATCCCGTTTGAAGGCATTCTGTTTCCACAGCATCAATTCTTTTCTTGTCGTGTATCTCTTTTTTTTTTTTTTTCGTTGCTTCATTTAGGTACGAACGAAATTCTTATTAACCTCGTCTTTCTGGTCTGCCAAGCGGGAAGTTGCATGCTCTGCGTCACGTCTATAACGATTGTCACAACTGTCACACTTATACTTGTACCTTTTCTCAGATAACTTCCCACAGTTCCACTCCTTAAGATCTCTTGCGCAAATAATGCCTTCCCCCTATCAACAAGTCGGACACATCAGATTCATAGTCCTCTCTGGGTATTTCATAGTTCAGCATCGTTTCAAGCGAAATACCGCCCTCCGTTTTGTCTTCCATCTCCTTCATAATTATATAAGTATTATCAAGAGAATTTATAATTTCTGAAATATCAGTTGTTTCATCAACAATTTCATTTTGCCTTTTATGAGTGTCTTGCCCAATTCGAAGGTGATTGTGCATTTCTGCGTATGTTTTTACATACATATCGTAGTAATCATAATATTTTGCGTTTAAATATTCATAGATAAAATTTTCAGCAAAATATATATCATGATATTTAAACAGTTTTGCATGGTTTTGAAAGTGAAAATTATGCACTTTATTACTAATACCACAATTTAACTGGAAATTATTTTTTATAAAATTTTTTAACATTTTCTTACATTTTTTTTTTTTTTTTTTTTTCTTTTCATTTGGGTCATATACATAAATCATCTGTGAAACATCGTTTGTCTTGTACAAATTATGTCGATCCAACGTTTTGTGTATTTCTATATGTGTTGATAACTCCAGTAAAATTCCGTAATATTTTTTATTTATATTTTTAAAATGTATAAGAAAAAGTCTTGAATTTAATAAATTTGTTGGTTCGATTTCTAATTCCAAATTTTCTTTTATTAAATTTTTTTTTATTTCTTTTGAAACTTCAGGTGGAAATCTAATAATGCACACTTTACCTACTTTATTATTCATAACAAATAAATTTCTATTAGCTCGATTCACCTGGTTATTATCGTTTGAGATGCTCCTCTCGCTGTAGTTCATCTCTTCAGGCATAATCTCCCGTCCTTCTTCCTCTCCTTTCCTACACGTTAGCTTAAACAAATTATCATACACGTCATTCTCCACATTTTCATCCTTTTCATAATTTACACTCTTCTCCTGCATCTCTTCTACCCTCCTCGAGTCATTAATCATTTTTTCCAAATCTGTGTCATTCATAAAATAAATTTCCTCCAAATCTTTGTAGTTGAATGTGCCATTTCTGATATCCTCGATAAGGCCTCTAACGGGTAGGCAGGAGGGGGAAATAAAACGGTGCAATGAGACGGTGCAATGAGACGGTGCAATGAGACGGTGCAATGAGACGGTGCAATGAGACGGTGCAATGAGACGGTGCAATGAGACGGTGCAATGAGACGGTGCAATGAGATGATGCAATGAGACGACCAATGTGACGGTGCAATAAAATCTATATTACATAAGGCCATTTTTTATATTCCTTCGCTCACGCGGGAACGCTGTGCATATATTTTCTAAATAAGCTCAGATTAACACTGCACAAAAAAATTGTGTAGTTCTTCACCCCCTCACACTTCTATAATCTCTCATGTCTCTACAAAAATTTATGGGATTCATTCCATAGCCAACAAGTGTAGAAATTAGGCACTCACCTCACATACGCTCAACAGGGATATCCTGTATGTCTGTGCATATATATATATATATATATATATATATATATATATATATACACATATATACACATATATATACATATATATGTATATATGTTTGCATTTTCCTTTTCAACACGGTGTTACATTAAAAGCTCAATCTCATACACGCATTGGCTGCTGTAGATGTGCAGCCGTGCTTTGTTTATTGCTCCCTCGATTTTTTCTCATTTGGCACTCTCATGTCGCTCTTCTCATTTCTCTCTTCTTTTCTCTCCTCCCTTTGCATACTTACAGGGCCTGGGAAGCCTCCTTCGATTTGGACTTCACTCTCAAGTCACAATTTTCACTAGTCTCGCATTCTCCAAAATTATCCCCTTCCTTTTTATTTCCACTTATATTGAGGGATATTTTTATGGTGCTTTTTTTTTCTCTTTTAGTTTCCATTTCTTTTCCGATAGCTTTATATCGTATTAAGTATCAATGTGATCCAGGAGGGAATCCATAAAGATTTGGAGGGGGGGGAAAATCGAAAAAGTTCAAAAAAATTACAAGTACATATTCGCAAAATTATATCTTTTCTCCAATTTGTGTTGCCTCTATAGCCTGCTCAGATTTCGTATATATATATATATATATGTATACATATATATACATCATATCACGACAGTAGTACAGTGTCAGCTGAACTCTATAATCTGAGAACGTTTTCTCCTAAAAGTGGACTTCACGAGATGGATACTCGGTCCGATTAAGGGAAGAATTTACGCGCGGCATAAAAAAGTTTCAAATGGGCATAGAAAAATTAAGTTCGAAACGGGCGCAAAAAAGTTAAGTTCGAAACGGGCGTAAATAAATGAAGCTCGACATGTGCATAAAAAAAACCGCGCTCTCAAAAGAACTTTATTTATTCGCCAATTTCACAAAAAGATTTGTAGAATTTTGCTTCAACAAATTCCATTTTTTATAGCAACTACCTTTGACAGGGTTACGCAGCAAAACAAGTCCTAACCCCCTGTGTATATATATATATATATATATATATATATATATACGTGCCAAGGTTAATAATGCAAACCAAACGTACATCATAAATTACACCAAATATGGCAATTTAAAAAATTAAAAAGAGAAAAGTCGAATCACATCAGGTAAAAAATAATATATTAAAAAGGGGATATGTAAATTGTGCCGTATTTTTTTTTTTTTTTTTTTTTTTTTTTTTTTTTCACATATCATCAAAAATGTGGGTAGGGAGGGAAGGAAGTGTAAGGCCAGAGAAAAAATGAAAAAAATTTTTGTTCAATCTTGGATTTCTTCCTTCCATTCCTTCTCTTCCACGTTTTGTGCAAGTGTTGTGTACCATACTGACTAAAGCAAGAAATGAAAAAAAGAGTAGAACCCACGAAAATTGGCACTTAAGTTTTTGTCTGCGTGTCCATTCCATTTCGCTCGTTCCTATTCGTACATTCATATATATCACATATATATATATATATATATGTAGTACATGTGTGTGTTTATACTGCTACTCTGAGGCTTTCCTCCCTCTACCTACACGGCGTTTAAATTTGCTTAGGTGTAGTCCTCCTCATCAGCATTAATCCCTTTTGGGAAATTCCCCCCACTCGTCAGTGTCGACACATAAGGGCATACATATATATGTATTGTTAAGATTTCCCATATGCCAAAAGCAGATATTGTTAAATACCTGCTTTCGTGGATAGAAGCTGTAGATATGATTTCAACAAAAAATCTCGAAGCTCTGAATATGTCCTTGTGAGATCGTCGTTAACTATAAAATAATTAAAACCCACATTTTCTGCTTCATTCATTTCTCTTGTTAATTCCTGCATACGTTTGTTAATTTCGTCTGGATTTTCTGTGTTTCTATTTTTTAATCGAGTTAAGAGAATATCAATGCTTGGAGGTTTTACAAAAATGTAAATGGCATTCTGAACATGTTCAGATTTTTTTAACTGTTTAACTCCGTTAATATTCATTTCAAATAAACATATTTTTTTTTCCCTTTCTGCAATGTCGTACTCACTTTTCAACGTACCATAAAAATTATTAGCATACTTGTCAAATTCTAAAAACTCTCCTGCTTTTAATTTTTTTTCGAAATCACTTTTATTTATAAAATAGTAATCAACGCCATTCCTTTCTTTTTCTCTTTTATTTCTCGTCGTGCAACTAATTGAAAATCGAAAACGGTTTGGAAATTCTTGTAGCAGTTTTTTTATAAGCGTTCCCTTCCCCACTCCTGAGGGGCCACACACGACAAGTGGAGGGATTTGCATTACGACCGTAATATGCTGCTTCTGGCTCTGCTTCTGACGCTCCTTCTTGCACTCCTGCTGATGGTATACACTGGAGAGAGTGAACTTATTTGTAATTCTTGTTAAGTAGGTTCTGCTTACTCATAAACACACACATCACCACCTCCACCTCCATGTAAGTTATACTACCATTCATGTCGTGTTGTGCTCAGATATATATCTTTTCCTTTTACTAATCAAAGGGGAAAGAAGTAAAGAAAATTGCGACAGGGGCATATGAACTTCCTCGAAGGGTTGGTATAGTTAAGAAATTTATTAACATAAAAATGATTTTTTCCCTGAACACATAGGTCACATATGTTGATACACTTGTGGGGGATAACCCAACTTGCCACGTCGTGTGCTGTGCATTGAAAACAAATATTCACACATACACATGCGGATAATATGCACACCTATATAAACATATACATATATAAATATACATATATATATATATATATATATATATATATATATATATATATATATATATATATATATATATATATATATATATATATGTATATAATTAATTGGATATCCCATTTGCATAAATTCATCACGTGGGCCACGTAGAACATGTGGAGATATGCACTTCTCCCCTCTCTCCTAGGCAAATTCGAAGGAACACCCACACTATAATTTTTATTCCCTGCCTTTTGAAAGTGAGCCTTATATAATACGTCAAATGGCATGGATAAATTATTTTAAGAAAAAAGAGATAGATTATATATTTTTACAATTTTTTTTAGCTCAACGTACAGCGAAAAAGCGAATGCAGGGAGGGTAGGAAGCTGTTTTTTTTTTTTTTTTTTTTTTTTTTTTTTTTCCCTCTCTTCTTCTATACATATATGTATGTATGCTCATCACTTATATGCGTATAACGTTATGTATGAAAAATAAATAGGTGTCGTGGGTGACCTGAGAGTGCGTTTACGTGTACCTAGCTTACTGCTCAGTCGAAGTACTTCATTTTCTCATAAATAAATTGTGAATTGCTTTTCTTTTATTTTCCTTTGTTTTCCTTTGTTTTCCTTTGTTTTCCTTTGTTTTCCTTTGTTTTCCTTTGTTTTCCTTTGTTTTCCTTTGTTTTCCTTTGTTTTCTTTTGTTTTCTTTTATTTTTCTTCCCTATACCAAATGCACACTGAAGTCGCGATTATATTTACGCGCGCATAACGGGGGAGAAACCAAAAAAAAAAAAAAAAAAAAAAAAAAATTTGCCCTCGAAAAATTAATTATAACCCTAATATTTTTGCCACAATAAGGAGAGAGAGAAGCTGCTTTCAATACGTGAAACATGTCCAGCACACCCAACACCTCTAACCCTTCCAGTGCATCGAATTCTTCGAATTCGTCGAAGATTAGTTCCTCCTCCCCCTTACCCCTTTGAGGGGACCTGCTGCATGTCGGACGTTATGATTCCTATGCTGTACTCTCCTTCGTAGCCATGGCAATTATACACACATGAATCTATACATACATGCATCTGCGCATTTGTGCATCTATGCATATGTGCATGTGTAGATGGTTGGCACTTGTTGCCACCGTAACTCCGCTACGTGTGTCAACGTCACCACGTGACCTCGCCCCCGAAAAGAACGAAGGGGTGAAGAAACAAGTCAAAGAAAGGGACCCTGCGGGTGCAATCGACATTCAGCATTTTCTCAAGGAGGTCTTTAAAGGAATTCGAAAAATAAGTGTACCTTATGAACCGTTTTCTCACATCAAAATTTTTATCTTGTAGTAGGTACAAAATATGCATATCGTTATTTATTTTGCTGAAGGGATGTGTGCCTGTTGATAATATGAAAAGCGTTATTCCCAAAGTCCACACCATTTTGGATGAAGCATCAATTTTTACATGTTGAAAATCTTCAAGTGGTTTAAATAACGATGTTGTACCTCCAATATTCGCTTTGTCTTCATATATTTTTTGGGCATATTCAAAATCAATGAGCTTGATATATATATTTTTTTTTATAATTACACCGAGTTTATGCAAATACCATTTTTTTTCCCGTTTACAATAATAAATCCTATTCATATTTTTCTTCCTTACATTTTTTACAACTATATTTGATGGTTTTATATCACTATGAAATATTTTTTTTTCATACAGATAAAAGCATACTGTTAACAGTTGTCTCATAATTTCTGCCATCAGATATTCTGGATAAATGTAAATATATACATTTTTTTTTTTTTTTTTTTCCTTTTTTTTTTTTCTCGTCCCCAGATTACTTCTCCACATGTAGGTATATTTTCCTAAATTCATATATGACTCTTTATCACCCATGCTTGTTTTGGCATCATCTTTGACAGTTTTTCTCTCTCTTTTATTTGGTCCTCTATCAATTAAATTTCTGTCTGGATACCCCTTTGCACATGTCTGAGCCCTATCTGGGCGAGATATTCCTAGTGATACCTCACCTGCTCTTGACCGACCTCCCCTTGAGCAAGCAGCATTAGCAGCCTCATCAGCCACATCAGCCACATCAACCACATCAGCCTCAACAGCCTCAACAGCCTCATCAACCACATCAGCCTCAACAGCCTCAACAGCCTCATCAACCACATCAACCACATCAGCCTCAACAGCCTCATCAACCACATCAACCACATCAGCCTCATCAACCACATCAACCACATCAACCACATCAACCACATCAACCACATCAACCACATCATCCGCAAGAGCCTTCCTCTTCTTCTCATTCTTGTTGCTCCCCTCCTGCACACTCGTTTTTGCAAAAAAGACCCTGGATTTTTTTTTACACCCTCGTGTGCCTCTGTTCCTACGTGTAGCCATATCCTCAAGTTGAAAGATTTTTTGGTCTTTATCCCATCTCATGAGAGATACGCCACCATATTTGTACATAACAGCAATTTCATCATTTAGACTAAAATAATTTTCCATTACTATTACATGTTCATGCACTAAATGCTTAGTCAAGTGCCTCTCTAATTTTATCACATCCTCGTAACACATATATTTATTCATAAAAGGATTAAAAGTACTTTCTTTTGGAAATATGTAAATTTTTTTTATTCTTTTTTGCAAAATTTTTTTCTTCTTCTTGTTATACCCTTCTGTGAAGATGATATTTATTTTCTTGTGCTTTTTCCAATAAATGGTATATTCACACATTACTTTCTTTTGAATTGGATTCTCTATACAGATCTTTTCTTCTTTAATTTGTTGTAGAATTTTTATTTTTTCTACCCTCTCAGGATCAGTCATATGTTCTATGCCATGCTGATCGAAAACATTTGCCAAGTGAGTTCCTACTACTCCCCATGTTCTTACTATTTTGTCTTTTCTACGGTCAGTCCTGTTCACCTCATTTCCAACACGCTTAACTTGTCTCACATTTCTAATAACTTTTACAAAGTCGTAATTACATATGGTGAATATTTTATACTTAAGACAGGTATTTTTCATGGAACACTTATTTTTCCATTTCTTCTTCAACTTGAAATAATTTTTTTTTTTTTTTTTTTTTTTTTTCTCTATTTCGGTAGACGCACTTGTACATACATCCGTGGAGTTCCTGTCACTATGGATATTTTTCCCATTTGGATTTTTTAAAATGGAAAAAGTGTTTTTTTCTTTGATTCTATCTGTTTTTACTCTTTCGTTGTTTTTATCGCTCAAGGTACCATTTTTTTCTCCTTGTGCATTTTGCTTTTTTTTTTTTTCGAAAAAATCCAACGGAACATCTGAGAGATAACAAGGTGTACCTCTACAACTTATTAGCACGTCTACCCGTAGATATCTGCTCATATGATAAGGTTGGGATGGGGGTGTGATTTATGAAAATATGCTTTTAATTAAACCTAATCTTAACATGAGCAAGCACATGAGTGAGCACATCAGACTATCATATTGGGTAGATCAAAAAAGGTGGATATACCATTAGTTAGATCTTTCTTCTTTTTTTCTCCTGAAGGGGTTCATATTTTTTTTTTTTTTTTTTTTTTTTTTCACACACCCTTTCGCTTTTTTTTTTATTTATTTTTTTTTTTTTTTTTTTTTTTTTTTTGTTTTCCCCATCAGTGTGCGTAGTACTAATATGTGTAAAAAGTCCTGTCAAAGTTTTATAAGTTCAATGAAGAAATAAAAAAGAAAAAAAAAAAAAAAAAAAAAAAAAAAAAAAAGGCAGAAAATAGCAAAAAAGGATATACTACTACAATATATAACCACACAGGGAAACACAAAACGCATCTCGCTTTATCTATTTGCACGATTGCACGACCTATACCCTCTTTTGTGCATATTACAACTGGAGAAAAAACTTTGCATGTGGAAGAAGAAATAAGAAGAAAGAAGAAGAACTGTTCATATATATTTTTTTTATTTTTATATTCTTATTTTTGAAAAAAAAACACTAAAATGTGGAAATGCAAGGAGAAAAAGAAAAAAAAAAAAAAAAAAAAACATCATGCACAGTAATATAACAATTATGGAGCACAATCCACTACACAATCTATATAATGAATAATATCTGGTTGAAGGCCTATGTACTAAAAAAACTACAAATGAGGATGAGGGACATAAGAAAAATATCCGTTCTACAAATATATGGCTTCGAAACAAGGAGAGAGTAGAAAAAAAAAAAAAAAAAATGGAGACAAAGAAAATAAAAGAAGACCTCTACATTTATATTCATATTTATATGTATATATTTTTATTTCATTGTGGATACAACCAGCACATAAAGGATGGGAGGGAAGTATGTCATAGTTAAGAGACCCACACTTGTAATCTTATTTTTTCTCGAACCATCGTAAAAGGATCACTCAGGGTCTCTGATTTAATGCTTCTACAAAGATTCGTAACACTGTCAACTAGTCAGCTAGCCCAACTAGCCAAAAAAAAAAAGTCAACAGTCCAGTCAACAGTCCAGTCAACAGTCCAGTCAACAGTCCAGTCAGCAGTCCAGTCAACAACTCTAATATGCCAATCTACCATTTTTTTCCTCAGTTGAATTTATTTCCATCTGAGCCAAGTGTACGACTAATATTCACATCCCAAACCCAGTAATGCACCTGTGTACGCATTTTCAAAAAAAAAAAAAAAAAAATACATCACAATAAGAGGGGGTGTATGTAGGATTAAAGAGAGTTAAGCCCAAGCACGACATGAACCCCTTTTCTTATATTTTTTTAAAATTCTTTTATGCTGTCTCCACATGTATACATAAACACACACCTTAGAAGAAGTAGAGACTTCAACGTAATTGCTAGTACCAATAAGTACAAAAAAAAAAAAAAAAAAATATACATATATATATATAATAACTAATATAGTTTAAAAAGGTACCCAATTTTGACCCCAATCCTAAAGGGTAGAAATAAAAAAAAGTAGTACACATTCAGAAAAAAAAAAAAAATAATAATAATAAAAGTAACAATAGTAGTAATAATAAAATAAACAAAAGTAGTACACATTCAGAAAAAAAAAAAAAAAAATGCCTTTTTCAATTTGTAGAAGATCGATTTTCCCCTTTTTAATATTCAAAAATACTAAAAAAAGATCAACGAAACATTTTCGATTTTTTTCAGAAGAAATTAAGGAAATTACACACAACGATAAACAAACAAAAGAATTAATTCAAGAAATAAAACTTTTAAAAAAAAATAAAAAACAAGTAAAGAACGATATAGATATAAGAGAAATAAACTATTTAATTAAAAAAGAGAAAATGAACAAACTCAAAGAAATGAAACAGAAGGTAGCAAATGAATATGTAGAAACCTACCCACATGCATATGAAGACTTCAGCTTAAGAAACCAAGTACTACCAAAGGATGCACAAGATGGAGATCCATTGGCTAGTAACGGTGCATGGGGTAGAAATGGAGGAATAAGTCCTTTCCATCATTTAAGTTACCCAAATGACGATATGAAAAATGTGAATCTTGATGCAGCGGAAATGTATAAATTAGATGAACAAATGAATAATTTGAACATTTGGAATGTTGAAAAAACAACAAGTCCTCATCGTTTTAATGACAGGACATCATCTCAATGGAACCAGCAGGTTAGGGGAGAACAAGATCAGCAGCACTTCCGCCACGCGAATGGTATGAAGAATGGTGTAGAGAATGGTATGATGGATGGCAGAAATAGTGGTACCATGAATTTCTATGACACGAATGAAAATATCAATAGTCAATTTGGAAGTAGCAACCAATTTGGAAGTAGCACTCAATTTGGAAGTAGCAGTCCATTTGGCAGTAGCAGTCCATTTGGCAGTAACAACCAGTGGGAAAGTAACAGCCAATCTGGCAGTGGCAGTCCAAATTCTTATAGCGCAATGTTTGCCCCCAATGATCCTCGTCTCACTTGGGAAGGGTCTCATGATTACCATTATGCAAATGAAGATATTAACAACTTTTACGCTTTGAATAATGACAATGACTGTTTTAATTTTTTAAACATGCTGAAGGAAGCGAACAGTATGCCTTTGGATGGGAAGGAAGAATTTAAAAGTCAGAAAATACCGCAGAATCCGATGGAGCTTGTATTGGTATTGCATGAACATTGGGTTAGTCTAATTGGTCTAGGTAGCCAAAGGGGAGAACTCAATGGTGTAGATGTAGCAGGTGCAGAAGTAGAAGGTGCAGAAGTAGCAGGTGCAGAAGTAGCAGGTGCAGAAGTAGCAGGTGCAGAAGTAGCAGGTGCAGAAGTAGCAGGTGCAGAAGTAGCAGGTGCAGAAGTAGCAGGTGCAGAAGTAGCAGGCGCAGATGTAACATGTGCATATGTAGCAGGTGCAGATGGACTTCCAAGAGGTCGCGAAAAGAATATCCAATTTGACGAAAGAGACGCCCTGGAGAAACTGATCCAGCTAGACGAATGTTGGAAAGATAAAGGATTTTCAGAACTGAAAATGAAGTGGAGAAAAAAATTAAATGAGATCGAATTTGTGGTAGAAAAGAACAAGGAATTTTATGAAAAATTGAGAAATCGGGCGGAATTCATTAGCAACTCATTCAGTATAGCTCAGAGTATTTTTATTTTATGCTTTTATCACGCAATAGATTGCCTATCACTAGAAATGAAAAATAAATTTATTCCAAAATTTACATCCAATTTACACATGTTAAAAATGAATCATGTTCTCTTGCTTCTTTATATGTACGGAAATGAAAAAGAAAATTATGTAGACTTCTTACACATGCTGACAATGTATTTTTTTAACAAGAGAAAGAGTTTGTTAAATGCTGAAAAATCAGATGAGTCTAAAACCAGTGGAAATGTAAATTATAAATATCAGCATTTACAGAGAGAAGCTTCTGGAGGAAAAAAAAATTTCAGCGATGATGAAATAAAGATAAATTTAATAAGGAAAAGTAAAGATATAAAATTTTTGGAAATATGTCTAAAGCATGGAATCAAATTAGATGATTCCTTACATATATTTTATCATCAAGATTGTTTACATTTCTACAACAAGGAAGATTTTTTCATATTATTTCAATGTTTTTGTTTTCTAACAGACAAAAATGATATGACTTTGCTTAACAATGCATTGAAACGGTTCCCTTTTGAACTTACGAAGATGAAATTATTTAATAGTATTAATCATATGAGGAATTTCTTAACGTGTAAAAAAGAATATCCTTTTACAAAGTTTACTTTCTGCGAGTTAGAAATTATGCTTGATGCATTAAACAATCTGGACTGTGCAGAATTTTTTAAAAATGTAAAAAATTGTGTTCAAGATGAATATCTTAAAAGTGCTGCAAGAACTATAAAAAAAAATGCACAATTAAATGAACCTCCTCCAAAAGCTGAGCCAAAAAAATCCAATCCAGAAAGCGAAAAAAGGTGGAAAAGAACTTTCGTGATTGACAGTAGATACGACAGGATCAAGAAACCACGTACACGTAGGGGGGCTCTATGGATGATGAACCATTTGAAAATTTTTCAAAATGTCAAATTAGTTCCAGAGGAAAAACTAAATGTTGTGAACTATTGTATATTCTACAACGTAACGAATAGTCTCCGACATTTGTTTGTATCCCCCATTTTTCGAAGGACTGATTTGCATGAAATATTGGCAGATGTGAAATTTGCAAAGAGCTCCTTTTACTTTTTGGATGAACAGTTCCACTTCGATTGCATGGTTAAGATGGACATGTACCCGGAGGGGGGGGAGGCAGTGAACGGGGCAGAAAACGGGGCAGTGAACGGGGCAGAAAACGGGGCAGAAAACGGGGCAGAAAACCCGAATCGTACAAGAAACCAGAACAAAGATTTGATACACTTATTTTTATGCGATCAAGAAAGCGTAAATAACTATTTCTTCCAATATGAAAAGAGAATTGTGAAAAAAGTATCAACTGACTTTTTGATTAATTCCATTTTGTTCATAAACAATTATCTAAGGGAATTAAGATGTGTGATACATTTATATACATACATGAGTGAAGATATTTTATACGTCTTGAATTACCTTTATTTGAAATTTCTCACGGTGCTGAATTCTGTAGATAAGAACAATGAGAGTAAGAAAAAAGGATTGCTCACTGAATTGTCTAAAATTATTCCTCCATGTTTTACTATATGGACAGGCGCAGATAATGGATCTGGAAGAGTTGGACTTTGGTACAAGCCTGCACGTACAGAAAATAAGAGAGTTCGTCCACCCCCAGCAGATGTAGATCCAGGGAACAATCTGAGTGTAACTAATGGTTATATATATCAACATGATCAAGTAACTTATTACAAGAACTGTAGAATGATTAGTTGTTCTATATTCAATACCTTATTTTCAATATTTACACATTATATAAAATATGTGAAAGAAAATAATAATGAAGGAAAAATTAACTTTTTGAAAAGAACAAGAATTTTAAAAGATATAATTTATACTACATCATCTTATATAAATAGTCTACAATTAGAAGAATGCAATTATTTCGATTTTATTTTTAAACGATATTCCACTTTTCGTATTATTGAAAATTGGAAAGATGTATGTCATATAGGAGATACACGTATGAACCCACGAAATGAAACTATTTTATTAAACTTAATGGATGATATACTCTCATATATTTATATTTATATCACAGATAATAACATTTCCAATATGGTCAATGAAGAAATTATCAAGATGACAAGATACTTTTCTATATTTTCTATTTCTTTGAATTACTATGAACAAATAGAAGAAAAAATACGTTCGAATAAAAATATTCGCATTCCATTTAAAATCAGAGGTAAAAAAAGACTTGGGATATCTGACAGTATAGCTAGTGTGTACTATGATAGTAATGGTAGTTCCGTTCGTTATGATGGAAAAAGTGACGACGATGATGATTGTGATGATCACAGTTTGTCTGAACAATCTTGTTCATCTGAAAAATATCGAAAAACAAAAAAAATCACAGAATTTTATAATAATGTTCTGAATAGTTACATTAAAAGAATAGGTAAAATGAAACTTGACAATTTATCTGTACGCAGCACAGTATACATCCTTGACACCACCATTCGTGTATTTATTTTGAATGCACTCAATGGAATTTCCTGCAATTACATCATTAAGCAAGTCAATGCATTGCTCGACCACATGTGGGAGATCTCAGATGAAATCAACTTGTGTCAATACCACTTGATTTTCAGTGCATGTCAAAATATTATGGATAACGAGATCCTTTTACGTAAGTATAGCGCCTTTAACATTGCCAAGAGTAGGAAGTTGCTTTTATACTTCAACGCCCGGAAGTGACTCTAACTGCATCGGTTACCACACACGTGCCACATGGTGCCTCAGTTTGTATCTCAGTCTGTGTCTGCGTATGTATGGGGATTAATCCTCTCTCAGATTGCTGTTTTTTTTTTTTTTTTTTTTGCTGTATGTTGAACACTTTATCACACCTACGTGGCAATGTTATGCGGCGTGGTGGAATGAGAGAATGTATTGCTTCTCAGTTCATAGATCCCTTCAGTGATATCCATCTTCCAATTCATGTCCCTGTGATATGCTCTTCCTCAATATTGAAATGACAATATGGAGAGAGATTGAGGATGAGCCAGATTGAGAGGGAGAAAGAAAGAAGGGGGGAAGGGGGGGGGAGAAAAAAAAATTATAATCGGATAGCCGCATAGCCAAATAACCACAAAAAGGTAGAAGAGATGAAACAAAAGGAAATAACAAAAAAAATTAACAACTAATAAATACCTATTTAAAAAAAAAAAAAAAAAAACAGAAACTCATGTGTGCATTTATATATCCATGCATTAACTTTTTCCTCGTACAAGAGGGTTACTCACGTATGAACACGAACAAGTGGTGCACAATTCTCTTTGATAACCAACACTGTTTTATCAAAATGTGAAAAAAACTAAAATCACCCTTAAGCACTATTTATTTAGAATAGAGGGAATGGTGCAGTTATACATACATGTTCATGCAAACTTAAGGCCTGTTTCTTTCTCCACAATTAAAATGATCAGTCTCAATTGTTAAAACAAGAAAAAAAAAAAAAAAAAAAAAAGAATACGAAAAATCTATTCATATAAAATCCTACCATGCATACGTTTGTCCCCCATTTTAGGATTAGTTTGAATTCTAATAAAATATTGACACGTTCTATTATAAATATATTATAAATAGAGTTTTTTTTTTTTTTGTATTCTGTTATTATTTTAGATTCATTTTTTTTTTTTTTTTTTTTGTGTTATATATTTTTTTATTTTATCTTTAGTTTTAGATTATTTTCACTTTTTTTTCCTTCCCCTTTCCGCCTTTGTTTTTGTTCATTCCAACCCCCATGAGTTGTGCGTAAAATATACACATTAGCATATGTATGCTTGTGCCGCTAATTACTACCTCACTCACAGTACATCAAAAAAAAAAAAAAAAAAAAAAAAGAGAGAAGTGTGAAGAAGAGAGTAGTGTGAAAAAGAGGGAAGAAATAGCTATTTGTTTTAAAGAGTGTGTACTTTTGAACGTCTAAATATGTATTTGACTAATATTCATGCCTTTTCCTTATGTCCATCCATTTTATTGCACTAAATATTTGGCCACACACACACCCTATTTACCTTCTCGTGCTTATATTTTTTTTTTTTTTTTCTGTGCAATATCGCTTGTACCATTTGCTCATGTATATAATCTAATCATCACACCATCTCACCAATTTAACAACTCACCAACTCACGTCGCCCCCCCTCCCCGATTGTAGCATTAATTCACGAATTTACAAAAAGAACGTTTTGAATAATTTTCCTTCATTGATTGAAAACATAAAATACTCATTTTTCATTATGTTGGTTCCTCCACAATTTTACAACGGCGAAATAGAAGTCGATTTAGATGACACAATATTTAATATAGAAACCGAGAAAATACTAGGGTTATATAAACAAGGTATTTATGATTTCTTGTTTTATAATGGAAATTTCAAAAACAACAAAGATAATAATTTGGTGAATGCTGTAAATATAGATAGACGAATTAAGGACTTAAAAAAAGATAGACTAAAAAAAATGGGACATACTGTCCAATCTGTTTCTATATTTGTAACATTTTTTCTAATTTATTCAGCTTTTAAGGAAATCATGCATAGTATTAAGGTTGGAATCAACAAAACCCCCTCCATTCCCCAGGGGTAAAGAGTCTCTGTTCGAGAAACATCCATATATAGAGAAGAAGGAGAGTATCAACCGTCGTGCAAAAATGCATGTATTGTATATATGTCATTTGTATTTTTATATGATTTCACTATAATACAAACCTATTCATATATACTATACACATGCTCAATGTAAGTGCTGCACAGAGCATAGGGAGAGAGGTGATATATGAAACCTTCTCATCTCCACCTCCCTCTGATGACACACAAAATTTGATTCCCTATTTACTAGCTCCACTTACTATACAAAAAATTTAAACCAATCACATTCCTCCCCCTTTTTTTCTATATTTGTTTCTGTCATTTTCCGCCTTATTTTAAAGCCCATTGATGAGGTAAATTCCGGCCCATTGTGTACACTTTATCACTTTTTATGCGGGGGGAATAACCTAATGGGACGTTATTAATTTCCTGGGATCGTCATTTGATTTTGCCTCATCATTGTTGAACCGTTTCATATGAGATACTTTGTTTATTAATTATATTTTTTCTTTTTTACTTATCCCTAGTCCCCTCGTAGTTGCATATTTTATTCACGCCGCCTTTTTTCCTATTAATTATAAAAGTGAAAAAAAAAAAAAAAAAAAAACACAAAAACCTTTTTCCATACTGTTGTTCTTTCAGTGAACTTGTTGCAATTATGACTCTACGGAGTTTTATGTTTTATGTTTTATGTTTTATGTTTTATGTTTTTTTTTTTTTTTTTTTTTCTTTTTTAAATCACCATTTGAGCGAAGCTCAATTATGCATGTTGTTTTTTTTAAGTATATTATACTTTTATATATATTTTTTTTTTTTTTTTTTTCCTATTTATGAACAACCAAATTAATCACTAAGCATAGAATATAAACAAAAAAAGACCTATCAACAAAATGGGCTAACAAATTCAAAAAATACATTTTTTCAAATAATAATGCAATCGGCTTCTTCTAACATATTTTAACTCTCAGTATTTTACGAAAAAGTGGAGAAATTTGAAATTAAGCTTTATTATTTTGTTTCCTCATTTTTTTTTTTTTTTTTTTTTTTTCTTTAAATATATAACTTGTTCCATTTTTTTCTGAACGATCATAATTTTTTTTTTTTTTTTTTTTTTTTTTTTTTTTTTTTTTTTTTTTTTTTTTTTGTATTACACGTTTTTATTTTTAAAGGTTGGCGAACGTTCGTCCGCAATATTGGTACATACGAAGGAATATCATTTTAGGTAAAAATTATTACATTTGAACAGTTGTGCAAAAAAAAAAAAAAAAATAGTTCTTTATGTTCTTCAATTACTTTACCAAATTGAAGCAAATTTGAAAACATTTTTTATCCTGTATCCAAATACAACAATTACTCATAATTAGCTACATGAAGAGTAAAAAGTTCAAAAGGGAAACTAATTTTGTGTCTTCGAAAAATGGCCGAAGAGGTATCCCAACTGGGGAAAAAATAACACAGGTATATTGATAAGCAAATAGAGGATGCAATGGGGGAGCAAGAGAGAAAATTCTTATAAAAGCTCCACGAAATTTCCAAAGAGAATTCGTTCAACTTTTTAGTTGCAAAAATATGCATAACTGAACAATATAGAGAAAATTCCAGCATTGTGCATTGCCCACTGATAATCTACCATTTGTCATTGCTCTGCACTGCGTGCTCTATAATTTAGTTCTACTCGTTTGTTCGTTTGCTCGTTTGTTCATTTATTCGCGCCTTTATTTTTATTTCATTCATTTATTCACTCCTTTATTTTATCCATTTTTTCACTGCTTTATTTTTATTTTATTATCTTTATTTTTTTTTCCCATCCCGGCTTCTGGTGCACACCTCACTTAAAAGGACACACAAAATGATAGCACAGACGATTTAATTATAGGAAACATGGTCGATTTAAATAAAAAAGAAAGCACAAAAAAGACACTTCCAAAGGTTGTTCAAATAAGGAGAGATTTGAGGTAATTCTATGAGCTCCTTTTCCATTCGCTTCTTATTAGCACCATTTGTTTGTCGCAGCACGAGTGACAAGTGTGGCTTCACATATTTTTTAGAGAAACGTTTCCACTTTAATCCCCCTTCTCGTGTAGAAAACTAAGAAAAGAAAAGGCAATTATAAGCAAAATGGATTCAGAAGATAGGGAAAAGACGGAGCATTTGTTGCAGGTGCACAAGGCTATGCTCAAATCAAAGGGAGAAAAAGTTTACGTAAGAAAGCAAAAATTATGAACAAAATTGTGAATAAAATTCGTTATATATATGAGAGCATCCAATGGAATACACACAAAATGCACATTGCACATATCTCGTTAGTATGTGTACTATTTCCTTTTTTTTTTTTTTTTTTTTTTTTTTGGTGTAATACCTCGTTTCTGTTTGCTCGCGATTGTGTATATATACATGTCTGTATCTCCATCTTATGTCCATTTAGGATGAAAAGAGCCTCAATAAACGAAGAAAAAGTATATTAAAAAAAAAAAACAAATCACGCAAAAGATGGGAAGAAAAATTATCAAAGGAAAGAGGCACCAAAAGATGACGTAGACACATGCTGGATGAAGGACATATATATATATATATATATATATATATACACACCCATCTAGCGTTTCCCAAATTTCGTCGATATAGAACCCTCCACAAAAGTGTGCAAACACACAAAGAGACATACGCAGATGCACTGGTTTTCCATTGGCCTATCTGAACCACGGATCATCAATTTGATGAAAAAGAGAGTTACAAGAATTATAATCCAAAAGAATGTAACATGTTATTCACGTGAACAATATAACCCACATCGTTCGTCACTGGTTTGTATAAATAAGGGGGGAGGAATGTTTTCCTTCTGGAAATAATTCCAAAAATTACAATAGTCCACCATAAAATATGAATAATAAACAAAATAAATCGAACAGCAAAAGAATTACACTCAGGCAAAATCATTATGTCGAGTGTTATTATGTACAGCTGAAATAGATTAAAAATATGAATAACTCGCACAATTGTAGGAATGGTTTTACAAAGAATTCCCAACATGTTTATAAATAAAGGAGAATTATTTTCTGCATTTATTTGATTATTTTCTCCATCCACAACCATGGCATAACATATACAAGTAGTTACAAGTATAATACCAATGATTAACCACAAAGCAGAAAATACATACACATTAGATGAAGCTGCACACACAATTTGTTCATGTATGCGTAAAGAAAAATTTGTATATCCACTTATAAATGTTATTGATCCAATCATATAGCAAACGGAAGTCCAAAAATAGTATGATATTACACTCAACTTTAATACTTCACTTGAAAAATTGTAACAGCATCCTACAGAATTAGACTGATATTTCTGCTTTACTTCACTTTGATCTTCCTCACTACTATTGTCACTTTCGTTGGAGTCCTTACTTTCCATTTATCCCAAAGGAAAACGTTATATGTATATGTGGTGGAAATTTTGCACAGGCAGAAAGGGGGAAAAAAAAAAAAAAAAACCCTGATTATTATAATACCTATTCTTGAAATGTGGCCTCTTCAGTGGAATGGAAAAGCTGCATATGCATGCTGCCAATTCTTGCTGCTTTAGAGGAAACATTAAAATTTACTTACCCCTTGCTCATGTCTGCGTGTGAGAATAAATATGAGTGTTCCATTCCAAAGAGGTGAAATAAGTCATCAGCGCACAAGGGTGCAATATTGTCAAATCGCTAAGAAGTTGTCAAAAAAGAATGAACACGCGCCTCTTCAAAAAAAAAAAAAAAGTGATAAAATTCCCAAAACTTATGAACGTGCATAAATAATGGTATCAGAAATTTTCCAAAAAGTATGAACGTGCATAAATAATGGTATCAGAAATTTTCCAAAAAGTATGAACGTGCATAAATAAATAGTGGTAACAGAAATTTCCAAAAAGTATGAACGTGCATAAATAAATAGTGGTAACAGAAATTTCCAAAAAATGTAAAGAGTGTATGCAAGAGCGGATGGTTCATCGTTGAGTTTGCATATCACAAATAGGGGTCCGTTTGTTTTTGTATATATCGCTATTAGCTAATTTAATCATTTTCCTTTTTTCTTTTTTTTTTTTTTTTCCCATATTTTTGGCTTATTTCCCGTGTCCCTTCCCCTAAGGAACTGCATATTGAAGGAAATCAGGAAACATAAAAGCTGTTATTATTCCATTTAGTCTTTTTCATTTGTATAACTACCAACTTATTAATCAATTAGTGTTCTTTACATCTTAGAAAGGCTAATGGACACATACGAAGAATGTTGGTATATGTAAATTTCATGAAATGAAAAATAAGCTATTTTTCATTCCCCTTCCATAGGTTGGCACAATTTCGAGTATGCTAAAAAGAAAATGGCCAATTAAAATCGAAATAAAAAAAAAAAAAAAAAAAGTAATCGTTTTAAAGTTGTCTAATTTAATTTAATTGGACGGAAATATTCCATTTCATGCCGACAATATGCAGCATTAAGACTGACTTATTATTCAAGAACAAAAATTCGATTTTTTATGTCTCGCACTCTATTCTCCATTTCATATAACTTGGGGTATTTTTAAAAACACTAGAGGGATATATATACCCCTCAACTATATTAAATTCCTTTTTATAATGTTTGGAAAAAGTAAAAAAAAAAAAAAAAAAAAAAAACAATATAAACAGAGTGGGGAGAAAAATGTGAGCAAACAAATTAAAAATAAAATGCAGGTAATGTTAAGACAAAATAAAAATAATTTTCTTACAAAGCAAATTCAAATGTCATGCTTTCAAATATAGCTTAATTAAATGATTTTTTTTTTATTTTTTTTTTGGGGGGAGGGGAGGAGAAAATTACCAAAGATATATGATATAACGCCACGTTTTAAATATTCTTTTCTCGTATAAGGGTAAAGTGTTGTGGGTAAAAAAAAAAAAATAAATAAAATAAGATAGTTTTCCTCTATGTGTATTTTGTTTCTCTTTTCGAATAATTTTTAAAATTAAATGGATAGAGAACAATGGAGAAATAAAAAATTATCTTTTTTTAAATGAGATAAATGGTGGTTTATCTTTTTATATTTTGTATTTTTTTTTTTTTTTTTTTTTTTTTTTTTATATATTCCACAATATATCATATATGATGCTTTGAAAAATATGGTAAACCTTATACATTTCTTTTCTTCAGCGACTTTTTTATTTGCTTTTTCTCCTTTCGTGACAGATGCTTTGCATAGCGTTTTCCTTTAATCTTTTCGACTCTGAACTTTGTGTTGATGTAGTCTAACAGAATGGAACAGGGACGGGGATGTGAAATTAAGCACATGTGCAAAGTTATACAGGTGTGTGATATTACGTACATATCCAAATGTTATATAACTGCTTTCTCAGCACTTATTTTATCTTATATATATATATATATATATATTTTTTTATTAGTTACGTGGATGACTAAACAAATAAGGGATGGCAATTTGCACATGGTATAAGTTAATTAGTGATACTAGACTTTCAACTTTTTCGTAAACAATGGATAATTCTTCATCTTTCTTATTCAGCTGTCGTATTCCGATCAGACTTGTATCAGGTAAAGAGCTGAATTCAACTGTGTTCATATATCTACGTAAGTGTTTTTTTTTTTTTTTTTTTTGAAGTAATGAAATTTAGAAGAATAAATATATAAATATTTATGTAGGTACAATAAAGTGAATGTGTTAACACGACAATAGACACACGAGGATTATTTTTTTTTTTATATATTTTTTTTTTTTTTTGCATATTCTGTGTAAGTTACTTTCGATATGATGTTGCACTGAAGAAACACACATGCTGTTCTTCTCCTATTGTGTAACACATGATCAATTTATTCGGTATTGTTGTAACTACTTTTCATATGCATTCGTGTTTTGATACACACGTAAATTTCTTTTCCTTATTTTCCTTCCTTTTGTTCATTTTCTTATTTTTTTTTTAATACTTACTCTTGTTCAATCAAAACGAAGTTGATTTTTCTTGCACGGGCGATTATAGGAACATGCTTATAAAATTTTTCATACCTAGGGAGAATTAAAGAAAAAAAAAAAAAAAAAATAATAATAAAACCACAAAATCATAAAATTTTCATAACATCAAGGTGGTAATATGTCAACATAAAAGCGTATGGATCAAAAAGGTTGATGCGCATGAAACGTTGAATTCACACTTCTGATCTCTTAAATCACATGAAAATTGGTAAACTTTTCCACATAGCAATTTTTTATGAAAGAAAAAAAGAAAAAAAAAAAAAATAAAATAAAAATAAAAAAAAAGCAATTTTCATATTACTGCGTAGTTCTGATTATTATTGCGGCCTGTAGTTCTCCATGTTCCAAGAAGTCTACAATTTCGTCATGATTGAATAAAAATGGCTTTAACGATTTATCTGTTTCAATAACCCTGAAAAAAAAGATATTGAAGTAAAAGAGGAAAAGTATGGGAGAAGAAAAAAAAAAAAAAAAAAAAAAAAAACACATGCATGACTAGAACATTGGATGTTGAGTTCTGTAAACGTATCATGAAGAACAAATCGTTATATGTCCTATTCACTCTTTTGACATACGCATAAGTTTTTTTTTTTTTTTTCTCCCTCTTCCTGCATTCCTTACCCCAACAAGGATTTCAATATCGAGATACTTTTTTCTTGGTTTAGTGATTCTCTAACAAAAACAAAAAAAATAATATAATAAAATAAAAAAAATAAAATAAAAATATGACGTAGGAAGCATGTGTGCACGTAACTACACCTACATTAGCAACACATATGTACACTCAACGAACGTAAGTATATATATATATGTGTGAATATATAAACACGGGATGTATTATGAAAATGGCTCATTTAGCATGTTCGTTTAATACATTTCTATGTCGTACGGGGATTCCATTATATGTTTATTTTTTGACTTGCTTTTTTCTTCCATTTTTTTTTTTTTTTTTTATCCTATATATATGCTTACACAGTGAATTCAGTAATTGGAATTTATAAAAAAAAAAAAAAAAAAAAAAGAGTTAAGTGAAAGGAGAGTAAAGAACGAGTGATGAATTACACAAATGAAATGCAAATGAAGGCAGAATCAAGAAAGGTTGAAGGAAGAGTAAAGAACCATTTAAGAGGTACACAACTGATGCATAAATAAAGAATGAATGAAACAAAAATGAAAAGTTGCATGAATGACGAGTTGCATAAATGTAGAACTACTCATTCAGGACAACACATACAGAACTACGAACCTTGAAGACCATCAAATGAGAATCATAAATGAAGGAAAAAAAAATGGGAAAAAAAAATGGGAAAAAAAAATGGGAAAAAAAAATGGGAAAAAAAATGAGGGGGGAGGAAAAAAAAATGGGAAAAAAAGAGAGGGGAAGAAAAAAAAAATGGAAAAAAAAGAAACAAAAAAAAAAAACTATAAATTAGAATTGATAAATAACATTTTATGTCTATTTTTGTAACGAATTCATAGTAGTTCAACTTTTTTATTTGAGTTAATCTAGCAGTAAACATACATACAATTATAACATTAGATATATTATGCATATGATACGCATAATACATATTGTACACATAGCATAAATATGATATATATACATATCATGCATATTTGTATATATTTTATATAACGAGGAACAACACTTTTCCTTTTTGTTTCCACAAGGTTTTAGGCCTCTGGACCCCACTGATTTATTATTTGACCCCTTTTCAACAATCACTGTTTTTAAGTACCACTAAAATTAATTTTGTTGTTAACCATTTTGCTTAGCTTGGCTCAGCACAGTTCCTTTTTTTCTTTTTTTTTTTTCTTTTTTTTTTTTTAATTTTCATGGAATTGGAGGCCATTTGTTAAAGAATGGTCGCTTTTGTTCCTTTGGTAACTTTGTATTCGCCCTTTGCTATATTTACCATTTGACAATTTTTCTTTTTTATTTTTTTCTTAGTATTGTTTTCCCCCTACATCTTTCTAAATTATTATTAATTTTGTTTTACTTATATACATATATATATTTTTTTTTTTTTTTTTTTTTTATGTTCATTTCATCACCTTTGTTTCCCCATATCCTATGTATACACGATTTAGCCGGAAGTTATGACACCCTGCCTCCGCATCCACACGTCACCCTAGATGGATAAAAAAATGAGAAAAAATAAGAAAGAAGAAAAAGGAAACTACCACAAGAATAGATAGGTGCCAACTAAATTTATTAAAAATATACCTTTTAGAAATAAAATTCCTTTTATTCTATTTCTTACACTTTTTCTTATTCGACTTCTTATTCTACTCCTTATTCTATTTCTCATTCCATTTCTCATTCCATTTCTCATTCCATTTCTTATTCTCTTTTTAATTATTTTTTTATTATATTTTTTCACCTCTTTGCGACCCCTTTTATCCACAAGCCATTTGACTTACACCATTTTGTTTAGTAGATCATTTTTGCGATTGATTTTCCAAATTTGTTTCAGAAAAGCAGAAAAGAAGGAAAAAAAAAAAAAAAAATGGACAAACGCTGGACAAGGAATGAGCCAAAATGGGGAAAGGGAAGAGATAAAAACGGTATAAAAAAAGTGGAAAATTATAATGAATTTGTGCCAAAAAATTATCATAATTTGAACAAAGACTATAAGCATACGAAAAGAGTAGGACAAATGTGCGAAAAATTAAAGGACGAAGTGTTCAAAGATGCAGATAAAATTATAAAATATTCTAAGCGGTTTTGCACGTCAGATGATGATAAAATAACGTCTGCGTTGGAATTAAATAAAATTAAAATTGAGGTAAGGTCTCTCTTTCTGCATATATATACATATACACACATATATATATAAATATACACACATATACACACATATATATATACATATATATATTTTTGTACACATATGGAATAGCATCCCTTAACCTCCACATGCATGGTTTTCCATTGCAAAAAATACGCACCCTCCCTTCCATCAGGGTTACATGAGAAACATAAAAATCGAAGAATTAAAAGTAATTAGAAGCATAGAAACGCTTGATTTAAATAATTTCTATTTACTCAGTCTATACTTGAAAGACATCTATTATATTTTCCTCCATTTTGTTACTCATCTGACGAATGAAGAAGAGAAAACCTTGAAACAACAGGAGAATATTAGAAATGCCTTTTTATTTAACACTGAAATACAAAATTACGATTCGTTCTTAGAATTTGTGAAGAAACGCATGTTGTGTCGGTTAAGTAAGAAAGACGTTACCACGCAAGCTAACAACCTTACATTTAGCAAAGATTCATCTATTGATGTTACTTCTAACGTGAATGAATCTAGATGTGTTACCTCCAACTATGTTTCAACTGAGGATCCACCATTAGATAAAGAACCCATGAAAGAAAACCTTACACACCATTGCAAAGAGCACCATGAGTACAAGTCTATGAACGAATCGCAGAAAAAGAATGAATCAAAATTTGAATACATAAATGAACTTTTTCAGGATTTATATTCTAAGGACGAAATTACACTTCTGAACATCGATAAAACAGTAAATGATAGAGTTAAAAAAGAAAATAATTTTGACAAATGCATCCGAATCAATAATAATATTAGTATATATAAACTATCCTATCTATATTTCAATGACAAGTTAAAGAGACTTAGATTGGATTATAATTTCCACTTTTTGCTTCATAACAGAAGAAGAGATAACATAAGCAAAATCACGGCACATACCACTAAAAATATTTCTACAGGAGAACATGCTTCCTCAGAAATGGTTACTCTAATTTCAAATAACAAACCTACAAGTGACAGCACGCACACAAAAACAGATTTTACTATTGAGCATGTCCCTCTCGGGAAAGAACATCTCTTTCTTATTTATCTCTCCCATTTAAAATATTACATTGTCTCTTTTTTTTTGTATTCATACGTGAGATTCACAAATGCAAACAAAGGGTGTAACGAATCATATAGACCCAAAAATGAGGACGAAGGGAAGATTGCACCCGGATCGAAATCCACAGTCACTATTAGAGAAAATGCACGTACCAAAAATAAAACCGATGGAGAGAAAGAACAATTCTTGTACAACCACGAAGTTAACAGGAAAAATGTCGAGAGCGTGTCTTCTTACCTTACCAATTTTGTGAATAAGGTTATACACGACATAGATTTTAACCTGAAAACGAATCAGCTAGCTACTAACATAGATGTAGGAACAGAAAAAAAGGAAATAGGATCACTCACCAGCGAATTGATAAATGATATTTTGAAAAATAAACTTTCGTTTAAACATATAACATTAAGTCATCTTGACCTCACTCTATCGTATATGGTTCTCTTGAATTTATACAATCCAAATTGTATGCAGTCTTATCTTTACTATAGAACTACCTTTTCTCATTTTTTTCACCACTTCGAGAAGTATACGACATCAATTAATCTATGGAGAGAACGTAAGTATATCATTTCCTCAAATTTGTGAAATGTGATATGATTGAAGAGAGTGCAGAAGGAGGAAGGTGTCACTGTATAACTTCAACATGCATACTCTTTGATGCATTTGAGCTTTCAGCTTTTGAATCCATTTGTGTGAATCCACCACCACCCCTGATCTTTCTACAGTCTATTCGTTTTCATCACACTATGTGTATCCCTTCCATTTTATATTATATTAGTCCTATTTTTCCATTTTTTCTGTACATCATTTGACCTTTTCAATTATTGCAGTTCATAGAGCGAACTACTTCTGCTTCTTTGAGGACATGAAGAAACTCTCTTTCATTGAGCGATGTTGCATCTTTCCAAATTTAAAACAAATTCGAATCGATTATTTACACAGCCTGTTATATTCAGCCAATAATCGTAACAAATTTTCTTTAAGTTTGAATATCATAGATGAGTGTATAGCTATGCATAATATTCACAGAACTTCATACATGTTAGAGTGTCTGGGGATATATAAAAAGAATGAACGAATATATTTTAACATGTCGAATAGAAGAGTTGAAACAGGGAGTATAGAAGATATGCCCAGATGTCTTCTTGTAGATAATAAGTATGAATGCGTTCAGAATTTTTTTAAAAAATATCATGACACGCTAGAAGATTATGTTTATATTATTTATGGAGAAAAAACATTAAACCGGGAAAAATGTTTTCATAAATTTGACTTGTCTGATATAGTTTGCTTCAACCCATAAGATCCGTAATAGGGGAAAAGATATGAATGAAAACTTATAACGTTCGTAGAACTGTTACACCAAACTTCAGAGGAAAAAAGATACACTTTGGGATAAAGGGGGCGACATATATCCTCAAAATTTTTTTTTTATCAGAGATTTGCATCTCTATAATTTTGTGAATTTTTAGTAAACCGTTCCGAATTTGTAAACTTGCAATGTTTCTCTCTTTTAATCATAAGAGGCAACATTGCCAAGTATGATGTTGTGAAAAAAAGTTAGGACCGTTTGTGAGATTTTTTTTTTTTGAAAATTTGTTTAAACAAGTTTAGCGCATTGGGTGAGGGGATACACCTATCGGCATTACAACTGTGATTATTGGTGTAAACTGAGATAAATAAAAATCGCGAAGAAAGGCAAAAACGAGTACGTGTATATGTATACATATTTTTGCACGCTGTTCATGCGAAAGAGCAACTTTTGTTTTGAGATTTTTAGTGCTGCTTTACAAATTGTCCTTTTTTTTTTTTTACGTCTTCATTAATAAATTGTATCTTCCCTTTTTTCTACACAAGCAGAATAGGAGGTGTTCTTTTGACTGATTTCCCTCATAAAATATCCTCCGTTTTTGTTATTGTTTTTGTTTTTCATGTTTTCATCACAACTCTTTATATTTCTTAAATGTAGTGGTAGTTCTTCTTGCCCATTTCTTGATGCACCTCTTATATTGTCTCCATATAACCAGACATAATTCACGACATACGGGTCGTTTATGCTGTTGTGAAAGAGAGATTTCTTTTCTTCCATATTTGTATGACCTGATTTGTGATAAAGGGGAAAAATAGGAAAAAAAAATGCTTGAAAAGACACGTCATAAAAAGGACACTCATGTCACAGCAACGTGGTGAAAAAATAAAATAATAAAATAACACAATATAGTATAAATAATAAAGTATAACAAAATATAGGATAAATAATATAGGATAACAAAATATAGGATAAAAATATATAGTATAACAAAATATAGGATAAAAATATATAGTATAACAAAATATAGGATAAAAATATATAGTATAAAATAATGAGCACAATTTTCCAACTTTTCCCTCAGAAAGCTTCTTCAAATGTGTGCACTGGTTTCTCAGAGGAGACGGAGAATTTTTTTCCCATTCTTAATTATTCCCCTTTTAAAAAAAAAGGAAAAAAATTCCTTAAATTTTTCAATTGCATAAAAATATCCCAATGACAAATTTTATTTTATTTTTTTTCAATCTATAGGTGGAGATATATTTTCTTTTTTGCTATTCTTGTGATATGTTTAAAGTTAAAATATGTGAAGAAAAAAAAAAAGAAAAAAAAAAAAAAAAAATCTATATTTGAGTAAAAAATTTGCTGCACACGAAATTCTTTTTTTTTTTTTTTTTTACTTCTGTCTGTCCCATAGCTGTAGAAAAGGTATCCATTTGAAAATATTCCAAAATAAAATAAAATAACGGAGGATGTAATCACAAAAAAAAATGTAGCCACAAAACACATGTGTAAACGCAATACGCAAGATGAACCAGAAAAATATTTAACAATGAGAACATATGTGTGCATAAACTTACCTCTACACATGTATATAGCTATCCATTCAGTAATATACATTTTGTTCATTTCACCATTTGGTAGAAGAACAACAAATGACATTCCAAATAAATATACTTGAGAAACATGTCTCCCTATATCTGTTCATGCAAATTGAAAATTCTCATTCGTCATACACACATATGAAAGGAATTATTTTCTGAGATCCTTTCGAATGATCCAATCTTTACGCACATGCTGAGGGAGAAATTTCCTTACTCTTCTTCATCTAGGGTCGTTCCCGAATCATTGGTTATTTTCTTCGTTCCCTTTTTTTTTTTTTTTTTTTTTTTTTTATAACTCTCCATTTTTTACCAGAAAAATATCGAAATTTTCTAAAGTCCATATATATCTTGGCATGAAGAATAACTTCCTCATATTTTATGTTTTTTCTGAAATTTTTAAAGACAGAGCTATTAAGGGAGATAAAAATATACATACTTATATGTATATTACTTCTCCTTCCTCTTTGAAAAAGAACCTAATATATAACACGGAATCAATTGCACATGAGTCAATTGCACATCAATCAATTTCACATCAATCAATTGCACATCAATCAATTTCACATCAATCAAATGAACACGAATCAAATGCACATGAATGACATTATCGTTTCAGTTACTTTAAATATATTGTTAATCCTTAAAATGAACCAAGTGAGGATGTAAATTATCAATGCACGGTGAACTCTGGATGCATAGATGAATGTGTGTCTATCTCTCTGTCCCTTCCCAACTACCAACGGATAATTATGTTTGCATTCTTACTATGACACTTTTACCCCTTTCGAATGTGTTTCAACTGAATAGGGTACCATAAAAATACCTTTTATTATGGGAATTCCCTATGAGTCTCTAATATAAAATCAGCTATTGGTATATCTAACTCATACACTTTTTATTTCTTCCCCATCCACATAATTACACATCTACTTAGACACCTACTTAGACACCTACTTAGACACCTACTTAGACACCCACTTAGACACCCACTTAGACACCCACTTATATACGCACTAACACACATATACACAAACCAGATGAATAACGACAATCTAAGCGAAAATGTTCGGAAGGTTCTAGCCAAAAAGCAGAGGAAAAAACTTAAAGAAGAACAGGAATTATATAAAGCCACAAAAGCCATCAGTACGCAAAATAATGCACAAAGAAAAATAAATGCACAAAATCAGCTATCTTCCAGCAGTTTTGTCGGCAAAATAAAAGATATTAACAAATCATTTCCACATATGCGAAACAAGGATGACAAAAATTATATGAAAGAAAATCGAAAAAAAATTCAAGAGAAAATATCTCTTCAAAAGAAATTATTAGAAGAAAAGGAAAAAATCAAAAATAAAAAGCCATTCAAAATGAAAAAATTCCAAAATGCCACTTCTAAAGTAGCTAAAAACTTACAAAAAATGGGAAACACTAACGAGACAACTATTGTTAGGGAAACACATCTCAAGCAAAATGACACGGGTGTCACTTCGAGACTAATGAATCATGCTCATGAAAAATGCCAACAGATGGGTGCCAAAAATGTGCGAGCGGGAGAAGTAGAATATGAAGAAGGGGAAGAAGGAGAGTATGAAGACGTGGAGGGAGAAGAGTATGAAGAAGTGGTGGGAGAAGAATATGAAGAAGTCGAAGGAGAAGAATATGAAGAAGTGGAGGGAGAAGAATATGAAGAAGTGGAGGGAGAAGAATATGAAGAAGTGGAGGGAGAAAAATATGAAGAAATGGAGGGAGAAGAATATGAAGAAGTGGAGGGAGAAGAATATGAAGAGGGGAAAAACGTAAAATGTGAAGAAGATGACGACGAAGAAGTGGAGCATGAGGATGGAGATTTTAAAAATGAGAAGCGCGAAGATACAGTGGCAAAAAGAGAAAACAACATCATAGACAAGTTGAAAAAACGGGAAAGCGAACTGCGAAGTAAGGACCGAGGAAAAAGAGAAAATCTGCATAAGAGTTTTGGAAAACTCCCCAGTTATATTTTGAAAAAAAAAAAGGATGTTATAGACGAATCTGCAGATATTCCTGAGGGATATCGAATTCTAAAGCACGATGAGAGGAAATATGTCTTGAAAGAGTTACATTCCCAATTGACAGAGATGAAGGAGGAGTATAAGAAAAACAAGGATAACGAGAAGAAAATTGAACTGGGGAAAAAGCTGAAAGAAATAAAGGAGTCGATAGAGTTGTTCAGCAATCCTCATGTTATTGTAAATCAGAATTTTTAGCAAATAATTATACACTCCATATGAATGTATGTGTATGCATATGTATGTATATATATAGGGGACATTTTATACATATAAGCCTGCATCGAACAGGAAAAAATAGGGCTAAGGGGTGTGTGTGTGGCTGGCCATCATATTCAGACTCGGCAAATATTTTTACCGTGTTGAGGGCCACTTCCTCTCTATACATGTTTTGAATACCTACACATATTATTAAACCCCCTCTTTAATTTGTGCCTCCATCTGTATTTTCTCCTTTCTTTGCAAAAAATAAAAGAGTGAATAAAAATTATAATGTTCAGAACTCGTTTTATATCAAAATTGTAAATTATGTTTGGATACGTGGTGTACATTAAAATGAATGTGAAGTGGGTTGTTTTTAATACAAAAAAAAAAAAAAAAAAAAAAAAGCAAAAAAAAACAGAGAAATGGGATATATGCAAAATTCTAATTTCTCGAACAAAAAGTAATGTGAATAACCAGTTGCATATATCTATAACGAATTGTTACAAATTATAGATATAGACTCAGGTCTAAATTGACATTATCCCTAAGCCGCTATGCAAAAGCGAGGAAAAAATCAATTTGTTAATAGTTAAAATAATATCTATATTTTTTAAATTTTTTTTTTTTTTTTTTTTTTTAAATCAGCTAGCTTTTTTTCAAACAGCCAAAATGAAAAAAAAAAAAAAAAAAAAATAAAGTAAAATAAAATAAAATAAAATAAGGAAAATAACAACAGTAGTAACAACATCAACCGTAATAACATTCGAAACTTCAAAAAGTAATTGCAATGCTTCACTGTCTCATGTGGGCAGTTAATCGATCAGGAAGAACATCCATGGCACATGTTCCTGCGAGAAAAAAAAAAGGGAGAAACAAATATACGTATAGGAATACACATACATAAAGCATGCTTATAAACACAAATTAGAAAAGCTTCAAATGAAATGGAAAAGATATAAGGGATCAGGGGAAATTATAGGAATATTTGCCATAGTGTCCCCCTCCCCCAACTTGGGAAAAATAAAAAAAAAAAGGAAATTGATAATGAATTTTTTGTTCCTATATTGGGGCTTTTATTTCATCCCTTCCTTTTCCACTGTTTTTTATTTTATTTTATTTAATTTTATTTATTTATTTATTTATTTTTTTTTTTTTTTTTGTTGTTGTTCCTTTTCATGTGTCCTCGTGTAATTGCTACCTTTTTGTCTGTGATCATCCCAGTCCTCCAGCTGCTCAGCTGTACAGGCAATTTGAGCTCGATAATACTGAAACCTATCAACATTGCAAAAATGAAATAAAATAAATAAATAATAACAAAATTGTAACAAATTAATCTTTTCACACGATACAACCTTCATCATTTTAAAAAGGAAAGACATATTTAAACAACATTTTTAACACGCATGGGCAAGTGCTTCCTAATCTTGTACACAATTTGCGAAAATGACACTCACTTGCAACGAGGATTATCTTCCCCTAGTTCCCGTACACACCGACAAAACATTGTATATCTGTAGGCGCAATGATTAAATTGGTTCATCTGCAAAAAGCGAGGGTCCTATTATTATATAAAAAAAAAAAAATATATATATATATATATACATATATTTATATATAAACCATTAACATATATAACGAAACACATACACTTTTCCATGTGCCTTAACAAAAGGCATAATGGACTCATACATAATTTTGAAAAGCATCATTTGGTTATGTAAATGTAGGTAGAAGGAGCTAGGTGCGTCGCCTCAGTATGCACATATAAGAAGTTGTTCCATTGCACACACTTGTTTATATATATGGATGATATAAGGTAAAAAAGAACGTAAAAAATGGTGGACACTTCATGTATTCCTTATGTTCACGGGGTGAATATATTCCCGCTTATATTCGCATCATGCATGAATTACACTGGCATGAGGATTATTCGCTGTCAACGCGTCGTAGTTCTTCATAAACTTGGGATCTAAATAATGAGGTTCCGTCATTTTCCAGCATACACCCAATTTTTTATTTTTTCTGTTTTTTGTATTTTCTGCGTATGTGTTTATCGCTTACGTTTTTGCCGCTTACGTTTTTTCACATGCACAAGCAAAGGCAGTTCTTCATTTTAAAGAGTAAATGTATATAAGCAATGTGTTTTTCAGCGTTGGATGCATAAACAGTTGCGCATTTCATAATATTTTAGTCTTTAAAATTTTTCGATTTGGGGAATGTGTGATTTTTTTTCCTTTTTTTTTCGGTACACTTTGGGGCGATTTCGTGCTTTTTTCTGCTTTTTTTTTTTTTCATTTATTTTTTTTTTTTTTTCATGAAAAAATAGCTCTTAAACTGAAGTAGTGTAACAGCTATGATGACCTTTGGACCTTGGCTTTTCTGGTATGCACCATTTGAATGTATTTCGCAGAAACTTTATGTGAACTTTTTTCAGCGAAAGAAAAAGTAATGTAGTTTTATCATGAGTCAAATATATATATATGTTTAACAAGTTAGGGTCGATTTATCTGGATGTACTGAGGTTACGGGGACATGCATGTTTGTGTTAAGCGGTTTGGATATGCAATTTTTTCAAAATTTAATCTTTACCCATGTACCTCCTCTGTTTTCCATTTGACCGTGTTTTTATTTTATGTTTCCCGTGTTATCATTTTTCTTCACTTTTGTGTCGAATGATTTTCGCACGTGCATATATATATAAAGATGCATATACGTATACATATAATATACACATAATATACATATATATTGCGCCCAAGTTGTACATATATACAGGTGCAAAAAAATAAAATAAAATAAAATAAACGTGAAGTGCACTAACGGGTTTAGGGGTAAGCGGAACAGTGTTTAAGGGATGATGAAAAAATGTTCCCCGTGTGTGTCATTCAGTGCAACAGTCATGTGATTTCATACAAAATTGAGGAATTTACCCCACTACTATTGAAGAATTCGGATAGAGGGAATTTTACACATACAATACATCAGTGAGGTATGTCAACTGGGAAAGTACTAATACAGGGGTTTGTACTTCAAATTGGGGAAGAAAAGGCATTATCTGCCTCATTTGGTTTCTGTGCAATATATCAGCATGATATATACACTCTTCATTTCACTGATCGACACACGTACCTATCATCTGTCCGCTTTTTATTATCTCAAACAGTTATATTTCTCCACCTCCTCATCATCCTATCCCCACAGAATTAGCATCCATTAATGTGTTGTGGTTACAGAAGTAGGTACATATGTATGTGTAAAAAAAAAAAAATAGGGAGAAAAGAAGCAACGGGGGGGGGGGGAATATGAAGAGAAAAATGCGACGTGAGAAAATAAAATGTAAAAGTATAGAAAATCGTAATCCTCTGTATTCTCCTTTTTATGCATATTGTATTTTTCCTACCCTCATTTGGGTGAACTGGTTTTTCTCATGTCTGACATTTCTGCTGCTTAGCATATCATTCCCTTGACAATGCAGAAAAAGAAATACTCTTCCTGCACCCAGGAGGAAAATTAAATTGTAAATTAGTAAATGATATTATATATATATATATATATATATATATATATATATATATATACACCTTATCTCTTATTTATTGACACTTCAGTGAAATTTGTACGATGGTTTCTTAAACTATTTGCAGCAAATCGAATAGTCTCACTTCCTCTGTTTTTTTCCTCTTCTTTTTTTTCTTTTTCCCCCTAATTTTTCAATTTTTTTTTCCTTTCATCGATTGTTCGTATGGCTATAAAAAAAAAAAAAAAAAAAAAAAAAAAAATTTTAAATTGCGTATTTTTTCCCTATAAAAGTATGAAAGAAAAGAAAAACAGTTTCCTTCTGATATACATCCTTTATTGTTGAGAGAACTTTATCAATATATATAATAGTTTTATTTTTTTTACATATAAGCACTTCGTATAGACTATTATTTCATATATGCATATAGTGTACGTGCACATGTGTTCTTTTGCTGTATATGTGTAACTTTTTTTTTTTTTTTTCGTTTTTCGTTTTTCGCATTATGCTTTACGTCATTTTATTTTATTTTATTTTTTTTAAATTTCATTCCTCTGCACGGTTAACAAAAAAGGTTCCCATGCAGAGAATCATTTCTCATAAGGAATCTACCACATAATATTATTTCACGAGTTTTTTTTTTTTTTTTTTTTTTTTTTTTCTTTACATATATATGAAGAATTCATGTACCATGCAAATTGCAGCACAACTAGCACATTCCAAAGGCAACCACTCCCCTTTTGAATGAATATATATTTTGTCTGAGAATGTTTTTCAGTGACACTATTTTTATTTCTTTGGCATATATACATTTTATTAATTCCAGTTTTGAAATTATTTTTAAAATTTCCATTTTTATCTCCTATTTTCCCCACCCAACCCCTGCGTTCAAAAAAAACTGCATTTCTATTACACAATTTTTCACACGTACAAGAATTGACAAATGTTTGTTAGACATTTCACTCTGTAACCGGATCGCTTACATACATACATATCGTAACCTTTTCTGGAGATTTATCTACATTTTCCTTATTTCCAAAGAGAAAATACACATTGAAAAAGAACATAGAGTGCAATAATACACACACACACACAAGCAAAACACCTAAACTGGAACAGTGGAAAACACATAAAAACGAGTGCGCATAATCTGCCCCAAACTGAAAACAGATAGACGAATCAAATTGTGATATTTGCAAAAGGCGAGAAATTTTTCCAACAACAAAGCTGCCCAATCAAATGACTAACACAGATCGCATAAATTCTGCAGGATTATTATTAACAAAAACATATGAATAAAAATAAAATTATGTAATCCATGTATGTGTGATGTACAGCACCCATAACCACACATAAGAGCCTTTATTTTTTTTCAAATCGAAGGACTAAGTTTTTACATATGCACGTATATATATATATGTGTATACGTATGTGTGGGGTAAAAACTTCAAGGGGATAGGCACATGCATTATATATCACCATACCTATTCTCAAATATAACAGAATATACATACCCTTATGCACGTGAAAAAAAAAAAAAAGAAAAAAAAAGTGACACATACAAATGTTTGCATCTTTCAGAAAGTAGCCCTGTTTAATTTGAGCAGAAAAAAATTGCAAATATTTTGAAACATGTATTTTATATATATATATATATACCGTTCTGTTTTATTTCCCTTTTTCTATATTACCTGGCTCATCTGCTTTTGTAATAAAGGAAAAATAAAATAAAACTGTCCAACTTAGGAAAAATAGTACAAGACAAATAGTTTTTTTTTTCCTTTTTTTTTATTCACTGTTTACATTGAGGAAAACGCAATTGAATATTTACACGAACTTATGCCCGGGTGCATCCTCCAACCACACACACACGCACGAGCAGACAAAAATTGGCAAATGTATACAACAGTTTTCTTTATTTCCAATACATGAATACATTTTCAGCATAATCGTGCACATCTTCTCACACGAGGCACATTCACGCATATACGCTCATTCATATGCACCCCCTCATTCATACACACTCATTCATACGCACTCATTCATACGCACTCATTCATACGCACTCACGCATACACACGCTCTCATTTGGAATACCGACACAGGGCATAGTCTTGCGTACTTGGAATCTCCTAGTGCAGGAATGTGCCAGCACATTCAATTTGCTTCAGCATAGGGTCTCTCACAATGAAGAAGAAAAACCAAAGGGATAATAACTTCGTGAGTTTGTATAAGAACAAATATATAATAACGGGAATGACCATTTTGTCACTAATTTTGATGTTTCAGTACAAGTATCATGAAGTTTTAAGTGTTCATGGGAATAGTGAAAATGCAGCTCAAAGTCACAAATTATTTTGGGCCAGACTATTATTCGGGAGAACGAGAAGTAGAATCACTGGAGAAATCTTCAAATTTGAGATTCCAAATACATACAGATTATTTATATTTAACTTTTTGATTAAGTTTATGAAAATAAATAAAGATGAAATAAAGTATCCAATTGAGTCATACAAATCCATCGGTGATTTTTTCACGAGGTATATAAGAGAAGAAACAAGACCTATAGGAGATATTAGTGATCATTCAATAGTAAGCCCATGTGATAGTGAAATTGTAGATTTTGGAGAATTAAAATCAGATTACCTTAAAAATATCAAAGGTGTAAAATTTAATGTGAATACATTTTTAGGATCAAATTTTCAAAAAAAATATAATGATGATAGTACCAAATTTTATTATGCAATTTTTTATTTAAGTCCAAGGAAATATCATCATTTCCATGCACCATTTAATTTTAAATATAAAATAAGAAGACATATATCTGGAGAATTATTTCCTGTTTTTCAAGGCATGTTTAAAATTATTAATAATTTATTTAATATTAACGAAAGAGTTATTTTATCTGGAGAATGGAAAGGTGGAAATGTGTACTACGCTGCTATAAGTGCATACAATGTTGGAAATATTAAAATTGTTAATGATGATGAATTAACCACAAATAATTTAAGAACACAACTAAGTTATATGGGTGGAGATATTAATACCAAAGTTTTTGATAATTACAGACACATAGAAATTGGAGATGAAATTGGAGAATTTAAAATGGGTTCATCTATTGTCGTAATTTTTGAAAATAAAAAAGACTTTGTCTGGGATGTTGAGTACAACCAGACGGTCGTTGTTGGGCAGAGGCTGGGTGGCGTTGGCGAACCCGTGAAAGATAAAAACAGGGTAATCAAAATTAAGGGATAATCTCTCACGCGCAAAAGTAAGAGAAGAAACGAAGCGAGAAAAGAGATGAAATAAAAATAAAGGAGAAGAAAAAAATACTTATTATCACGCATGGCATATAAAAAAAAAAAAAAAAAAAAAAAAAAAAATTATGCAGCAGAACGTGGAAAGATACTGGATAATCGAATTACATTAAGCAGAATGTATAACACTACTTCTTCCACTTTAATCGATCCTTCTATATTACGATGGGTATTTTCCCAGAGTATGTCATCATGTTAAAAATATGAAGCGATGCGGATTTCTCTCCATTGGATTTTTCTTTTGCAATTCCTCTGCAAATGGATACATGAACGCATATTTCATGTATGTGATCAGATCACTTGAAACATCCACAGAGATTTGAACCCTTTGCTTTTTATTGCATTGTGTTTATCGCATCCTTTTTTTTTTTTTTTTTTGCCTCTTCCCCGTTTGTGTAATTCTGTCTATTTCTGTCCCCTACGACACACAATCATTTTTTTCTTCACCAAATTGTTAGATTATATACATGTCATTAAGTTTGATGATAATGTGTTCCATGTCACAAGAACTCTATTTTAGAGTTTTTTCTCATTTGTAAAAAACCTTAATTAAATTGAATTCTTTTTCATTTAGTCCTTTTTTTTTTTTTTTTTCCCCCGTTCGGATACCTATTCTGACTCACCATCTGATCCCAATTCTGATGAAGACCTAACACAACTTCTCACACAGCGAGCACTCCTATTTTACCTGACTATTCTTTCTCCACAAGATGGTTAAATGAGTTCATACTAATAAGAATTCATCCCATGTATATGATGTTTCGTGTATACATAAAGTATGTGTGCGTGTAGATACACGCTGAGTGGGTATATCCAAAGGGGCGTAAGAGCATGTGATTCTATCGCCACGCAGATGTGTGATTAGTCCATTACACACAACTGCAAAGGTGCACATTAATTGCATGTGTATACATATGTACATACATACATATACATGCATATATATACATACATACGTACCAATGTGAATGCATTCGCGAGACGTTTCTTTTAACTGCTCACACTTTTGAGAAATGTCGTACTCTTTAAATCGTTCCCCAATTTTTTGATTTTTGCTCAGCATCACATCCTTTCATGTATTATGCTGAATTGCAAAACCTCTTTTTATTTTTAATCACATTCTCACGATTAGTTCTAGTAATATTTTTATTTTAATTCTAAATTTGACTCACAAGTACTTATGCTTATTCACAATTTTAATTTTACGTTTTTTTTTTTTTTTTTTTTTTTTCCCCTTAACCCCCCCCCCCCTTCTCTTCCAAACGTAAGAATCCTACTTGCACCATAATATTTGGAAGCAGGGAATAACAGAATTAAATTTTTAATTTAATATTTGCTGCATAAAGTGATTCAAAGAAAACGGTGTACATGCTGCATGATGTTCAATACAGGACATTTTTAGTAAAAACGTGTTAGTAACATTACTCATTATTTGTTATTCATTGTTTGTTTTTTTTTTTTTTTTTTTTTTTTTTTTAACCCCCCCTTTGGTTTCTCATAATTATATATATATTTTTAAAAAGTGAGGGGAAAAAAAAAAAAAAAAAAAAAAAAAAACCAAAAAACAAAACGTGATTAAATTATGTGGTACAAAAACCCGTCTAGTCATATGTATAAATAAAAAAAAAAAAAAAAAAAAAAAAAGGCCACTAAAATACATGCCACTTCGTCAGCCATTCGAGGAGTATCACTTTTCAGAACCTATGTAAGAAGCATTATTAGGTTTTTCATTTCCCCATTTCCCCTGAAGAAACATCTGTCGGTAGGACACATTCCCGGTTGGCCAACGTACATACTGATCATCATTGTATAAACTCATATTTTCTTCAATTAAATTTAAATCAAAAACATCATCTACATCTGGATCATTGGGAAAAGGATCATTTCCATCTTCCAAAGAGTAAAGCACACGAACGTGCATAAAAATTTGATCACATTCTCCGCAACGATATAAGAATCCTTCTCTACATCGAAAAAATAAAGGGACATGTTCATTTTCTCCAGTTCCACCTGTACAACAAACAACCCGTTCTGTGTGCACACTTGGGACAATAACTGGATTCTCAATTGTTCCAAATGGCCCTACAAATGGTGATGACTTCAGGTATTCATAAAATTCTAGTAGGGCTAGCATATGCTCATTATCTGGGTTGGCAATCTGAAAAAAGATTGTGGTGAATAATGTTGGGGTAAAAAAAGGAGGGATAGGAAAACATGTATACGTTAATACAATTCTGACAAAGGCACTGCACTTCCTCCCTATGCAAAACGGGAAACAGTAGTTCAACATCAACCTCATAGACTTAAATAAAAGGTCATGTGTGCGCTCTCCATTTTGGAAAAAAATTCTGCCTTAAAAAATTTTGCACCCTGATAAAATTCACTCTTTTTCAAGCCACCACCCCCACCCACAAATGGACACTTACCTGCATTCCCATGTCGACAGCCAACTGCTTATAAGATTTGTTAACTAATTTCTTGTAGTTAAGCAAATTACTCTCACTTCTAATTTTCCAGTACCAATAGCTTTGTATAAAATCAAGGCTCTTTTTATCTTTCTTTAATATTTCACTAATGTTGTCTGGAAATGTGTCTAGGGGAAGTTCATAATCTTCAGGTAAAGTTCTAGCAAAATGTAAGTAATTTCGCTTTTGTATATTATTTTGAAAGCATGGAATTTGCTTCTTCATAATTTTATTATACTTCCTTCCATCACATATGTTTAAAATGGTAGCACTCCTTCCGATATCTCCTATCACACCTCTTGACAAAATTCTTACTGATTTTCTCCAATCCATTTTTGTTTAATTCCTGTGTAAAACTTGTTGAAATTTTCTTAACAAAATTTAGACTCAACACATTTCCCTTTTGTGCAATTTAAAATGTAATAAATGAGAAATCTTTGCATCAGACGTAACGAACTGTTTGTGCATGGGGACGATATAGGCCTCTCAGTTGAGGCTTCTAGATATATGTATCCAGTGAGAGGAAAGTTAAAACAGGGTGAAAAAAAAAAAAAAAAAAAAAAAAAAAAAAATACGTACTCGCACATACAGGCATGTACACTTGTACATGGGACATATGCACGTGTAAATACACACGTTCTGCTTTAGAACTGTGTCATTATATTCTGCTACAATAACTTCTAAAAATTAGAAAGGTAGCAATGGATAGAAATTCCTTGGGGGTGTCAATGGAAAAAAGAAGGCAGAAAAAGAAAGGTGAAAATATTCCCAAAAAGGTATCGCGACAAGTTCTGGAAGTGAAGAGAGCTTGTTTTTACCTACATTTTTATTTTCCCTCTCTCTCTCTTTTTCCCTCTTTTTCCTTTTTTTTTTTTTTTTTTTTTTTATTGTTATTATTTGCGAAGAGCTAGGCGAACAATTTCCCACAAAGAAAAGCGAAAAAGGGGGAAATAGCGCTGGAGCATATTTAAGTGTGAATACGAAAAATAAAAAGATAAATTATGACTGGTCAGCAAAAATTATGACTGGTCAGCAAAAATTATGACCGGTCAGCAAAAATTATGGCTGGTCAGCACAAGTTGGAAAAAGTGATGCGAAACAACGCGTGCACAGATTTAGATCCCCTAAGGTCGTGTATCATGCATAAATAGATTCCCAAGAGTGTAATATACCACAAATAAATAACAATTCAAAGCCTTTCAAAAAACGAGCATGGCAATGAATAGTTATGATTACACATATAAAATTAAATATCGTTTTTTTTTTTTTTTTTTGCGATGCCTTTTTTTTTGAGAGAATATTAAGGAATTTATATTTTACCTTTCAGATTTGAAACATTATGAAAACTTGTGGAAACAAAAACACAAACAAACACAGGAGGGGGATGGGGAAGATATTTTATATTCAAGTTACTCATAGAAAATACGCTAGGTCCAAAATACTACTATCTGTGGCCATGATTTGAATACCTTTCATTGTGTGCTATACATTTCTTACACATTTGATATTTTTCTTCCTTTTTTTTTTTTTTTTTTTTTTTGCTCAAGACCAGGAAAAAAATAAAGAAAATTTAATAATTTGAAAATTTTTATCATTAGTATTAGTGAATATATGAGAACGGTTACTTACCAATTGTAGATTTTACCTTGTGAAACAAAAGCAAGGAAAAGGAGATTAATTCATTTTTCATTTTTTTAACTGTTATTATATTTTTCTAGTTCATTATACGGTTTATATATATTTCCTATTCTTGGTTGCACCTTAATTGATTCTTCTCGTTTCAAATTAATTTATTTTGATCCAGATGCACAATTGTCAGTTTGTACACGCTGTCAAACACGACATTACTTGGGGTGTAAAATGCTTCCAAATTATGAGTGACACTTGTTCATTTTTTTTTTTTTTTTTTTATCATTCTTTCAAAAGTTATGATGTCAATCTGATTGAGTTTATACACCCCTATGGTGTAGACAATATTTAATTTTTTTTTTTTTTTTCCATTGTTCCATTTTTGTGTTTAAATTATAATATACTGCCCTCCACCGACGTGCAGAGTTTATTTTTCGTGTGTTACTGATCTTTTAGAGCTATCTGTGTATACTTCTGTCCTTTTTCTCAGTAGAAGGGATAACCGATAGCTAATGAACGGAGGGGACAACTGGCAATTGGCAAGAAATAGTAGACATATCCTAGTCATCCTGACCATACTAGTCACCCTAGCCATACTAGCCATCCAAGTGAGACGCTTCCCCATTTGGAGAGAAGGGTGGAATAATGAGAACGGATTGCCTGGAGAAGCAAATTGAAACATTGAAAAAGTGCGAATTGTTATCAGAAAAAGATGTAAAATATTTATGTGGAAAAGCCAAGGTAATACTGATAAACCAAGATAACATCAGATATGTAAATCTACCAGTAGTAATATGTGGAGATATACATGGGCAATTTCATGACTTAACAGAATTATTCCATATTGGAAATGAGCCACCAGAAGTTAATTATATATTTTTAGGGGATTATGTAGATAGAGGAAAATATAGCGTAGAAACGTTCCTTTTGCTTTTAGCATTAAAAATAAAATATCCAAATGAAATAACATTATTAAGAGGAAACCATGAATGTAGGCAAATTACTGAAGTATATGGATTTTATGATGAATGTATAAAAAAATATGGTTCTATAAATGTGTGGAAATACTGCACAGATCTAATGGATTATCTCTGTATAGGAGCTATTATTGAAAACAATTATTTCTGTATTCATGGTGGATTATCACCATCATTTCATCAGATATATGAATTAAATAAAATTAATAGATTTCAAGAAATTCCAAGAACTGGATCATTATGTGATATTATGTGGTCGGATCCAAATGATAAAGATGGATGGGATCAAAGTCCAAGAGGTGCTGGACATTTATTTGGACCTGACACTGTTCATAAATTTTGTCATCTCAACAATATTCAAATTATTGCAAGGGCTCATCAGTTAGTTATGGAAGGGTACAAATGGTGGTTTGATAAAAAATTAGTTACAGTTTGGTCTGCTCCTAACTATTGCTACCGATGTGGAAACATTGCTAGTATAATGGAGATTGATGAAAACGAAATTTTCAGTTTCAAGTGCTTTGGACCTTCGTCCTTCGAGAATAATTCAAATGATTTTGTCAAAAAGTATCCCCCAATATACTTCTCTTGAGATTAATTTGTAATGTGTTTCTCCCCTTCTATGCATATCTTGTCAAAAAAAAAAAAATGTATATATATATATATATATATATATATATATATATATATATTTTTTTCTATATTCCTTCCCCCACCACAACAGATGCAAACCTTCAAAAGTATCAACCAATCGGTATAACTTCTTAACCATTTCGTTTTGTATACACAAAATGTTCCTAATGCATGACTAGATTTCAGTTCGATCTCGTCCCTGTGACCACCTGAACAGATAACATCACATAAGAATTGTATCATACATTAATCTATTTACCAAAACTTGTATGTGGGCATTCTCACCTCTTCTTATGACAACCCTTGTGTGTGCTTATTTTATTTTATTTTTTTTTATTTTTTTGTGCATTCGTTTGTTTAAAAGCTTTTACTACATGGGGGTAGATGTGCAATTTTTTTTTTTTTTCCCATTTACACATGTTCTGCAACTGAAACAGATGAACCTTGTTCCTTCCAATACCTTTTCAACTACACGGTTGAACAAGTTTGAGCAGTGTTTGTTGCATACTCGGGTGCAGAAAATGATTGGAAGTTTCGGTAAACTTTTTTGTATACGTTTGGTAGAAGATGTTTGGATGAACGTTTGCGTTGATGTTTGTCTGGACATTTCCACAGAAGCACATGCAAACGCAAGCTTAAACATATGCTTGCACTTCTTACATGCTGCTGAAAACATGATCAAAAAGGAAGAAAAAAAATAATAAAAAATAAAATAAAATAACGTACCCGTTAGGACAGGTATAAACTTTAGGCACATAAACCTATATCATACAAGTAATTTAATTCTTACAGATGAAAGGAACTAATAATACGTTCCTGTAAATGCAAAAAGGGTATCAACTTAAATCGTTCAGTGGGAAGAAAAGCATATTCTAAGTTTGTTTTCCTTCTTTTTTTTTTTTTTTATGCTACTTCCACCAAGGACAACCATCCCCACTGCTCCTTGCAGTAGTAGTAATTCGTTAAAGCCGTAAAAAAAAAAAAAAAAAAAACCTAACTGATCGTGTCAAATTTGTGCAACTTCTTACGCCATAGGTTATATTTTGCTTGAAATTTCGCATTGGTTACATTTTCATAAGCATTTGGAGTACTTGGATCATCATCCATTCTCTCTTCATATTTCACAAGTTTGACATAGTTCTTATATTCCTTAGTTGATTTCCCAACTGCAATTTCTTTTAATCTACTGTTAACCCGATTGTTATTTGAATTCACAAAGGGATCACTAAAATTGTTTCTTATATCACCTAAATAGTTAATAAAATTATTATCAAAATTTTTAAATTTTTCTAAATCTATATTGTCATTATTCATAAGTTGATAATTTTGCATGGGGGTTAAAAATTGCGGAAGGGGCATATTTTCAACTATTCCCAAATTATTTTTTTCATCTTTTCTCATTTTGGGTTCATCCTTTGTTGAGTTATTTATTAATTTTATTTTCGTTTCACTATCTTTGTTTTCATGACACAATGGAGCTAATTTTCTTTTCTCATATTCTCCCTCTTCTTCAGCATTCTTGTTTATTCCTTTATCGCCTCCTCCTTCCTTCATCATCAGTTTCACTCCTCCTTTCATTTTGTTCTTCATCTTTTTGGTTGGATTCATTGGGATGTTATTTTCATCCACCGTTACTTCATGTGACACGGTGCAGTTAAACTTCGACGCCGTGCTGTTTTCACACGTTACACTGAGTCTGTCTTTTCTCTTTTTTCCTTTCTGTACATCCTTCTTCCCCATCTGCGTTTGATCCTGCTTCTGATCCTGCTTTGGACCTTGCTTTTGACCCTGCTTCTGATCCTGCTTTTGACCCTGCTTTTGACGCTCCTTCTGATCCTGCTTCTGATCCCGATTTTGACCATGTTTCTCCCTCTCGTGCGTCTCCTTTTGATCTTTATTCGTCAAGCTACACCCCATGACTGTTTCCACAGCAGATTTATTTTCATTCCCTCTTTTAACAATATACTTTGTGAAATATGAATTCTTTATCGATTGCTTATCTAGGGACACGTTCCTTATTTTTTTACCCCTTTTCCCGCTAACCGAGTTAGATGAATTCGAAGGGATTTTCATTTTTGTCATTTTACCTTTTTCATTTTTTTTTTCTGCATTTTCAGTTTGAAATGTATTATTTTCTTCCTTACATTTAGATGTGTTCAATAGATAACTTTTATCTTTTTCTTCTATTCCATTTGAATCTACGTTTGGGATATGTAGCACTGTTTCTTTTTGATCCTTTTCCTGAACTTTGGTCTTCACTTCAAATAATTCGCTAGGTGAACACACCTCAGGACTTGACATCTTTGTATTTATAAACCCCCCAGGGGTCTGGTGTAATACAGAATTTTCATCGTTGGGTTGTGAACAGTTTTCATTGATTCGAGATGTCGAATTTTTATTGGTACCACTTATGTTCTTGTTAGCTCCTTCATGAATCACCACATTCTTTTGGATTTCAGTTTGGAAATTCACTTGACTATGCACCTTGGCATCATCAAATGATCCTTGTTCTTCTCTCTGATTCAATTCCCATTTCCCAACAAGTGTTTCACCCCCATTTGGATATTCCATTGGTGTATTTTTTTCGCTTTCATTATTATTCATCCTTCCATTAAGGTCACTTTCCACAACGAGTTCTTTTTCAGTACCGACAATGAGATTTTTACCATTTTTTGCATTCTCACTGGGTTTTCCATCTTTTTCTGCAATACACATATTTTTAATTTTTAAATTTATGCCAACATTGCTATTGTCTAAGTCAAGAGTATACGAATTTAAAAAACTATTGTTTAAATCTTTTTCTTTATTGTAAAGGAATTTTTTTTTTTTTTCCTTTTCGCCTATGTCATCATTGTTCGTTACTGAATGTGAGAAATCTTTAAAAAGGGGAAAAAGACAAATGAGGGAAGAAATAAAAATAAATGAATAAAAAGCATTAACACAAATCTAATATGTAGGATTCGTAACAAACAGAAGAAGAGAAATGCAACATTGTCCCAATGATAGGAAACAAAACAATGCACACATGAATGATATAACTATGCATTCAAGTAAACTAATAGCACATCAAGGATATATATATATATTTTTTTTTTTTTTTTAATATTTTTCCTTTACTTGATTCGCTTGACAGCAGATCAACCCATCTGATTGTAGACATGGTTTTCTTTATTTTTGTTACAAGGTGGACGGAGGTTGGGTATGGGGTAGGTTATTCTTCTTGTTCAGTCTCACAGAGGATAATGTAAGAAATATGCCTTCGTTTCTGCTTTTTCGTATTCTCAGGAGGTTATATGTATATGTTTATGATCGCATTATTGATGCACCCGATCATGATTTTGCATTTGGTTACACCGTCATACGTTCATATAACCATGTGTGCGCATGCACACAAGCAGTTTGGCCACACCAATTTTATCGCAGTAATTTTACTACACCAATTTGCCCACACCAATTTTACCACACCAATTTTACCACACCAATTTGCCCACACCAATTTTACCACACCAATTTGCCCACACCAATTTTACCACACCAATTTTACCACAGTACATGCTCGGTCTTCTTTCCCACCTCTTGTCACAACTCAAATTATAACGCGTATTTAAAAGGTGTTAATTATGTTGCAATAATAAGAAAATCATAAAAATATATATATATATACATATATATATTATATATGTGAATAAATACAAGGATTTTTTAACGGAATGAGTGGAAAACCAATTGAGGGGTCATCATATTACAAAAAAATGATGAAAAAATGATGAAAAAGGGATGAAAAGGAGATTAAAAAAAGGATAAAAAGAAGGTGAAAAAAATATGAAAAAAGGAAGTGTATACTTAAATTTATTTACTCCTAGGCTAAAATGAGAATGAACGCAAACTTATATCATGTTGTATTCTTCGTATCAGATAAAATAAAAATTAACTCGAAAATTCTTTTACGGTTTTTCAAAGGTGCACTAATTGGAAAATTGATCAAACGAAAAAAATAAAATAAAATAAAAAAGGGAGAAGTATTAAAGTGTAAAAGTGGGAGGATTACTAAATATTAGCTGTCCCATAAACGCAATCACATGTATCTTTAAAAGTATATGTATGTACTTTTAGCATACATTTTGTATATTCGTACTGATGTATATATAAATGCTTATTATACCAACTCGGGAGTGTGCTGAGATGAGGAACTAATTTTTTCACCCAAAGAAAGAAAAGCACTCTTTCACTTGCAAGAAAAGGTTATAATACATTTGTTCAATGAAAAACAACATATGGGGAAAGCCACTCCTGTGTGTGTGTTCATGTCTGTATGTGCATGTCTGTATGTGCATGTCTGTATGTGCATGTCTGTATGTGCATGTCTGTATGTGCATGTCTGTATGTGCATGTCTATATGTGCATATCTGTATGTGCATGTCTGTATGTGCATGTCTGTATGTGCATATCTGTATGTGCATGTCTGTATGTGCATATCTGTATGTGCATGTCTGTATGTGCATATCTGTATGTGTAAGCCCCCATCCCATTGACCCCGCTATAAGAGCACTTACCACAACCGTGAATTTGTAATAAAAAAAGGGGATGAAAAAATGTCTCACCAAGAAACTACCACCACAAAGTGGCATCAGACGAAATATACAAACCGGCGATGTCCAATTCAGTAGTCTTATGAACATGACTAAAAAAAGAATTTATCAATCGTGAATTTGTGTGCTTTTGATTGAGGCTGCAAAATGTGTATATTTAAAAAACAAAATGATTACGAGAGTGGAGTTGACAGCATTAATGCACCAGCGTATTGTCCTAGTAATTAAATTCCCTTCTTAAAATTACCCACCCACACGCACACACACACCCGATTCCCAATATTAACACATGTACACGAGAGTGACATTACACTTGTGACACATGATTAAATGAAAACACGTTTGCCACAGTGAACACCCACGAACTTGTACATTTTGTAAAAAATTATTCCAACGATAAAACATGAGCATCTGGTACACAAAAATGACACATTCACAAGTGACAAGAACGGTAAATAAGAACATATGTCGAAGAACAAATGAGAGATAATGCTAAAGAGGTCAAGCGAAAGATCCCTTTTGCTAATATTCCAAAATATGTTAAGTAGAATAATGGTCCCGTGATAAAGGCTTACTTTGGAGACATACAATAAGAATAACTTGTTTAGGCTTTTAATCTCCTACAGGTTGTGTTTTATTTACTTAAAAATAACATCATTTTCGTTACACTACACAAAATACTGGAATGTGTAAAAGTGCATGTTCATATATATGGATATGCACACAGAGAAGAGGGCACATCATTATATATTTTTGCAAAAGTAACAGAGAAGCCCCATGAGAATAAAACAAAATAAAATAAATAGTGAAATAAATAAAGAAGTAAACTTCACCTGAACCATGCGATTACACTCATGTTCAGTCAAATTAGCATAGCAAAAGGAAATCATTAGACACGTGACATTAGTTTCAAAAGGAAGACGACCCTTTCCGCTTTTTCCTACCATAATCCATGTTTATAAGTACAATATTTTTTTACCTGAAATATAGGCACATATCTTGCAAAATTACGCTGGACAGGGGTTTATGTTTGTGTTTGTTCGTTTGTTGGGTTAATTTGTCTGCCCCTTTGTTGGGTTAATTTGTCTGCCCCTTTGTTGGGTTAATTTGTCTGCCCCTTTGTTGGGTTAATTTGTCTGCCCATTTGTTGAGTTAATTTGTCTGCCCGTTTGTTAGATATTTTATGTGTGTGCAAGCAAACGCCTAATTATCTAAATACGGAATACGCACATTGCGTTTACTTAATCTAGCTTTTTCGGGAAAATCTTATCTAAAGGGCCATACAAAAAATAAATCATTATGTGTAAATGAAAGGAGAATGTAAAAAAGGAGTGGTAATATTCACTTTGATTCTAAATTTAGAATTTTTTTTTTTTTTTTTTTTTTTTTTTTTTTTTCTGTTCAGTTAAAATTGAAAAAAGGTACTCATAAGCTCATTTGAAAAAAAAAAAAAAAAAAAAAAAAAAAAAAAAAAAACAGCTAAACAGTTCAATTAATATTACCATTAATAATCAACTTTTATTTCATTTTTCCATAGTTAAATAGGTAAATAACATAGTATTGTCCAAAAAGTTTTAATTAGTTTTTTTAATCATAAGGTATGGACAAGGAAGTTATCTTTCATATATTCAGTTTTTGTTTTTTTTTATTTTAATTTCTTTTTTCCAAACATAGCACACATATTTTCCCCCATTTTGTTTTCTAGAAATGCTCTCCTACATAAAAACTGGAAATAATAGTATACACTCTACACTTTATTTAATTTTTTTATACAAGCAGTAGAAAGTGTGTTCGTTCGTCTAGAGTGAACGATAAGAAAAAAAAAAAAAAAAAAACATAAATAAAACCACCTTATTCACACTTTCATCACCAAATTCACGAACATAAGTTTTGCAAACAGGACAGAGTTCACTTCCAATCGTTGCGTGCTTGAAACAAGCGGGGAAAACGGAATAGCGAAAATACCAAGTAGTAAATCGGTCACATTGCAAAATATCCATACTACTGCACTGCAACATCGCGCTATTATTGCATTACGATTTGACCAAGTGACCTGAACGAATACATTTCATACCATGAATGAAGCAGAGAAATTCGAGGTAAGTAAAAATTAATTCCACATCCTAGATCCAGACACAGACATATGTTTACCCACGTTTTTTTTTTTTTTTTCATGTAAATGTAGCGCACTGTCTGTTTCTTATGTAAAGATAGGATGACATTTTCTTCCATGCATTTTTGATCCTGATAAATGTTTCTTTTGTGTTTTCTTTTTTTCCTGTTCGAACATTATTATACTAAAACACAAATTAAACAACGTTACGTCATGTGTGTAGGAAGAATTCGACATTGAGCTTATGGAGGAAATAGGAAAACAAGTAACTTTAAAATGTTAATAAAAACGTTAAAGTTGTTTCCAGTGATGATGAGTTTTAGCATAAGGATGCATGTTTGCATATTTAATGTATGAATATGTACACCTGATTTTCATCAAAAGTGAAATTTGTTTTCATATTATGAGCATCTCCCTTTTTTTTTTTTTTTTTTTTCTTAATTTGTTAAATTTATTAAAGACCATTTCGCAATTTCTGGAAAAAACACATTATAATGAAGAGAAAACAAATTTCTGGGTGTCGCAAATATTAGATACAACATTGAAAGAACTGTCCAAATTAAACAAGCCATTTAAATATGTTGGTATGTTTACACATCATTTCTCTTATCAATATGCAATAGAATAGTTATCACCACGTAGACTTTAAGAAAATAACACAAGATTAGATTAAATATAATAAAAGTAGAACATTACAAATTGTTAACCATCCTTTGATAGAGTTCATACAATTTGGTAGCTAAACAAATGATTCATAATAATTTGATAACAGTTTCCGTAATTTACCATTTGTTCATTTAACTTAATGTAGTCAACGATTCTCACCGTATGTACAGATATTCTAGCTAGCTTTTTTTTTTTTTTTTTTTTTTTTCCCGAATTTATGTTTGTTAATAATTTATTTCACTTTTTAAAAAAAATGGCTATTCGTGTGTTCAATTATTTATTTTTTTTTTTTTGCCAAATTAGCTACGTGCATTCTTATGGAGAAAAACGGATCACCGTTAACAACATCAAATGTATGTCTATGGGATGAAAATTCCGACGGTTAGTTATTCATGATAAAGTATCATATTATCCAAAAATTATAAGTATCAATGAATGAAGAAGAACTGTGCAAAACATTTATTTGCAAAGAGAAAAAGAAAACACTGTACATAAAAGTCTGAGTGCACACGAACGCATATATCCATACTTACATTCATTGTTGTGGGTATGTTCTTTTGAATAATCAAGCCGAGAAAACTACCCAAGCTAATCTGAATTTTCTCGTTAATTTGGATTTTACAAAAAGGATGCATATTCTTTATACTCCCACGTCCTTAAATGTTTTTTTTTTTTTTTTTTTTTTTTTTTTTTTTCACTTATTTTTTCACTCCCCCCTCTCCCTACTTCCCGTTGATCACACATTTGTAGGTCTTTGTAGCGTTCAAATGGGAAATGAAACACTTGATTGTATTCTTTGCATATATGCAATAAAAACATGAATTAAATTGAAGAGAAAAAAAATTCTTCATTCGATTGGAGCCACTCCACCCATTTTACTGTTGGATTTTTTTTTTTTTTTTTTAACACTGTGCTTGTACACATATACATATATATACATATGTGTGCCTTTTTCATGTTAAGCGTAGGATATTTTTTGCGTGTGTTTTTTATCATTTGGCAATAATGCCTGTCTATATATGCACATGGTTAACTTTGAAAATTTATCGTTATTGTGAAAAGGGAAATATCCTTCTACGCCCACTCCAATTAAATAACTATTTTGTACCCATTTTTTATAAGAATTTTCATGATCCAAAAAGAGAAAAACAAAAAAAAGTAAAAAAAATTTTAATTTAATAAACTTCAACAAAATTGTTAAGAATGCAAAAAGCAAGAACTCTCTTCCAATGAGGACCCTGAATATTTTTTTTTATTTTTTTATTTTTATTTTATTATTTTTTTTTTTTTTACATCCCTGCGCAACCATTCCATAAGTGTATATATTATCCCCACACATATATGTTTAAAAAAAATGTGTAAAAAAATAAAGAAAAAAAAATGAAGTAAGACAATCACCTAAATAATAGACACAAAAAATATTGCAGAGCCTCGAAGCAAAAAAAATGGACGAACTATATGAGCATCTAAAGATAATCGACTACAGCCTAATATGCTTTATAAATAAATACAAAATCCTGTACAAGTACATAAAACAAGTATTGGATATTTTTGTACATACAATAGATGAATACCATAGACTAATACAAAAGATTACTTCTCTACACAAGCAAAGTATTTACAATTCTGTTCATAACAATTTTGTCCAACTCAAAAAGGATGAGGAGAAGCAGAGAGAACAAGTAACCCCCTGAAAAAAAAAAAAAAAAAAAAGGCGCCGTTTTCCCACATGACCATATTTTTTTCATATTTGCACATGATATAATTACAAGGGAGCGTCCACAGCATAACGTAGAGTGTCCATTTGCACGACCCTCTCCCATAAGTACCTAAGTGGAAATAGCTGAACTAAAATGAACGGAGTGATATAAAGTAGTAACGTGACATGCACAGTGTGACAATGGAACCATAGTAATACGAAGATTCACATTTTTTCCAATTAACGCAAATGTCCATAAATTCTCACGTATACCCCTTATATCATTTCTAATTTTTTTTCTTTTTCCATAAGGATAAGAACCTTACAGAGATAAAGGAAAAATTAAAAAAGGCAACAAAACTTACCAAGACAAATGTAGAATTTGCGGAATTTGAGGGTGGTGAAAAGGTAAATGGCCTCAGAAAAAAAAAAATGTCATTTTTCTCATGTCAGCAGTAGCATCGACGCGGGCTTGTCAATATGTTTGAGCGTGTAATTGCCATCGCCTTTAAGCTCGTATTTGTCGACACGTCAAAATTTGTTATTGTCGGCACGTCAAAATTTGTTTTTGCAAGTGTTTTCCACAGTATGCATCGTGCGTCTTTTTTCTCATTCCATCACGTTAACTGCTCCTCACCCATTTCTCCTTCGTGTTATTATACCCGTTCTCATGGTTATTCTTCTTCCCAATTCGAAGGAGTTCCAAATTGACACAAACTTGAAAGTAAACTTTCCCTATGACACAGCAGCCTTATACCGATTCAGGCATTATAGAAATGCCTTTCTAAAGAAATATTCAACAATAACTAAGAATGACAATTACTTGGTATGAAAAAACTATTAAACAAGATATATTACAAGTGTTATATATGTTAGATGTTGGCTATACATAGGACTGATAAATGTTTTTTTTTTTTTTTTTTTTTTTTTGTTTATTTCAGTTTTAGCCTTACTTGTGCATTTGTATATATATAAGATCTATGAGTATTTTTTTTTTTTTTTTTTTTTTTTTTTTTTTTTTTTTTTTCACAATAGAATGCAAACGAACAAAGGAAACTTTTCCTGAAAAAGCTGAAATGCTCAGCAAAGGTTAACCAAGAAAGAGTGAATCAAAAGGATGGCATTTTTAAGGACAGCAATTTTAAGGACAAGATTTTCGAGGATGATTATAAAAACTTGCTGAGAATATTGAATGAAAATCATATTTTTAAAGAGTCTCAAAAATTAAAAGAAATATTAATTGTAGGTAAATTTTTGAACAAAGCTAAGACAATTGTTAATGACATCCCACAGTTTTTGTGCACGATCATTGAGGAATTCGAGATGACTGAATCTGCCCTTCAGAACAACATGTACCTGTTCATACTTTTGGCTTTGAATAAATGGATCAAGAAGGTGCGTATGACGAATGAATCTGCGGGAAATATCATATTTCTGCAGTTACTTTGAAATGTAGTGGAGTCCCACACACACACACATAACGTTGCAATATAAAAGCTATTACCTTATATACATATCCATCAGTTCCCATCCCTTAAGGCAGCCTTCATTGAAACTCATACTTTGTGTTTTCACATCCACACGTCAGATATTAAGCGAATGCGAACGATTCATCTTGTTTAACAAGAAAAAGGAACACACAAAGAAAATAGAAGGAGTGGAAATTTACAAAAAGATGAACGAATATATAAATGATATACTTCAAAGAGGAGCTGAGCAGACAATAATTTTTAACGAAGAAAAGAAACAGTACCTTTATTCCTATCCATATGGCATAAATTTTAATGTGAATACATCATTTTTGACTTACTTTTTTTTCTATATGAACAAAAATTTGTTCAGTTTTGTAGAGGGATTTTATACAGATTCGACTAGAGTGAAACAAGAAGAAAAAAAAAAAAAAAAAAAAAAAAAAGTGTTAATTAAGTTTGATTCACAAGGAAAGGAGAATAGTTTGTATATGAATAGTGACATATACAATTATAAGCTCCATAATGAATATGACGAATCTGATGATCATTTGTCTAATTTGAAATTTTCTATTGACCAACAAGACATATATCCTAACATATTTTTAATTTGTAATTATCTCTTAGCTGAAGAAACGAAAAGGAGCATTGATGTGATATATCAGATGCAGAGAAATTCTTTTGACTTATTGCATTGTCAAGACGCTTCTATAATTATTCAAGTGTTGATCTCCTTGTTTGAAAATTTAAAAGTGCTTTTCAAGGATTCACTAAAAAGGGAGGACCTCCACTTTGACATCGATGCTGAGAGTCAGCGTGGTCGTCAGAATGCCAATCCACAAGGAGGCCAAGAAGGAGGTCACGAACTTTGTAAGATGCCCCACGAAACGGGAAGCAGTGTCGAGGATGGGGAAGATTCATATGATGATTTGAGGAAGTTCATTTCAAAAACGAGCTTAAATTATACATGTTCCAATTCGTATGTAAAAATTTTACACCCCATAAGGCTAATGCTCTTAAACATATTGAAGCTTGTTCATGTGACAACAAAAGATAGTAGGCATAGTAGTGTGTGCACCTTTTGGGATAAATTAAATATACCCATGATTGAAATGGATGAAATGGATGAAATGGATGAAATGGATGAAATGAACGGTCCTTGTCATCATAAGGATTGTCATTATAAAGATGATAAGACTGGAATTACTCAAAAGTACAATGAAAATGGTGAATCACAAAGTCTAGAAAAAGATCAACAGTGCTGTGTACGTCAACAGATATACCTTCGAGATAAGCTCATTCCTATAAAAAATCAGTGTTCTGAAAACAACTGTTACTTTTTTCAAAAGAAGAAAAGACTTGGAAGTGAAAAAGATCTTATAGTAAGAAACCACCCACACGAATCCATGGAAAGAGCCATACAAAGGAGAATACTATGCCACGATTTTCACAAAATAGTGTTGGATCAGGTTAAGGATGCTAAAACGAGAATCGAAAATAAATGTAACAGAGATGAATACACAGGAATTTTACTCAAAAGAAATAATAGGTATAACATAGATGGTGACGTGAACAGTAGCAAGAGTAAAAAACCACGGGGTGGGTCGTTATCTCATGCGGAGAGGAAGAATCTCCCAAGGGTGGGCCCCACAGCAAGTGCATCAAGAGGAGCAGCGAAGGGAACACTCAGAGGTGCACTCAAAGGAGCACCAAACGGACGAGGAAGCAATCGAACAAGCGACCCGACGAAACTAATGACAGGAGTGAATCACAAAATTTCTCCCAAAATTGAAAAGAAATGCAATGTAGTGGGTAGACCTATGCAAATGGCCACTTCAGTTGCGTACTCAAAAAGAGGCATTCCTCCAGATAGTATTATATCCCAAATATCAAATAGATCAAACCGAACACGTGTGACCAATGTAAGAAGTGCATTATCATCTATCAAGTTGAATTCAGATAACGGGGGTGAAAAAAAAAAAAAAGAAAAAAAAAAGTCGTCCTAAAACGGTGCGTACTATTGTTTCTTCCATTAGATAATGCAAATATAAAATATGATTCAAGTCCAAATGTCACACATGGTATCATAAATGTTATTATTTTTGAAGATGCGTATAAAATTTGGCATGTAAAAAAAAAAAAAAAAAAAAAAAAAAAAAGAGGTATAGGTGGAGAGGTATAGCAGAATAACGGCAGAGAGCATGCTCCAGCAAAATATAAATGCACCCATTTTTGTGGTTGTGAAAAAACAGTAATATTTATGTGCAAACAAAAAGTTGTACCATGGAAAAGAGGGAGACGTGTGATTTTGCTGTGACTATGACTACAGATGCCACTGTGGCTGTGATTGTAGTTGCCGTTACAATTGTAGTGGTATCTGTCGCGGTGGGGGAGAAATAGACTTAAATGGGGAGTAGCTTCATGTTGTGTCGCACCGAAAAAAAATTAAAATTGAGCTTTCACATATGAAAAAGAAAAGAAAAAAAAATATATATATATATTTACAAAAAAGAAGGAGTGCAGTATATATACATGCTTTTTTTTTTTTTTTTTTTTTTTTTTTTTTTTTTTTTTTTTTTGCACTGCTGAGGATGTATACAAATATCTCTCCTCTCCATGTCTCTTTTTTGACATGTACACTCTGTATTAGCGGATACATATGGCACTTAAAATGGATCGTCTATCCCAGCTGAAGGATTTTTTTTTCTTTTTTTTTTTTTTATGATGGAATCCAGCGGTTATAAAAATCATTTCCTTTGTTATCTATGACGATAAAAGCAGGAAAGTCTACCACTTCGATGAGGTGAACTGCCTCCATCCCGAGTTCCGGAAAGTCAATTACTTGCACTTTTTTTATGTTCTGTTTTGCTAGAATAGCACCAGGACCTCCTATACTCCCTAAATAAAAACCATTATACTTTTTGCATGCATTTTTTACAACATATGATCTATTTCCTTTTGCTAATGAAATTAGAGAAGCCTCATTTTTCATTAATATTTCTGCATAAGCATCCATACGACCAGCTGTTGTTGGACCGAAGGAACCACTTGCATAATTATCAGGTGTTTTAGCTGGACCTGCATAATAAATTGGATACTTTTTAAAGTATTCAGGTATGGCCACATTCCTCTGTACAAAATCATCTACTATTCTTTTATGAGCTGTGTCCCTTGCCACTATTAACTTACCTGTCAGTAGTAACAGAGTGGATACAGGGTATTTCGATAGGAAGCTCAGTATGTCTTTCATGGGTTTATTCAGGTCCACTTGGACGCCTTCTCCAGGTTGGTTACTTTCCATTTGGCTACTTTCCATTTGGTTACTTTCCATTTGGCTACTTTCCATTTGGCTACTTTCCATTTGGTTACTTTCCATTTGGCTACTTCCCATTTGGCTACTTCCCTTTTGGCTACTTCCCATTTGGCTACTTCCCATTTGGCTACTTCCCATTTGGCTACTTCCCATTTGGCTACTTCCCATTTGGCTACTTCCCATTTGGCTACTTCCCATTTGGCTACTTTCCATTTGGCTACTTCCCATTTGGCTACTTTCCATATGACCCAAGTTGCTGTGGACCTGACCAGCAGCACTCTGATTCAAATCCTTGTAGGTAACCTCGGGAAGGTACTTAATTGGCTCATGCTCCAAGGCCTCGATAAATACTCCTTCCCGATTAATGACACATTTAATTTGTCTATCAGCAGAACAAGAAACACCAATGCCAATGGGGCATGATGCTGAATGTCTTGGTAATCTAATAACCCTGACATCGTGCAAAAAATATTTTCCTCCAAACTGAGCACCAATACCTAATTTCTGTGCTTTTTCTAAAATAATTTTTTCACTTTTTATATCTCTGAAGGCTTTTCCATATATTCCGCCTTCTTTTTTCAAATTATCAATATATCTACAGGATGCCAATTTTACGGTTTTTAAATTCATTTCAGCAGATAAACCACCAATGACTATTGCCAAATGATATGGTGGGCATGCAGAAGTTCCAATTTCTTTAATTTTTTGCAACAAAAACTCGTATAATTTATCTTCATTTAGAATACTTTTTGTCTGCTGAAATAGGAATGTTTTATTTGCACTTCCTCCACCTTTGGCTATGAAAATTAACTCAAATTTCGGTCCTCTTAAATGCAAATCGGCTGGAGGAGAGGTTGATGTCCTAGTTGATGTTGATGAAGCGTACTTTTTCCCACGAACGGAACTGTAAATCTCAATCTGACAAGGTAAGTTATTCTTTGTGTTTGTCTCATTAAACATGTCAATGGGGGATAGTTGACTGTATCGAAAGTTATTATTTTTATATGCATTATAAACACCCAAATTTAAATATTTATGTTCAAAAGTGGTTAATATTTCTTCATCCTTTTTTCCCAAAATTATTGCTGTGCCAGTGTCTTGACATCCTGGTAAATTCTGTTCAGCACTAATAACAGCATTTTTAATTAATGTCATGGCAACATACTTGTCATTTTTACTGGATTGATTGTCATTTAATATATTCTTTAATTGATTTAAATGCTTTTTATTCAAAAAAAATAAAATTTCTTTAAATGCATATTCGCATAACTTGGTTAAAACAAATGGAGGAACATGAATATATTCCTTTTCAATTTCATTTTTCCTGACTTGTTCAGGTAATATTTGCAATTCCCCATTTTTGTCAAAAAATTTTTCTTCATTTTCGAAATCATATCCATAATATTTACTTTCATATATTGAGTTCTTATTAATTTTAATAACTTCAATATATTTACTAAGCTCATCAATTCGTTTATATTCTCTATCATCTTCTTTGCCTTCTTCAAATTCTAAAACTTCTAAAAAATTACGTACAGTGTTTATATTTTCTTTTTTAAAACAGAATATCTGTCTTATTACCTCAAGCTGATTGTTTTTCTTCTTCAAGCATCCCCTGGGGTGGAAGTACCAAAGTGAAATTTTCCTTAAATTCCTCATTTTTTTTTTTTTTTTTTTTTTCTAATTCTCACCCCAAGAAAATTGACGCATGGTAGTGCCTTTGTCCATCAATTTTATGTCAAGGTGTATATTTTATGCCACCCTTGTTCTATCCCCTCCTTTTATTCATTATTTTTTATGAATTTCCTTTTCTTAATTTTATACAATTTTTTTTTTTTTTTTGGAACCAGCCAAGTGGAAGAAAAACTCAACATCAAATGGACCAATGGTGGAGAATTAAAAAAAAGGGCACTAAAAATGGAAAAAAAAAAAAAAAAAAAAAAAAAAAAAGTAGAGAAACAAAAAAGAGGTGGCTCAAATGTGCCAATTTGCAGTCATATTTTGCCTCATGAAGTTTCATTTCATTGACCCTTTTTAATGCAAATAATAAACCCTTCACTTAAAACATTTCATGCAACGTGTGTATTGCAAAAAAAAAAAAAAAAATGGCAAGATGAAGAAAAAAAAAAAATAAAATAACACATTGAAAAAATTGATAAATCTCATAGATTTGCACATATAATTGTTACCTACAAAAATAGGTATGTTTAAAGAGAACCAAAGGGATGATAAATGTTTTCCTTTTCACGTTTAACACATGGAACACATTGCCGTGCTGCTCTCTCCCCCTCCCTGTATATATTTATATATATATATATATATATATATATATATATATATATATATATATATATGTATTTACCTTGCATGCCTGAGATTAGAGGGTGTCCAGCTTTGCTTTTCATTCAACTGAACTATTCAGCTGTACTACACAATGAGGTTTAATTTTTTTTTTTTTTTTTTTTTTTGTCCCTGTATGAATACACGTTTGATATACTACGTTCGTGCTAGTTAGCACGTGTTGTTATGTTTTCATTTATTTTTTTGTTCCTTTCCTTATTCACATAATCAATATCTCTATGTGATTATTGCATTCATCGAAATAAACTATGCCTTATCAAAAGAGAGAACGCAAACCAAGGTATATATATATATATATGCATAAATATAAATAAACTTATACATACAATGTAAGAAAAAAAATAAGCATGGTATTTATTTGTGCAAATGTATTTATTTCGAAAAATTTCAAGACGTGAATGCATAAACTGCTCAATATAGGAATGTGTATATATATATTAATATATATATGTATAATATACATATATAATAATATACATATATAATAATATACATATATGTACTATTATATCGTCTATTCCACTATTTGCTACGAGGTTGGAAAAAAAAAAAAAAAAAAAAAAGACTGATGGTTGAAAAGTAAAAACAAAAAAATGAACAAAGTGTCTAATTTTTAAAACTACCACAAATTTGTGCAACATTCAAAAATAGAGTAAAATAGAGTAAAATAAAGTAAAAATTAAGGATACCGGAAAAAAAGAGATTTTTTATTTTTTTTTAAAAATTAAAAATTTTATATTACGTAAAAAATGTAGAAACATATCAGTGTACTGAAGAAGAGTTGTAAAAAAAAAATTGCAAAATGGTGGATAACGCTCAAGAACACAAAAATAAATGATGCTTCGGTTCATGTTATGAGTCCTCTCCTCAATCCATGCATCACTTTCTTTCCATACGTACGCACGTGACACATATGTGTAGTGGTAAAATTCCTAAACAGGTAAAAAAAAAAAAAAAAAAAAAAAAAAAAAAAAAAAAAAAAAAAAAAAAATAAAAAAAAAATCCTAAAAAGAAAAAAAAAAAAAAAAAAAAAAAAAAAAAAAAAAAAAAAAAAAGAAATCATTTCATTTTACAGTAATCAACATGAAATCGAAAAAACAAAATTTTCAAATGAACAAGGGAAGAAAAAAATAGTGAACCGAGGAAAAAGACGAATTGATGATAAGACGAAGCTGCAAGGTATATTACACGAATATAGCGAATTTAATCTAAAATCGAGAATTTTTTTTTTTTTTTAATTCTCATCATACATTTTGACTTAACGCAATATGTGGGAGGGAAAACAATGGGAATTTTTTTTTTTTTTTTTTAAACAATGTATAACACAAGATAAGTTTCTTTGGAGACGTGCATAACTAACCCCTCCCTTGAGAATGGAAGGGAAGACTCTTCATCCCTCTGCAGTTTCTTTTCACGTGTGCAATGAAAACGCGCTATGTGTATAAATATATGTACACACCATACGCATTCTCATGCACATACACATACTACTACATTCTCATGCACATACACATACTACTACATTCTCATGCACATACACATACTACTACATTCTCATACACAGGCATGTACATACTTTTTAACGCCAACCTGACGCTTCAACAGATTAGACCAGCTTTGTATCAACTTCATTGTGCCACTTTGAAAGTACCGTTCCATCGTTATTCGGCCTTTTTACTCAAACATTCATATAAACCACTAAAGCTGTGCGTCAATGGATTGTAATTGTTCATTACATTTTTTCCGTTTTGGCTGTTAAAGTTCATCATGTTCTCATCGTCAGCTTCTTCTGTTTCATTCATGTTGAGTGAAATTTTAGAATTTTTTTTTTGGTTCTTGCATGCTTCTTTACTGTTGTTATATATATAATTGGGAAAACTTTCATCACTTTTGCATGATACTTCGTACAAATCTAGATGATTCTTCGCCACTAAATTGCTCTTATTTGTATCCATCAATTGATTGCAATGATTATAAATGGTTTTCTTCGCCTCATCTGCTTGTCGATTGCAATTGTTCATACAGCACAGGTTCTGCTTTCCACCGTTACTTCCACATACATTGCTACTTCTTACACTGCTTTTCACACTGCTTCTGTCGCTACCGTTCGAGTCTGAACCCAAAACAATAGCACCGTTCGATTTAACATATTGACCGTTAAAATCCTCTTCCCTGTATATGGAAGAGCTGAACCCATTAATCACTGCTGTATTCGTAACAACATTTTGCTGTATCCCATTACTACATCCAACAGTGGGTATCTTCAATCCATTACAACTCACTTCACACATGTCAAGTAAATTTATATTGTCTCCGAAACAATTGGTAGTAGTAGTAGTAGTAGCAGTAGCATTATTGTTACGTAAAATATTTTTTCTATCTTGATATTTTAAATTGTTAATGTTTTTTTTGTTTGAATTGTTTTCCACCTGACTGTTCAGGTGATTAGCATTTTTTTTATTTAAAACATAGTTGTCTAAGATGTAATTCGCCTTATTATTATCACATTCGTTCATCAGCATTTGGTCTTCCTCGCCCATTTGGGCTTCTTCACCCATTTGGTCTTCTTCACCCATTTGGTTTTCCTCGCCCAGTGTAACTTTTTTTTCCACTAAACTATTGTTCGGATTTTTTAAAGATTCATTGTGTGCATTCATGTTAGGGTTACTCATTAAGTTCATCCCATTGCAACTTAATATATAGTGCATGTTCATTTTTGAATTCAAATTATTCTTCATGCAAGCATTCTTCATGCAAGCGTCGTTACTCTTTCCTTCGTAACTAGAACTGCTGTGACAGCTGGCATTTCCATTCGTTGCATAAATGTCACCTTGTGTTATTTTGATATTCATACCATTTGGGGTGATAATATCTGTGTTCATGTTTATTTTTCTATTTATAATTCCATTCTTACATGCGTTATGATTATAAATGTTTTCAAAAAAATAATTTTTTGATGCATCGTTATATTCATTTAATTGTTCGCCTCCCATTTCGTGCGAAAAAATATATGCACTAGGACAATCCTTACTATTCAACACATCACCATTGTTGTAGTTGCTTTCTTCACTTTTAAAAGTCTTCATACCGGTTTGATTCTTTAGATCCCTTAAGTTTTTGTAAACACTGCTCATATTATTTTGCGTGTTTATAATTTGTTTTTTTACGTTTCTACCCATGTCACTTCCGATGTTACTACTGACATTACTGCTGACGTTACTTCCACTGTTGCTGTTGCTTTTTGTGCTGAGGTTGTTCTGATTGCTGGAAAAGTTAAGTAGTCTCGTTTGGAGGTTCATCTTAGCACTTATCCCCATATCATTCGTGATATTTGAGTAACTCTCCTGGCTCATGCTGGTCATATGATCTCTCTCATTCATGCTGGTCATATGATCTCTCCCACTCATGCTAGTCGTGTGGTCTCTCCCACTCATGCTAGTAGTGTGGTCTCTCCCACTCATGCTAGTAGTGTGGTCTCTCCCACTCATGCTAGTAGTGTGGTCTCTCCCACTCATGCTAGTATTGTGGTCTCTCCCACTCAGAGTGAGAATATGCTCCACTCCTCTGGCCCCATTACACAACCCGTTCGAATTAAAACCTGAGGAGCAACTGACTAAATGGCCATTCATCAAATTTTGGTTAATTGCCCCTTGGGTTTCCTTGGTTAGCTTACAATGTTCGGCATATTCGTTATGATTATTTGAGCTATCCAACAAAAAATTGTTACTTAAAAGAAAATTTTTAAATTCATTATCTGAGTTATTATTAATGCAATTAGTAAAAGTAGCATCTTTAAAATTTTTCTCTTCATTTGACTTTCTTACTTCTTCTGGTTTAATTTCGTCTTCTTTCTCGATTTTTAAATCTGAATATTCATAATTCGTGTCGTTTTCATTATTGTTTTTATTTATCACAGTGTGCAAAGTATTCATTTGATTCCTTATTTTTACACCTTCGTGTGTGTTAATATTTCCAAGGTTCAGATTGTTTATGTTGTTGATGAGGCATTCCATGTTGAAGTTATTTAAATCGCTTGCATCGTTCATACTATTAATATGGGTTCCACAACTATGACTTAAGTGATTCATATTGCTTGCACAGTTCATGCGGCCTCCACAATTAAAGTGATCCTCCCAATTAAAGTTATCCTCACAATTAAGGCGATCCTCCCAATTAAGGCGATCCTCACAATTAAGGCGATCCTCCCAATTAAAGTGATCCTCACAGTTCATATTCACTACTCGATTGGTGCCGCTCATATTCCTCGCATCGTAAATGTTTCCTACCTGTCCAATGTTGTTCCTGACACCAAGGCAATTGTTGTAATTAAGGCATATTGCTGCTGGATCTTCTACATTTTCCAAATTCTCTTTCGTCTTGTTCAAATTCATGATATTTTTTTCATTGTAAAAATTCTGTGCAGGTCTTACATTTTCGTACGTCGTAGTATTTGAATCAAAAATGGAATTATCAGAATTTTCTTTATTTTTCATTTTGTTAATAAAATATTTTTCTTCCTGAAAGTTCATGTGATTATTTTTGTCAATTTTATTTAATACGTCAAAATTTAAATTCGAACACATATTGGAAGATAAGTTTATTTGTTCTAATTTTCTGAACCCTTCAATATTGTACATAAAATTATCTACACTTGCAATGTTATTTTCCCTTGAAAAAATCTCATTTTTGTGATATTCATTTATTAATTTTGTTTTATTTGGTGAGCTCATATTGTGCACTTCTTCATGGTTATTTACATAATCATCAGTATTCATCATTCCATAGTTGTTAAGCATGCTCATATTATCACTACAACATAAATTATCGGCATTCTTATAAGAAAAAAATCTCGTATGAGTGCTTTCTCCTGGATCCATAAAATTGTTTTTGCCATAGCTTAACTCCTTGAACGATACATTGTCTCTAATTTTGATGAAATCTTCATTTGGAGAAGATTTTTTATTTCTGGAAAAATCACCATTCAAAAAAATATCTTCTTTTATGGTTCTATTTTTTATTTCATTCCCGTTGTTCTTAATGTCACCACTATAAAAAGGTTCTCCCTCTGCCACAATAAAATAAATAAACAAACAAATAAATAAACGTGAGACGTAAAAAAAAAAAAAAAAAAAAAAAAAAAAATAAGGCGCGCAAAAAGAACAGTACGACAGACGCGTGGGAACATGTTATAGATCTACAGCTTGACGATTAGCACATGCATGGGCTCATATACGGATGCATTTGCAAAACATGCACATGTACATATGCATATACATAAACATATACATGTACATATGCATACACATAAACATATACATATACATATATATCATGTAAACAGGGGTGTGCTCCAATTCAGTAGAAAACAATACTCTAATGGACTCCCACTCGCCCTTCTTTTGGACCCTCTGCATGTTCATACCATTTTCAGGATTCACATCGAATAAATATTCATTGTATCCTTTTTTTCCATAATTTTTGTAAAAGTTAAATGTGTTTCTCTTGGAATTATTTACATCTTGTTCACTCTCATTCAAATGGCTCATTATGCCATAATGGTCTTTGTTGTCATCAGGAATATTTTCCCTTTCTTCGTTAAAGGAGTACGAATTGCTGTTTACATTAACACACCTTTCTCCTTCATTGATGCTTCCACTCATGGTGTTTCCATCATTACTACTTTCTTCACCACCCTTTCTACTCTCTTTGTTTTTGTAAAAGTTTGATTCTCCTACTTCTTCATCATTGTGCACTCTGTTCATCAATTCAGTTGTTGAAAATTTAACAGATGGATCCAACTGATTTATGTTGTGTGCCATCGGGCATTTATCTGCCTTGTTGCAGTACCCTTCGAAACGGAAAAAAAAAAAATATACATATATACATGTACATACATATATGTACATATATGCATATGTGAATATGTATGCATGCATCAGTTGTTACCATCCAAGAAATATTTCGTGCACAGTCTGAGAGCCTTCCCTGAACCTCGTAATTCTTCCTCTGTATGTGCAAATGTGCATTTAGACGCTTCACAATAACTACCAGATAAAAATGTATAACACATTCTTGTCTGCCATGGGGGATCGTGCGAAAGGAAAAGTGCAAACAAAAATGGAGGAACATATATGTGCTTGTATATGTGCTTGTATATATGCTTGTATATATATGTGCTTGTATATATATGTGCTTGTATATGTGCATGTATGTATATCCATTTTGTGCAGAGCGTGTGATAGAGATGATGCAAGGAATAGCAAATTGGTAAGTTGATTCAACGCGCATAAAGTTGCAAAAATACTTTATACTTTAAATTGAAACACAAATGTAATACCTTATAAAATTTTGGCATCGGTCTAACGTCCAATTCACCATGAGCCCAACTACATTTGTTACCTCTTGCACATATCCCCTTGGCGTAAAAAGAACAAAGCTGCGTTTTGTATAACCTGCAGTGAGAGATAGTTTTTTATGATTATATGATGATCATAAATTAGTGTATACATTGTGCATCTATTTAACATAATGCAGTTACTATCATGAACATGCACAAACACAAATGTGTGTATATGTTTTTGTGATCAAATAGACTCTCATGTAGAAACAAAGCATTGTACACAAAGCAAGTCTAGCACAAAGCAAGTCTAACACAAAGCAAGTCTAACACAAAGCAAGTCTAACACAAAGCAAATTTAACACAGTGCGAGTCTATCTCTAAATCAAAATTTCATGATATAAACTTACATTTTTGCTACAATTGCTTTTTCCAAATAATGGCGTTAAATTTTCTATACCTTCTTTTCTATATCGCTTGCGTCTAGACTCTTCCTGTCTATATTTTTCTACACCTCGACCTTTCTTGTCTATATTATCTGCACCTCGACCTTTCTTGTCTATATTTTCTGCGTCTCGACCCTTCTTATATATACTGTATAAATGGATGCACCCTTTGTTGTTCTTAAAAGATATGGGCACAGGAACCAACGGTAAACAAAACGATGAAAATGTATGTATCGTTCTAAAATGTGTATTCATGTAAGTATATCTATGCATTCGCGTGGATGAAGCAGAATATACACATATATATATATATATATCTGTATGCAGAAAAAAATATACATATATATGGATGCAGGTACACGTGTGTATTAGTAGCTCCAATCCAGCTTCTACAATTCTTTCAAAAATTACATATACATCAAAATAACTTAGAACTGCCGGAGTGCAGTAGCATGAGGACAGGTGAAAAATGAAAGAATCAAAAAGCAAGTAATAGTATGCACTAAAGCAGAAGGGTAAGAAGAATATGTTTCGTCGCTATCAGCATCAAACGGATTGATATATATATATATATGTACTTGCAGAAAGGAATAACAAATAAATTATATACCTAAAGTACACTATTAAAGCAAGATGTGCACTTGAAAGACATTAAAAATATTCATTAAAAATATCACTTTTAATAACTAAAAATAAAAAAGAAATACGTAAAAATGGTGGAATACATATAAAATAAATAACAAATATGTACTTGTTAACAAATTTTTAAATGACGGAAAAATTGAGTGGGTCGTGAAAAAATCTGAAACTGGTAAAATGGCTAAAAGAAAAAGAAAAAAAAAAAAAAATGAAAAAAAAAAAAAATTCCTTGTATACACATTTCAAAAAAAGTAAGCTTAATGAGGAAGTAATACACATACATAATTTATAACAAACAAAATGCTCTTGTTCAATGGGTTCAATTGGTGAAAAAAGAACATTTGAATGACATATGTTCGAACATGTATAACATTTTATTAAAATGTTCTTAAGGTGTGATGTGAAGGTGTATCAATGAGTACACATAATTATATGTGTAGATTTTTTTGGTATGCTTTTTTTTTTTTTTTTTTTTTGGTTTGTATATTTTATTCTATTCTTATAGTTTTATTGAACTTTCTTTTATGTCAACTTTTTCTGCTGAACTTTTTCTGCTGAACTTCTTCAGTTGAACTTCTTCAGTTGAACTTCTTCAGTTGAACTTCTTCAGTTGAACTTTTTCTGTTGAACTTTTTCTGCTGAACTTCTCCGGTTGAACTTTTTCTGCTGAACTTCTCCGGTTGAACTTCTTCAGTTGAACTTCTCCGGTTGAACTTCTTCAGTTGAACTTCTTCAGTTTTTTTTTTTATCTTTTACTTCCCTCTTATTCTTCCTAATAAATAATTGCTAAGCCTGTTGATACTTTTCCTTCATGCAAACAAAAAAAAAAAAAAATAATAATAATAAAACAAAATAATAATAATAAAACAAAATAAATAATAATAAAATAAAATTAAAAAAAAAGAAAAAAAAAAAAAAAAGAAAAAAAAACACATCGCTAAACAACAGACATAATTTTATAAATTCAAAAATTTTTAATGTTAATATATATATGCTTCATGCGTCACGTGTATCCTCTTGTATTCTTCAGTTATTTTTCTGAATTTATTTTTACAAGCACTTTTTTTCTCTTCATGTGTGCTTTATTATTCATCCCTCAACAGATTAAAAAGAAATTTACACTCTAGATATAAAATAAAATACAAGAAAGGTTTAAAAAAAAAAAAAAAAAAAAAAAAAAAAGCAAAGCAAAGCAAAGCAAAGCAAAAGAGAAAAAAATTAAATAAAATAAATTGTTCTTTTGAATAAAAATATTCCAGGTGGTAAATATAATTTTGAAGAAATGAAAAAGAAAATGCTTATTAAAGTGGTGGAATGTGTGTTGTTGCAATAAGATTGTAACATGGCACGGATTTTTTTTTTTTTTTTTGTATGCTGCTTCAGAGGAACGTCTTATTAACAAAAAAACGATCCCATTGAATGTCGTAGCTTCATCAAACACTTGTGCATATCAACATAAAATTATGTACTGAAACGACACAACTTATGTAACATTAGGACATCTTATTCTGCTAGGGAAAAAAAAAAAAAAAAAAAAAAAAAAATGCAATATAACGTAATAAGATAAAAAAGTAAGTCACACATTTGTGATGAGAAATGTTCTTTTCACGTATGCACCTTTTCACATATGTTCCCTTTACACACAAAAAAGAGGGTATTATTATATTTACGTATGTGCATGCATGTATACATATATATATATATATATACACTCAAGTGGCACTCGTATTTATACACTCCTGAACACTTTTAATATGGAGATGGATCCGTTACATTTATCATCACGTTAGCTACACAAAATTTGGAAATTAAAACTTGAAAGAAAAACATTAAAATAACAACTTGCTGAGAAAATGTATCACTGTAGTAGGGCAATTAAAAAAAAAAAAAAAAAAAAAAAAAAAAAAACGGAAAAAAAATGGAAAAAAAAAAGGAAAAAATCATACATGTGAGTAAGTTAAAAAATAGTAAGAGATTGAATGAGCGAACAAATAAGCGCACAGATGAACGAACGAAAAAACGCACAGATGTATAGGCATGCGAATAATTTAGCGACGAATGAATAGTTAAAAAAAATTTTAACATGCTCCCTGCCGTAGAAACAGAATTTCTTTGCTTATGTACTCTCGCAAAAACTTTTGTTCTTGTGCATGTATTTGTACATATATGCAAAAATAAAGGGATTTTTATTTTACATGTAGCTTCACCCAATTGAGTTGTTGCAAAAAAGGAGGATGTAAATGAGTAGATGCTACTACTATTAAAAAGAAAATGTATATACGAATGTATGCACCAACTTAGAATAAATTTTTTTTTTTTTTTTTTTTTTTTTTTTTTTTTTTTTTTATCCTGTTTGGTGTAGGACTGCCCTAATATGCTATATATATTTTTTTTAAAAGAAAATTTATTTGCGCACGCGTGAAAACAAATGAGAAAAGGAAAATCCACAAAAAAAGAAATGTTGTGTGTTTAAATGGAAACCGCGAGAAAAAAAAAAAAAAAGAGGAAAAAGTTTTATGTAAGATGCAAGTACATGTATGTTTTTGTGTGTACATAAATATAACTTATTTGGGGGAATTTTTTATATGAACTTTTAAAAAATAAACAAAATATAGGTATGAGGCTACAAGTTAAATTATAAGCACTTCAAAAGCAAAAAAAAAAAAAAAGAAGAATTTGCTACCCAAGGTTCTTTTTTATGTACAATAAGAGATGAATAACTTATACAGGAATCTGTATGCACATGTACATATATATATACAATCGAAGGGGAATTATTATTCTTTTGATAAGTTTTTCCTCCCGTGCAAAATGGAAACACATGAAAAATATACACATGCAGTTCAATGATGCAATATGGTGTGTACATCTATTTTTGAGGTATTATCAAAAGGGCTATTTGTTCACAAATTGTGAAAATAAATTACTTTTTTTACAATTGTATGTATGCGTGAAAAAGAATTAAATAAAATATGTTAATATAAATACCCCTTAGCAACCGAGTGTGCTTATGGTTATCTAGGATAATGAATAAATACTCCGTTGTGTGTTAGGAATATGCATGTATCTATGGAACCATTAAAAAATGAACATGAAAAGAACACGTATTTTCCCGTTCTTGGGTTAAGAAGTCAAATATAGTAAAAAATGGGTATGCTGTTCTTTTACATATATGTGTTCATATGCATGTATTTAAATGTGTATATTTGTTCATATAGGTGCATATATTTATCCATTTATATATATTTTTCCGTTTTTATGCGACTAAGGAAGCGCAAATAAAAATGTAACGGGTTTGTGTTTCCCCTCGGTCAGGTGATCCCTTTTAGGTGCATTAAAAAAAAAAAAAAAAAAAAAAGTTAATAAGACGTATTCACAATTATTTTGAAGTTAAATACCGTTTAAAAATTTAAACATGTGCTTGTGTAAATATGTACGTGCAGGAAATTTCCATAAAGAAAAAATTTATAAAAAGTGATGAAAAAAAAAAAAAAAAAACACTCCAAGTCACGAAGGAGCCCCGAAAATAATCGTTATTAGGGCAATAGCAACAACGATGCAATAATATTATCAATCGTAGTTGTAAAATAAAATGAAGGAAATATCTTCGAGTGGGCGCTACTTCTTGCTGAAGCCTCTCTGTATTTAATTGAAAATCAGGGAAAAGACGCGATCGATCGCAAGCAAAAAAATACGCACACGTGTGAGGATACTATATGAATTATGATGAGACGTACCTCTACACACAATTACACATAATTACACACACACACAATGCAGTGAAGGAATAGTCGCTTACACACATTAATGCATATTATTGAAAATTGTAAGCAATCCAATGTATACAATATTTCTAAGAAGCTATAGTTGATCTACTACTTCTTTGTGTACAGTTGAGAAATTATGCAGATCATGCAAATTTTTTTTTTTTTTTTTTTTTGTATGTAATTGGTAGTAATGATAAATTGTACAAAAAACGCGTGATAAATACTTAACAAGTGATTTACACAAATATGGTACACTTATTTGTAGGTCTAAAAAGAATTGAAGTTTTATAAGAATTCATAAAATGAATACAAAACTCGTTCTGTTCCATGTGTTGTATATATGTAAATCGTTTGTGCAGGTACACGTAAGGGAATTATTACATAAATTTTACACGATCTATATAATTCCAGCTCATGGAAAAACGTGAAAAAATGAAAAAGGAAGTTGAGAAAATAGAAAAAAAAAAAAATTGCTGAGCAAGGGATATGCTTGTGTAAATTAACCCATGCTAATGTGTAATCCAATATATGTACATATATATATATATATATATATATACACACACATGCGATCACATATGATGATCTAATTACAGAGATATACATATATGGATACGTGTTATAGCAAAATGTCAATGTGCAATTTGTCTATGAATCATAATACATGAGCTGCGTGTGTAGGTGTAATTTTTTTTTTTTTTTTCTCGTACTGTGTTCTTTGTATGCACACGTTCATATATATAGACCTCAGTTTCTCTCAACTCTCGATGAATACATAGAACTATTTCCTATCAATTGATGCAGCTGAGGAGGATAATCAAATTGACGAAATTATGAACTACTGTTTTAACATTCAAAATTAATAGTTAAAAAGAATGAAATGAAAATGTTCAGCTGAAGAATGGAGGATGTATGAGTTCACTTCATGCACTTTTCTCAGAAGGGAAATGTATTGTACATATTTAAAAAAAAAAAAAAAAAAAAAGAAGTATTCGTTTGGTAAAAGCAAAAACAAGGGCAAAACCAAAACCAAAAACAAAAGTAAAAGTAAAAGTAACATGAATATGAACTTGAACATGAACGTGGACGTAATGATGTGCAGAAAAATGTAACAACACGACGAGCACTAAAAATAAGGGAGAAAAATAAATAATTACAGTGCTAATACAAAAAGTATAAATTCAAAAAGTTGTTCATCCGAAAGTGTTGAAAAATTAATAACCAGACGAATCGAAGAAACAAAACGATATTGCGTCCTATTTCACGATAGTCTTTTTTTCTCGCATAAATACATGGAAAGGGTGTACTGAGAACCCTTTGTGGTTATTTCAGTTTATTTATTTGTTTCGTTTTGTTTTTTTAGCATGCACACATATCTACACATGTGCGTATGCACAATAAAAACGAATCACATAAGGCAGACTTCACATGTACAAAGTAGCAAAATTAAAAATAAAATAAATTCAAGGTTTTTGTAAACTCTTTCAGGAAAAAATTTAATAATGGTAGGGTAAAACATTCGATGAATTTCGCTTCTAACCCTTTTTGCGTTCATGTAAATTGAGAATTTTTTTTAAAAATAGTGTTTACAACAAAGAAGGCTTATTGGGGAATGAAATAAAATTTGACGTGAAAGTGGAATTATGTGAAAGTGGAATTATGTAAAAGTGGAATTATGTAAAAGTGGAATTATGTGAAAGTGGAATTATGTAAAAGTGGAATTATGTGAAAGTGGAATTATGTGAAAGTGGAATTATGTGAAAGTAGAATGATATGAAAGTAGAATGATATGAAAGTAGAATGATGTAAAAGTGGGATTATGTAAAAGTAGAATGATGTGAAGGTGGAATGATGTGAAAGTAGAATGATATAAAAGTATAATTATGTAAAAGTAGAATTATGTAAAAGTGGAATGATGTAAAAGTGGAATTATGTGAAAGTAGAATAATGTGGAAACAAAATAAACTTAATAAAAAAAAAAAAAAAAAAAGAAGAAAAAAAAGAACTAAATATATTATCATCGAAAGGACGAAATATATTATCATCGAAAGTACGAAATACATTACAATCGAAGGGACGAAATACATTACAAACGAAATGAAGAAGGAAATATAAAATAATTAAGTTCATTTTACGGGTACACTTGGAATTACACATTCAGACGCTATGCACATGTTGATTCCCCAACCGTGTGTTCAGGGTTCCCTTGAAAAAAAAAAAAAAAAACAAAAAAAACAAAGCGTGGGTCAACTGGGTATTTATCTTTCCAGAATTGGAAATGCATGCATACATTATTGTGCACACTACTATGATTACGATTGAGATCATTTATATATGCTGTATGAACATGTGTAGAAACAAATAATGCATACTAAAGTACGTACATACTTTTGTATGTACATGTGAAAATTTCTATATGCAAAAGTACGTACATACCTAGTGTCAACCTATGGATGTGTACGCAAGTGCTAAGAATCCGCAAGATCCGTTTCCAAATTTGGCGGGGCGAAAATAAGAATCATAGGATATAAAGAGAATATACTTGCACATCTTCTTACTTACCCGAACATTTTCTTACATGCATGAACATTTTCCTACTTACATGAACATTTTCCTACCTGCATAAACACATTCCTACCTGCATGTACATCTCCCTACCTGCATGTTCATCTCCCTGCCTGCATGTACATCTCCCTACCTACATGTACATACACAATCATGCGCACACGAATTCATAGGTCAAGGTTTACTTTAGGCAATATATACACATGTCCATATATAAATATATGTTCACATATATCAACCGTATGAACACACCGTGTACGTACATCTGAAAATGTAGTATCAGGTCTATTCCAATACACCCCTTGATCTTCCAGAATGTGTTAGCTCTTACGATACTAATTAGCTAGCTCTGGTCAGAGAATAACTCACTTGGATATTTCTTCATTTTCATGAACATGTTTTTTTTTTTTTTTGCATTATTTTCTCCATTTTTTTCTTTTAATACATGGACGTTATGGGGGTTAGCTTGTGTGACGTTATACCTAAGTAGGTCACATTATAAATGTTGGCAAATGCCAAATCACACAAAGAGACAAATCAACAAACACGAAGTACCACAAACAAACATACAAACAGAATATAATTAAATTAATAAAAACGGGGATTTAAAATGTAGCTAATTAAAAATTCAGTGTCTTTTTTTCTAATTATTCCATTTTGCTCATCCACACTTTTTTTAGCTAGTCCCTAGGAACGTTTCCAACCGCCGTTGCGTGGTGTAAAATGAAATAAAAATGTATATACATGACACATAATGCACTAAGGATAAGAAGATTTTCCAAGTGAAAACATCGTTGAAATCTGAAAATGTGGAAACGTATACCTAGGCGTGCGCGTGCAGGAAGTTTTTTCAAAAACGGGAATGTCATGCATATGCATATGTACATATATGTGTGTAGGTATATGCCAATATATTATATATGTACATGTGATTGACCCCTAACTCTTGAATCTCCTCTCTTTCACCATTTTTTTTTTAATGCACACAAAAAAAGGGATTAACTTCAGAGTTAAAATAAAAATAAGCTTTCATATTTCCTACTTCAATAAAATATTCCCATATTCCTACGCTTTAGTAAATTTCATTTTACACCATTTTTTAAAAAAAGGATAATAAGCTCGATTGGCTGACGTATCAACTGCGTTGCGTGTTTTAAAAAAAAAAAAAAAAAAAAAAAAAAAACCTAATCAGTTTCCATCCACTATATTCTGCAAATTTTTTTATTTTTTAAGTTCACTATCTGTTCTTTGAAATATACGAACATATGTATATACTTACTTTGTGGAAAGTTTAACTTTTTTATTCACCTTATCCATTAAGAGGGTAAAGTGTTAAGAAGAGGAGTGTCCTTCGGTTATTATAAAAAAAAGGAAGCTAAACATACACATTCGCTAGAACACATATATATATATATATATATATATATTCTCGCTCTTACGTACATTGTAAAATAGCCCTATAAAATAAAAAACACGTGAAGGGGAACTTGTTTTTTTTTTTTTTTTTTTTTTTTTTTAATTTCTTCTAAACATGGTTAAACAAATTAACGCAAGAGCGTACAGAACAATCTCTCTACAAAAAGAGAAAAATTTACATAGGTCATGAAAACTTCCCAAGACCCCTAGTATGTATACTAGTATGGTTGCAAACACAGGAACATGTACAAGCATTTCACCTACATGTAAGATATATATATACATGTACAATTCAATCTTATACGTTTCATAAATTGTGCATGTAGGTGTATATTGAAAAAAAAAAAAAGAAAAAAGAAAAAAAAAATAGAACGTTCTTATAATCCATTTGTTTTCAAGCACAAAAATAGGTTTTGTGCAAAAGGCCGATTAAAGGAGCGATTATCAAAGGCGTTTTGCAAAAAGGGAAGAGAGGAGGAGAAGCTTCGTTTAATCTTGTGGGGTTGAATCTTGCACCGTGCACTTATTTCACTATATTTGCAGCCGTGTAGTAGGAGTTAAAAGGCTTACAAGAGACTAACAGCAAGCAGAGAATAATTAACTGAAGGGATTCGAGAATGAGCACTGACATCGAAGGGATAAAAAGCAAAGATGATGCAGCATTCAAATTGAAGACTGAAATAAACGGAATTGAAAAGGAAATAAAAAGTTGGTTTATTAAAAGAAGATTAAACATGGAGTTGAATTATTCACTAAATAATATTTTTAGTAATTATAACATTGTAGGATTGTCAATTAACAAAAATATAGACCCAAAGGAAAAGATGCTGTGGTATGATATTGTTAATGGAAAGCCAGAACTAGAAGACACCTTAAGTTTAGATGCAAAAGAATACAAAGCAGACTTGTATAATAATATGTGGAATAATAGCACAACAGTTGATAACCCTTGTAGATTAGTTGGTTCAATTTTCTTTCGATGTTTAAAAAGTAATTATCATTTAAAAGAATCTGAAAGAGAAGGAACTTGTATTCATAGTTTTATGAACTTCAACAATTGTAGAAAGGCCTTAAAATTGCAACAAGCAAATAACATAAAAAATGCACTTACAAATCAGCACGTGGAAGATACACATGCCAAAGCTCTCTTTCAGCGTAGGAGTGAGCTACTTGATAAGTTGGACAGAAGCATGTAACAACGTAGATGCAAAAAATGGGATCATCTCCTGTTAGTGCATATATAACGAATTCGTTTATGCAAATGGTTAAACGCAATCAGGAACACTTACACACACACACACACAAAAAAAAAAATAATAATAAAATAAAAATAAAATAAAATAAGTAATGTACCATACTGTACTATACTGCACTATACTATAGTATTATAGTATAACATAATACAATTCAGTATTATGTAAATTTTTTTTTCATTTTTAAAGAGTATACGAGGTAAGCAGCTAATCGTAACCTCACCGAAAAAGAACTCATGAGGGAGGGACCCAGGTTGGTGGGGCGAATCTGCACATCTACCTCCAGCGAGTGTTACCCGTTGGAATGGCCTAAACTGTGACGTGAACTTTTTTTCAAAATTGTGAAACGGCTTTTCTTAAACATTTCCAATTTAGTCATTTCTCCAATTCGTCACTTCCAGTGTGAAGAAGCTGATTCTCTGTTAAGGATTGGTAAAAGTTGGTAGTACCCTCATAAACTCGACTCAAAACAACATCAGAAAGGTTTTTTTTTTTTTTTTTTTTTTTTTTTTTTTACCATATTCTACCAATTTAAGCACCTTCTAATATTTAACGCCTCCCATGAAGGTGCGTGCATCTGGAACTTGCCCATTAAAAGCAGCAGAGGAAAAATCAAAATTTGGATATTCCTGTTGAAAGCGTTCCAAAAGAATTTTCTTTTTTGTATTATCTTCATCTATGGAATTTATACACTTGTGTCCTTTAAAGACACTATTCCATATCTCTGCTTTTTTTACTTTTGTCAAAAGTATGTGCAAATTGTTATCTTCTATAAACCAATAAGAGCAATCTTCATCGATAATGCTTGACAGCTCACCTTCCAGAAAACTCTCCATTCCTTTCAACCCAATTCGAATTCTCTTACTTCGTATATCGATGTCCAAATCATTTTTATTCACAACTTTGGAACTCATGTTAATATAAATATTTATTTCATCAATGCTTTGTTCCCATTCATATATAACGACACCTGCAAGAAGGGATAGTAACAAAAGCAGACGAGCATTAATGAAAAGTGAACAAAAGAGGGGAAAATGAAGAAAAATGGAAAAAGGAGAAAAAAAAAAAGGGGGAAAAGGAAAAAACAAACAAACAAACACACAAACACACAAACAAGCAAGGAATTGTTTCCCTCCTTTTTCCACTTTTTTTCCCTGAATTCCAGAATAAGAATCAGACGATCGTCATGATTATATATTCCACACCCCTCTCCTCCCCCATCAAAAATACATGAACAAAAGTTAGAGAAAAAAAATCAGTATTGGTATTTCCACACAATCAGAGTAATTTATTCTCAGCACAGTTTTCAATTTAGATTCAATGACTTGAAGGAATATATCCTGCCTGACTCCAAAAATCAGGCAATAATTATTCTCCTTATTCATATGCACATATTCTTACCATTGTTAATATATTTGTGTCTTTTGTTATATATGTCTCCCATCCTTGTGTTGTTACAAAAAAATGTTATATGGGTGTTGTGGGATGGATGGAGGATAAATACTGCGTTGCTTAATTTTGCAAATTTTGGAAAAAAAAAAAAAAATTATTATTTCTTTATGATTGTTACACTGTTATCATCAGGTACAATTGTTATTCACCTTCCCCCGGGCATCCGTACATGCAGACAAAGAAGTATGTGTGTCACATGTGTAATGTATGTATACTGCATAAATGGATGAAGAGTAATGCATAAATGGATGCAGAGTAATGCATAAATGGATGAAGTGTTATGCGTAAATGTATAATATATATATTTACATATGCACAAGCGCAAGTGTTTTTTTTTATTTTATTTTTTTTTATTTTATATTATGTTATTTTTTTTCCTTTTCATTCTTGTTTTGCATTCTAAACATTTCACACCATGTGCTAGCGTATTTTTTTTTTTTTTTTCCTCTTTGCCAAGTTTTTTAAGTGACATGTGCTTTCAGTTCGCTTTAATTTTTATCCTTTTTTGGTAAAAAAAATAAAATAGGAACAAAAAGAAAAAAGGGGGTAAAAAAGAACGTAAAAGAAAATGGAAAAAAAAAAAAAAAAAATATAATATAAAAAAAATAATATATATAAAATAAAACAAAGAAAAAACATTGGAGGTTAATCGATTTAATAAGAATTCAAAAAATGGATAAAAACGGAATAAACACCAACATTTCAAAATGAGAGAGGGACCAAGTGAAAAAAAAAAAAAAAAAAAAAAGAAAACCCAGTTCTATCCTTTCCCCGTGAATTCAAATTTACTTTGTTATGCCGAATTTTTTGTGTCTCACTTTTCCCCACTTTTGAGAATTATGGTGTTAGACTTACAAAAACATGCACATGTAAAGTATATGTGTAAATATAACGAACGTGTGCTGTGATCGATGAATATGTCAAAATGGGAGAAAACAGTTGAAGAAAAAAACATATCCTTTTTTTTTTTTTTTTTTTTTTTTACTTTTTTTTCCCCTTGTTCCATATTTTACATATGCGTTCATATGTATATAAAGGAAAAGACTCTCCTTTTTCAAAATAAAAGAAAGGGAAAAAAAAAAAAAAAAAAAAAACACTCGCATATTTAGCAACTTGGATGAACCTCTGAAAGGACGAAATGGGAGGAGACGGTGGTAGCTTACCACAACGAGTGGATCTGGTTCGGATGAAAAATAAAAGATTAAAAGAAAACACAGGAAGTTTGGGTTATGAAAAAAATACGCTGGTAACAGTAAATCAAAATAAGTGTAGCAAGAAAGAACTAAAGGAACATTATTTTAATCACTGTGCGATATCACAGGTTAGTCTGAGTTATGAAAACAAGATGAGTTATGTCAACTTTCAACGTTTTATTATCATGCTATATACGTGAGCTCCAGAATATACCAAATGGGTAATTTATTTTCTGATTTGTCATACCCTTATGTCACTACAATATGTGTATCTTCTCTTGTCACATTCATCACAACATTTCCAGGAAGTGTTACAGGAACCCTTTTTCTGTTGTCGTCTTGGTTATCTCTACAACAAGGAACATATTTTTAAATTGATCTTATTTAAGAAACAAAATAAAAAAAAACGGAAAAAGGACATGTGCTATGAGCATTTTTCACACATAGATTCTCTTAAAGATTTGGTCCTATGTAGAAATAAATTAAATGAAGACAGAAAATTAGTGTGCTTAATTTCGAACGAAATTATTAACTCATCATCTGGAGCTGTGTGTCTCTTCTCATGTGGGTGTGTATTTTCAAAAAAGGTTTTTAACCACGCGCACGTTGCAAAGGTATGATAAAAAAGAGAACCAAGCTGCAGTATTGGCAGTATTGGAAGTATTGACAGGATTAGCAGGATTTGCAGGATTTGCAGAAATATTAACATAACTGTCTTTGTTCCTTACATATTCCCCCTTTTTTTTTTTTTTTTTTTTTTCCAAATGCACAGGAAAATGTATGCACGATGTGCAACAGAAAGTTTAAATCAAGTGATGTTATCGAAATCGGAATTGTGGATGAAACTCTCCTAGAAGAAAAAAAAAAACTAATTAAAAGAAAAAAAGCGAAAAAAGATAAAGAAGAAAAGGACCAAAAATAGTGAAAAAAACCCTAACAAAGAAAAGCATGAAAACAAATGCAGTACGAATGAATATTCTTCATTTTATGAATTATAAAAAACTTCTGAGAAAAAAAAAAAAAATCCTCTCCATTTACCCCTAATAATTAATTTCACGTTTGCTTGATGCGTGGAGAATAGGCATGGAACCTATGCTGCTAGCATACAAACATATATGAATTACTTAAACATATATTTGCAATATATTTGCAATATATTTGCAGTATATTTGCAGTATATTTGCAGTATATTTGCAGTATATTTGCAGTATATTCGCGCGTATTCGTATATATTTTTTTTTTTTTTTTTTTTTTTTTTTTTTCATTCATACCCCCTCCATAAGGTCTTTTTTTTTTTTGATGACATACTAACCCGATCTTAACAATTTACTTTATCCAATTTCGGTATTTGTTTAGTCATACTAGTGCTCGTTATGAGCATGTGTGTATGTGTGTAAACGAGAATGTGCTTTTTTTTTTTTTTTTTAATCTCCTTTAAGGCATTTGCATTTATATTTACATTTACACACATTTGTATACATAATTCCACTCCACATCGTACACACATTTAACCTTCTTTTCATCGAAAGAAATACATAAAAGAACAGGGAAAAAAAAAAAAAAAAAAAAAAAGGAGAGTTTTTTTTTTTTTTTTTTTTTTTTTGTAAATTTTGAAGACTCTTCACATTTTGTGTAAATGGTAACAAAACAGGTTGGGTAAACTTGTTTAACTATTTTTCTCCTCTCAAAGCAGAGGGGAAGACGAGCTATATATTATCTTCAAAGGAAAATGAATTCATTTTTTTTTTTTTTTTGTAAGAAATTCATAAGAAAGACTTCGTAGTAGTAAAATAAATGGAAATTCACAGTTCTTAATCAAGCACGTTTATGTAGTGTTTATGTAGGTTGCCATTTTTTATTTCACACATACAAACACACACACATCGCCGTTACACACATTCGAAAGCAATGTAGATAATTCTAATTTGCCATTTGTATTTCTCTTCAATAGCTAGAAAAGGTGGTACAAGTCATTAAGTGTTAAAACGTGTATTTGTGCGTGACCATTTGCACAAGTCAAAGCACACATGCTGTAAACTGTACGCGATGAAAGGACCCAATGTGGAACCGAGAAAAATCATATGAACAAAATCCTGCAGCCTAGGTAATCACAGAAACATGGCAAATGAAGTTATAATCAATTATGAAACACCTGGTGGGACAGATAACAGCACACAAAAAAAAAATAAACAGATGGGAAACTTCACTCGGGGGAATGGTAGACATGGTGAAGAACAATTTTTGAATTATAAAAACGAATACCAAGTCGAGAATTCCATTTTGCTTAACAAGGAAGAGAACAATGCACACCATGGGGATGCTTCCAGACTCATCAAGGACGCAAAGGATGATGGCAGCAGCTTTGATTCTCTAGTGGATGATTTCTTTGAAAATGTCATTCATAATGCAGGAAGAAAAAAAAAAAAAAAAAAGAAAAAGGGGGAGAAACAGGAAGAACATGAAAAGTGTGAAAGTGGTGAAAGTGGTGAAAGTGGAGAAAGTGGAGAAAGTGGAGAAAGTGGAGAAAGTGGAAAACGTGGAGAAAGTGGAAAACGTGGTGAAAGTGGAAAACGTGGAGAAAGTGGAAAACGTGGAGAAAGTGGAAAACGTGGCGAAAATAGCCCGAATAACCTTATCGTGGAAAAAGAGCACACGGGTTTGCAAAGCGAGAGAGAACAAGCCAAGATCCAAGCGAAAAAAGACTCAACTGAATTGGAAATTAAAGAGAAAGTAATACAGAGAAACAGGGAAATACTGAAGAAAAACCTTAATAGACCCCTGATGCCCTTACTAAGGAAGAAAAAAAAAAAAAAAAAAAAAAATTTTCAAGGAAAGAAAACAAACACTAAAGTAAAAGCAAAATGTGCAATCGATGCAAACTATGTTAATCATGCAAAGGAGTGGAATAGTAATCAAAATGATTTGGGAAAATATAAATTGTCCAAGGAAGAATTAGAACAAAAAAGAAATAGTTTAAAGTCCAAAAATTTAGGGAAAATCAAAATTGAATATCAGCAAAGGTTACAAAGGATGAGAGATAAAGCAAAAAAGTCTCTCACAACACGCAAGTCAGCACCAAGTACTCCCATCTCTACTACAGGCATAACAACCATAACTTCTAAAATAGAGAATAAAATTGGGGAACCCATCACATTGAATGAAAAAGAAATTATTAATAGTTTTATTTCAAATGGAGATGAAACAAATCGACATATTTCGAATTCCTTGCATGATAAGACTTGTCACTTTTTAAGTAAAAAAAAAAAAAAAGAACACCATTTAAAGTGCAAAACTGTGAATCAAATGAATAAAAAAAACAGAAAAAGGGGTCAGCCATGCTCTCCCAGTATATGTAGCAACCGTCTCAGCAGTAGTTCTTATAATCATATGCGTTCCTACAATATTTACAGCAATGAAGAAATATATGTATCAACAGACTTAAGTCATAGTGCTAATTTTTCTTCTTGTGAAAATGACAATGAAGGAGGGAAATACAACAGGAAGTATCTTCAACACAAGGGAAAAGACGCTGCTTGTAGAAGTATTCACCATTTGAGAAAAGAACAAAGAAAAAAAAACAAGCATAGGAACGAGCAATGTGTGTTAAATGAATCCCGTGAAAAGCGATTATTTCGCGTGAATTCCACATTTGACAAGTACTCTCGTGAGTGTAGAAGTGAGTGTAGAAGTGAGTGTAGAAGTGAGTGTAGAAGTGAGTGTAGAAGTGAGTGTAGAAGTGAGTGTAGAAGTGAGTGCAGAAGTGAGTGCAGAAGTGAGTGTAGAAGTGAGTGCAGAAGTGAGTGCAGAAGTGAGTGCAGAAGTGAGTGCAGAAGTGAGTGCAGCAGCCAGTGCAGTAGCTTGCTAAATGTTCGTGTCAGTGAGTGTGAATATGACTTAATCAATCGTTCGCTAAGAGGCGAAGGAGTAAAGCATAAGAAGAAAACCTGGATGAAAAAAGACAGAGACAAGTTTGAACACAAACAGCATGCATGTCTTACAGAAGAGAGTGCATTGCTAGTGAAAAATAAAAAGAAATACACAAAAGGTTATACACATAATTACTGCAGAGAGAGTGATCATATGAACATCTCAAGGAATATGTCTGCATCCACGGATGAAAGTACCATCGATTATTTTATGGAAGAATTGAAAAAAAGGAACGAAGTTCTCTGTCAGAATGTCGAAACGATTGAAATAAAAATAGACAATTTGGAGGAGCTTCATCAAGTGAATAGAAAAAAATTCAATGAAAAGAAATTTTACCCAAACCTAAAATCTAAGTTCTTTTTTCACAAAGATTCTAGTGAAGAAAGATCTTTGAATACGTCATCTGGAAATTCTTCTGACACAGGTTCAGACAATTTTGATCATGTTTTGGATTCTGATTACGAGGAACAAATTCAAAAATTAAGTGCAACCCCTTCACAGGATGGTAACATCTTAAGGCTGAAAATGGCAAAACTTGAAACTTTCAATTCGATAAAAAAAATGATGAATTCGGTTAAGAGACTTAATTGTGGAAGCTACGAAAATTTCTCTGAAGAGAGTAAAGTTTCGCTAACTTCAGAATGGAATGGAAAAACCGAACGAATCGAGGGGCCTAAACAAATCGAGGGGACTAAACAAATCGAAGGGGATGAACAGATCGAAGGGGATGAACGAGCCAGAACCAACCCTTTGATGGAACACCTCTTTCAAGAGAACGAAGAGGCTTGGCCAGAGGCAAGAACTAGTGCATACACAGATGAGGAAAATTGCTTCAAAAGACAAGACTATTACGAGAATGAAAATGAGGAGGAAAAATTAGATGCAATCCCAGGTGAACATAACAATATATACCTCTATCATCGGGACAAGCATGGGCGTGATACCTACAATTCTATCTCCCGCAATGCTGACCAAATAATCGTTTCTCTTAATTTGAATGAGGAGGAATTGAGTAGGTCTTCACTTGAAAAACAAAACTCATATGTAAAAATGAACATTAACAATACAAACGCCCCTTATAACAATACTAGTAGTAACCTTTTCAATTATGACTCTCTTAATAATTGTAGCATAGAAAGGGTAAATGGCGTAGAAGATTCAAATTTTTTATATGAAAATTTTTCAAGATTAGATTTTATCGAAAGGAATTTAAAGAGTGAACGAGGAGGAGAAGTAGAAGAAGAAGAAGAAGGAATTGCGCTTAAGGAAAATTCGAACAGTACAATTTCACACACATCTGAGGATGGTGCCAAGTTAGTTTGCAACATAAGCAGGGGAAACAAGAGCAGTTGTGTAAGCAATAATGTTAATCATTTGAGATCCCATCAAATGGGTAGGAGAAAACACATAGTTTCTCCTCCGCGCGTTGAAATGAGTTCAATTAGAACTCAAGCCACAGGTGAGCTGGCAGCCGGTGGAGTGGCAGATGGAGGGAAATTCAGAGGTACCAAGAAGATGCCCATTGGGAGCCTCAGAAATGAAGCCAAGGGACCCCGAAGGGTTACGGTTAAGAACAAGGAAAATATGGGGAATGTGAAACCCATTCCAAATAAATCAAATGAATCAAATATACCAAATGAATCAAATAAACCAAATGAATCAAATAAACCAAATGAATCAAATAAACCAAATGAATCAAATGTGAATCCTGATGCTGCTATACTCAGAAAGAAGGCTTACACAGAAATGGAAAATATATATGAGGATCAGTCTTTTCATAATTATGAATGTAAGGAAAATGGCTTCAAAGAAAAATGGACAATGTTAAGGGATAAAAAGAAGAGCATAAAAAATGAACATGATAAAAAAGTACAAAAAAGCATGACACAGAAAAATACAGTCAATGGTGCTAACGCTACGTATGCAAAACGAAATCCCAAAACAAAGCATGTTCTGAAAAAGGGTACAATGAACGAGGTACATAATGAAACAATAAATGACACAGACAAGAAGAATCGGCTCATAAGCAACAAAATTATTAACACATCCATTAACTTCGATGATACACAAAACTTAAGTGATGAAGATCAATTCATTTTTGACACTTACCTGAACGAGGGGAACGTAAAGCGAGAAGAAAATTTGCAGGATATTATACAAAACCAGATTGAGGTATTCGAGCGCCAATTCTTGTGAAAAGGAATTAATGGGTAGAGATGCAAATACAGGTGCCCAAAGTTTTTTTTTTTTTTTTTTCTTTTTTTTTTTTTTTTTAGACGCGACTGTATGAGCGTATAGCTATTGCCAAAAGAGGATTCCCCTCAATAACATCTGAATTGCACACAAAAATTGTAATGTTAATCGGATCACGTCTCCTTTCGCTACCCACGTTTCTATTTCTTTCCTCCTTGATTCGAAGCGCATCCAAGTGCTTCCAAATTCATAAGTGCAAAGTTGGCAAAGGATCCGGTATGCATACCACAGCACTCACCCACGAGGGATGGAGGAAGGATGAACAATTTGTGAGTATTATGAATATTTCTTAAAAAAAATGCTTTTATTTTGTTATATATATCAGCTTTCGACATCATAGTGCTCGTCCAGAAGTACTTGGATATATAATGGAACATAGAAAATGGACCCAAGAAGAAATTATTTTTTAATATAGTCAACAATTTGATTTCGATATATTTCAAGTTTAATTCATCTTCATCTGTTTGTTTATTATCTAGGGGTTTCAGTTCAGCTGATGGATGAAACTGATTGATGAAATTGCAAATTGTTAAATTGTACGTTGGATCATTTGCTAGTAAACATATTGTTTCTTTAATTAAAATTTTACTAACATTTCCTATGATGTTTACATCTCCAGATGAACAATCATATTTCGTGTAATAACCAGTTATTGTCTCATCCAAATTACCTGTAGCTATTGTAAGTAAAAATTCGTTATGAAGATTTAGAGGATAATATCTCTTGTGACATATCAAAGTACTAAAGAAATATACCATTAAAAGTCTTGATCTTGATTGTATATTTTGTAAACATAAATCTTGATACATGCTTCCACCTTCACTTTTAAATTTCATTTCTTCCATTAGAAAATTATTTCCAGTATTTTTAAAAAAATCAAATATATTATCTATGCAATAAATTGTATGGTTCGAATTTATTGCTTTACTTAACTCTTCTGCATAAGACATGGTATTTTTACTACTATTTCTAGACGGGAGAGAGAGTGTGTTAAGTAATTTGTTACATATCTTTTTTCTACATGCTTCATTGATTAGTAACTTTCTTATTTTTTTCAAAAAACGGATATTGTTGAAATTGTCTTGGTGGCTACAATCAATAGGGTTAATCATGGGACATTGAGAAGATGAATCAAAATTATGTATCCCATGAACATTACCACTTTTCATATGCATTTCAATCATTATAGATAAAATATACACCATGCATGCGCAAAAACCTGAATCAACTCCACCTGATAAGGCAAGCATGAACCCCTTTGCATTTGTTAGATGTAAAATATGCCATAAAAATAAAGCGCTGTTAAAACTTAACTCTTCATATATATTATGCAGTTCACACATCTGATTCGCAAATTTGTAATGGTATTCATCAGGACTCGGGTGATAATTCTTAAACAGTTTGAATAACAGTTGGTTATTCCTTGTGTATATCTGCCAATTAAAATTCTGAGGGAGATAATTCAAAATAACATCCTTCGAATATTTTATACACAAATCGATGTCTTTATTGTAAGAAAAAATACATTCTTCATTTTTTACAGCGTCTCTATCTATATAATCATCCGTTCTGCTTGTGTATAAGTTCTCAATTTTTACTATTGAATGATTCATCTTTGCACTTCCAGCGGATGAGATGGGATCTTCTTCCTTTTTTGACACATCTATGTTATGGCTGACTCCGTCTAGTGAAACGCTCACTGAAGCTACCTGCACTTCGTCAAATGTAAACCTTGCGTTCTTTGTCAAAATTTCATTATTCTGACTCACAAATGAGAATCCATCGAACTTGCAAAAATAATTATCACATCCAGAATTCGAATTATAACTTAGAACCATATGCGGGTATACATTCGTTATCTCCATCATATGGATCATATATTTTTTAAACAATTGCAACTCGTTCCATATGTACCCACTAATAAGCAGAATATCGACTTTGTTGAGTGCTATATTTTTACTCAGACTCAATTTGATAGGTTCCTGATCGAAGGGGTAAATATTCCCCAAGTGTGCATTTTCACTGCCACTTCCAATGCCACTTCCATTTTCACATTCTTGCTTCTTAACCAAATACGTAGAACCATAACGGTTGAAATGTGAAATCCTTTCATCTATTACTACATTTCTCTCTACTTTTATCAAATCATCCAAGAACAGATGAGCAATTGTAAGACTCCCAAATTGTATGAATCCATTTCCTATGTAGGTTTCCTTTTGGTTTATTACCTCTTGGATGCAATTCGGCAGAGGAAAAGTTTCAAAATTCTTCCCAATTATCTTAACATTCGAGTTGGTAAATTTTATGTAATTAGAATTGGTAGTATGGTTTTTATTTTTCTCCTTCTGTTCATCATTATCAGACTCCGAATATGAAGCAAAATATTTTTTCTCTTCATCATTTAATGTCTGCTTCGGGGATATAAAAATAATTTCATTGTTATATATTACCACTTGGCAATTGTAAAGATGCTTCTTAAAATATACAGGCATACTAACAAAGCATAAAATATTATGTGTTAAAACATTATTCTCATATTTCTCCTTCAACAATTGACTTAAATAGAACCAACAATTTTCATGAATATCTTCAATTTCTTTAAATCTATCTTTGCAATTTACACCACATAGTTCTAACTCACCTCCTATTCTAACACTGCATTTTAATTCTTTACATTTTTTTATACTTTCAATTATTTTCAGTTTATTTTCTTCATAGTCTAACGGGATAGACGATATTGAACAACAGCTCAATCCGAAATTTGTCCTTTTCGCCATTTTTTTTTTTTGGAGTGGAAACAAATTTTGAGAACTCTAAGTTCGTTCACCTTGTATATATTTCTTACCAGATTGGGGTAGCAGCGAACTCTAACTCTATCTAGCTATTTCGTTTTTTTTTTTTTTTTTTTTTTGTCTCTCCACTTTCTTTTCACTATCATCTATATGCGAAATAACTCTCATAACACACTTGTGTGTGACAAAGTGGAAGAGTAAACGAGTGAGCGGTTCACGTATTGATGTATGAAAATATGTTAAGCGAGGAGTAGCCTGCAATGTGAAGCATTAAAGCATAAATGGTTTTGTGTATGAACAACGATCAGCAGAGGCTGTGTGTTCAGGTGATTATGTATCGCTCTTGAATTGGTAAGAAGCTGGAAGAGGCTGGAAGAAGTGGTAAGAAGCATAATCACACTAGGTGGAGAGTGGAAAAACATACGCTTGGAGAAAGAAACAATTTTGCCTTCAATTTTTTTTTCTTTTTTTCCATTAAATGCACGCTTATGACATATGTTATTTTCCACATAAACAAGACCATATAAGCGGAAAAAAAAAAAAAAAAAACAATAAATCAATAAATCAGTAAATCAATAAATCAGTAAATCAATAAATCAGTAAATCAATAAAACAATAAAACAATAAAAGAATGAAACAATAAAAGAATGAAATGAAGAAATGATGAAATAAAAAAAAAAATGCCAATTATACGCAACGGAGCGACACTTGCAGTATTTGGCATGTACACCAATATACGATGTGTAACTGAGCAAAATTTTTATGCATTCCTTCTTCTCTTTTCTTTTATCTGCATTTGTATGTTCGGGTCTGTGTTAAGGAATGTCAAGTAAATGAAATAAGGCAATACATACTTAACGAACAGCATTTTCCTCGATTTCGTGATCAATCTAAAAAGTAACAAAAAAGGGAGAAGAACAATGGAGTGTCGGGATGAGGCGCACGCTGTGTAAAGGTGTCCGGATGCTCATGTTTACATCTGTCTGTGCATGTATATATATATATATATATATATATATATATATGCATACGAATGAGAGCATAAGCCCTGCAGGCATAGGTTCATGGCACGGGAACAGATAGACTCCATCATTATAAAGTAACGAATAAAATGTTAAATTTGTGCAGCACATCCATTTTTGAAGCCCTACTTTGGCCTCTTCTTTGGCCCCTTCTTCTTTGGATGCCTGTTTTTTTGCGAGACGCCTTACCCGGAATAGTACACAGTGGACATGGCTGTCGCAATGAGAACGACAAAATTGGTAATGTACATCAACTTGATGGAAAAGGAAAAAGGGTTGAAGGCGTAATAAAAGGTAGCTATATAAGCGAAGCAACTGAAACACACCAACATATTTGTCTTGTACTCATTAAAATTGGTAATAAATGGAATTAAAAAAATGCTAGTTATTAATTTTCCAACTAAAAATATATCAAACATATTGTAATAATTTAGGATAGTATATAATTCCTTCATGTTGTATATTCTGCTATTAATAGAGTAAATTATGTCAATGATTCCGAAGAATGTATTAACTAGACAATTTAAAATAGCAAAAATGTTTAACAATTTTACACTTCTATAATTCTTCACCATTAATGATGGTAGGAGGAATAAAACATTTAAAATGATTTGTGTTGGTATTCTCATCCAAAGAAATCGATTAAATATACGTATATCTATGGAATTATTTAAATTATATTTTGTTATTACCAATACTGGTTTTTCTAAATAAAACAGGTTGGGCGATTTTAGTTCTCTATGATCAACTTCCAAGAAGAAATAGAACATCTGCATTTGTACATATATTGTTAAAACGTTTAATAATAATAATAACATGTTTAAAAGATAAGCGCTTTTATAATAATCAAATAGGACACCTTTCACCCAGTATTTGTACCATTTTGTAAAATTCTTATACTTTAGTATATAATCCAATTCATTATCTTGCATATTATATTTCCACTCAGATGTGTAAAATGTATCGTTATATTTTTTCCAGTATTTCCTCCCTTTTGTGCATTTTGCACACCATGATTTTGTATACTCTAAAATGTTTCCAATGGGGTTCATAAATAAAATGAGTTTTTTCCAATTATGACACATCATCATTGTCTTTTTCTTCTTCGTCTTCTTCTTCTCCATATTGTGAGGTTTCTCCTTATAGTTTATCGAAATAGCATCATAAAATTCGAGGAATAAACTCTTCTTAACATCTATCTCAGAATCTCTTTTTTTTTGTTTTTTTTTTTTCTTTTTCAGCGATAATTTTGTAACATAATAACAGTTGCTTTTTTTCTTCTCTGTTTTATCGGGTCCTTTTTCCCCTCCTGTAGAGTGAAAATAATTTTTTCCATTGTCTTTTTCAATTTCTTCCTCTTCTTCTTCTTCTCTGTCGCCATTTGTTCTTTCGTGACCTGGTTGTTCAGTGATCATACCATCATCCAAATTAGAAACATTTCTCTTCATGTGTCCTACTCGATAGCATGAGGATGTTTGGAGGGATGAAAATGCCCGAAGACACCTAGTTGCGTGTTCCTTCTTTTTCTCCTTCCCATTTAAATTGCGTTCCTTCAAATTGATTTCATTCAACACACAGTTGTTCACAGAATGATTTTCAAAACCAATGGCTTTTTTGTCGCATTTACCCTTCCTAGTCTTATGTAGACTCTCATTAGAAAATGTGACACACGTTGCACTTGCATCATGATCGCTTTGTTCATCTATTTCCGACGTGGAGGATTCATCCAAAACATCATCAATATAAAATGCGTTATTGGATGAAGGAAGATTATTATCACTTGATTCTTGTGGTAGAATGACATTGGTTTCTTTTTTTTTAGATTTATTTACATAAAAGTGGCCCTTGTCCCTGATACAAATCATATCTCTGTTATCGTTGTTACTATTGCTAGATTCGAAGTGGTATATCGGATTCTCTTTTATTTTCGCATTCAAATCGGTGATATGGCTCCTTTTTGCTGCTTCTCCTTCTGTTTGAGCTCCCTGGAGCAAGTAAAACAACCTTGTACTATTTTGACACATGTCCTTCATTTGGTTTTGTCGTTCTTCTATATCGGAATCTACCACTGACATGGAAGATGTGTAATGGTTGTAACTAGAACTTTGCCCTTTCTTCTTTGTTCTTAATGTATCAAAATTGGAAAAGCTAAATTTTATGTCTTTTCCTACGTTATCATTATTTCTAATAACGCAATATCTACTGTTCTTGTGTTTCTCATTGATGAAAAAGGAGTTTCCAATTTGGTTCTCCCTAGCAGTGACAGCACCTTCTCGTGATTTTTCCTGTTTCTTGTCTCGTAAACTTCTTAATAAGTTCCATTTTACTACCTCTTGCATATTATCACCAATTTCTAGCAGAGATTTTTCCTCTAAAAGAGTGAATATTTTATAATAATTATCAAATATCGTGGATATATTGTTATTCCTTAAGTACGTTGATATGTTACTTAAATTGTGCCTCTCTAAAACATAAAGAGGAATAATTTTGGATTGCTTAACTTTTCCATCCCTATTGAAATATATATAATTAATTTTATTTTTCAACTCTTCTGATAGTAGTATATTTTTTCTCCTATGAAATTTCCCAAAACCACTACGCAGTAAGCTAAAATGTCTATGAATTATCTCTTTTTTCGACGTTTCTTCATAATTCTTATTATTTAACTTGTCCAATTTTTTTCCAAATGGATTTACATTTGCACTATTCAAATGGTATATGTTGCTTTTTGATAATCTATTTCTATGTCTACGCGAAGGTAAATGTTGTACGTTATGTAAATTATTTCCCAAATGCCCAGTTTTGTCTACACTGCTGGAAGTGTGATTTTTTGTGTGGCTGTCAAATAATAGATCCTTTTCACCCTTCGTGTTTATACTTCTTATGGAATTTTTTCTCTGTGAAAAATTTCCATTTGGAAAATTTTCGGAAGGACACACTTTTTTTCTATATTCCTTTTTTCCTTCTTGCATTTTTCCATCTTGCATTTTTCTATCTCCCATATTTCTATCTTCCATATTTCTATCTTCCATATTTCTATCTTCCATATTTCTAGTGCATATTGATTCCTCGGTTTTATATTCCTCTCTCACTCCTTCTCCTTCCATTTGGCACGAAGAAACACTTTCATTCTGTATGTTAATCTTATTTACTTCCAAATGAAAATTGTTAATAATCGAACAGTTAACATCACTGACATCAAGTGGATCTTCATACTGAACACTGATCAGGTTATCACTATATTCACCCACCTTTATCCTGCTTTTATTTATTGTCTTGATTTTTTTGATACTATCATTCATCTCATATTCGAATAGGTTATTTCCTAGGAGCACGAAAGGATGTGGTGATATGAATGACTGTATATGTGGGAAAAAGAAACTGAATGTTGTCAAAAAAAGTAGCCCCTACTCATATATATATATATATAATATGTATACAAAATAAAAACATATAGTGTGTATATGTATATCCACCCTTCATAGGAAAACTTTCACTTTTTCTCATTCCCACAAGCATGCTTATTTTCCCCCTCATTCTGTAGAAAAAAAAAAAAAGGCTTGAGAATCTTCCTTCCCCCATTCCCATTTATTAACATAAATGCACTAAATGTTTACATTGCGTGTGGACACACATATGATCAATGTCTATCTTGCATTTCCACACTTTTCGAAAAAAAAAGTATCACACTATACATACGGATAACAAGCGAATATATACAAATATATAAAAACGAATAGAAGACATCATTTTATTTTTTTTTATTTTGTTTCCTTCTCTTAACCTAGTATATCCACACTGATATTATTCTGCTGACAGTATATTAAATTGTTTCTTATTAAAATGGCTTTCTTCTCTAGTTCCTGGAAGTATGGTTCGATGGTGTCAAAAGCACACAACGGCTTCTTCTTAATAGAGGCTATTTGTTTAGCCAAAATATACAATGCTATATGAATTAATATACATATTAAAATGTGAATAAGAAGAAGGACAGTGAAACATAGAATAATAATAAATGATGGCATACTATGATAAAAACGTAAGAATCCTGTAATTAATGTAACGGTGCAGATAAATAACAATCCTCTTATTTTTATGGATGTAGACAAGCTTAAAATGTATGTAAAATAAACTATCTTTGTCCATGATAAAGCAGAAGTGAATAAAAGTGCAGAGGATAAAGGAAACAAAAACATATATATAATAAATAAATAATGTATACAAATAATTTGTTTTCCATTTTTATTTTTGGAAAATACTTCCTCTATTTTTAAGACCCCAATTTGCATAACAAAAAAAGAGCACCATATCATTTGAGATATCCTTTCCTGAATGTTTATGAATTCAAAGGTATTTATCCCATCCAATAAAAAAAAGAAAATTTCCATGAAAATTAATAAAATTAGGGAACAAATAGAATTCAGCAAAAATAAGTTCATAAATTTTGTAGATTTCTTCATCTTTCGTTAAGTGTGTAATGGGGGTTAGAGTGAAAAAAAAAAAAAAAAAAAAGGTGGTGCAAAAGCGAAACCATACACAGGTGAAATATATGGTTAGTACATGTAGTGTCATATGTCTCTCTCATTCTCAGGGTTATCCCTAAGAGGCGGAATAATATATTTTATAAAAGGGTAAACGTTAAGAAACATGAAATGATAAAAAATGAGAAAATGTAGTGAAAGAGACAAATTAAATAAAAAATGTGCATACCATATTGCAAATATGGAACAAATGATTTAGTTAAGAAGGTTAATGCATGTGACATAGTCTCTGCATGTAAACATTGTTTGTATCCTAATTATCACTTGATGTTTTAAAGAGAAAAAAATAAAACACAAAATGATGTGAAGCATAGGAACAATTTGGTACACAACATTTAGTGTATATAAAAACTAACATGCAGTCTATTTTTTTAAAAAAAAAAGGTCATAACGGTTTCAAGAATGAACTAATTTTTCATGCAAAGATTAAAAAAGTTTGTTAAAGTGGTACTTTTAAGTTTATTTTTAGCATGCGTAAAAACAAACGTGTGTGTTTCATGTGTTCATGGGTTAAATGGAAACACTGTGAAAAAATAAATCTTTCTTAAAAATATTATAATGTAATTCGTAAACGAAATTTTATTTTTTTCTTTTTACACCTTTTTAAATATAGAACAAAATGTTTTTGTAATTGCGAAAATTATGACACCTTTTTCTGCGATGTTGTTTAATTTATTGTTGCAATTAAATTATTAACATGTGCACATGTATTTTTTTTTTTTTTTTTTTTTTTTTAAGGAATATGCACATTTGGCTACTCGAAATTTTTTTTGTTCTATCTTGTTGGCACCTTCTCAAGTTTAAACAGGTGGAAAATTTAGCTGTTCTAACTGGAGTTCTTTTATGTGTATGTATCCTAATAAGAATAGACATATTTAAAAATGAAAAATATAATTTTCTTTGTACACACAATAACAAATATTTTTCTGTTTTGTGCACACCATTTTCGATGTTGTATGAACAGTGGTAGCTACATACTCTTCAGAAAAAAAAAAAAAATTCTGAACGGCAATACACGAATTTGTTTTTTTCGATGAATTGCCACTGTTAGAACGAATCAATGTGTTGTAAGTAAAATGCTCACGTCCTTATATGTACAACACATATAAAGACATGAGTATTTTGACCCTACTTCAATATGTCCTTTTTACGTTTTTATTTTTTCGTGAATTACACAAAATTAATTATAGATGGCACACGACAACAAGAGTGTGATATTTCCTTAAACATTGTTTGTTTTGCACATATGTATTTTTTTTTTTTTTTTCACTCCCTTTCGAAAAAAAATAAAAAAATTTATTTTTTACACCATTTTGTTTCCACATTGTAGAATGTGTAGATAGTACTATTTTCAGCTAGTTTTTTACGTGTTTTCCATTATATATGTGGATGTGTAAAAAAAAATAACACTTGACAAAAAACTCCATTTTACAGAATGTCATAGCTGAAGTTGTGTAGTATTAAAAAGTGCAAAAGTAGTTTCATCAAACGAACAATCCTCCGTGTGTATATTTTCATATTTGTAGGGGACAGCCAAGTGGATATTTTTAAAAGGTGCACATATACATATATATGTATATGAATTGTGGGTACCAATCAAGGAACAAGAAAGTGTAGTCTTGATTGGTACCCACAATTCATATACTGACATTGCGTCAATACCAAAAAAGAGAAACATGCTATTTATTGTATATTTTTATAGGTACTGATAAAAACCCTTTTTTTAAAAAATAAAGACCAGCAGATTCCTTTGCCCATATTCCTAGGGAAAATGTTAAAATGTAATGTGAATAAAAAATCCATGCAGTACCAATGTAAGTGTGATGTAACGTAACCCAGCTATATGTTATTCTTCCTTTTTTTTTTTTTTTTTTTTTTTTTTACGGTCAATTGTAAATTATGTACAATTAGCTGTCACGCATGATTATATGGGCTCGGAAAAAAAAAAAAAATTTTTTTGTTACATAAAAAGTTAAGAAAATTATTAACGTTCAATAAAAAAAACAAAAAAAAAAAAAAAAATTAATTGTACTTCTTCTGTGAACATATAATTTAAACCTAATATACTGAATAGGAGTATAAGATACGACAAAGAAAAAAAAAAAAAAAATGACCATGTACACGCTATATATATATACATACATACACATGTACACACGTTTTACAAAAGTTTAAAGAGATTTAACAGAAAATGTGATGAAAAAAATAAAGGCTTGTTAAAATACATTTATAGACATACTGAAAGAAATGATTGTATATGTAAATACGCAAAGGAGATTTACTTATTTATTTTCTTTTTTAGACTTTTTTTTTTTTTTTTTTATTAAGTAGTTTTTCTATATGTACATATATATGTTCGTACTTATATTTCTCATTTTTATTTTACATTAAGAGGTAATGATGCAAAAAAAAAAAAAAAAAAAAAAAGTTTTTTTCTTCTTTTTTTTTTTTTTTTTATCGTTTAAAAAATAATTTTTTCTCTATTTATATTTTTAGTTTTTGAGTGCACATGGAAATGTATTAGTTTACAGATAGAACTTAAAGAGTAGTTACATATAAAAAATGTATTAAGTACATCCAGTAATGTGCTTTTTGAGCCATAGTTGAAACATTAGGCAAATTGTTTAAAAAGAGGACAAAAAAACTTCACATAATGTTGTTCTTTTAAATGTTTGAATAATGCGAACTCACTGCACCTTATGGAACAAAAATTTCCATGGTAGCAACCTTTCGAGGTACTATTTCGAAAGATGAACCTTTGAAGCATAATAAATGGTGGCAGTGTGTAAAAGCAAATATTACATTACAGACCTGTAAGCAAACATATATACGTGCACTCACTCATGTACACATATATATGTATACACATGATAGAACTATTCCTACCATGCTCAGTTAAAGGATGACACCTTGCCTTCGTATCAAATGCAAATAAAAAGAAATAGAACCGAATCTCAAATACAACAATAATGTGTTTTGATTAGAAGAGTACCCATACTTGTGCAACAATTTGCAAACTCCATATGTGCCTCGGGAGGAAGCAAAGAAAGAGAATAAAAAAAAAAAAAAAAAAGTGTTTAGCGACTTTGCCAGAAAATCCAGTAATATCAGCAATATTAGCAGTATCAGCTATATCAGCAATACCAATAATACATAAATCTTGTTCCATTTTAGCACATTAAATACGCATGTTGTGATAAAGAGTTATACATGTATAAGAGTTCAAGTGCTTCCAATCGCACAAATAAAGAGAAAAAAAAAAAAAAAAAAAAACGAAAAAAAACGAGAAAAAAAAAAAAAAGTGGTCCTTTTGTGCGCACCCATGGGAGTGTGTTACATACCATACATATACTATTATATACCTATGTTCGTACTCTATATAGCACGAACATATATATATATATAAAACGTGGATCTGTAAGTGTTCATATGTTTTGCAGAAACACATGTGAGATGCATTAACTACAACTTTTGTGTGAGGAGGGGAATGTTATAAGACAAAGTAAAAGCAGAAAAAAAGGTTGTGCATATAGGATTGTATATTATGCAAATATATCGCAAAAATGTACTCTCTCTGAAGTGCATATTTTGCTGTTTAAAGGATTAAAAAGAAAATATATATGTATACACTTATGCATATGTACACATAATTATCCAAATGCTACGCTTACACGAGATTAATAATGAGGCTGCAAGACACTAGGGTAGATGAAGACAATAACATGAAAAAGCAAAGAATAAAAAAAAAAAAAAAAGAGGATGTCCTTTTAGAATATTTAATAGATAATAATGTAAAAGCTATACACCTGCTTGATAGCATATGGATGTATTATTTTTATCATAATATAAAAATAATAACAAAAAATATAAAAGAATTGCAAAATGGAAGGGGCAACAAACACATTTTAAAAAAAAATTTACAGGCACTTAGAATAAACATTAATGATGCCTATGATTATTTCCAAGGAATTTTAACGAACGTTGTAAAAATATATAATAAAAAAAAAAATGAATACATTTCCTACATGATTAAAGTGTTGGATAAAAGAAAAGGATATTCTCCACATGCGTATATATACGATGAGAATAATGACATTATTGATTTAATGAAGGACCCATTTGGACAGGAAGATTATGTTAACAGTGTTATAGATAGATTCTATACCTTCGAAAATAATAAGAATAAGGAGAATAATGAAAAGAGAAATCGGAATGAAAAATTGCACGGTAATTTAGAAATTATTAGAATATGCATAAGTAACATATTCAAAATTTTGGGAGATTTAGGAAGATATAAATTTTACTTCTTAAGGGAAAATAAAAAAAGAAATGAAATAAAATCATGCATAAATTATTACAAAGCATTGAATTATTACAAATATAGTGGTCACTTATTTAATCAGCTTACCTTATTGTACATAGAAGGTAATCCAATAAAATGTTTGTTTTTTTATTTCCTATCTTTGATATCTGTTAATCCAGCTCCAAATAGGGATACAGTTGTTATGTTCATGAAAAGTATACTCAATGAGAGGAAGAAAAGTCTAGTCAAATGGTTGGAAGGTTTGAGGAATACTTCATCTGAAAGCACACCACGTGTTGCCAAATGTGATAAATCAGGTAAAGACAGTGCAAGTGAAATGGAACACGAAAAAAGTAAACGAAGTTGCCATAGTAGAGACTCTCAAAATAATCACAGTAGAAATGAAATCAAAAGTTATCATGAGGAAAACACTGTCAGTAGTGAAAGTCGTGTGAGTAAACACGGCATGGTGAGCACGAATAACCTTGGAACATCTTCCTGTAAACTTGGAAGAGGAATATTTTTCATCAAAAATATAAGTGGAAATATGTTATCAAAGAGGAATTGCAGTGATAATAGAGCAGAGGATTTTTATCGTAGGGATTATAAATACGATTATGTAAAAATGCAAATGGGAAGAGATTCTGCAGGAGGGAAAAAGGAATTGATTTCTAAAAATGGAATTCGAAGTTCAAGGGGAAAATATGGATACGAAAGAAGGAAAAATGAGGAAGAGAAAGTTGAAAATGAAGCTAATGAAACTAATGAAGTTGAAGTGGAAGCTGAAAGGGACGTTGAAAGGGAATTCAAGGAAGCCATTTTAAATTTTTACATGAGTTATTTCAAAATTATAAAGTTACTTTTTTCAAAAATTGACATGAACAAATTTGAAAAGAAAAAAAATAAATTCATTTACTACACGAATAGATATGTGAAGCTTCAATATTATAGTAGGAAGGAAGATAAGCTAATGCTAAAAAATATTATTTTTATTATTTTCACCTTGTTAAGTTTGGTGGTCTATGTAATCGTTAACCAATATGAGAATGGAAGGAATAAGGCGGGTTATTTTTTTTACGGAAATGTGAATATTAACAAATATGTATACAAAAGTGAACAAATTTATTTTACCTTTCTTTTAATTTATGAAATATTATTGTCATGTAAGTATTTCTACAACAATTTTTACTCCAGCTACTTATCTGTTTTTATATACACGCTCTACTGGTTTAGAAATGAGCAAAATGTTCAAGATGTTCACATGAGCAATTTCAATGAGGAATACAACAAGGAAAAGCAGAGCTTGATAAAACAGTACTATGAGGATTATCGGAGACAAACTGTTTATGTCTGTTCAAATAATGTGAAAAATGGAAGCGAGCAGAGTATCAGAAAGGAGGGCAGGACAAACAGCAAAAGGGAGAGGTTTTTAATGAAAAAGAAAAAAAATTACAATAATTATAGCAGCAGTGCTGGGAATGGCAGCAGTAATAACAAAGTAATGGAAGAAAATGAGGATCCCAAATTTGTCTGCAATAACGACATTGTAAAAAACATCAAAGATCTGCTATGCAGCATAAGGCTGAGGAAGGATGTTCAGGTGGATAACTCCCTACTGCAATATACTTTGAAGGAAGATTTTCATATTTATCCATTTTTGAGTAGTTTAAAATTTGATAAATTGAAGACAGATGAGGGAAAAGCTATCAATGAGAGGGACGATAAAGTGAACGTCCATTTGTTCACAAACATTGTACTTGCTTCTGACGAGAAATTGGATATTCAAGATTCATCAGAAGAAACAGGGAGAAGCAAGAGCGAGGTTTATTTTGAAAAGAAAATGTATCAATCAAATAAGCAGGCTGCAAATTTTGAAGATTCTAACGAAGAAGATGTGGTTCTTTTAAAAAATCCATTATTTGTAAAAGCATACAATTCATCCATGAACGATAAAATAACAAATAACAAAGATGATTCATGTAATAGTTTAAATTGTTATAACGATTTGTATGAAATGTCAATCATGAATTGTAATAACTTAAACATTTCAGAACTTAACAATATGAACGAGGATTTTGTTAAGATTGACAATGGCTTTAATAATTCATTTGAACAGAACAATGAAGATGATACTTCAGCAAGGAAGTACAAAAGAAATGATTCCTTTTCGTCCCATTCAACTGAGAAAGAACATACAAAAAGAGAAGAATCTATTGTAGCAATGAAGAATATAGAAAATAGGGAACATATAGAAGAGATGGAAGAACGGGTTCGAGTCATGCGATTTAAGTCGCTTATCCAGAGTAGAGAAAATGAGGAAGGTGATGAAAATCATCAGTTTTATAATTTCTTTAGAAAATATTTCAATTTTAGATGCACAGAAGAGAAAATAGATCAAAATAATCCTCCAAATGGAGGAGATGCTCCTTTCCTCAATTCTGCAAAGCAGTTACATGGTTACAAACCGACAAAGGATTCAAACGTCCCAAGAGGTAATCAAGAAGAGAAATGTCAAATTAAGTGTCCTATCATCCCAACCTTCACCCATGCCGAAAGTACTATTGAAAGTGGTAACTCTTGCACAGATAGTGGAAATGATTTGATCATGCACAGTTCAGAAGTGCCACAGGCAATAGATGTGACAAATGTTGTAGGCTTGGATTATGTGCTAAAGAACTCGACTCCAGATTGTACTTCACTGATCGGGGGAGAAATTTGTAAGAATGAAATGGTGAGCTGCACCATAAACAGAAGTGACATTGATGTTGGTGTTGATGGTGTTGATGTTGCTGATCTTGATGCTGCTGCTGATGATATCAAAACGGAGAGCACCACGAGGAACCATCGTAACCAGGTGCGCTACAGGAATGCCCGCAATTTCATGTATGAAAAGGAGGTTCATTCCGAAATGCATGCAGATGTTATGGAATATGAAAAGGATTACTTTGACTATGACATGTTAGAAAATTTGAATCAGATTAGGAGTAGTGCATTTTCGTCCACTTGCGATGGTATTATAGAAACCGATCAAAAATGCAAACATGTTTTAAGAGAAAAATATAATTTATCAAATGATATTACAAAAGAAAATTTCGAATCAAGTTTTAAGAAATGCTCCTATGATGAGCTGGACGATTCTTATTCAAAAAAAATGACCAAGTCGAAAGAGAGAATTTCACGAATTGATAATATCCCCGATTATGTAGTCCGAATGGATGTTCACATGGTGAGGGAAGATGATTTGGTGGAGCTTCAGATGAGAGAAGATAATTTGGTGGAGCTTCAGATGAGAGAAGATAATTTGGTGGAGCTTCAGATGAGTAAAGTTCAAGTGAGTGACTCTCAGATGGATGACATAAATTCTATGGGACCAACAAGGGGGTCAAGTAGATCCTCGAGATATAGCAATCCCCTCCTGAACCGCATGAACAATGCAACAAATGCATATCATAAACTGATTGAACACACCTCTTTGTACAATGAAAAATCGCACAAGACGGTGTCCTGTTCAGAAAAAAGTGAAGAATATATTAATTCGATACTTAAAAAGATTATAATAATAGATGGAAAAAACATCGGGACGAGGTATCAAGATAATTACATAAGATATTTTGATATATTTCGAATAAAGGTTGTATTAGATTACTACAAATTCAAAGAGTATGATGTGAAGATAGTTATTCCAGAGGAGTACATAATACAAGGGAAAAATATCAACACAGAGGAAAATACAAACAGGCTGTATTATCACTTGCACTTGAAAAACAATAGACAATATACAGAATTTATTCTGACCAAAAATGATTTGCTCTTTTTTCATCATCTTCATATCTTAGGATGTTTAATTATACAACCATTGGAAAATTACTATTCATTTTGTATTGACCTTGTGCAAAAATGGAATTCTTGCTTTGTTACAAATGTGACTATTGCTGAGTTGAACACCAAAGTTCATGAGCATGTGCATCATCCCTTGAAAAATATTGCTGCACATTTTATATCGTACACCTTTTTAGGGGATGAATTTTTGCCAAACCCTACCTTTAGGTGGCCCGCAGTTTGTAAGTACAAGGTCAGGTAGAGATGAAGATGTAGAAAAGAAACAAAATGATGAGCGAATTAGACGGAAAAAAAAAAAAAAAAAATGCTGACAAATCATTATAAAGATCACATTACAACCCCATTGTTATTGTTACTGTTATTGTTGTTGTTATTGTTATTGTTCTTATTGTTGTTGTTTTTTTTCCGTCACGTCTGCTTCTCTCCTGTGGTTCACAATCGCGATTATGAAACCATCTTGTTCATTTCTCCAATTTTGACAATTTTTCTTTTTACAGATAACTGGGTCTTAGTGAAACGCAGTGTATAAGAATGAAAGTCCTAACAAGAATTATCTCAAACTTTATTATAGTTTATTCTGGATAGAATGTAAAGAGAGTTTTTTTTTTTTTTTTTTTTTTTTCAGTACGTATATGTGGAAATGAGTTCATAAAGTGGATTTGAACCGGGGTCTACTTAAAGTGTAGTTGTAAAAATAAAATAATTTCCATAAAATGTAGGTTAAGTAAAATACAGACGTGTGAAATTTGAGCTACAGTTGCATAGGAATAAAGATGGCTGACCCAAAAGTAAAGGAAGAATCTTACAGAATGTTCCATTTTTTATCAAGAACAAAAATATATTAACATAGATCCCAACAATTTTATTGACCATTTAAAACGATTTTTTTTTTTTTTTTTTTTTTTTCGATGCAAAAAACAAGGATTCGTATTTTCCTGATTTTTACCGTTTTTTTTTTTATTTGTTTTTACAATCCTTTTTACAGTCCCTTTTTTTTTTTTAGTTTTTCTTAGATTATATTAGAAAGGATTAAAAGTAAAATACACATATTTGTATGATAAAGGCATACAGTTTTACATATGTGTAACCCATTCAGCTTCGAATACTATGAATATTAATGTACATAAAAATATATATAAAATTGCCAAACATATGTGCACATATATATTTGACTTTGTGCCTATTTTTTTTGCAATGGTTGAGGTATACCACAAAAGCATGTAATAAAAAAAGAAAAAGGACCTTATTGACGAAAGACCATATTTTTTTTTTTTTTTTTTCGTGCCTGGATGGGGAAAAAGGGAAATAACAAGATTCTAAAGTATATATATATATATATATACATATCAGTACAGTATAAAAATAGGCATACTGTACTACTGCATGATTCTTTTCCACATATGAACATGTAGACCTGCTTTAGATATATATCTATATACAGGAACTTGTTGCATGAATATGCATAGAGAAATGTGTGCTTAGACTTTAACTCCACATACAAGGGCACATTTATGTGTGCGTGCTTGCTTGCATATTTTTGTGAGTTTGTATGGGCACATGCACTGAGAGTGGGGAACACTTTGAATATATATTTGAAAGACAAGTTCTTCAAAAATTTTCGTATTCCTATATGTGACAGTATGTTACGTCCAATGTTGTGAAGAGAAAGGAATATAGGAATAGTAAACAAAAACGAAAAAAAAGAGAAGAAAAAGTAAAAACAAAGAAAAAAAAAAAAAAAAAAGAAATTGTTATTTGAGCAATCGATTAATTTGTTTATCTGTTCATACCTTTTCACACCGTCTCGCACAGTTTCACACTTTTTTTTTTTTTATCATAAAAAATACGCATATGTATTTTTTGTCGATATCGCTATAACAAGCGTGCGTGAGGAAACAACCTATATACTTAGAATTACACCGGAGAGTCTTTTTTTTGTTCTGTTTTCATTTCTGAGAGATGATAATGAATAAATGTGTGTGAGAGTATATAAGCATTTTTTTATATGCCTGGCAAGAAGCTATGCTGATGAACACCCGTAAATATTCTAAGGAACCTTTTCAGAAATGCTTCAATTTCGAGGACAAAAAAAAACCCTCCTCCTGTAAAAAACGAATTTTGAATGCTGGGATTTGGAAAAGGTTGTGATAATTTCTTGAGTCTTAATGTGTAACAATTAAAGAACTTAATAATAAAAGTGAAAAGAAAATAATATAAAAAAAAAAAAAAAATAACTAAAACTAAAATAAATAAATAAAAATAAAATATATTGATAGACATATAACTATTTTTGTTTTATTTTATTTTACTTGGTTTTATTTTTAGTTATTTTTTTTTTTCAAAAAGGGGAAAATACGCACAGAAGTGTTTCTATGCCATGTACGTATAACCCGTGAGCATATCCAAGCAGGAACGATAGAAAGTAACTTTCTTCTTCTTGTTGACAGCTTGGATTACTGCAACTGTGCAAAAAAGGAGGAATTCCAAGTGCTAGAAAATTTCTCTGTACACAAAAAATATACACATTCTTTTGGGAGAGATAATTTCTGGATTCTTACTACAAGGAAAGGAAGAAAAATTCTCATTGGAAATTTTTTTCATATCTGGAGTATACAAAAAAAAAAAAAAAATTATGTCCAAGCATTGAATATACAATAAAATACAAAATACTCTTTACGCACCTTTGTGACAATCTTCATTTTTCATATAAAACTTGAAAAAATATATGTTTTAAAAAAGTAACACCTTTTGATGTACTTAACAAAAAATAAAAAGGCCTAACACAAAACAGGTGATAAGCTAAATATGGAAACAAGTCTAAGGACGTGAAAATTTTTTAAAGAATAAAGCGGTTGGTATAACTTCGTAATTGGCAACAGGAAAAAAAAAAAAAAAAAAAAAATGTTACAAAGATTTCTGATTAGTAAGAATATGCAAAGGAGTATTGTTCGTTACAGTGTGCTTACCACATTAATTTTTTTTTTTTTTTTTTGGTTGTGTGTGTGTGTGTGTGATTTAGAAATAATCGACTTTGCCAAGGGCGGATATTATCAAACTGAAAGTTGCTCTCACGTATAAGCATGATCACACTTGTACATAAGTGTATATTTACATATATATAAACACATATATGTAAACACATATATGTAAACACATATATGTAAACACATATATATAAACACATTTATGTAAACACATATATATAAACACATATATATAAACACATATATATAAACACATATATATAAACACATATATATACGAATGCCTTCTCTCCTATGAGAAAAGCAAGTGAATTATAGAGAGGCACAGATGCCTTCGTTGGTCACACATTTTAATTACATATTCAATTGTGTGAACCCACGAGAACACGTACATACATCCATCATGTACACAAACACATCCCTGGAACCAGACCAAAGGGGGTGAGCTTTTATTCTATTATTTTATCATTTTATCATTTTACTATCTTATCATTTTACTATCTTATCATTTTATTATCTTATCATTTTACTATCTTATCATTTTATTATCTTATCATTTTATTATCTTATCATTTTATTATCTTATCCTTTTATTATCTTATCATTTTATTATCTTATCATTTTATTATTTTTCTTTCTTAACTCAAGTATGAACATTTTACTTTCTGGATAAGACATAACAAGCAAGACGTCTCTGTGTGTGTGTGTTTGTATGTGGTTCCCTTTTGAAAAACATGCGACAGATAGCGAGAAAGTGAAAGTGGTAAAGGGAAGAATAAAAAAAAGGAATAATTCTTACCATTTCTAGCTTTTCGAACATTTCTAACTTTTGGAACATTTCGATAATGAGCCGAAAAACACAATAGCAGTTAATAGCAGTTAATAGCAGTTAATAACAGTTAATAGCAGTTAATAACAGTTAATAGCAGTTAATAACAGTTAATAGCAGTTAATAACAGTTAATAGCAGTTAATAACAGTTAATAGCAGTTAATAACAGTTAATAGCAGTTAATAACAGTTAATAGCAGTTAATAGCAGTTAATAACAGTTAATAGCAGTTAATAACAGTTAGATTTATAAGAAACCAAACTAACATAAGTGCACTTTTTTTTTGTAGGTTCCCACCTGTCGTCAAACGCAGAACGGTGATAAATATATATATATATATATATATATACATGGCTCTATAAACACACACTTGTACATACACGTGTTATTTCCCTATTACAAGACGGACAAAAGAAGAGTTGTTGGATTTTTTTTTTTTTTTTTTTTTTTTTTTTTTATTCCCATTATCAACAAGGAGACGTATATATAACATGATGTATATGTTTCCACAACGACTGATTCCATATGTTGTGTTAACTGGAGCCTTTTTGTATAATCTGAGCATAGGTGAGTGAAGGAAAAGAGGGGGTTAATAAGAGAAGGCACATCATACATCACATGTACGCATGTACATACACACAGGCACATACACAGGCACAGACACATACACAGACACAGACACATACACAGACACATACACATACACAGACACACATGCACTAGAACGAGTCGTGCACCATCATGGTTACATCGTTCGTGTCACTTCAACTGCTAGGGGTGCTCCTTTCCTTTTGTGGACGTGACTTACGCTTGTGAGTCTTCATCTAGAGATGCATGGAAACATTTTGATAATGTCACTACCTTCTTCCACTCATATTCATGCAGGAATCATAAACTCATATGGCAATCTGAACATCTATCTAACCTCATACCTGAGATACAAAGGACAAAATGTAACATACAAAGATGTGTCATTCATCTACGAACTTACAGTAATCACACTTGGGATATTCATGTTGATTGGAAATATGGTTCAAAAGAAATTTGGGGAGCGCATAACAATATTAATTTGTTGTTTTACAACATTTATTTCATTTTATTTATCTTCAGTATATACACACTCTTATTATTTGTTATGTCTATTTATGGGTATTCAATATGGAATTGGCTATGGAATCAGTTTTACTATCCCTCTGTCATGTGCATATAAGCATTTTAAAAAAAATCGGGGTTTGGTAAGTGGTATTGTAATATCAGCTATCTCGTTAAGTCCATTTTTATATTGTCCATTGCAAACCATTTTAATTAATAGAAATAATATTACACCTGTCACAAGCAGTGATCAAGGGAAATCTAAAGAACTTTACTTCGAGGATACACAAGTGTTGAATAGAATTCCTCACGTTTTATTTATTCAATCAATTATATTTTTAATACTCAGTACTTGTGGTGGTTTTTTCGCTACTATTGAAGCGAAAGAGGATGGGAAGAATTTTATTAATAATGGTATTACAGAGGATGAAAATGGGAATATGAATACAATAGACAAAGTTTTATCAGATGTAGAAAAGAAAGAAGAACAGGTACTTGTATCCTCTACTGATAAACAAAAGGGAATTCAAAATGATTTAACAAATGAAGGAGATAATTTGGGAACACGACTAGCCAAATCTTTAAAGAAAAAAAAAAAAAAAAAAAGAAATTTTTTTTTAGGGTTAAACAATGAAGATGAAGACGAAGAAAATTTGAACCAAAATGTCAATAATAAAAAAAAGAATAATAATTTTATTCTTTTCTTTCTAAATATGTTAAACATAAACACCACCATATCTTCAGATAATAATTTTCTCAAATATTACAATAAAAAATGTACAGAAGATACTCTATTTTTTTTGTTATGGTTATCTGTTGTATTATTTAATTCGTATATCAATTTCGTTATTATGTATTGGAAAATTATAGGCATAACTTATACCCCTGTCCAAGATCGATTCATAACATTAAATGGTAGTTTTATTAACAGCATCGCTAATATTGCTGGTCGATTAATATGGGGTGCATTATATGATAAATTGAAACTCCACCTTACTATAACTTTACTAGGCTCTTGTATATGCTTAGCTTGCTTCCTCCTACCCGTTATTTCCCATATATACATTTTATACGCATTTACATGTGCTCTTTTTTATTTCTGCATTGGAGGAAGTTTTGTGACTATACCTATAATTACTTTAAAAAAATATGGTGAATTACATTTTCCTTTGAATATGTCCATTCTTTATACAACTCGGATTGCAAACACTTTTTTGTGTAGCTTAGTAGTGCATCTATTCTACAACATCTTCACCCTCCGCTGCTTGAGTTCAGCATTTGGTCTTATTTCTATCGTCGCTACAATTTCCATGTTTCTCCTTATGCACTCCTAGAGTCACTAGATCTGTATCTTATCATGTCCCATTTTTTAACCTCTCCAATTTGGGAGCTTTACTTAATTTCTTTCTTCATTTTGATGCCACATTTTGTGCTGGTACCCTACTTTGTCAACTTGTGTAAGGCAATTTTTTTTTTTTTTTTTTTTTGATCATATCATGCACATATTTGCATGCCACATGTGCGACATTGAGTTGCATACATATGTCTATAATTCCTCCATCATCCCTTGGTTTTTCTTTTTTTTTTTTTTTTTTTTTTTAAAGCGCAGATTCTTATAGAATGTTTTTAAAAAATTTGCATAACAACCTTTGTACGTGCATATATGTATATATGTTCATATCTGCATGTTTTTGTTTGTGTTATCGATGGGCGTAGTGATTAGGCGAGACAAACAAACTGAGGAAGAAGAAGAAGAAGAAGAAGAAAAAAAGGACTAAATGGGGGCCAAACGCAATGAAAAAAAAAAAAAAAAAAAAAAAATGGATAGCGCTTCTGTTGACCCACCTGGCAAGTTTACATCCAAGTTGTAGACAGATAAAAAGTTGCTAATCCTCCTCAACTTGATTTTAAAATTAGTGCCCTCCCATATTCCTCTAACTCATTTCTTACAATTTCGTTAATGAGCATTCTACAGGTAGGTATAATGAATGATATGGAAAAAAATGGAGATTTTATTTTTATTCTTTTTTTTTTCATGCATTCACCTTTTGAAGTGGTGATTAGCACTGCACATGTGTGTTTGTTGCCTTACAGTGCAGGTGCTTACAATGTGCATCATTCCACTGGCGATATTGAAAATGAATATGTGCATACAAGTGTTATTCCCAATTGGTATCATTTCACTCAGAAAGAAGCAGATCGGACCTTGTAATTTCGTCAAAAGTTGGCCTCATAAATGGATTTTCATCAACGCACGCCATCAGCAGATTTATCAAGAATTTGTCCTACGCAGCATAAGGAAAAGAAATAGGAATGGAAGTAGATATAGGGATATGAATGGAAGTAAATGTAGGAATATGAATGGAAGTAGATGTAGGAATAGGAATGGAAACAGATGTAGGAATAGGAATGGAAGTAGATGTAGGAATAGGAATGGAAGTAGATGTAGGAATAGGAATGGAAGTAGATGTAGGAATAGGAATGGAAGTAGAAACAGGATAATACTTGAATGAAGCAGCATTGTGGTAACATGACATTGCAGAGATTACTCTGCGTGGACATGAAGCCCCATCCTCTCACTCCACACATGCACCACGTGCAGTGTTTTCCAGATGAGTGGAGGAAATAATTACGTCACTGATAACTATTTTTTGTCGCCTCACCTGAATCTCTAAATGCTTCAAATCTATTTTATAACCGTTATGAGAAAAATAATGAAAATTTTGATGTTTTAAAAACTTTGATATAATAATCCCAAAGGCCCATATATCAACTGTTTTATTATATGCCACACTTTTCTGTTCTGGAGCCAAATGTCCCTTTGTCCCACAGCATTGACTCATGAGAAATTCGAAATCTTCGTTGACCTTTCTCGATAGGTTGAAATCTGTCATAAGGATTTTCTTCTTCTGCAAGTGTGTTTGTGCGTGTGTTCATGTATAATACATTTCTCACTATTCCACTGCGTAAATTTTGTATCCGTTCTAATTCAATGTACATGCCCTTCGAGCACAATTTTGGAAAGGCATATTTTCATCACTCGCTCATATATGCATCATTTGGAATGCACAAATTAGGAACATGGAGAAAAAAAAAAAAAAAAAAAAAAAAAAAAAAAAAAATTCTCTTTTTCCTCTCCATCATTCAGAAGAGGGCATACTAAATATATAACAAGAAAAAAAAAAGAAAAAAAAAAAAAAAAAACACGATACTATGATAAATCATGCACTTAACCTTTATTAGCACATTGTCTGGTTTCAAATCTCTGTATATGTAAAACTCTTGTTTAGAATTTGGCTTATGTATAAATGCCATTACACTGAATGGGAAAAGTTTGAATTGGAAGCATAAAGTGTGCATACATAATCATGTGAAGTTATGGATTTTCTCAGACAAGTTGATTTCTGTATATATATATATATATATATATATATATATATATATATATTCCCTAGCTTTTCACATAATGAGGAGAAATACATCATCATTGCGAGATTTTTTAATCAGTTCTATTTGTGATAAAAGATGTCGATTTGAAAATCAGTATATTGCATCTTTTTTTTTTTGTCTAATTTAGCATACTTGGCTATTTCTAGCAGAGTTAATCGAACGAAATTTAGATTGTACACCACGCCTTGGTCACAAAAGATTTTTTCTACGTAGGAAAAAATGAAAACAAAATAGAATGGAATAAAATAGAACAAAGTAAAACAAAATAGAATGGGATAAAATATAACAAAGTAAAACAAAATAGAATGGAATAAAATAGAACAAAGTAAAACAAAATAGAATGGAATAAAGTAAAATGCTAGTGTCCCAAATGGCGATTTAAGCTGAAGAACGCGCATGCCCTTATATACTGTACTTTCTATTCACACAAACGAAAATTCATTCATGGAAAAATTTATAAATGCATGTGGGGTCACTCTCTACCTAAGGAAGTATCCGCTAATTCCAGGAGAAAACAAAGAGACTCCTTTTTCTCTTCTTGGTGCTGTCTGTTCATTAGCAGCTGGTAGCCTAACGTGCAGAAAAAAAAATGCTCAAAATGGGTACTCAAAATGGGTACTCAAAATGGGAACTCAAAATGGGAACTCAAAATGGGAACTCAAAATGGGAACTCAAAATAGGCACACAAAAAGAGTTCATTTAAAAGAAAACTCATTTTAAAAATAGACAACAAAGAGTCGTACATTCCAGTTTAAAATAAATAAAAAAATATATAACCTTTAAATGTGCAATAAATATGCACGACATTGGTGTGTGCCTTTTCCCGCATAATTACAGACTCGTTCAAATTGAATTCGCTGAAAAAAAAAAAAAATAGCAATAATGTAGCAATAATGTAACAATAATGTAGCAATAATGTAGCAGTAAAGTGGAAGTAATGCAATGCATGGGTAAAATAATAAAAAAGCGTCCCGTTCCCTAATTTCCAAGCGAAGACAAGGGAGCCATAAGAATAGCTCCTTTTCAAAGTGGGAAAAAAAAGTAAAAGCAATCATGTGTCACCATACTTCAAGTCCATAATTTTCAAAGCAAACTGTGTAGTATCCTTTATGCTGAAAAAGAAAAATGAATCTTGACATTCTGCATCCTCTTTTAATGACACATTCCACACTTCCCCAAATCCCCCCACTCCCAATTTCTTGTTAAAGATAAAATAGTCATCTAAGTTTATCACCTCGTTGCTTCTCTCCCATATTCTGCAAAGCACCATCAGATGGAGGAAGAACCAGAAGAAAGACAGAAAAAAATGAAAATGGAAAAGATAATTTTTTATGAAGTTAAATTGAATCCAACTGAGATATCTATACGCACAATAGACGCATTTCCATCGGGGGACCCATTGCTTGGATATGACGCTGAAAATTGTGTGTAAAACCTGTTTTTGCCGTGCCTGAACATGTTCAGGTGAAAAGCATTTCAAGCACTCACTTTAAAAAGAATTTATCAATGTATCCAAGAGGCACTTTTACATTATTCATAAAACTCGAAATAGTTATTTTGGATTGTGTATTCAAATTCATTTTCATTTTTATCTTATCCTCCCAAAAAATTGGAATTATACATTCTATGATGTTTTGTTCTTCATAATGGAAAAATGAATTCAAAAAAGGGGAGAGTAGATAGAGTGGAAAAATATATTACACATAAGTGGAAAATCTAGGAAATGTTGACAATACGAGTTGATACATATGTATAAACTATGTTCACTAAATGTAAAATAATATAAAAATGCGAAGAATAAACTAGAACTACTCATAACAAAAAATATATATATGTGATGAAACCTGGAAGGGATGGAACCAAGACAAGGTTGAAATATTTGACTCTCTCGTTTTTTGTGTAACGGATGAATCTGCAAGGGATATCAACTGAATCACACAATAGCTACGATTTTACAACCAAGGTAATAGTGGGGTGTTGAGGGTTGGATGAGAGATGGCGCAAAGGAAGTATATATTCCATTTTTCGAAAAATGTTCCTAGTGATGTAGAATCAGCACGAGCATTTATGCACACTTTTTCTGACACCTCGAAAAGGGCACACATTATTGCAGCCATTCGAAATGTATGTATATATATATATATATGTATATGTACAATAATGTGCTATGGTGTATACATATATATGTTCATATATATATATATAATGTACGTACTCCATGTGCTACATACATAGATACATTAAAGGCATGGAAATTATGAATAGATGATGCTGGATACACTCATAAGCATTTTATGGCCCGTTTTTTTTACCTTAAACAACAAAGACCTATGCCTATCGGATCCCTTATTAACACTTCCCAAGAAAACAAAATTAAAATCATAGTTCTCGTAATAGTATGTTTTTATGCTTTCATCACTTTGTAGAGTTGAATCCTCTGGTTCTTGATTTAATTTTTTTTTTTTTTTTTTTTTTTCTGAGGAAAATTTCTGAGAAAATGTTCTATTGGGGCAGTAGCTATAATTTGTACTTTTCACTGTATTGTGTGTCATTTCGGAGTGTTCTTCCACCCATTGTTCTCCTTTCATTTGGGAGAAATTTCTTTTCATCTGTCCTTTTTCCTCTTGGATTCTCGTACTATTTTTGTATTCCACTTTTCTATGTCTTCCATTTTTTTTATGCATACCAATATGTGAACTTTTTCCAAATTTTTTTTCTTCTTCTTCATTCCTCAATGTACTACAATCTTTTTCGCTCTCTTTCTCATGTATCATGTCTCCCTCGGGTGTGCCATCCTCATCGTATGATGCTTCTACCTCGGATGGTGCTTCTACCTCAGTTTGAATAACATTTTCAGGATCGTACTTGATCATCTTTTCAACTAAATTTTCTATTTTTTTTATTTTTGCGAAAATATTTTTAGTATTTTTAACTTCTTTCTTGGCTATGTTAACCTTTTCTCTGCAAACGAGTGAGATGTAAGAACAAAATGTTTTATTGAATCTCCAAATGAGAAGTACAAAGGAGATATATGCTAAAGGATGAGGATGTGGACTATACAGAAATACATCTCGTATGCAAACGAATATACTGTATCTCCAATATGAACTTTAAAAAAATGATAAGCAAAATTTTACCGCAGTTTGGCATCACTGAATACATTTACAATTATGCTTGTATGACAGGTGCATATATAATCTGTGTCTTCCTCCTGTTTGTAGTTTTTCTTCTCCTCATGCATGCACGTATGGTTGGGTATCTCGTCCAACGTCTTAGCATAGTTCTTAACACATTTCTTGGCACACTTATTGGCACATTTCTTGGCACACTTATTGGCACACTTATTGGCACACTTATTGGCACACTTATTGGCACACTTATTGGCACACTTCTTAACACATTTCTTAACACAATTGTACATTCTTTCTTTCAAGGAAAGCAAATAAGAATTTTCTAAATCGTAAAGAGATTTTTCCTTAAAGCACGTATATAATCCCAAGTACACATTTGGGACAGGTATTTCTCCTATCAATTTTTTTTTTTTTTTTTTTTTTTTTTTTTTCATATATTTATGGTTTAACTCATATCCGCTGCCTGTTATTATAAAATTTCGTTTTTTCATTTCTTTTTCTTCTTGTAATTCGACAGAAGAATATTCATCATCGATGTGTCTGTCACTGCTTAGATTCTGCATGTCCATAACAAAACTTCCTTCTGATTTCACTTTAATATCATGTTTGTAGAAATAAATAAGTCTCAGGTCTTTCACATCCACAGCGTCCTTCAGTAGACCTGCTTGTGCCAGAACAGATATATGTGTCCCCATGAGTGTATGTCTATACGTGTGCATGTCTGCACGTGTGTCCATATTAATGATTGCAAGCAATATAATCATAAGACAAAGAGCAATTTGGCCACCCACATGCTCATTTAATTGTGTCATTAATTTTGAAAAAAGAGGAATCTTTTCAAAAGTCATTCAAATCGTTACAATTGCTTAGCATTTGGGGGGCAGAGGGGAGAGTGTAATTTTAACTCCCTCTCTGTTCATTCCTAATTAGAATGAAATTCATTTCCCATTTGCCACTCTCGAATTTGTTTCGCTCCAATTTTTATCCAGCACCTGCCTCGAAAAAAGTTCGCTTGCTCTGCATGAGGTTATCGTAAAAATCCAACATATGGGATTGGCAGTATCTATAATTTATGTTATTTTCATAAAGCTTGTTTTGGATAAATTCGATGAGATGTAATATAACTTGATTGTTCTTGATTTTTTTTCTCTTTTTCAGTTTTTTTAAAAATTTCAAAACTATGAAATTTATTTCGTCCAGGTTATCAATCAGGTATTTCAAGCCAATTAGAATGTCTTCTACACCTCCGCTTAGGAAGAGTAGGGCCTCAAAATAGAGACGGGGTGCAGAGGGAAGAAGAGAAAGAGAATGTGGAGGAGGCGGAAATATGGAGGAGGCAAAAATATGGAGGAGGCAAAAATATGGAGGAGGCGAAAATATGGAGGAGGCAAAAATATGGAGGTGACAAAAATATGGAGGTGACGAAAATATATAGAGAGAGGGGAGGATAAAAATTCTCCCAAATTGTTCAACTTGGATAGTTATTCTAGTACACAGAAAATGTATTGGTATATTCTGTATGTTACATATGTAAGGGAAAATAGCAGAGGTGAATAGAAAAAAATGTGTTCAGTAGCAAAGCATGAAATGAAAATAAAAATGTTTCTGTATTTGGGAATGCCTATTTTTTTTTTTTTTTTATGGTACCATCGAAATTTTGTTATAACAAGTAGCATGTGGTGGAAAATACAAATGGAAGACATTCATGGATAATCTTTTTATAAAATCTCTCGAGGCTTCACTTTCTTTTTTTAATATTAAATCGTCAGAAATGAAAACACACGCGTTTTTAATTATTTCTTCCCCTCTTTTTAGGTTCTACATTCGGAAGGCACAAAAAAAAAAAAAAAAAAAAATGGAAAAAAAAAGAAAAAAAAAAAAAAAAAAAAAAAAAAAAAGGTGTCTGCTTAGTATACACATTTGCATTACTGCGTTACAATACATTCACTTCAGCTTAACATAATTGAATATAAGGTAATGTTCTTTCTCTTAATTTCTCTTTCATTTCAGTAAATATTTCCTTTTCTTTTGCTTATTTACACGTACAGCTCCATCTGTTCTCATGCCTATGTTTCTAAAAAATGATTTATTACTATTTCGAGATTTGACTTCAGTTTTCTCAGTGTGTCTTTGTGGGCTTTCTGCAAATTTTCCACTTCTCCACCAGTTTCGCACAACTTTTTTCCACCTCTTTCACCGCCCCTCCTTAATGATTTTTCTTCACTGATGAATGTCTCCTGCTCCTCCTCAAGGTTGCCATTCCCATTAGTTACGTTACTTTTATTTTCACTATCGGTAGTACCTGTGCCATTACTCTGAACAGAATTACTTCCACCACTTTTAACCACTTCACAAACAATGTTATCTCTACACGCACTAGAGTAATCATTCATTTTTTAAAGGGTACCTATGTAAGAACAATTCTTATGATATGTTTGGCTATTTTTGTTACTACTAATACTGTCGCTGTTCCTATTTTAATTTTTTTTTTCTATTTTTCCGATCTTGTTATGCCGGATGGACGAATAAATACGCCATGCATTTGTGCAACATTTAAATATTAAAATATATTGTCTTTTTTTACACTAATGATGTAAGACAGGAATATTGTCCGTCCTCCTATAACATCTACACATTTACACTGTTTTCCGAATTTTTATTAATAAAATTTTATTTTCAAAAAGGGGATTTTTTTTTTTTTTTTTATAAGTTAAAAACTGGCAAAATGCTGAAATGTTGAAGTGATGAAATGAGTAGGCCATTTTTTTTTTTTTTTTTTTTTTTTTTTTGTGCAGCTACCTTTTTTTATGTAGCTATTTTTTTTTTTTTTTTAATTTTGGAGGAGAAAGGTGCCAAATGTGCATACGGATACATGCCACCGAAGCATTGGGTATATTTCTCCACCTCTATAGCTTTATATGAACTGCTTCAAAATTAATTAATCAATTTTCTGTTTTTATTATTTTCTATTATTAATATATAGAGATAAATGTAAGTTCGCTAGAGTTAGCATGAACTAGGGTTTCATAAAATAACTAAGAGAAATGTATGAAACATTCATTCAAAAATAATGTAAATTGAAATTATTTCAAAGAGCACATATTCTTCTCCTGGTGCCAAAGAAAGGTGTACCATCCATCCTCCACATCACCCTTTTGGAATCTTAATTTCTCATGCAATTTTTTTTTTTTTTTTTTTTTTCCAAACATAAAGACAAACATTTTTCTTAGTTACGTATGTGTAAAAAAAAAAAAAAAAAAAAAAATCAAGCTTCAAGTGTGTGTGCATGTGTAGATATATGCATTTATATGTACGTATGCATGTAAGAGAAAAAGGGGAATCTCCATGCGATAATTCATATACCCATGTGTTTTTCTTATTTATGAATAGATAATTAAAAAAAAAACTCGTGAAAATGTGTGAAAGGAAAAATGACAAAGAAGAGGGTAAGTAATAAAAATAAATCCTGACATGACCTATTTAATATATGTGCACATAAATAACTATAAGGAAGGATGTTCTTAAACAAGGGTTTGAATTTGTGTACTTTTTATAAACATATGCGCACACACGTGAAAAAAAAAAAAAAAATATTTACAAAAATCTTAAATGTTTATCCAATAATGGGAAATGGTGGTATGGTAAAAAATTAGCAATCACATAAAAAATTAAAAATATATCAGTGTTCGAAGGAAAAAAAAAAAAAAAAAAAAAAAAAAAGTGTAAAGATATGGGATCCACAAATGTATGTTGAAATATGAAGGGACGGAAAAGATCAAACATTGTTGTTACTGAAAAGGAGGCGTGTTATATTTACCAGGTTTTTGTAAAACTTGAAAATAAAAATATTATACATACTGTGTGTGTGCGTAACTTATTGTATACTTCATTTTTCAACAAAGAGACAGAATTAAAAATCTCAAACTCAAAAAAAGTGCAGTGCTACAGTTTGTTTGTACTTTTTCCATTCTGCTTCAGGTAATGTGTTTTCTAAGCAAATGCAACTGTAATGAGTTTACAACACTGTTTCAGTCTACTTTTCTGCTAATCTTTATCGTTCTTTTAAATATCATCGCTGAGAAATTTTAAATGGGAGTCCTATTACCAGCCATTTCGTCATATTCAACTAGTTAAGCCTCCATTTTGTATCCTCCTATATGTATATATATATATATATATATATATATATATATATATATATATACATTTTAATTTCATCTGACCATGAAAAGCATATAGGAATGCCATATATGGATATATGTTGACATGTCCACAAGTGAGTGTTTGGGGAGTTGGCTTTATTCCTTTTCGTTTGTTTATTCCTTTTCGTTTGTTTATTCCTTTTCGTTTGTTTATTCCACTTCTTTCGCTTCTTCTACTTCTTTCGCTTCTTCCACTTCTTTCGCTTCTTCCACTTCTTTCGCTTCTTCTACTTCTTTCGCTTCTTCCACTTCTTTCGCTTCTTCCACTTCTTTCGCTTCTTCCACTTCTTCCACTTCTTACCCCTTGATGGCTGGCTTCATGAAATCATTTGAAAGGCACTCGTTTAGTCTACCTCGAAATAAAAGTCTGGTTTTTTCTTCTTATCATCGGGGACATTATTTTTATTTAACACAAATATTAAGACAATACATATTATAGGTGAGGTGGCAAAGCACAATTTTATTATTGTCAGGAGGATTGAAAATATAGTGCCTATCATTTTACGCAAAAAATTTAACTCATAGAAAAGGGGTTCACAAAATGATGTAAAGTCGTGCGTTTGAAAATTTTTCATACAAATGTATTATGTTCTGAGTCATGAAATAAGAAGTTTCATAAATGTAATACTTCGGTAGACTAACCCTGCAGCTGTAGGCCACGCCGATGAACAGTTGTGTGTAAACAGCACTACATAAATAAGTTTGTACGTATGTATACATATATGTACATATATTCATACATGTATATATATGTATATATTACGCTAAATTATTTCTTTCACTTGGCTGCTGAGGAAAAAAAAAAAAAAAGAACGAACGAACGAACGAACGAACGAACGAACTTAATTCTAGCTAGCGTGTAAGGTAGCTTCTTTCCGATCTTCATTCATTCTGCTGTAATATTATTTTTAACCTTCCCTTTTTTAAAAACTGTTACGACATTCAATTCATTTAAAATGCAATTTTCTATTTTTTAAAAATGGCAGGGGTAAAAAAAAAAAAAAAAAAAAAAAAAAAAAAATGAAATAAATGCTTTAAAAAATCGTGACATGCGATGAGGAGAAAAAAAAAAAAAATGTTTAATTGGCAAAACGGGTTATGGAGCCAGCTAGCATAAAAGTTAGGTGTACATATATATATATATATATAGATATATTTACTTATAAAGCAAATGATTGTGTGCAAAACCGTTTGTGTAATGTGCATGAATAAAATCATGAAAATTCAAAAAGGAGAAAATTTTCTAATCTTCAATAACGGATACATTTTGTGATTACATGAGAACAATTGTAATTAAAGCCCAGAAAGGAGGCAGTAAAAAAAAAAAAAAAAAAAAAAAAAAAAAAAAAAACCCACACTGATTTTATGTAATGAATAATTGTGCTTATTTTTTAAGTATATGAAAATTGAATATTTCTACTACTTCTATTATTGGGTGGTACATATATGTGTAAAACTGTTAATATTCAAACGACACACCCCATTATCAGGATCATATGGCTAACATTTGAAAAACACATGCATCGGCACCTTCACATGAACCACACCCCTGCTGGAATAACCAAACAGAGAAGAAGAAAATAAATTAGGATTTCCATTTTATTCCAAATTGATCCTTCCCGTTTTCAATTAACAGAAACATGTGCTTACTCATTTTGAAATAAATGCCAAAGTGATATTCTCTCTATGTTGCCACTTGTTTAACTTAGTATTAACAGCTTAAAAAAAAAAATTAATAAAATGAAAATATAGCGCGAAAAAAAAAAAAAAAAAAAAAAAGAGACGAACAAAAACATAAAACAGACGCAATAACATAAATATATATTTCATATATCAGCGTATATAATCTACAAGTCTAAAAAGAGGTAGGTGTGTACTTTCACACCCATATGCTTCTTTTAAATGCTACCACTAATGGTATATATTTCGTAAGAAAATTTACAATTAAGGATAGATTAAGGGTTTTTTGTTGGATGAAAAATAAGCAAGCGAATTTTTTTTTTTTTTTTTTTCTTTCTCTTTAAATATGCATCTTATGACATATTTCTACAATCAACATGCTATAAAATAGGATTAAATTTGAAGAGGTAAAATATTGCATAGTATATATATATGTACACTTTGAAAAAAAGACACCGTCCAAAGGGATAAAACCATATTCATCCTAATGTCGTTATTATTATAACCACGTGTTTTTTTTTTTTTTTTTTTTTTTTTTTTTGACACCGAAAAACGCATGTACAGCTGTTTGATTTACCTGTGTTTTTTTCACATAGCTAGAAATGGGAAAATAAAATAAAATAAAAAGCCGAAATTAAGTAAAATTATAGTGGTAACATTTCTGCGTTTCCCCTTAGAAGAGTAATTTTGAATAGGCAAAGATGAAGAAAAAGTGATTGTGTGATGTGTATGTCCATTATTCACTTATGCACAAATATATGTATGTTTCCGAAGTATCAATACCACTGGCAGAAATGTATTGATGCAACATTTTTTCTTTCGTTCCTTAATTATTATTTTGTGCTGCCTATTTTAATTTTTAAGGTTCTCGAAAATTTTCTTAATACAATCCATTTTATTTTTTTATATAAATGTTTGTATGGGATATAAAAATGGAAAAAAAAAAGAAAAAATGAAAAAATAAAATCAAATGACACGAAAAAGGAGAAAACACGAAAATTAAAACCGCTTAAGTATAATGACATAGCAAAATGTACACATGGATTTTGCATTTGTATATCCTTCCAGCTATCCACTTTCACTTCTTTTAATACTAACAAAATTTTATTTTCCTAACGTAGCAATTGTTCTTTTCTCGTTAATTTATTTTGTTCTTATTCTTGTCCCCGTTTTTGTCCTTGTATTTTTTTTTTTTTTTTTCTTTTTGTCGTTCATGCTTATTTTTTATTTAGCCCAAAAAATAATTGATAAGACCCATTTATTTACTCTTTCAAATTGCTTTGTTATTGAATAATTAAAGCAAAAAAAAAAAATAATGAAATAAAAATAATTAAAAAAAAAAAAAAAAAAACATACTATGTATGATGTTGTTAATATAATGTATTCCCATTTCCGTTTTTATTGTGTTTCCAACAATTTTAAAAGTTATATATGCTGCGTTTGGATTTGTATAAGAATTTAAAAGCATGTTTTTTTTTTTTTTTTTTTTTTTTTTTTTATACATTCATAAATTCGTGAAAAGACCTATTCAGCTGGGTAAGAAAAAAAGGAGACATTTTCAACTCTTACGCTTTGAACAGTGCTTGGAAATTTATAAAAACGTGCGTTTAATATTGTACATATATATATATATATATATATTATATGCATATACATTAATGCGTGCATATTTCATGATGTATTTCTCTTCTTTTGCTTAACAAATATATGTGGCACATGCACAAAAGCAAGTTATTGTTACATAAGTACGTTTGCAATATAAATTTATATACCAAGATTGCGCGCTAAAAGGAAAATTAATAAGCATGCAAAACGAGCGCATAAAGAATGGTTGGCCATTACTATGGTATATATATATAGTATTATATATATATATATATATACGGCTTGCATTTATTGATAGGAAAACAGCAGGGGCATTCCTACTCACCCACTACTAGTTTCGCTAAAGCGATGGAATTTATGGGAAACATGTATAAAAATATATATATACATATATATATTATTTAAAAAAAGTAGGGTAAATATTTTTTTCATTTTGGTAAATCAAAAATGGCAGAAGGGGTATTTTGGTTAGAAATCATATGTCTTTACTCGCATGTCAAAGGATATAAAAAAAAAAAAAAGGCAAATAAATACGCGAATAAATACTCGAATAAATAGGCGAATAAATAAGCAAATAAATAAGCAAATAATTAAGCAAATAAATAAGCGAATAAATAGGCGAATAAATAAGCTAATAAATATGCAGATAAATATGCAGATAAATAAGCAAATAATTAAGCAAATAAATAAGCGAATAAATAGGCGAATAAATAAGCTAATAAATATGCAGATAAATATGCAGATAAATAAATTTCCTGGTATACATATATTTACGTACATAATTTATAATTTTTTTTTTTTTTTTTTTAATAAACACGTAAATTTCCAGATATATATATAAAAAAAAAAAAAAAAAAAAAAAAAATCACATGTCATTGAATTATTTGTGTTGTCCTTCCTCTTCCTTATTTTTATGCACTTGCGCATTTTTTTAAAAATTTGTCAGGAAATGTGGGGATAAGATATGAGTATTATACTACCATTGTCAGAGGGGAGGTAATGCCATTTGTTTTCCCTCCCCAATTTAAGAAGCGGGTACGCATATGTAGCACATATAGTACGTACATTATATATATTATATACTATAGTACATTATATGCATTATACATATATGTATATATATATATATGTATATATATATGCCAGCTGCCACGCGAATTAATGAATTGCATAAATACATGCTATATATATAATGCATGTAAACTTGTTAGGCATTCGGGGAAGCGCATTTTTTAATACAATTCGCTTATATATGTAATATACCATATTATATATCTATCCATGTACAAAAAAATAAACCCGATTAATTTAATACATGGAGAGATGGGAAAATGTATGCACGAGAAGGGCCCTTAAGTTTTGCTTCGTTATTTTCATATTTTTCCCACTTATTATAGAAAAATATCCCTATTAGCCTTCATTTTCACATATATACGTACAAGTCATATTATATATGTATATATATATATATATATATATATATATATATGTATATATAATACTTTACATTTTTATATATTTATTTATGCATTTTTTATATCTTCGTGTATATCCTTTATTTTTTGTTTACATTTTCTTAACCAACTATCCATTTGCATATCTGCTTGTTTATATTAACTCATATATCCGTCGATTTATATATATTTCAATTTATATAATGCCAAGGTATACTTTTGAACACGTATTTGCATAAACAAAGCAAATCACGGACAGTGGAAGAAAAAAAAAAATAAAATAAAATAAAAAATTAGTAATAACAGAGGATATGCTTTTTTTTTTTTTTTTTTTTTTTTTTTTTTACTTTTACGCTTACACTAGTATATACCTGAAATGTACCATGTGCAGATATGTATACATAAGTATATTACCCTTGTAATATACGTGTAAATATGCATATGCTTTTTTCTAATTTTTATTTTTTACCTAAACCCGATCTTTTTTTTTCATTTTCCCATTATTTATACATTATACGCATATATATGCATATAATACATATGCACATATACATACATATACATACATTTTTGCCAGACCCCGCGCGCATAGGATGTTTTCTCTTTTTGTAATGTAACGCACGTTTCTCAAGTTCAGGATGTACATATGTCATCATATATATATGTACACTGAATTTATGTTCATTTATTTTATGTATATGTTCTTATTGTGCATTTTTTTTTTTTTTTTTTTTTTTTTAAATTAGATATACTTTTCGTAGCATAAAAAGTGCCAAATCAGTTTTCAATTATATATATATATATATATATGTAACATGCTAATACATTTTAGCAAAGGCGCAACTGGCCTTGTGTGCTTGCGTAGATATATGCGCGTACATGTTCCGCTGTACATATGTGGTATATTATACATATATTATACGCTTATATATATACATTATGAATTCACATGTACAAATGTATATACCATGTGCATGTATTGAAAACACATGTTTGAGGTGTGTGTGGAGAATAATAATGAAAAAAGATTGAAAAAGAAATTTTTTATTAGTCGTCCGTAGTTTACCACTTACCAGATTTGGTAAAATATGTTATTCATGCATTTGTGCCATTATTCTTTTCCCCTCTGGCGCATACTCCCAGAGAACGTGTCACAGAAAAAGCCTAATTTTTTTTTTTTTTTTTTTGCATTCCTTTAGTGTGTCATGTACATGTGTAATATACATGTGCAGTACTTTAGAGCAAAAGGACACACACACCCTTCAGAACTTTTTGCAGTTTTTTCTTCTTATGGGCAAGGTTACAAGTTGGATTGATAAGGATAGTCATATATATATTGACACGGGGATATATGTTTAATAAAATTTTCTTAAAATTATTCCTTTTTATCCGATATATTTCTCCCTTTTTTGCATATATATACATTTTTTTTTTTTTTTTTTTCTGACCTTATTTTATGTTGGCACCGATCATCCTTCTCCTCTTCTCTTCATTCTTTTTTTATTTCATCTCTTTCTACCGCGTTTTTTTTTTTTTTTTTTTTTTTTTTTTTTTTTTTTTTTTTTAAAAATTTTTCTTTTTTTTTTTTTTTTTTTTTTTTTTTTTTTTTTTTTTTTTTTTTTTTTTTTTTTTTTTTTTTTTTTTTTTTTTTTTTTTTTTTTTTTTTTTTTTTTTTTTTTTTTTTTTTTTTTTTTTTTTTTTTTTTTTGTTAAAAAATTATCCTATTGATTATACACACGCACACCCCATGAGTATTCAATTCAAAAAATGAATGGATTAAAAAAAACAGATATATTACAAGAGAATAACAGTAAGAATACATTGTATAGGCCCCACTATGATAGAGAATTAAACTCCCTAGATGAAAATTATATAAAATCGAATCAAAGTTTTAATATAATTCCATTAACAAAATACGTGAATAGTGATTTATATATTTTACCGTTTGTTAAGGAAAATAAAAATGATTTTTCAAAAATGGACAAAACACAATCACATACATATTTAGAAACATGTTTTTTAAGAGGAGTAAAACAGAAAATGGATGAAGAAAAAAACATTAAACAACAGCACGAAGAAAATGTCATTACATGTATGAAAAATGAACCTTTTAACAGAATCCATATCACTAATCAAATTGGCACAAATATAGATTTTTATAATGGAAACCAATATGCTAGTGATAATATCACTTATAATAGTAATACAAATGAGTACATGCTAAACTATTTAAATGCATACATAAGTAAGAACCTAAAACACAACACACTTCAAAAAAATTGTGAATCCAATCTTGCAACTAGCGAAAATGCAGATAATGTGAAAATTTCTGCCCACCCAAGTGACACACTAATAAATAACAATAATAATGATAATTATAGGAACAACCAGTATTCGATGAAAAATAATTTTAAAGATAGAGATAAGGAAATGAGTATACATAATGAGCAACAATCCACAGTTAAATTGCACTATATACCAATCCAAAATGAAAAAAAAGTAAACATGAACGTGAATAATACACATACAAATAATTTTATGCAAGCCAATTTGCAAAACGGAGTTATTGATAGAGATTTTTACATGACAAACAGAAATAATATTTTAATTAATGGTTCTAATTATCAAGGCCAAAGATTGAAAAGTGTGCAATTTTGTGGCAAAGCAAGGGTGCTAGAAGCAGATTCAGTGGGAGCGCCCCAAGTTGACACAGATCCTATGGATGCCATCGGAGTTGACGAAGCCGAAGCTGATGCAGATGCAGTTGGAAGCATATTTGTTAATAAATTCCCACATGTGGGAACATTAGAAAGTGTAAGCGGTTTGAAGAACCGAAATAATGTGCAAAGTGTTAAAAAGGACCTGGTAGATGCGGACATTTTTGAAAACGGAGATATTTGTGGGGAGAAAATGAATTGCCATTTTTTGCCAATTTGGAATGACAGTAAAAATGTAAGTAAAACTGCCATTCAGAGTGGCATATATTCAAATCAGAACGCGTTATCACACCAAGTCCATTTCAGAAGAAATATACAAAAAACCGATCCATCTAATGAACCCGATTTTATTAAAGCTGGAGAAGAATGTAGTGAAACTCAGGAAGAAAGAGAAAGAAAAAATGTAAATGAAAATATATATCCAATCAAGGTGATTCATGATTGTGACAAACAAATGGATTATTCAAACAGTAGGAGTAGTAAAAACAATTCTAGAAATGATGGTACGTCTAATTTTAATGACAACACTATTCCCAACATTAGTGAAAAAACGAATTGTAGTAACAAAAATTCAAATGATATATCGTCTATAGCCCATTCAAATGAATGGACAAGAAGACAGGAAAAAGAAAACTATCGAAGTTTTCTAAATGTTATAAATAAAAGAATGGAAATTTTTTCAAGAGATAAAAGTGCTATTAATATTGAAAATTTATATATACCAAAATTCCAACGGAAAAATTCTCAACCTAGTTGTGATAATATACCCATTGATGGAAATAAAAATAGTAAGACTCTCCATTTTGATATCCCTGGGATTATTTTGAGAGACGAAAAATTGAGTTCGCATGGGTGTGAAGGAATATTTGCCAACTCGTCAGACGCATCTAATATAGATGTCAGTACTAATGTTGGCACGTCTGTTCACAACGAAGAAAGTGAAAATCACAAGAACACAAACGTGAAAAGTGAGTCCCCGGAGCTGCGCCACACGCGGGAGCAACAAAAAAACCAATCGATGCAGCAAACCCATTCGATGCAGCAAACCCATTCGATGCAGCAAAACCATTCGATGCAGCAAAACCATTCGATGCAACGTTTGAATAATAATTCGATACATGAACGTGCCCCTCAATCAAGTGATTCCAATTCGAGACGTGCTTCATTCCTCACGAAAGGAACCCTTCGAAATGGCCTAGGGAGTAACATTGGAATGAGTAACAGTACAGAAGAGAATGTCATGAGAGACATAGAAATGCTGGGAAGCCGAGGCAGCAGTTGCTCAGATTATAATATCCCATGGAACAATGACATATGCAATAATAATGTAAGTAATTATTGTGAAGATCATATTAATGAAGTGAAAAAATTAAACAATATGAATTATACAAATAATGTGGATATATTAAATTATGATCTTGATTTTGTAGAAGAGGGACGACAAGTTGAGCACAGAATAAAAAAAAATCTCAATGACTTTGATTTTATACATAAAAAGAAGAACACAATGGATAATGGTGATGTAGATTCTGTTGATGATACCATAGCCAATGCTACCGAAGTGCAATGTGCTAGTTATGCATACAAAAAAGGGACCCATACTTGTGCTGGTGAAGAACAGGAGGAAAATGGTACCCATCGAAATAGTCCACTTGTGAATGATAATAATTGTGATGTTAGAAGGAGTAACCATCACAATGATAGTTATAATCCAGATATCATTAGTGACGATCATCCATTTCTTGGAGATTCAATTTATAAGGGATCACACCAGAATGAACCCTTGTACAATGTTAAATGTAGTAAAGATGATGTATTGAATTTAAATCATATAAAAACATACATTGAACATAGCGATTCCTGTGGTAATGAGGATTTGAATAATAATGCAACATTGAATGGTAACTATATCTTCGCGTCAAATGTAAAAGAACATGTTGATTTATTAGTTGATGAAAATGATGGTGTTCAAGAAAATCACTCTATCCATTTAGATCACGTGGATTGTGAATTTTCAAAAAGTAACAACAGTTGTGTTTTAAGAAATGATATGTGTAAAAATGAAAAGATTTTCTTCTCCACCGTAGATGCAAATGAAATTAATGATTGGGTCAATTCTACTGAAAATGGAGCGAATCATGATAATAACGTGATATGCACAGATGTAAATTACTACCATGATGTTACCCCTGCGAACGCGAGTGACAATACATGCAGGATTCGACATGGAAGTGTTAGTAGTAGTAGAAGTGTTAGAAGTGCTGGAAGTGATAGAAGTGATAGAAGTGATAGAAGTGCTATAAATGTTAGAAGTGCTAGAAGTGATAGAAGTGATAGAAGTGCTATAAATGTTAGAAGTGCTAGAAGTGTTAGAAGTGCTAGAAGTAGCAGCGACAGAAGCTGCACGGAAGGTGGTGCAGAGAAGAAGAGAATATTTAACAACAACTGTCACCCATGGGGGTTGAAAAATGGAGGTTTAAAAGAAAATATGAATAATGAAAATGACACGGACGATAAGGATGAGGATGGTGATAGGTCGACCTGCACAGCAGTAAGAAGTAACAGTAACCACGAGAGTTATAACAATTGTGTTATAAATTTGAAGAGTGAAAAGAATAAAAGTGAGTCACACACAAAAAGGAATCGTTTCTCAAATGAAGATGGAAGAACAGGATCGGTAACACGACGAGCATCAGGCGGATGGACATTTGTGTCCCCAAAGGAAGAAAAAACACTTTTTGCAAAACACAAAATTGAAAAGATTTCATCTTTTGATGGTGATCATGATGTAATTAGATTTAGTGACGATTCTGTCGAATCTAATTCGAAAGAGCGTGAATTGAGTCGCATGAACCAGATGGGTAACATGAGTATGTTAGACGCAGCGGCAGACAAAAAAACAGCTGGCCTCGATTCGGATCTTCAAATTGAGGATGAGAAAACGTATCCAGACCATTTTAATGTAAAGAACGAAATGAAAAGAAAAGACAAGAGCTCGTTTGATAGCGATTCTAGCTATATACTAAAGCAGAACCAGATGCAGTACCAGGAGAACGATGAAGGTGTAAAGCTAGGCCAGATGGGAATGGGATATAACTGTGTCGATAGAAATTTATATAAAAGTGGAATTGTAGTAAACACAAACAATGTTGTTAGCCATGGAAGTAGTATGGTAAGCAATGAAGAACTTGTTCATATGGAAGGGAAATATTCGCAAGGGAACTACTTTAACGGTTGTACGAACATTTCCATTTCATCGAATCATAATATTGCCAATTCGAAAAAAATGTTCAACTATTTTAATCCAAGCAATGGAAACTTAAGAAGTGTTCATAATCATGTCACCAAAAGCAATCACATTATTGAGAATATGAATAACATAAACCACGTAAATCGGGTAAACCACCTAAGTCATGCAAACCATGTAAATCATATGAATGATGAACAAAAGAAGAAGGAAAGCCTCGGAAATGTTAACCAATTGAATAGTTGTATAAGTGGCAGGAATGGTGTTGTTACGGATGATGATGGGAATAGTTGCAAAATTTTGCACGACAATCAGAGTTACACTCTTATGAACCAGATGCATACAAACAATGACATCTTGCATGATAAAGATTCAGGAAAGGAACAAATCGAACCATTCCATAATCATCATATTAATGAAGGAAATGAAAATTACGACTCGATCGTCCCGTTTAGTAGAAGCTCATTATATAACAAAAACATAAATGGAAGAAAAAATATGCTTTCAGATTTTTTTGAAATGTCCAATAATGATAATGAAATGAACCAAAGCAAAAGAAGAGAAGGAGGAGGAATTATAATAAATTCGAGCAGCGAACAGGAAAAGGAAAAGGACAATTTTGATTTTTCCATAAACTCAAATTATAAACAGAGTGAAATGGTGAATTATAGAGAGATCAACAAAACAAATGAACGCTGTATCAAAATTAACAGTAATTCTAGCTGTTTGGAAAATGTAAATACTATAGACATATTTGGTAATATGAACCAATCAAAAGAATTGAAGATCTTTGGTACTATAGATATTCTAAGCCGTTCCAACATGAACTCCACCCTCAGTGAAGATTCCACAAATATTGGTCTGGGAAGTGGTGACAATCGTCTTTGTAATGATACACGTCTGAATATGAAACATTTGAATAACAAAGAAGACAATAAGAATGTTCCAAGTATTAGTAATCACATGAATGAAAACAATCAAGATAAGGCACAACAAAAAATTAGCTCCATTATTACACAAAATGCATCCAAGAATTTAAGCACCATGGAAAATCATGTTACCCCAAAAAATTTCATACCTTTGCAGAGCGGCATAAATAGCAATATGATACATTCGGTTGTTTATAACCCGAGTAAGTTGCTCATTAGCAAGAACATATATGGTAATAAGTGTATGAACAGTCAGATGAAAAATATGAACAATATGAACAATATGAACAATGCGAACAATGCGAACAATACGAACAATACGAACAATACGAACAATATGAACAATATGAACAGTCAGATGAAAAATATGAACAATGTGAACAATATTACAGTGAATAACAGTATCACCATGACTAACGCTGATGCTGTCACGACACCCACTACAACAACAACTACTAGAATAACTGCTAATATGAATAATAATAACAGTGGCAGAGGTAGCAGTAGCGGTAGTGGTGCAGGTAGCGGTGCAGGTAGTGGTGGCGGTAGCATGAATAACCAGATGGGAGGTTTTGGACCCAGTGCTCACGTACCGAATGCAAGCAACACCAATTTCTTGCAAGTCAACTGCGAGAACAGGAATTACTTAACTTGTGCAAGTAACAATGGCATTTTTATACCCTATAGAAAGTTGAATAGTGATAATAATGATCGTATAGAAAGTAACACCAATCTGAAAATGGAATCATCTGTTGTGACAGCTTGTCGTGATATGAAGAACCCATCGAATATTGCATATGAGGAATGCTCCACAATTACAACTACTATTGATAGAAGAGCATCTATAAACACAATTTCTCTGAGTGAAAACAATTCAAATGCTCTTTCTAACAAAAAAGATTTCCTGCACAAATTGGACAACAAAAATGTGAAGCTTAATAAATTTGTAAACATCTCGCACGCTGATAAAACTGAAAGGAAAAGTTCACATTCTGGTGGTGCAGAGGCGGGTAGAAGCTTCAAAATGAGGGGTGACATCTGCCATGTGAGCGGCCTTGCCAATGTTAGCAGTGTTGACAATGTTGGAAATGTTAGCAGTGTTGACAATGTTGGAAATGTTAGCAATGTTGGAAATGTTAGCAATGTTGGAAATGTTAGCAATGTTGGAAATGTTAGCAGTGTTGGCAATGATGGTGGTGTTGACAATGTTGGCAATGATGTCGGTGTTAGCGGTGCTAGCTGTGGTATTAGCAAGGCGATTATGGATTCAAGGCAGAAGAACCCATTTTTTACAGATGTACAAGTCGGTAATTGGAAAAAGAGACTAATGAACCCCAGTTTGACAACAATTGGCGACGAGGGATCATTGGCCATGTCGATGACATCAATTCCATCAGCCTCGTCCATTGTATCAGCCTCGTCCATTGTATCAGCTCCGTCCATTGTATCAGCTCCGTCCATTGTATCAATTCCGCAGATTGCATCCATTGCATCTGTCGGAGAGGAAAATTCATGTGGAGAGGCAGTACACGTCGCGAGCACGAATGGAAGAATAAGAACACCTCAGAATATGAAAAATTATAAAATTAACAATTTTATGATTAACGACAACTTGAGCAATATTCTCTTCAGCAAGAATTTTAACAACTTTTTCAATAACGCCAAAGCGAACATGCATGCAAATGATTCAAGTGGAAGCGGAAGTACATCGAATGTGAACAACCACCTCTCCAGCGTTAGCTCCTTGTACTTGAAGAAAAACGAGTTGGTGTATAAGAATATGATTAAGGGAGACATTTTGGAAGAAAAAAAAAATATTATGTACAAAGAGGTTAACACGTGCAGTAAGGAAAATTTAAATGGTGTTCCAGATGGTGTGCCAGATGGTATGTCAAATGGTGTGTCAAAAATTGGATTCATCGGGATGCAGAGTAAGAGTGTGAAAAATTTCGAAGATGAAGCATCGTGTCACATTTTCCACTCGAAAATGCGAGACACAAGAGAAAATAAACCAATAAAATGGCATATAAATCGTGCAGTTATAAGAGATAAAAACAGAAATATAAATAATAACAACTTTAACTATAAAGAATTTTATGGAAATCATGTGACAGTAGGAGATGATAATTTTGAAAAAGGGGTAAATCAGAACTGCAGTTATAACCAGCATGATCGAAGAGTACATAATGAATTGAGAATGTGTAATGAAAAAAACAAGTTTGTTTCATTCCATCAGAAAATAAATAACAGTAATAACATGAGTAAGAAGAACGACATAAATGACAATGGTAGTAGGAGTACGAGCACTGGTAACATTGCAAAGGATGCATTATTTTACAACAGTTTTAGCAATCAAGTCGATAATCAAAAAATTTCTGATTTTTCACAGTTCGGACAGAATTGTACGGTTCAAAATGTAAACACGACAGTTAATAACAGTATATTAAATACAAATGTTGCAACAAGGGATAATAACAATATGTTTCAAAGCGGTTTTGATGGTAGAACAGGAGAAGAAGCCGCAGGAGAAGCAGAAGCAGAAACAGAAACCGAAACAGCAGAAGGAGCAGGTCACGGTGGAAGGTCCTTAATAACTCCAGGTTCTCGCATACTCAGGAACAGCCACCTCATACAGAATCACAAAAGAGATAGGAATAGTGCAGATCAGAGGGATGAAGACCTAGATTATCACTACCAGCAGAGGAATCAGATCCCATTGTCCGCTTCACCAGCTGTAGGAATTGTGCAAAGTGTAGATGCAGAAAAATTGCCCATACAAGAGGACAACAGTAGGTTTCAGGAGCGGAAGTATCACATTCAGAGTGGGGTATTAGAAAAGAGAATCAGTGGCCGGGGACAGGAAAATATGGTTAGCACCACCACCAATAGTGGCAGCAGCAGCAGCAGCAACTACAATGGCTGTGAAATAAATTATAACGGAAGTATTAACTGTTACAAGAACTCTAGAAATATTAAGACGAGTCAGAAAATACCATATCAATTGCACACGCAAACGAATCTAAACAATGCATATATTAACAACATGATTATGTCCATGATACAGAACCCGATGAATTGCCTCAATCCAGACACTGCTGCATCTAGTAATGTCAGAAAGGGAGTTGCAACACAATTGTCCACAGGAAATATGATCCCACGTGCTAGGAGCAATCATAAGGACAGCAATACCCCAAAGGACTTACTGCAGAGAGGGAAGAATTTCGAAGAGTTGATATGCAGTAAGAGGAATTTCGCAGGTAATCACTATGACAACTGTGTCATTAACAGGGAGGTTGCGAATGTGAATGCATTGGCAAGTGCCAATGCCAATGCTGTGGCAAGTGCAAGCGTTAAAATGGCGAATCCTGTTGGGGGAGCGGGAAATGCCGTGCATTATGGCATACATAAGAGCACATATGAGGGTTTGCAAACCCCCATCCTTACAGGTGATCATTCCCTATGTAACATGACACTATGCAATGCATTGCATACAAATAGAGACACTAAATTAAATGAGGATTTGCAAAGAGGTGGAGAAAGAAATAGCTCAAAAGTGGTAGAAAATGATATGAACATGAGTAATATTTTAAATCGAAAAATTGCAACATATAATTCATTTGAAAATAATTCCTATAACAATAGCATGATTTTTCAGACAAGAAATGGTTTCACAGAGAATACAAACAACTCACAATTGCGAAATATGCAAAATTTGAATCACAGAATGGTGATGATGACGAATAAAAACGATCTTCCATGTAACAACAACATTATAAATAATCATGTGGTGGAGAAGAAATCCACTCCAAATAAGGCCATGCTGAACAATAATTTTAAAATGGAAACGAACAAAAACTGCACAAAATTTAGAACTTTGCATCAGGAAAATGGTTATTATGTGAACAACTCCGGGATACACAATGGTGGCATGGGCAGCATTGGCAGTATTGGTTGCATTGGGGGAGGGCAAAAGGGAGGACCCACAACAGGAGCAGTTGTTATTCATAATTTGAGCAACATGAACAGCTTGAACAGCATGAACAGCAGTTTGAGAGAGCACCCACATCACTACTATGACCAGAACCAACATCACCAACAAATGCAACCACGTCGACCACAGCAACTGCAGCAGCCGCAACACTTACTGCAACCACAACAATTACTGCAACCACAACAATTACTGCAACCACAACAATTACTACAACCACAACAATTACTACAACCAGTGCAACAACTTGACCGGGAATGTATCAAATACCTGTCGAGTAGCTACAATTTGGCGATAAAAAAGAAGGAATATGAAAACATTTTCAGATTGTCAAAAAATCAACTCGTGAGTCTAGAGAATGACATAAAGTATCTGAAGTCATTGTCATCGCACACTATAAAACTGAAGGATTTATATTTCGAGACGTATGAAGAAAGAGATGTTTTTATTCATGATATTGGAAGAATTAGAAATGGTAACCCAGCTAATAGAGAAGAACCATACTATTCTATGGAAGAAAGTGTTGTATCTACAGACCTGTATCCTATAAACGGTGGTACTGTTGTGGCTCATGGTGGGGATCACGTGAATGGCATTATGAGTCATGCAGAGAAGAAGAAGATGGGGGCCAGAGTGATATGCAATGACAATGGAAGAGGAGAAGACGAGGTTGTGTTGTGTGGTAGTGCTGCTACTGTTGCTACTGCTGCTGCTGCTGCTGCTGCTTCTGGTTCTGCTTCTTCTGCTGCTGCTTCTACTGCGGGGACTAAATTAAAGCTAGAAAGGAAGCGAACGAAATTGTATATAAACAAATTCAGCAACAAGTTAAAATACACAGTGATAGAGGAAGGGTCATTTGGTGTTGTATACAAAGGATGGTACAAAGGAATGTATGTGGCTGTAAAAGTACCAGTTGATAAAATGTCAAGACAGGATCCATATGGTTTAACGAAAAGATCTATAAATGAATGGAAAATTTTGTCGAAATGTGATCATCCAAATATAATAAAATTATGTGGTGGTATTGTACATAGCTATTTTGATATATGGCTAGTTACGAAATTAGTTAATGGATTGGATTTACATACGATAAAGAATAATATGAAAAAGGATGAAAAAGTTATGAGTATAGACATTTCTTTAAAAATGTGCAGACAGTTAGCGAATGTTATAAACTTCTTACATACACCAATAAAAAATAAAAAAAATGTAATCATCCATAGAGATATAAAACCTGAAAATTTAATAATTGATAATGATTGGAATATACATCTATGTGATTTTGGAGATTCAGAAGAATGTGAAGATGGTATTGTAACAAATGTCTCAGGTGCTACATGGATATATGCACCACCCGAGTTGTTAACTTGTCATCCCTTAAAACAAAGTAGTGATTATAATTTCTTGGATCATACAAAATTATCATACAAGTGGGATATTTGGTCTATGGGTTGTGTCTTTCAAGAAATGATGAATTTGCCATCCCCCTTTCAACATTATATTATCACATTTGATGAATCAGATCAAATTTATGAAAAGCTAGTTGATGTTTTTACCAAAAAGTTACCTCCATGTATTCATTCCAAAATTGAAAATTCTCCTTTCGCTGATATTATACGACTCTGTCTGAATTATGATCCTAATTTGCGTCCCACGGCATCTGAGATTGTGCAGCTCCTGAACCAACCGGATGAGTACCTTCTGCTGAAAAGGACCCACTGATGCAGAGAAATGCAGATGGATATATATATATATAAGTGAAAGAGGAAGGTAGGGTAGAACCAAGTATCGTCAGATGAAATGCTGGAGAGCTAGCCAACTTCCCCTTGTCCGTCTCAAGTGCGTATATCCATCCTATTTACCATTTGTTGATCCATCGCATAGCACGTAATTCCTCGTGGTCTTTTTTTTTTTTTTTTTTTTTTCATTTTACGTAGCTTTTATTTACACATTATTTCTATTTACATTGCTTCTTTTCACTTCATTTTACTTCTTTTCATTTTGCACCTTATGCCACACTCCCCATTTTAACTTGAACTTCCTGCGTGTAATAATCATGTTTATCGAAACGAACCTACGACCGCAACACAATTCTGAGCTGTTCAATTGAACATGAAAAAATAAATACACTATAATGTACCACCAATGAACAGGGGAAAAAAAAAAAAAAAAACGTTTGGTTTCACATCACACCTCATCATAACACGGTGTGGGTGTATAAATACCCCCGTTTTGTCACACAATAAATTTCGTACAATATGCAACATTATATGCATAAAAAAGTACATCCACAAAAGGGATTACAAAAAAAAAAAAAAAAACTTTTCCTTTTTGTAGTAATATTTTTCATTATATTTCTATAAGGATCAATAATATGTATGTATACATATTTATGAAAAGAGGGGGGGGGAGGGGATATATATATCATAAATGTGCTTTTCTTGTAGCAAAATTTTAAAATGGGACACCACAATTTTTTTCTCTCATTAGGCGCGCGCAATTTGGGCACGTAAAAAAAGGACACATAGGGACGAGAAAGCAAATGTATATATTTTACACAAAAAAACAGTGAATAATGTACATATATATATATGTACATATGTACGTACGTATGTACGTATGCATGCGCAGTGCCTAGGGTAGTGAATGGGAAAACTACCCAAAGCGGTTAAGCAGATTGCCAAAGTGGGTGCACAAATATTTTGAATCTGGTCTACAGCTTGGCTCTGGGTTAAGACACTGACGCATGACAAATAAGATATTACTAATGGCAACGTGAAACATTTTTTTGTTCGAAAATTTTTGATTCAATTTATTCATGTCTATGTAAATGAATTTTTCATAAAAACAAGTGGACACTGTAAAAAAATATGGTATTATATAATCATTTCTAAACGGTAGGGAATCGAAAAGAACTTCATACATTACAATTCCAAAGGAGTAAATATCACATTTGTAGGTGTACTCTTCTTCTCTAAACACCTCTGGTGCAGCATATGGATCATCACAATGTACATTTCGTTTCTCAAATTTTTTCGCTTGAAAGAGCAACAAGGGAGATGATGTCATCCTATTTATATTCTTTCCATCATTCATAGCGGTTATGTAAGGTAGCGGTATGTTAATTTTTTCCTTCAACCTGTACTTACCATCAGGGTGTTTTTTTCTGCATTCACAATCATTAGAATAACAACTAATACTGGTGCTATCATCTCTACTTCTTCCTTCAGTATGGAACATTGTTATGTAGGGTACTCTGCTCCTCCTACAAGCGTCCCAGTAATCTGGAATTCTTCCCCCTAAATAATTCAGCTTGTAATTGTAGTAGTTTTGTATAGATGACTTTTCAAAATTACATAATTTTACACTTCTCCCCTTTTCCTTTACAAATATGTTTTTGCTGCATATATTTCCATGAACAATACATTTCTTATGCATATAAAATAGAGAAATTGAAATTTCATAAAAGAGACGTATAATATTTTTATTTTTCAAGTATTTTTTTTTCTCCCCTTTTTTTCCGTCTACATCTCGAACGTGTTCCAATTTCCTCTCTGCGTATATGATCTCATGTAGGCATTTCCAATCATTCAAGTGTTCAAAAATCAATCCGAATTTTTCTTTCTTCTTATTCATGATACTCCCTAAATATTTCACTATATTAGGGTGTCTCAAATTGGATAGAATAAAATGTTCATTCAGAAATTCCATTCTTTGTGTTGCCCTTTCGATGGCACTTTTCGAATCATCACAATAATCAACTAGCGGTTCATCTCCATCTTGGTTCTCCCCCTCCCTCTCATTGTTCTTTCTCCCTTCAACTTGTTTCGCCATTCCATAATTTTTTTCCTTCTCATCGCTTGTTTTGTCTTCGTTTGCTCCGCCTGCTTCATCCACTTCATCCGTTTCTTTTTTCTCCTGCTCATCGAGACTCTCCCCCCGCTTAACCACTTGTTGCACTTCTAAATTTGACAAATTCTTTTTGACGTTTCCCCATCGATATAATAATGTACCATCCTTTATGCTTATCTGGTGCTGACGAAAAAGGAAATTTTGAGCAACATCTAAGATGTTTTTTCCGAAATGGGTAGTATATTCCTTATGAACTGAATTGTGAATAACCTCATTTGATGCATCATCATGAAGATTGTTATCCATTTGTATTCCATTTGGAAATTTGCTACATGAGCAATGGAATAATTTCTTTTTCCACATTGTTACTGAATACATTTTAAGCTTCACTGGAGTATTCTGGTAGTAGCAGAGGTACCACCATACCTTTCTTCCTTTTCTCTTCCCCTTTGTTTTTCTTTCTCCATTCCATTTTTTTCTCCCGTTTGTACCAAGTCTCCCCCCCTCCTCCTGCGTCTGCTCCTGCGTCTGCTCCTGCTCCTCTCCCTCTGGATTGATAACAACTAGCTCAGATTTAGACAAAGAATTGAAGCTTATTAAGGAATCTTTTGTTATATCTTGCCATGTTATTAGTAGCTGTAGATACATACTATGCAGTGAGTTAAATGTGTTTATAAAATTGAGAAGAAAATATATGTGTTCATATTTATGTACACCAAATTGTCTTAGCGCACTTTTATCGAGGGTGAAGAAATGGAAACCATTAACATGGTTATGCTTAAAACAGGGTATATATTTGTTCAGGTCAAACATGTAAAGAAGAACAAAAATGTGATAATTCTTCCACTCATATATACATTCAATTCTGTTTTTTTTATTTTTATATTTTAAATAGTTTAAAAGATAACAAAATTTTTTAACCATTCCCCCTCCCTTTTTCGATTTGGATAAATATTTTTTGTAAAATCTATTTTGATACATAATTTTTTTCCTTCTTCCGCATCTGGATATTGTGCTTTCTACCTTCCTCCAATTCGTCCCTGAACCCCTATCACAATTCAAATCCGTTTCATATGAATCATTGCTGGACGTATTGCCCAATTGGGGTTCATCAAAATTGGACTTATAATGTCTACCACTTATTAGTAACTTGTAACATTTCATTTTCCTTTTTATATTTTGTCTTTCCCTTCTTATTAGTTTTTTCTTTTCATTGTTCTTTAGGAGAAAAACAGAGTACCTCTCACTATTAATTTTTTTTTTCTTTTTAAAAAGTTTTTCAAAGTTAGAACCACTTGAATGAGCCACATCTGGGAAAAACTCATTTTCACTATCTGAATCTGTTTTGTAAAGAAAATTTTTCAAATTCAGTTTTGGCTTTTCCTTAAATGGATTTTTCTTCCTCTTTTTATTTCCCTCTCCTCTTGAGGTAAAGTCATCTATCATCTCATCGATTTCAAAATCGAGTGATCTGTCGGATGACATACAACATGAGCCATACCTTGAAAATTCCTGCGTCCTATGCATGGCACGTCTTGTGGAACCTTTGGAAAGGATGCAAAAGGGGACATTATTATCTTGTGGTGTTCCCTCATAATGGAGAAAATTAAGATCCCTGAATTCGTTACAACCTATGGCAGATTTGTTATTTTCACTGTGTCTTCGAGGATGCACTTCTTTCTGTTTTCTAATTAAACCTTTTATAAAATTAATTCTGGATTCATTATTTATGTAGTTTAAGGAGCCATTTGGATGACACGACAATTGAATAGCTTTTTTCTTCTTCTCATCAATTTGGTTATGATTTGAAAAATATTTCATAAATGATTTCCCTATACCAAATAATTTTAGAAAAATCTGTTTACGCACAAGAATTGACGTAGTTTTATCCGTATAGACAGGAAAAATATTACTTAGTTTTTTCTTAAAAATTATTTTCTTGTTTTTATAAAAATATATGTACATGTTCATATTTTTTGTAATTTTAATTTGCCGTTTTATTCTACTCGATTGAAATAAACAAAAATTGAAGCTACTATTTTTTTTTAATATTCCTACTCCATTCATTAAACCAAATTTGTACGATCCGAAAAAAAGTTCTTCATTTCTGTATGTACATCCAAAACCATGGGAAATGTTGTTTAGCCATTCGCCTGAACAGTTCAGAAATTTGTTTATTTTTTTTCATTTTTTATATTGCTATAACGGGGGGGGTAGGGCGAATGGGACACAAATGTTTTCATAGTCTCTACCCATTCGACGTGAAAAAAAAAAAAAAAAAAAAAAGTAAAATAAAATAAAAAAATTGTACCATAATGTGTATATATTTACACGTGTTATTATTACCGATTTTATCCACCACCACCCCTCAATGTATATTGCACAAAAATGCGAAAATTTTTAACCTGAGTAGACAACTTCCTTCTCGTTATATAAAATTCCATGGCCGCTTTTCTCATTTTCAATCCATTCGCTGCATTGGAGGGTGGGGTGAAGGTAGCCTCATTAGTAATTGTCCATTTGGCAGCGCAGAAAAATGGATGAATAAAATGGATGAGAAAAATGGATGAGAAAAATGGATGAGAAAAATGGATGAGAAAAATGGATGAGAAAAATGAATGAAAAAAATGAATGAGAAAAATGAATCAATAAAATGAATCAATAAAATGAATGCGAAAAATGAATCAATAAAATGAACCAATAAAATGAATGAAAAAAATAACACACTGATGTGGCAACATGTGAGAGCTTCCCCTATCCTGTTTACACTTTTCACTTGAATACAATTTCGCATGACTGTTCATCATTTCTCACCCCTCGTATATACTCCCAGATTCTTTGTATACATAATATCCATATCCATGTCTCCTTCTGTTTTTAGTTGTTCCTATGTAAATGTCTCCATTTTGGTATTCTAGCTTTGGTGGTGAAAATAAAAAATGAGTGGTGATGATCGATTAGGAAATTTTCACATGAAACAATGAACACAACATAGAAATGAAATTATGTTATCTGGATTGACATATAAATGAAGAGGTGTGTGGGGGAAGCTCTACGGTATATTCATTGTGCACATGTATGAACAGAAACAAAAAAGCGGATATGAACTTAGTTTGCACATACACATATACACAATTGCGTACTTCTCCAATAACGAAAATATGACGATGCGTCTCGAAAAAAAAAAAAAAAAAAAAAAAAAAAACATTCACGAATGTGCTGCGCTAACTTAGGGGGATAGGACAAATGTTATACACATGATTTATTAAAATCTGAAAAATGTGAATGCAATAGTAGTAGCTACTTGATTAAATATATAGTTATGGACTATAACTTTTTTCCTAATGTGTTATGCATGTTCTTACAATTTGATCAAAGGGTTCGTGGGTTAATATGTGACACACGCAGGTGTAAAGAAAATCATCACGTTCTTTATATTTCATCAGATAATCTTCTCTTAGTATTCTTTTCATTCCTCCGTTCATCCTGAACTAAAGCATGAGTTGCACATACGTATCCATATACATGTACATATATGTACATATATATATGTATGGGTATAGGCAAAGAGTCAGCGGCTCAATTGTGCAAGGGGAATGTTTTCTACATCCTTTTTTTTTTTTTTATTAAATAATTTGTATCATAAAAAAAAAAAAAAAAAAAAAAAAAAAACATGGCAAGGAAAAAAAAAGATAACCCCAAGGTGATACATTTCCTTTTTGTCACATGAAACCCTTGACATAACAATGAAGAGCGGTGTAGAGGTGTAATCTATGACTTAGTACATTACAAGTCTTTCCCAAAAAAAAAAAAAAAAAAAAAAAAAAAGAAAAACACTCAAATTTGCCTAAGAGTTTCTACTCATTCTTTAGTATAATTTACCAACGAGTTCCTATTCTTTTTTTTTCTGTTCTTGATTCCACTTTAGCGAGAATTTTTCAAAAGAAAAAAAAAAAAAAAAAAAAAAAAAAAAAATATATATATGCACACATAGGGGAGGTTAACACAATATACTATCCACTTACGCACCCCTTGAAATAGGAGACCCTTCATTTTTAAAACATCAAGTCATGTGCACATAACGAAGGATGTAAATGTCAAGTGGCACATGAGAATTACTCAGTCATTTGGATGTACATATATATATATATATGCATATATGAATCCGTGTGTGTGTGTGTGTGTGGAGAACGGAGGGGGAGCGGGGTAGGTACTTAGTTACCACCACATATGCTATGTTCGAAGTGAAGAGGGAATATATACCAAAAGGTAGACTTTTTTTTTACATTATTTGTTTTTTCATTTGACATTTTTTCCATTTATATGCATGTTTTTAATATAAGTATAGTAGCATACCCATGGGTAAAAAGAGTCCCATTTTATGAGCGAGCGGAAGAGAAGAAACCGGTGCATGTTCCTTTCCCCTCCTCTTCTTTTGCAAAATAGGTATATATAAAACACATCCACAATATCTTCACACATTTTGCAAAAATGCTTACAATATTACTACGTATGTATATATATATATATATATATAATACATATATGAATATATACTTTTGGTCACATGCCCAAAGGATAGAATTACATTAACATTATTTTTTTTTCAAGTTCTTGAAAGGCTTTATATCTACCTTTCTAAAATCTAAAAAATGTGTGACGTGTTTTTCTCCCTAATATCATTTATGTGTATATATAAAAATACTATATTGGACAGAACATTTATATTTTAAAACACATACAATAATTACAAAAAATTAAAAAACGAATATGACACGTTTTTATTTTATTTATTTTATTTTTTTTTTTTTTTCCTGGAACATGACATTTTTCTTTTTTATTCGCTTATATAAATTCAAAATTTTTCAAAAGATAAGGGAACCTTATTTGTTCTAACTGCGTAAAAATAAAAAAACTATATGTAATAATATCCATTATGCAAAGGGTTCAAAAAAAAAAAAAAAAAAAAAATTACTCGATAAAAAAGAACATGCTAAAAAACTTTCCCTTTTTTTTTTTTTTTTTTGGGGAGGGGTTATTTATTTTTTTCTTTTTATAAAAAAATATTTCTATAAAGGGATATACAAAATAATATATAATACAAAAATGTATACAAATGCGTGTGCAGAAAACACATGCATCATATGCCACATGTTAAATCTATAAAATCGGAAATATCATGCATGATGTGTGTTGGGATCATATGCATATATACATATATACATAAATGCATATATATATATATGTCACATCCGTTGCTCTCATGTGAAGGTTATATTTATTTGATGTGCTTTCATCATATATTAAGCGGCCGGAGGAAATAAGGGTTCATAACTTGGCTCGGGTTGGTTTTCTAAATTCAGAGAAACATCATAAACAAACCAAACCCACTTGCTTTGTCAACTTTTTTTTTTTTTTGGAGCTCCGTAAAATTTCTATGGACCTCTCTCTCCCTTTCTTTTCACCACAATTCCTGCTCCCCTGTGCCTCCCTTTTTTTTTTTTTTTTTTTTTTTTTTCTTTCATATTCATTTTTTCTCATCATCTTGAATCACCTCTTCCTCCTCCTCCTCCTGCTCTCTTTTTCAATCACAAAAGGTTTGATCAGTCTGAATGATAAATGGCCAGGTAAGAAGAGAAGGTTCATAACCAGCTAAGTAAAGTGAGTTCAAGAGTTTGTTATATGTTTCAAGGAGAATGGTTCTGTATTTAGATAAAATAATCATGGGTTCAGTTGATTTTTCACCAGCTATAATTATATGTTCATATTCTTTTTGTTCATTAGCTTCAGCATATACTATATTAACATTATTGTTTAATAAGATTTGTTGATTTCCTTCTACTAAATAAATACTTGCATTGAACACATCAACTACTGTGGCTTGTTCTTCAAGTTTTTTATTCAAAATTAATTTAAATGTCATTTCAGATTTGTGTTCTCCAAATAAATAATTTCTATCACATGAAAAGTTTACTAAAATGTATGCTGAATCTCCATCTCTTTTTAAACCTGAGAAATCATATTTCGTACATCTGCATAACAAACCTGGAAATATTTTATCAGAAGCATTAGTAGCAATTTCATAGAAAGTTCCTTGTAATTGATTCAGGTCTATGTCCTTGGTGATTACGTGCACAATACCGTCCTGTGGGCAGAAGGTGAAAAAAAAAAAAAAAATGAAACAAAATGGAAAGAAGCAAAAAGAAAAAAAAAAAAAAAAAAATCAAATAAGTAAACATTTTGAGCTTATTTTGTGCATTCCTCCCACTTATTCATTGGTCGGTAGGGGGAGGGGGGGGAGATGGATTAACGTAGGAAAGGGATTAAAACATATGTGGGCATATGTAGCCATATACATATATACATATATATATATATATATATATATATATATATATATATATATATATATATACATATATCTACCCCCCTTTTCCACTTCTCCAAATACTCCTCCTCCAAACCCGCAAGCCTCCCTTCGTTCGCACTCTCATTATTATGAGCTCTCACTGATGAGCTATTTCTTTCTTTTTTTTTTTTTTTTTTTTTTTTTTTTTTTTTCTTCATGCTTACATTATTGGGGGTGTCTGATGATCTCACGGAAGAGAGCAATGCAAAAATAAAAAGGCAAAAAAATTTAGCAATCATTTTTAAAAAAAATTGTAAAAAAAAAAATATTCTTTAAAAATTTGAAATATGCGTCGGATAAAATGGGATAATCAAACTGTTATATATATATATATATATGTATAATTCTTCTACAATAGAATTAACAACTCTTTTAGGTCTATGAGCCACGGTTATTCGCAATATTTTCTAATTTATTCAAAAATAAAATATTAAAAATTAAAGTAATAATAATAAGAAGATGAACAATAATAACAATAATAATAATAGTAACAATAATAACAATAGTAACAATAGTAACAGTAATAATATAATAAATAACGGTCAATTTTGTATAATTTATTTAAAAAAAAAAAAAAAAAGTATCAAAAGAATTGTAGAGAAATAATAAAGTTACAAAAAATTGAAATTCATAAATTAAACGATATATATAATTAATAATATAAAAGATGAGTAACTGGATGTTTTTTTTATAATTAAAAAAAAAAAAAAAAAAAAAGGTCAGCAAATTCGCTGGTTTCTATATATTATGTGAATATATTGGATTGGGGTTTTCTTTTCTCGGGTATTTTTTTCAAAGTTGATAAAATGTAACAAACGGGAAAAATAGGCAAGAAAAGGAATGAAGAAAAAACATGAATTTATAAATTAGTTGCTATTTTTTTTTTTTTTTAATTTAATTAGAGAGGGGGCAAAGGGGGGTAAAAAGTGGACTACGCTGAGAGATGCAGCAAAGTTATTCACTGGGAGTTGCCCTATATAGTCTACATAAAATACATACATATATATATATATATAACTCTACAACATGTAGTTATTATATTGTATACATGCAAAACATATGGCAACAAGTGTTGTTAAAATTTATTCAAGTATTTATTTATGTATTTATTTATGCATTTATTTATGTATTTATTTATGTATTTATTTTTTTTTTTTTTTTCCTCGCCTCCAGCCCCCCTTAAACTTTCCTGCCAAAGTAACGCACTCCAAGTGGCACCATGTTCAGATATTAAAAAAAAGAAAACAAATTAAAATAAATGGAGAAGAGAGACTATATATATTTATAAATATAAAAACCCCATAATCCATCCAATCCCCCCCCCCCCCCACTCCCTAATCATGTTTAAAAAGTATACATTTTTCTATGCATGTTGCATGGGTTCTCATCATATATATATATGAAAATCAATTTTTTTAAAGGGTTCTTCTAAAAGCACCACCACGACTCCATAAAAAGCCCTTGTTTTGTATGCTTTTTTTTTTTTTTTTTTTTTTTTTAACCCAATTGTTAAATTAACAAAACTGCATGAGTGTTGTGGAAAAATTACATGCGTGCATGTAAAAATAAAAAATATATATATATATATATATATATATATATATATATATATATAATACATAGGTAAAAAATACGGGCGTGAATTATCGGGGGGATGAGGGGTGCAATAAAAAAAAATTGAATACATCAATAGCGGGGCAGTGCAAGGGCAGTTTGTTATTATTTAAAAAAATGCCGTTGCCAGTTCTGAAGCACGTGTTACATAAGTATAAAATGTATGCTATGTTATGTATATACATATATACATACATACGTAGATATATGCGCATCGAATGTATGTAGTAAACCCAGGAAGCTAGTAGGTGCCCAAGTACCGGATAAAAAGGGGGGAAGAAAAATACCCATAAAAACTAATGATGCAATTTTCATTATTTAACAACGTTTGATGGGTGGAAGGAAAAAAAAAAAAAAAAAAAAAAGTGTATTTTTAATTTTATATATATATCATCAGAAAAATGTCCCTAAAGCGAACCCTGAACACCCCTCCACCTACCACCACAGACTCATCACCCCTCTCTCAATTTATTCTTTATTAATATATATATAATTTAAATGGATATAAAAATTACAAAAGTATTTACAACGCTTCGTCCACACTGCCACAAAGGTGTTAGAATATTTTACATTATGTTGTCAGTTTATGTACATATTATTTTTTTTTTTTTTTTTTTTCTTTGTTATCTCTTTACGTTTTTTTCTGCAAACATATTGTGTGATGAAAAAGTGATTGTAATGTCAACTTTTGTTGACGTGCCCAAATGCTGGGGATGGAAGAAGAAAAAAAACCCCATTTTACCATAGGTGCATATAAATAATATTCTTACCAATTTTATACATGTTATGTTATTATATATATATATATATATATATGTATATGAAAAAAACAGACGTAAAAAAAAATAAAAATAACCTCTTCACCGCAACTCTTACCATAAACAAATATAGGAGGGCATGCGAAAACATTCTCTGTTAGAGACTTTTTTTCTTTTTCTTCGTTTTCAGCAATTGCATATTTTTAAAGTATTTAATATTTTCCCATTTTTATATCATCCTCTTGTTTAGTTTTTTTTGATATGCCCCCACCCCCGCCCCCCATTTTATATACAATAGTCGGATTTACATCAAACATTGAAAAAAAAAAAAAAAAAAAAATTAATATAAAAACAAATTAAATGCTCAATAAAGGTTGTAAAAGTATTAACCGTGTAGGTAATGCACGAAGTAAAAAAAAAAAAAAAAAAATATTCATATTTTATTTTGTTTTCATAAAAAGGGAACACATAATGGGGGGGGGGGGGGGTAGTGACTCCGCCCAAGTCAATAGAATTGCATGCCCAGTTTGCAAATCGAAAGGACAACAATGTCATAATGTGTGGATGGTAGAAATCATTCGGTAATTTTTTTCCCCTGTCTTTTTTCCAATATGTGTTCCTGTTTGTATGTATTTACCACTTATTCTAACTATACATATTTAATAACCTTATAGGATATGGGGGTTGGAAGAAGAGTGTAGAGGGAGAAATAAAAAAAAAAGGAAGGCCAACCATAATTTTGTTCGCTTATGTTCATCCGTTTATGTTCAATTACGAGTTAGTATAAATGTATATACGCATGTGTAAGTGTGTCATATATGGTATATATATATATATATATATATATATATATATATATAGCACTGTTGTAACTTTTTTTTTTTTTTTTTTTTTTCCCTCTTTTTTATATATATAAAATTAACAATACTTGTATTTATGGTTCACCACAAATTGTTAAGTAAACGGGGTGAGAGAGAGAGAGACACCGGAAGGGGGTGGTGCGAAGTAGTAGTTCAGTCCATCTTGTTAATATATACATGTAAAGCAAAAAAAAATAAAATAAAATAAAACAGAGTGATACAATATAATTGCAAAATGAAGAAATATTATTACAAAAAAGAAAAAAAAAAAAAAAATATGTATGTATGAAAAGCCATCTTTTTTTGTATTTATGAAAAGGTTGTATAAAAACATGAAAAAATTCATCGCATATGGTGGGAGAGAAAATTGTATCGACATCTCTTCTTCAAGATGTGTTTCTCAAAATACAAGCGGACAAATAGACAAGCATACAAGGCAATATATGTATTATTCATGTGTTTATAAAACGGGCGATAGGGATGGGACACGATTTTCCCATTCTTAGTTCATCCCACGAATAGCGCACACGTATTACATGCACATGTGTTATATTCACATGTATGTATTATGTATGTATGTACATATTTCTTTTTTTTTTTTTTTTTTTTTTTTACTTGTGAAAATAATAAAAATATATCACAGCGTTTCCATTTCCCCCCAAACCACCCCTTTGCATGGCTCCATCATTCCCTGCTTGTCATCACAATTTATTCTACTTGTCTCCAGTGGGTATGTCCGTCCTTCGAAGTAACATTCCATACAATATGTCGTTTTTAATATTATGCATGGAAATTTTCTTATTTTTGGAAGATCTATTTTCTAATATGGACGAGTTAATAATTGCATTGATTTCTTCATCTATATTTTCCTCCATATTTTCCTCCATATTTTCCTCCATATTTGCATCCATATTTTCATCTATATTTTCATCCATATTTTCCTCCATATTTTCACCAATATTTTTATCTATATCTTCATCTATATCTTCATCTGTATTTTTAAAATTAGAACCCATTTTGCCCTTCTCTTTGGACACATTGCTCTTATGCATTTCTCCCTTCGTTCTTAAATATTCACTAGAACCTACAAAGTTGGGGCTCCTTCTCTGCATATTTCGACGTGCATCTGGAAGAAAGTCTCTATATGTGTATTTATTGGTTCTTGCTTGTGATGTATGTCTACTACCATACATGTAAAATGTGTCTGTTCCTTTGTACATGTTTGATGTTTTCATTTTTTCATTTTCCACTGTATCATGCATATCTCTAAATTTGAAATGCTTGTCCTCTGGATCGAGGCGAAATATTAATTCTTCATCAGTAACTAAAAGGGAGTTTTTTTTCTTGCTGCTCATATTTTTACTCTCATCTATAAGGTTTAAGTAAACGCGATATTCACAATTTAACAATCTGAAGAGGTACTTGTCGACTTGTTGAACTGTTGCTAATGCTTTCATATCCTTTGAAAATTCATCAATAATATTGTTAGTTAAGTTTGTAATATACACTGGTAGGGGTTCTAGAATACGTAAAAATCTAATGAATACTAAAAAAAATTTCGTTAATTTAAATTTCAGTAATGGTGCATTCTGAAAATATTTCGCACATCTTTCAAGTATTATGCATATCATCTTGATGTTAATAAAGCTACAGCACTCTGGATCCTGCACCATGTTGAGGAACACGGGGTTCCGTCTGTTGATGAGTAGGAATTTGTGCACTGAGTCTCTGTAGTTATCGAAGGAGAAGTAGTCACTCCGGGGCGTGGATGCGGTGTTTTGGCTAGATACGGTGTTTTGGCTAGATACGGTGTTTTGGCTAGATGCGGTGTTCTGGTTAGATGCGGTGTTCTGGTTAGATGCGGTGTTCTGGTTAGATGCGGTGTTCTGGTTAGATGCGGTGTTCTGGTTAGATGCAATGTTTTGGCTAGATGCGATGTTCTGGTTACATGCAATGTTTTGGCTAGATGCGGCATTCTGGTTAGATGCAGCGTTTTGGCTAGATGCAATGTTTTGGCTAGATGCAGCATTCTGGCTAGACCCGACGTTATGCGTGTCGAAGAATACACGCCCCCGAATGCCTTGGGAAAGACTTTTATTCTCCATAAAAATCTGATAGATGCATGCAATGTGGTGGTAATTGGCCATGTCGACATCTGATAGGGCGACCAAGAAGTAAAGCAAATCCAAAACGTTGGATGAGTTCAACATTTTGTACACAAAAAGCTCGGAAAAAATATAAGCGTACTGAATCAGGAAATTAAACTTTTGAAAATCATTCCTTTGGATGATAGATATAATGCGTTCATATAAATCATCTATAATTTGTGTAACAAAACTTGGTTTATGCAAAGCAAGGTAAAATAAGAGAGATGCTAAATTACCAATTTGGTATATACTCATATAAATTAAGAATTTAAAAATGTATTTCTTCAACATTGTTGTAGTGAACATGTCATCCCAGTTAAATTTTCTTATATATATACATACCTCTTCCATGGATATTTTTTCTATATCTTGAAAGAGTAACTTTTTTAAGAAATATTTTTTTCTCAAATCTTGTTCAGAATATTTTGAATTTTTTTTTTTTTTTTTCAAATTTTTATTTTGTGGATAAAATTCTTGTTCTATTTTAATGCAACATTCTTCAAAAAGTAAATCTAAAGATGTTGATAAATTTCGAGAACTTTTCATTTTTTTAATTTTTTGCAACAAATTTAAGAACCGAATATGTGTCTTGGAATTGTTTAACAAGAATGAAGAACAATTTTCTAATATATAAAAAGACAATTCAGCGTGATCTGATGTAAAATTCTCATTCAGAAGATTCAAAATATCCAAAATGTATGTCATATCTAACAATTTAAATTTTGTCAATTCGCAAATATATTTTATACATTTTGTTTTCTTATTCTGACAAGGTAGTTTTTCTTTAATTAATTTTTCGGTTATTCTTTTTACCTCTTCAATAACCATCACCGTCATGTCTTTCCTGTATATGTTAATAATGGCGATATATCGACAGTAAAACGGGATCAAATTTAGAACCACTTGATTTATATGTGTAATTGTATTTGCAACAATCTTCCTTTTCTTCTTCGTGTTGTAGTTCAGTAGAAATGTCATTACATGATCCTCCAATATTTTCTCACTATTCATACTTAGCAACTTCTCTAGGTATCTGTTGAATCCTTTTTTCTGGTCTTTCCATAAAGAACTATCTGTCACAGAAGTTGTTCCGGGGAGGGTATCCAACCCAGACACCACAGGGGTAGATGATGCGTTCACTTCTCCCTCTTTCAATGCACTCTTAGCATTTTCTCTTTTGCATTCAATGTTCTTTTCACAAGTCGTATCATTACTAATGTTGTTGTTGTTGTTGTTGTTGTTGTTGTTGCAGCTGTTGTTGTCGCTGCTCTTCTTCTTCATTTGATTGTCCCGTTCCTCCATTTTTTCTGCACTGGAGAGGTGAATCCCGTGTGTGTCATCATCATCACACTCATCATCGTTAACTGCTACGTTAATATTTGAATAATCGGGAAATTTTGTATAAAACAACCTCTCTTCTTCATTAATCCACAAGGAATAAGATTCATCAACTGTTACTTCCTTATCGTTCATGTATTTTTTCTTCTTCAAATTATCAAATAATTTAATGTGTTTAACACTTTCTTCATTAAGTCCCACCATCTCAATACCGATTATTTGTATTTCGTCTAAATTGGGGCCATTTCTTTGCATAAAACAACATAGTTTTTTGCACTTGTCATAGATGCTGAAAAATTCAAACTCTTCTTTTTGTCTAGAAATTTTAGCACTGCTAGTATATTCATTTATCACATGTTCTCCGTATAGATATATCAGCAAATTATGCATGCTACTGTTGTAAAATACCTGAAGAATGTTCATTACGAGATCTTTTATTTCGCTCATGCAAGGGAACCCATTAATTCGCAAGCTGGTTGACACGTTGAGCGGCGTGCTAGTCCTGATGACATTAGCATCGCCAATGGAACAAACATTATTTCTGTTCATAAAAAAAACTGTTCCTACGTTTGAGAAAAAGTAATTGTATGCTATTATTGTATTAACGGCAAGGTGTTTTCTCACAGCACGTAATACATCAGATGTAGTGGAGTAAAATTTTCCGTCTCGCTTTTCCTGCAAACTTTGAGTAAGGGCAATTTTTTCATTGTCGAATACTTGAGAATCTAAAGTTAGGGTAAAGAAAAAAGTCATGTTTATGAACATGTATGTAAGAAGATCATTATTCTTGCATATTCCAAGTAGTAATAATTCAAAGTACACACATATCAATGTTTTCCTTATTTTGTTCTTTTTTTCCAATTTCTTTAAAAAATTTGAATCATTAAACATTTCCTTTATGTATGCCTTCTGATCTGCCAAGTTGCTTTTCCAAAATTTTGTTTCTTTATGTTCATTACCAAATAAATCATAATCCAACATGAACGTGTCGCTTTCTGGCCCCTCCTTACGAAGCTGAGCGTTTAAATTTTTCATTACAGTGCTTTTCGCCTTCTGAAAAATTCGCAATTCTTTTAGTTTCTCCTTCATGTCATCTCCAATAGGCTCCCCTCCACTTTGGTTTGCACTACGGACATTTCCTTCATCATCTTGACCTTGAGAAGCATCCTTCTGATGATCGGTACTATGTTTTGCCATGTCTACACCATTTTTGGTGACGTCCAGTCTATCCAGTTTTCGTGTCTCTTCCTTTGAGACAGGGCGCTTGGGGGTAGAGGAGGGCTCCTTTACAGAAAAGTTGGACTCACTGATATTATTGTATAAATCATAAAAAACGATAAAAAAGTAATTTTTATCATCTTCATCAAGTTTGAAATATCTTGCAAAAATTGTTTTATCGATGTGTTCACCTACATTTTCATAATTGTCATTCATATATTTAATTAAATTAATAAAAAGAAAAAGATCAGGATATTTGTTAACATAGTAAATTAAATTAAATATATAGTTAAATATCTCACTTAAATATTTCGAAATATTTAATTGTTTAATATCATTTTGTAAACTTTCTAAATAACTTGTTTGTAAATTTGTTACATTTGTATTTTTTAACTTGTTTATAAATTTTTGTATTTGCATTACGCTCATGTTCTTTTTATTTTCAATAACTGCATTATTATTCTCTTCCTTTTTCTCTTCTTCATTTTGACGAATTATTATTTTATTTCTCAACACATCATTTTCTCTTGAATTAGAAAGTTGCGCCTCCCGTTCTTCCTCCGTCCATGCGTTGCTTTCCTTCGACGTCATTTTGTTTTCGTTCCTTTTCTGTTCTCCTCCCTCTTCCTATTCCTTATGTCGCTTTTTCTTCAACGTAGGACAAACTCCCCCACCCCTCCTTCTCCTTCCTTGTAGATGTTCATAAAAATGGACAAAATAAGGGAAGAAATTGGGTTATGAAAAAAAAAAAAAACATGTGCATAAATACATTTACAGTTTGGAAAGTTCAATACCCCTTGCTTTGTTGCATTACTTTCTTCCTCTTTTTCGTTCACTTATTATTTCTCCTTTTCCCCAAGCTTATTCGTGTCACTGACTGGCGCCACGTTTTGGGGTGATATTTTCTCCTTTTTTTTTTTTTTTTTTTTTTTTTTGTGTCAGGAATTGTCAATTAAAAAATGAATAGTCAGGTAAATTTCATAGTTTGGCTAGTTGGCTACCTGACTAACCGAATTGATTGCCTTATGAACTGACATGGGCTGCCTAACCGAACTGACTGCCTCACTGTGCGTTGCCGAGATGAATGACACAATCAGGTCCCAGCATACCCAAGGATCTCGCAAAGGGTAGAGGAAAAATTAACATGTGGCACTAGTGTTTGAAACGTGTAAAAAGGAGCAATAGGAGAACTAAGTAACTTTGGGTGAATTGGAATTTCCTTGCTTGTCATATTTTTTTTTTTTTTTTTTTTTTTTTTTTTTTAAAATAATTTTTGAAAAGAGATGGTTACATTTTTTTTTTTTTTTTTTTTTTTTTTTTTTTTTTTTTTTTTTTTTTTTGTCATGTTAGAAAAATAACAGAATTGAGAACAAGGAAATTATTTTTATTCATCAGCATGGATAATGTGCTAAATTTGCAGAGTTTAATTTCAAAAGAGAAAAATCAAAATGGAGTTATAATAGAGCAAACTAAGGCAAAATAGGAAAATAGCAAAATACGGCACAATAAGGCAAAATAGGAAAATAGCAAAATACGGCACAATAAGGCAAAATAGGAAAATAGCAAAATACGGCACAATAAGGCAAAATAGGAAAATAGCAAAATACGGCACAATAAGGCAAAATAGGAAAATAGCAAAAGAAAGCCAAAGAAATGCTAAAACAAAACTGTCCAGGATTTCTCATTCCTTCCTTTTGGTGTACGCAATGCAATGTATAACTCTCCCTCATCCACACATGCATGCGCAAACAGACAGACACACACACATGAACATAAGAAAATTTTTCAAAAAAAAAAAAAAAATGTTTTCCTTTTCATGTGTTCTCATCTGCTGAAATCATCATTTTTGCATGAACACATGGAATGTAAAATACATGTTCGCCCTGTTCTTGCGCTGTCGACTTTTGTAGTTTGGATAGATCAGTAGGAAAGAACAAACACTACACATGGATATACACATGCAAATATATGTGCATATGTACACACATAAGCTTCTTCACACAAGCAACCCAGGCCTTCACGGAAAGGCATTAACCAAAAAGGATTTTATCAAAAGATTACCTTTTTCAAAGCGATGACTTTTTTGTGTCCATTTCAGATTCATTCATTTTCCTAGAGCAGTGTCTAATGCCGCTTCTTGTTCATTTAATTCTTCCTCTACACCTCTTGTAGAGAAGCGAGAAGCAGGGAAAAATAGAATGAAATAATAATAATAAATACACAGAACTCCACCAAGGTATGCAAAATTTATGTTGATGTGTTTTGTTCACACCATGCACGTGCATCCTTACAAGTGTCATTTAAAAATGTATCCATTTTTTATTTCCGTTAAATGGAGGAATGGAGTAAAAAAAAAAAAAAAAAAAAAAGACTTATCAGAACAATTTCCCTCACGTGCATGTGTCTTCCAAAGTGCAATTATATGCATTATAAGTAACACATAGTGCACAACCAAATGGACATTTGTTAAGCAACAGAATGGTAGGTTTAATGATGAGAACATAGTATCAAAAAAAAGAAAAAAAAAAAAAAATTGCGATTTGAAGAGCAACCTCGTGGAATTTTGGGCAAATATATATATATGTATGTATGTATGTGTATGTATATGTATGTATTTTATTTTTTTCTCATGTAAAACGGAAAGAAACAAAATCCCTCTTTTTCCCGAATTCTTTGAGCAAAATTGGTAACCAATTTTTGGCATAGTTCCTTTCGTATGTTGCATTTGAGTACTTCTGCCCTTGCAGAAACTTTTCCCTTTTTTTTTATAATTCATGACTTGACACCCCTAGAAAGAGCATTCTCAATCGTTCCTTTGGGATATGTATGTATAATATGTGTTTGTTTTTATTTACACAATTGTTGAAAGAATAAAAGGGATTTGGGTTCCCAGTGAAGAGAGGAATAAAGAAAAAAAAAAAAAAAAAAAAAAAAAAACACGTAAATATATATATATATATATATGTGTACATGTACATATAGAGTTTCTTGGGGTGCTCATCCGGTAGGTAGCAAGATTAATACATGACCTTTCTCTCTGCTTTCATTTCAGGATAGATTTAAAAGTTCTTTCTGTCGTTATTAAGTTGCAATTTTTACAGGCATGTGAGAATAGGTAAATATGCACATATATATGTGCAAGATATATGTGAACTTTATGTCTACTCGTTGGGGCCCTCATTTCACTTACGCATGTACATGAGTAATTTGTGAAAAAATTATGAACAAATTGTGAAAAAATTATGAACAAATTGTGAAAAAATTATGAACAAATTGTGAAAAAATTATGAACGAATTATGAACAAATTATGAACAAATTATGAACAAATTGTGAACAAATTATGAACAAATTATGAACAAATTATGAACAAATTATGAACAAATTATGAACAAATTGTGAGCAAATTATGAACAAATTGTGAACAAATTGTGAACTAAATGTATGTACATGTGCATGCATTTCAGCGATGAAATATGTAATATATTTTGGACTCACGGCGTACTCCTCTAGTATATTTGCTGAATTATGTTTTACCCCTGCTTGCCCACGAACCGACAAACCCATTCGTTGCATATTTATATATGTATGTATGAATACATGTATGAATATGTGTATGTATATATGTATGCATGTATGTATGCATGTATGTATATGCGTATGTACATATAGCTTCTTTCCAGGTTATATATATATACATTTTTATGCACATATCCGTTTCTTCTTCGGTTAGTGGGTGGTGTTGTGCTACTCTTATGGGTCGTCAAACCGAAGGTTTAAAAATAGAAAACAGTGAAAAAGTTAAAAGTAGGAACAAAGAAAAATCAAGAAAAGCAAGACTCGTTCCTTTTAGATTTTTTTTTTTTTTTTTTTTTTTTTTTTCTCGTGTCATTTCGGATTTTACAGAAGATACATTTTTCAAATTTCACATATTACATTCATTGTTCATTGTTCATATTTTTTTTTTTTTTTTTTATAATTATTACGAAGACTTGTTTTTTTTTCCTACTTTTTTTTCCTACTTTTTTTTCCTACTTTTTTTTCCTACTTTTTTTTCCTACTTTTTTTTCCTACTTTTTTTTCATACTTTTTTTTCCTACTTTTTTTTTCTACTTTTTTTTCCTACTTTTTTTTTCTACTTTTTTTTTCTACTTTTATTCCTACTTTTTTTCTACTTATATTCCTACTTCTTTCCTACCTTTTTTCTTCTTTGTTTTCTTATTTTTTTTCTTCCTTTTATTTGCCCCCCTTTTTCTGCTCTTTTTTCACACTTCCCCCCCTTTCCCTTAAAAAACTGAGAAATTCCACTTTTATCCTTTTTGTGATTTTTTTAAAAAAGCGTAACTCTTTATGATATATTGGTTGTGCATAAAAGCGAGAGGGAGAAGAGAGGACACCATTTTGCTTATCTTATATACATGCTTATGGGCCATGCTCCATCCATGTACATATTAAATGCATGTTTCTTCAAGTGCGTCCAAAAAATGTACAAATTTTGAATGCAGTTTTTTTTTGTACATCCAAATTCAATGAGCACTTATATCATTCATACCCTTGGGTGAACCGTATAGGTACATTTTTTTTTTTTTTTCATCTCTCTCATCTAATCAATCACATTGAGTAAATTTTACCAAGTCATGCAAAATTAAAGAGAAAAAAAAAAAAAAAAAAATATATATATATATATATATGTATATCTTTTAAAAATACTTGTACTAAAGAAAAGAAAAAAGACAACTTATATTAGGAAGTTAAAGGGGGAAAGGATCCAATCGAGAGGCAGTATAATTTTTTTTTTTTTTTTTTTTTGTTTTGTTCCTTCTCGTTCCCATCCCCCTTTTGCAAATTTGTCAAACGAAAAAATTACATAATATATACTCATTCATTTTGGAAACAAGTATCATCTGTGAGCAGTTCAGTAATTGCGTAGCTTTTTTGCGGGACTCAGAAAAAATGGCCATATCTGAATAAGTGAACGTGTGAATATACATAAATTCATATTCTTGCATGTATAAGTACATATCCGTTCATATACATATCCGTTCATGTACCTATCCTTGCATGTACCTATCCGTGCATGTACCTATCCGTGCATGTACCTATCCGTGCAGGTACCTATCCGTGCATGTAACTATCCGTGCAGGTACCTATCTGTACATGTACATATACATAAAATGGGTCAATGGGTATAAAATAGTGGGGGGGGAAGTTTAAGAATGCCATTATGTAACATATGCAACTAGCTAGTGCGTACGCTTTGTTGCAGTGAAGAATGTGGAAATGCATATATATATGCATTTGCATTTTTGTTTTTCTCGCATAACGCTTAGATATATCTTCACGTGTACAGTTTTGCATGAATCACTTGCAGTGAATCGATTGCAGTGAACTTCTTTTGCTTACCCGGGCTAGGAGAACGATATAAAGCATCAGGGAAGAAGACACTGCACCAGTTCCCATTCGTTCTTCCATCCCACTCACCAGCAGTGCTTCTAACATCTAATCGGAAGCTCTTCTAACATATAATCGGAAGCTCTTCTAACATCTAATCGGAAGCTCTTCTAACATATAATCGGAAGCTCTTCTAACATATAATCGGAAGCTCTTCTAACATCTAATCGGAAGCTCTTCTAACATCTAATCGGAAGCTCTTCTAACATCTAATCAGAAGCACTTCTATTATCTAAGCACCCTTGGAAATCATGTCAAATAGGAAAAAAGTTGCGTACTTTCACGACCCAGACATAGGGAGTTATTATTACGGAGCTGGTCACCCAATGAAGCCGCAAAGAATTCGAATGACACACTCGTTAATTGTATCATACAATCTGTACAAATACATGGAAGTGTACAGACCACACAAAAGTGATGTAAATGAATTAACACTTTTCCATGATTATGAATATGTGGATTTTTTATCTTCTATATCATTAGATAACTATCGTGAATTTACATATCAATTGAAAAGATTTAATGTTGGTGAAGCTACTGATTGCCCAGTTTTTGATGGACTTTTCCAATTTCAGCAATCATGTGCAGGAGCATCAATAGATGGAGCAGCTAAATTAAATCACCATTGTGCTGATATCTGTGTGAATTGGTCAGGTGGATTACATCATGCGAAGATGTCAGAAGCTAGCGGTTTTTGTTACATTAATGATATTGTATTAGGTATTTTAGAATTGTTAAAGTATCATGCTAGGGTTATGTATATAGATATAGATGTTCATCATGGAGATGGTGTAGAAGAAGCATTTTATGTTACACATAGAGTTATGACCGTTTCTTTTCACAAATTTGGAGATTATTTTCCAGGTACGGGGGATATAACTGACATTGGAATTAACCATGGAAAATATTACAGTGTTAATGTACCACTAAATGATGGTATAACAGATGATGCTTTTGTAGATTTATTTAAAGTGGTAATTGATAAGTGTGTACAAACATACAAACCTGGGGCTATTATACTCCAATGTGGTGCTGACAGTTTAACAGGTGATAGATTAGGTAGATTTAATTTAACAATAAAAGGACATGCTAGATGTGTAGAGCATGTACGTTCATACAATTTACCGCTACTTGTTTTGGGTGGTGGTGGTTACACTATACGTAATGTTTCTAGATGCTGGGCATATGAAACTGGTGTTGTACTGAATAAACATCATGAAATGCCTGATCAAATTAGTCTCAATGATTATTATGATTATTATGCACCTGATTTTCAGTTACATTTGCAACCGTCCAGTATTCCAAATTATAACTCACCCGAACATTTGAGTCGAATTAAAATGAAAATTACAGAAAATCTTAGAAACATTGAACATGCCCCAGGGGTCCAGTTTTCATATGTCCCACCTGATTTTTTCGATTCAGAAATTGATGATGAGTGTGATAGAAACCAGTATGAGCTTAAGGATGATAGTGGTGGTGGACGCGCCGCTGGCACCAGACCAAAAGACCATTCCACGACACATCACTTGAGGAGAAAAAATTATGAGGATGACTTTTTCGATCTCTCTGACAGAGACCAGAACATTGTCCTCTGATGGAACGAGGAAGAAGAAGAAGAAGAAGAGGCGGGGCAGCAGTGGGTTTTGTTAACTTGGTGCTTTGCAAAATTTGAGGCTTTTTTTCTTAGTATTTTTCGGTTCTTGCAGTGCAGGCTTCCAGCCTTCATATTGTCAGACCATAGGGAATTATTTGCTTGTACCCATTTCCCTCACCGGTAGAAGCGATTTGCCCTGAAAAAACTTTTCGCACATGTATTTTGCTATACATTGCTATACATTGCTATACATTGCTATACATTGCTATACATTGCTATACATTGCTATACATTTCTATACATTGCTATATTTTAGTATATGTTTTTTTCTTTCTTTTTTCTTTTCATATTTGCTCCAGAAATTTGCAGGGATGAGAGTTAACGAGGCGTTTCTATTTGTTTTAAGTTTTTTTTTTTTTTTTTTTTTTTTTGTCACAGTTATTTCCCTTTTTTAATTTTATTTTGAAACATAATTTTTTTTACACCAACCATGATATGATAGCTTGAGTATATTTATTTTTTTAAAAATTTCCTTCTGCACTCCAACTAAACCTCATTCAGAACTAAAACCGAATGAACTATACGACATCATCCATTATGGCACACACGAGCAGGCAATAATATGCAACCGCCTCTACCTTCCCCCCACACTTTTTTTCCCACCTTTTTTGTACTAACATATTGTAAACATTTTTATATTTCCTCACGGGAGAGGAGGGGAGAGGTACTGTTCTGTTGTGAATGTTAACCATTAGGGATCAAAACGAAGATACTTCCCAGTTCTCCACTTTGTATACCCCAACACGGAAAAGCAAAACGGCCGAACGGTTGATAAGGGGTATGTCTTGTCTTTTATACATTGAATATAAATAAAGTTGTAAGAAAAAAAAAAAAAATGTCCTTAAAAAATGGATGCTAAAAAATTGTGGTTAAAATTTCAATTTGAGATAAATCAATTGTAGGAAACGTAACACATGATGAGAAAAAAAAAAAAAAAAAAAAAAAAAGAAAAATAGCTAAAACAACAACAACAAGAGCAACAAAAAAAAAAAAAAAAAAATGTATGCACGTGTACAGGTTGCATACGAGCACTCACATATGTAATCGTGTGTATGTGCGGGAAACAAAAAAAAAAAAAAATAAAATAAAATAAATAAAGCGATAAAATAGCAAAGTAGCAAAATGGGGTAGTAAAATAATGGGGAAAAAAAAAAAAAAAAAAGCGGAGTTTTTAGCAAAAGTGCTATAGGTGAACCTTCAATTCGGTGTTCATGAATTCTTGCTGCTTCTTCTTTGCTGTGTGTGTGTGTGTGCATTTGTCTACATGATGTCCCCCAAACGATTAGACACAGGTACACACACCGCTAGAGACACAAGGAAAGGAAAAAAAGTGGATACGCATGTTCTTCAGAAATCACAATCAGATGACTTCAATTCAAACTCGTGTTCTTTCCCATGCTCATCAATAACTAGAAATGAAAGTAAAGCCTTTTCTAAAATATATTTTCCCTTTTTATACTTTTGTGATTCTTCCGATGAATCTTCATATTTCCACCCAACATTGTTTCTGCAATTGTTACAATAAATATCCACTATTGTATGCTGCCCTGTTGTCATCATTCTATCTTCATATTGTCCTTCGCATATATTTATAACTTTCGAAAAAAGCCATGCAGGTCCAGTTCTTCCTCTAAAGGAAGTTGATACTAATTCGGTGGGATCTGATAGATGATTCCCACATTCAGAGCAGCTACATAGAAAGAAAAAAATGGAAATGTACCATGACAGGATGTGTATGTGGTGGATATATACTTGCCGTAGTATTACTCGTAGCAAGGTGGGAATTCAGATGATTTCCTATGACAGAATCGAGCTGTATGTGGTGTATATATATATATATATATATATATATATATATGTGCATGTGTCTGTGTAGTGGATCTGGATAGGGTGGTGGCCATGTATACCTATACACGTAGTTGCTCAGGAAAACCTTAAACGATCTACCCATAAATTAAAAGGGGAATTAATATCAAAAGCTGAATTGGGATCCCCAAATGATGGCAACACGGCACTGCACAGTGTACAACAGTATACAGTACAATGCTGGACGATACAACACGATGTGGAGGAGAATGTGAAGGAGAATGTGAAGGAGAATGTGAAGGAGAATGTGAAGGAGAATGTGGAGGAGAATGCGGAGGTGAATGGTAAACTAGAAAGCATCAATTTAAACCACCCCGCACAAAGGAAATAAAAAAAAAAAAAAAAAAAGGAATAACCAAACTGACCGTAAGGGTATTAAAAAAAGGGGAAATAAAATGGGGGTTACTACCTCGAAGCATGCACAGGGGCAAGGGGCAAAGGACAAAGTTGAAATGTATAAACAAAAATATATAAACACAGGAAAAAGCATATAAATATCAAACGCAAAAAAAAAAAAAAAAAAAAAAAAATGGAAAAAGAAGGAAAAAAAACTCCTATGTCAAAAATGGTGTAAATTGTTGTCCCATATTATATTAATTCATCACCTTAAATGAAATTTCAGAGAGGTTTGTGCGGAGGGGAAGGGGGATCCTCATTTACATGTGCAATAGTGTGGGACATATATTTCTTACTATTAATTCTAACTTGAAACTTCACTTTCGTGTTTAGCTAAAACGGCGTGTAATCATTTCCAATGATATTCCGCTCTGCTTTGCTTTGCCTTGATTTGATTCTTTTTTTTTTTTTTTTTTTTTTTTTTTGTATTCACAAATTTAAGGGAATTAAAAAAAAAAAAAAAAAATTGTGGATGTTTACGCAACAGTGTGCTTTAAAAATGGTAAAAATGCTACTTAAAAAAAAAAAAAAAAAAAAAGAAATCCACAAGTTTTTATTACATGTCATATGTGTGTACATAAATAAATGCATACACACATATTCACTTAAGATAAACTATATGCATACACTGATGAGTACACACACATGTACATGTTTACAGTTCGTGTACCAAACTCCACACGTGTTTCTTATTTTCATCCAACCGCATAAAAGAAAATATTTATATATAATGAATTAAAACACACAAAATGGAAGAAAAATACATAACGAATGAAATATGGGCACTATGTGCTATACATGTTTTGTAGTATACTTTATATTTACTCACAAAATGTCAAATTAACATTAATACATGGCCCATTTGTACATAGATTTTTTTCTTTTATCTTGACATATACTAAAACAGTGTATTACACATGGGTGGGGGGGCTAAACTTCTCAATATAGAACGTTCACCACTTTTATAGAGTGTAAAAATTAAATGATAAATAAAGAACTATTTTTAAGTCTTCATTAATGTCACAACAGGCTTGTAAAAAAAAAAAAAAAAAAAAAAAAACCTCTCCATTTCGTATATGTTACTTTTTCTACTTTGTTACTTCTGAGTTGTTACGTGTTTCCCTTACAAATTTTCTCAAATAACTTTCAAATAAGATTGTGGAAAACATCCCATACAGCACTTAACCATTTTATGAATGCATTCTGTTCCCTTCTCTTCTCTCTTCTTCTCTCCTCATCGTCTCTCTTCTTCTCTTCTCATCGTCTCTCTTTTTCTCTCCTCTGTCCTCATCTTCTCTCTTCTTTTATCATCTCAGTTGTGTTATGCTACGCTGTGCTGCTTGTGTAGAGAAAGTGTCATAGAAAAGGTTTTTTTTTTTTTTTTTTTTTTTTTGGGTGTAGGTGTGGGGTCCACATATTTCTAGATTAATTAGCGTGTGTATATAATGTATAATATCATGATAATTGTAAAAATATAAGTATACCTACAGATTCGTCAAGGTTTTTAAGAATATGTATATCTCCAAATTGTCATGCATTACTCTAGTTATCAATTTTGTGTGTGTTCACTGCACGTAACAATTCTTCTTCATTCATGCCTGGATGGATGAGGAAGAAAAAAAAAAAAAAAAAAATAAAATAACGAGATGAAATAAAGTGATAAACCCAACTGTAGAGTTCAGCTTTTTAAACGTACTAATTATATATGATAAAAAAAAGAAACATACCCACGATTTTATCCAGGTATTTCCCATTTTTTCGTAGTAGAATTGTTGGCAATTCATTTATGTCTTCATTTTCTCCAAGTTCTTAAGACAAGAAAGACATCCCTCCCCCATCCAAAATGGTCCAAATGTAAAGAAGAATGGTAAAATATGGTATGTGCTTAAGTTCTTAATTCGAAGCATTTCGTATGAACATGTTCAGATTAATATAAACACTAAAGATTATACTTTGCCATGTTTAAAGGTCACAAATGTACATATTTCTCTATAATTAGCAAATTTGCAAATAATGTTTGAACTTTGGAATAAAGAGAATAAATTACATCATACTCATCACAACTTTTTTTTTTTTTTTTTTTTTTTTTGTTACGCTATTTTTATATATGCACATACCTGGATGTTCATCAATATCTACATACAGTGATTCAATATCTTCATTATCTTCCCCTAACATTTTTATCTATTAAACAAAAGGACCATTTTAGATGGCATGTGTCGCGCTGGTTGTAAAAGTGTTACACACATAAGGAACACTGTGCAAATGGTGTCAACAATTGTGGACATATCGTTTTTTCGAAAAAAAAACAAAAAATAATATAATACAAAATAATATAAAATAAATAATATAGAATAATACAAAATAATATAAAATAAAATTAACGGTTTGATAAGGGGGTGAGCACGTTCTCTAGTAAAATGGCTAGGTAATTTTTTTTTTTTTTTTTTTCCTGTTCATTTTTTTTCCATCTCTGCGTTTTGAGTTCTTACAATTGGTTTCATCTTTTTGCAAGGTGCACACCAAGAGGCACCGAACTGTGCCACAACAAGTTTTCCCGAATTAACCTTTTGAAGATATTCATCAATTTTACTTATTTCCTGTGGCAGGAGGAAATACAATTTTTGCATTAAATAAAAGTGGTATTATATAGAATGGACCTCTTAGAATGGAGGTTCACTTTGATTTCTCGCACATTTCCTTTTGGTTTCACCTCTCCCAGTCTTAGTCTATCTCAAATTGAGTACTCATAAGACAAATATGATGGGCCCTTTTTGTTCTCCTTTTTGTTCTCCTTTTTTGCCCTCTCCTCTCGCAAGTCTTACTGTGAAGACATGTCTCCGGGTGCTTCCTGCCATGATTGGTTCTTTTATTTTATCCAAGTACCTACCAAACCTTTTCATTTTTGTCAACTTGGGACTGATTGTGTTGAGTCTCTCTCTATGTATGATCAAGCGTTTTTAACTTTGTTAAGTTTTTTTTTTTTTTTTTTTGTTTTATTTTTCCCTACTATGCTCTTTTTTAAGCACTAATGTTATGCTCTATTCCGTTTTAGTTTTTTTTTTTTTTTTTTTTTTTTTTTTTTTTTTTTTTTTTTTTCCTTTTTTTTTTTTTTTTTTGCTTTTATTTTTGTTTTTTTCTTTTTTTTTTTTTTTTTTTTTTTTTTTTTTCTCTATTTTTTTATATTTAATAAATCTCTCTATATATGTAAGTCCAACTTTGACAACAATATCGAACAAGGGCTATGACTGTGGTTAAAACTTTTGTATTTCATACCAAATGCTTATATATATATATATATATATTGTGTATACTTATATGGACGTAGAAGTTTTCCAGTATTTTTCTACACTAACATTTGGAAGGGGAGAAAAAAAAAAAAAAAAAAAATGCATGTTGTATACAACACTACTTGTCATTAACGTTCCATTAAAAATATATGTGCTAAAATACAAAAAGAAAAATTAACAAATCTATAATTTGGTAACATTTTTTTTTTTTTATTTTCAGTACAAGAGGCAACGCACATGTTTCATTGCTTTTCCATTTATAGCATTCCTTAGTGCATCCCTTTTTTTTTTTTTTTTTTTCTTTCCTACCTTAAAAATAAATAAAGTAAAACAACTACGTACATAACAATCAAGCGTTTTACACTTTTTGTTTTCATATTTTTTTTTGTTGTTATTCTATTTGTTTTCCCCATATCTGCTCTGCCTTCTTAAGCACCTCTGGAGCAACATAGTGTCGCACACTTACATGTATGTGGATATATATATATATATATACATACGTACATGTAAACATACGTACATGTAAACATACGTACATGCAAACATACGTACATGTAAACATACGTACATGTAAACATACGTACATGTAAACATACGTACATGCATACATACGTACATGCAAACATACGTACATGTAAACATACGTACATGCATACATACTTACATGCATACATACTTACATGCATATATACATAAATAAATGCACAGGTTTTTCCAAGGTATGTAAAAAATAAGCCATCCCCAAAAGGATACATACGGAACGTGAACACCTGTGTAACCATGTACTACATACATACACATCCACTTAATCAAAACCAACAAACTCGTTCACGCTATTCCTTTTTTTTTTTTTTTTTTTTTTCACTCCTCTATGCATTTCCTTTTATTATATCTTACTTTATTATTTTTTTTTTAGTATTTTTGAATGTGTAACATTATGTTTTATTAAAAAATGAACTTGTCAATCTTTTCCTTTCGCGTCATTTTTGTTTTGTTTTTCCCCCGTTATCACATTTTTATTTTTCTCTTCACTTTAGGCTACCTTATTTTTTTTTTACCTTTTATTTTATTTTATTTTTTTTTTTTTTATTTTTTTTTTTTTTTCATTAATACAACGTGTAGGTGATTTGGGTCTCCGTCAAGGAGTTCAATAATTAATCTCCGTAATTAACCTGTGAAGTAATTAATTCACTAATTAATTAAGCCCTTACATGGTACATCATTACACCGTGATATTATCAGACCCCTTACACCATTTTGTTTGTCGATCGTCTTTTTACTTATGTTTCTTTCATCTTTACCTGTTTTATTACCAACCTTTTCATTCTCTCTTTCTTATAAGTGCCCACTTTTTTTTTTTTTTTTTTTTTTCTTTTTTTGCTCCTATTCCAGTCCCCATTAATTAATTGCAAATGGAATATAGTCTCTTTCTTGATTGGATATAATTATATATTCCAGAAAAACATAAGCCAAAAGTATAATTAGTGAATTTCCATTTGTCACTGAATTTACAAGTACATACTCCTTTTTTGTGTCTAAAATGGTGCATCTTTTTAACGAAATTAAATGAATTAAACGAATTAAACGAATTAAACGAATTAAACGAATTAAACGAATTAAACGAGATCTGTTGCACATACTTTTATATTATTACCAACTCGTGAGATAGTAAATAAATATGAGCAACCTCGATTTTATTTCACGCGTACTTAGATATTTGGATTTATTTTTTTAGTGACCCCCTAGTGCCGTCGAATTTGCTTCTTCGTCAGTTTGGTTGCCAATATTACTGTCAATATTTCTGCCAATATTTCTGCTAATTTTTTAGCTGCTTTTCTTGCCAATTTGTCCTCCATTTGTCACTATTATAACTTGTTCTACTACATACATGTGACCTGTTTTACAAAAAAGTACAAGCAAGAACATGTAAGCACATGTAAGCACATGCAAGTATATCCAAGTATATGCAAACATAGGAATACTTACATCACAGGAATAGACATGTAGACAGAAGAGGCAAGCACGTTTCAAACCTTCCAATTAAATTTCAATCAAGTATTAACTGTAATATATTCTTTTTTTCTTTTTTTTTTTTTCCTCTATTTTTTGTTGTAATACTAGAGGGAGAGGAGACATACGAAAAACGAGGCGCAGTTGTCAATGCACAGGTTTCTATTGTAAAAAGAGTGAGATAAATAAAGCTATAGGATTCTACAGCTACTGCAAAAAAAAAAAAAAAAAAAAAATTATGCGAAATGCTCATATGAGATTGTTCAAGCGGAAATTCATGCAAAAAGAGGAGACCATTTAACAAATTTTCCAAATTTTAAAAAGTGAAAATTACTCAAACAGAGTGATAGAAGAAACGAATGTGTAAAGAGACAAATCCAAAAAAAAAACGTAAAAATTTTTGTGATTGAGAATTGTTGCGAGTGGATGTATCTTCACCATTCCTCACAACTACAAGGTTTTCTCCAGAGGAAGGCTGTATGTGTGAATAAATTGACAAGGAAAAAAAAAAAATAAATAAAATAATAAGACTAAAAAATAAAGTAAAATAATAAAGTAAAATAATAAAGTAAAATAATAAAGTAAAATAATAAAGTAAAATAATAAAGTAAAATGATAAAGTAAAATAATAAAATAATTAAATGAATAAATAAATAGTTGAATAAGATAATACCAAATACTTACGTGCATACTCGAAAGTGTACGTTCTCGAGGGAAGGTATCCCATTCGTGATACCTTTTTTTTTTTTTTTTTTTTTTTCTCACTCCCCTCCCCCTCAACCTGTGGGAGAACAATGAACAATAATCAAACGCCCAATCAAGACATCAATTTTAGCGATTGTGTAAACTCTAAAAGTAACCATAAACGAATGAAAAAAAGTAGCGATAAGCAAAACTCCTACGTGGAAGAAAAAAAACAAAAGGAAAAAAAAACTCAATCACCTGAACAAGTCAGGCAAGAAAAGGAAGGAAATTATGAACAGTCAGAAAAAAAAAAAAATTTAGCAAATGATAATGGAATTCAAATTTCAACATGCGAAAGTTTTATTAACATAGATAATTACACAACATCGTATGATAATTTGTCTGTTAAAGAATTAACTGATGAAGAGATTTTATCTGAAAATGAATACAACAAAAAAATTAAGCAAAATAAAAATGATTTACTCATTAGTAAAGAATATTACGATTTTCTTATAAATAACGATGATGTGCATGCTAGTGAGAAGTACACAAAAAATGATGTGCACTTTGACCAACTCATTCAATCTGAAACAAATAATTATTCCCCTCACGTCTTTTCGACAACATTTTCTTATAATGTCGACGAATGGATTAACAAATTGTTAAAGTGCGAGTTGTTGCATCTTGAAGAAGTTAAACTCATGTGCACTCTCCTAACTGATATTCTAAAACAGGAACCGAATTGTGTCCAAGTCAGTGCACCCGTCACCGTTGCAGGTGATATCCATGGCCAGTTCTACGACCTCCTCGAGTTATTCCACATAGGTAAGGTCCGATACGCGCAAGAATCATGAGAGAGGGCCCCAAACTCTTGACCATGATGTGCATTTTAGTGGGGACAGCTAACTGTTGAGCGGTTAATCGTCTTATGCAATCATCGCATATATAGACACACACGTCTATACAGATGTAAATGAACCTATGACTATGGTTCATCCCTTTCTTCACCTCTTTCTTCACCTCTTTCTTCATCCCTTTCTTCACCCCATTCTTCATCCCATTCTTCACCTCTTTCTTCACCTCTTTCTTCATCCCTTTCTTCATCCCTTTCTTCACCCCATTCTTCACCCCCCTTCTCCCTCCTGTGCAGGTGGTTTTCCACCGGATGTGAACTACCTATTTCTAGGGGACTATGTAGACAGAGGATATTACTCATGCGAATGCTTTTGTCTAGTGGCATGTTTGAAAATAAAATATCCACGGAGAGTTACTATTTTAAGGGGAAACCATGAAAGTAGACAAATAACGAAAGTTTACGGATTTTATGATGAGTGCATAAGAAAATATAATGGAGATTATAATGCATGGAAGCATTTAACAGATGCTTTTGATTATTTACCATTAACAGCTATAATTAATAATGAAATATTTTGTGACCATGGTGGAATATCACCATATTTACATACAATTAATCAAATTAATAACCTGGACAGATTTAGAGAAATTCCACAAGATGGCCCGATTTGTGATTTATTATGGAGCGATCCTGCAGGGCCAGAAGATGAAATTACCGAAGGATGGAAATCATCTCCAAGAGGTGCAGGTGTTGTGTTTAGTGAAGAAAGAACAAGTTCATTTCTCCGATTGAATAAACTCAATTGTATATGCAGAGCTCATCAACTTGTTCAGGATGGTTTTTTATGGATGCACAATGAAAAGGTTGTAACCATTTTTAGTGCACCAAATTATTGTTATCGGTGCGGAAATTCTGCTTCTCTAATGCTTGTAGATGAATATATGGAAAAAGATTTTGTCACTTTCAATACGGCCCCCCTACGTGCAAATGCAAAAATATTGAGAAAAAATGTAGACTATATGTTGTGAACTTAGAGGCAGGAGACAAATTCATTTACCTCACATGGGCACATAGACACATGGACACATAGACACATGGGCACATAGACACATGGGCACATAGACACATGGGCACATAGACACATGGGCACATAGACACATGGGCACATAGACACATGGGCACATAGACACATAGACACATGGACATACACGCACAAAGACGCACGCCCTTTGCCTTTTTCTCTAAACTTATTAATATCACAACCTCTCTGAGGATTAGTCAAGTCTGCACAGTGCCAGTACCTCATCCCACAACTCTCCCAAAATGCTGCTTCTATTGTGGGTTTCACGATAATTTTTTTTTTTTTTTTTTTTTTTTTTGTACGTGGGTTGCGTATATAATTCGCGTGTGCGTTCAGCTATCCACATATCTCCCAATGGTATATAGAATCGACAAGCAGATAAATTCATCAAATGGAAATGTTTCGAAAAAAAAACAAGAAACAAAAAAAATAAAAAACGTTTATTACATACCCCCATATACAGCATATAGCTCCCCCCCCCCCCCGTGCTGTAGTGCCAAAAACAACATATTCAATCATTTGAGATACCTTTCATCGATTTACAATCCAAACCCATGTTCTTGTGGAAAACACTTAGGGGGTTGGTAGCTGAGCTGGGGAAGGCGAAACTCTCTTCTCGAGTATGAATAATTGCACCTTCCTTTCCTACGCCATGCCCATAAGTCGAGCCTTAAGCAATGCAGATCTACTACACGCGTTTGTATAGATTTACAATATTACATATTAGATGTTACATATTAGATGTTACATATTAGATAACAGATATATGTTTCTCCCTTTTTGACCCCCCCCCCCCCCCCTTTTTTTTTTTTTTTTTATTGCCACTGATTTGTGATATCATTTGTGCTTTTTCATATGAAGGATCTAATTTTTTTTTTTTTTTTTTTTTTCCTTATTTGTATACTTATTATGTTTTACTCTATTTTATTCTGTTTTATTTTTTTGTTTTTGGTGTATGCCCAAACCTTATACTTTCATGAACACCATTTCATTGTGTTAGCCCCACCCCAAAAAATTAGGCTTTTTTTTTTTTTTTTTTTTTTTTTTTTTGTGACATATGATGAATTTTTACATTAACGTTTCCTTCATCCTATAGGGGTGCATACCATTACCCTTTTCAAGGAAATTTTTGAATTAAATAATATTATCACCACTAACTTTTTTACTTATGTGTGCCAGGTGAACAGCAAGTAGAAAGACCTTCTTCGAGTGGGGAAATGCAAAAAAAAAAAAAAAATGTAAAAAAAAAAATACCATTACAAAAGTGTGGCTAGTTCTAAAACAAAAATTCGTGTTAAAAAGAGAAAAGAAGAAAAAAAAAAAAAAAATAAAAAGCGTGAAAAAAAGGGAAAAAAAAAAAAAAAAAATTTCGTTCACGGTATGAATTTTTTTTTTTTTTTTTTTTTTTTCTTTTTAACACGAATTTTTTTTTTAGAACAAGCCACCCTTTTGTAATGTACTTTTTTTTTTTTTTTTTTTTTTTTTTTTTTGGCTTACCTTTCATGTGTCCACCAATTTACACCTCCAAAACGGGTATATATAATACAACACATGACAATGGATTTTATTCCCTGACTTGCTTCTCCGTTTCAGTGAGAAAACAATGAAAACAAGAGGATCATGAGTCCTCCAATATGTAATTTTCATTTTTGTACTTTATGAATATCCCTCATGAATGTGTGAATAAGACCGTTTTTGAGCTGTTACCAAGTCACCAGATATGTACCCTTCTCTACTGTTTTTTTGTGTGAATACTTGAAGACTGAAAAGAGTTATAAGGTGTCTGCTTAACATGCATGCACATACACTTATGCTCACGTTCGTACGAGTTCATAAAAAATGGGGAATCTGTCTCCCGATGCTGGTTTGCGAAGAAACAGATGGACACTGTGCATTTAATGTTTTTGGAATTTTTCATTCTCCTGAACTTGGCAAATTATATCCGTACAGTTGAGACGGTGCAGATAATAAAAAAGGCATTTTTAATAAATAATGTTTTGAAAAAAAGAGATAATAAAAAAAATCGTACAAATGTGTACTTAATAAATACCAATAATTCATACTTAGGATCTGAATATATTTTCAACAAAATATGCAATGATAGTGTTAAACATAAAGGAGACAAAGCTAGCGAATTGCTACATCGAGCGAACTATATTAGAGATGTTAATGGATTATATAACATATTACCACTTGGACTTAAAGTTATAGAGAAAATAATAATTTTTTTGAATACTCATTTGAGAAAAATAAATTCACATTGTCTTGTATTGTCAATCCTTCAAGCAAAAAAGTGGTGGAATATATCCGATAGGTCGAAATTATACAGTGATGAATTTTTATATGTATATAAACAAAAGCAACAAAAAAGTGATTGCACAACTGAGGGTGGAGCGGGGAAAAAAAAAATCGAAGATGATGGTCATATTTTAAGTCCCACATGTGAAGAGCATGCTATATCTTTAATTAACCAAGTTTTTAATGAAAATATAACTATAAAATCTTTACCGCTATTAATTCATCAATTCAATTATAAATTCAGAAATGAAAAGAGATTGGAAAAAACGCTTTTCAAAAGTAAAGAATTTTTAATGAAAGATGGATACTCTTTTCATGGTAATGACATGTCTCTATATGAGACTTACGAGTTATACAAAGAATGTTATAAAAACATTTTTTCTGATTTAAAATTACAATTTAAAATAACAAAAAAAAGAAAAATGGACAAAATGAATGCACAAGAAAGTCATGAATTCCAAGTCTTATGTAGAGATGACAAATATAGAGAAGCTGCACATATTTTCAAGTTGGGGGATTACTACTCTAAAAAATTGGACATCAAGTATTTAAACAAACAGAATCAAAAAAATGATATTATTATGGGTTCCTATGGAATTGGAATTTACAGATTACTCTATTTTTTGGTTGATACTTTTTATGATCACGATGGGATACGTCTACCTCAACAGGTTGCTCCTTTCACAGTTTATATGATTCAGAAAAATCAAAAAAGTAAATACTCCGCTTCCAAAATTGCAAAAATAATGCGTACAGCTAGGAAGAATGTACTAAAGGGAGAGAGAGACGATCTTATTACTCCCACAGATGACTCATCTGTCACAGCGCCTCAGAAAACTGACACAAAATATTCTCCTCTCCTATCTAGTTATAGAGATGTTCCTCCCTCCCTTTGCATAAATGATGACAACACATTTTGCAATTCCATAAACAGTAATGATGTCGAATATGTCCTAACCCTTTGGTTATACAATACATTTAAAAACAACAACGTGGATACATATTACGATGACACGGATTTGCATTTGTCGCGGAAATTGAAAAATTGCGATTTGATAGGAGTTCCAAATAGAATTATCATAAACTTAAATAATGATCAAAGAAAAACAAAATTACCCCCCGATTTTTATATGCACTTGGATACTTCGAACGCAATTTTATCCAACAAACTTTACATGACATTTCGCGATATCACCGTTGAGTACAAAAATAGATTTTCCTCAGAAACAAAAATTATGACCATTCATCAGCTGTTCAGGCATTTCAAGCTTATTTAGTTTCTCCCACCGTCTTGAGTCAACGTACCTTTGGGATTGCGCTTCTTCTGCGTTCTTTGTCACAATTTTACATTGTTGCACTTTTACACTGTTATGATGTGTTGCATCGTATTGCGCTGCGTTACATTTTTTTTTTTTTTTTTTTACAATCTCTTGTTCTGTTATTCTGTTATTCTGTTGTTCTGTTGTTCTGTTGTTCTGTTGTTTTCTTACTTTGTTACTTTGTTATATTGTTAACTTTCTTTTTTTTTTTTTTTTTTTGTGTATTCGCGTGCATATACGAGAATTTCTATGCGTTTGGCACATAAACGAAAGGTTGCTTTCTCTTTTATTCCACGCATATACGCACACAAACAAAATACATATATATCCACTTACCTTTGAGAACTAGTCAAAAATAGATTTACCTCCTTTTGTAAATACAAGGAGCCAACAACTTGGAAACCTTTTTAATTCTTTTTTCATTCGTTCCACAAATAGCATTGTCCTTTTTATTATTCTCAAAAAATAGCACATAAAAAAAATCGTCTAAGTTTACCTGAACAAGGAATGGAAAAAAAAAAAAAAAAAAAAAAAAAAAAAAATTGTGGCATTTCGGTGTGCAGCTAGCTAAATTGCGTGAGTGGGCCAATTTCTTTTACTTAGCCCAAAATATGCAAGTACATATATGTTAGCATATATGTTAGCATATACGTTAGCATATACGTATAGCTGTTTCTGCACAAACTGCCACAGGTAAACATTGGTTACTTGGTTCGAAAGGGCAAATCCGACATTCTTCATGAATTTCATGAAAGCCTTGTAGTTTGTAAATCTGCTGACAGCGTCGGCTATAATTAAAGTTGAGCTGAAAAAAAAAAAAAAAGAAAAGGAAAAGGAAAAATTAAATTGTATATTGGGAGAACATAACATAACGGTACGAAGTCAGCGGAGAAGATGACAATGAAGACACGAAGACATGAAGACCAAACGACAAGAGGGCAAAACGACAAGAAGGCAAAACGACAAGAAGACAAAACGATAAGAAGACAAAACAATAAGAAGACAAGAAGGCGTGTTAATACAACTGGTGAAACATACAAAGGAACAAAATTTGTTTATAAAATTTAACCCTCTTTTAAGACATCGAACTGATTCAAATATAATTTTTGGCCAGTCTGTGTTCATAAGGCTTAAGCATATAACGAAACAATCGTGAGAGTTATCTGATAGCGGCAATTCTGTTATGTTACAAACTGTTACATGCTCATTAAATTGAATTAAGTCATAAGAAATCACTGACCAACCTTGTAGGGCCTGAGCTATTTCTGCTTCACCACATCCTAAATCTGCTATTTTACTTGTTTTTGTAAAATTATTTTTTAAATAATTTATTATAATATTAACAGGATTTTTTGGCCATTTATTTTTTTGATTTCTATACCCTGAATGATATATGCTGAAAATGTTTTTTGTCTCCTTCAGCTTTTTTTGTACTGTTTCACTATTATTAGTGTACATGTATTCATTAATATATCTAAATATCGATGAATTCACTATCTCCTCAGGATATTCTCCTATTTTTTTCTTTTTCTTATATTTCTGTTTCTTCTTTTCTATGTTGTCATTTTTGTAATTGTCGTGGAACACTCTATAAGTTGGGTAATTAAGTGGGATACTCATATCACAAGAGCGGTTCAATATATTCGTTATATTCTCATGTGATCGAGCTTTATTAAGAATTTGCTGATGACCATATTCCCCTTCTTTTTTCCCTTGTATATTTTTATTGACAGTGCTCCTTTCTTTTTTTAATTTTTTATTTATCAATTTATTTTTCTTATCCTTAAGAACGTTACTACTCTTACATTTTTTCGACCCACATAAGGAAAAACCGGAATTCGTTTTATTAATCATTGTTGTAACTTTTATGGGTATTGACATACTAGATAATTCCTCCTTCTTTGTGAAATCCACTTCAACTGCAGTATGGTCAGCATGTCTTTTTTCTCCCTTACTATGCAGGTTATTATTAGTAGACTGATACAAAAGCCTCCCCTCCTGTTTTGTGCCTTTAATTCTGATTTTCTTAAAATTTTTATTTTTCTTTTCACGAGATTTGTTCATATTGCTCTTTTTCATTTTCCCAATATCTTTGAAGAAGTCATTTTTTTGGACCTTTTTCTGTTTTCTGGAAATGCTATGTTCATTCATTTTTCGTAAGCTTAAATTAAAAAGCTGACTTGTTTGCTTGCTGAAAATTATATACAGTATTTGTTCAGGCAGTGTTCATTGGTTTGGGGGCTCATATGCACTATTGTATTATATTATGCTTTTTTTTTTTTTTTTTTTTTTTTCTTTTTTTAAATAGCATTTTTTGTTACATTTTAAAATTGGTGCGTATGAAATTTTGCTTTTTCATCTTTTTATTCCAACATATAGTCTTGGTACAAACTGGATCATTCATTCGGTAGCTTCATTGACGATTTCTTTCTTTTCTTTTTTTCTTTTTTTCTTTTTTTATTATATATTATTTTAAAACTATCACATTTTTAACAGTTTGAACGTTTTGGTACCACGACCTCTAATCCGCAAAATAGGTTAGGAAAAGAAAAAAAAAAGGAGCAATTTTTTTTTTTTTTTTTTAAACACGCTTAAGGAAACTCCATAATTTTGAAATAACCTCTTAGTTGGAAAAATAAATTAATTTCCTTTAATTTTGCTTTATGTAATTTTTACTTTTTTATGGAATATTAATACGGGGCAAAAATAAATGCCCTATTTTTCTGCTTAAAATCTTTTCGCCATTTTGCACATAGGCTTGATATATATCTATATATATGAATATAAATATAAATATAGTATGGTATAAGCTATCACAATTATTGTGGATACCTGCGACATGCACCTTTTCACCGTTACTTCAACACTTGGGAGAATAAATCTGTAATTTTAAAGATCCATTACAATATGCAAACATGTGCCTTTATTTATTTAATTGTATCTATTTAATATGGATCTATTTATTATTTACTCATTTTTGCAACACATACATACATTCATGAAGCCCATGGTATGCATCCTTTTTGCTTCAACTGGGCATAAAGACAACCGTGCATACGTGAATTTATGTACATCCCCGAAGTAGGGGCCAAAAAACAGGATTCCAGACATTTTATTTTACAAAAGTCCGATTAATAACACTTAAGCAGAAAAACTACTGTGAAAAAAAAAAAAAAAAAAAAATTGTACGCACTATGTTATAATCGTACATTTTTAAAAATATTATTCATTCACGTGGTGATAAAACCCCACTACACATTTGGATTCACAAGAAAGAGGGTAAAAAGGTATACTTATCGCCTGAACGCTTTCTTCCTGTTTTTGTATCATCACGTTATGGTTTTATTTAGATATGTCTTACCCCTATTCACAGATTTACATAAATTGCAACATACGTCATTTTTGTGTACACAAGATAAGGAAAATTATCAATCAATATAGGAGGCAATTTTTTTTTTTTTATTTCTCAATCCTCCGTCTCTTTTTTTCTCCTTTTTGAAATACCTTCATACATTACAGCATTAGAAAATGCATTTACCAGAAAATTGGCGTAATCATAAGAAAAAAAAAAAAAAAAAATCAAAATGAAACCCATTCCACTGGGAAAAAATAAAACTGCGAAAATGATAGTGCAAAACCTGAATATATTTCTCATTCCCTTATGGTTGAAAAGATTTAGATTTGTTCAGAAATTACTAAAAGGAAAAAACAAAATAATGCTTTCTGAGATGGCCCAACAAAAATATAATTTCTCCCATTTTTATAAACACGAAAAGGGGTATATATAATGGAGGAAATGAAAATCGAATAAGAGAAAAAAAAAAAAAAAAAAAAAAAAAAAAAAAAAAAAAAAATTTAAAAAAATCAGGGCCAAAAAAAAAAAAAATTTCCCCATTTTTAAAAAAAAAAAAAGGGGTAAAAAAAAAGGAAAAAAAAAAAAAAAAAAAAAAAAAAAAAAAAAAAAAAAAAAAAAAAAAAAAAAAAAAAAAAATTTAAATCATATGCATATGTATGATTATTCATGCATGATTTATAAACTAAATAATTTTCCATGAAAGAGAAAAAAAAGGATCATGCATTATATTACATCTCTCCCACCTCCAAGACATGTCTTAAAATGGAGATATTAATATTTCTTGTGGTGATGACCTCAAGAAGGAAAAGCATATGAAAAAGGGGATAACCTGCTTTTAATTTGTTCATCAATTGGTTGCACTTAATATGTGTATATGTTTTCTCTCTTTTTTTCATATTTTCAAACTTTAATATTTTACACAAATGTACCCATACTTACAACTGAGAACGCACTTTAACATACTCGATCATAGGGATAATGTTAATAGGGGTGCCTTGTAAAATGTATATACTACTGCATTGACCATTGTTTGGGGAAGGAGGAAGGGGTAAACAAAGTAGTAAATAAAACAAAAAAGGTAAACTTTTCTGGATTTGTACATATTAAAAATAAAAATACATACAATTAAGTGTAAAATGGGGGTGAAAAAAAGAATACAATAACTTTCCATTTTTGAGGAAAAAACAGTTTACGCTGTGTATTAATAATTCGAGGTGTCTATCTCGATGATGTAGATATGCATAAATCACATGGTGAAGTTTTTTTTTTTTTTTTTTTATTATTTTTATTATTATTTTTTTTTTTTTTTATATGAACGGTTCATACATTTTTAGACAATTTTCTCAACATGCATGTGTACATGCTAGAAAAAAAAAAAAAAAAAAAAAAAAAAATGTGAACAGCTCATAAAGTTACAAATGTAAAAACAAACTTGTGGAAATGCAAATATGCTCTTAAAAAGTGTCTTCACAACAAGATAGTCATATATTTACATATTCGTAACCACACATTTAAGGAAAATAGAAAAGTGTTAAAAAACTGCGAATAAGGTACTACATTTCGAGAAAAATAAAAAAAATCGAAACTGAAGTGGCACATTCTCTTTATTCATTTTCCTTTTGTTTATATTTTACTCTATTTCATTTTTTTTAATATTTTACTCTGTTTCATTTTTTTTTAATATTTTGCTTTATTTATTTATTTTTTTTTTTTTTATTATTTTGTTTTATTTATTTATTTATTTATTTATTTATTTTTTTTTTTTTTTTTTTTTTTTTTTTTTTTTTTTTTTTTTTTTTTTTTTTTTTTTTTTTTTTTTTTTTTTTTTTTTTTTTTTTTTTTTTTTTTTTTTTTTTTCTCGCTTGTTCTTGTTTTGTCCATTTTGCTAAAATGCTCAAATATTTGTGTTGTATAAACGATTTTTAAAGACTGCTCAGAAGTAGTATCAATGCAACTGTGAGAATGGACTTGATCAAACGTAATCGAAAAGACCAAGCCAACTAAAAAAAAATTAAATTAAGTCAAAAAGGAGCAATTTAAAAAAAAAAAAAAAAAAAAAAAAAAACAAGCAAAATAAAGTAAAATATCAAAAAAATTAGTCTATATCAAAGCATATTAAGCTACACCAAAACATGTCACATTTCAAGAAAACCCACTAAGTTACAATAAATTAAAGCTACCTCATTTAACGAAAGGAATTCACAAAAAAGGAACAACGTAAAAAACCATAAACGTCAATTTTTGTGACAACCAAGGGGACACACACTATATATGTCTTAAATTTACAGAAAACTGCTTACACATTTGACATGACCTTAAGTTATATTTTTTATGTGTTATTTCACACGCATAAACAGATATATATATATATATATATGTATATATAAATCCTAAGAAAAACATCCGGAACGTTACAATTACACCAAATTTATGCACGCACACACCACCAAAATGGAAGAGCGAAAACCAGTATGCTCGAGCTTAGCAATCGGGCTGTTATTTTACCTGTGCTACTTCTTCTATTTCGGATCATATATATTTCAAATGTATTTTCTAGTGTTCTCCAAAGTGGATTATATTTTGTTTGGCGTTTTATTAATCATGACAATAGTTTCCATATCGTTAGCTTCAAGTGGACTAATGCAATCGTCAATATTTGTGGTAGTAATTATACTATTAGTAGAAATATATGAATATAAAAATTATGTATATCCAAACATAATAGATAGTGAATTTAACAAAATGTTTTTAATTTTTCGATTATTTGTGACAATTAATTTTCTTTTATTTTTCTATTTGCATATAAAAAATCTCAAAAAAAAAAAAAAAATCGAATTATATAAGTCCAAATCTGAAGAGAAAAAAACACAAAAAAGTCAAGAAAATAATTTATCACCAAATATAAATGGACTTTCAAAATATAACACTGTACCTGTAAGGGGAAATATAACTCAAGAAGTTATTGCACATTTTCCATGTCAACATAATAATGGTGTCCCTGAAAAAAAGACAGAAATTATAGAAGGTCATACATTAAAAATTTTATCAATTCCGATTATTCAAAAAGAGGAGAGACCACAGCCATCTGAAATATTCAGCCAACCCTGTAAGGTATTTGAACTACAATCACAAAATAATCCATATATGCATTATAGTCTTAAAACTGTAGAAAATAACACACAACCCTTTGCAGTTAATCAAACCATAAATAGTAATACGTCAGCAAGTGATAATTTAAACATGTCGTACAACAGACAGTACACATACCCGTGGGTACCCAATAACAGCAATGCCAACAATAACAGCAATAACAGCAATGCCAACAATAACAGCAATAACAGCAATAACAACAATGACAACAATAACCTATGTGGAAATGATGTTATAACCTCAGGGGGGGAAAATCAACACTTAAATGGAAGAGTTTATGGAAATAATACTAGTATCCCGTTCTATAATGGAACGTTGAACTTGCCCAATCCAAATTATTTCCCTAACAATAGGAACCTATATCAAACGATGCCCAACAAAACAGACCCTTACCAAGCCGGGACTTATCAATCGGGGGGTTACCAAACGGGGGTATAACAAATGGTATAAGCAATTGTGGGTACACAAAAACGCCCTGTTGAGAAGTGAAAACAGTCCAAATATTTGTTCCTTTCAAAATTTACCTTGCTGTTCATAATTTCTTTTATCATATATAGTATTAAATTAAATAAATGTATTTGGGACACTGCATACACACACCTCAAAAGAAAAAAAAAAAAAAAAAAAAAAAAATTTTTTTTTTTGTTACAAAATGTATTTGTCATGCAAAGTTTGTGTCTTTTACCCACTTTTAAAACCATACCCATATGTGCGTATGTGTGTATTTGTGTATGTGTGCATGTGTGTATTTGTGTATGTGTGTATGTGTGCATGTCAGCACGTTCGCATGTTATATATATGTTTAGGGAGGGGACAGACTAAATAAGTGCATGGTTTTTTCTCTCCCTAAACATAGTGCACAGTTAACGCACATATAGAAGGCAAATAATTGCTATTTGCAAAAAAAAAAAAATGTTTAGTTAACAACCTTGTCAAAACAGAGCAGTAAATGCAGGGGATTATTGAGCACCATCTGAAGAGTAAATCGATTTTACAAAAATTTTTTTTTCATGGTCAAAATTATTTAAGACACTGCAATAGTTTTCACAATTATTTTTAAGGAAGTGAATAAATCTATGAATCATGATGCTAAGCTAAGTGCGTTAAGAATTTTGAGCAAATTGTAGACATAAAAAAAAGGAAGAAATAAACATTTGGCATATACCCAGGAAGGAGGAAAAACGTCTTCTCTGCATATGGCATGTGTGCTATTCTTGCTATTGATATTGTTTCCATCGCTGCTGTTATTGTTGCTTCTGCTGCTGGTGGTTGTGTGTGGATCAGTAATAGTTTATATGTGATATATATGTACATCATGCATATTACATATTATTTGTGTATCCATTATGTACGTTCATGAATGTCCTCGTGTTCTCTTCTGTCTGGAAGCAGAAAGAAGCACACACACCAAATGAATGTATCCCCTGGAAATTTTTTCAATATCACGGTTACATGGATTACTTTCCCCGACTTGGTAAAGTTTCAGTTGAGTGTGTTTATTCATGTAACGATATGAATACTGAATGTGCAGTATACATATATATGTATATGTATATGAATGTATGTACATGCATTTTTTTTTTTTTTTTTTTTTAATTACTTTTTTGTGATATTTTGTCTAATTTTATTTTACCGTATGTTTTTTATTATTTTTATTATTTTATTTTTTTTTTTTTTTCTTCTTGTTGTTGTTGTTATCTTTTTGGTAATTCTGTTACGAAGTAGAACACAAAATTTTTGTTTAAATTGAAAAAAAATCAACTTTTTTCATATTAAATTTTTTTATATGAACATTTCTAAAATGATATGTGCAATTAGTTTAACTTTTTTCTTTTTATGAACTTTGGGGGCATGCTTAAATAAATATATGAATTGTTCAGGTAAATAAACTTCAAAGTTTAATTTAGCTATATGCCATTTGGCTAGCTCAGAAAAAAAAAAAAAAAATTATTTATTATCTGTCTCGAATGCTAGAAAGTTCCCATTAATATTGTTGCGATTTTCTAGTGCTAAACGAAAAGGGAACGAAAAATAAACAAAAAAGTAAAAAAGTAAAAGTGAAATCATTTTTTTATGTATAAATTTTCTAAAAAGATGCAAAGGTTCCAAAAAAGATTAAATTAAACAAAATACCTTCTCCCCGTTCTTTCATTTTTTTCTCCTTAACTTCTTGTTTATTTTTAAGCTCTTTATATTTGTCCTTGTACAGCACAGTGTTTTCATTATATATAGAATCGACACCTTGTTGTAGTAAAGAGAAAGGAGAAAAAAAAAAAAAAAAAAAAAAAGGGAATGCGTTTTTATCTTATATTTAGTTTGACATGGAACAGTTTTATTATTCATTCTTTTTTTTTTTTTTTTTTTTTTTCCCCTTATGAAAATAAAAAAGCACAAGAACTGTGAAATTTCCAGTGTACGTAAGCCCCCCCACCCACCACTGTATTATCGTTGTCTATTTAAAAATTCAAAAGAAATGTTTTTAAAACCAACTATTCCTCTAGGATAATGCGATTTAATAACACGTGCAAGTTTTACATCCCTCTTTATATCTTCTGATAATTTTATTGTCTAATAGGAGAAAAGAAAGGGAAAATTTTATAATAACATATTTCATAATTTCGAAATTCATTTTTTGTGTAAACTTATTTTTTTTTTTTTTTTTTTTTACTTCTAAATATTTTTGCTGCATTTGCTCGTATTCTAATCTTCTTTCGTTGGGTCTCTTTTCAGGCAGGGGTAGTAGACGGGGAAAAAAAAAAAAAATTAAAAAAAATAAATAAACAAATAAAATAAACAAATAAAATAAACAAATAAAATAAACAAATAAAATAAACAAATAAACAAATAAAATAAACAAATAAATAAAAAAAAAATAAATAATAATAATAAATAAAGCAATTACATAATAGTGTAACATAGTAATGAAAAACACACAAATGGAAAATGACCAAAAGTGGTTTACCATCAGCTTTTCCGTTTTCAGCCATTGCATGTAACCATCTTTTAGTTTATCTCTCTAAGAAAAAAGGAGGTAACTTATTTTTCATTTGTTCCCATGCATGCTTTTAGTTTTGTTTCCCATTATTATGCAGTTGGGTGTAATTGACATTTTTGTTCTGTATGTTCTCTCCCCCAAGGTATGGTTTAAAAAATTACTTTTTCAACTTTTGGCAAAGGATTTGTGATCTTCACAGTTCCAATTTTTGCTTCTATCCAAAGAAAAGTTTGTGAATAGAAATACACAAAGTGAACAAAAAAAGACAGTGGTTGATTAGGTGGAAATAAAAAAAATAAAATAAAAAAAAACGTTGAAAGGAAATATGTTGTGAAATGTGAAATAGAGTAGTGGAAGTGAGATATATATATATATGTGTGAGTGTACCATTTTCAACCAAATCAGTGAAAGGTGGAGGTTCATCATTTTCATCCAGTCTCTGTTTAAAAAAAAAAAAAAAAAAAAAAAAAAGGAAAGAAAGAAAGAAAGAAAGAAAAGAAAGAAAAGAAAGAAATAAAAAAAGATACACACAAACTGAGGAAAATTTAGAAAATATACAAAAATCATGTTGCTTTAATCTTTTTAACCGAGTAGTCTGATTTATCCCTCTGAACTGACTTAAAGAAGTAATCCCCCGTTTTTAAATTTATTTCTTCTTTTTGTTTCTTTCTATTTTCTTTTAAGTCTGAATAGTATTCATCTATTATCCGATCCTTTTTTTTTTTCGGAATTTGTAGTACATGGAAATAATGAGAAAAATGCATAGTGCTGTAGGGAATGTTGTGCCAATATGTTTATGTCTATATTTGTGCCTATATTTGTGCCTATATTTGTGCCTATATATTGTGCCTATTTTTGTGCCTATATTTGATTCCTCCTTTTTTTTTTTTTTTTTTTTTTTTTTCTTTACAAATTTCTCATGCGCAGATAAATTTCCCTCCTTAGCAGAATCAAATTTTTTTTTTTCTTTCGATTCCATCTTTCTTTAATTATTTGTGGGTCGTCACTTTTGCAAAGCTGGGTTTGCGTGTTTCAGAAATATGTAATGTTTTGCATATGTGCCTGGAATATTATGTGATGCATTCAGGGGAATAAATCGAATCTAAGTATAGTTTATATAATTCTGTGGGTTCATGTGTAGTCTGCTCAAATGGCTATTATGTGCATTACGAATGGAAATAACTGGGCGCAAACAATTGTAGGATTGCAACGTGCGATTGTGAAAAAAAATAAAATAAAGTGAAGCAAAATAAAGTGAAGCAAAATAAAGTGAAGCAAAATAAAGTGAAGCAAAATAAAGTGAAGCAAAATAAAGTGAAGCAAAATAAAGTGAAGCAAAACAAAGTGAAGCAAAACAAAGTGAAGCAAAACAAAGTGAAGCAAAACAAAGTGAAATAAAACAAAGACAAACAAAGGGGTATGTCTTGCGTTCCTGTCAAATGTAAAGATAAACGTGCAGAAATGTGTAAGTAGACATCAGTATGTTTGAAATGGAATTTCTTGATTCCCCAAATGAGATATCTAATAGTCTCTCGCGAGTTATTTTTTATTTCATTTTTTTTTTTTTTTTTTTTTTTACGCAGGTGTGTTTCTAACCAAAACACATTTTAGAAGACGATACGTTTGTATTAAATTAATGAAGACGATAGCAGTGTGCTACTTCGAGAAAGAGAAAACGAGCAGGAATATAGATATTGAGAATTTCCACACTTTCTTATTCATTTCAATTTTTCAAATTTTCAAAATAGTCACTTCTCAATTTTTGTTGTCTTTTCTTGTCGTCTAAAATATCCAGAAAAAATGACAAAATTGTTCGGCTTAGGCGTAGAAAAGTAAAATAAAATAGTAGTAGTATAATGGTGAAATAGAATAAAATAAAAAAAAATAGTAGTAATATAGTGGTTAAATAAAAAAAAAAAAAATTGTAGTAATATAGTGGTTAAATAAAAAAAAAAAAAATAGTAGTAATACAATGGTGAAATAAAACTTCGAATCCCTAAAACACGCATGCTGAGTATGAATCACTTTGAGCGACATGTTATGGGAAAATGAACCTGCTTGATCAAATTACATGGAGAGAAATACTTCTTCAGAAAATTCTGCAACTTGTAGGATGGGTTATCGTAGCTACTTGAGTCCGGCAGAAAAAAATAAAAATAAATAAATATAAATAAAAAAATAAAAATAAATAAATATAAGTAAATATAAATAAAAATAAATAAATAAAATAATGTGCATACTTATATGCATACATGCATACATATGCGCATGCGAAAGAAGCAGAAGGTGATGGTCCCCAGGCAACAACGACTGAATACACCCGCTGGTTGAAAAAAAGGAAGACAAGGGACTCAGCAGAAATGAGTAATTGGAGAGATACACATTTCGTGTTCATATTTACCATAAGCTCGAGGGAGTTATAGAGTTGTCTCTTAGCATGAAGTTAAAGAGTTCCTAGGAAGGACAAGTTATAAATGTTGTGGTGAATAATACGGATATATTTCTGTCGGTATGTTCATACAGTGTGCATTAAATATGTAAAGACAGCGCATTTTAGACATTTGTATATTTTTCTTCTCCCATACCATCCATATACCCTCTATAACCTCTATTGCCTTTTTTTTTTTTTTTTTTTTTTTTTTTTCTATTATGTTTTCTCTCATTTTGGATGTACTAACAATTCCAAGGCCCCTATTTTGAAATTTTTTAAGTATATAAAAATCTGGAAAAAAAAAAAAAAAAAAAAAAAAAAAAAAAAAAAAAAAAAAAAAAAAAAAAAAAAAAAAAAAAAAAAAAAAAAAAAAAAAAAAAAAAAAAAAAAAAAAAAAAAAAAAAAAAAACTGAAAAAATGGTTAAAGAAAAAAAAAAAAAAAAAAACATATATTTCAATCTAATGCAATTAATTCGAAAAAGTTATAAGACCCTTATATCATTTGGCTACATAAAATTATTCTCATTTTGATACCTAATAAACATGCACACTGTTCACAATGCAATTCATTTTGGTTATACAAGTATAACTTTTTTACACCAATCTGTGTGAAAAACGAGGGAAGGGGAGGTCGAAAGGTGGTTGTGTATGTGTGACCACTTTGATAGGATGCTAGGGTAGTGGTGTAGGTTTAAAAATAAAAATAATAAGTGGAAAAAAAAAAAAAAAAAAAAAAAAAAAAACTGCAGTGAAATAAAGTGGAGTAAAAATGAAGAACAAGGACATAAAATTCAATACAGACATAAAATTCAACACACACATAAAATTCAACACACACATAAAATTCAGCACAGACATAGAATTCAACAAGAACATAAAATTCAACAAGAACATAAAATTCAACAAGAACATAAAATTCAACAAGAACATAAAATTCAACAAGAACATAGAATTCAACAAGAACATTTACCCCACCCAACCCCCATCTCCTTACCTTCAATATTCCTATTAGTTCATCTTGATGAATTAAGCACTGATGGAAAAAAAAAAGAAAACGATGTAAATATATGGGATGAATGTAAGATCCACAAGATTCTACTTACCCTTTTCTCATTAAGTTATATTGCCTTTAAGCGGAACAAAACAAAATACTATAATTGTTCAGAATTACATATAGCGTATGGTTATTGTCAACTATGTTGGTTAAGGACGTCAAAATGTCAGATAAGTGTTGTTCCTTCAAGAGGAAAATGTTCAGAAAGAGAAAAAAATATATAAATAATAATAATAATAAAATAAATTCAATAATGAAGAGAAAAGTGAGTGGAAGAGGTGTGGTTACATTGTACCTATTATAAATACTTGATTTTACATGCACAAAATATAAACCTATAGAAACATCATTGTGTTTTTAACATGATATGTCTTTCCATCACTATATAGATTACGTGATGAGCGCAATTACTTCTCCATTTTTTGCTCACTTCTTGCCATTTTTTTTTTTTTTTTTTACCGCGCTAGACAAAAGGCCTATTTCTTCCACGTCTCTTTCTAGCTTCCAAACTGGGAAATTATAGGAAAAAATTAAGACAAAAATATGGGAAACAAAATAATAATAGTAATAAAATACTACAAGTTCAGGGTTCAGAGGGAAAAGGAAACAGAGACAAATGAGAAAAGTGCGAACTGAACTCAAGTTGCTCAAGATATGTTAAATGTTGGGTATACACAAAGAAAGGTGATAGTTCCTTAAATAAAGTAAATCATCCCTTGTGTATTTTTTTATTTCCACGTTGTCCATTTTTTCCGTGTGATTGTTAGTGGGAAGTTGGTTCATTTTTTCGATTCGTTCTTCTGTTCGAAGGGTATATGGTGTTGTAGCAATTTTAGGTTTAATGGAGTGAAGGAAAACAAACAAAAAAAAAAAAAAAAAAAAAAAAAAATAATAAATAAATAAATGAGAAAATAAATGAATAAGGCAAAATAAAGTATAAAAGGGGGGGAAAAAAAAAAAAAAAAAAAAAATGAAAAACTCATCATTTTGTGGCTTATCCAATTTTCCTAAATTAACCCCATTTGGTCTTATTTTTGTTTTATTTTTATTTTTTTTTTTTTATTTCTCTTTCAGCTTCGTGGAATGGATATTTCACTCCAACTTATTAAGCATGTATGTGTGCAGGTGTTGCACGAAATGAGTATGTAACAAGTTACAACTTGGGTCTCTTGCGTAGCACATGCATGTGTGAAGACAAAAAAGTTCATTATGATGGTCTCACAGGGAGGGGGTGAAATAAAAATATCATAACAGCTATGATGCATACACGATAATGTATCGACTTTAAGGTTTATGTCAAGGCCACTTCATACTCACTTATTCCTTCTCTATGATGAAAACCTTTTTGAAGTTCCTGTACTTATCTTTTAAACTTACATTCGTTCTAGGATTGGGGGGGGAAAAAAAAAAAAAAATAATTTATATTAGTCTCGGATGCATAAAACACAAAAATAAGTTTTATATATAATTCTATAGAGTCAATCTCATGAAATACTTCTGAATGTTGTACAATTTTTCTCTACTTCATGTCTTATTTTTTTTTTTTTTTTTTCTATTTTGAAAAACCTGTTTTCAGAAAATTTATAGGCTTGCATAATTTTGCACCAGTTGGATATTCCGTAATTCTGCAAATTTCAATGACAGAACAGAAAAATGAGAGATCGAGAGAAAGTGGGTCGGTTATGCAAACATAGGCACAGTCGCGAAGGGGGAGGGGAGGGATCTATTGTTGCTGATCATTAAAAAGGTCTCCTTTTCTTAACAGCATTATTTTTACTGTTACGGTGTTTTTTTAGGGCATTTTTTTACGTTTTTTTTTTTTTTTTTTTTTTTCTTCTTTTTAAACATTTATTCCATGGATGAGCTGTTCAGCCTCTCCTTTGTCCCATTTAACGCGGGTTTTGTATTTCCTCTATAGTGATAAATAAATGCAACAAAAATGAAAAGAAGTGTGCAGAGAAATATAGGAAACATTTCTACCAGGGGGTGGAGAAAAATTCCCTCATCCCTAGAGAAAAGAAAATCATTTCTTAAATAAATACCCTTTTGTGTTCCTTGAATTTGGGTATTTTCTCCATTTCATTTTTATCAATCAGAATAGGGGAATTTGTTTCATCTTTCAGAGCAAAAATGAGACAAAAGGGGAATGGGAAAGAGGACACTGACGGTGTTTGCGGAAAGTGGACATATAATATAGGGAATGGAAAAAAAAAAAAAAAAAAAAAAAAGTGATGAATGCCTGCACACTTGTGTGTAGTCTCCTACTTATGGCAATGGAACTTTTTATCTTCAATAACTTCAGGTTTGTGTTGTTGGCTTCATAGGAATTGTATAAATGGGATAAATTTATAAATATAGTGGCAGTTTTGTGAAATGGATGTGCAATTCGTACATCCACAAACGAAGCAACATCGAACTGACCTACCCATTTTTTTTTTTTTTTTTTTCTCAGACAGTTCTTTTAAGAGATGACTTCACGTGGGTCTCTCCCTCCTTTTACTTATTCAATTGGCAGATTTCCTTAAAATTTTTCTTCTTTTATTTCGTTAAAAAAAGAGGTGTACTATATTAACAGGGCAATTTTTTTTATTTTATTTTTTGGAAAAAGTATGACCGTGTTCAGGCAAATTAGCGTGTTTTTTTAAAAATACGCTCGTTTGCAGGCAAATGTGTAAACAAACGTCCCTGCGTAGGGAGTGAAATGTATCGAATTGTAGTACAAAGATTGCAGTACAGTGAAAATTAATGCAGGAATATCTGTAGCACAATGGTTGGAATTTCAACGTTAAAAACTTAGACAGCCTCTCCTTAAACTAAACACACCTTTATATATACATATATATATGTTAAGAAAAAAACAGATCTCCATTTTAACGTGGGGGAGTGCTCAAAAAAAAAAAAAAAAAAAAAAAAAAAGCTAACATTCTGATCGCTTAATGTACATACGCAAAAATGTGGAAAGACATGAAGAAGGAGAATAAAGTAAATTTTGCTTATAGCGTGTCCGAGCTTTATCCACAAATACAGAAACGGTGTTCCATGAGTTGACAAATTGAATTGGGAATATCGACGGGGTTAGTAAAAAACACGAACTTGTTTGATTAAAAATGAATGAATAGCAAAAGTTAACTTCAAATATATTTTATTTTTTTTTTTTAACTACTAAAAAGGTGTAAAAAAACGTGAAGGGGATGGAAAACACGGGGAAGGTTTTGCCAAAACGAAGAAGAAAAGCAAAACATCCTGATCTTGTTTTGTGCACGTGAATACGTATGTGGTACAGATAAGTTCTAATGAAAGAAAACATATATACACAGGAATGTACACAAACATTTGGATGCAGGAACAACGGAACTACAACCTCGTGAGAGTGGGGAGGTGAATGATCCAAATTAGACGCAATGTTGCTTACCAGCTATTTTCGCTAGAGCAAGCCCTGCCTCTTCAAATCATCGTAGGCCTTCATATTCATGACATTCCCTTTGGAGTCCTCACACTCGACCTCCTGATCAGGTTTGAAGATATTCTTCTGCGTTTGCTTCTTCAGTTTCTCATACAAATTGAGAGCATCTTCAATTTTTGTAATTTCCTTAAAGTGCAGAGTGTTAGGTATGTTTAAACACTTCATCCCAAAAGAATGCCTCCACTCATAAAAATGCTTTTCAAACATAGTTCTACCAAAATAAGAATAATTTCCACATATTTCACAAGTGTATTCTTTTGACAAACCATGTAATTTGTATAACCAATAAGGTATTGGCTTATTATCATAACCTAATGGTAAATTTAGGGGATTATAAATTGTCTTTTCATCTTCATCATCTTCATCTTCGTTTTCATCTTGATTTTCTTTTCTTTTATTTCCTCCATGCTGATGATCATCATCCATTCTACCTGTGGATGACATGTCCGTGGATGAGTCATCATCTGATGAAGCATATGCCATGTGAGAGTTATAAAAATGATTAAAATTGTTTATACTTCTCACTACGTCTAGTCCAATTTCGCTTGTCCCGATTGTGTCCTCTCCAATTCTTGCATTTGGTCCAATTTCATCATACAACCCTGTACGATCCTGTAAGCTCAACAAATGATCATTTTTGTTTTCTCCTTTTTTCCTCTTCTGCAGTTCATCCACAGTAAATGCCTGCTTTCTTTGTATATTTTGTATTGTTTTTTGAAAAACCTTATTTAACAGATTTTTATAAAGTTCGATAAGGTATTCACATTTGGCCATTTCTTTATCCTCTTTTTCAATGTTTTTTTTTATGTCTTGTAACTGTTCCACTGTGTATTCTTTCTGCATATACTTTTTCAAATCCTCATTGTAGTTTTTACTTTTTCTATAAGAATTGTAAGTTCCCTCTGATGCATATAACTTATCATTAATGTTACAATAAAGGTCCAAATCGTAGGTATACTTTTCCCAATTGTTGATTTCTTTATCTCTAAACTTGACCTCAAAACTTTTTTCATATTGTGTGTATGTTCTTTGACAATCAACAAGAACATTAATTTTGGAAAAAAAATTCATTAAATAGGATAGGACATTTTCTAAATAATTTTTATATTCTATATTTTTGTATTTACAATATCTTGGGATGTAATAAAACCGAGTGAAGTTATGAAGATATGTCACCAAATCTATTTCCTTGAATTCAACTTCTTCAGCATTTTTCTTTTTCTTTTTTTCACTGACTATTTGTTTCTTCTTAAAGGCATTTATTCTGAATTGTTTAATTTTTTTTATATTTATAAAATCGTCATAAAGTTTGTGCATATCCACATATTTACCTTTTTTTTCCAAAGGGGAGAAACATTCCTTTAACTTATTATTTTTTAAAGCTTCATTTTTATAAGACTTATAATTTCTTATTTCTATTTTTTTTATATTTGTTTTTTTGTGATAATCTCTTATATATTTAACACGTTCATAATAATTTTTCCACACATCACCCTTCTGATCTTTTGCTTTTCCTGAAATGAACTGCATTTCTTCCTTTTTCAAATTGTCTTCATCATTATAATATTGTAACAGCAACTTGGATTTTGTCTGAATTTTTTCTACCAGATAGTTAATAGAATAGTCATACAAAATGTTCTTTTTTTTATATTTCACCTTCTCTTCAATAAGTTCCGCGATGGATTTTTCCATCATCTCAATTTCCTCATGCATGTATCTTATTTGTTCGATTAGAAATTGCGACATTTTTCTCGGGAGGTGCAGTGATGAAGTAGTATAACAGTAGAGTGGTGGGGTAAGGGTATTGCAAATAGGTATGATCTAATGAGGTGGAAATGATCAGGATAACTAAGATGGGTTTCCTCTCTAACTTTCCCAGGCTTTACTAACTTACCAAACACAGCGAGAAAATCTCGATTTATATCTACAACGCTGAAAATCTTTTGATTTCAATCAATTCAATTGAGAGGATGACAATTGTATGCTTTAACTTATAGAGAGCCTTTCCTCGTGAGTTCCTCGCTATCTCCTTGGTAGCGATTAATATAGGGTTTCCCTTGCTTTACACTCTTTACTTTATATTATTGCTTCTTTTATATATATATATATATATATGTGTTTCTTTTCTTTCTTTTTTTCTTTATTTTTCTCTTGTTCATTCTTCAAGTGGACAGTAGCAAAAAAAAAAAAAAAAAAAAAAAAAAAGGCGGAAAACATGAAGATGGGGAGAACCTGGACCCGTGTGTCACTACTTTTCACAATCAACACATGATATATTTACATGAAGTTATTTTACAAAGTCGTTTACTTGATATGTACATTCATTAATTCATTCTCTTATGGTATAATATTTGATATATATATATTAGGTTCTAAAAAAAAAAAAAAAAAGAAATTGAACCAGGTGTCCTCCAACAACCCCGCCCCACACCAAAAATATCTTCTCTCTTCTTTAAATACTTATTCAGATTCAAGGGTCGTACAAAAAAACATGGATGTCAATTTTTCAAAATTCCTTCTCTATCTCTCTACGATTTTCTGCTCTTTTATATATACTTGTTTTGGCCTCTTTTTTTTTTTTTTTTTTTTTTTTTTTTTTTTTTTTTTTTTTTTTTTTTTTTTTTTTTTTTTTTTTTTTTTTTTTTTTTTTTTTTTTTTTTTGTTTTTTTTTTTTTGTGTTTTTTTTTTTTTTTACATTTTTTCTAATTTTTCATTTTTACTTTCTAGTTAGCATACATAAAATAGCACTCCTCAATCTATTCGCGGTGCCACGTTGAAAAAAAAAAAAAAAAAAATTTACAAACCTATTTTTTTGTATAAGAAAATTAGCAAAAAGTATTTTGTTTACAAATGTAACAGGGATCATCCAGCGCACGAATGAAATTTTTCTTATATAAGCACCTTTTTTTTTTTTTTTTTTTTTTTTTCTTTCCTCATGACGGTTACATTACTTGATATTCTTCTCTTTTTTTTTTTTGTATTTTATTAACGAAAAATAGTAGCAATAGAGAGAGGTGATAAAACACGGTCGACAAAATGGATCACATGGATGGTTGAAAGAATCGGGGTGAATTTTCCCAAGTTGAGGTGATTATCCTCCAAGAAGCGAACCCAATTTGTCCCCTGTTGCACATGCATACATATATTGCCATATGTACATGCATTAGGTGTTATGTTTTTGCACGCACAGTTGTAGAATCAAACACACATAGTCGAACTTGAGGAGCTTTTCCCACTGTGTTCTAAGAACTAGCCTCAAAAAAAAATAAAGTATAATATAAATACACGGGGAGGACAGACCATATGGCCACTCCTAACATGTATAATAACACATGCACACGCAATGGGGTGGAGATCAACACTACAGAACATCGAATTTGTGATATATGGCATGACACCACTAATTCATATTTATAGAAACGATTAAACAACCAAGTGTTCTTTCATTTTCTTTTTTATTTTATCTAACTGATTGAAGGATCTATTCAAGTTTTTATTTATAATGTCTAAAATGTAAGCCTCCTTTGAATTTTGTGCAAGTCTCTTGTCAACCTTAACAGCAGTCTTCCTATTGGTCACATTTTCACTGTGTGTTTTTTTTTTTTTTTTTTCTTCTTCTTCTTTTTCTCCTCCGTCCGCTCTGTCTTCTCCGTTAAGGTAAATAGTCGAGCTTACATTGTTGTTATCACCTAAACTTTTGAGAAAATTATTTTTTCGTACACTGTTCAAATGAAAATTATTTTTTTGTACAATGTTATCATCAATGATTTGCTTAATGGCCTTGATGGTATTGGTATCCCTATTGTCTTTTTTCATATTACTGAAATTTAACACTTTGGCAAAATCATTCGTTTCTCCCAATCGCGTTAGAATCTTACCACCAGAACCTCTAATTGTGCATATTTTTCCTGCTTCACTCGGTTTTTCCTTCCTTGTGGAAATATTATCATCATATGAAAATATTGCCTTTTCGATGTATCTCTTTTTATAGTTAATATTGTCTATCCCCTCTAGACGACCAATCTGTTCTGCACTTCTAACCCCTTCTTCACTTCTAACCCCTTCTTCACTTCTAACCCCTTCTTCACTTCTAACCCCTTCTTCACTTCTAACCACTTCTTCACTTCTAACCACTTCTTCACTTCTAACCACTTCTTCACTTCTAACCACTTCTTCACTTCTAACCACTTCTTCACATTTTAAACTTTCCCCTCCAGTGATAGGAGCATTACACATGACACGCCCAGATTTTTCACGCTTATAATTCATACCATAGGTGATATTTTCATTCATACCTGTATATGATAACTTTAACATACTGATGTCATGATCGTTTGGATTTTTTTTTTTATTTGCTATCTGGGTGATATTCGCGTTTTTTCCTTTTCTTAGATTCTGCAAATTTGGGACATTACGTTCATTTTTCCTTTCCCCAATTTCTGAATTTACAAAATATTCCTTCTTTAGTATCTCACTTGTGTCGTAATTGTTTTTTTTTGCTTTTCCAAGAAATTTCTCCCTAGACTTATTTTCATTTTGTTTATCCCTGCTGTGTAAATTTTTTACTTCTCCTTTGTTATTACATCTAGCTGTGGGTCTCTTATCTTGAACCCATTTTTCAGTTTTTAACTTTGTGGAATTATTTGTTCTGTTAAAATCCCTGTTTGAAGATTTTTCCGTTTGACGATGATTCTCTCTATAGAGGCCTCCTCCTGTAATAATCGTGTGTTCTTTGTTCCATCCATTCCTCAACTTTTCACAATTTTTGGTATCCTTCCCTCCCATCTGAATACTCTTATTAACATAAAACGATTCATTTATACAACCATCATTACTCATTATCGTCTTATTACTATCAGTTTTTTTTAATACACATATGCGCTTTCCTTGTTTTGTTTCATTATTACTAGATTTTGTACAATTAGAAGAAGTACTCATCTCCACGTGGTTACTCATGCTGACATCTTGATCCTGGTCTCTAACCAATTTATGTATTAATGTGCTGGATTTCGTTTCTGCAACTTTGTTTCTTCTATCTTCTTTGTACACACATGAAGATTTCAATATATTTTGAAAATTATTTCTCATGCTAGTATTAACTAATTCCTTCTTTTTAGATGCATATGCATTAGATTCTGCTCCTATTGGGTTAGAATAAACCTTAAAAAAGTTGTTTCTTCCATTCGGTTCCTTTAGCCTGCATGTACCACGTGAATTCATATCCAAATGTCCAGCACACCAACTATGAAACTTCTCATTTTCAAAATAGGAAGAATTAAAAAATTCGCTTTCTATTCCACATACCCTTGAGCAATAATCACCATCGCTCCTTCTGACATTGTTTCTGGAATTGTTCCTATGCAGATTAAGAATATTCGCACTCTCCACATTAAACATACTAAATGAATTCAATTTTCGAGATTCATTGTTGGATAACGAGTTGCTTGCAGGAAATCCTCTCATGAGTAGACTCCCTTTCTTTTTCCACTCCATCCTACTATACAAATTATCATGGATTTTTACTTTTTTATCATCATATACCTTTTGAGTTATCTTATTAGATGTGGTTAAGACATTTTTTTCCTTTTTAGAAAACAACGATGCTGGATTTCTTTCTAGATTGTACTCACTGAATTGTCTATTTTTCTTTCCTATGTTACGACAGGCAGTGTGACCATGAGAATGTAAATCTTTTTTCTCTCCTTTACTTGTTACAGAACTTTTTCTGGAAGAAGGCCTATTAATTATGTTTGCAAAAATATCATTTTCTTCTTCTAACATATCTATATCACCTAACTCATTTAATCCTCTGTATTCATCTAAATCTTTTAACTGTTCCAACTTTTCTACCTCATCTAAGGAATCATAAGAACCATTTGGAAAAAAACTCCTTTTTGAAACTTTCCTTCTGAGATTATTCATTTTTTCCTTATTATATAAAATATTGACAGTCTTATTACTATGCTTCAATTTTTGTATTTCCTGATGGTTCCTTATCAATGTATCTATGAAAAAATTATTGCAGTTCTTTATATATTCTTTTAGTTTCTTATTTTCTTCATAGATTTTGTATTCCTTATTATTATTACTTAATTCAATGAAATCTAAGTAATCATTCATTCCATTCGTGTATTTAAGTATAATATTTTGTAGCTTTTCTATTTTCTTTTCATTTTCTTTCCTTGTGTCTAGCCATTTTAATAAATTCATTAAATGTGGTTTTAATTTTTTCGATATTTCATGAGAATCGTCCAAACAGGCATTTGCAATTCTATGAACAGATTGTTCCATCTCTTCTTCATTTATGTAGAACCAATTGCAAACTTTATTTTCATCTTTTAATACTTTTCCTCCTTCTACACTCATAGAAGTGTACATTTGGCAAGAATTTACTTTTTTCATGAGTGAATTATCAATAACTGCACCGATTGGAGAATTTAAATTGGGGAATCTTTCATATGTAATCATTTTTTTCACATTTTTTTTGTCACATCTATTATCATTTTTATTCCTCTTCCCAATTTTAGGCTGTTCATTATTTTCCTGTTTGTCAAGTAAGGAAAATGTAATTTCATCATAGATGGATTGGGAACAATTTTTAAAATAATTCTTTAGACATTCTTCCAATTCATTTTTGATATCCCAAAGGTTGGAATTCTTACTCTTTTTTAGTATTTCTAATGCATGTTTAAATTCTACGTTTTTTACAATTGGTTTTTTGGTAACCCTTTTCTTCATTATGCCATCATCCGTCTCCTCCTGTAGCTGCTGTTGTTTCTCGTCTTCCTCATCCATTGACATAAATTGATATTCTAAGAAAATTTTCTGTGTAGATACATTCAAACTATAACTGAATAAAACTTTAAAAAGCACATCAATTTTTTCTACATAGCTTAAATTATTTGAATATATACTTTCACCCATTTTGTTGTGCAAGTTGTGTGTATGATCCTCCTTGTTATAATTCTTTACAAAATCCAATTCTTCATTGTTATTATTTGAAATATTTAAATGAACACCTCCTTTTTCCTGCATCTGGAATAGGTGCTTAAGATGTAATATAGTAAATCCTATGTAAGAGTTTTTTTCCTTTTCTTCCCTTTTCTTAGGATTTGCGTAAGCGATTCTAGAAACCTTGTTATGGGGTTTGGCCCTCGCCTCGCTAACCTTGGCTTTGATAACCTTGGCTTTGTTAACCTTCTCTTCTTTAGCCTTCTCCTCTTTAGTCTTCTCCTCTTTAGTCTTCTCCTCTTTAGTCTTCTCCTCTTTAGTCTTCCCTTGTCTTGTCTTCTCTTGTGTACCATCTTCCCGTTTGTAAACGAGCTCTTTTCTATTCCTTTCGATGTGATTAATATACACTCGATTAGTAACCTTCCCTCCGCTACCCCTACATTGGGTAACCTCTTTTTTTTTATTTAAATTTTCATTGCTTCTATTGATTATATTGATTCCATTGCTTCTACTACTTCTATTGATTCCATTGATTCCATTGCTTCTACTACTTCTATTGATTCCATTGCTTCCATTGCTTCCATTGCTTCTACTACTTCTATTGATTCCATTGCTTCCATTGCTTCTACTGCTTCTATTACTTCTACTGCTTCTATTACTTTTCAATGTCTTAGAGTCCAGTTCCACCAACTTCTGAAACACTTCCTCGATGCCATAAAAGCTTAACCTGTAAAACTGGAAAAGCGAATAAACGAGAATTTGAGGAAACAGTGTGAATGCACATATATATATATATATATATATATATATATTCATTCTGCGTAAGAGCTTAGGAACTAAACGTATACACACCGCTCTCACGCGCACACATATACAAGCATTTATGGGCAGTAAATATTTCATGCATCGTGCAGAAAAAAATAGACCCAGTTGGGGTGAAAAGGCCCCAAAACAAAGGAACCATAATAAAGAGATGAACATTCAAATAGGGGAAATTTTAAAAATATAGAAAAGAACTAAAATGATAATCATAGTGGGGGAAAAAAAAAAAAAAAAAAAAAAATCAGTTTCATTATTCTAACCGATGATGGAGATATTTCTGTCTTTCCATTAATGACCTGAGCATCAAACTTAAGTTGAAATGTAACATCTGTGTATGCTACTTTTTTCATTTCTTCCAAAAGAACATTTACATCTTTATAAAGTAATAAATTAACATTTTCTTTGTTTTTATTATATATTTTAAAAAAATTATTTTGTTTATCTAAATCTAACACATTTTTGCGAAACGTAAATGAATGAACAACTGCTCCAGAGTTATTGGTCACCACACATTTAACACATTTATATTTTACAAAATAAATATTTTTAAATTTTACATTTATTTTCATCTCTACATTTTGTACTTTTTCATTTTGTAAAAGTAAAACGCTGTGTAGGTTCAAATTCCTTTTGATCGATGATTTTTCCAATTTGACTTGATTTCCTCTTTCCTTTAATTCGCAATTTCTAGTTCCTTTAGTGTTAATGTCATCACAGCTACAGATTCCATGATTATTGTCTAAACAATCACACTGTGAACCGAGAGAATTATGAAAATTTGGAAAATCAGATAATCCCTTTATCTCATCCTCTTTTTTCGTGTAACCGCTCACAAGAGGGATACTCATAGATGCAGTATTCCTACCCATACCGAGTAAACTGTATGTATTATTATTGGATTTGATAAGCATTTTATTATCATTGCATTCTCCTGCACACGATCGAGCATATGCACAATTATTATTCCACAAATTTTCATTTTCACTTTGTTTCATTTTAACTACATTGTTATTCCTTACACTTTTTTCATGATACGCATTATCTGCTTGTTTAATTACATTTCCTGAATAAGTTTCTTCCTCCTCCTCCTCTTCTTCTTGATTTTTCTCATGAAAATTATTTAACTGTTCTTTATATTTTAAAACTTTGTTAAATAAATTTAAATTGTCCTTATACTTATTTGTGTTTTCCTTGGACGTCTCTTCATTTTTTATTGGATTTTCTTCTTTCCTTTCTTTAAAAGTAGTACAATCTTTTTTATTTCTTCTCTTATCTTCGCTTTTTTCTGCAATCATACATTCTTTATTAGGAATATTTTTTTTTTTAATTGTCCAGTTTATGGGTATGATTTTTTTTTTTCCTTCCATTATGTTATCATGCATGATACATTTTTCCTTTTTCCTTAACTGTTCATACTCTTTTCCCCCCACATGAACAGTGCTTTTTTTTTCATCGCTAGGTTCGTCATCGCTAGGTTCGTCATCACTAGGTTCGTCATCGCTAGGTTCGTCATCACTAGGTTCGTCATCGCTAGGTTCGTCATCGCTAGGTTCGTCATCACTTTGTTTGTCATCGCTAGGTTCGTCATCACTTTGTTTGTCATCGCTAGGTTCGTCATCACTTTGTTTGTCATCACTAGGTTCGTCATCGCTAGGTTCGTCATCACTTTGTTTGTCATCACTAGGTTCTTCATCGCATGGTTCAGCATTGCTTTGATTCTCTTCACACTTCTCTGCTTCCCTTGCCACTTCCTTCTCTACTTCTCTTTCTTCTCCATCCTTCACCTTTTCATAATTCTCCATTTTCATTGCACTTCCCCCAGCAAAATTTAATTTGCTCGACCCGTGCTCAAATGAAGTGTCCACATTTGTTCTTACTTCGCTACTTACTCCTGCACCATTTTTACAATTTTCGTTGCATTCACACTTTCTACTATTATTTATGCTTAGTTCATATTTTGCGCATAAGGAATAAGAATCGTATTCTTTCTCTGCACTATTTGCCTTCTTCATTATTACTCCAAAATTTTCTGAGCTATCTATATTTGTAGAATTGCTTGAAATGTTACGTATGTTTTCATCATTTGGAGTTAACATATTTTGTTCGTTCAACTGCGAAATATTTACATGTGTACTTCGGTTTAGTGAATTTCCTTCCCATTGAGGGGAATTATTTCCATGAGATACACAACCTCTTTCGTTATTCAAATAGTTTTCATTTATCTTTAAAATATGCATTTGATCATTTTGATGTAATTTCAGTATGTCTAAATTTTTTTTAAGTGTCTTTTTTGTTTCTTCCATGTTGTTGTCTTCTTCATCATTAATTTTTTTACTAAAATTATTAAAATTTTGTTCTTTTTGTTCTAAATAGCTATCCCTTTCACAATTTTTATCATTTTGCACAATTTCTTTTTTTTTTTTTTCACAAAATTGTGCATTTTGGCTAGCTGGTTCATAATTTTCCAAACACTTTTTTTTTTTACCTGACATGTTCATGTCATTTTCGTTATGAACAGGGAACTCGGATTTACTTGTTAACAACGATATTTCATTATCCTTGTTTGGTATTAAGTAATCGGAAAGTTCGACAAGTTCAGAAAAACTACACGTACCTAGGGGGGACTTCTCCTTTGAAGAGTTGGATTCTCTTATTGCTAGGTTCGTATTCATTTAGCTAGATAGATGATTTGTCCTCAGGCAAGTCTTTCGTGCGTTTGTATATATATATATATATATATATATATATATATATATATATGTATATGTATGTGTGTGGGGGAATATAGAATGCCAAAAAGTTGTGTGTCGTTTGGGGGCATTTACCTATTGTTTTATCCTCTCCTTTTTAATTACTACCTGTGATTATACATTTTGGCCTTCTTTGGGCTCCGTTATGCTACGTCACTGTGATGTGTGTGATAAGTATAACTCGTGCCAAAAAAAAAAAAAAAAATGCAGTGAAATGAAAAAAAGAGAGAGTGATTGTATTTCCCCAATGGAATATATTTACATACACACGTTTATATGCTCACGTGTAAAATACGGCAATCTGTGATGATACTCTTTGTTGTATATACACTGAGAGTAATTATATGTGTGGGTAGAGCAGAACCAAATTGTAATTTAAATAAAAAAATGTCCTTAAAATGAACGAGACAAATAATATGAAATATGCGTGCGTACCATTCATATTTCAAAATATGAATTAAAAAAAAAAAAAAAAAGGTTAATAAGGAAGAAAAACAGGGGAACAAAAACAGAGGAACAAAAACGGGAGAACAAAAACAGGGGAACAAAAACAGAGGAACAAAAACGGGAGAACAAAAAGATCGACGTTCATTTATTTTACTTCGCTATATTTTTCGAAAATATTTTCACTTTTTTTTTTATTTTTAATTCTTTATTTTTTTTTAAGTCTAATTCGAATATTGTTAGCACGTAAAATAACTTTTCACATTCTGCAGTTTTGTGAGGTGTATGCAAATTGATGGACAATCTTATTTTTATTTCTTGGAGGTGTATTTCCCTTGCTTAAGGTGTTTGTATGCTTTTATGTATCTACAGAACGATACGTACACGCACGAAAAGGTGAACACGAAAAAAAAAGGAAACAAACGGAAAAAAAAAGGAAACAAACGGAAAAAAAAAAGGAAACAAACGGAAAAAAAAAGGAAACAAACGGAAAAAAAAAGGAAACAAACAGAAAAAAAAAGGCAACAAACGGAAAAAAAAAGGAAACAAACGGAAAAAAAAAGGAAACAAACGGAAAAAAAAAGGAAACAAACGGAAAAAAAAAGGAAACAAACGGAAAAAAAAAGGAAAAAAACGGAAAAAAAAAAGGAAAAAAACGGAAAAAAAAAGGAAACAAACAGAAAAAAAAAGGAAACAAACGGAAAAAAAAAGGAAACAAACGGAAAAAAAAAGGAAACAAACGGAAAAAAAAAGGCAACAAACGGAAAAAAAAAGGAAACAAACGGAAAAAAAAAGGAAACAAACGGAAAAAAAAAAAGGAAAAAAATGAAAAAAAAACAGGGGTTTACTTGTTGGTTTAACGCATGCGTGAAATATGAAAAATTACTAGCTGGAAAATTTAACAAATGTGGCGAAACGGAATGCAAAATAGGCATTAAAAAAAAACAAAAAAAAATTATTTTAAAGAATTCATGAAGCCTAATTTCTTCACACATGAAAGTTAGTGTAATAACTCTCTTCCCAAATTTCCAAACAGCACCAGAATATTTTCCATTTTTCTCAAGTTATAAAAAAAAGAAAAAGAATATCGGCAATTTCTAAAAATGTTCTTACGCGAACTTTTGGAGAAATAAAAAAAACCCATAAAAAGCTAATTCAAAAAAATCTTACCTCATTAAATTGCTTCAAAAGCGTAATCCATTTTAATTTAAGGAAAAATAAAACTTTCTTTTCCTTTTTTTTTGCTCATGTTTGTGCATATAATTTTAGGCATCTTTCAGACTTTGTAGCAATTCTGAGGGGAAATAAATCTTACTGTCTTTTTTTCAACTCATGCATTTTTACACTTTTCGAATGTTTAACATATTTTGCATGTTTAGCACATTTGCCACGTTTAGCACATTTGGCACCCTTGGCCACTAGCTTTCCCACGCACATTGCATGATAGATAACCAATTAATGGACATTCCCTAATGCTGCCATGCAGTTCTTCAAACCGCAAGTTTAACTATATGACTGACTTAGTACTTGATTGTGTGGTTAGCAGCTTATCAACATAAGCGTCCATATTCTTCAAATGTTTAAACTCAATGAACTAATACCCAACAACTCTTTTAATTCTTCCCATTTTAGCAAGATATTCCTATTTTTCTTGAACAAAATTTTGAGCACAGAAGAAGGAATGACATGCTACTGCTAAGAACAGTGGGAAATAACGTTTTCATTTTTTTTTTTTTTTCTTTTTTTTTTTTTGCACATTTCGTTATTTAGCAAAAGGGTATGTCAGGTGAGTAACCACTAGCAAGTAGTTAGAAAACGGCAGGATCAACATTGTGTCATAAAAAAAAAAATAAAATAAAAATAAAAAATGTCCACAGAAACATACTCAAAAGAAGCCTCCAGAGAAGAAGTGTCAATGAATACTCTCTTTTTTCCATCCCAACCCAAACCAACCTATGAATAAGACAAAATGAGGATTAACAAAAAGGACGAAATAGTAAACGTTCTGTTTACTGTATTTTTGCTAATAACTCAGCAGATCTCGTTGTTGTATATCATACTTAAAAGTACAAGAAGTAGTGACTTTTATTTTGGGTTTTTAATTGCAGATGTATTTTTATGTATATATATTGTACTAAGTCTTTATGATGAAAATAATGCAGGAGTAAAAATATCAATCCAATGGATGATTTACATGACCACGTTAGGTTTAAAAATGTGTATTTATTGTTTTTTCATAAAAAATGAGGAAAATTTAAATAAGTCAAGAAGTCTTTTTTTCATGTACCTATCAAATGATGTATTAGTATACAATTTAATATATTTAACCCCATTCATATATTTACTATTCTCACTAAGAAGTAGAAATATATTAGAAAATATCTTAAACAATAAAATAGTAATAGAAAATATTCTAAGTATAGATGTAAATATAATCAACCTTTTTGACATAATTGATTTAATTTTCATGTACTCTCATTTGACAAATATTTATAAAATATTACCACATGTCAGAGGCTCTTACAACTTTCAAAACATTTCTCTCATGCTTATAATTGTGCTTGTTGATATCTTCCTCTTTGGTTTTTATTTTCCTATATACACAAATATAGACAAGTCATATTCATACAACGATCAATCCATAGAGCTAAATGATAGAAAGGGAAACAAATCGAGGCAGAGAACAAGGAACCAGGGTTTTTACCCAAGTAGAGATGGAGAAGAAGATGAAGATGAAGGAGAAGAAGAAGATGAAGATGAAGAAGAAGAAGATGAAGAAGATGAAGAAGAAGAACGAGAAGGCATAGAAGACGGCTGTCCAAAGATAAAAAATGGAGTGGAAAAAAAAGTAGAAGGAGAAACGATAGAAGATAGCTGTCCTGGGGTAAAAGATGGAATGGAACAAGACAGAAGGAAAAAAAAAGGACATATCAAAGGGAAGCATAAAAATCAAGCTGGCCAAATTCATTCATATAACAGGTGCGAATCGGAGGAGAGGATGAATAACTTTGTGCATCCAAAGAATTCGAGAATTGCTAGGAATGAATACCTGCACAGTGATAGAAATAGTAGATATACCTTGTCAAGTTTCAGCACCAATAGACATAGTCACAGTAGAAGCCGTAGTAGTGAATCTAGTACAAGACGTAGTAGTGGAATTCATCCTGCAAATGTGTCATTTTTAGATGAGTCCAAGGTTGGGTATATGAAAAAAAAGGGTGCATCCAAATTTGACCTCTCTAGGGAAAATGCAAATAAAGTAGGGATGATGAATCCACACGTAGTATCCATGAATTCGAAGCAATCAACGTATGCATCATCTGACATGTCAAGGGAACTACTCCCAAGGAAGAATTCAGCCTCGTCTTTAGGAGCCTCCTCTTTTTCAACTTCGTCCTTTACGGCCTCCTCTTTAGCAGCCTCCTCTTTTTCAACCTCGTCTTCCTTCACTTTTTCCAATGCTAACTCACCATATGTATCTTCCAACAGTTCCAACATTTGTTCTATCCATTCTGGGTCTTCCTCATCTTACCTACCATCCATTCTATCTTTCTCATCAAATGAACAGAAGATAAAAAAATATAATAAATCCAATAAATTGCATCACCATAAATTTAAGGACGTCTACACAGATGTTTACATAACTGCCAAGTTTCATTTCATCGTAGGGTTCCTCCTCATTGATGTCCCTTTTTTCATATACAGGTTGGCGTGAGGGTCTAACGGAATCGTCATCGCGACGATCCCACCCCGGGTGCATTTTCACCCAAAGTGCATACTCACCTTAAGTGCATACTCATCCCAAGTGCATTTTCATCCCATGTGTACTCTCCACGTTTGCTGTATATACCCTCCCACTTTTCGTTTATCCATCTTGCAGATTCATCTTCTGTCTGAAGCACAAGGTGATGCTAACCCTAATTGTGAAGAACGTGTTGTTTCTGCTATTCAGGTCATACAAACTAAATGAATACAGACTTGTGGAAAAGGAAAAATATAAAAAAAACAAAAGCAATCTTGACTTTCATTTGTACAACTTGTTCAATTTTGATGACGAATCGAGTGGTTACCAAAAAGGTGGCAAGCAAAAGAAAGGAGAATCTGGGGAGAAAAAGAAAACTGGAAGGAACCTTATCAAGATGATAAAGAAGAAGAAGAAGAAGAAGAAAATGAAGAAGATGAAGATGAAGAAGATGAAGAAAAACAAACAAAAAGAAAAATCCACATTTTTTGAGAAATATGTTAAAGCTCAAATTACAAAGGAAAGAGATTTAGGCCAAAAAAGGGGAATTGCGCAAATGAGTAATGAAACGGTGGAGGGAAGAGCTGAGATGGATCATGCCGCTACAAAGGTGGAGAAAAAGAGGGAAAAAATGGAAAAGCTAGAAAAAATGAAAACAATGGAAAAAGACAAGAATAACAATAAAACGAAGGAGAAAAAAAAAAAAAAAAAAAAAAAAAAAAAAAAAAAAAAAAAAAAAAAAAAAAAAAAAAAAAAGAAAAAAAAAAAAAAAAAAAAAAAAAAGAAGAAAAAAAAAAAAAAAAAAAAAAAAAAAAAAAAAAAAAATACAGTTATGCAAGTTTTTAAGGAAGAATTTCAGGATAATAAGAAAAAGAAGCTACTGGAGAAGAAGGCTGCTATCTGTGAAATAACATCAAGCAGGATCTGCGACAAAAAATATCACGGGGAAAGTGAGCACATAGGGAAGTTTATACATAATAAAGTAGAACAAAAAACAAAAAATCATAAATTTGTAGAAAGAAAACGATGGATTAATAAGAAAGGACAAATTAAATTCAGCTGGAGTGAGAGGAGAAAAATGAGAAGTGAATTCAGAAAGTACAAAAATTTAATTTTCAAACTTAAATATAAAAGAAAAATTCCGATATATCATTTTAAAATGTGGGATCACATGAGATCCATGTGTAATTTTTTATTTAAACGATTCAACAGTTCCAATTTTATTTATTTGGATGATAAATTAGTGTTTTCCTATTTTACAAATATACGTCTCATATTCCTTATTATACTTGATTATTTTATGAAAATTGGAATCACCATATTTTTCATTATAGTTTTATTAAACAATCACAAACGTGTAAGTCATCATGATTTTGTATACATGCATGACATTCCAACCAAGTCTATAATTACAAATAAGGAAATTTTTACCTTTCCAGAAACTTTTGATTTGTCTGAATATGCAAATATGCAACTACCAGAAGAATCAATTCCTATAAATTATATAAATAAAGATATAAACAATTTTAAAAATAAAAATAATCAAATATATATACCAAAAGGATACGTCAATTTAGAAATTCCAGATAATATATTTACAACAAAATGGGAACTTATATTTAGAATTGATAAAATTTATATATATACTTGTTTGGCATATTTTGTTCTTTATTTCCTTCTTCTCATAAAAACATCGACCTTTTTCGACATTTTCTTCGGATCCATATTTAATACCATAAGTCATTTGTCTTTCTATTTTTCCTTAAAACAATTCATTTTATTTTTTTTTATTTTCCATGGAAATATTTATAATGATGATTATGTCTACTATGATCGCAACATACGCAAGCTAAACTATCGCCTCCATTATTTCTCTCTCCTCCTCTTCAACCTCCACCACTTTTTTTCTCTTGTCAAGCATGCTTCTCTTTTTATGCGTGTCTTGTTTAATTGCAGGTATGTCTACTACTACAGGAGATTCAACCGAGGTACGTCCCTCAAATCGAGTACAGCAGCAGATGTGGAGAGAAAGTGTGTGATAATAAAGTTTGCGAGCGATTTCTCTGCACTTCCTCTGGCATGATATAGCCGGATACTGCAGAATGAAGCGTCCCACTGTGTAAAAAAAAAAAAAAAAAATAGACCCCAATATACATCCATACATCCATGCATACACATGTACGTAACACACACGTTTTACTATTTTATTGGTTCTGCTCAGGGAGAAAAGGAAATAAAAACCAACTCAGATACTCAGTTAGCGTGTATATCCTTTTCCTTCTGTGCAAATATGGCTATGCACCCATTAATCTGAACACATTGTTATTTGGTCAAAATATTCTGAACAATATTTTGTTAATAGACAATATAAATAGTTTCACGTGGATAAATATTATTGTACTAATCTTATTTAAAGGAATACATGTTCTGATGACAAACACAAATTATTTTTTAATTGGCTTATTCATTTTACACATCATTCTTTATGTTATTTATGCTATTCATGCACAAATACTAAGATATATAATTCTTCGGAAAATGGAAATTCTCTTTGCTTTTAAAAATATACTCATCTCAAAATATGAACAAACACCTCTGGTTCTTGATAAAACATCTCCCTATATCACATGTCGTGACATACTCAAATATTATTCAGAGGAAGGATTTTTTTCTTCAGAGGGTAAGGAAACAGACACACATTAATGCATCGCGCGTATAAAAAATATGTATTATTTTTGCAATGTTACATGTGGGAATAGAACATTTTCTTCACACTACATTATAATTCATCACATAACTACAACTTTATGAAATGTCTGGATTTACACACATATAAATATATCACAATTGCCCTTACCCATTCACAGGAAATATGATACCAAATTTTATATGATGGAAATCTTCTCACAAAAAAAAAAAAAAAAAAAAAATCAACCCATACATACATTGTATTTTCTTCCCATTTGTTAACTTATTTTGTTCCTTTTTTTTTTTTTTTTTTTTTTTTCACACATTCATGCATAAGTGATCATTTATAAGAAACTTATCCGTCTCCCTCTCTATCATTCTTGGAATTCATTTTTTTTTTTTTTTTTTTTTTTTTTTTTTTTTTTTTACTTTTTAAAAAAAATAAGACACATGCATTTAGTACATATTAAAACAAGTTAAAAAAAAAAAAAAAAAAGCCGCCTCAAAAGTTGTGAAGAAACGATACAGAAATGGAGACATATCTCTATCTAATATGATGCACATTGACACTATACATACAAAATGGCAAAAAAAAAAAAAAAAGTGTTAAGTATTCCAAATTTGCTTCACTTGCTGGTAAAAGATTTTTTGTTGTGAATGCTGATGAATGTTCTTTTTGCATGTGGGAGGGATGTTATAAGTACATTTTCATGCAAGCATATACAACACTAATTAAATACTAATTCTTAAAAATGGAACGAACGTGAAAACAAGGGTGTGGGTGGGAAAAATGTCTAATACGCGTACTATATATATATATATATGCATGTGCACATATGTATACGTGCTGATGCATATGATGCAGGAGCGGCCTTTCCCCTGAAGTAGCGGAGTGCCCAATCTCAGGGATGGTGAAAAAAAACCTCCCTCGCCACAGTCACATCTACAAATCAACTAAACTGTTAATGATAGCTTGTTGCACATTGAAATCCTCGTCGTTGGAGTTTTCTCCATGCTCAAAGTGCCCAATTACAGACGTAGAATCGTCCATTACATTGTTACAAGTGTCTTGAAAATGGTTATTATGATATACACCCATATTATTTGCACAAGAATTTATGAACCGTCTTTGTAGTATTCCATCATAATCCTCCTGAGCTTCTTTCAATGCAGAAGATGTTTTATTCTCTTCTTTTTTTTCATCTACGTGTGTATGCTTATGAATGGCTTCCTCCCCATTGTAGTAATTCATAAAGTTATCATTGTAGACATTATGTTTATTCCTCAAAACCTCATGACTAGAAGAAGTATCTTCACCAATGACATACACATTTGCTGTTGGTATTTTATGGTCTCTTAGTTGGTAATCCAAATGATTGTTGTTCCAATAAGTAAAAGGTTTATTTTGTTTCATTCCTTTTAAATTATTCAAAGTACATTCATATGTCAAATTTTTAGAATATTCTTCATTTTTATTCTTATCTTCAGATATATTTTCATTACAAAATTTGCTATTATTCATTTCATCCTTTTGACAATTCTTAACATCATAGAGCTGAACAATTTGGACTTGATTCATTCTGTATTTTTCTTCATGACATGCAGTTTCTTCCTTAAAAATAATACCTTCTTGCTGATTTTCCAGAATGCCTTTCGATGATGCAACCATGAGATGGTTATTACACGATTGATCATCTCTTCTACGAATGTCACTGTCATGCGTATTTCCATTCATCACATATGAACTGTAATAATGTGGGGTACGTTCATATAAACTACGTCCATATAAAGTACGTTCATATAAACTACTCTCATCTGAAGTATCCATATTTTTAGAATTATCAAAACCGGTCTCCTTAGTATAATTATTAAAAGAGCCCGATTTACCTTGGTTCCCAGTGTTCGATGTGCAATGGTGTCCATTTTTCTTTCCACTGTCACCCGTCGATTTTATTTCTCTCTCATTTGAACTAAATTGACAGCTGGTAAGACTTTCTGACAGCTTACTTATCCTCAAATCGTGGATGCATTCTGCTGCTTCTGCTTCTGCTGCTTCTGTTTCTACTGCTTCTGCTGCTTCTGCTTCTCCTGCTTCTCCTGCTTCTCCTGCTTCTCCTGCTTCTCCTGCTTCTCCTGCTTCTCCTGCTTCTCCTGCTTCTCCTGCTGAGTGAAATAAATTCTTGCATGGATCAATCGTTCCTTGCTTTGTGTCTTCACGTCTGTTATCATACGGATTAACTTTGTTTATATAACGGTCTTTGTTATATGAATCAATAAATGGATGATAGTTCTTATTATATGCCTCATCCCCTTCTACAAAGTTACTGATATTGTTGGTAAGGGTATAACTATGTTCATTTTCTACATGATAATTCACATTTTTGTCGCAGTACAAATTTTTCACTTTTTCGTTCTGTGCATATTTTTTGGATACCCTTAAGGAGTAACCCATTTTGGAAATATTTTCTGCATTCTCATCATCTAACTCTGTAATAAAACCAGATGATCGTTTACTACTACTAACATCACAGTCGATGTTATCTGCAATTCTTTTTCCTTTTTTCATTCTTATCTTATTTGGAGACGATGCACCACTAGTAATATCATTTTTGTCTAAGAGGATTACATTATTATTGTTCTCCATATGTATATTATAATATTTAGTTTCGATTATATTTTTTCTATTTTTTCCTTTTGCTTCCATATTTTTCCTATGTCTAGTACTGTAAAAAAAAGATCTTCTTTCTGCATGCTCATTGCATATATCCACATCATATTCACTATCGTGTTTTGTCCTTTCTTTTGAATCTTCCTTTCCGTTTGGATTTACATGTTCCTGCATATACTGCCCATCACGCGTACTTGCATCATGAGGATAAATAGAATAGTGCTTGCTGCTTGTTATGTTGTTACCATTACCACAACGACCATCAGCATTTGATTCGTTTGACACGTTTGATACGTTCGATACATTTGATTCGTTTGATATGCGTGATTCATTTTTTTCATTTTTTTCATTTTTTCCATTTGACACGTCTGACACGTTTGACACGTTTGATGCCTTTTTTTCACCCCTTTGAATGGGCTGAATATTATCAGTACTGCAAAAATGGTCAAAACTATTGTTGTAGGTGTTCCCAAAATTACTGGATGATTTTTCCACTGTATGATTCAACCCTTTTTGCCACGGAATGTTGTTTTCATATTGAGGTAATCGTTCCTCATCAGTCTGTGCTTCTAACACTTGAAAGGAATTTTCCTTCGCATAGTGTGTAATTGTGGACTCCTCTGCTTTTTCTTTGTGTGTCGACATATGCGAATCAGTATCAATGCCCCCTCGTGAGTCACATATATTAACCCTATTATGAGAAATAAATTCTGGAATTAAATCATCAACTATAATTATCTCTTCCTTTTTATTGGTGTGTTCCGTACTGATTTGTTCACATTGCCTGCTTTTTCCACCTTGCATGTTTTTTCCACCTTGCCTGTTTTTTCCATTTTGCATGCTTTTTCTAGTTAGACTACTCCGCCTCATCGGTGTATTCTCATCATTTGGTATCTTATTCTGCCTTGGAGTTAGAGACAAATCTTGATTATCTACATAAAAAACATCGCTACCATTTCTGAATTTATCATCATCGGGAGCGACATAATTATTCATCTCGTTATTTTTTACTTTATTAATATTTTCCTCATCATCTGAACTTATGGTAATATTGTAAAAATCGTTCATATTCTTGAAGTTAGACGAGACGCGATTATCCCTGTTATTATTATTTGTATTGTTCATCATGCGATTATTTCTACTTCTAAGGTTGTACGTCCTGAGCAACTCACTTCTCTCTTCATGATTTATATAATTTGAACTTCCATTTGTTCCATTCCTCCCATTATTTATAGTATAAAAATTAGAATTTATATTCATATTTCCAAAGTTGTAATTTGCACATAATGACATGTATTCAGTTACCCCCAGCAGACATTCAACATAAGAATTGTCTGGCTTTCTAACATCATCATCTATGTATTCCTTATTTTCAGACCTTCTTGAATCGTTCCTGGATTCAAAATGGTTTTCATCATGTACTTTGGAATCTTCCACATGTCCATTTAGGGCCTCATTTAACTTCAGGGCAAGCAGGTAGTCTGAGTCAACTGCATGGGGGTGAAAATAAATAAATAATGAAAAAATAGAAGAAGCAAAAGTGGAAGAAGCAAAAATGGAAGAAGCAAAAGTGGAAGAAGCAAAAATGGAAGAAGCAAAAGTGGAAGAAGCAAAAATGGAAGAAGCAAAAATGGAAGAAGCAAAAATGGAAGAAGCAAAAATGGAAGAAGCAAAAATGGAAGAAGCAAAAATAGAAGAAACAAAAATAGAAGAAACAAAAATAGAAGAAACGGCATTATGGACTTTCCATGTGCATAATGAACCGTAATACAATGTACATCTCCACGATTGTGGGGATGATGGTTGCATTTCATGCAATAGAGTGGTCATTTAAACAAAATTAAAATGAAATAATATTCAATAAATAAGATCTATTCGTGGCACATTTACACTATCGACTACAGCAGAATGGTTGTATTATCACTTTTTTTTTTTTTTTTTTTTTTTTCTAAAATTTCTTAACCTTGATTCAGATTTTCGTCTTTCATAGAGTTTCTCGTTTCTTCACTTTGGGTATCATGCAAGCTATCCGATTTTTCTTTCTTTTCATATGTATCCTTATTTCCATGCACGATATCATCTCCTATTTCATTTTCTATTTCCTTTTTTACTGCCTTTTTTGTTCCATTTTCCACTTCCTCCTCTGCTACCTTTTTTGGCTCCGTTTCTTTTTTTTCCTCTCCTTCTGTCTTTTCACCCCTGGGTTTCCCTTGCGAGTTCTGCTGCTCCTTTTTTAGTCTCTCTTCATATGCCTTTCTATGTTTGTTTATGTAAAAATTTAAATCTGACGTACTCATGTTGGTGCTTTTATGCTACGAAATATGCCACGTCCAGAAGAAATATACATTAACATGAACGTGAACACTTTTGCAATGCCCTCTTTTAATCTCCAAATGGGTAACTTGAATTGTATCTATCGGTGCTTATGCAGAAACATACACATGTGTATACCCATATGTATATACATATATATATATATATTATATACATTCATGTGTGTACATGTGCACGAAAATGGTGTAGAACTTTATCTGGCATTACTCCAATTCATTACTTAAACAAAAAGGACATGAATCCACAATAAATATGGACAAAATGATACTTTGCTGAACTGGCAATTCAGCAACGCACGGGAAAGGTGTGCAAATGTATACTGTTTAAATGCAATTTATTCAATTGTATATGCTCATGTGTACACACGAAATGGAAGAAAAACTATCGACAAAAAAATGAGTATCCAATATGGAGTAACAAAAATGGTGATGTGTACCAAAAGGAGAAGGAAAATTTTTAATGCCTCGATTGAACATTTATCTACATAGGCATGGGTGCACATATTACCCTTCGAATGTTTATTCGTAACATCCAAATGTATGCACTCATTTAATATTCAGAAACCATTCGATTGGAGAAGTTGTTTACGTATATGCTTTATTTTGTTATTTATCACTCAGGTGTATACATATGTACATATATGTGTGCGTGTATAAAGATCTGCAAAAGGTGCGTAATCACTCGTGCACATATATATATAAACGAATACTCGCGTACATACTCTCCATGCGAATCTTACATGTACAGCATAGAAAAGTCCAATCAATGTGCGCTTTGTGCTAGAGGAACACAAACGTGACAGGGTGTAGTAAAAAAGAAAGAAAAAAGAAAAATGAACAAAAAAGAAGAAAAAAGAAGAAAAAAAGGTATTGTTTTATTTTCCGTTGTGTTAATGTAATAAAGAAGGAAAAAAAAAAAAAAAAAAAATAAATAAGTTCACATATCAAATATTAAAGAAAAGGAAAAAGGGCTTCTATTGTTATTACTATCTTTAATACGCGGGGACTGGGAATCATCAATGGTTATATATATATATATAGAAAAACAAAAAAAGGGAATATATGAATATCTTATATACTTTGTCCATATGTTGGTAATAATTTTACCTTGCCTGGAAAAATGATAAAAAACTTTGTTTTTTGAATGCCCGAACAGTGAATATGCGAATGTACAAACCAAGTGGACGTGTAATTAAGCGAAAGCGCAATTGATCAAACATGCGGTTCTGCAAAAGTACAATTAAACAAATGTACAAATATACATAAAATGCCTTTTTTTTAATTCAATTAATACATATGCATTGATGAAATATGACAAAAAAGGATTGAGTTACAAAATGACATAGCTAGTTTTCGTTAAAACACGCACTGAACTGAACGAGAAAATTTGTTTTTCATGATAAAACGTTCTAACAACACTTGCAAATTTTATTTTAACTCTAATTTCAATGCCTATTTGAAGTTTTTTTTTTTTTTTTTTTTTTTTTTTTTTTTTTTAAACACTTTTGGACGCATTCTTCTTCCATAAATTTTTTTTTTTTTTTTTTTTTTTTTTTTACTCTTTTGCGTGTACTTTTTTTTTTTTTTTTTTTTTTTTTTTTCTTTCCTGTCAACTATTTATATTTTTCTCTACTTGTCCTCTCTATTTCATCGGCTTCTTTAATTCCATATACATGTATGTGTGTTTATGTGAATATGCATATGTTTGTATTTATACTTTTTATTTTGTTTCATTTTGTTTCATCGTGTTTCATTCTGCTATATTTTGTTTCTTTTATTTTGCTCTTTTGATTTAAAAAGAAGTTTTTCTTTCGTTTTCCAATGCAGGCAAAAAGAGCGCACACACGTGGGACGAGAAAAAAAGAATAGATGGACTTGGCATATGCATGATACATTTGTTCATTTTATGTTCCTGTTCTAGTACAAATAATGTTATACCCATATTTGTATACTCATTTGTGTGTTCGCACACCATCTGTAGTGAATGTTCACACCTAACCCTGGGACATGGGAAGAATTGCAAAGGCGAATATGTGAGACTAAAACAAACCACTGAGTACCAAAATAATATATCAAAAAAAGAAAAAGGAAAGGAAAAATAAAGACAACAGGACAGGATGTATGTTTGTGAGAGAAAAAAAAGAAAAAAAAAGTGTATCATTTATTCATGTCTGTATCAAAAGGTACAAAACAAGCCAAAAAAGGTAGTTTAAAAAAAAAAAAAAAGTTACCATATTGGCTAACCTGTAAATAAATTAACAAGTTAGCTATTTCGTGCGCAATGTTTTTTTTTTTTTTTTTTTTTTTTTTTTTTTTTTTTTTTTTTTTTTTTTTTTTTTTTTTTTAATCGCATGAACATAAACGTGTGATATTTTATGAACATATCAGGCAGGAAAATATTGTAAACAAAATGTTTCGATTGGAAATTTTGCACACAAGTTGGTGTGGAAAATGAATGAACTAAGAAAAGCAGGAATTTCATCTATATGCCACTCTCAATTTTTGTGGACACGCAAGTTTCCAAGCTTACTTTTCTCTTTTTTTTGTTTTTTTTTTTCATTTATCATTTCCTCACCTTGCATTTATGTGCTTATGCCACATATACATGGCCCTCCTGAAAGTGTAAGACAAAGTCCTGTTGTATGTTTGAAGCACTCCTGAGAGTAGATCAACAGAATGAGAACTTGACGTAAGAAGAAGAAACAATTTCGATAAGTTCCCACAATGTTGTGATGCTTCACTCTGGTTCCTTTTTGTTGAAACTTTTTAATTTTACTTCCTTCTAAACGTAGCAACGCTTGAAGCTACTTGTGAACACAAAAGACAGGAAAAAAAAAAGAAGAAAAAAAAAAAAAAAGGAAGAAGTAAAAAAGTATATGTACATTTTCACGATCACATAACATAACAACTGTCTCTACTGAGTACATTTTTGATATGCTAAATTTTTAGCAATTTCCGAAATTGCATACATCAATATGTTTAAAAAAAAACATAATAATAATAAAAAGATACTTCACTATGAACGTTTTTTCGTCTTAAACTTAACACTGGTATAAATCGTTTATAAGCCATATTCTTATCCAACTACCTAAATTTTAGGATAAGAACTGTGTGTACACAAAGCTCCATATGTATTATTAATAATGTTTATCCACATTCTTTCCAAAGAAAAAAAAAAAAAAAAAAATTATATATATTTCAAATGAAAAAATAAACTTTTTCACAATTGTCGAAATTGAAAAGAAAATATACATTTATAAGGGTTCACTATATTGAGAAAATAATTTCCCAACATGCTTTATATCTTTGCACTATTCAGTTGCAAAACTTGTTGGGGTGGTAAGGTGCTGTGGGGAAATGATAGAAAGAGCCATGTTATCGTTTAAAAAAATAAAAATAAATAAAAAATAAAAGGAGAAGAGAGGAGAGCATTGCATTATTTTGAATCCTTTTATTATTTTACAATTTTTACGATTTTATAAAAAAAAAAAAAAAAAAAAAAAAAAAAGCAAAAGTTTTATCAGGTATATATCCACTTCCTTGCATGGATCTAATTCGAACTATCTTCCTTTACTATTTTTTCTTTCATCACTCTTATGCTTTTTTCACAAATTCGTTCTAGCTGCAAATGTCATATGGGAACAAGTTGAGAATACCATGACATTTTCCATTTCGCACAAAAATAAAGAGATGATATTTGAGCGTGAACACACTGAAGTGAATGCCCACCTGAACAGTAATGTTAGCACGAATGGGTTATACGAATGTTAAGGTGAATTTTGTTTCTTATGTGAACCCCTTCAAATTCGCTGTCACGAAAGGCAGGAAAATTTCTTCGGTACGAATCACAAGGTATCACTCACGAGCTGTTATAAAAGGCATAACTTCTGTTCACTATAACTGCATGAGGGGTGCAGCAGTGGGAGATTATTTTGTGCATGAACTTGATTTTATGAAATGTATTTTACCAAAGAATGGCACAAAGTTAGGAAAGGATTCGCCACAACCAAAAAGCAAAAGAGAACCAATTAAAGAGTCTAAATTAATCACGATCGTTTTAAACAATGCACTATGTGAAAATTCAAAGAAAATTATTGCCAAGTCAGACATATTAATATGCGCCGATGGGGGTGCAAACATACTGTATAATATGTGCCAATCTTTAGCTAAGGAAAAAAGTACAAGTGATAAGTCCTGTTCATTGGAAGGCAAAGCGAAAGGGGATAACACATCTCTTTATACATTATACACAAATGAGCAAAATGGTATAAAAGATAACAAGTCGTCTGAACATGAGCACCAACATGGGAGAGATACAATCTCTGATTTGTTCAAAATGCGAATAAAAAAAAATGAAGATACAGTGAAATGTCTGACCAAAATAGTACCTGATTTAATTTGTGGTGATTTTGATAGCATAAATAAACATGTGTACAAGTTCTATAAAAACAAATCAGTCTTATTTGAGAAATGTGAAAACCAGGAAAACACAGACCTTGATAAATGTATAGATACGATAAGGGGATACATTATGGAGAATGATAAAATATTAATTGTAGGGGCAACAGGAAATAGATTTGATCACACATGTGCAAATATTTCTTCTTTATACAAAAATGTTTCTTTATGTGGTAGTATATATTTAATTGGGGAAAATAATTTCCTCTTTTTACTTAAGAAGGGAAGTCATATTATACATATAAATCCTCAAATTTTTGAAAAAGGTTGTGGTATTTTACCCATTGGAGCCAAGTGCAATGTTAAAACGGAAGGGTTGAAATATAACTTGAACAATGAATATCTCAGTTTTGATAAACTTATCAGTTCATCAAATGAGGTTCTTCAAAATGAAGTCAAAGTTTTTAACGATTCTCCCGTTATTTGGTGTTCCCAGTTAAGAGCTGTGTGTAAGGGTTAATTTGTATACAAGGCATTGTTCATGTAAGAGAGACCGGTTATGCATAAGCTAGCTAAAATGTGCACATATGTACATTTTTTTTTTTTTTTTTTTTTTTTTTTTGCACCCTGTTTGTGACATTTAATAATTAAGTTACAATATAGGCTAGCTGACATAAAAAACTTCTTAAATAAGGTATAACAAAAACAATGGTCCCCTTTATAGAAGAAATATATGGAGTGATTAGTTAATTAAAAGTAACATCACAGGTCGCACACGGGGTCTCAGAACAAAAAAAAAAAGAAAAAAGTTAAAATTAAAATGAAAATGAAAATTAAGGGTAAAATTAAAAATAAAATGAAAATTAAGGATAAAATTAAAACTAAAAATAAAAGTAAAATTAAAATGAAAATTAAGGATAAAATTAAACGTTTATGTGAAGGGAGAATGCATATATTGTATCCCTTTTGCGATATAAAGAAATGTGTCAATCAAAAAGACGAGAAGTAATGTAGAATAAGTGAGTTATTACATATACTAGGTAGAAGAAGGGCGCAAAGCGTATGTACATATTCATGTGATGTCATAAGAGTACCGTTAGGAGGCAAGGTGGTATATATATTATGAAAACGGCACGTATGTGTACACCTCGTTCTTGTTCTTGGACTTCTTCTTAACCTGCTTCGTTTCAAATGTATGTTCAAAGCTTGTATCCTCGTCATACATACATATTTTCTTTTGACTTTCCATTGTATCGAGAGTAGGGTTCTTCTTACGCCAGGATGGGTCCTCCATTTTGTGTTCGTTGCTTTTTGTTTTGTTTTGCAAATTTGTGTGCATACCGTTTTGCGTGCAATCGCCTGACCTGTTAATAAAAATGTCAATTGTGAAAGGGTAAATATTGACCTCCTTTTTGTGTGGAATGTCTAGTGATAACAACGAGTTGGATACTTCAATATGAAAGGTGGAGCTATCAGGAACAAATATCTTTTCCTTTGAGTTATCTTTTTTCGTTTTACAAATATAGAACAAATTGTTTAAGGTTTTTTTACTGATATATTTTTTTGGAATAATGTCTGTTTCGATTGTGTGAAGTAAAATGCTGTGTCTCCGTATTAATAGGGATAGTAATTTAGGAGATTGTGTTTTTTTGAAAGCATTATAAATTAAATTTACATAAATGGGTAAAAAATGAAATATGCATTCTGAACATAACAAGCTGGTGATTGCCATAGGCATCCATAATACTCCTCTTATATCAATACCTTCATTTTGTATACTATTTTTTAAGTGTATAAATAGCTTATTTAATTCATCCACATAATCTAATTTCCCAGCTGCAATTAAAGCATATGCACATAAATACTTGTTAATAATATATTTATTCTTTTTTGTTTTCCATTTATCTTGCATTAGTACAAATGTATTGTTATCATTTGACATGCGAAGCTTATAGAAATCACTAGTACACTTGGTTGACACATTTGGCATGTCTGTATTATCACTGTTTTGATATTTATTTTTTATATTCTGCTTTTTCTTTCCTCCATGTATGTCTAGACCTTTTGATTGAATAAACGTTGCATCGTATTTATTTTCCCTTTCTTCTATATAATTATTTATTTTTTTATAAGACATTTTTAAAAGTTCAATATCGCGCACCCGTACTTTTGAAAACGCATGAACTATTTTAATAATGTCGATGGAAGAAAATTTCTCAAAATTCGATTTCATATGATCACATATCGTTTCATAGAAACTAACATCTTCTAAAGATGCGTCAGCATATGTATTTACAATTATTGTAATTTCATTTGGAGTGTAGACATGAATATAATTCTGAACATGTTTTGCAAGCATGAACATGCAGAATTCATCAACATACTTACATGTCCCGATGGTGAATATAAAATTAGTTATCAAATAATGGGGTATTAATTCCAAATTTTCACAGATCAAATCTGAGTGAGCGTATAAAATATTGTTATCTATGTGACTAAATACATATTTCATTATATATACTAGTAGTATCTTATGTATTACAATATTTTTTATCCTCCATAGGTTATTCTTTATGTACTCATAGTGATCTTTCCTCAAGTAAAAATTATTGCTTTCATTTTCTGCCCACATAGGTTTCCAATCTTCGTTCAGTTGTTGTTGTTGTTGTTCTTGTTCTTGTTCTTCTTCTTTTCCTTCTACCTGAATGCCACTGCGGGTGTTTAATCTGTTGCTCGTAATTTGCTTTTCCTGGCCTCTCATTTCTCCGTCCTTCTCTTCTCCTCTCAGACCAAGTGGGTAATCGCTGAAATGGAAACTCGATTTTCCATCGCCACCTCTACCGCCTCCTCCACTTCCATCACACAGTTGGATTGTATCACCATGCAGGATTGTATCACCATGCAGGATTGCATCACCATGCAGGATTGCATCACCATGTTGTAATGTATCACCACGCTGTAATGTATCACCACGCTGTAATGTATCACCACGCTGTATTGAATCACCATGCCGGATTGAATCACCATGCCGGATTGAATCACAACTTATTTTACCTTCTTCCCCCTGCACGATGGCAGATGTACCAGGTATTTCGTACGAAGCATCTCCAAGGGTCATTTCTTCCGTTTCACATGACCTGTTAAGGTTATTGCTAATTTTGTTAATCAAGTTCATGTAATGAGATAACTTATTCACAATATTCACATAAGCATCTTTATTTTTGACTTCATTAATGCACATTAGTACAAGATAATCATAAAGGTAGAGAAAGGAAATCGAGTTAATCTTTGAATTAATGCATTTATACATAGTGGAAAAAATATCTTGAAATATTTTTTTATTCATATATTCCTCATTCTTATATATAATCTCTGTACTGTGTGCACATTTCACGACATTACTTTTATCTGTCGATAAGGAAATATTATTGTGATGTAAAACCGTCAATAAGAGTAATACATTCTTAATTTCTTGTCCATTTAGAAACTTATAGTTCACTTTTTTCAATATATCTACAAATGTCTTCTTATTATTTTTATGTACATAATTGAAAAAGATATTTGAATCCATGTAATAATACTCAGGTTCAGAAACAATATTTGCTCTTCTTACATTCATGTAAGTCAGAGGGAATAATAATTTAGAGTAATTTATGTACTCTTTATTAATCACCTTTTCTTTGTAATTCCATATGTCGCACTTTTTCACTTTATAAACAAATTTGTGCATATTGCTATTCAGGAACAAGTTCATGCATGGGTTATTTTTGCACTCTCGTATGAGTTCTTCTCTTTTTATCTTAACCTTTTCGATATTGTGAATGTAATAGATGTTGTTTGGACTGTTCAGGTTCTGCACACGGGTACCAGTACTAGCATTATTATTCTTATACCTTTCATGGTTATCTGTATTATCCACCTCAATGTTATTTGCACTTCCTATATCATTTCTTCTCTTGTTGCTACTGTTTAGACCTTCTCGACAACTTCTCTTATTTGTACCACCATGAACAGAAGTATTTTTCGAATTCAAGAAGTGTAATATAGGAGCGATATTCGTCACATATCTGAAAATTTTGCAGCACTCTATCACCTCCTCACGAGAAGATTTTTTCCTTAGGATACTACAAGTTTGTAATTCATAGTAATCATGAAGCAAGTCAGCTACATTTTCCTTATTGTATAGAAAATAAAAATTATTAAAATCTGTCTCATTTTTAATGTTTTTAATATCGTTTTTATTTTTACTATTCCTTTTTGTCTCACAGGACTTAGCAGTGCTGAATTTGTAACTTCTATTATTTTTTCGGACATCATAAAAGAAATGGATTTTCCTGTACTTATGCTTTAAGTATCCCTTTATTATCATTGTCAAAATATCTTAGTTTTTATATATGGAGAGAAAACTATGATTGGCTACACAAAATTCATCATACATGGAAATATTTTCATACTTCCGTGTAAGCATACATGTATTGACACATGTACATAGTGTGATACGCAAAAAAAAAAAAAAAAAAAAAAAAAAAAAAAAATATACAACAATATACGTACATTCTCATGTTAGATAAACACCTTCATCATCTTAATGTATACTCTTCCATTTGTGTCATGTCCCTACAGAAATACTTTGTTGAGATTATCTCTATGGTTTGAAACTTGTGTTCTTAACAATAAAATGTATCACACATACCCCATAGGTGGTTCAATTCAAAGTTTCTTCCACTTTTTTTTTTTTTTTTTTTTTTCCACCATTTCAGGTTACTTATTTGCAAATGGAAAAAGTTCACACTTCAAAAAAAAAAAAAAAAAATCTTGCGTAAAAATTGATTTTAAGTGATTTCCTCACCGGCCTTTTGATTTGGCCCTATTCGACGCTGTTTTCTGTTAAATGAAAAATATGCACATATATATGCATACATATAAGCATACATATAAGCATACATATAATCATACATATGTGCATTTTTCCCCCCACTCCTTTTGCAACTATTTTTTTTAGCTTATCCCTCTAACCCTGACACAAGCAAATGTGACATATAAAAAGTTGTGCAGGTTAATTTCTCCCTCGGGTAAACTGAGATGAGATCTTTGAAATGGTTCTGCGACACAGAGAAGTTTTTTTGCTGCTTCATTTTTAACACCTCTTTTTTAACAATTTTTTTTTTTTTTCTTTTTTTTTCCCACCTTTGCTCATGACCAACACACGCCTTGGGAGTGACTCTTATCTGATACTCGGTACAAGCCACTACAACAGCATTTTTTATTTACTTTTTTTTTTTTTATTACATTCCTCCTCTCCTCCTTTTTTTGAAAAGTTTTGTTTCATGCCCTTGTCATTTTGTTCTATTTCATGTGCCATATCATGCACTAGAAAAAAAGATGACAAATTTGTTTATGAAATGTTTTTAAGTTTTTCAGGAAAAAAAAATATGTACTATCGAATTATTCCCTAAATTTTACATAAAATAACTGAATAGTGAATCTCCTTTTTTTTTTTTTTTTCGCTTAATGTAACCATTTACTTTTAATTAATCATTCTTATATTTGTCGTAACTGTACATAAAGAAAAAAAAAAAAAAAAAAAAAAGAACACCTCGACATGATACAAAATAATACTCTTTTGCGGAGTATTGATTTTTTTGATATCTCCTTGAGGTCCCATCTTTAACAGTCTGATTTCTTCTTCACATAATCCATGTGTACATAATAGCCCGATAGTATTTTTACTAATCCGTTTTCATTTTATTTACTTTATTTTTTTTATTTTTATTTTATTTTATTTTTTTTTAAAACAGCTATTAATTGAAAGTTGGTAGTGGCGATGAACACTTACGCATAAATTCACTGCGAATATCTTCGACATTTGTGCAGTGTGGCATCTGGTTTGTATGGGTACACCTCAGCTGATTATTGGTTACTTCTAAGCTGATTATTGGTTTTGTCTAAGCTGACTCTTGGTTTTGTCTAAGCTGACTCTTGGTTTTGTCTAAGCTGACTCTTGGTTTTGTCTAAGCTGACTCTTGGTTTTGTCTAAGCTGACTCTTGGTTTTGTCTAAGCTGATTTTTTGCTGTTTCTAAACTGTTTATTGGTTCCTTTTCAAGGACATGCCATCAATTTGTTGAGGCTCATTTACACGAATATTTTCTCAATTTACCTAGATATAATCCCAACCCCTTAGAAGTATTCTCAATCGTGCGAAGGAGATTTTAATCCGTTTGAAAATTTTGCCTTAACAAGCTGATGTACAAGCACAGCAACATACAGAAACAGTAAGTAACACTACGCAACTCGTGTAGGGTGAGAAGTATCTTGGGGTTCCTCAGCCGGATGATGGAGGAGAGTAAGCCCAAATGCAACATCAAACTTAAAAAAAGCGACAGTGAAAATAACAACAAGAAGAGAAAGACATTAAACATATTCGAAAATGTGCGTTGTGACAATTCTGAAAGAAAAGATAATAAAGAAGAAGAAGATGTATCATTAGTTAGAAAAGCACATAAAATTAGGAGTATAAGAAATGGAGAAATTATAACTGAACCAAGTAACGAATTTGAGAAATATATAGATCAAGCAAGCTCCCGCTTTATCCACAACTTGCAGAATAAAATAAATCGAATCCAAAATAAGAACATTGTTTATTTAAATTTTCCACAAAAGTGGAGAGCAAAGGAAAGAACCCAACCAGCTAAAAACCAGCATGACTTAGAAATTACCCACATTAGCAAAACGATATCTAATGTGGAAGATAAAATTGCTGCAGGGGTGTCAGAAAAAGATGCAATCGGGATCGAAGGAAGTGCATCTAATGAATCGCTAACATGTTTAATGGATAGACAGAAAAGTAAAGAAAGGAAAAGGGGTGAAGTGGGAGAAGTGGAAAAAGTGGAAGAAGCGGATGTGGAAAAATCCAACGGAGAAACAGATGACGAAGCAGAACTAGTAGCCGATTTCTATAAGAACCCAAAAAAAAGTGAAGATATGCACAAGTATAACATCACGGAAGGAAACCTAACATATAAGAGAAAAATGTTCCTAGATAAATTCAGAAAAATCGAAAAGGAATCCATTTTTAGAAAAGAAATGAATATGTATACAGATTTTGATGAACATAACATCGAAATTGAGGATTACGGGAAAAAAATTTTATCCAAAATGGGATATAACGAAGATATTTACAACAAGTACATAAATGAGTACTACAAGGAGTGCAGTGACAAGAATTATTTTGATAAAATTTATGAAAACTTTCATTCTCGAGATTTTAGATTCACTGGAGTCGGTGCAGAGGAAGAGATGAAGGAGAACTTGCAGCGGATCAGGGAGCATGAAGCAGAGGATGCAAGGAGTAGAAGTGGGTTAAGGAGCGAGAGTAGACGTGGTGATAGGAGCGGGTTAAGAAGCGAGAGTAGATGTGGTGATAGAAGCGGGCTAAGAAGCGAGAGTAGATGTGGTGATAGAAACGGGTTAAGAAGCGAGAGTAGATGTGGTGATAGAAGCGGGCTAAGAAGCGAGAGTAGATGTGGTGATAGAAGCGGGCTAAGAAGCGAGAGTAGATGTGGTGATAGAAGCGGGCTAAGAAGCGAGAGTAGATGTGGTGATAGAAGCGGGCTAAGAAGCGAGAGTAGAAGTGATCGCATGGGTGGACGAGAAAGGGTGAAGATTGGAAGCAAAGACGACAATAGAGAGCACGAGGATGGAGTAAGGGGGAGGAGAAAAGATAAGGAAAGGAGGTGTGATGAAATGAGATACAGAGATCACAGCCCGAAGGAGATTTCTAATTATGAAAAGTATGATAATATGTTCGAAGGACTGATAGTAAAAATAAATTTAAAGGTACATGAGTTCTACAGAAGAAAGGGGATCATAATATACAAGAAAAAAAGGAGGAAGAATAAGAACAGTTGGTGCACCATTCTTGGGTTGTTGATTTTCAAAAATTACAAATATATCAATATTTATAAACAAATGGTTAAGAAAAAAATAAAGGATTTTTTATCGTGGAAGATGAAAAGAAAAATGACACAAAGGAAAGAAAGTGACGAAAGTGAAGCAAATGATCAAAGTGAAGAATGCAGCGAAAGTGAAGAATGCAACCAAAGTGATGAACACGCATGTAGAGGCGAGAACATTCAAAATTGTAAAAACTTTTGGAAACGATTTTTGAAAGAATTGATAAAAACAGTTAAACGTGATAATAGTGATAATCATGGGATGATAAAAGGTGAAAAGAAAGAACCATTTTGCATTATCGAAATTAAATCCAAATATGTGGAAACCACCTTAAGTGATGAGACGAGTAAATGCAAAGTGGTACATAGAAATATTTATAACTCGAAAAAAAATACATCTCTGTATAAACAAACAGTCAAATTGAAGAAATTAAAACAGAAGTATGCTTATGTACAAATAGAAGATAACCATATTCTGAAGGTTTCTCTAGATGATATTTGTCAATATATATAAAAGTCATGTGTGAGTGTAGTTAATTTTTTTCTTATCACTTAGGTTTTTGTCTTTTGCACCCTTTTGTCTTACCTTTTTTTTTTTTTTTTTTTTTTTTCCTCAGAAGTTTTAGTATTCCTAATCTGTTTTAAACCCTTTTATTAAAAAGGAAGTAAACAAACATATTTTTACTGCCAAATTTTTGTAAGATTATTTTTATTTTTTTTTTAAATAAACTTTTAACAACACACACTGAAAATATTTTCAATGGATAGAAGAGTGTGTCTAATACAGAATGTTACGACATTTATAAGCATCTGATATGTCTCATCATCTGGGCACTCCTTTTCAAAACTCCTCTGATGTGTATGTCTAATTTCATTTAAAAGAAAAATTCAAAAACTTTTTTTTTTTTATGCCATACAATCAGCACATTATCTTACCAAAAATTTCTTTTTGTAACACTTTACAATGACATGATTTAAAAGGGAAAATGTGTTTGTGCAGATGGTGTAGATAAGTATATGTAAATTTATGAATGTGTACATTTACATGAATTTACACCTTGTGTATATTCAATCTTACCATTGCACGTATGCAACTAGAATCGGAAAGTCAGAATCTTCTAAAACAGACAACCTTGGTAATTAAAATTCTAGAGGAGCGTTGAGTATTTTTTTTTTCACGCACACAAATCGGTAAACAGAGGTAGAACCTGGGAAACATGTTGGTACAGGAAGAAGTAGAGGGCGGCTAAAAAAGAGAAGAAGGGGAGAAAAAACGGAGAAAAAAAAAGGGAAAAAAAAAAGAGAGAAAAAAAGGAGAGAAAAAAAAAAGAGAAAAAAAAGAGAGAAAAAAAGGAGAGAAAAAAAAGAGAGAAAAAAATTCGATCAGCTTCCAACAGGTGAAAGAAGCTGTTTTAACTGCATAGGCTTATCCATTAGGAGGAAGTACTCAGCAGATGTGGTTACGAGTAAATGTGGGAATAAGTGCTTTCACGCAAACGGAACTGACGTAGCGTGTGCAACAGCATAATCAGTAAAATCACAATTAGCTCAAACTACACTAAGATAGGTACATATATATATATATATATATATATATATATATATATCCTTAACAATGTAGAACAATGTACACAAAAATGAGCCGAGATGTGCAAGTAAATGAAACAAAATCTAGCACAGCGACACGGCATAAAATTGAGAGAAACATTCTTATAAGTCTCACTCATTTGGACAAAAAAAAAAAAAAAAAAATGAACAAGAAAGAGGAAAACGGAAGAATATTATTATCATGGAAAATAGCACCATACTGAATATTTTCCTCATCCTCACACACCCTAGCTTGATCACTCAATGCAGACGGTTTTAATTATGGAGAAGCGCACTCACATTACTGTGTAAGTTTAAGTATATATGTGAATACATACATGCGTACGTACATACGTACGTACGTGAACACATATGTGAGGCTCAAAATTGGACGCAGGGAAGAAAAATAGGAAATGAATGGACAGACTAAAAAGGTAAAAGATAAATGCACATTTTATTATATACATTTCTTTTTCTCTCATTTATTTTAAAAAAAAAGCGATTCGGAAAATAACAATTCGGAAAATAACAATTTTCACGATAAAAAGGATTTCTTCATTTTGATCAATTTTTTTTCTATTTTCATTCTATTCAGAATTAAGGGTAATTTCTGAAATGTCATTTGTCTCCCTTGTTGTATATACCATTCTACATCATCATAATTTGACACACTTATTAGTTTGAAGTGCTTTAGGTATAGACGTTTCGGGTGCAGTGTTATATCTCCATTGTAATTCTGAAATGATACGCGGATGAAAAAAAAAAAAAAAAAAAAAAAAAAAAAAAAGGAAAATGGGGGAATGCACAATTGTGTACAGTTCTTCCATTTTGCACGCACGTTCCACGTGCATATGCTACACAAAATGATACTCAAAGTATCACTCGACGTGGAAAAGTTTCCTCCAAAGGTGACTTCGCTTGTTCACGTGAATGTCAATCGATCCCGATTTGCCTTACCTGCATTGCAATCGACCCTGCGTTGAGTCCTCTAATGGTGGGAGATAAATCTAGCAAAGCCATGAGTCTTAAAATGTATCTCATATTTTCTTTAAATAATATTTCCATAGATGACATTAAAAAACCTGCTCTCCAATGCCCTGAATTTCCTCTCCATTTGACGGGTTTTCCAGCTTCACCATGAACCCTAACTCCAGTAAAAGGAAACACATGCGGATTCACTTGTGAAACAATTTTATATTTGACAGATAAAATTTGATTAAGATTGTGTGCAGGAATATCACTCTTCAAAGAACCATCATGGAAATATGTGTTCTTAAACTGTACACTGTTTATAATTGTATATTTCTCGTCTAGTAAATTTATATTTTTATTTTCATTCATATCGATACACTCGCTTCCTTTGTTCCTTAAACCATCGTAATCCAAATTCCCCTCTTTATATGTACCACTTTTGAAATTCCTTCTCTCAGTGTTATGTTCTCGGGTTGCTATCCCCTTACTTTTTTCTTTTTTATCTGAACGGTCACTAACATGTTGCATTTGGTCTGGGTTCTTCCTTTTGACGTGGCTAATGCAGTTCACATTGTCTACCTCAGCTACATTGTCTACCTCAGCTACATTGTCTACCTCAGCTACATTGTCTACCTCAGCTACATTGTCTACCTCAGCTACATTGTCTACCTCAGCTACATTGTCTACCTCAGCTACATTGTCTACCTCAGCTACATTGTCTACCTCAGCTACATTGTCTACCTCAGCTACATTGTCTACCTCATCCACACTGTCTACCTCATCCACATTGTCTACCTCATCCACACTGTCTGCATCGCTCGCACAAATCAGAGAACTAAAATCGCTAGCTACATCTATGCTTTTCTTTTTCCCTTTTAAGATATTTTCAAACTCTTCCTTTTTCTCGCCTCGTGTGGCTATTTCATCCTCTTGCTTCAATTTGTGTAGCCCAAGTTGATGAGTCTTAACCTTTTGGGAAATATTTTCCTTATAATACATTTCATTCTTCATTTTTATGTCCGTCGTTACTCCAGTGGAATTCACCTTTTTGTCTATCCGAAGATATTTGTCTTTTGCTTTATTCTGTCTGTCCTTATGGTTATTCCACTTTTCTGATGCATTTGATTTGGTCTCCTTTTCGGACAATTCGCTTGATTCGTTAGGCTCGATTTGTTCACTAGATCCACATACAACACTCAGTCTAGTAGACTCTTTTTCTGCCTTACCCCAATTGCTCTTCTGATTAATAGCACTATTGCTGTTAAGAATAAGTTTGGCATTACTAACCTCCTTAATGGACATAAGTCTGTACACATTTTCCTTATTATATTTTTTTTCTAATAATTTGAATGGTTGTAAGAGGTATGGGAATGAGCAGCTAGCCAAAACAGCGCTGTAAATCAATACATTAGGAGAGTTCATATAATTTAGAACCATATGACCATCTTCATCACATGAGAAATTATTATTTCCTGATTCAGCTCTTGTAACAGTAATATTTAAAACTAAATTTGTTTTTATAAAAGCTTCTAAAAATGTTACATCTCCATATAAATTATGAATTAATGTTACAATCTTGTCTATATCATAAAAATTACCTTTTTTATATATATTAAAAAATGAGTACATCCAATTTTCCGAAGAGAAACACGATACAATATTGTAAATAAATTCAATATTAAATTCTTCTAACAATTCTTTGTTTGTTCTTGAACAAACCCAAGCTGCTATAATACTTCCTGCTGAGGTTCCACAAATTATTTGTGGTAGTATATTATCTTCAAAATTGGGGACAAAATTATTTTTTCCACTTTTTGACAAAAGTTTATTATTCTTCTGATTCAATGTGAAACGATTTCTACTCACTTTATCATCTCCATTTTCCCCTCTCCTATCATAACTGACTTTCCTCATACCATTCCCTTTTCGATCATTCAGCTTATGCGTCTGTGTATTGTTGGATCTCTGCCAACTGGGGTTACATCTCTCCTCATTCTGTTCCTCTTGAATGGTTCCTTTTCCTTTGTTTCTGTGTCCGCTACTGTCACTACTGCCGCTACTGCCACTACTGCCGCTACTCCCCCTAACATGGTTAATGCCCTTTTTATAACTTTCATTGTCGATTACACCTTTGCTCCAGATTCGATCTGCTTCTACTTGTTCATACCTAGAAGGGCCCAAATCAAGATCACTCAGAGAGGAACTGCTACTACTGAGGGAGTAATCATTGGTTTTCTCTTTCCCGGATGGAAAGTTTCTCAAAGTCTTCATTTCATCCTTTGATATATTCATCATTTGGGCATGTCCCGAATGTTCTTTACTTTTCTTAGGACTAAAAAAAAAATTTTTAATTAACTCTATCTTACTCGTCTTCTCTTTAGGAACAAAAAAATTGGAAGTCTTTTCCTTCTCTTTCTCAATCTTTCCTTTTGCTTGTTTGGTTCGCTGCATATTGGATCTCCCTTCAGATGCAGGACCTGCATTATTTTTTATGTTATATCTTTTATTAACATTTTCCACATGTTGTAACTTTTTTCCTTGAACGTGTTTTTCTTTCTTATCCACTTCTTGATGATTCACATAAGAATCTGTATTATTCACAGCACAAGTAGTGTACATAGTTTTTTCTCTTGAACAGAATGAAAATTCCTCAAAATAATTTATATTAATAGATGATTTTAAAAAAACTTCCAAAACACCAAAGTGATGTAAGCCCAAAATAGCTCCTCCACTAAGAAACAAGGCAGTATTCCCCCATTGTCGAAAAATGTCTTTAAAAAACTTTTTAATTAATAAATATTCATCTGAATAGATATAATTGAAATTATTTTCTTTCTGTTGTTGCACATAACTTTCGATAAAATCCAATCCACTCATAACATGAGTAATAAAATTTGTAACTATAATATGTGGTGTTGAATAGGTTTTACAATAATACTTTTCTTGAAAAATCGCTTTTATAGTTGGAGAGGTAGCAATTTTTACATCTTCCAAAAGACGTAATACATCATTGTTTCTTAAATTCTTCCTTATCCTTTGTGTAGTTTTTTTTAATAAATTTACATCATACATGTTTATATAATCATCATTCTCGTTTATATGCACAGTTTTTCCAGTTAGTTCATCCATTCGGTATGCATATTTTATGTAATCCTTATAACTATTACATGATCGCATCAATCGATCGATTTTGAATATGCTTTCATATTTCTCATGGAACTCATTTTGTTCTTTCTCTCTCTGTTCATACTTATTCTTTTGAATTGTTTTTTTCCATTTCCCTACATATATGCATCTTCTCCATCCATCATTTGTTTTCTTTCTAACGCATCTACAAAAATCCGTATACTTGGTTATTATGAAAAATGATATATTTTCAAAAATAAATATGAAAAACCTTATTAACACATATATAAACGCATTTAATGAAAATACAATCATCAAGATGATGAATATCGGAAGTTTCAAGAAGTAGTGACTGCTTAGCTTGTCATATCCCAACTTTTTTTTCTTTTTCTTTCTGTTTTTTTTTAAGGAATCTAGACTAAATTCGGGTGTTTTCATCGTGTCCTGTCATGTGCCGACAATTCCGTGGGGGTATATACATGTGCATATATGCATATACATATATACGTGGATATTTTCTTGTGTACATATTAATGTATACATGTGTTAAATGGAGCTTGTGTCTATGTAAAACATGCACACACACAAATGTACATCCAAGTCACGTGTACTCATTATTTCTCTATGCAGTACATAATTGCGAATGTGCTCGGATCATATAACATGCTCGTGGTCATTAGACACTAAGTGCAGCTCGGAGGTGGGTGTATATTATGAAGTGCTCATATATTCGGAGGTGGATGCCGATGTTTTTTTTTTTTTTTTTTTTTTTCTTTACTATGAGAAAGTGCTGTATGTAGGGGGGGTAATATGTACTGTTATATCGTAAATCGGTGCAAAACAAAAAAAAATGGTAAAAATAACACTTTACTAAACATAATATACTTGAAACGAAAAAAATGAATTCAAAAATTTTGAGCCTTGTTAGATACATATGAATTATCTGAGAAAACAAGAAACAACCTTGACAAAGGTGTAATGAAAACGGTTTTCTTGATACAAAAAATGAAAGGAAATAGAGAAAAAAAAAAAAAAAAAAATGGAAAGTGAGCGGAAAAGTAAAAGGACAACAAAACCGGAAGGAAATTCAACAAGAAATGAAAAATAAAAAACAAAAGGCAAAATGGGGGAAAAATCACCTACATATAATTTCTATGCTTAAAAATTCTCCCTTAGAATCACTTTTAAACAGGCAACCTGTGCATATATATTGATATTCATACATACATACGTGCGACGAACTTAATTATGTATTCAAATTACTCTCAACTTGCAAAATCGGTACGACGTTGTATGTATGCTTTATGTACATACATACACAAATACATACATAAATGGATACACTTTTTACGCACACATGTGCTGTGTTTGTATACTTCTTGCGAAACGATGCTGTATTGCAAATCTTGAAAAGGAAAGTACTGTTCTAGAGCTTATGTATGCATGTTCCTGAATCTTATGTATACCTTCCCATATATACAATAAAATACCTTAGGGGAATAACTGTTAGGGAAAGGGCGCTCATTTGTAAACGTCTTCTGATGGTAAAGGCTTAAAAAAATAATTCCCTCACTATACTGAGGCGACGACAAAAAAATGGAGAAAAGGAAAAATAAAGAAACAAAAAAAAAAAAAAAAAAAAAAAAAAAAAAAAAAAAAAAAACAAAAAAAAAAAGGAAAAAAAAAAAAAAAAAAAAAAAATAAAATAAAATAAATAAAAAGAGCAGCAAATAGGTTAGGATGAAGTAAACCCAATTAAAGCAAGTTAGGAATTGATATGAATCCAAAAGAGTTGAATTCAAATGGTGAAAAAACGAAAAAAAAAAAAAAAAAAAAAAAAGGACATAAATACACAAGTTGCCAAGAAGTAAAAAAATCAAATGGCAAAACTAATATGCATTTTTAAGCAGCAAATTCAATAACACAACACATGTCATAATAAATTCCCAACACAGTTGACTTTAAAAAGAAAAACGTATTTCATCACTTGTAATGTTATACTCATGAGCGTACATGGTTCATAAAATTATGTGTATATTTATTTTTTTTTTTTAATTTTGGGCTGATGATATATGTGATATCGTACGCCTGGAGTAAATAAATCCACATGACAAGTTGACAATAAACTATCATATGTGTAGACCTCCTGTTCCCCACAAAATAAGTCAAATGGAACACAGTTAAATGCGAATCGATGAAATTTTTCCAATGTGGGAGGGGTGGGGAAAGTTCGAGAATATGTTATGAGCATAGGGAATGGTTTAGAGGTAGTGCTGCACGCAAAATTCTTATTTCTTGCAACCGTGGACGGGAATTTATTTTAACATAACTATTAAAGTTTTTTCACTCTTTCACTTTTCCCCATACGTGTGGTCAAATTAATTGATGTGTTGTAGGACGCAGGGGGGTGGGGGGGGTTCCAAATGTTTTACATATCATCTTCTTGAGGCAAAAAAAAAAAAAATACACGATTACACAATTATGTGATCACACAATTATGCAATCACACAATTATGCGATCACACAATTATGCGATTACACAATTATGCGATTACACAATTACGTTATTACACGATTGCGCGGTCACACGATTGCACGATCGCGCGGTTACACGACTGAACGATTGCATGCCTACACTTATATACATGTACTTACATACGAACGTATGCATATATAAAAGTACTCATAAAGTATGCCCTCCTAGCAATTTCCTAAGAACGCATGTCTGAAAAAGAGGGGGAAAATTCAAAAATAATTCACAAGATGTACAACGAAAAAATGTGATAAAATAAATAAATAAAGCAAATAAATATATAAATAAAAATTGGCAGTTTTTAGTGTTTGCTGCGATATTTTTTTCGAGCGTCACACATAATAACCCATCGCATTTTTCAAATCAAAAGGCGAAAAAAGAAAAACAAAAATATGTATTACTTTTGCATATCTTTAATCTCCCCACTATGTGTGTGGAGTTATTTTGTTTTCCATTTAATTTTCCCTTTCCTTTTCCACCTCATTTTCTGTTATGTTTTTCCTCTTCCATTTTTTACTTATATGCATGTATTCGTCTGCTACATTAATACTATATTTTTTTTTTTTTTTTTTTTTTTTTTTGTTCATATGTTCAGGCAACTCGTACATTTTTGCACTTAGCTAAAATAAATGTTATCTTTATCGTTATCGTGAAATTTTCTACGATGAGTAACCACAAGATGTATCATAAAAGATACTCCTTTTGAATAAACTTTGATTACCACGTATGTTCAATCGTGCCTGTAAATATTGTGTGGGAATATTCTAAATCCGTTGTAGCATATATGCAAAAAAAAAAAAAAAAAAAAAAAAAAGGTACCTTGCTTGGGGGTCAGGCATTGTACTCTTTTCATAAAATCATAATTGTGTGTGATTATGGATACTAATTAGAATTACTTCTTCACCTGTTTATTATGTGTATACCCTTTGCATGTCACCATTTTTTGGTCATACAATGGAACCTTTAAAACGATAGATAGAAAGTTGTAATGGAATAAGTAACCACCGCTACCATCGGCTTGTTCCTGCTTTCAACTGAACTAACCCTTTTATATGCATTTAACTTTTTTTTTTTTTTTTTTTTTTAACCCACGTGTCAGACACATAAAATATGTAGTTGCTCATAATTGAAACTTTTCTGGGTATATGCAAATATGATCCTACTCTGTGTGGGTAAAAACAACATCACTCGGTCATGTATACACATATATATGTATATACATATATACACGTCGTCACATGGGCCATAATTAAAAGGAAAAACAAAATGGTAGTTTACCAAATTCAGCAAATGATGATAGGCCATTTAGACATTCCGTAAAGTCTCATAAGCCATATAACATTAAAGTTAACTATAATTGTGAGTATTTTCCTCCTCTATGTGTTCTCTCAATCATTTCTGCCACGTCAAAGCAGCGAACTATAAATTACTTACACTTTATTTATCCATAAAAATTAAAAAAAAATAAATAAAAGGAAAAAGGATTCAGAGGTTATACAATAACTACTATTGCAACTTCATCATGGAAAAAATACTTACGATCCTTGTGCTACTCAAAATGGCATCCTTAAGTGATTTTTTCCACGTGTTATAAAGTAATGGAGCATATTTGTCAAAGCACATGTACATGTGAAGGCGAATATAAGAACAACCTACCAGGTGCAACTCAAATTCATTTAAAATCAATAATTGTAGGATGAATTTTCTATCTGTCATAAGATGAACTGTATATTCCTCGTGTGTGCCTGTGTGGACGCGTCTGTTTCTGTGTGTTTCATGTGGATACATAAATAAGGACATACACAAATGATCTCTTATTAACAATCGCTTAATTCATGTATAAATATGACTGATCATGTGCCCCCCTATGTAACCTATCTGTATATATTATATATTATGTCACAGGGGAAAAATTGTTCGATTTCATTACTTCGCACACCGTTGAGAATGTGTGCAAATGGATAACACAGATTTATGTCCACTATTAACAAGAGGTATTTTTATGAGCTTATTCTTGTGAGATATAAAATGGAAAAAGTGTGCATATGTTTGGTGGCACTTTTGCAGGTTCCTCGTAATGCTGAGGATGGAGAAAAAAGCATACCCCTCACCACCCCCCCTCAAGTGCAAAATAACGTGTTTCATAAAACGGGTGGTAGGTATGCATATAATTGGCCTCCCATAGCAGAGCAAGTCATATATATATACATAGAAACGATCGGCATAGGTACAAAAGCGACATGCAAAGGATGAACTAATATGTCGGAAATTTTCAGGCGGAACCAAGGCCTCGTGGATATACACGAATTGTGCCAAGTTGTAACGATGGCCAGTGTAAACATGCCTTAAATAAAGGCATGAGAATGTATGAATGTACATATATATATATATATATATATACATATACATGCACATGTATATTTTTTTTTTTTTCGAATACTTTTTTGGTATTTAATATATGAACATTTGCAACCTCCTATTCCTATATGCGTTTTTTGTAAAACCAAAAAATGAAGCGCACGAAATATTTTTATTTTTTTAAGAGAATATCATTATTGTATAATATGGAGTAAATTATATGTATCCACTATTTTCTTTTTTTTTTTTTTTTTTTTTTTTTTTATTTTTTTCCCACATTCTTTTCTCCGTAGGATTTCAAATTTCTTCCTCGTTTTAAGCAAAAGAAAAATGAAAAATCAGTTAGCCTCATTTTAATGCCTCTTCATCCTCATGTAACATATACTTTTTATGTTTTTTTCATTTTTACATTTTTTCATTTTTACATTTTTTCATTTTTTCATTTTTTCATTTTTACATTTTTTCATTTTTACATTTTTTCATTTTTACATTTTTTTATTTTTTCATTTTTTCATTTTCCCCTAAATTAATACATGTATGCGTATATATTTATTATATTAAAGTACATATTTTCGTACGTTTACGTACACGCTTCTCCTCCTGTTTTAATATGTACATACAAAGGCAAGTACATACGAGAGATTTCGTATTACATAGTAAGGTTTTTTTTTTTTTTTTTTGCGCATACACTTTTTTAATTATATATATGAAGGAGAGACTTCCATCTCTCAAAACTACATTCGAGTTTGTGGATCATATTATATCTACAGAGTGCTTGAAGTACATAGGAGAAAAGTACATATGAAGAAAATGCACATGGAGAAAAGTACATATGAAGAAAACACACACCCATATGTACATTTCAAAATAAAATATACGTAATATATATATATCCAGAAAGATATAACATACAGAAGAAGGCGCACTCTTCACGATCTCCAGCAACTCTGTGTTCCTAGCAACAACACAAAGTAACTTTAATATAAACCCCCCCCATCGATTTGTCATGTTTTAAACACTTTCCCAAAGGATAAGATTATAAAATAAGTCAAAAAAAAAAACAAACGAACGAAAGAAGATATATAGAAAAAATAGCCTAACAAAAAAAACATACAGAAAAAATTGCCTAACAAACGAAGAAACAAAAATACGGCAAAACAAAATGGAACAAATGAATATAGATCAAGTGAATCACGAGAAGGGGAAAAATGACGGTGGAAATTTCAAGGTCCCAGTTGACGACATAAATAGTATCGATAAGGAGTTTAGCGATTTACAGAAATTGAAGGTTAGAATCTTCGAGTTTTACTTTTCTCTATCTCGTCCATTACATAATATGATGGCTTCATTTTTCTGCATTTATCTTTTTTCATTTTGAATTATGTTTTTTTTTTTTGTTTTTTTTCTTTTTTCTTTTCCTATGTCATTCGTCACACTAATATCTATGCTTTGCAATGATAGATATGTTGTTTCAAGCGAATGATGAGTGTTGTATGTACAAGAAGATGGATTGCACATCATATTTGCTGTTTTTTTGTTTGTTCTTTTATCAATTCTCAGAAATCACCTTTTTCTTTATTTTTTTTTTTTCAATTTCCTATTTGCATATCAATCCTTTCCTCTTGTGTAGATGATGAACGAAGGCGCAGAGATGCAAATGAACCAGTCAGGTGGTCTCGATTCTCATGAGATGGAACAGGAGGAAATAAACAATCGATCCATTTTTGTGGGAAATGTAAAAATCAAAAAGGAGTCAAAAAAAAAAAAAAAAAAAAAAAGGGATCTCATGTTATCCTATGAACATATCCAATAGTGTGAAAATTGGAACGCTCGTTTAACTACATTTCTTATCCTCTTATAACCACCATCATCCCATTCACAGTCTTTTTATTTTCACCTTTTTTTTTTTTTTTTTTTTTTTTTTTTTTTCACATTCGCATTTATACTATATCCTATTTCGCATCACTTTTTGGATTTCATTTTCCCCCCTTATGATATATTCAGGTGGACTATTCTACCCAGCCAGAAGAACTTCAATCTCTCTTTTCTGAATGTGGTCTTATAAATAGAGTAACTATTTTAGTGAATAAGAATACTGGGCATTCAAAGGGGTAATAGAGATTTATCGTAATTTTCTTTTTCTTTTTTTTTTTTTTACCATGCTTTATTTGTGTATATATGTGCATATGTACTTATGTGTATGCGCTTGTGAACCGACATGTCAGACAAGTTTTGCATCTTTTCATACAACACACGTGTGCACATATATCTTAACCCCTTTACATCCACTCAGATATGCATACATCGAATTTGCCGATGCGTCTTCCGTACGAACTGCCTTATCCCTTTCTGAATCCTTTTTTAAGAAAAGGCAAATTAAGGTATGCGCTGGATGTTCAGATATTTTTATTCAGCCGTTCTTCCATTTGAGTCTATGTCTCAGTTGTTAACTGAGGCTGTAGAACTAAGCTGGTACTTTGGGCCTTTTAGCTTGTGCCCACGTCTTTTGGTGAACTCGAAGCGAACGACACAAACGATGCAAGCGATGAAAACGACTCAGCACATATATGCCATTATATGCCCAGAAAATGTATAAAATATTTTTTTATTCTCCTTTCAAATCACAACAGGTTTGCAGTAAAAGACGAAATATCCCAGGATTCAATCGACCCAAAATTAGTCCATTTAGGGGGCGATCAATGAAACCAAGTTTGGGCCCAAGAGGGAGGTATATATACATACACATATCTAAAATGACAAAAAAAAAAAAAAAAAAGAACAAAAAAAAATTGGAAATTATTTAAGGATAGAAAACCATTTTTATGTTTGTCCACACATTTAGTGATAAAGTTGATTGTATATATTTTTGGCCCTTCCAAAGTGTGAACATATATATATATATATATATATATATATATATATATATATATATATATATATATATATATATATATACGTATATGTTCATATATATGTGAATGTGTATAGAGCAGATATACTGAGACATATTTTAAGAGCATATGTATTGGGGTTCCTTATCGTTCATACTATTTCATTGTTACAATAAATGCCCTTCACTTTTTGTAGACTTAGACAACCAAGCTTTAGACCATTTTATAGAGGAAGAGGATCATACAAGAAAATCGTTACTAATCCTTACGAACGAGCATAAATTAGTTTGGTAGCTCTACCCACCCCACCCCCTCATTTTGTAGTGTTTTCAATTTTTTTTTTATTTTTTTAAAAAACATACCCACTTTATATTCATACATATATATACCCTTATATATGTATGTATTTGCACGACGCTTCACGCTTTCCCCCACCCCCCTTTTTTTTTTTTTTTTTTTTTTCTTTTTATTTTTTAAGTATCCATATTTGCATTTCCACGCGATTACTTAAAATGAAAAGTGAAAAATAAAAAGTAAAAAAATATATAAGATTAAATAATAATAAGAAATATGAACAAATAAGAACAAATAAGAATAAAAAGGGGAAAAAATATTAATTAAAAATGGAAAAAAATATATTAATTAAAAAGGGAAAAAAAAAATATTAATTAAAAAGGGAAAAAAAAAATATTAATTAAAAAGGGAAAAAAAAAATATTAATTAAAAAGGGAAAAAAATATATTAATTAAAAAGGGAAAAAAAAATATTAATAAAAAAGGAAAAAAAAAATATTAATAACACATCATCGTTCCTCGCCCCCTTCATCACATGCACTCTCGATTAAGGATGTTACAAACACCCCTTGTGCATTCATATTAATGAACCTGAGTATCTTTGCGTTTGCAACTATATTTGAGGTTTATCGTTTGATTCGTTTAATTTTTTTTTTTTTTTTTTTTTTATTGTTGCTGTGACAATTTATAATTTTTTCATTTCATTTTCTCGTCTTTTTCATTTTCACCGTCTTTTCAAAGCATCCAGTTTTATCAACATGCACACGAAACGAGATACTCATACATTGCTCATGCGTGTCTGTAGACACCCTGTTTTTGTGTGCACCTATGCATTCTGAATATTTTGAATGATAAAAGGTGTTTTTTTTTTTTTTTTTTTTTTTTTTTTTTTTCTTTTACCTTTTCCATTATGCATAAGTTATCTATTTCATATTACTTTTTTTTTTTTTTTTTTTTTTTGGGGCGGGAGACCCCAATCCTCCTTTCTTATTACACACATGTGTTTAAATTCGCATGTATGTAAATAAGGGTTACAACACATGTGTTCATCTATTAAATATATGTACATCATGCTTAACAACACTTTTAAGCATCAAATATGGGTGTTTTTTTATTTTTTTTATTTTTGCATATATTTATGTCACGAGTTAAAAAAAAAAAAAAAAAAAAAAGCCAAATGGCTGAATAGCCAAATGACGGAATGGCAAAGATGACCGAATGGCAAAGATGACCGAATGGCAAATTCTTCGAGTAGAGTTACAACGATTTTATCAGAAGCCTTGCTTTCCACATAGAACTAAAAAAAAATCGTGGCAAAAGGAAGAATGTTGCAGAACAATCACAAAAGAATAACAAGTTTGCTGTGTATGTTCTCTGACCTATATCAAGGGTGCAACACGATTAATTTCTTTCTCGGTGTTTGAGATACGAGTCTTCATTTGTTCTTTTCTGTCCTGTTATGTTCTGTTTTCTCTTATTATTTTTATTTTTTGTTTTACTCTATTTCGTGCGCATTTTAATGCGATTTTATTACCTCCTTCCTCCTGTGGTGAATTTTTTAAAGCTTCAATTGAAATCTCATAACATTGAAGACGTGTTTTGTTTTGCAGATTTGGAAAGAGTTCCAATGTGCCATTTTTTTTTTTTTTTTTTCTTAAAATATGTGCACATATTTTTTATAAACACAGTTTATACGAGGACTTTACTCTTACATCTTACGCTTTGACAATTTTTGTCTATTTATGTATTTTTCCAAAAGGAAATTAAAGAAGACTTAAATCTGAGATATTACATTGTCACATTTGAAGTGTTTCTCTTTTGTAGTGGACATTTGCTTACCGAATAAAAAAAATGCACAAAGAAAAACGCAAAAAATAAAGCACACAGAAAAACGCAAAAATAAAACACAAAATGATAAAACACAATGGGGTAAATTTCTCATTTTCTTTCATGCATAGCCGAACCTTATACATGCTATAATTTTTTTTTTTTTTTTTTTTTTTTTGTAACATGCCTTTTACCAGGTTTTTCTTCTCTGAGAAAAGGCACATGGACGAAGGAGACACATTTGAAAAAATGAGAGTATGGTGCGGGGGAAGGGTGATGGAGGTGTTGTATTAGTTAATGACAATTTAGAAAAAAATATTCTGAAATGATTGAACAATTTTTGTGAAACGATAGGAAAATACAAATAAAATGAGTAGTGGGGACTATTTCCTACATACCTATGTACGTATGTATATATATGTTAACTACGCCTTTGGTTTCTCCCTTCCCCTCATACTTCCCTACTCCTCCTTGATTATTTTAAATGATGTATTTGAAAAAAGAATGAAATTAAAATTGGCGATTTATTTATTTATTTTTTTTTTTTCGTTTTCCCTAGGGGTCTATAAAAAAGTGTGCAGTTTTGTGTGCCTTGATTTGTTATCTACCTCCATTGTGATTGCTCATGTTTAAATATTAGCATATTGAAATATTCAGGTGCTTCAACATTCTCACACGCTCGAAGAATTTTTTTTTTTTTTTTCTCCTTTTTTTCGTGGGCTCATGTAAATTCCCTAACAGTTATTTCTTATACGAGAAAAAACTTACAGCTGAGTTTTCAAAAAAAAAAGTGCACTCCTTTGTGTTATCATTTTGCAGTTCAGAGTTGGAAAAAATAAAATATTAAAGTAAACAACAAATATATAAATAAATAAGTAAAATAAAGCAAATAAACATATCAAAACAATGCAAATACAGCATAGCAAAGCAAAGTGAAGCTAAACAAAGAGCTCAACCCGATGTACAATGTGCACAAGTGCGATACTTGAAAAAAAATGCGTGCAATAGATGATGAGAAATGCCATCAAGAGAGACATGTATGTAGTACTAGGCAGAGAAAATATAAATAGAAGTTCTGAAATTTTGCTCATTTTGGACCGCTTCTATATATATTAATACAAACCTGTTGCGAAGTTCTTTCTCCACCTTCGTATGAGTATTCTGAAATTCATGGAGGTTTTTTGGTACCCTCCTCATTCCCTTCTCCAGAAAAAACATTATACTACTGTCACGTGAATTTTAAGTTTAAGCTTAAAAAGCTTGTGTACACGTGATTTTTTTTTTTTTTTTTTTTTTTTTTTGTAAATGGACACAAGGACAAGTTCCAAAAAAATAAAGAAATTATGAACAAGGCATGTATCAGCATCCTTACCATATGTCGATTCAAGAAGCTTGAAATCTTAAAGAAACGTTTCATAACTAGCGTAGAAGCATTTGCTCATAGCAGAAGAGAAGAAGGAGGACAAGAAGAAGAAGTAATCCAAAAAAGTAGGATTTTTCATAAGTTCATTTCCCATTCAAACAATCAAATAAAATACGCAAGTTTGTGTAAATCTCATCACAGGCTCGGGTCACCTGAGTTATCTATTTCTGAACAGACAATGAATAACGAAAAAAATACAAAAAAAAATTATGAACATGATCTTCCGTCTGAACATGTTAATACAATGACAAATAACGAAATAAAGAATTCAACACATGTTGATGAGAATAACAGTAACTTTCAATATGATTACGATTATGTAGTTATCGGAGGAGGGCCAGGAGGAATGGCATCAGCAAAAGAAGCAGCAGCACATGGGGCTAAGGTTCTTCTATTCGATTATGTTAAACCAAGTAATAAAGGAACCAAATGGGGAATTGGAGGGACTTGTGTTAATGTAGGATGTGTACCAAAGAAATTAATGCATTATGCAGGAAATATGGGTAGTATATTTAAATTAGATTCTAATAAATATGGATGGTCATACAATAATTTAAGACACAATTGGGGGAAGTTAGTTACCACTGTTCAGTCTCATATACGTTCTTTAAATTTTAGCTATATGACAGGACTCAGATCTTCCAAAGTCAAATATATTAATGGATTGGCCAAATTGAAAAATAAAAATACTGTATCTTATTATTTAAAAGGAGATATGTCCAAAGAAGAATTCGTTACATCTAAATATATACTTATTGCAACAGGCTGTAGACCTTATATTCCTGAAGATGTTCAAGGCGCGAAAGAATTGTCCATAACTTCAGATGACATATTTTCTTTAAAGACAGAACCAGGAAAAACACTAGTTGTAGGTGCATCATATGTAGCCTTAGAATGTGCAGGTTTTCTGAATTCATTAGGTTACGACGTCACTGTATCTGTTCGATCCATTGTTTTACGAGGATTTGATTCTCAATGTGCAGAGAAGGTAAAGAATTACATGGAAGAACAAGGGGTTGTTTTTAAGTATGGGGTACTTCCAACAAAATTGTCAAAAGTTGTAGAAAGTGCGGAAAGTGCGCAAAATGTGGAAAAAGTGGAAAAAGTAGAAACAGCAGTAGAATCAGCACCCGAGAGAAGAGAGAAAATTTTGGTCCTTTTCAGTGACGGAACGAGCGATGTGTTCGATTGTGTGATGTATGCAACAGGAAGAAAAGGAGATATAGAACACCTAAATCTTGAACAAATGAACATCAAGGTAAATAAAAATATAAACAAAATTATAACAAATGATGTTAGCTGTACGGATGTACCAAATATTTTTGCTGTGGGAGATGTAGTAGAAAATGTACCTGAACTTGCACCTGTAGCTATTAAAGCAGGAGAAATTTTAGCTAGAAGACTGTTTAAAAAATCGGAAGAAGTTATGGACTATACGTTTGTACCTACATCTATATATACCCCTATTGAATATGGGGCCTGTGGGTATTCAGAAGAAAAAGCATACGAAGTATTTGGAAAATCAAATGTAGAAATATTTCTTCAAGAATTTAACAATTTAGAAATATCTGCAGTCCATAGGGAGAAGCATATTCGAGCACAAAAGGATGAATACGATACAGATGTCAGTAGTATTTGTCTGGCAAAACTTGTTTGTTTAAAAAATGAGGATAATCGGGTTGTTGGATTTCATTATGTTGGTCCAAATGCAGGTGAAGTTACACAAGGAATGGCCCTAGCCTTGAAACTAAAGGCCAAAAAGAGCGACTTTGACAATTGCCTTGGTATTCATCCAACAGATGCAGAATCGTTTATGAACCTGTCCATCACACTGTCGTCTGGCTTATCCTATGCCGCGAAAGGGGGGTGCGGTGGTGGCAAGTGCGGCTAGCTGGAAGAAACTTCTGCCGTGGTGGGGAAGCCGTTCCCTCATTTTTTTTTTTTTTTTCCATCCATTTACCAACGCACGTGTGTACTTAATAATTTACTATTTTATATATATATATGTATATATATTTACATCTATTTTTATTAACTTTTTTTTTTTTCCTTTTTGATATACGTGTGTAACTCTATTTGAAGTCCCAAATGGTCGATCTTCCCCCCTTTACACCATTTTATAACGGCATTATGACGTTAAGTTGGGTCCATGATTCATCCATTGCACGAAAAATTTACATTCAATATGTGATAAATATCACAGAAAACGCTTTAAATGAATATTTTTGAATAGAACACGAGTCGCTAGGTTAACAAATTATTGCACCTCCATCAGCATCCTTTGTATCCCCGTGTGCTTTTTGCACTTGAACGAAAAGTCATATCGTGTTATAATGACTTCGTCATCAAGTTTATTTTTTACATGACTCTGTTAAGGAGAATAGCTCTGTCTTGAATATACGTATCTCAATGTACACCTGTGTACATTTTCAATTTTAGTGTGTAAAAAATTTACAGATCATCATTTTTTTTTTTTTTTTTTTTTTTTTTTTTGTTGGGGGGGGGGTCATAAATTTGGCTAAATAATGTAAAATATTCTGCATGTTCAGGTAAATTTAACCGCGTCATTAGGTAACTAGCCAAAATTTAAAATTCACTCCAAAATGGAGACTCCAATTTAAAGTACATCCACGCCGATTCCTGTAGCTAGTGAGATGATTATAGCTATAGAGAGTAAAATACTCTTACACACAAAAAAAAAAAAAAAAAAAAAGGACCATATTTAATTTCATAAAAAAGTGTAAACTTGTAGGAATAGTAACTAAATGTTTACCACGAAATTGTGTTTAACTTTTTTTTTTTTTTTTTTTTTTTTTTTTTATGGATTCATATTTTCTACATGCACAACATTGATAATTATCCATTTTGAATAGCCCACATGTTCGATGCAATGTTGAGAAATGTAAATAAAGCTCTTACCATATTCTGCTTAGTCATGTAACAATCCTGTACAGCCCTGTCTTACACTTTTTTTTTTTTTTTTTTTTTTTTTTTTCTCTCCTTTTTCTTTCATTTCTGAACTCAACACTATGGTCCTGATACATACAAAAACAACGGAAGAGAAGCACCAATTTATGTACGAAACAAATGTACAAGTTTTAGTTAGACAATTAAAGGATGAACTTATAAAAGTGCATAACCTCAGGTGCAAGCTTCTTAGATTGCTGGACTCATCTTTGCAGCTGGCAAAACATGGCCCTCTGAGACCTGAAGCAATTCGAGGAATGTCCGATGAGGTATAGGTTCAGTGAAAGTGCAAATGGAAGAATAACAAAAAGCGGGAAAAAGAAAAAGGAAAAAAAAAAAAAAAAAAAAAAGAAGAAGAGAAAGAGAAAGAAAAAGGGACGTACGAAGATAAAGGGAGAATTATATCACTATTACAAAAAAGGGACCTTCTTCTGAGAATTTCTAATTGGATACATTCCTTTTTACATATATCAATGATGCATGCATTGATTGCCAGCTGTTTCCCCTAATACATAAGCCTTTTTTTTTTTTTTTTTCCATCCGATTTACGTATAGGAAATGCAAATGACCAACCCAAATATATATGACCCAAATGAAGTTACAAATCCAGATGAAAATAACTTCAGGACAGGGATTCCTCCATCTCCAGAAAATTCACTTAAATTGAGGGAAGTCATTGATAAAGTAAAAGGGGAACTGTATGTCGATCTGGTATAAGAAGAGAAAAAAAAAAAAAAAAAAAAAAAAAAAAATCAGATCTCTTGCACAGGTTGTGAGTGTCCATGTGTTGGTCCACGAATCCATGTATTGAAAATGAGCACTCACTCAGACAGAGAGACAGACAGAGAAACAAACAAGTAGACACCAGTTCGTGTAAAGCATTTCCTAAAGACGCTCACAAGGGCAATTACACATGCTGAAAGTACCCTTGAAAAGTCACTACTCCACTACTTTTTTATAGACGAAAAAATGTACAACCATAAACATGAACAAGTTAAATGAACTTATGAAATTAATAGCAGATGCTTTGAATGCTTGCTATCCATCAATGGAAGGCCTTCCCCCATATGATCCTGCAAGATTAATACTGGAAAATGAAAACGTATTTAAAGATGTAAAATCGAGTGTAGCACGACTCAACTGTAGAACACAGCGCGTGCGCATATACGTGTGTATATGTGTTAAATTATTTATTTTATTTTTTTATTTTTAATTTTATTTCTTTTTCTTTTTTTTTTGAGTGAACTCAGAGGTTGTCTTTCCATTTGAGTGTCTGTTTTGTGTGTCCATATTGACAAACGAGCAATGTTGACTCGTGTGTTATCCAGACGTACGAAACAAACAGAACAAACAAAACATAAAGAAAACATAAAAAAAACATAAAAAAAACATAAAAAAAATATAAAAAATATATAAAAAATATATAAAATAATTTGTGCAGAAAAATGAGCAGACATAAAATTCTCACATAATAAATATCGACACTTTTTTTTTTTTTTTTTTTTTTTTTTTTTCTCTTTCACACGGAACCCATATGCTATCTCCTTCTCAGGATTTCACAACCGAGGAAACATCCATATGGTGGGCAGGAAAAGAACTGTGTACAAGTTCAGAATTACGAAATTATATTGGGAAAAATGAGAAAACTAAAATTATTGTAAAGTTACATCCAACGAAATTGGGACCACCCGAACGTGAAAGAAAAATTGATGAAGAAACGTACAAAGCTATGTTAGCACATTATCACAAAAAAAAAAAAGAAGAAAAAGAATTTGAGGAAGACGATGATGATTCTTATTTAAATTCTGAATGGTCAAATCCTCTTGGTTTGCAGAAATATCTTCATGGAAATTTAACGAATATCAGATGGAAGCCCTAATCACGTTTTTTTTTTTTTTTTTTTTTTTTTTCAATTCCACGTGCGTATACTTCTGTGGATTTGTTTTCATATGGAATCATCATCATGGGAGAAATAATTAAGGTGTTGTGAACCCATTCATGGCGCAGAGCTCATTTGTGTGTGTATTCCCCGTAGGTGCGTTTTTACTATTTTATTATCATTGCTGTTATTGTTGCTGTTATTGTTGCTGTTATCGTTGCTGTTATCATTACTGTTATCATTGCTGTTATCATTGCTGTTATCATTGCTGTTATCATTGCTATTATTACTACTATTATTATTACTATTTTTTTGCTCTGTCCCATTTTCTCTCCTTTTTTGCGAGTAGACAACTTGCCATTGCCTCATCCGGTGGGCAGCAACAGAAGAAAGCGACATGCCCATTTTATTTGTTCTCCCATGTACTTCACGGTTACATGCTCTTTTCCAAATATTACACACAGGAAATATGATTCTTTAGTAGACATAATTGAACTTTTTCTCATATCTGGTGCAAGAAGTTAATCTTTCTTGATATTTTGTTTATTCCTTTCCCCCATAGGATGAACAACTCGATAAAGTTACTTGTCTGCACGAGTTCAGGTCAAAATAAAAGATGGTCTATAAAAACAATCATTTGATAACACTTCTCCACGATGATCCAACAGATGCGTGGAACGGAGATTTTTTGTCTGATCGTTACTACAAAAATAGTGGTAAAGTTTGCTTAACAGGTTAGTGTCAACTGAATATACCTTATCAAATATGTTACAATACGGCTGAATTGGCTCATGAAGATTAATTCTCAAATCGATATTATTAAAATACCAATATATGTCATTATGTTGGTTATTTTTTTTATTAATTAATTCTCTTATGTTGTAAAGGAACGTATCTATGAAGGTTCTTTGGTTGTTCATATGATTAGGTAAACATTCCTCCAATGAGACTAAAAAATCTTTGTGGTTTCTTTTATTTCTGTATAGTGGCTGCTTTAATGGGTTGATTATTACCTTTTCCATTTCATCATAATTGCAAGACCATAAGAAGGATGTATGATGAACAAAATAATTTTTTGAAAAAGCTTGTGCATTTCCTCCAACTTTTTTTATAAATACATTCTTACACAAATTATCATAGTCGTTATATACATAATCATTTTCGTGATAATTAAATTTTTTTAGAAGAAAATTCTCCTTTTTTTTTTTGCTATCTAAATGATTAAAAACAGAATTGTAAAAAGAATTAAAGACCCATTCTGTTATATTGGATGGATATAATTTTTTTTCTTTTTCAAAATTAAATGGAAGAATTAAACTGATTAAGAGACAATTATTGTTAATGTAAACAGTTCCACCTCCTGTGTATCTTTTAATTAACCATATTTTGTTATCATTAACATAATTTATGTCTTTTATGAAATTTTGTACTTTTCCACTTAAACCAAAAACGACACATTTGTTTGTTCTATTTGATACTGTTGATCCAACATCTTCTCTCTTTTTCTCATCATTCAAACATGTGTTGTTAATAAGCACAAATCCTATATTATTCAAACCCTCGCTAAGAGGGCTACTCAATCGATACAAACACTCTTCTATTAATAGTTGTTCATACACATGAAACTTCGTACAATTTATTACGTATAAGACGTTTTTTCTTTTCTCATGTTTTGAGAATGGACGAAATAATTCATGAACCGAACTGACGCGCATTATTTTGTTCATTCTTTTTAATTTCAATTTGTTATGCAGTTCTCACCCGAGCGATTTCCTTGTTGGCAGCAGAAATTATCTTGTTCTATATTTATCCATCCGGAAAGAAAAAAAAAAAAAAAGAAAAAAAGAAAAAAAAAAAAAAAAAGTGTCCCATAAAATGTTCTCCTCGGAGGAATATTTATTAAAAGCACATCACACGTGCAAAATAGTTTACTCAGACCGTCTTTAATATACTCTTCGTATTTAATTAGTTCAGGCAGCCAATCCATTCATTCAAGTTATGACCCTCTAGATGTTTTTGCATATACATATATGTACATATCTGTACACATATGTACACATATATATACATGCATAATGGTTCTGTGCTATATGCATCCATCTCCCTTAAAGCTCCTTTTATACAAACTATGTAAATGAATGAAACAGCTCCATGTATCCCCTCCCTCTTTTTTTTTTTTTTTTTTTTTTTTTTGAAATTTCCCTATTTTCAGAAATAACATATGCTAATGTACTAACATTGCTAACACATGAATGCCACCTTTTTTTTTTTTTTTCCTTTTTACATCACAGTGTAAAAAGTTTCCATTGTTGAGAAATAACATGCTTTTCCTAATTAAAGCAGCACACACAAAAAAAAAAAAAAAAAAAAAAAAAGCGGTACTCACGTATGTTGGAATATTCCATGATGTGCATTCTTAACTACCCATTTTCCCTTCACTCAAAAATTATCTTATATTTTAGCCTAATTTTTTTTTTTTTTTTTTTTTTCATTAATCGACAAAATTATAACATGTGCTACATATATGCGTTTTCCTCTGTTCATCATATTAATACCCACCATTCCTACGCACACTGTGTTTTGTAGAAATGTGGAATGACGAAGAAACTTTGGGAAATTTAGAAAAAGCAAAAAATTAATAGTTCGTTTCCATCAGTTAGGGTGTAAATATGTGAAAAAAAAAAAAAAAAAAATGACAAAAATGGAAAAAAAAACTTGTGTACCTTTATACAATTGAATTCTAAAATTTTAAGAGGAGTGCAAAAATTATATAAAATCATGTGTATGCGTTGGTTGAAATTTACCTATAGACATGTAACACAAAGGTGAAAATAAGCAAAAAAAAAAAAAAAAAAAAAAAGGCATATTATAAAAATGAACTAAAAAAAAAGAAAACTGTGCTTAGCTAAAGCTCCTCTCAGCATTTATGCAAACAGAAAAATAAATGAGGGAATAAAAAAGGGGTGAATGATGGGAAAAATTAAAGAAATGCTGAGATAGGATTCTGAAAATTGTTTCCAAACTGATTGAAAACACAGATTTAAAACATAGATTGACAAAACGAACGGGGGAGATTAATTGCGGAAGCGAGTAAGCAGACGCGCAGAGGAAAACCAAAAGGTTGACGAAAAAGGTTTTGAAAAAAGACAAAAAAATTAAAAAAAAAATAATAATAATAATTACGAATAAATTGACGAATAACATGACGTATGACATGACAAACGACATGACAAACGACATGACGAATGACCTGAAGAATGACCTAACGTATGACCTGACGTATGGCCTGACGAATTAAATTGCGCACAAAAAATTGGATGAACTTGGGGAGATTATAAATACCACAGATTAATTATATTTCTGTGCTTGAACAGCCATTCTTAATTTATCCTCAGCAGTCAGAACTTTTCTCAAAATTAATTCTCGAATTTTACCATCGTAAATCATGAAATGTTTCCATCCCTTGCCTATATCAATTTGTAGTTCATTAACAATACAGTGTTCAGTTAAAAATGCATTTGTTTTTCGCACTTTATTTTCTGCATATTGCCTCACATTATCACTTAGAATTATGTGTCGGTAGACGTATTTGTCATCTCGATAGAGGGCCGAGTAACATACGGGACCTAAGAAAACGTATGTAAAAAAAAAAAAAAAAAAAAAAAAGGGAAAAAAGAATTATCAGAAAGGTGTAAAACACGTATATCACAGTGGTGTGTATAGTATATATACAATATAAATGATGGGAAAAAAAAAAAAAAAAGGGTAACTAATTTAAATATCGAAATAAGAAAAAGAAAAAAAAAAATATATATGACTTATGTATGGTGTACGAAACACTGTATATTTTTTTTTCCACTTACCTCTGGATGTAATTTTGTACGTATAATTCTCACTAGATGATCTCAGAAATTCAAGATTTAAATTTTCATCCATACTGTCCTTGACCGATCTGAATTTTGGTGTTTCGGATTTCGCTAATTCTTCCAAAATTGCATAATAATCATCTTCATTTCCACCTTGGTTTGTTCCACACTTGGGACTACTATTGGTCGTGTTATTTGTCTCTTCCTTAATGGATCTATTATCATTGATAATGCTTAAACCTGAATTGATCCTATCGCTTTCATGCTTGCCTGTGCTTATACTTTTACCTTTGCTACTATCACCACATGAAATGATTCCATTGTCAATGCTCTTGCTAGCGTTCCCACCACTGTTCTTGTTAGTACTCTCAGATTTGCTCTTGTAAATATTCTTGTCGATGCATTCGTCAATATTCTTGTCGCTGCACTTGTCAGTACTCTTGTCGCTACACTTGTCAGTACTTTTGTCGCTACACTTGTCAGTACTTTTGTCGCTACACTTGACGCTACCCTTGACGCTACTCTTGCAGGTGCTTCTGCCACTACCCCTGGAGTTATCTTTTTCAATACTCTTGTTCGCTGACTTACCGTTAGTTTTACCCTTGCTTTTGTCTTTTCTTGACTGGTTTATTTGAGTCCCACCTGACCTATTCATATTTTTACCTTATTTATTCTGCTTCTTCTCGTTAGTTGTATGTTTTTCCCATATCGCATCTTAAGAACTAAAATAATTTTCTGTGATGTTTTATAATGTATATGACCGTGTCCAGAGAAAAAAAAAAAAAAAAATACTTTTTTTTTTTTTCTTAGACACAATTCTCCTCTTTGTTTTTATATTTAATTAGACACTTTTATACAAATGAATTTAAGATAAAAATCCTTTTAATATTGTAATGTTTGGAAGGGGAAAAAAGAAAAATAAAAAAAAGAGATAATTGATTTTTATATCATATCCTTAAAATGTTAATTATGTTTAATTTTAAAAATAAGTATTTAATCAAAAAAAAAAAAAAAAAAAAAAAAGGTGCACACAAATATATACCAAAAAAAAAAATTTTTAAATTCACATTTTGTCTTTTTTTTTTTTTTTTTTTTTTTTTTTTATGATAAATATTTACTCTTTTTCGAAAGTTCTACAATGAACATAATGTACCCCTCAATGTGTAGCACACTGAATAGGAAAATATATCAAGTCTCAAGGCACAAAAAAATAAAGGAAGTTTAAGTGTTTCGCGTGTCTGTATGTATGCCATTTGCTGCCACGCACGAGCACATACCAAATAATTTCTACGAAGCGAAAAAAATACACAATTGTCAAAATTGTAAACTAGGCTACCTTTCAATCGTGAGGTATAGGTCAGTGTTTTTGTGTAAATGCATAATCCACTTCTATACACGGTGTGAACCAGGATCCCTATACGTGCCGTATGCATGTGGTAAACAAATGGAATATACACGGCAAACACAGGGCATACACGAGGTAACATGTATCTAATGACAAACATATACCCTTAAACATGCGTTCCCAAAACGTGTCAACAAAAAGGTGAACACCTCTTGGAAGAGGTGCATGAGTGCGAATTTTGGTGCTTACAATGGAAGGAGACTCAAAGACAATAAAACAAAATTTAATCACTTCTTATATTTATATTAAGCAAAATGGGTTTAAACATAAAATGACTCCTTATTCTTCACAAACAAATTTTATAAAAATGAATTTTTTTTTATGTTTTTTAATTTATCCGAACTTGTATAATCTCACTTAATCAGGAGCGAGCCAAGTAAGGCGGTCAAATAGGGCGGTCAAATAGGGCGGTCAAAATAAAGCGATCAAATAAAGCGATCAAATAAAGCGATCAAATAAAGTGATCAAATAAAGCGATCAAATAAAGCGATCAAATAAAACGGTCAAACGAGGTAGCCAAACGAGGCAGTCAAACGAGGAAACGAGGAGGTCAAACGAAGGGGTAGCCAATTATACAGCTACGTGGCAACCAAACAGTAACCATCTGAAAAATACACAAGTTGGTATAATCACTATCACGAGAGAGTGTAATCAATCTTACTCATTCTTACCTTTTCATATTCTTTTGGAAAGGTAAAACAATGACACTATTGCACAATTACACAATGACGCAAAGAGCAGTGCCACTTAACATATAAAATCCCTGATAATTAAAATCGGCTTACAAATTCAAAAACAAATCACACAATGCATATTTGTCATCATTTCCATTGTGAGGAATAAAAAGTATGCAATAAATAGGGACAGGTAATAGCTCGGGAAAAACAAAATAAAAAAAAAAGCAAAAACGAAAAAGCAAAAACGAAAAAGCAAAGACGAAAAAGTAAAGACGAAAAAGCAAAGACGAAAAAGTAAAAACGAAAAAGTAAAAACGAAAAAGCAAAAACGAAAAAGAAAAAACGAAAAAGATAAAACGAAAAAGATAAAACGAAAAAGATAAAACGAAAAAGATAAAACGAAAAAGATAAAACGAAAAAGCAAAAACGAAATAGCAAAAACGAAATAGCAAAAACGAAAAAGCAAAAACGAAATAGCAAAAACGAAATAGCAAAAACGAAATAGCAAAAACGAAATAGCAAAAACGAAATAGCAAAAACGAAATAGCAAAAGCAGAAACGGAAAAACGAAAAAAAGAAGAGCCCAAAACTTCAAAATCCAAGAGCATCAACAACCAAGAGTGCACTAAAAGTTGAAACACTAGAAAAGAAAAAAAAATTCACTTCCCTTCTTTGTGAAATTTTGATATATGAGGCATGTTACACTATGTGTGCCTCATCGCTCGCATTGTTGGGAATTCCTTCCGGTGGTAAATTCTGCCTTCTTAGGAGAACAAGAACAACGCTTCAAATTAGTGTGTAAACATGTATGCCAATTTTTATAAGGTTTCGTAATTATTTTCAAATTGTAAGCACATTAAGAGGAATGCAGAATGGATTTTTCAATTTCTTTTTTTTCAATTTTTTTTTTTCTCATTTTTCTTTTTCTCTTTTTTTTTTTTTCTTTTTTTTTCCTCCATTTTGTTTTTCACCTTTTTTTCACCCTTTAAACCGCCTCACAGCAGCTACTGCCAAAATGCACAGTAAGAAAAGAAAAGCATGAAATATAGCATATTATCTTTTCTTCCTATTTTTATCCAACATTTTAAGGAAATCTTTTTAATGACAACCTCAGGGAAAATCACCAAAAATTAGTCTATCTCTCAAGCTGTAACTAAATATATGTCGCAAATGTATAAAATAAAAGCTTTGTATAAATCAATTTGGAGAGGGGGGTAATGTAGCTTCTGTACATTTAAAAAAGGAAATAGGCTTTATTTTGCTGTTTCAAGGTGCATTTTGGAAAATTTTCGATGAAAGTAGTTAATACAATTATAAAAAAATTTAAGCAATTCTTACCACCTTAAACTAGGGTAAATTTTGCATTTCCCAACATTTGTCTAATTATAGGTAAAATTCATTGATACCACTACAACCCATTACAGTTTAATCCTAATTATTAAAAGTGTGTAGTAGTAAAAATAACCTACTTTTTTTTTTTTTTTTTTTTTTTTTTTTTTTTTACACTATGTTTATTGCACCGTCGAATGGTGCACTTCGGATATTCAATCATGTTACAATTTTATAGTTTTGAAACTTCACACCCTTGAGATCGTACTCTTCTTGGAAATCGAATCCCTCCAAAAAAAAAAAAAAAAAAAAGGAGAGATGGGGGAAGGTGAAAGGGCGTGTATATACACTAAGGCAATTCCCCCTCCTGCCGTTATCTCTTGTTTAATACGCGTTGGCAAATATATTTTGCACGTAGTATAAAAAAAACAACAAAAAAAAAAATAAAATAAAATAAGATAAAATAAGATAAAATAAGATAAAATAAGATAAAATAAGATAAAATGAAATAAAACATAACCACGAGTAGTATAATGACGGTGCTACGTACAACTATGTAATACTGCATTTCCTCGGAGATATGAATTCATATCAATCCTGCTTACCGAGATATTTTCGTGAAATAATTGTTTTTCCCTTAAATTGGGCACATGCATATATACACATGTATATATGTGTATGTGCTCGTGGGTGGTAAGGATGTATTCATAAAAACATATGAAAGTGAAACATTTGGCGATGAGGCAAGGAGCGATGAAACAAAGCGTGATCAGACAAAACAGGGAGAAACAACACAAGGTGTATAACCATATGGCGAGGAAAAAACAAAAAAAAAAAAAAAAAAAAAGGGGACTACATAGATCTTAGTGAATTTGTTAAGTACTCTATTTTCGCTTCATTCACATCGTGATTTATAGAATTAGTCAAAATTCTGAATTCCTGCTGTATAACATTCCTGATGACCATTTTCCATTTTCTTTTGGCTTCTTTTCTTTTTTCTAAAAATTCCAAAAACTTATGTGTGCTCATCACATTATTAACAAAATTGAACATTTTGGGGATACGAAAGGATTTTCCAGCGTTTAAGTTTAACATATCGATGGGTTCATTTATTTCGTATGAACTGTTCATATTCTTTATTATCTTATTTATGTAACTTGGCACGATCCCAAATTCATGCGTACTACTCCAGGTGTTCACTGATACTTCCTCTTCGACATGTAAACGGCTGTTTTCTTCCAATATGTTCATATGCTTATGATTTTTATTGTCTTTATCATCCTTTTTCTCTCTCCCATGTAAAACCTTTTCTTCATGTGATTTCTTACCTTCGTCCGTGTATTCGGAATGGCATACAATATTCGAGACATACTTCTTTTCTTCTTGTGATTCTTGCTTTCCCTTTTTTGATCTGATTTTGTCATATGCCTTGTCGTTTTGTAAGATAGTCTTGTTCTTATTATAATTAGAAAATGCCTTGGCTTGAACTGGTTTTCCTCGATCAAACATGTTACTACCCCTTCCTGAGCTGTCGCTGCTGCATCTGCTTCTACGTCTACTTCCTGTCATGCTTCTACGTCTACTTCCTGCCATGCTTCTACTTCTACTTCTTGTCATGTTTCTACTTCTACTTCTTGTCATGCTTCTACTTCTACTTCTTGTCATGTTTCTACTTCTACTTCTTGTCATGTTTCTACTTCTACTTCTTGTCATGTTTCTACATCTACTCCCTGCGCTACTGCTATTCCTAGAACCTGTGTTGTCTGCTCTACCTACAGTTTCTCTTATCTGAGAATTCTCCAGATATTTCCTCTTCATCTTTCCCGATTTTAATTCCCTCTTGATCCTACGCTTCCTATCACGATCACATGGACTTTCTGCACATGAGTCGTGTACGGTAGAAACCGAGGTCGAGCGAATTCTAATCACTTCACGATTTAAAATGGATGATTTTGTATACCTCTCATTCGTTGAACGATATTTGATGTAATAATTTTTATCACTCATGCCACTATTTTGTCGCCTGCATGAATCGGGTGATTTGGATAGAACGCTACATGATCCCCTTTTTTTTTCTGAGGATTGATCACAATATTTATTTGATAAAGAACAATTATCTTGTTTTTTCTCCTCTTTATTTTCATTTTTTTTATTGTTAATAACATAATCAGATGTTGTATATTTATCATTATATGTGTTCTCTTCTGAGGTACGGCTATTTATGCTCCTATTCCGGGTACACGAAAATTTTCGCTCACCACTATGCACCGATGTGTCCTTTGCATACCTTTCACCATATAAAACAAATTTTCTCAAAAAAGAGTTTCTAAATTTGATGCGAATTGTGTTGCATTTGTGTTGTGCTTCTTCCCTCGCACCTTCCACATCTACCACATCTACCACGTCTACCACATCTACCATGTCTACCACCTTTTTGTCGCCCTTTTCTGTTTCCTCCGGATCCAATTCTTCATTTATCCAATTGGTAAAATCTGCATCCTGGGGCAACTCAATCTCCACAATATTGTCAACCTGAACATATTTTATCATTTTGTTTTTATTATTATTTAACTCATCATCCGAAGAGTCACTATAAAATTCATAATTATTATAGCAGCTTTCGTTTTCGTTCATGTGTTCATTTTTTTGCTCATTTTTTTGCTCATTTTTTTGCTCATTTTTTTGCTCATTTTTGTGCTCATTTTTTTGTTCTTTTATGTTCTCATTTTCGCTTTCATAGTCATCTTCACATTTTCTACTTCTGTAATAATCACTGTAACAAGTTTTAGAGGGATGTTTTTCTTCATTGTCTGTCGTTTCTTTATATCTTTTGTAACCTTTATTGAAATTACTTTCCCTTTCATAATATTCCTCCTTGTGCGTGCGACCGTACCTATTTTCATCAACACTACCACATATAAGACCAACTTCACGCATTTCTCTCTTATCTCTTTTTTTAACTCTACATTCAATATTGTTCTTCTGATATTTCTCATTTCTATCACCCTTTTCATGGGTATTATTATCATAATCTGAATTGGTTTCCTGGCTCCAACTGTTAGAATGACTCATTTTTTTTCTGTGATTGTCTATAGGCTGATCTTTCGATTCTTCTCTGCTTTGTTGATATTTTTTTTTTTTTTTTTGTAAAATGGAATTATCCCTTTCATCAATATAATCATTATCATTCGTACATACTACTCTTCCATTGCGAGATGTGTCATCATCATCACCCTTCTCTTCCTCCTCCACGTTACTTCCTTTCGATAATAATTCCTTTTTATATTTTTTTCCCACGTGAAAATCTCCTTCATTTTTATCACAATCCTTCTTCTTATCTCTTTTCTTATCGTATTCCTTTCTATGTTGATGCATAAAATATTCTTCATAATTAGAATAATAATCCATTTTTCTTCTGTTGTAAGAATGATCCCTATGATCTTCTTCTTTTCTTAGCTTTTCACTCTCACTCCCGAGACGTGGTACTCCTACTCCTATTATACTTCCGCTCTTGCTCCTACTTCTGCTCTTGCTTCTACTTTTACTCTTACTTCTATTTCTGTTCTTGCTTCTACTTCCACTCCTACCACGACATGTTCGTTTCCTTTTCCCGCATTTTTTTTTTTCTTCACTATCATACAGCTTTGGATTCTTTTTAAATTCACTTGACGTCTCATCATCCTTGCACAATGACTCAGGAGATATGTGTTCACCATTTGGTCGCGTTTCTGTCTCATTTTCTGCATGATCATGCAGAATCTTCCTTCCCCTTTTTCCTACAGGTAGCAAATGACTTTGTTCATATGGAGAGATCACGTCATAACTGTTTCTATACCTTTTCTTTTCAAAAGAATGGTGATAATCTCTTCTCGATCTATCTTTTAAATTGTCTTTCTCAGCATACGTTGAAGATGTGGTTGTGAAAGCGATGGCCTTCTTATATCCATCAATGTGATAAATTCCTCTGGAAATACTGTTGCTCTCATTCAAAGTGGCACCACGCTCGGTGTCCACGTTTCTCCCTTGCAATTCTTCTTTTTGGATATAAGTAGAACTCATAAAATGAGAATCTTCAGATTCATTCATGTCACTACACTCTTGGTATTTCTTTTTATCCTTATTTATGTATTTTCCTTCCTTTTTGTTTTTTTTATTTTTTATTAATAAACTTCTTTCCGATTTTTCGCCATCAGATAGGTCAAGACTACACTTTCTAACAGGAGATGACTGTTTTCTCCTTTCATCATGATGATACATCATGGGGGAATTACTTCTTTTAATTTTTAACTTATGCATTTTATTACATTTTTTTTTAGGTTTGTGTTCATCTGCAGTTGATTCATCTTCACATGGAGTACTTTCTTTTTTAAAACTTATGTCACTATGAACACTGTTACTATGGTTGTTTAATTTCCACTTGGGTGTTATTTTTTTATGTTCCTTATGGAGTGTTATCTTACATATATGATGTTTCTCCCTGTCCTTCTCACGCGTGTGATGTTGATGTTGGTTGTATTCATGTTGGCAATGGTGGGGCTGACGATGCTGATGTTGACCATATTGGTACTGACCATAGTGGTGATGATTATTCTGGCTCTGCCTATCCTGGTTCTGATGATTGCATAGGTGCTCCCTATAGCGGATATTATTCCTTGAGTTACTATGACAATCATTTTCGTCCCCTTCATAGCTAGCACCATCGCAACTATCTTTGTTATTGTCACTAAAATTGTTAACTTCTCCATTTGTGGATAATGGAGGTGATAATCTCCTCTCAATAGCTTTTCCCTTTTTTCGATTTTGTGCTGAATTATGCCCCTCCTCCTTTGTTACATCATCATAAATTCTAGTGACACTAAATTTTCTGCTTCTTTTGTGAACTCCTTCTACGTCTTTCCATTCTTGTTTGTAATTCTCGCCTTCATAGTACTTATTATGAATTCTTTTATTTTTTTTATTTCCTTTTTCATTTATTACTTTGCTCTTTTCCTCCTCTTGCACATCATTATTAAATTCGTCCCTTTCACCTTTTTGCTTCTCATAAGGGTCCATTTTGCCGATGCGATATGATATAATTTGAGGAGGACATTATTAGACTCTTGAGAAAGTATTGTAGAGTTACTATTTTTGCAGTGCTGTTCAGCTATTTAATTCTTCGTTTAGTAGCTCCGTTTGGTAGTTTAATGGGTTTTTTCTTTTTTTTTTTTTTTAGTTCAGAACTTGTTCCATGTCATGTTCCTAATTTCAAAACGTATCATCTATGAAATGTAATGGTATAAACTCCTCTTTTCATCGATTAAAGCTTTTTTTTTGTTTTTTTTGTTTTTTTTATTTTTATGCATACAAGCTTTTGCCTCTCATTGTTAGCTAATTCAATTTGCATTTATTAATAAGCAAACTGCCTTAATTGTGAAGCAAAGTGCCTTATCTGGTCAGTAAAAACTAGAAAAACGAAAAAAGAAAAATGAACAAACAAAAAATTAAAGAAGTAAAAAAATGAAAAAAAAAATCAGTAGTCTTCTTAAGAACCACCCTTGTGGATCTATTGAGCACCGTGTTATAAATAATATAATTTATATCCCTGATTTTTTCATTGCAAAACAATCAGAAAAAAGAAAGAATGAATAAATAGGAAACGTCGAGCTTGAAAATTATTTTCCCCGTTTTTCTCTCTTCTTCCACTTTTTTTCGCGAACGCATCTTCTCATATACAATTCAATTATGTAAAAACATGGCCCAAGTAGAAAGGCCTTATGGGGTGAAGAGAGTAAGAATGGGTTAAATAAAAAGGTTCACAGGCACTCCACATAAAATAATGTTATGCACAAAAATAAAAAATTAAAAAATGATTAATTTTTTTACGAAATGGGGGGAGAGGAGAATATATTTATTTTCACAAAAAAATGTTATATTTATATATACAATTTTTTTTTCACCAAATTAATAAATATTTTTTTTCTGTATAATATTCAGCGCTCAAGACTTTGTTTTTTCTTGAAATTTAACTGACCCCATAAGGGCTATGATGAGAAATAAAAAAGAGCATATTTTATATTTTTCATGAAACTTACGGGAAAACCAAAGTGAGAAATAACGAGAGAAAGATTGAAAAATTCGTTAATGTAAAATATTATGAAAACATGTAGAATTATTATACATACATTTTTATATGTTTACCTGGTTTACGTAATATATGCTTTTCTTCCAAATTAATGTCATCCAAAAGGTTATAACTGCAATGTTTTTTTTTTTTTTTTTTTCTTCATGCAACATGGTAAAAGACGGGATATAAATTCTTATTAAGCTTTCATTTTGTTTTCAGCCTGGGGATATTCCCCGCTTATTTTCCCTTGTGAAAGTACATATATATATATATATATATAGATTTTATAAAAAATTATACCAAAAAAAAGTGGAAAAAATTAAGAACACTATGCAAGAAATGTTTAAATTACTCCCGTTTTTGAGTCGAATAAAAAATGACAAAATCTTTGCCGCACCCCAGCCAAGTAACAATTTTGTTAAGTATGCTAAAACCATTTGTCCAAAAATATATTCGTCATCATCATCACATCTTGTTAAAAAAAAAACTAGTTCTTCAAAACAGTGGTGTCGTATATAAAATACAATACAACGAAGTTATTCTCCCAATGTTTGTGCATATGGCATATTAATATAGCTAGAAAAAAGTATATATATATATATATTTGTTTGTTTTCTGCTTACCGTGATCATTTCAAGTAAGGTAATTAGCTGACTATAAATGATTGCCAACCCGCCACCCCCTCAATTAAACATTATAAGCTATGTTCTATTAGCAACCACCATCAAAAATAATAAGACATTAAATGATGTTGTTGCAAAAAAAAAAAAAAAAAACATACAGCAAAATGGTTGTACGTCATATTCACATATTACAATAAAAACAAATAACGAAATTTTAACGTACCTTTTTTTTTTTTTTTTTTTTTTTTTAATTAATTATAAGACATATTGTCTCTTACAACTCTCTTTTTCTCTCAGTATGATATATAAATTTCCACAAATTAAAATTATCATATTTGTGTTGGTAAAACTTTTTAAGTCCCAAATGGGCAGGTAGTGGGAAAAGGGATGTTGTTATTCTCTCACCGACGATATTTTTTCTGCCATTAGTACATTTTCAAAATTTTTTTTTTTTTCAAACAGTATGAAAAGGCATACAAATGATAAATAAAAGGTATATGTACACATTAATATATTCACAGAATCAACAATTGATCGACACTAACGTAGTACTCGCGTAAGTGTATGCATAACATAATTATAACTACGCATATGAAAAGAACAAAAATTCTCTTTTGGATAAGCACAGATAATAACTACTTTCTATTATTTACAGTTGTCCTATTATAAACAGAATATAAAAAGAACACTGGCAAATGCGATTTTTTCAGAAAGTAAAAAATTTCACACGAGTGGAGGGGGGGGAAAGCAAAAGAAAATTATTTAAAAAAAAAACGAAAACAAAAACGAAAGTAAGAACAAACGGCCAACCAAAACTAATACACCGACACCGAGTAATAGTTGAAACCCTTTAAATGTTTCTTATCCGAACAGACATGGAAATCCTTTGGACATATATCATTCACAGTAAAACATGATCCATTTCGTTTGTTCAGAGGAGTACGAGTAAATTCAAAAATGAGGTTAAATAAAACCTGTTCTGGACATATTTCTATAGGTTTTTTCTTCTTTCCGGATACATTATCCTGTGCTAATTTCCTTACGTTAACCGAAAACTTAGAATTCATAGATTCTTCATGACCACATACAACCCACAAGCCAACTGCTGATTGGTCTGTTGGGCCTTGCATAGAACAAGATGGCTTTCCATACTTGCATGGGTATATAGCTATAGATATAGGATCATTCGAATTTAATACACTAATTCCAAAACCAAATAAAATAACTTGATTTTTTTCTGAACATTCAAGTGTTAATAATCCTGTTCCTGACTTTGCTTTTTGTTCAAAAAATGGAATCATTTCATCATTGCACATGGCAAATATGTAGTTATAAGAATTTTCACTCATTTTAGAATAACACTTATCCGAATCTTCATCACAAGTATTCAAATAAAAATCTTTCAATATGGTTAAATCGTTAGGTACTGATAGGGAAAAACCTAATATAAAATTTTGCTTCTCTTCACATTCAAGAACAACCAACCCATTTCCACTTCCATATATTATTTTAGATTTCTTTAATTGATCTTTCACATTGTACCTCTTTATTTCATCATTTGTTGTTTGTCCTAAATTTAAAGGAACATTCACAGACATGTAGAAATTTAATGCCTCTTCATATATCTTAGTTAATCTATTAGGTAATATTCTGGACAAGGGTTCGTATTCCCCTTTTATGGGCATTGGATTATCTTTTATACTCTTTGCCCATTTTTCAAAATTTTTTGGATCATTAGGGTCATAAATAGTAGTTCCTCCGATTATTACTGTTTCTTTTTCCATACTCGAATTAGAAGTCGCTTCATTGCTTGTCTCGTTGGAATCAGTGCTTGTTGATGCTTTTGCCTTGAATAGTCCAAACCCAGCTGATGCACTTACAGAAACTGATAGACCATTTTCACTCATAGTTTTGTACTCATTTTTTGATATTTTCACTTGTTGCGTTATTTTCCCCCCCAAATGTATAAGTGTCGAAACATGAGTCCCAAAATTTTTAAAAAAATACATCCAAGCTTCAACACTCTTTCCGCACTTTTCTGTTTTTCTATTATCTCTGAACTCTTCCACAGTGCAGTAAGTTTCATCATACTGTAACGAATTAAAATATGACGGTAATAACGAAATGGCCCTTACAAACTGGTCGCTCAATTTCCATTGCGAATATTGCGACAAAGATGCCATATATTTAAAACAGTAGCTTTTTAACATGAACAATCTATACTTCTTCTTCGAAATGGTATTAGACACACTCTTATATCCAGTAGATGCTGAAAAGGAACCAAAGAATCCATAAGATGCTCCTAACGATGCATCAACTGAGAGCTCTTTTGTGTATTCACTCATTGTACTTATTTCACTTTCATTTTCTGATCTATTACAAGAAATTTCATTGCGTACGTACGAACCATTTGGATTCATATTTATATAACTATCAGGATAATCTACATCTGATTTGGGGTATGTTAATTTTATTATAGAATCTCTATATCCAGGATCTACTTTTAAGAACGGGTCTCCAATTGGATTCCCAAATATGAAATCATAACCTACGCCTAAGTACTCGGTTCCCTGTATAACTATTGTTAACATACCATCATCCCTTTCTTCTTTGTACTTATTATATAAGTCCTTTTGTTCGTCCAACCCATCATAGACAACCACTGTATGTTGTTGATCGCTGTATATATTTTCTTCACTTTTAGCATTTCCCTCCTCCTTCCTTGTATTAATATCTCCAATTCCCTTCATTAAGCGCACGAAGTTTTTCACCTTGCTATTTGTACAACCTTTCGAATTTTTCCCACAGTCGACTTCTTCCACGTTTGAATCCCCTTTCAAGTATCCATCTGTTACACGAGAATTTTCATCATGTCCATCACTTTCGCCACTTTCACCACTTCTACTACCTCGCATCTCATTGAAGTAGATGTTGTGAATTGGGTACATGCTTTTTCCAGATATGGAAACATTTTCCCTGTGATTTCTTTTCCTCTTCCTTGGTTTGTCTTCCTTTCTTCTTGCCTCTTTTCTAACAACCCTTTTTAAATTTACTTTTGATGTTACATGCCCCTGTTGTAAAAAATGAAGAATTTCATGGTTTTTTTTCATTTGTCTTTTGGTCCGATCCTTTTCCCCTACCTCCTTCACGTTTGAGGCGTAAATGTGGGGCTTTGTTTGTTGGTGCTTCTCACAAATTTTGTCAATTAAAAATTCGTAAAACACGTTTGCTATTATGGCTGAATATAAAACAAATAGGAATGAAATCCTTTGAAGGGCCATATTTTTTTTTTTTTTTTTGAAGAGATGAAAATGTTATATAAGTGTTGCGGAGAAATTGCACTATGTAACATTAATTAGATATCAACTGACATATTGCATTTAACCGAATTGTCAATTTGTGGGTAGGTGTTTTTTTTTTTTTTTTTTTTTTTTTTGTCACCATCGGCATATAACCACAAGTGTAAGCATTTCAAAAAATATTTAAAATTAAGGACAAATTAACTCCTTAAGAGAAGTGATTATAATTTAAAAAATGTAATGATTTATATAGAAAGTGCTTTTTTTTTTTTTTAAAAGAAGTTACCACATTCATCCCTATAGAGAGAGGTGTGTTAAAATGTGCGCAAATTTTTGTTGTATGCATGAATCAGACACCAGACTGTCAACTCATAAATGAACAATCTGAGTTGAACTCGGTAAGACCAATTTGCAGATAAGTTGGTCTACATAAATTTATCAGTCTATTTTAATTTGCTAAATTAGGAAGAAGAAGAAGAAGAAGAAGAAGAAAAAAAAAAAAAGCTAATTAAAATGATGAAAAACAAGTTCAAATTTTTTTGTTCTTTTGGGTAATGACAAATAATCGGAATTACCTTTTTAAACATATGTAAAAATGTTAAAGACAGAATAAAAAAATAAAATAACACTAATAATAGTAAAAATGATACTGAGAAAAATAATAATAATAATGGGAATAAAAAAAATAATAATGGGAAAAATAATAATAATGATGGTAAAAATAATAAAAATGCCTTACTTTTCTAGCCAAAATAAGCAATGCAGCTAAAAAGAAAAAAATATTTACCTTGCTTTTCTAGCCAAAATAGACAAAAAAAAAAAAAAAAAAAAAAAATTCCCCCAATAATTATTGAACTTTATAAGCTCATTATTATTTCACAAAAAATGGTAAACTGTCCCTTTTACGGAGTGTGCAGATATTAGTAATCAAATTCATCCTGTATTTTACCACATTTCTTCAACATAACGACCCAATTTCTTCAACCTTTTTGTAAACTTTTTATCATTTTGTTTGTAATGTACAGGCAAGGTATTAATCGTTCTGTTTACGTCTTTACTCATGTTGCTATTCCCACAAACATATATGTATGCTCCCTTTTGTATCAAATTCCAAACAAGATCCTTTTTATCTAGAATTAAATCTTGGACATAAATTTTTTCATTTTGATCTCTTGAGAATGCAAGAAAAGCTTCATCAATATATTTCCTCTCCTGAGCTTGGGTAATTTCCTTTTCGTAGAGAAAATCTATTTCTCTTCTTCTACAACCAAAGAAGAGAATTCTCTTGGCCTTTTTTGCAATTCCATTTTGCATACATGTTTCATCGAAATGTTTAAATTCTGTTAAAAAAGCTTTGAATGGAGCAATTCCTGTTCCAGTGGCGATCATTATAATACTTGTAGATTCCAAATGAGTTGGCAGACAAAATTTGGAACTTTTCAAATTAAATTTTATAACATCATTTGTGTTTAATTCCTCTGTTATGTAGAAGGAAGAAGTGCCTTTAAACCATCTTCTACAGCAAAGTTCTCTTAATTTATGTTCACTTATCTGGGGAAGCATATCATTATTTTTAAAACTTTTCAGAGCCTTTCGGAGAGAATGAATGGGGTATTGTTTCTTCTTAACTGTTAATGATATAATGTCTTCCGCTTCTTTGGGGGATGACGAAATGGTATAACTTTTGGGATTATTTCTTGGAATTAATTGTAAAAAGGGGGTTAATTCAAATATAGATTTCGACATGAATATATCGACAAATTCGATAAAGGTCATGTTGGATTGTTTACAGATATTGAAGAAGGTATTTCTCTGCTTATTCGACAAGATAAAATTAAACATTTTCAGTTCTTCTACATCTTTAATGAAGCATTTGAATTTTTTTAAAATATTAATTCTCGGTATAGTTGTTAAATCGCAGTAATATCCAAGTGCATCTTCAACGCTGCATGGTGTAGGAAATGGGATGCAAAATGATGTATCCTCCTCATGCTTTCTGTGTGGTGGAACTGTCGAATTATTATTTGGTAAATTATTCAAATTTGAACCATTGTCGCATGAAATTATGGAAGGTTCTTCTTTTATATTTCTAAGTACAAAGGTGAACGCCTTTCTCTTATCTTTGTCGTCTATACCTAGTCGTTTTAACCACCATGAGATTACTTGTCTCGAATTTTTTGGCAGAATAACCAACGTATCAGCAGCTTTAAAGGATACATTCTTAACAGAGATAGTTATGTGATTCACCTTATCATCATAAACAATTTCTTTCACATTTTTTAACAGATTTTGATTCGATAATATTTTCCCTTCGTGATGGTTAAAATAAAACTTTCCCGTTATATCCATCGTTTGGTGTGATAAATTTATATGTTCATTTTTATTATTATGAACTTTTTCGATCTGCAAATTTGTTGATGTGGTTTCATCTGAATATTCATGTTTATTATGAATTCCCACTCCTATGTCCTCTTCATATCGAATATGTAGATTTATTTCTGGTAACGTTTTCCAATCTACAAATTCGACCACATCTTCTGCGACAAAATGGAGTGGAATAATGTCATCCTTAAGATGTAATAGTTTAATAAGTCCCTTAAAAAGATTATTTTTCCATATTTCAAAATCTTGATATATATTATCATCATCATCACCATACATATTTTCACTAATCTGTTCAGCCTTAAATTTGGTAAGATAATTAGCAAGTTTTTTCGCAACTTTATTAAAATGTTTATACTGCTTGCTTCCTAATCCCATTATTGAATATTTTGTATTCCTAAAATATGTGTTATCATGATTCAAATTTTTTAGCCATTTGAAAAATGCAGTAGCATTGTCTGTTGGTTCACCATCTCCATACGTCGCAATAATAAATATTCGAACTCCAAATTTTTTTATTTCTTCTTTATTGAAATATTCTAGATCTATTACATCTGCTTTTATCTTAAACATATCACTTAAATTTGAGTCCAACTCTTTTGCAAAATGTTCTGCCGTTCCACCTTGACTACCAAAATATATTTTTATGTTATTCTTAATTTCTTCATTTATCAAATCGGGTATGTTTTTTCTAAAAATTGAGCATTTTTTTATGATACTGACAAATTTTTGGAAAAGAGTTGTATGTTTAATTTTCCAACATAGAAAAACGGTACAGGTAAAAAAAATGGAACACTGGAAAAAAAGCCTGCTTACCCCCTTGTTCATTTTGTTTCGAAATCACGCTTTCTAAAAAGTATATTGGAGTATAGTCTATAAGATATGCTACATTACGTACACATGTTTCTCTAATTTTTCTTCCTATGATTTTAGCAACTCTCACTTAACTAATAATTTATATCTGTGAATGATTGTAGTCTCCGCCTGATCATTCCCTTTTTTTTTTTTTTTTTTTTATTATTAACAAACAAGAGTATTCTTCCTATACAATCCTTCTGACATGGTGTATTCCAAACAAAGTGTAAAAGCAATAGCCAATAACTAAATTAACTAATTCTTTTATACTTTAGAAAAAAAAAAAAAAAAAAAAATCGAAATTACATTTTTGAAATATGTTTAGGAACACGGAACTGTGTCTATTTTTATTCCTTTCTCCTAGAAATGCAAAAATCACAAATGGGACAAATTCTATCTTGAATGTTAGACATAAAAAGGAGTGTTAAGTTTGAAGAAATTTGTTCAATCATCCTTACGTCATGTGAGTGGTAAATGCTCATTCATACGCATGCTCACGCCCCACTTGAGAATCACCTGGGAGATTTTCCAACAGGCTGAACGATAAAAGGGAAAACAAACAGTAATAGTGAACGACGCATCTAAAAAGATGTGGAAATTTTAAACAACTTAAAATTAATACCCAGATTTGTCAAAATTCAAATGAAGGTTGTTAGGAATGGTGTCCCCCTTGTGTAAATGATTCTATGCGGATGTATACCATAAATAATTGTGCTACAATTATCATCACAAAAATTAACACAAAAAAAAAAAAAAAAAAGAAAGAAAAAAAAAAAATGCTATAAAAAATTGAGGCACAAAGTCGCTGAGTAAAACTGAGAAGAAATTTCCTTCATTCTGTTATGTAGTAGATAAAAAAGTGATAACAATATGACTCCACGGGGGTGAGACGTGATGCGATAAGGTATACAACACCCCCCAACACACTCACATTTCAGTAATACGTGTTGCTGAATTGCCGTTCCTTTTTCCATCTCATATTCCCTTTTGGAAAGGTGTTAAATTATACCCTTGAAGATTTTCCTACCAGTTTCTTGGTTACAAGAAGTATCTTACACAATTAGAATTTAAATTTGTGGCACTACACATTTCCATATTTTTTATACAAACAGAATTTTGTTTTTATTCCCCCCGAGAAATGTGTGCCTTTTGATTGTTAGGCACGTTATCTGATATATTTATTTTTTGCTATTTATTTATTTTGCCATTCATTTATTTTGCCATTTATCCATTTTTCCATTTATCCATTTTGCTATTCATTTATTATTTTATTTTATTTTTTTTTTTTCTTATAATATTTATTATTTTTTTTTACATTAATTTTTATTTATTTTTTATTATTATTTCTTTTTTTTTTTATTTTTTTTGTTTTATACATATGCTTATGTATCGTGGTTCACGGAACTGTGGTACATGTTTTCCTGTAAGTTTTTGGCAAGTGCTTGCCTAAGATCACGAATCCAATTTTTTCATAAGAAGGGCGATCCGTGTGTGTGTGTGGAAGCGGTAGAGGTCACATGAGTAAAGCGAATTGCTTAGGCCCAAGAAGGTGTAGGCATTGACACAAATGCATGTGCATCTACATGTACATGAACACATAATCGTTTATTGGCACATGTGCTTGTGCTGCACATTATAAGGCACACACGATAACTTAGACGACGAGGAAAACCACAGCAGCTTCTACAACGAGGACAATCACTATCACGCCGAACTATGAATTTTTGCTGTGGGGTGAAGCTGAGTGACCTGAAATATGAATATATGAAAAGCAGGCTGAATGTTTTAGATAGCTATGAAAAGGACGAAATACTAGAAAAAAAGTTGAGGAAGCATTTGAATATAAAAAGCTTAGCACAAACATTAAGCGATGTAGAGAAATTAAAACAGAGAGAACAAATGAGAAGATATAGTACCTTCGATAGACGTATATCATTTTTAAAAAGAAGTAGCATAATAGATAAAACAAATTTCAAGTGTGGAAAAAAGGTTTTAGAAACAAGACTTGCATCAATTGATTGTGAATTAATAAATGTAACAGGGGATGGCAATTGTCTCTTTCGATCCATTTCATGGAATTTGTTTGATAAACAAAAGTATCATATGTATGTAAGAAAAAGGTGTGTTGAACATATGCTAAATTGTAAGCAGGAATTTTCTATATATTTTGAAAATAATGATTTCTATGACTATTTAAAAAAAATGTCAAAGGATGGTTATTGGGGAGATGAATTGTCTATAAAAGCAACGGCGGATGCATTTGATTGCATTGTGTATATAATAACATCCACTGCAGAAAATTGGCATTTAAAATATGAACCCAAGTATAAAATTAATAATGAACACAAAAAGTGTATTTTCTTGGCATATACAAGTCCTACACATTACGATTCGTTCAAACCTATTCGAAGGTAATACTTTATATTTTTTTCTCCCCCTCCTCCATACATTCCAAATGATTTTTAATAATGATAATCCTTTGGAATGTTATATACATCACGCATTTGTGAAATATTTTATTGGAACAATATTATATTCTATTTATCCTCCACTCGTTCCATCCACCCTACCCCCTTTTTTTTTTTTTTTTTTTTTTCCGTTTTTTTTCACGATGATATATATAAACCTTTTTATGTGTCATTCTCCCCCCACTCCCCATCCCCTACTCCGAAATGATTACTTTTGCGAATAATTTTTTTCATTCCTCCAGGGAGGATAGGGAAAATTTAAACTGCTTTTGTTTGAGGAGGAAAATCCATAGTACGTAGACAATGTTTTTTTTGTTTTGGTATATTTTGGTATATTTTGGTCTATTTTGGTCTATTTTTCACGTGATGAAAATTTCATTTGTCAGATTTTTAAAAAAAAAGTTTTTTTTTTTTTTTTTTTCATATATAAAACGTCTTCATCATTATCCTTTTTTTTACTTCATAAAGTAAAAGCTTCATATGCATCGGTAATATTACAAGTGAAGAAGTTCCTACGCTCTTTCCATCTCTCGCTTTTTTTTTTTTTTTTTTTTTTCCCCTTCATATGAAAAGCACTTGCTGTGGAGCGTGAATAACCGCCCGGTAAATAATTACCCTGAGGGGGGTAATATTTTTTTTTATTTGTTGGCCACTTTTTTGTAACGGTTGTTGTCACATTTTTACCACCTTATTAACATTTTTTCTACGCAGAGCAGCAAGTGGAAGGTAAACCCAAAAGGGGGGGGGGGGGGGAGAGAGAGAGGCAGCGTTACAAAGGAACATCACACAGCTGTATATATATTAACACATATATATAAAACATATGTGACACATGAAAAATCCGCTTGATACTGATAGGTGCAAGCGGCTTTATTAACCTATATATAGAGTAAATTTTTTTAAAAAATGCACCAACAGCACATCTTTTTTGGTAAACTAGTAGCAGTAGAGAAAATAGCTTAAAAACTAACGTAAGAACATAACATCGCAGCGTTTCGTCCGTTAGCAGAGGGAATGAATATTCTTGCAACTCTTTTTCGAAAAATTAAAAGAGAATATGGAGAACAGTTTTCTTTTGAATACATCATACGTGGCAGTTTAGGGAGGTTCCATTGCATTATTTTGTTTTGTGTTCATGCTTTCATTCCTTTTTTTTTTTTTCTTTTTTTTTTTTTTTTTTTTTTTTTTTTTTTTTTTTTTTTATTTTTTTTTTTATTTATTATTTTTTTTTTTTTTTAATTTTGAGAATTTCCTTGCATTGCGGGAGGAAAGCTCGAAAAAAATGCGCTCGACAAGATAATCATTACACAACCTCATGCATTTTTCAAAAAAGAACTAATTTTGTAAACCCATTAGGAGCTTGAGGCAAAAAGTGCTTCTCGCAGGGTCTTACATAACACTGCCTTGGCTTTGGATTTTTTTTTTTTTTTTTTTTTTTTTTTACACATTTTACGCGGCATATAAGAAAATACCATTGTTGAAATAGAACAAAGGAAGCACAGGATGAAGGAAAGCTTGAAGCGGCATGAAATCGAAATCACAAAATTGACAAAAGATGAAATGAGCTTTGTGTTGTGTAATAGCAACACTGGAATGGCAAACGCACTAAGAAGAATTATGTTATCTGAAATTCCAACTCTTGCAATAGATGTAGTGAATGTGTATGAAAACACAAGTCCCTTTCATGATGAATTTTTAGCACATAGATTAGGGTTAATACCAATTGATAGCAGAAATGTGAAAAATTATGAATTTCGGGAAAAGTGCAAATGTAAAGAAACTTGTTCAAAATGCACAATTCAATATGTAATACAAGTAAAATGTAACAATGCACACAAAATTGACATTTCTCATTATGACATTGAATCAGTAGACCATGAACCCAACATTCCTATGCCAACACCATATCAAAATAGAAAAAATAAAATGGAAGAAAATAGTGCAATTCCAATTGTTACTTTATCAAAAAATCAAACATTACATGTTAAACTAATAGCTACCAAAGGAATTGGGAAAATGCATGCTAAATGGATCCCAGCAAATGTGTCTTACAGAATTGATCACAAAGTACAAATAAAACATAATTTAATTAATACTCTCTCGCGTGAGAATAAATTGTTAATAGCAAATACTTTAAATAAAAACTGTTACATACTTAAAAACACCGATGCAGATGACAGTGATGTCTATTTGAAGTTAAATGAAAATATGTCCGTTGTTATGGCAGAAAGTTGTATTGAGTTACTGAACGAATTGGGACATAAAGATATTGTTAAAATAATTTATGATGAAACGAAATTTCATTTTAAAGTTGAATCCGTTGGTTCCATGCCACCAGAGCAGGTTGTTGAAATGGCCATAGAAATACTAGAAAACAAATTGAAAACCCTTGAACCACAAATTAAATCTTCCTTTTATTCCATTGACGAGGTTGCTAAGCAGCTAAAGGAACAGGGAGTTTCGTTATACGGAATTCAGCTCGACCTTGAGTGATTTTCCAGCCCCTGCATATCAGGACAGGGTGGTGTGTGTCACATTGGATTTCACACGAGGTGTGACGGTGAATTTGATGCGAAATTTGACGCGAAATATGATGCGAAATTTGATGCGAAATATGATGCGAAATTTGATGCGAAATATGATGCGAAATTTGATGCGAAATTTGATGCGAAATTTGATGCGAAATTTGATGCGAAATTTGATGCGAAATTTGATGCGAAATTTGATGCGAAATATGATGAGGGATGCACTTTCCACCATCACCCCCCCCTCCAAGTTATATTTAAGCCACTTTTGTTTTATCATACCCTATTTAATTATTCAGTTTAATTTAGTTATTTACTAATTTATGTACGAATTTACTTTCGCATTTATTTATTTTCAATTTATATTTTTTTTTTTTTTTTTTTCGTTCTCCCCTGCCCAAGCGACGTGGAATAACTTATTTATTTTTCCATCGCAAATGGCACCACAGCTTAGAGCAACATTTGCTACATTCTTATGACAGTGTTTAGGTTTATACGTGATCATAATTCAAAATATGCACACGAACATGCATATGTACGTGTGTTCAGTACATAATCTTACAATATTATGTTCCCATATTAAATCTCTCTTTTAGTTTTCCGTTGTGAATATTTGACATCAAAATGTTGAACAATCATTTGAAAAACACAGTTTGTCGAGAAGTACGCATAAAAGGAAAAAGTTGTAACTCGATAGACGATGTACCAGAAAAAATATAAATAGGAGCGTTGTATTTGTATATATATATGTATGTATTTATATATGGCTGAAGGGCCTATGTGTGTAGAGGGTTGGTGCGGTTAATAAGAAAATGCAGTGTGCAGAAATATGCGTGTTGTGTTTTATTAATATTTTTACTGCTCTACAGAGAATATGGACTTGTATTTTGGTGGAATCTCGGCATATGCACACACAATATACTTAGATCAAATGCAGACGAAACGGGAGAATAATACCGAACAAGTTGCATTGGGGACTTTATCCTTTATGTATAAATGAATGTTCATGGTGTGCTAAGTGTGTACATACTTGTGTGTGCATATCTCCCACGAGGCGTGTGAACAAAATACTCCCATTTTTACTTTCACTTTGGTTCTACTTTTCTTTTCAAACATGTTTGAATGAACTCACTAACTTTTTTAAGTAGTCTTTTCAAAAATTTATCCAAAAAATTGTACAGCATTTTTTTTCAACATTTTTAAAAAAAAAAAATTCTGAACAAAAAAAAAAAAAAAAAAAAAAAAAAAAAAAAAAAAATTTTTTAAAATTTAAAAAAAAAAAAATAAAAAAAAAAAAAAAAAAAAAAAAAAAAAAAAAAAAAACATGCGGAACTGGTCTTAAGTCAATTCACCCCATCAGATTAAAAAAATAATAATAAATAATGAAGTAACCTGAAATAACAAAAAATAACACTCCAAATGGAAAATGAAATACATATGTATATCTCCTAGTTCTGAATAGATCAGGTGATAAGCAAAAACGTTGTCACTATTGCACAGTCACATGTTCTGTAGAGAAACATTTTGTGGTAAGCGAAGCGCGTGAGAACTGTTCTTACGAAAAAGATAAAAAGGTTTGAAGTGTACTTATTTCTCAAGAGAGAAAAAAAAAAAAAAAAAAAATCAATCAAAATTGCAGCTCATATAACAAGTCCGTTAAGAAGGTCTTTAACACATTCAATTAACATAGTGTTCACCATTTGTGTAATACTTTTTGGTGTACAAAAATGAATGGGCTACATTGGTGTTATCTATTCTCCCTCGTCATGAACTTGTTGAAGGGATACAAATTATCTCACATATTTGGAGTCTCGAAGGTATTATAGAGAAAATTTTCTACACATCACTTCTCCATGTTTTCATCCTCACCGTCATATTTTTATTCCCCAGCTAATGTACTTCTTTTGTCTACACTTTAGATAACCCCTCCGAGGAATATCAAATTGAACGGAACAACAGATAAGAGAGAAAATTACTACCATTGTGGTGACAATAAAGTAGCATTAGTTACAGGTGCTGGACGAGGAATTGGAAGGAGTATTGCCAGAACATTAGCCAAATCGGTGTCCACTGTTTTGTGTATTAGTCGAACTCAGGTTGGTTAAATGAGATACAATGAAAATATAAAAATATGAATCAAGCATGTGTGTTTATGTGTAACAACATGTAACTTTGGGATAAATACAGCTAAGGGCGTTTTCCTACCTCAACATTGTCACTTTGCAATGCCGAATACTGTTTTTTTTTTTTTTTTTTTTTCCTCCTTATTTCCTCTTCTTCTTTTTCCTTTTCTTTTTTTTCTTTCACTTCGCACGCAGAAATCGTGCGACAGCATCGTGGATGAATTGAAATCAATGGGACACAAATCCTCGGGGTACGCAGTTGACGTAGCGGACAAAGACCAAGTGACAGAATTGCTTAACAAACTGTTAACAGAAAACAAAAACATAGACATACTTGTAAACAATGCAGGTATAACAAGAGATAACATTTCTCTCCGAATGAGTAGTACAGAATGGGAAGACGTGATAAAAACAAATTTAAATTCCTTGTTTTATGTTACTCAACCTATAGCTAAAAGAATGGTAAATAATCGATATGGCAGAATTATTAATATGTCTAGCATAGTTGGAATTACAGGGAATGCTGGTCAAATTAATTATTCATCTTCCAAGGCTGGTGTTATTGGCTTTACAAAAAGTCTATCCAAAGAATTAGCTTCAAGGAATATAACGGTAAATGCTGTAGCTCCTGGTTTTATATCAAGTGATATGACGAATATGATAAACGACCAAATAAAGGTAACATACGGGGGAAAAAAAGAAAAAACGGAAAAAAAAAAAAAAAAAAAAAAAAAAAAAACGTGATGCATTGTATTCCCATATTGAATTGAAATAGCTGTGCATGAGTTTATATTTTTACGATTCACAAAATAGAGATTTCCTTAGAGGAAATTTGATCGTTACTCATTTTGCAAATTTATTGCGAGTGACATGCTTGTCCGTTTTTTACATTTTCACAGCGTTCATTTTTTCCTTACTTTCATTCCCCTCTGCCACTTCCCCTTCAGAAGGACATAATTTCGCATATCCCAGCTGGGAGGATGGGAACACCGGAAGAGGTGAGAATTATTATGAGGATCAATTACATTGGCACTTAGAATATTTCGTTTAGATATATTTTTCTTGTGCACATATATATATATATATGTACCTACATACGCATTAGTGCTTGTTCCGACCTTTCTCTTCTTTTTTTATATAATATAGGTAGCTAATTTGGTAGCTTATCTCTCTTCCGATATTGCCTCATATATTAATGGAAATGTATTCGTAATTGACGGGGGGTTATCCAGTTAATTTTTCTTAAGATTGATGTGTCCTCAAAATTTTTCTCATTATTTTATATATCGTAGAAGAAGGTCATAATTAGGAGGTAACTATATTTTTAACAAGTAAAATTATAATATATATGTGTATTCAAACAAGTGTTATTTCCACATATTGTAAATACAACTCTTATACATTCTTCTTCGTTTTACCTATCTTTGTTTCTTTTTTTTTTCCTTTTTTTTTTTTTTTTTGCATTTAAAGGGGGGAAACCACTTTGTTAAGACAATATGCTGGAAATTTCGATAGATATTTCTATCATATTTACAATATCTGCACTTGTCTTCACACAATTAATTCTACACATACAACGTGATATTGTAGTTCTTTTTCGACATTTCTTTTAACATATTATAGGAAAAAAAAAAAAAAATAAAATAAAAATAATTACTAGAACGAATATGTACACATAGTGGACACAGTGGTTATGCATGAGGAAATTGCCTTTTTAAATTGCCAAAAAAATAACTTTGAAACAATGTTATGTTTCTTCCTTGGGTTATTTCCAGATTATCCTTTGCAAGTAGAAACATACAAGATGCATTTTTTAAATTATGTCAGTTGATTCTTCATGTGTGTAGGTAAATAAAAGCATATATGAAAGAATTATTCACAGAATAACGCAAAAAAGGGGGTGAAAAAAAATAAGGTGAAAAAAAAGGGGAATAAAAAAGAGAACGTCTAAATACGGACTCGCAACGGTTCATATGACCTACGTGTCTTAGTGCCGCTTCTCCACTCCACAGAAGGAAGAAAAAGTTTCCAAAGAGGGGATATAACTTTTTATGTGAAAAGTTCTCATTTCTGCAGAAATTATTTCCTATGCTTGTTCACACGGTTCACTCAATTCATGGGACATTTCTCGTCCATGCTAAAGGAGTCACCCAAAATGCTAATGTAGCTATACTATGTGATGATGTGTACAAAAGCATGAAAAGAAGAGATTTTTTTTTAAAAAAGTTATTTTTGTCGGCGTCATTTTTTTTTTTTTTTTTGTGATATAAAATTTGACGCAATCTTCTCTTATTTATGGTAGTTTTATTCAGTTTTGAATAGCATGACTTTGTCATATTTTTTTTTTTTTTTTTTTTTTTTTTTTTTTTTTTTTTTTTTTTTTTTTTTTTTTTGCTTTTATTTCGCTACCTTTTGTGCTTTAGCTTCGACATATTTTACTCTATTTTGTTGTGGTAGTCCAATAAATTGGGACATTATCGAATGGCTTAACGAATACCATATTGTGCATTATATTGTTTTACCCAATCATCATTTTCCTTTTAATTCCTGTATTATTTTATTTTTTTTTTTATTTCCCCATTGAATTTCACTGTAAGCATGAAAATGCGAAAATAAACTGACAAAACTACTTAAATAAATGATTACAAAATATGTAAGGATTCATGGAATGCAAAATTTAAAAACAAGCCTGAGAAACTGGAATGTGATTTTATAGAATAATGCCTCATAGTAATAGCATCGCACTCGAAGGAATATGTGCAACTGGAGACGAGCTCATTTGTTCTCATGAATCTATTTTTCTTCAATGACTCTGTACACACAAGCACATATACATATATATTTTTACACAATACATGATTCTTCGTTCATCTTAGTTATGTTCCTTTTTTTGTGTAAGAAATGCTAAGCGTACAAACATGGCACAGCAGCAACCAGGTGAATTTGCTCTTGCGAGGGAAATTTGTTAAGGGTAGCAAAAAGAACTTTCTTTTGGCTGCAAAGGTAAGCTTAACATCCTGTCCCTTGGGGCAGCTGTACATGCCCCCCCTGCCTGCTTGCAAATGTGCGCATGCACAAGTATGCATTATGGTGTTTGTTCATACATACATATAATGCGTGTTCGTGTACATATATAATGCGTGTTCGTATACATATATAATGTGTGTTTATATATATATATATATATATATCTATAATGTTTTTGCATGTATGCATCCTCATCCTGCGGATGGACGGCTTTTCCCCTGCTCTCGTTGTGCATATCTACACAGGACACCTATCTGGAGCTTCTAACGAGTGACTATAAAGAAACTATATACGTTCAAAACACCTTCCTTAAGATAATATATTTGCATGTAAGCCCGAGAATATTCAAGAAGTTCGCCCACTATTCACAAACAAAAAAGAAAAAAAATACATACACACATATATATATATATATGTACATACATATTAGCTCTATTTAACCGGCTTGTACATTTGTTTTACTCCACATCTATCCCCCCTAAATACTTGCACGAACCGTTTACACCACTTTAGTGTGTACAATGAATTTATTGGACACAGGTGATGGTTGTTATGTCACCCCTACTTGACGACATGTGCACATCTATCATACTTCTCGTGGTTACCCTAACAGATTCAGGAAGAAAAAGAACAAGACGAATTTCTCATAGCAGATGAAAAATTAAATTTTCGAATTTTAAAATTCGATGGATGTTTCGTTGAGACATGTTTCCTGGGAAATTTCCATTCAAAGAAATTAAAGAAGTATCTGGCATATTCAAAATTAAAAAATGGAAAGGAAAAAAATAAACTCATTGAAGAATACTCGAAATGTATTAACGTGTGTAGTATAAAGAATTTGTTTTTTGTGTGCATTGAAAATTTTATTTTTTTTCGAAAAGTAAAGGATAATAATTGGGTTAATAAACAATTAAATGAGTACTGTTGGAATTATAATTTTGGTATAAAACATATTTCAAATGAAAGAAACTTTAAAATTTTATATGATCCTATGAAGCTAAGACATTACATTATATACAAAAATAAAAATGGAAGAAAGCGGTTTAAGTATATCACCTCTTCCCTCAAGGATGGACACATGTCTCACATTTACAAGTTAAGCGGGAACGGATTCTCGTCAAAGGATGGTACTAGATACAACGACAGATTGGGTGACAGACAGGGTGGAAAATTGGGTGACATTCCTCGTGGCAAAGGTGAAAACAGAAAACACCCCTTGATGAAAAAAAGAAAGTGTCCCATTAAGTTGACAAAAATTCGCATCGAAAAGTGTCTAAAAAAAGATTCATTCTATTTGAAATTTCCTAAAAATATTTCTTTCATCACGCATTTAAAATGTATGACTCAGGATTATTCGAAAATCCAAAGTTGTCTGTTTTATGATGATAATGCAAGCACATGCAATGATTTCCCAAATGGGCAATGTTGTGGTACCACTAGCTTAAATACCATTCATAGTGAAAACTCCATGAGAGTATCGAATAATATTGTTAAGGATCTCTCAAATAAGTCATTATTTATTTTATTCAAGAGAAATATACCGAATGGACGGAACAAAATGGAAGAATACACCCCAGTAAACACTCCGAACAGAGTGAATGAAGAGGACGAAGAAGGAATTAATGCATCCCATGGAAGAAGTACTACTCTAAGTAATCCCAGCAAACTTGGATCCACTTCAAAGTATCAGAGATCTCATTGTTACGATAGAAATCAAGAAAATATCGAAATTAGGAGAAGGAGAAGACATGAATCTAATGATAAAAAATTTCCAGAGAAGATATTTTACAATGTATTTGATAATTGCATAAACTTAAAAATTTGCTTTATTGCAAGCGTTATAAGAAACAATAGCAGTTACACCGAATTTGTTAAAAATATATTATTTCTATGCGAAAAGGAAGAAGAAGAAATAATGAAATTAAAAATTCATTTATGGAAAACCAAATTGTTTGAGCAAAAAGATTGGGATATACTTAAAAATGGCAGTAATAATTTTCATACTGATGAGAATGCTCTTAATTATAATAATTTCTTCATAAATTACTTCTTCCAAATTAATCAAATTTATTATAACCATGATAATACACAAGATGACGAAATTAGAATAAATCATTTTGACTCTTGTCCATTGTGCACATACTATTTTTCAAAATTGAAACATTTCCAAAGGGACCCTATATATAACCACATTTTCGAAAGAAACTTTCTTTGTCGACAAGGGAGTGAAGAAATGGACCATTCAACAGAAGGAGACGTTTCAATGCATACAAACCGAGTTACTTCCTTTCTGTTTAATCTCAGCATTAGATTGAAACTTCTTCTCTTTTACTTTTCCATTTTTTTCTACTCAAGTAGTAAAACTTTGAACAGTTCGTCCGTGATTATATTGAAAAATCAAAGTGGAAATCTCTCCATTTTACGTGAGTTATCAATGCATATTTATTTTTTGAATACTTTTATTTTTCACATTTTCAAACATATGTGTAACCATCTGGAGGATGAAAACGCAAAGGGAGTTCATCTTTTAACCAATTCAACAATTGGAAAAGTTATTTTTAGGGAAGAGAATTCTACTATTGCACATTTGCACCATGCTAAGAAGGACCTAGTGCATCAGAAGAAAAAAACGAACGATACAGAGAAGAAAAATTCAGAAGGATCTATTCAAAATGGAAACGATGGGCTAACTGATGAGAATCTATTCTTGATAAAACAGAAATTAAATTATCTCATTGAGGATTACATTATTGCATGCAAACAAGGGGATAGTGTAACAGCTCAAACTGATTTGATCAAATCGAATGGCCACAGTTTAGAGAGAAAGCAAAGAAAGGTATCAAGTGATACTTCAGCATTTCATTTTGCACGTGTAAAAAGTTTGATAATGAATATGATGAATTTACAATTCTTATCTCACACCCTTTTGAAGGAAATGAATTTCGATTACAAAAGGGTAAGAGAAAAATTATTGCAAGGGAAGAAGAAAATGGAGAGGAAGCTGAAGAAGAAGGAGGAGAAGAAGGACGACGATGGAGAAACGAGTGTAAAAAATATGGGGACAAATAATCAATATCGATTTAACCATAAAACACACATAATACTAGTTACCTCAAATAACAATGGAAAGGCAAATATTATATTCTTTAAAAAAACAAGAAAAAAAAAAAAGATCACCGCTGACAATATTTTAATACCTGTCGGGAAATTATACCTCACCATGGAGGTTGAAAAAATTGAGAGAGTTATAAACGACTCATCATTTGTTTTATTTACAAAAAAGGAAATAGTTTTTATTTTTCATTTTTCCAGAACTTATGGTACCAACCTGACGTTAATAAATTTTAGCCTGTCTCATTATACCGATATGCACTATGTAGAAAAAATAAAATTTTTCAAAATTGTAAAAAAAAACAATGTGTACGAGGAAATAGAGGGGAATATTTTATTTTCAGATTATTTTTCAAAATGTATCAACTTAAACAATTTTATGAATATCCCTCTAGAGATGCGATTCTCCCCTTGTGTTAAAAGCGGGAAACAAGCCAAACACAAGCACAAGCACAAGGACAAAGTTAAAATAACAAAAAAGACATTTTTTCCGAGCAACCAAAATTACATAAACTCCTCGGATTATTTTTACCAATTAAGAAATGTTCCATATATTGACAGCTTTTACACTTATTCATTTGTGTATAACTATGAATATAAATTTTTTCATAAAACATGTGCAAACGAATGGGGGTCACCCTCCACACCTAATTGTCAATATGTTTGTGCGGATATGAAAAACGGGATTGTAGCAATTAGTACACACACATCTATGAGAACTGTCTGTTTAGATGACCAGCATATCAATGGTGTTATATCAGAATGGCAAAATAAATCACAACAAGAGCCCAAGACAGAATCACGAAAAAACAGAAGAAGTTCTATACATTCTCCTCCCATTCTTATCTCACTCAAAATCAGTAAAAGTATCTTTAACGAAATATACAAGAGAAGAAAGTGCTCCTTTTTTAACCATTCACAAGAAGACGATAGAAATAAAAGAGCGATGTCAAACAAGGGATCAGTTGAAGAGAATAACAAAATGAACTCTCGGAAGAGAAAAAAACGTCAAAAAGGAATTTTAATCTATCGGAATAATGAAAATTATACGATCAACAGGAACAAGAAAAATTGTTATGAGGATGAATTGCTCATAGAAAGAGAAGCACAAAAAGGATGTAAGAGTATAAATTATTTTCCAAAAGAAGATACATTAAAAAAAGTAGTAATAATAATACCATTAGGAAACAGTGAGATGAATGAAACCAATTTCACAGGACGTCCTTTCATTAAACGATATTTATCAATTGATCTTATAAAAAAAAAAATGATTGTAATTATTTTATTATTTGATATGCTAACTTCGAGAATGATAATAAAGAAAATCAATTTTGAAAGAATTAATATGACACTACAAGGGGATGAGAATACTTATTTCACTAATTTAATCGCATCATCAAATATTTTTTGTTGCATACACAGTGAGAGGGAAGAGCATGTGACATCTGTCAAATGGAAGAATAATTACAAAGCAGATACAAATAAAAGGGAGAAAAAATTCCAAAGATATGAACATGCTACACTTCCCCAATTCGTTGAAGAAAGCACGAATTTTATCCTAACATTGAGTAAGAAGCAAAAAGATGAGCTGTTCATAATCAAGTCTTATGTACAGAGAGAATCATACCAGAAGAATATATGGTATGATTGCAAAGAAGTAAGAAAGGCACATTACACGTATAACAAAACAAAAACAATGAAGGACTACAAATATAAGGAAAAAATAAACAGGAATAACTTGGGATACATGAAATGTAGACTCAATATGTCAAAGGAATTGAGAGAAATTACTAATTTGTGTAAACGCTCGACGGAAGAAGCGAAAAATAAAACAGATGATAATCACATTGTGAATGTGAAAAAGTTAAAAGAGAAAATATCAGATAAATTAATTATACTTGATAAAAATAGAGATTTATACAAATTAAGTATAGGTAATAAAATACTTTTAACAAAACATACAAATATACACTTGGATACATCTAGTACGAATATGTTTATGATAAAGTTTGACAAGAAACTTAGTATTCTCTGCATAACGAATTATTTCAAGTCCTTCTATTTATATATACGAACGGAGGATTTATATGAAACGTGCGAAAATTCGATATCCTTACTAAGTGAAGAAAGAAGTAAACTCAACCTAAGTACACACATGTTCATTACATCATTAAAAATAATTTCGAATGATAATTCAGAGAAAGCAGGGAAAGAAAAAAAAAAAATAAAAAATAAAATTACTACCCATGAATGGGATCCGCAACAGTGTAACGAACAAAAGTATACATTTAAAGTTATCAAAGAAGAACACGTAGACGCTTTGAATCTAATTAAAGACAAAATAATATTTGCAAAACGGATTTGGAAAAGAGGAAGAAATAATTTTTATGTTTTACAGCTGAGTATGAAATACATTGTTATAAATCAGTTTCATGTTAATATACATAGCAAAATACCATTAAAAATAGTAAGTACTTCCTCATGGGAACTCTCATCGTCCGTTTTAAATTATCACTTTGATAATAACATTCTTGCATTGTCATATATAAATTGTAATGTCGAATTGTTTTACTTAGACATGCTGAATAATGCATGTTTACTAATTGATAGCATCCAATGTACTGAAAGGGTATATTCCATATATTTTGCATCCAAAGTAGATAAAAAATTCACACCACCAAAATGGATTAAACATAATTACAGTTACATTTTACTATGTATAGGACTAAAGAGAAGATGCAAAATGAAAATTTATTACATCAACAGTAGTTTTAATATTCCATTCCTCTCAGAAACATTACCTACATTGAAAAATTCTACAATAATGTTAACCCAGTTACACGAGAATATATGTGAAAATGTTATTGAAGAAAACGACAAGATGACACAAAGTGGAACGAAATCTGAGATGGATTTGAACATAACAAAAAATCTCCGCCACATTTATTCTTTTGAGATATTGAAAAATACTTCCAAAGAAACTGGCGTTGCGGGAAGGACAAAAAATTTTGTGTCAGATTTTTATGAGTATACTATAGACACATTAAATGATCATTGTATTATCACGGGGATTGTGAAATTGAACAATTTTCTTTTGATTGGAACTAACGATGGAGTTGTAAAAGCGTATAATATTTTCTGTTATAATAATATCCCACGGAATGATTTATTTTTACCTAATTTCTGTATCTATAAAAGTCAGAAGAGAATAACAAAAATGTATGATGAATTTTTATTAGGGAATAATTCTGTTTACTTTGTAAATCCATTAAAAGGGGATGGTGATAAACCATTGACAACTAAAAAAGTTGTATATAAAAAGAGCTTCTATGTCGTTGCATTTTGTGAAAGCAGTATGTTTATGTTCACCTCTGACAGAGTTAAATTGAGACATTTAGAGAGAAAAAAAACAAATTGTATGAATGGGAGAAGTAGTGACCATGCGTGTATTCACCATTTTGTGTCTCCCGATTCTGACCACGGTTCTAGTAGTGGGTGGAAGAACTATTTAGAAGAAATGAAGATGAGGATGGACGCTTATTTGGGAAATCTGCTTAATTTAGAAAAAAATAAAGTTAAGTGCCTGGTAAGAAACAAATGCATTGGAGAAAACGCCATTCCGAGTAAAAACATTTTCGTTTTTCCCTTAAAGATTTTCAAAAAGAAGAGTACAACCCCCTTTAGATACCCGCGCGAGGAAAGCGAATCCGATGATTCGGACGAATCGTCAGGATTTCTTAAGCCAGAGGGGGGGGGGGAGGTTGAGCCGCCAAAAATGCTAGAAGCGCTAGAATCGTCAAAACAGCCAGAACCGCTGGAACCGTCAAAACAGTCAGAACCGCTAGAACCGCCAAAACAGCTAGAACCGCCAAAACAGCTAGAACCGCTAGAACCGTCAAAACAGTCAGAACCGCTAGAACCGTCAAAACAGTCAGAACCGCTAGAACCTGTTGACCTGCGCAAAATCGTTAACCCGCCCAGTGAGATAGCAAGTGGTCCCGCAGAGAAAACAAACGCTAAGGGGCATAATGGCTTTCTGTACTGGTTCTGCAAAATGAGTGAGCAGGATATGATGACCCCACCCAGTTCTCATTTCGACTATTCAAGAATTAACCAAAAAATTGTCAAAGTAAAATATGACATGAACGTAAATAATATTATCCTAATAAAAAACAATAACAAAATTTTTCCTTTCATAATAATTATCTCCATCAATCTTAAACTTTATTTTGGTCTCATTCAAATAAACATGTTATGTATTGAAAAAATGAAGAAATGTAAAGAGGAAAGTCAAATTGAAAAATTCGTAAAGTTTGATCCTACTCCTTCGTGTAATTTGCATACACAAAATTTTGTTCTATATTCTGAACATGTTAATAAGAGGGGGAAAAACGATTGTCATAAAAAAGGGATCAAGCAGGATCTCTTAAAAGAGGAGGAAAATGAATTCTCAAAGGAAGAGGTCAGTAAAAGAGATAGCATATCAGCAAGTGGAACTAACCGAATATCACATAAGAATAAAGAGAAAGGAAAGGGAATAGGTACGCACTGTAGTGGAAATCACATGTGTCTAAAATTCAATAGGAAAATTATAAAATTATTTAAAAATAACAACATATCGAACGTGTTTCTGATAAATCTAGACAGAAATTATATCCTCAGGGAGTTGTTCGAAATTTGTTCGACGACTGAAAAAGGAGAAATAATTGAGGTCATTGAAAATGAGACTAGGAAAAACAAGGAAAAAAATAACAATTCGAATGTACATACGCAACAGTGCACATATCCAAGTAGTGATTCTACAAAACATGGCACTGTAAACTTTAGCGCTTCACGTAGAAGGTATCATAGAGGAGAAAAACGTTTTGTCAAACTTCTCGTAAATATGAACGAGCGTGATTCTGACACAAGTGATAGAATTAACTCCATGTGCATATACAACCAATTATTCTTAAGAGATCATAACATCTTTTCACAAAACAAGCATATATTGTATCTTCTTCGAAATCAGTGCATAAATTTTGAAAATAGATTCTATGCCTTCATATTTTATAGTACATTCAGTAGAGGGTTTCAGCTGAATTCATTTTTTAAAGACAAATTCATACGGAATAATATAGCTACAAATTATGACATGCCTAACTTTGATTCTCCAAATGATGACCCAATGAAGGGTATATCATACTGGGAAAGTCATTGTGGGCTCAAAATTGAAGATCAGAAAAAGGATATGTTCCTTAATTACATGCACAGTGTTTGTCAAGCATTGGTTATGCTCATTCGGAAGAAGGTACTAGCTGTGATTAGTCAAAATTTATTTTTCAATTCGAGCTATAAGAAATACAGAGAAGGGGAGTTAGATCCCTATAGCCATATGCAAGCGAAAAATGAGAAAAAAAATTCAACGGGAATGTGTGAACCCATTTCGAAAGGAATCCACAGAAGCAGTGCTACAAAGAAAAATAAAGGAAGTGGAGACAACTCCAATTGCACAAAAAAGCAACGGAAATTTGGAGACAACAACTTTATACAATCAGAAAATATAGACAACCCTGCTAATTTGTCAAATGGGAATGGTTGTAGTGGCGATGGTGGTAATAGTAGTAGTATAAAAAGCTTTTTAAAAATTCCATCAGGAGAAAAGATACCCCCCGAGGGACCAAGCTCTAGCCGAAATGAATTTTTAAAATGTTCAAAAAAGAAAGAAGAGGAGAAGGAGATTAACCTTCTTGATCTGAAAAACGTAGGAAAGGAAATGAATTCAAAAGTGTGCAGTAAGAGAAAATTTATTCAGAAAAGAAACTTTGTGACAAAAAAGCTGTTTGATCTTTTGTTATACTATATAAACAACATACATAGAGAAAGACTACTAGGGAGAACAGGTCTTACGGAATCATCATATCCAGAGGAAGTTCAGGCGATGGATGAATGTAATCGATTTTGTGAAGCCCATTCGAATATTTCTTCTAAAGGAAGAGAAACAGAAAGTGCGATGAAAACTCCAAAAAAGGAGAAAAATGGAATAACCCTAGAAAATAATGGAAAATCTAATTACTACCTAACCTTCCTCGTTGTGCACCTTAAAGGAAGCAAATATCACTTTAGCAGTGTGACCGAATACTACAAGATAGTAAATAAAAAGGTTCAAAAAGTGAAAGACATTTTCGAAATGGACTTATCAGAATGCCTCATGGGGGGAAAAGGAATCGAGAACAGAAATTCCTCAGGTAGGAGAAATGGCCTTGAGTACTTGGCACATAAAAAAGAATACATAAAAATTAGAAGAAAAATAATACTTAAAAATGGCTATTTTAACCCACGAAAAAGAAATAGAAATTGGAGCACAAATGGGAGCAGAAGTGTGAGCATAAATAGAAAATCCAACATGTTAGCATCTCGACAAGGTACTGCATACCGGATGCAGGAAAAAAAAAGGGGACGTAAGCTGAATCGAACATCATTTAAAGAATTCTTAAGCTGCTTAACTCAAAGGAGTGAAAAAATAAAAAAAAGGAAGGAAAAATACAAAAAAAAACAAATTTGCAATGTGAAGAAAAAGGATGAAAGTTATGATTGCCTTTTCATATATGTGAATAACCTGCGGTATCAATATCGAGAAATTGTCCTATGTAGATTAAAAAGAAAGATTAACAAGATGCTTAAATTTGACAGAAACGATCTCTTCCTCATGATGAAGATTGATTTGCACTATGTCTTTCTGCTGAATTATAGAAGGCAGATTTCCTTCTGGATTAATATCAAACATGTGTATAAAAATATACTTGTTATGCGTTTTGAGCACAAAACTGTCTCGAATATATCAACGAATCAGTCGTGCAAATCGTGCGAATCTTACAAACCGTGCGAATCTTACAAACCGTGCGAATCTTACAAACCGTGCGAATCTTACAAACCGTGCAAATCGTGCAAATCGTGCGAATCTTACAAACCGTGCGAATCTTACAAACCGTGCGAATCCTACAAATCGTGTACAATCCATGAAGGGACGAACTCCTCAAGGATGGATGTGACTATGGATCATAAAATTCGGCCAATGGTGGGAACCCCCTTCCCCACAGCAAGGACACAAACAGATAAAAATTCCTTGATATTCAAAAAAATGAAACGAGAAGATATTTTAGATTTATTCCTTAAGAATACCTACTCAAACCCATTAACATACATGGGTAAGAATATGAAAAACATAATGGCCTTCCTCAACAAGTTTATAATATTTACTCAAAATAATAATATAGTGATTCTAAAAATTGTACTTTCAAAAAGTAATCGGAAAATTGTAGGGCATGGAAATGGAATAATGGAATGTATTTTACAGAATTGTGTTTATGATAGGAATAGACTACTCTACTGCACGGAAGATGGACGAATAATTAAATTCTCTGACGTATTTAAACATCTAATAAGAAAACAGTATGTTATAAGAAAAAAGCCAATAGATCAGAAAAACATAACAGAAATGGAATACATAGACAGTTTGATCAAAGATAGAACCATGACAGAATCGATCAGTAATCAAAATGGAAACTCCCAACACCGTGGCACCAGCACAGGTGGAAGTTATCAAACGGAGAGAAACGTCAACGTCACGCACGCACCTCAACTGAATAATACACAGATGAGGAATGCACAGATGAGGAATACCCTAATGGGGATCAGTCACCCCGAGAGAACCTCCAATAGAAGGGTAGTGGAACAGACAAGGAACATAAACCGAAACGCATATACAAACAGACAGTATGACATGATGAAGCAAACGGAAGAAAAGTATGTCGATATATTTGCAAATTATATATTCGAAGATTATTTTAAACGTAGTGAGAAGGAATTTTTTTATCCTCTAAAATATGAGATAGTTGAGCACTACAGGAATTTTGAAAACATCGAAGAGATAAATGACATGAATGTACATGAAAATAAAGTGCTAATAATTACAAAAAGTTACATACGCTTATACGAATATGATGAGACGAAAAATTTTTTATTTCTACAATGTTGTAACAGTTTTTATAATATTAACAATATATATGTAAATGAAAGGTACAGAAAATCGTTAGTTCTGCGTGGAATTTTTGAAAATGTGAATATCATATCGAAACGGTATGTTTCCATTTATTACGTACTTTGGAAAGAACTACGACACATAGGAAACTTAAAGTTTAGAAATGAAATAAAATTTATTTTCGAAAATAAACTCCTCAGCAATATCCTTGGATTTAATATGAACATAAATAAAAAGGAACATATTATAGATAGCTTAAGGACATATCATAAACTTTTTTACAATTTTTTTCTTATTGACACAAAGTGTAATATTTTCACCATATATAGTTCCCTACTTAAAGAAGAAAATAGTGAAAAACAAAATTATTTTTATGATGATAATAGAGCTGTTCAAATATGTTATGATCTCATGCTATTTTTTCAAATACTCATTAATGGGAAGAAAAACAAACAAAACAGACAACAATATGACCTGCTTAACCAGACTTTTTTACACAAAGGAAAATACACGAATTCGAAACAAATCAAAAAACTTCAAAGGAACTTTTTTTATAATAAATATTTTATCAAAGCAAAGTACAAAACTGTTTTAACCATTTTTATACATAGAGTATTTATCTATATGAATAAAAAAATAGTATTTTTAAAAAATATTTTTTCTCAAAGTTTTACGGATAACTTCTTACTAGAATTAAAATTAAGAGTATATAACAGAATACTCAAATTAAGTTCATACGAATTTTCAGATAGAAAAAGTGCTTTTCACTTGTTAAATTATATGTATGATTTGAGAGCCAATAAGAATATTCCCTATTTTTCTCTCAAATCAAGAATACAAGATTATGATGATATCATAACAACTGAACTTTATAATATGAAAATCTCTCCCACCTCTACTCTACATGCAAAAGAGGGAAAACATGGAAATTTAAATGATCATCTCCAATTTCAATGTAACAGCGGAGACAAACCACCTGATTACATTTTGCAACAATACACATTTACATCACCCACTGTTATGAAAGAAACTTGTTTAGAAGAGACTATCACGCGCAGAATTGAAGATATTAATAAATACCGATTCGAGCCTATAAAAGACTACAATGATGTTGTAAGAAACAATATAAGGGATAACTCATACTATGATGTGGATTTTTATTATTTCCTTGATTGCACGTATAATATGGAAAATTCCTTTTCGAGAAAAGCAAAAGTTGTTGAATATAAAAATTTTTTAAAAAATAGTTTTGCAGACAATTCTCTATTTCAGATTTATTTTCATTTTTTAATATACATGTCAAATAATCCCAATATGTTTTATCACATCAAAAAATATTTACATTTCCATCCATACTCAACCAAGTTATTAAAAAATAATACATATTACTTTCATATGGATTTACTCAACATTATTTTTCATTTTGACAACAATGCATTGGGTGAATTCAAAAGTGTTCTCAGTTTATTTCCTACGAGCCCTTCTCTGGACGAAGTTTTCAAAGCACTTACATTATTGTGCACCCCATTTTCGAATGCTTAAAGAGATCACATTTTCTCTCCAACGTGTGGGGATCTCAAACAGGTGTGCCTAAAAATGCAGGCACGAATATGTATCCATATATATATGCATGTGTATGTGTGCGTCTTCCCGCCGAGAGTTATATAGTACGCTCTTTCTTCTTTTTTTCCCAATTTTTGGCTATTTTTCCCTATTTTTTGCTATTTTTTGCTATTTTTCCCTATTTTTTGCTATTTTTCCCTATTTTTTGCTATTTTTCCCTATTTTTTCCTTTTTTTTGCTATTTTTTTTTTTTTTCTTTTTTTTTCCTGTGTGTGCACAAAGTCTTTACCCCCAAGGTTCCTCCATCAGAACACATGACCACGTTGTGACTTACCCAAATACACATTTTACATGCATGCCATTTTGCACACAACTTTGCATGGGGTATATATATCCGACGTGCATTTCGTTTTGTGTGTATGTGTATTCATATGTTCTATTGTTCTATGGTTTGTGCACACACACGTGCACTCAATCATTTGGTGTTTGTCCATCATCTCTTTTTACTAATAATACAAAATAAACACATTTTGTTTTTGCTATGCAGCTAATGTAGTTACAATTTTACTAAATCCATCAGCACGTATATATGTTCATATATATATATGAACATATGTATGCCCCATAAGGTAAATACTTATGAAGGTGCACATATCATATAGTCCCTTCCTTGGGAGTAGCATTAGCTAAATTTTTACGGCGCCTTTTCTTAAAAACATTAAAACCATTGGATCACACATATTTTTAATTTTAAATTGTAAACAAACGGAATAAAATATATAAATATTTGCATGTATGTTTATATGTATATATAATGAGGTTACATTGATGTGTGTACATCAAAAATGCAGATACCAGTTTATGTCTTACCCCACGCGTAATAACTACAATTGTTTTTTCTTTTTTTTTTTTGTTTAAAAAAGGAGGTTGGCATGAAAATATTTTCACCTATATTTGAGGACTTGGGGGTTCCTGAGGGACAGGGGAACTACAAGTAATATAACATTTTACTCAACTTATTTATTCCATGGCACATTGCTATCTTACTAATAGCAACATCATTGTTACGCCTGAGCGGCTTAAAAGTTTTGTTATACAAAATATATACATGCCTTGTAAGAGCTAAATTGGGAATGAGAAAAATGGAAAAATTATTTCTCCCACTCCTCCCTCATCTTATAAGAAATCCTAAGCACAACAAACACGCTTATTTGAAATCAGAATGTTTTTATTTTTTTCTTCTTTTTTTCTTCTTTTGTTCTTCTTTTTTTCTTCCTTTTTTTCTCTTACATTTTTTTGTACCTTTATAATGACAAAACCTTTATCTGTTTTCCTTTTTCTGTTTTTCCTGTTCCATTTTGTTACATTTTACACTATGTTTCTTTAAACTGTGAGAGGAAAGCTACAATTTATATATATATAAAAAAAAAAAATAAATAAATAAAATAAAAATACACTACAATGTATTGCAAAGTTTGTATGATCACGATACATACTTAGATTTGGGGTACTATTGTCAAAGTTGAAAAGAACAAAAAAAAAAAAAAAAATAATAAAATAGTAAAGTAATAAAAAAATAAAGCAATAAAATAATAAAAGAAATTAAATAAATGAAGGGAAAAAAAAAAAAAAAAAAAAATGAACAGTTAGAGTAACACATAATAAAGAGCTAGTATACACTGTATGAAAAAATCGAATGAAAAAGTGGTATGTTATCATTAACTAATTTTATTCGTTTTTACTTTCTATTCTTAGAAGAATTATTTCTTATCACGGATAATTTGCACAATTTCTCGAACTTTTTTATTAACCGTTTCATACGATTTGAAAATAATACAAAAAAATAACTTCAATTCGTATTAACAAATTTGAAAAGGAAAACTGTCTAGAATTTTTAGCCGCTCCAAAACAAAATAAAACTTAAAACACTATAAAATTTTTGCACAATAGCATTAGCAAATTTGTTCCTTTAACTTTTTCCCTTTTTTTTTTTTTTGTTTTGTTTTGTCATTTTGAATAAGAATATGAGATATAAAATAAACATTAGAAAGAGTACAATTTATTATGGACTCACTTGATAGTATTATAAAGAAAAAGAAGGAAGAAATAAAAGGTTAGCGAGAGAAGCAGAACGACATACATGCTATGCACACATACAAATGCACACTTTGCGTATATGCATAAACATGTTTTCGAGTATCAGTTCCAACATTTGTGTATTTAAAACATAAGATACATACATGCTCGAATGAATGCAAAACAAAATAATTATTTTTTTTTTTTACCTTATTTTATTTTAATCCTATTACTTCTCTTCCCCAAAACTCATTATTCCATATTTCTCATAAGATAGAAATTAAGGGAAATAAGAGATGGCTCAAACAGTCAGATTTGGAGAGTAAGAAAAATACAGAAATACAAAAATTTTATGAAAATGAATATAAAAAGAAGAAAATAGAAGACTATGAAAGGTTAAAGGTAAAAAAAAAAAAAATAATAAACTATGTAAATGTATAATAAATGCTGAAACAGGACCTTTGTTTTACCCGAATGGGTGCCCTTTCCGATTTGTTTAATTGCATTGTACCTCGTTATGTCAGCTGGTCATATATTATATCACTCCACATTGTATCATGTTACATCATATCATGTTGTACAAGGCTACATATATATATATATATATTTTCCTCTCCCTCGCAAGAAATTGAATGAAGAACTAGATGCAAAACATAGGAAACAGAGCAAGGATATAGAGAATGAAGAAACCAACACAAGTAAAATATATATACATACGTTCGTGCATATATTTATATGAAATAATTATTTAATCACGCATTCATTTTTCATCATAACATTTACAACATCGACAAGTGTTTGATGTTTGTCCAAATGATGTATTAGGAAATGTTGCAAACGCGCAAAATAATACAATTACCTTGTTTCGTTAACCTTCAGTTCAATATATATATGTATGTATATATATATATATATTTTATATATATAACATTGATACTTTTTTACCTTAAGAAATAACACTAACGAATAAACAGATAATTGTTCTGTTGAGACAGCTTAAGGAACCAATTAGGCTCTTTGGAGAAACTGATTTGGAAAGGTACCTTAAAATAAAAGATATCAAAAATGTGTACCTGTCTATATGTGAGCACAATTTTTTTTCTGCACTAATTCTGCCAACCTTTAGTAAATTACCAATTTCTATCTTATCACTACAGATACAACAGACTGAAGGAGTTAAAAATAAACAAAAACGAGTTGAAAATTAATGTGCAAAATGTGTTTGGCGATGTTCTACGGGGCAGGTAATACATTTTACAAGCACGAGCAGATAAACATGCACATATACATGTATACATATACATATACATATACGTATGGAAGTATGTAGGCTCATACTTATATTCCTTTGTGCACATGGATAAATTCCATACAAGAAAAAGCTTTTTTGTATGTGGGTGTAGAAGGAATAAAATAAACATATCATTAATTTTTTTTTTTTTTTTTTTTTTAGATTAAAAGAAAATTCTCTAGATTTAATTGAGGATAATCTAGAAGAAGAAATCGAAAACACGAACTCGAAGAAGCCAGTAAAATTGAATGGATCAACAAATGAAAAACCAAGCGATGAAAAGGGCCAAAGAGTAGACAAAGAAAAGGTCATACAAGATTGGATTAAAAGCACAATGAAGGAATGGAATGAAGAAATTGAGAATAGTGATGATAGCAAAAAGAAAATAAAGCAAGCCACATATTTGCAAACGCACAAGGATTTAAAACCACTGGAAAAAAAGTTAAAACAAAAAAGGTAGGAATTGTTTAAATCGGTGGTGCAAATGTCGAAATGAGATTAATGAATATTGCTATGCCGGTATGGCACTTTATATATATATATATATATATTAACTTTTTATTTTTATTTTTTTCATTGCAGCCTGGAACCAGACGTGCTGGATAAAATATACAATATTGTTTCCCGTTGTCAAGAGAAGAACTTCAAAGCGGCTCATGATGCGTAAGGATAATGAAAGAGCACTAAAAGGGGGTTGACCCGAATGGGCAATTTTTGCCTTAGTTCACCACTCTGCATTTCGTCATATTTTATGTATCCACAATTTGGCGAAATCTGTATTTGTACATATATAAACATATATATATAGTCACATACACTTGCATGAAATGCATTATATATATATATATATATATATTTTTTTTTTTTTTTTTTTTTTTTTTTTTTTTTTTTTAGTTATATGATGCTCGCTATAGGAAATGCCGCTTGGCCAATGGGTGTTACGATGGTTGGAATTCACGAGCGTGCGGGTCGATCCAAAATTTTTTCATCCGAAGTAAGAAAATGGTACATGCAAACATTATGATATTGCATGTATGAATGTGCACCATGTGTGAATGTTTTTGCGAAAAAGGAAATTGCAAATTATTCACGTTTTTCATGTGGCATTAATGTTGTTCTATATTTTTTTTTTTGCCAGCACGTTTACATAAACCGACAAAAATTTGCATGTACCCATTGTTTTTCCCCTTGCTTCACAGGTTGCACACATCCTTAATGACGAAACTACAAGGAAATATATTCAAATGATCAAAAGGTAAAAAGTTCACGAATATGTCAAGAAACATACGTTTGCGCAATATGAATTAGTAAATGTCTATACAAACCAATGTTCTCTACATAAGGCATGCCCATAATAAATGCGGATGTGTAAAAGGGGTGTTGAGAGTTTTTCCTTTTTTTTTTTTGTGTGTATCCCATTTTTATTCTTTATTTTGATTTGCACTACTATATTCTGCTTTATTTTTCGTTTTTTTTTTTCTTTTTTTTTAAGGTTATTATCCTTTTGTCAACGGAAATATTGTACCAACCCATCAGAAGCAGTTAACTTGTCTACCATCCACATTTAATGTTTTGTTTTTTTTTCCCCAAATGTGGAAAACATTTTTAATTTTTTCGTGTATACCGTGTTACTTCAGATCATATCTTATTGCATTAAGCTTATACATATATATATATATATATATATATATATATATATATATATGCTATGTTCCCATATTATGGCACCTTTTTTTAAATTTTCAAAAAGACACAAAACAGTGATTTTATTTTTTATAAATTATATCTCCTTTCGCCTTTCGCAAATTTTTGTTTAAAAAAATATGTATATGTTTACTTACCAGTAGCAATAAAATTATCATAAAAAAAAAAAAAAAAAAAAAAAAAAAGGGAGAAAGATATATATATATAGGCAGATACATATATTTAGGAAGAGAAATAGGAAAAAAAAAAAAAAAAAAAAAAAAGAGTCAATATATAGTAATCAAGTATAGTAATCAAGTCGAACTTAATAAGAACTAAAAAGCTTTGGTACTGCATGGATATATAATGGTGGAAACGGATTGGGCATGCGCTTTCAAACAAAATCATAATGGAAATTACGTATTCCTATTCCATTGGTGTATGTACATATATATATATATATATATATGCCAACGTATGTAAAAACATTCACATATAACTTTTTAGTTTTCAAAAAAGTTATAATAAAAAAGGGAAAAAATAAAGATGCCAATTGTTTTTCGACAAAATGTAAAGCGTCTAAAAATGCCCATTATGTAACTGTGAAGCAAAGGTTGGGGATACATTTCGACACATACATATGTGTAATGTGAATACACATGCATAAACATTTTTCAACTCAAGTTTAGCAGCTGTAATACAAGTAGTAATCATAAGGTGTCACCTTTTTATTGTAGTCAGCTATTTCGTTTCTTTTAAATTTTATATATTCTTGTATCATTTCCTGCGTGGAGAAAAAAAAAAAAAAAAAAAAAAAGGAATAAAACATGAATGTAAAATTAGCTAGCGGTGTCAACAAAAGTGTCTTGGATTTCCTCTCATCTCCCCCCCCTCACCCCATGTACATGTTGTGAAAGATGGTATTCACAAATGTATAAACAAGTTTTGTATTTAGAAAGACAGGTGGCTGAATGTAGAAGCATCTGCTTCAATACATCGTGGGGGCAGGAAAAGGTGTGTATGTGTGTGTGCATGTTTTTTCCTGTTTCGATTTGTTCGGGTTTTACCTCAGTAAAGATATTATTCACTGTCAAAAATGCGTGATCTTTTTCTAATGCATCCAAACTTTCTTCTAGAGAAAAACATATGTTTTCTGGCTCTTTTGACTTAAAAAAATTGACAAATTGTTGATTGTTCTTTATATCATGTATAGAATCATAATTTTCCAAAGCGTGCGTACGGATTTGAAAATTACCTGAATTTTGGACGTAATTAGAAAATATACTAGATATATAAAAGTTACCATCTTTACTTTCAAGTGGCACTAGAGGTTGTTCCTTTGATTTGATTCCATCGTATCCAGCTAAAATTATAGATGCTAGAACTAAATGTGGTGAATTGACACAATCAGGTAATCTAAATTCAATCCTCTTTTCACAAGGCTTGTTATAATTAAGCATTGATAATCTAATAACGGCACTCCTCGATCCAAAGGTATAAAATAATTTCTGACATGTTTCAAATCCGGGTACTAATCTTTTATATGAATTCATAGTAGAGTTACAAAAGGCTTGTAAAGATTTTGCATGTTTAATAATTCCATTCATAAAATAAAAAGATTCTTTTGAGAAAAAAAAAGTTGACGGATCATCATTAAAGAAAATATTTTTATCATTTTTCCATAGAGAAATGTTACAATGTAATCCACTTCCATTATCATTTGCTAATGGTTTTGGCATAAATGTAGCGGTTCTGTTAAAAGTATGAACAGTGCTTTTAATTATCTGTTTTGTTATGAGTATATTATCAGCATTTCGAAGAGCATCAAAATATTTTAAAGATATTTCTTGCTGACTTGTTGAAACTTCATGATGATATTTCTGCACATTTATATTTAAATTATTTAAAATTCTGCATATTCGAATTTTAATAATGTTTGAAGTATCATATGGGTCCGTAGCAAAATATCCACATTTTTTTTTTATTTTTTTACTATCATCGTTTATTAAATCATTATTATTTTGTGTTGGAAAACGAGAATCATTTGATTCTGAATTATTTATCATATTATTATTATTTCTTGAACTTTTTGACAAATCATTTTTACAAGAAAAAGATTCTTTATCATATACTTTTAAATAACTATCATAATCATCTAAACCGAAATTCACTTTATCAAAAATGAAAAATTCAATTTCATTTCCTATATATATTTTGTCTGCTATATTTTCCTTCTTAATAAAATCACAAGTTTTCTTCAAAATACTTCGTGGACATTTGTAATAGTCAAATCCGTTATACCTCTTAATATCACACATTATGTTTAGTACATTTTTTCCATCACAGTTTTCAATGTAACATGTAGAAATATCGATCCTTAAATAAAAATCACTCACTTCTACATCTGAACATAATTTAATGGAGGATGCATCAAATGGAAAACCGTCTTCCAATTTAGACATGGAAATTTCATTAACATAGTAAAAGCATTTGAAAAGGGTTCCAAGGAGGTTGCTAATAATGCATGCTACTATTTCTATGTCATTTTGCTTGTCGTTTATAAAATCGAACAGCTCAGCTGTGCTTGAAAAGCAAATAGGTTCTTCATGGGCGAATTCCAGAAGTAAACAAGGGGTGGAGGTGGGGCCGATGGGGAGCGATGAAAATGGGGGAAACGTAGTGTGCGCGTGCAAATGGTGGGGAGAAAATTAAGTCCTCATCAAATTGTGCCAAGGTGCACCATGGGACCGTGAGGATAGTGTTCATGCACAGTTGTTACGCAAGAGGAGCTCGTGAAATCGAAAAAATACACATACATACATACATTCACACACACTAATGCTTGCAATATGTCACTTTTCAAAACATTCAGATGTATATTTTTTTTTTTTTTCCCATTAGCGTAGAAACTATAACTTGTTTATTCTCTTTCTAACTTACTCATTTTAAAAAAAAGCTAGCTAAGCTTTTCAATCCGAAAGTTCTCCCGTTTTTCCAAAATCCACTTATCTATCACTCTTTTCGGAAAATGTTATAAATCTACCTTGCACGCGAAACTTTTTTTTTTTTTGTTACCCTTTTTTTTGCTACCCTTTTTTTTTTGCTACCCTTTTTTTATGGCTAACCTCTTTTATGGTTAACCTCTTTTATTTCTATCTTTTTTTTTTTTTTTTTTTTTAAAACTAAAACGTTTAGGAGGAATGGAAATATATGAGATGGGTATCAGGGTTCATATGGTACACTATACTAGTAGGGAACAGCTCAGGAAAATATACATCAACTTTTAAAATATTGTAACTATTGTGAGAAAAAAGCATAAAATGAATTATTTAGCTTTTCACACTTGTTTGGGGGTTAATAAAAAGTTGGCATCATATTTTTGCTCATCCCCTTATCGTGTTAATATTAATGAGCTGATTTTTTTTTCTTTATATAAAATGTGACAATCTAAATGATGTTCAGAACACGCTTCTATAAGCATTTGTAAAATGTTCATACATAAAACAAACACTTATTTTTCAAGTAGTGCATATGGGGAAGACTCATTCAGTCGTATAAAATGTGAAAAACGCTTTATGTTAATTTATACCTGAGGGAAAAGGAGGAAGAAGGGAGAAGGAGCAGGGGCAAGCAGCACCACAATACAAATCAAGAAAATGAAGGAGTAAAAATGTTTTAAAAATTAAATCATCCTATTATTACCCATGTTTGGTGAGAAAACTGTGTTAATAAAATTCAGAAAAGCCAGGAGAAAAAAAATATTTACATATATATGTACATATATACATATATATATACGTATCTTCATTTTGCCAACTTTTCCGTAAAGCATACAAAGATCTTGTAACGTGGAGCCAGCCCCCCTCTCCTATCCTCCCTCTTACTCACCCCGGAGGCAAATTAAGGAATACGAAAATTATAATACTTGTAAATTTTATTTTTATTTTTACTTTTTTTTTTTTTTTTTTTTTTTTTACAAATGCATATACATTTTCAAATTTGTTATATATAGTATATATACACAAATAAAAATATTCCTCATTTGTGTATGAAAGCAAAGTGGCATGAAATATAAAGTCTTTTACGGGAGTGAAAAGATTATATATTTACTTCATGTGCACATTCCCCCATCATGTTTAATGCTGACATATTTCTTTTTATCTTCTTTTATGACATGACACCTGTCTGATTACCCTAAATTCCATATCCTAATTGTTGACCAAAATTGGGTACAGGGAAACATTCTAATATTAGTTAACGCACTGTATATTAATGTGAAAAAAGACTAGGGTGAGGGGTGGGAAAAAAAAAAAAAAAATTATATATGGGGTTATAATAACATTGGTAAGGGGGTATGATCTAGATGGTAGTTGCATGGCATTGTTGGGTTACATAATATCATTTCGAAAATGACAAGTTAAGAAATTTATATTTTTCTTTTTCCCTCATGCATTTGTTCGTTCAATGATTTTTTTTTTTATCAACAAATATGGGTATCATTTCAACAGCACTGCAATTTATAAACGATTGTATATGATAACACACAAATGTATTTCTGTCACACCTCTTAAGGTATATATATATATATATACGTTTACACATATCATGACTTTCGTTTCATACATCACAGTTTCAAAAGTGCAAAAGGGATCATATAATATGTGCATTTGATTTGTTCATAAAAGTAATAAAAAAAAAAAAAAAAGGGTAAGCACTTACAAGGACTTAATGAGGAAAAAATCATTCAATGTGCAATATGCTATGTTCAATAAGCCATATTCAATTCAATATGCCATGATCAAAGTTCAACTTTTTTTTTTTTTTTTTTTTTTTTTTGCATTGAGGAAAAAGTTGGTGCATCGTTCATATACAAGCCAAGTTTCATGACACATGTGCATATGTAAAGGAATGAAGGAATGTAACGTGTGCGTGGCACTCGATTTAGTAAACAAATTATCTACATACACACAGACACAAGTGGGGAGTAATAAAATCATATAGCACAGTCCTTGGAATGTCATTCTACTTGTTGGATAAAGCCAAAACTCCTGGAAGTTCTTTTCCCTCAAGCAATTCAAGAGAAGCACCTCCACCAGTAGAAACGTGACTAATTTCATTTTTCTTTTGCTGTTGTTCAACTAACGAAGCTGTGTCTCCACCTCCAACAATAGTAATTGCTCCATTTTTGGTAGCTTCAATAACTAATTTTAAACATTCTATACTGCCTTTAGCAAAATTTGGCATTTCAAAAACACCTTGTGGGCCATTCCAAATAATCGTTTTTGAGTTCAATATTACATCTTTATAATTTTCAATACTTTTAGGACCTGCATCTAAGCCCATCCAATGATCTTCAATACCTTCTTCTTCAGTTACAATTTTGGTGTTAGCATTATTATCAAATTTGTCTGCAATTTTAAAATCAACTGGTAGATATATTTCTACATTTTTAGCTTTTGCTTTTTCCATAATTTCATTTACTATTTTACTTCCTGCTTCATCAAATAATGAATCACCAATTTTCATATTATTCAATACATACTTAAATGTGTATGCCATACCACCACCAATAATCATTTTGTCAACCTTGTCAAGTAAATTTTTTATTAATTGAATTTTATCTGATACTTTAGCACCACCTAAAATAGCTAGTAATGGTCTCTGTGGATTTTCTAAAGCTTTACTGAAATATTCTAATTCTTTTTTCATTAAAAATCCAGATGCTTTAACATTCAATTTGACTCCAACCATACTACTATGGGCTCGATGTGCAGTACCAAATGCATCGTTAATAAATATATCTCCTAATTTTGTTAATGCATTTTGAAATGAATCAATGTTTTCTTTGCTTGCTTTTATTTTATTTCCGTTTGCATCTATTCCTTTTCCTTCTTCTTCAATATGAAATCTTAGATTTTCCAATAAAATAACTGAATTTTCTTTCGCATTATTTATTTCCTTTTCTATTTCTTCTCCTACACAGTCATTTAAAAATAACACATCTTCTCCTAGCAATGTTTTCAATGTATCTGCAACAGGTTTTAATGTATACTTTGGATTCTTCAATCCATCTGGTCTTCCACAATGTGAAATTAATATAATTTTAGATGCCCCCTCCTTTTTCAAATAATTTATAGTTGGTAAAGTTGCAGTGATTCTATTCTTATCTTTTATGGTTCCATTCTCAATGGGGACGTTGAAGTCTACTCTCACCAGAACCTTTTTTCCCTTGATGTCCTTTAAGTCTGTGATGCTTAGCTTATTTCCTAACATCTTTTTCGACCTGTCATATGTGGGGAAGTGGTGATACGTGGTGAGATATGGTATAACGTGTTTACAACTGTTTTGAAATATTTAGACGTTTTTAGAAGTACTGTGATGCAAAAGTAGGGGAGCAGAATACAAATTCAAAGTATCTATTATATGTTGGGATGGCCATATATATACAATTTCAACTTTTGCTTTGTTCCTTCTACCCTCTCTCTACGTGTGTATATTCATAGTGCTAATAACGCGCACGAGGTATTGCATGCAAAAAAAAAAAAATAAATAAAAATTGAAAAAAAAGTTCCACTATATGACCAGAAAAAGATTGTAACCAACTCTCTTCCCCTTCTTCTAATACACTCACATCACATGTAAAAAAGTGTTCATTTCTTACTTTTAAGTTAACTTTTTCCTTTGTAGGATATATTAATATATTTGAATATATGGTGTGTTAAAAAAAAAAAAAAAAAAAAAAAGGTAAAAGCTATTTAAGAAAAAAACTGTATTTTTCTTCTTAATGAATTATATTCCTGTAAACTTTGTGTGTTATTGAAAAATATGTTTTTTGATAATGTATACCTTGTATATATATCGTGAAAAAAATAAATCATATATTTTTTTTTATTGTGAAATTAAAATTACAGAATGTTATTTAAATATGTTTGCTCGTTTTTTTTCTTTTTTTCTTTCCCTCATGGATATATAGAAGTGATGTTTACACAGCGTTAGTACGGGTGCTGTTTTGAAAGGAGAGTACAATTTGGAATGGATTACTATTTTAAAAGGAGAGTACTATTTGGAATGGATTACTATTTTGAAAGGATCGCTATTTTTTTTTTTTTTTTTTTTATCACTCCCATAAATGTAGACACTTAGCTTACGCTGCCATGTAAAAGAAACAAAAAAAAATGAAAATAAATATGCAAACTTTGGTGTACACATGTATGATAAAATATTTCTCTCTTTCTGGTGGTCGTAAATCCAAAAAAAAAAAAAAAAAAAAGTGACACATTTATGTAGCAATTTATCCTATCTACAATTCTGTAAATATAATCCCCTCGCGTCCCCAACTTGTGCTTAGGTATCTCTTCTATGAACGTTTAACTAAATAATGAGTATATATATATATATATGTACATATATTTATTGATGAGGAAGCAACGAAAACAAGTTTGCGCGTTTCACATTAAGATATGTATACAATTTAAAATCCGTACATTTGTATAAAACATGTAATCATCCAAAAGAAATAGAGTGAATGAGATTGTCACCATATGGATCTTTAACCATGATTTTAATGTTTTTTTTTTTTGGCAAAAAAAAAAAAAAAAAAAATGATATCTATTTTGATTGTACATAAGCAGAGTGAAAGAGGGGGAGAGAATTCTCACATGCTATATATATAGCATGTGCATATTTGAATATATATCTACACGACTTTTGTGTGAGAGTAAAATTCAAAATATTCCAAATAAACCCTCACCTACACACATCCATCCCTTATACCACATATGAAAGATGAGAGATAATTGAAAAAATATTGAAACGTTAAAAGTTTTCATTTTTTTTTTTTTTTTTTTCTCCATTTTGTTATTGTAACTACTGGTCTTCAAATCGCATGGGGAAAAAAAAAAAAAAAAAAAAAAAAAAAAAAAAAAAAATATATATATATTTATAAAAAACCAAATGACTAATATTTGTATTCCACTTGTACATTATGATGTTCCAACAAATAGGAGCTATAAGTGTAAAATAAAATACACAGTGGGATGGGGAAAGAAATAAAAATGTGAATATATATATTTACGTTTAAATGTATGAACGGATGTCTGTGTACATGTATGTGTATGTTTTCTTGCCCATTCAAGTGGACATATGTTTAATCTGCTTTCGAATACAGAAAACGTGGATGTAAAGAGGAACCCATATACATTTTCACAAAAAAAAGAACGCAATTTTTTTAAAACACCATTTTTTACACGTATAAATACACACTATAAAGAAAAAAAAAAAAAAAAAAAAAAAAAAAACATACCAAATAGGCCGTGCCACGCTCATAAATTTAAGAAGCATTTCTTCATACTCTTCCGTCTCATCACTCTTAATTGTAACAGCACCACCTGCTCCTACAAAGATCTGATGGAAAAAAAAAAAAAAAAAGGAGAAATAAAATGAAGACGTAAATTGATCGTTCAGTAAGGCATATTTTACGGTAAAAAAAAAAAAAAAAATATATCGCACTTTTCTATGCCCCATACTGTACTATTTTTTATTATGGCCGTCCTTATAACTATGTTAAGAATGAAATTTCCCTGGACAGAGATGAACCCAATAGATCCAGAGTAAACACCCCGAGGGATCTTTTCAATGCTGCACAATGTTGAGGACACACAAAAGGTTTCGTGAAAAAGGTTGGTGTAAAGGGATGCTGGGGGTAAGAGAGATGGATGCATGCAAACACATTCATGGTAGTAACATACGACGATGAATTTACACACGTTCATGTGATGAAGAAATTTGTGTATATATACATATATATATATATATATATATTTGCACACATTTCCTCATGTGTGTACGTATTTATTCCATACTCTTGCAGAATCGAGATGGATATAGGTTTCGGTGCCCCTGTCATGGAACCACCTGGAAAGATATTTAGAATTGCATGGGCAAAAGTTTTATGAGGTTTTATTTTACCGCATATTTGAGACACCATTTGGTGTAAATATGTGTATGTTTCTATGTGAAACAATTTCTTCACTTGAACAGTATCCATTTGGCACATTCTGTTGAAGTCATTTGTTGTCAAATCTACAATCATCAAATTTTCAGCTCTTTCCTTTTTATTATTCAAGAGGTGTTCTTTAAATTGTATATCTTCTTCTTTCGTCTTTCCCCTCTTTATTGTACCCTTAATTGGTTTACTAAACAGAATTTCATCTTTATTTTTTCTAAGAAATTCTTCTGGACTAAAACACATTATTGTGAATTTTAAATCTTCATCTATCGATGTTAGCATACTAACAGTTGAGATTGATTGAATATTTATTTTACGATGATAGTGTATGAAACAACTGTAGGAGACCTTATTGATGTTTCTTACATACATATACATATTTAACAAATCAAGGGGGGTGGAATCACTATCTGATATGAAATAATGACCACGAAAATTCGTTGTCAAGCAGAGTTCATATGAAGAACCCTTCTCAATGTATTCTTTACATTTTTTTACATTTTCTATATATTCCAATTTCCTTACAACAGGGGTGAAAATTATTTTGTTCTTATTGCATTTATCTATTTTCGACAAATGTTCAAGTGGTAAAATTGGTTTTTCTATTTCACCATACGTTGGAGATATTTGGTTGTCTCTACTACAATATGATGACATTTTGACGATTTGCACAATTGTATGAATAGTCTCGTAATTCCATTTTGCATTATACAGTAGGATATCTTCCACATCTGGACTACTGCGATCACTGTCAAATGGACAGTGCATACATGAGGAGTTTGTTCTGCTAGAGAAATTTCCAATTGTAGGGTTAGGAATTGTCTTTTCCGGCTCGAGAGAAATTAAATATATGCACTTCTTAACAAAATCAAATGTGATAAAATTTTGGGGGAAGATAAAAACACATATTGGAGTTGTATTTTTTTCATCACATTTGATATACTTCTTCCATTTATTGTTATATAAATTTTTCATAGTCTCATATTTATATTCATATGTGAAGAAACCAAAGTATCCCAACAAACAAGAGTCCTTATGCATTATAAATTCGTCATCTTCCACTATACCTTTTGATACGTATCGTTCATAAGAAGGATCAGCACCTCTGTGTGCAACTTCTCCTACACCACTGTTATATTTCACCATGTTAATACCCCGTTCTATCATCCTAGAATTAGAATGTGCATTATTAGCTTTCTTATTACTAAAAATGACATCACGTTCTGTCAAATTTTTTTCTTCATGGAGAAAAATATTTTCTATTTTTATTTCCTCCAAATGGATATTATAGTTATTTTTAAAATCGTTTATCCTGTCTTGTAAATGATAAACGAGACAATTATTTGCATCTTCACTAAAATAGCTAATTTTATACAATTTGTCATTTTGAGCTTTTCTCAAATGAACAATTGTTCCGTTAATATGATCCGTTCCCTCATCCTCGGAATAATAGTACTCTATCATTTCGCTTAATTGCCCTTTGCTATTTCCCATATAAGAAAACCTTGAATTGTTTAAAGCATCATTCCGTTCGTCCCTGTTCTCATCCGCTTCATGGTCATGCCCAGAGGTAGAAGCAGGAGAGGCAGTGGCAGGAGAGGCAGTAGCAAAAGAAGCAGTAGAAGAGCCACTGTTTTGACCCCACTTTGAATCTCCTTGCACTGATGTATATAAAACTTCGTTGTTGCTATCTAACCAAAAAGACACATCTTTTTCGTTATAAGAAACAGTTTTAAAAATGTCCTGTGCACATTTACACAAATTTGGCACTCCTGAAATTTTCACAACTTTAATTTTCCACTTTTTCTTACTGTGTTCATTTCTGCTTTGGGCTCCTTTTATCTCTACCTGAATATATTGATTCCATAAATCACATTCCCTGTAGTTGACATTGACAGGTTTTCCCCCATACTTGTGACTCTTTAAGGTAATATTTTTAAAATTCTCGAAAAAAGTTGTGCTGAATTCACTTTCGATGGATTCTGGATGATATTGGACAGTATAGTATGGCAAATGTTTGTGTTGTATGCCCATAACTATATATTCATTTACACAAATGGAGTAACATGTTATTAGGAAAGCATTACTTATCTTTTTACTCACTTTTAAGGAATTATAACATGTTGCTTTGAATCCATCATTTATATTCTTAAACAAATCGCTAACTATATTTCCATATTTACATATATTAATTATATTAGTATCCCCATGAAACATGTTTTTCACCTTTTTTATTTTGCATCCATAGATGTAACATATTAGCTGATGCCCATAACATATTCCCAATATAGGAATATCAATCTTCCTCTTTAGCAAATCTACAATGAAATCACCAGGATTTCCATTCGTTTCGGGATTTCCATATGCTGGAGATAACACTACATTGTCCACTTTGTCATAATACCTTTTCATAAATTCCTCAAAAGACACTTCTCCTGGGTGCACTATTATGGGCTCTGCCTTGTTCACCTTGCGTAAGTAGTGGATGATGTTGTAGGAGTACGAGTCAAAGAAATCGACAAAAAGACTCACAACACGTGTTTTCATGTTTTGGAAGTAGAGGTCATGTAGAAAGTTGACATAAGCACAGTGTTGCTGCAGGTTAGCTTAGATGTGGTATAAGAAGTAGGGATCTCCATTGCAGGGAAATTCGTTTTTTTTTTTCATTTATGTTATCGAATAATGGATGAGAGTGCCAAGTGCGAGAAAACATGATCAATGAGTTAACCCGGTAAAAAGAAAGCGGGAACAAGGCAGACATATATCACTTTAGAAAAGAGGGTTTTTTCATTTCTCATGAAAGAAACATTTGATATATCCACAAAAAAAGGTGTACTTTTTATATTCCCTCAAAAAGGTACGCACTAGTGCGAACCTTGTATAGTCATATATTTTCTAACTTTATTAAAAAGCATAGCAAAGTAAAATTGTATGTACACTACAAGGGAAAAAGTATTCAACAGCATTCAAAAAAAAAAAAAAAAAAAAAAAAAAAAAAAAAACTAAAATAAGATAAAATAAGATAAATTAGAATAAATTAGAATAAAGTGGAATAAAATAAAGGAACAATGCTGCGTGTAAGGTCCAATGGAAAACACAACAACACGTGGATGTGTCCACAGGAATGGCTCTGATAAAAGTCCCACACAACTACATCTATGAATTAGGAGACAAAAAAAATTCGAGTCATGCGTTCTACCTAACTGTCAACAATTTCATATTTATTTTTTGAGCATAAAGATGCCTGAGGGCACCAATCTAAGGAACGAAGTGTGGGGAAACGAAATTTATTTAGAAAATAAAAAAAAAAAAAAAATTAACCTATTTTGAGCGTTCCAATAAAAAGAAAAATAAAGTATATGAACCTTTTGTACAGTATAGTTCTCATCTTCCCACCTCGTCTCATAATTATATACGTTTCAATATCAAATTCAACCTCTACTATTTTTTTTTTTTTTTTTTTTTTGGATTTGAAAATATACCTTTAACATTATCGTATAGGGATTCTATTTCCTCCAGATTATACAATAAGGGGACTTTTCCATTTTTCAGTTTTTCATATTCAGTGCTCCATTTCTTCCCACGTAGTACCTATAAAAGAGGAAAAGCTCGTTAAAACGGATGTGATAAAATGAATTGGTTAACCTGTTAAGAGAGTAATCCAAAGTGGGATTCCAGGGTAGATCAACCAGAGCAAATAAACCGAGAGGATCATCAAATTGGACGAACGAAGCAATGGTGCCTATTCAGTATTAAGCATTACTATATTCCTGAATTTGCAATTTCCCCTATTTGCTAATAGTCCAAAAGCACCCTATGTAAAAAGTAAAAAAATGTGTTCAGATAGATGGATGGATGGATGAGTGAATGTGTGTGTATGTGTGTAGATATTCCGTTTGGTTTAGAACGACATGAACATACGTCATGATAAAGAATAAGCAAGTGAGTATGCATACAGCGTATCTGTACTCCTAACGATGAGGTAAATTAAAATTGTGGTACATATAAGAAAAACGAGAAAAAAAAAGGAAAAAAAGATAAAATATGAAAAGGCAGGAACACCTTTCGAAATGAAAAAATCAAATGTTTCTTTTCTTCTCTCGTTCTTTTGTCTTGCTTCTCCTCCCCCTATTTTAATAATACCTGTTTATCTGTACTGTACTCTGATTCATCTTCACTTTTCCTGAGATAGTCAACTGATAGATCTCCATAATTCCCAGCTTTAATCTTTATATCTTTTATAATTTCTTGGACAAACAAAACGTACCAATCGTCATTTTTTATTTTTAGTTTCTTGAATTCTAGGGAAAAATGGGGAAAAAAAAAAAAAAAAAAAAAAAAAAAAAAAGACATTATAGTTAGTGGGGGGGGCAAACGCACCTATATGCCTCCTCCCGTACTTCCGTTATACCTCCACTTTTATAACGTGAGAAGTATGCAAACTCAACACTGATGAATGTGTAAGGTATTAGATATACATGCATCATAAAATGTAACTAGAACAGAACCCAATTGGGACTTGGAAAAAAAAAAAAAAAAAAAAAAAGGAGGATTTCTCTAAGCTACACATAATATATAGTTGTACATAGACCTGTTTTTCTTACCCTTCAACACCAATAATTCACCATCCTTCACACGAATAAGCTTCAAAATTTTATTATCAATTAGTAACCCCCAAAAATTACGTTCCCCGAGAACTCGAAAAATTAATCCACAGGATTCTGCATTGTTTATTTGGATCTCTAATTGGGCAATAGTTTTCTGATATATAAATTTTTTGTTGTATGTGTTCAGGATTTAGCAAAAATTTCATATTGTATAGTTGCATGTGTAATGGAAAATGATGGGGAGGCGAAAAAAAAAAAAAAAAACTGACGAAATGCAGAACGTGGGAAATGTTCTGAAAAAACAATATTTCTTCTCTTTACCTTGCAGAAAAAGTCTTTTTTGACTAAGGATGTTCGAGTGCTCATTCTGTGTATGTTTTCGCACGTATGAGATAACAGAAAAAGAAAAGAAACACATTTCTCGTTATTAAAGGGAAATATATCCAAAGGATCGATATGCATGTATATCTAGTTGTATTCATGTATGCAATTAGAATGAAGAAACCTATTATCTAGCCATCCAAATGGAAAGGGATGATCCTAAAAAAAGGATTTTTAAGTTGCATGTTAAGCGAAGAAATGAGGGAAAACGCAGGGTGGCATAAACATGCACAAATGCATATATGCACATAGACAGACATAGACACACACACACACGTATTAACCTGTCGTATGTACACATGAACGAACGTACACGTGTAAGGAAAACAAATGTACAATTATCTAAAAACAAAAAAAATAAGCTTTGCTATTCCCTTACGGGTTCCCGGCAACTATCTTTTCCATTGTATTCTATTATTGAATTTTCATTATCAAGTTTCCAGTTATTCGTTTGGAGCCATCCATCGTCTTGCAAGGGGGGGGAAAAATCGAGCAAAAACATATCCATATGAATGTGTATGCGAATGTTCATGCGAATGTTCATGCGAATGTTCATGCGAATGTTCATGCGAATGTTCATGCGAATGTTCATGCAAATGTTCATGCGAATGTGTACGTGCGCATGTATATATGTATATCTGACTTTTGTGTGAGTTCTCAAACTGCATGCAAGCGATATGATGATTGGACGAACATGATATGGATGTGTCTTATTGAAATCTTTTACTTATATCGATTTTATCGTAAGTTGGCTTCAAAAAATATTCTCGGCATCTTCCGTTGAAATCAAGATATATTCGAAAGTGGTATTGTTTGTTTGTGTGTATTGGTTGGGCGAGGTACTAAGTTATGGTGTTTTTCTTATTATTTTACTTCTTTATTTCCATGCTCATTTATTTTATTTTTTTTTTTTTTTATTGTCTTATTAAATCACTTTACTCATATGACATATTGGTCATTTGTCTGTCTTAAGTAAAACCTTACCCTCCTAGTAATTGGATATAAATAGAAGAATAAAAATAATGGAAAAAACTAACAATATGCAGTTCAAATAAGCAAGAAAAAAAAAAAAAAAAAAAAAAAAAAAAAACATGTGCTTGAGTTTATCTAATAATCGCCTGTTTCTACTTTTTTTTTTTTTTTTTTTTCCCTTCACCTCTCTATGCAATTGTTAATTTATTTGTTTTATTTTTTACTGTAATCCAAGTGCTTTTTAAAATACTTGGGAGTTTCAGATGGGTATATTCTGAAGGAGAAAGAAAAAGTTTTGTACATTTGTGATCACATGGAAATAACTTCTGAAGGTGTGGATATGGACTTATATTCCTTTGCACTTTTGCATATTTATTTATTTATTTTTTTTTTATTGAAGTCTACATTTCGTTCTTATTACATACACATTAGTCAACCATGTGAGGACATTAATTTTGCTTTGCAAAAATCTGTTATTAACAGGTTCATGAATTCCCATCAGAGTGTCACATTTTATGACATTTAACAAAGAGAAAAAAACAAGCTGAACAAGTAGCGCCTTTCTCACCACCCGTGTCATTTTGTTTCTGTCTTATTTTACTTATATATATATATATATATATTTATATATATATATATATATATATATATATATATATATATGTATATTTATTTATTGATTCCTATTTATTTATTTTTTTTTTTCTCTTTTTTGAGGGGTAAGAAACAACACAGTGATCGAAAACCACAGAGTTGCACACTTCAAGACAAGTCAGGAAAGCCACATGAGTGATATGAATCAAGAAAAAAAAAAAAAAAAAAAAAGTGCCAAAAGAAACATATCAAAAACAATAAAAAAAATCAAAGTTTAGTATGGAAAAAATGGCATTTATTCCATGAACAGAAAATTATTTTCTATACATAACATATATCCTTATCATTGTGATGAGTTATTTTATACACCTTCCAATTTTGCTGTTAAAACGATGTCTTAATTCAACATGGGCAAAAAGTGAGAAGAATGGGGGGCCAAAAGAAGAAAGTGTATGTACACAAAATGAACTTTATTTTCGTTAGCAGCTTCGATAAGATGTGCGATACCAACTTGAATACCTACTAAGACAATAAAACTTTTGCTGAGAGACAGATCCGAATTCTTCTTAAAAACATCTATGGTTTATTTATGCATACATTTAAGTAATTATTTAAGGGCTTTTACTTTTGCGTTCTTTTTATATACACATGTATATATACACATATTGTGCTTATGTAAGAGTTTATTTACGTGCCCATAAATGCAATAATATATATGTGCATATGTGCACAGGGACAAATACATAAAACCACAAATACAACTCTCGTAGGATTATGTATATACATATTGTACAAACGCCCAAATAGGAAGAGATGAATTGTAATTATTTCTTAAAAAAAAAAAAAAAAAAAAAAAAAAGTACACCATGTGCTAATACTAGAACTATATTTAAGTCAGCACAAGTGTTATTACACCGTTCAAAACATAACGAAAAACAAAAACAGAAAAATGCCTTTTTTTTTTTTTTTTTTTACAAGTATATGCATATATGTATACATGTACATGAGTATATGTGCATATACGTATATTAATTAAAAAATAAAAAGGGGGGTGAAATGTAAGGATGGGAATAAAATAAAAAAGAATGTGAAATAGAGCAACATATACGTACCTAAAACATGAGGTGAATTTGGTTTAGACGAATATACATACACATATATATACGTGTTATTGAGTATACACCTGTTTGCATGCATACACATACACACACACACACACACACGTATTTTCATACTCCTAATATTTACACAATACATATATGTATGTGTGAAAAAAAAAAAAAAATGGCAAATCTCCAATTTGGGTCTTCAAAAATATAAATTTCGCTGACACGGGAGAAAATGTAGAAATTTTCAATCATGTTAATTACAAATTAAAATACAGCTGAAAAGAAAAAAAAATTTGATATTGGACGCAAATGATGCTGTTTAGGAAGGTTTTCTTTTCTTTCACTTTTTTTTTTTTTTTTTTTTTTTTTTTTTTTTTTTCCTTCTTCACTTGGTTCTTTGGGGAGAGAGTCAATGTATGATTATACATATGTATTTTTCATATTTATATGCACAACTCCTAGATTTTTTTTTTTTTTTTTTCTTTTTTTTTTATCGTGAGGAGGTGGGAATGTGGGACACATATTGGCCAGGAGGTACATAGTAACACACCTTTTTACAATTTCTTCCTCATCTCATCAGGCTTGTGGCTCGATTGCAACACTATTACAACACAATTACAACGCTGCTACAACACAATTACAACGCTGCTACAACACAATTACAACGCTGCTACAACACTGTTACAACACAATTACAACGCTGTTAAAAACAAACATGAGCAACGGCGCGAACTCAATTCTTGAGGACATTTTTCTCATGGGTGAGGTCCTTTATCTTCTCCCAAGTGAATGAGCTATCATTTCTTCCGAAGTGACCATAGGCTGAGGTCTTTGAAAAAATAGGTTCCTTTAATTTTAATTCTTCTATAATAAACCCTGGTCTTAAATCAAAGTTGCGTAAAATAATTTGTTCTAAATCATAGTCAGTATATCCTGTAGTTACAGTTCCATAGGAATTCACATTCAAAGAAATTGGATTTGCAATTCCAATGGAATATGATGCTTGAACTAATACTCTTCTGCAAAATTTGTTAGCTACCAAAGATTTTGCAATATAACGTAAGTAGTAAGCTGCAGATCGATCAACCTTTGATGCATCTTTTCCTGAAAATGCACCACCACCATGTGCACCCCATCCTCCATACGTATCACAAATTATTTTTCTTCCTGTCAATCCAGCATCTGCTGCTGGCCCACCAAGGACAAATTTTCCTGATGGATTTAAATAATATACTGTGTCTTCATCTAGTAATTTTTCAGGGATTACATATTTTACAACATTTTCTATTAAATCAGATTTCAATTGTTCATATTTTACATTTTCTGTATGTTGTGTAGAAATAAGAATTGTATGTACACGTAATGGTTCCATGTGTCCACCAAAACTACCTTTATTTTTATATTCAATTGTTATTTGTGTTTTTCCATCGGGTCCTAGATAAGGGAGAATTCCCAACTTTCTAACTTCTGTTAATCTTTTTCCTAACAAAGTTGCATAATGATGTGTTAGTGGCATATAATTTTCTGCTTCATCTGTAGCATATCCAAACATAATTCCTTGATCTCCTGCACCTATTAATTCAGGTTTCTTATTTTCATGAACACATTGTGCAATATCAGGTGATTGTTCATCAATGTATATCTTTATATCTGCGGTTTTATAATCTAATCCTTTACTTTCATCATCATATCCAATATGTTTTAAAACATCTCTTCCAACTTTATCATAATCAACTTTTGCCTTAGTTGTGATTTCTCCCAAAATGAAAATAAAGTTCTTCTTCGCGCATACTTCACATGCTACTTTACTTTCTGGATCTTCCCTTAAACATGCATCCAAAATGGCATCTGAAATTTGATCGCATATTTTGTCAGGATGTCCTTCGTTCACTGATTCGGATGTGAAGAGGAAATTTCCTCGTTTTATTTTTAGGTGACTCATCTTGGCTTCCTTCTAATTCTAAGTTAATCTCGAAAGATGGGAGGGGAAGGGGGGGGGGGGGGGTGGGGCTTCTTCTACTCTTTATAATTTTCCTCTGTAAGGATTATCAATCCGTGTACAAAAAAAATATATACACCTTCCAGGGAAGATGTAAGGTTTTTTTTTTTTTTTTTTTTTTTCTTCACTTAACGTTTGTGAAAAACACTCATTTCAAGTAGTACAGTGTATATTGCTTCGTTGTGTATTCTTGAATGACAAAATTTGAATTTTTGTTCTGCTTTTTCTGCGAACAAATAAAATTTTTTTCAAAATGAAACAAAAATGTGGAAAACTCAGGATTTAAAAAAAAAAAAAAAAAAAAAAAAAAAAAAAAAAAAAAAAAAACAAAAAAAAAAAAAAAAAAAAAAAAAAAAAAAAAAAAAAAAGGCAAAATTTTCTTTTCCCTTCTGATTGGAGAAAAGAATTTATTTATTTGACTGTTTTTGTTTTTACGTTTCGAGAAATACGGCTTTTCCTTCCCTTACATTCACACGCACCAGCCTACATTTCGATAAGCTACAAAAAATATGCATATACATTGTGTATGTATATATATCTTCACATATATATCCGTATGTACCGTATGTATATGGAACACAGTCCTATGCTGCATTTATTTTTTTTGGTCGCGATTGTAAAAATTTTGCGCGTATCTTTATTAGGTTCTTCACAAATACTCGTAATATAAAGAAAAATAATTTTAAATGAGCAGTAGAAGAGGCTCTTTTTTTCTATGCTTTAACTCGTCAATGGTTTTAAATGACACGCGGTTTTGTACTGTTCGTATTTTTTTTCTTTTTTTTTACCCCTCTTCTCGCTTTCTTTTTTGCTCTCTCTTTTGCTCTCTCTTTCTTTCCTTGTTTTACTTTATTTTATTTTTTCTGCTGGGTCGCATGGCACTGCATAATAACACGTTGCTGATCACACAATGGTGAAGTAAAAAATTCCAAAATGTGACGAAAAAAGTGTTGCTTCTCTTTTCACCTGATGGGAAGCAATTTTTCTGGTGTATTTAAATTTTCCCCGTTTTGCGACTTGGAGTTTTTACAAAAAATATACACATTACATATTTTTTGCATTCATATTTTATGACTTAAAATTTGGATTTGCACGTGTGTACAATGTATGCATAGCATATACGCATATAAATATATACACATAATGTATATGCATATAAATATATATATATATAAATATGTATATATTTATGTATACATTTTTACCGTGAACAGTCATTCGTCGTCGTGAGGCAGTGCAAAATAATGTTGTCAACAGTTTTGCATTTTTTTTTTTATATTTTCGTTTTTCACAACATCGAGTTTACAAAAAGTGGACTGTAAAAAGCACCTTATAATATATATATATATATATATATATATATATATATATATATATTTTTGTGTGTTTTTCTCCCTTGATATATATAAATATACAACACTTATGTATTATATTTTCCATGGTTCGTGCAAGACATTCGCTTGTCCATCATCCATTTGGCCACAAATGTTTTGTTGTTGAAGTCACTGTGCTTTTTTTTTTTTTTTTTTCCTCCCATATTTCATCGTTTTTCCTCCGTTTTTCCTCCGTTTTTCCTCCGTTTTTCCTCCGTTTTTCCTCCGTTTTTCCTCCGTTTTTCCTCCGTTTTTCCTCCGTTTTTCCTCCGTTTTTCCTCCGTTTTTCCTCCGTTTTCCATCCTTCTTTGCTTCTTTTTTTTTTTTTTTTTTTTTTGATGCCACTATCTCCCCCAATTCAGTCCTGTATACCCAAAGACAAAAAATATTTCCACCGAGGGTGGGAACAAGAAAACTGTTATAAGTACAGCGTACAATCCTTGCGTAAAAATTTAACAAATGCATGCATGTGTATATTCATCCAGGCTGTGTTGCATGAATGGCAAGTAGAAAAGTACACGAATACGCAAATACGTTAATGTGCTAATGTGCGAATCTACAAATAAGAAGACCTTTTTTTTTTTCACATGACGCAACAGCATCATGGTATCCATAACATATATAAATGAAACACGAGGTGCAAACATTCTTTTTTAAAAAGAATATGTTAAAAAAAAGCATTGACAAAACATCCCCTTTCCATTTGATGGTGAAGAATTTCAGTTTTTTTCATGTTCCCTGCAACTGGACAAATCATAACACTTTGATTATTTTTGCATGTCACATAAGCGATGATTACACCAAGCCGTGTATTTATATATATATATATATAATAAAAATTAGTCAGCAATTCCAGTAAGCAATGTGAAGAAAAAATATGGTTCCTATATATTTGAGGCACTTTTCAGTGCACATTTAAACTTCAAACCGTTTTGTGTTCCCCAAATATATATAATTATATAAAATACCTGGTGCATTCTGTATCTCTCCCAAAAAAAAAAGAAAAAAAAAAAAAATCATCATTCAATACATTTTTTATTTTTAACAATGTAGTTTTTTTTTTTTTTTTTTTTTTTTTTCCCTATTCTTTTAACATTTTACTTAATAGGAATTTAATTTTTTAAAATAATCTTTTATTAGTTTATATAAAAAAGTTCACTAAATTGCGATCACTTAAGGGTTAAAATATCTACACGTATACATATGCTATAGATACAACACAATTCCATATATTAAGTACATATGTAAAAAGCTAGAGGTGAGAAAGGATGCACATTGGAAAAAAAAAAAAAAAAAAATTTTTTTAATTTGTAGTGTACGCATAAAATGTGAAAAAATAACCAGTTTCTTCGTTCATAAATTACGCAGCATAAATTCATCAAATAGAGAAATAAAAAGATATGCAAAAAAAGGGGAAAAAAAATTAGCTTCATGTAACTTGGGTTTAATTATTTATTTATTTTTTTTCCACTTCATCGAAAAGTTTTTCACAAAAGGAAAGGGCTAAAGGGGGTGAAAAAATAAAAAAAAAAATAGCAATATGCTGAAGCAATGATGATAGCAACTGCAGCAAATAGAAAGACAAATGGATGAATAACAACACAAGCATGCATAAAACAAAATGAAACGCTAGGGGAAAAAAGCATAATACAGTAAATACACACCACACATACACTCTTATGAGTTAACAAATAATATACATTTCTCGCAATTCGGCATTTTGTATTTTCCGTTTTCACATTTGTGCGTAACGTTCGTATTTTTTTTTTTTTTTTTTTTTTTTTCTCCCTTACTTGGATATTTAAATTTTTCCAACTTGTAATCTTCATTATTTTTGATGTTCCTCTTAACAAATTCGAAAACGTGCATGTCGAAAGCGTTTAGTAAGTCCTATACCAAAAGTGAAGAAAAAAAAAGTAAAATAAAAAAAGACGTAGAAATTAAAAATCTTGCGAAAAAAAGGATTCGGGATGAAGAAGACTATAAAAAAAAAAAAATTTATTTTATGCACTTCAATTTTTTTATCATTTTTTACGTCAGGTAATTCCAGGTTTATGTCTAAATTCATCGTGCTCATGTTCCTTTTCCATCTGTAAAAATGTGGAGAGAAATGAAATATTTGTTTTGTTTCTATGCCGGGCGGGGGTGGGGAAGAGGAACAGTTTGACATGCAGTGATAGTACAATACAGCTCATAGTGTTCTTTATGCATGGTATACAATTCTAGCATTACTCAGTGCAAAATTGTAATTGTAAAATGAAAAAATCGAAAAAAAAAAAAAATTACATTCTTCATGTAAACTTACACAAATGGCAATAGGTTGTTAAAGGATATTTCGTCCTTTGATGAATCATCACCAATGTATGCATTACTTAGGGGTCTCCTATTTCTACAAATTTTAATCATCTGAAATGTTGTAAAAAAAAAAAAAAAAAAAATGTGTGCGGAAAATAAAAGTTTCATTAATCATTCGCGATTTTTTTAAAAAGAAGAGAAAATAAAATAAAATAAAACTGTTTTATTACTTGTCCGGAAAATATTTGTGTATTTTCGACCCATGTTTTATATCTCTCTTTGACTTCTTTTGGCATTCCTTCAAACTGTTTGGGTGCAAGGAAAAAATAATGTGTAAGCATAAGCAGATCGTGGCGCGAGCATTTGTACATTCGAGCATGCATATGTATATGTATATGTATATATATACATATATATATGCACATTTACATGCATCTTCAAACACACATGTGTGCACATATTCATACAAGTGATCACACCCTCACGTGGATATGCACGAAATTAAGCATAGACGAGTGCACCTGTTATCATGCAAAAACGCTGGGATGTTTACCTTATCACGAGGAGGTTCCACCTGAGATGCGTTACTCCCTCCAATCATTTGATTCTGAACGCAATTTAATATGTTTGAAATATTGATATTTGGCATAGGGGTATTATTATTGTTGTTATTAACAGTTGGAGTCCTTCGAATATCCATAACAGATGGGTTGTCCGTCTTACTACTTGTAGCATTTTTTATTTCATTTTCTTGTGCAGAGACTTTTTGTTGTATCGGTTTTTCATCATTTGGAGAAATAGAAATCATGTTCTTATCGGAAATTTTTTCATTTGGACTGTTAGTCATGTGATAAGTAATTTTTTCTTTGTCTACATTTTTGTTGCCTTTATTATCATTATATGTATCTACATTACCTTTATGTTCTTCTCCCATTAAATGTTCCTTCTTCATCTTTGAGTTTTCTTCTTTTTCCTTTCCGTCATCTGATACATCGTACATGTCATCCATGTTGCTATCACATGAGGCAAAATTGCTGTGTGGAGAATTCTTTGCACCAGTTATTGGCTCAGCTCTTGCACCAACTTTTGATTCATTTTCCCCTTGTACCATTTTGGTGTACTTATCATGCATTTCGATTTTTTCCTTTTCCATTTCTTCATTCTTATTTTTCTCTCCCCTCTTACGAATGTGCTTTATCATTTTGTCCTTTTCGTCCACATTTCCTGCGATGGGATGGTGATAAGGAAGAGGTGATAAGGAAGAGGTGATAAGGAAGAGGTGATAAGGAAGAGGTGATAAGGAAGAGGTGATAAGGAAGAGGTGATAAGGAAGAAGTGATAAGGAAGAGGTGATAAGGAAGAGGTGATAAGGAAGAAGTGATAAGGAAGAAGTGATAAGGACGTGGCAATGGGTGAGGAATACTACGGCTATTACTTTTCCACTTTGTCGCTCTCTGTTTTACCTTCTCCGGCAGCACTGCTGCTGCTGTCGTTTGGGTTGCAACTGCTGTATCCCCTGAATGAGTTCTCGTCCTTGAATAATTCCTTATGGACGTGGTAAGGTTTTGAATGTTCCTTCTTCTTTTTATCACTCTCTTTCTCATTGCTTCGTTTCTTAAAGGTTTCATACAACTGTGATATATTTCTCTGCCCAGGAAAGTGAGAAAAGGGATTATTGTTGTTGCAATTATTTGTATTGCTGATTGGGCCATTCCAGAGTGCATGTTTCATAGTTTTGCTACTTGTTTTTTTTTTTTCATTATGACAGTTGTGAATGCCTACATTATTATCTACCTTTCCTCCTGCTGTTTGATTGCTACACATTCCACCGTCTTCCTTCATTTGTGACAATTCTGGGATGTTATTTTCTTTATTACTAGAACATTCTTTTCTTAGAAGCATATTTTTATTCTCTTTAACTGAATTTAGATAATTCTTATAATAATCTTCAAATTCCTGTTGCAGATTGGTTCTACTAGCACCACCAGTTCGCGTATCATTATTGTAGGGAAGTGGGTAATAATTATCATTAATATTATTAAGATATGAAGAGTTAAAATTGTTTAACAAATCAATATTCATGTTCATATAATTTCCATTCGAATAAGATTCATTCGGGAAAAATCTACCGCTTCTGTTAGAATTTGAATTTCTTCCATTATTTCTGTAGTAAAAATTTCGTAATTCTCTTAAAAATTCATGATTTATCATGTCAGAGTATCTATAATGATGATGCCTTCCATAATTCTTACAATAAAATTTATCATAGAAAACAAAAAAGAAATTTGATAATCTTGAAAAAACTACAGAAGCAAGAGACAATATGATGCTTATTCTGGAGAAAGATGACATTGTAATATCATTGTTCATAAAATTCGAATGATTAAATTGAATTATTATACTATTTATTATATTATTAATATGAACAAATAAATAAAAAAATACAAATATAGAATTTGAATTGTAATATGAATTGATGTACGCAGATAAGTCAGGTCTTCTATATCCTGTCTCTTCTTCTAGTAATACTAAAAGTTGTTCTATAACTCTCCATGGTATGTTTACTTCTAAATTTTTATATTCTGAATCATTTCCATCGTTTAAGCATTTTTGATCACTTCTTCTCAATGCACTATTTCTTCTATCGCTAGACATTTGTATTGATCTCATATTTCCTGAAAGAGAGTTATTGTCTGATAAAATTGCACCTTCTCCTTCGTTCACCATTACTCTTCCATTTGTCCTTAAGCAATCATTTTGTACAATCTCATTATTCCTTTCTACATCACTCAATGGAATTATATTTTCATACTCTCCCTTGGGGTTGGGATAATTTTGTTCATCCATCATTCCACCTGCGTCGACAAAAGGGGTAGAAGTGTCATATGGGTAAGCATAAAAAAAAAGGGAAAAATAGGAAGAGGCGAAATGGAAGAGGCGAAATAGGAAGAGGCGAAATAGGAAGAGGCGAAATAGGAAGAGGCGAAATAGGAAGAGGCGAAATAGGAAGAGGCGAAATAGGAAGAGGCGAAATAGGAAGAGGCGAAATAGGAAGAGGCGAAATAGGAAGAGGCGAAATAGGAAGAGGCGAAATAAGAAGAGGCGAAATAGAAGGAGGAGTAATGAAAAATTCAATTCACTGCATCCACCTCTGCAGACAGCCTTTTTTTTTTTTTTTTTATTACCTGTTCTATTCCCCTGAATGTTACTTCCCGACAAATCCAATAAATTACTATCGTGCAATCCACCATTTGCAAACAAGGCTTTAGAACTGCTGTGGGCCTTTTTCCTTTTCTCCTTCTGTTTTGTAAAATCCTCCATAATGTTATTATTGACGCTGTTTAAATTTTCGTGTATCTCACTTATATCATCTCTTCCATAATTCAAACTGTTTTTAGTTTCTCTCAAAAAATTACCACAGCCCGATGCTCTTGAGCGATGGTGTAGTGCAAAGAGGGGATGGTGATAAGCATGTGGTAGCATGGATTCCTTTCCTCCTCCAAAATATTGATTAAAATGTTTATTTAATCTTGCATGGTTAACAGTATCTGTAGGATGATACATATAATTCTGATGATATAAAAAATTGGGGTCGAATAAGAATTTTTTCTTTTTTTTCCTTTTCTTTTCTTTTTCCTTTTTTCTGTATTTCTTTTCGTTCTTGCCTAGTTCATCGTCATCATCGTCGTCGTCACCAAAGCTTGATCCAGATGTAAAACTACTAGAATCGTAGGATTTCTTTTTTTTGTGCTTATTTTTGCGTTTCTTCTTTTTGTTATATTTGCTTAATTTAATTGCCTTTTTCTTTTTTTCATCGCCTTTCATAGCCTTGTCAACATATAGTAGTGATGTCCCCGAGTGGCTGCTAGTTGAACTATCGCTTTTGCTAGAAGTATCAGAGCTGTGTTTTCCATCTTTCCCTTTTTTATATTTATTTGAAACCTTCATTTCTTTGCTTAAACTTTTTCTCTTCTTTTTTATTTTTTTCATTTTCTTTTGTTCTTCCTTTGTGTCGTCTTCATAGCTCTTATTACTCTTATTGCAATTACCATCACTCTTACCTGATGAGGATTCACTTCCACTCCCACTACTACCATCGTCACTTTCCTCACCACCATTAGCTCCGCTAATACCATTTCGAGCATGCCTCCTATCAGCTCCTTGCCCATTAGGCTCATCATTCCCATCATGCTTTTTTTTCTCTGTCATATGTTTCTTATTTTTCTCCCACTTTTTATCTACATGTGCATTCCTAGCATCCTTTCCTGTTTCTACATTTCCTTTTCCATCAAACGCTTCGTTCTTCTGATCTTTCGAATCAACGTTGCAGTTAGATGTAACAAAATCGTTCACATTCGAATTTATGCCATTTGTTCTTACTGATGCTGTAAAAATTGTTTCACCATTTTCTGTTCCCATATTGGGTTGGCCTATCACACTACCCATAGAACTTCCTATACCTGCGACTCCACCTAATCCTAGTCCTACTCCTCCCAACCCTGCTCCTCCTAATCCTGCTCCTCCTAATCCTGCTCCTCCTAATCCTGCTCCTCCCAACCCTGCTCCTCCTAATCCTGCTGCATTCGCTGCGGCCGCATTCGCAGCAGCAGTTGCGGCGCCGTAAACAAAATTTGGGTTTATATTAACTTGACTCATAATATCATTAAGTAAAGAACATATATTTGTCTGCCCCATAAGATCACCATCCATGTTATCATTTCTTGTTAATCTCATATGGGTAAAATAAAGAGGAGTGGAGGATGCTACATTTGGATTGGCATTAATACTAGGTATGTTAGTGCTGCTGCTTGTGGTCGTCGTAGTGTTTATATTTGCATTTGGATTATTCATACTACTGCTACTGTTCATATTCGAACTAAAGTTTATATGTAAAGGATCACCACCTACTACACTTCCATCATTACTTCTTAACGTATTCATATTAATAGAGTCATTTTTACCATAAGTAGGATTGTTAGGGTTGTTTGCACCTGTACCAATATTTCCATTTTCCTCATTTGCAGTAGTAGAAGGATTTTCTTTTTTTCTAACTACCAAATGGATTATGTGATCATTTTGTATGTTATAATCAGCAATGGTTTTTTCATTCACTAAACACTGACCTTGATAAATCAATCTAATATCTTGCTTTTCAACATTTTTTTTTTCAGCAATAATACTTTTTATTTCCTCTGCATTTGTATGGCCTTTTACAGCTAGCTCAAATTCCTCGTTATCAATACTTTTGATTTTTATTTTTATGTTATTGTCGTCTTCTTCCATCTTTCCAATTGGGTAAGCCCGACAGGGAAAAAAAAAAAAAAAAAAGGGAGGCCTTGGTTGTGCGTGATATGAATGCAAATATGAATTATTCACACGTATCCGCAAGGACGTGAATGAATTGGTAAGTGTATGTGTATGCACATGCGAGTAGGACTCACTAGTGTACTGTGAAATAGCATTTGCTAAGGGGAGTTATTGCAATAGTTCAACTCGGCACTATTTCATGTAAACAAACTTGGGGAAAAAAAAATATATCAAGCAGGGGTGAGGGAAGAAAAATATGAAAAAAAAAAAAAAATCAGGTGGGATAATATGAGTAAAGTGGAGAAGAGTGCCCTATTTTAATTTCAACCTAAAAATCGTTATGCGAATGTCAATGTGCAGGCTGAAAAAGTCTCCAAAAAATAATTTGGGAACATTCTAATTTTGTGTTACGTACGTAAGTACGTGCGTTTTGTATGTATCCACGTATAAGCAAATAAACTGTGAGAAACTTTTAATCTTTTCTGTTTTTTTTTTTTTTTTTTTAAAAAGATAAACAAAAGTGATCTACTCGAAGGGGAGGAGTGCTGCCCTGGATGCAATTTTCCATTACATACGTTAAATAAAGTATTCGCCTTGAACAATGTATACTTCATTGAATGTTTGTAAATGGATACTTTGTTTATAAATTCTCTTGTTTTTTATGTATGCATATATGTGCACGCTTACATGTGGCATATTAAATCTATAGAAAGCTTTTGTAATTTCACAAAAATGAAAATAAAAAAAAAAAAAAAAAAAAAAGATTCATTTGTATTGCTACTCCTTTGGGGAGAATATATTTCAAAACTTTATTTTATTTATGTGAAATAGCAATGTCCCATTTTTGCCAATATGAGTGACATGACCAGGATTGGCAAGATATAAATCCTGTGAACATATGTAATCGTGGACTAATTGTACGCACATATAAACCTATTTGTGCCATCACTTTTAAAACTTTTCTAGTGCAGGAAAAAAAAAAAAAAAAAAAAAAAAATAGGGATATTATAATATGTAATGTACGTGGATTTGCTATCCCCATTCATGCCATTCCCCTCTTGCGATTTTTTTTTTTTTTTTTTTTTTTTTTTTTTTCTGAAACTTTATTTTTTTTTACCTCTTTTTACCTTTTCATTCTCCATTTATCTGTTTTTTTTTTTTTTTCTTTCAATTTTTCTTCTTACCGCACCCTTGATGACCTTACCAATGCTAGCCTATTTTTTGTCACCCTTCCATTCTCACACTGCACGGGAGAGAAGGGGAGGAAGAAGAAGAAGAAGAAGGGGATGATTGGATACATCAAAGGGAATAGTACCAGAAAAGCCATATATCCATATATTTTATGACCTATTTGAGACCCATCGGGTTTTGCCATCTGTTGACTCCCATTTTTATATTTACATAGAATGGCGCAATGCTACTAATACTGTTATTATTTTTATATATTTTTTATTTTATTATTTTTTTTATTTTTATCCTTTTATCCTATTTGTGAAAATGTTCTACTCATGGATACAGAAAACTGACATTTGCAAGGATCGGCCTCGAAATTATAACGACAAGGTGGTACCAAACTTTTAAGCATTTTGTTTTTACAAACAATGCTTAACAGAGGGAAATAGTACACGTAATTTTGAAAAATAGAGACAGGGGATTTTTCACGTTTGGCACAAAAAAATAAAAAAGTTTTATGCCCTGTGGATGGTGTATACTATATTATAACCTTTGCTTTTTTAGCATTAACATTATTAAAATTTTTTTTTTTTTTTTTTTTTTTTTTTTTTATTTAAGATTATGTAAGTTTTACGCTACAACAAGGAGAACAATTTTTAAGCATATACGTGCTTAGTATTTTGCGAGTTAACAAAGGTGTACGTTTCATCGGTAATAGTGTCTTATTTGAAAAAAAAAAAAAAAAAAATATGCACGTTCATAAAAAAATATGCACGTTCATAAAAAAACATGCACGTTCATAAAAAAACATGCACGTTCATAAAAAAACATGCACGTTCATAAAAAAAAAATTAACAGGGAACTATTGCACCGATTGAAACATACCTGCTCTGGCGTATCCATACCTGCAAAAACACATTCTAACGCATGGGTACCGCACACGTACAAACCAAAAAGTAAAGTAAAACGGGTCAAATACAATAAACAAGACAAACACCTCCAAACGGACCTTAACCTTTCGCAGCTTCGCAACCAGCACACCTCCCCTTTCCGACCTCCAAAAAAAAAAAAAAAAAAAAAAAAAAAAAAAAAAAAATCTATTTTACTTTGGTGAGGAACGAATTCATCATTTTGACTTGGAATGAGTACCCAACTTTCCCATTAAGATAATCCATGTATGTTGGGTTAAAGGCGTACGACATTTTATATGAATGTAAGAGTCCACTTTCGTCTCCAATTAAAATAATTTCGTTAAATTTATTGACACACAGTTTCCGTAGCTTTTTTTTCTTTGTTATCACTTCTGTAATAATGGCTTTGTTTATATCCATGCTTAAGTCGTAGATATGCAAGTGCCCATGGTTGTCTGAACTAATAACGAGGAAACATGTTGAGAGAAAGGGACTCCATCGGACGTCATATACACACTGTGAGAAAAGGAAATAAGTAATGAAAACATATTTTTTTTTTTTTTTTTGTGTTGTTAAGCAGTTGATAGGTCTATAGATACCAATTCCCCCCACCACCACCACTACCACCCACCCACACACACACACACCCTTATCACTGCAATGCATGGTAATAATACTAGCACTCGTAGCATTAAAAAAGGGCTCTTACCTCCTTGATGTCCAACACAATGAGCGATCGAGGGTGTTGCTGGTCCCATATTCGTATAGTCCAGTCATAGGAAGAGGAAATAAAAATATTTCGACTAAACTGGTTATAAGAAATGCAATTAACACACATGGTATGTTCATTGTAGAAGCTGAGATAATTATCAGAATAAGTACTTGAGTAAAGATATATTTTTCCTTTGTTGGTTCCAATTAGAAAAAGATTTTTCTGGAAAGGGTTAAAGTCGATACAAGTAATTGACTGTGTATGTATTATGTTGAGAGAGTGATTAAATTGATCACCTAAATCTTTTCGTAATGTTAGTAATTTATTTCCAACGGTAAATTTATTATTATATTTCCAACAGAAAATATTCCCATCGTGAGAAATAGAATAAAAAGATTTGTTTCTTTTATCAAAAAAAATTTGTGAAATTATATCTCTATTATATATTTGTCTTATATTGCTTTCAAATATCAGTTTTTCATTTTTTTTTTTTTTTAAATCGTATATGCATATATTTCCGTTAGACAAACCTAGGATGATGACTGAATAGTTTACAGCTGACCATTCGATGGAATGTATGGGAAAGCTTGTCTTCAAAAAGTGTTCAGGACTTTTGGTATTTTTAAAAGTGAAACAACATAATATACCTGTATTTACTTTTATGTCATTATTTTTAAAAGATATAGCAAATAAATCTTCATAAAATGGATGAAATTTTATATCTGTAACAACTAATTGATTACAAAAATGCAATGAAAAAATCCATAATTTCGTCAAAATATTCTTGTTATTTTTATTTTTATAACATAAGTATATTTCCTCTTCATTGTTCTTGTTATATATTCTGTCCATCAGTTTTAAAGTTCTCAAAAATCGCTTTTTTCCTAAAATCTTCTCGTCATTTATTTTTACTTTCTCATCTTGGTAAATGAAGTTCAATTCTTTGTGCGTCTTTTCATTTATGTCTTTGTAGTTTATAAAGTACAGTTCGTGTTTCCCGCTGAAGGATTCTTTTCTTTTTTTCTTCCCGCTCATTTTGCCGTCACCTCTTCCACCACTCCTTGCTCCACTCCTTGCTCCACTTTTTGCTCCATTTTGTGCCCCATTTTGTGCCCCATTTTGTGCCCCATTTTTTATCGCTTTTCTTATGGAAATTTCTTTCCCGTCTATTTTGGTAACATCTATCGAACCATCCACTCTCTTTTCTGAAGTTCCATCTCCATTCTCAGACCCTTTCAGGGATATCATCTGTTCACCTTCCTTTGTATCTTCTTTCAAAACAGTTATAAGACTGTTGTCTTTATTTTGACTCTTCAACCCTTGCTCTTCTCCTTCTTCTGCATCGTCTTCATTTTCTTTATCATATTTCACCCCTTTCTCATTTCTCACTCCAGCGATATCCTCATCCTCCAAGAAAACATCATCGTCACGATTATCATCGTTAACACAGCTATCCCCATCATCCAGATTTGCACCACAATCATAACTGTTATCATCACCATAATTCTGATCCTCTACCTCTCCTTCCTGTATATAATAATCCACAGCATCAGCACGCCCAGAGTTCTTGCAACTAATTTTGTCTACATAACCATCATTTTCTTCACTAATCGCATCTGAATCGTTATCACTCGAACTAGACGAAGAGAAAAGAACTGTTGCAAATTTCTCGTCATTAGAAAAGTTCCCTGAACCTACATCTGAACACTCACTTAACTCAACTACTGCATTGGACCCGTACTTCTTACTTCTTTCCTCATCATCATTATTGCTGTAGTTACATCTACCCTTTTCCTGCTCATCAGAAGTGGAAAAAAAAAAAAAAAAAACGCGGGACGTAAATTTTAAGTTATATCATTTCTGCTTTGTCATACTTCTGCAGACAAAAATTGTCCCACTCGTAACATGTTTATAGACGTGCATTATTTTCATGAAGATCATTTTTTCACATACACATATACATACATGTACTTATACACACATGTACTTACACACTCATGTGGATCTCTCCCATTCTCATTTGTCGGATCTGTTTGATCCGTAACATTTCTCCATACCTTATCGTCCTCATTAGAAAGTTTCTTGAAGTCAAGCATGTATGCATCATAAATTATCGATTGACAAACTAAAAAGTGGAAGGTCGTAATTGGGAATCGGTGTGAAGCAGTGCATTGGGGGTGGACAGGTGAATAGTGAGTATCATGAGCACCAACCAGAGAACTTTAGCAGGGAAGTAATCCAACGCTCGCAGAGGAAGAGGTAGAAGCAGAGGCAGAAGCAGAGTCAGAAGCAGAGTCAGAAGCAGAGTCAGAAGCAGAGGCAGAGTCAGAGTCAGAAGCAGAGGCAGAGTCAGAGTCAGAAGCAGAGGTGCGAACTATACAGATTTTCAATCCACGTTGAACGAACCCGTGTCACAGATTTCATTAATTTCCTGCGGTTCTGTCTTTGTGGCTTCATCCCTTAAGAAAAATTATTATTTTACATGAATCATTATGTGTTCTAATCATTAAATGCAGCTATCATTAGTTTATACGTACAATTGGATGCATAGCTTCTTAGTTATGCCAAATATAAGGTCGATATGTACTCCCAGAGGCGCATGTGATATATTTTAAATGTGTATGCGAATGAAAGTATACTTGAAAGAGAGAGGGATGGTCTGTGTATATCTTTCCATATAATCGAAGCAGTTCTTTGGTTTATGGTAAATGCATTCTGAGCAAAGTTTTATAAGCATTGAAATATGTGTACGGTGTACATCATCACTTCAAGTAATATGCATGTTCTCAGGTATATATACATATGGGCATATAAGTATATAACATATATACATTCACCGACGAAAAAGCGTACCATTATCCTTTAGAACTGTAAAGGTATTGGCCTTTTCTATTTTCCTTTTTATTAATTCTATCTGCTTCTTGCCTTCATCGCTGTCTTTTCTCACCACACATCTGTTTTGTGAAAAAAAAAAAAAAAAAAAAAAAAATTACAACTTTGTCAGTTCGTACAAATGTAGCATATATCTAGACAGTGCCCTTAGCACACGAATCGTCTTCCTTTCGCTTGCTAAATCCTGTCTCGTCTCATCAGAATGCATATTTTTCCTTCTTTCCTTGCTGACGATTTCATATCCAGGTGGAAAACAGTGTGATCAATTTGATCCACAGGTGTGAATTCCTCATTTAAAAAAGAAAATTCAATCAAATTAGCAAAAGCTCTTGGATTCTTTGGAAACAGAAATCTAGTTAGCGTTTCATTTTTCTGGAATTGAGGGGAGGGAAAAGAAATAGGATTGTAGTGTAAAAAAAGGGAATATTCGGGAAAAAAATTGATAACTCGCCCCTCGACCCCAAAAAAAAATATATTATGATTATGCATACTGTGAAAGATATACTTTCTTCTATGTATATGTCTACGGAGTCGTGTAGATATGTGGAAAGAATATATATATATATATATATATTTGTAAATACATACATTATTTTGAATGGGTGCTTTATTTTTGTCATTTTCTAATCCATCAACTTCTATCCCATTTGTATCACCCAACACTACTTGTGCTTTTTTCTTTTTTTTTTTCTCCAATATGTTTGGTTTCATTGGTGTGTAGATACAAGGGACAAATAATATATCGATAGAATAAAAGTCTACGGGATGCACTTTTTTTGGATGCACGAAAATTTGTTACAAGAAGATGTCTATCCGTTTTTATTTTGATGGTCTCTCCAGGTATGCCTAAATTGCAGCGTTCATTTATTTGCTACGTCTTTGTTGCTTGCTTCTTATTTACTACGTCTTTGTTGCTTGCTTCTTATTTACTACTTATTTGCTACTTATTTGCTACTTATTTGTTACTTATTTGTTACTTATTTATTTACTTATTATTATTTTTTTCTTTTAGACTCTCCTTTTTTGGAAAGTTTCGATGTTCTTCTCCCTTTCACACATACTCAGAATGCCTTTCCTCTCTCTGCCCTTTCGACGTAATCACGTAGTTCCCTCCTTTCTATTGTCTCATCTTATAACATTCCTAATATTGTTGGAGAAGTGAGACTATTAAATGGATTATTTTTTAACAAAAAAAGGAATTTTAATTTTAACGTTTTTTATAAAAGCAAAATGGCGAAAAAATGTTTCTTTGTCTTTTTTTTTTTTTTTTTTTTTTTAAGTACGGTGTGGAAAAAAAAGCGGAGCAAATTTTAATGAGTGTGATATTTTACATATTTGTACAGAAGCACTTGGGAAAAACCAGATGTAGCATGCATATACGTATAAGCAGTTATAGGGGAGGGTACTATTTGCATATGCACATACATGTGCATATTGCTGCAGTTGCGAATGTGATTATGCTACTATACAAAAGCGTAGGAGAAGAAGGGTACTATGTGTGTGCGTGTACGAGTGTACATGTAAGGGATCGAGAGGAGGATCTTACAAAAATGCATAAATTATGCAATAAAATGTTGTACACATTGCATAGTAACAGTTTCGCAGAAAATGTAAAAAGCAAAATGATAATTGAAAAAAAAAAAAAAAATTATAATAAATAAAATAAAGATAAAGATAAAGGCCAAATTCAAGGATAAATTTTTTAGTACAACAAAAAGTTGGGTTCAAAAGCACATCTAACTGCATCGAACATTTTCGATAATGCTACTGTTTTTCATATAAAAATACAAGCTGTTATGGTGAAGTGCTATTTTAAATAACACACACTGTTACCATTGTGAAGGATACACTTCTTGCTTCAAAGAACAAAATAGAATTAGGTTCGTTTGTTTCCTCTTGCCCAATTTCGGGGTTGGAAAAAAAAGGAAAAAGAAAAAAAAGAAGATGATTTGTGTGTGTGTCTGTGTCTGTACAAATATATGTACACACTGAGGAGAGGTAGGGATAGACACATACACGTGTTCCTATATATTTATATGTTCTATACAACTTAACCATATCAATGGATGCACATCCTGGAAGGGATGAAAAAATACCCTTTTTTTTTTTTTTTCATCCTATGTGCATGCATGGTTGTGTCGAAAAAAAAAAAAAAAAAAAAGGAGAATATGCATAGTTATTGCTAATTGCAAAGAATCATCGAATTGTCAAATTTTTTTTTATTTTTATACTTTTGCATAACTTTGTCTGAATTCCTTATAATTCGTTCATATTCCTTCTTTATGTCTACAACATCGAAAATATTGAAATGAATTTTATTTATTTCCTTGATTGGTGGAAAATTGTTTTCTTCGTCTTCTTGCTTTTTCTTTTCTCCTATATCTTTTTTATTCTTTTTTTGTGGTTGATTTTTTTTCTTTTCTTTTTCTGTTTTCGTTGATTTTTTTGCCTGTAATAAATCAGGAAAAACTTCTACCTTTTCATTCTTCACCTCTTTCACAGATTTAGATAAAGTACTCTCTCTTTGTTTAAGAACTGATGGGATGAACTTTTTTTGTGGGGGTTCATACTTCTGACCCTTTTTCGAATCATCCTTCTTTTCATCATCCTTTTTTGCATCATCTTTTTTTGTGTCATCCTTTTTTGTGTCATCTTTTTTTGCTTCATCCTTTTTTGTGGCATCTTTATTTTCGTCATCGTTTTTGGAATCCTTCTTTTTCTCTACTTTTTTCTTTTCAGTTTTTTTCTTTGCTTCTTTGGTGGGTTTCTTACTACTATTGTTGGTTGCGCTCCATGCATTCACATTTTTTCGTTCATCCAAAAGCTTCTTTGTTTTATATTCTTGCATATTAATTAATTTTATTTTTACAGTCTCACTGCCAATTTCTCCTTTATTTTCTCCATTTTCATTATCTGCTGCAGTGCTACCAGTTGGCTTCACGCCTTTTGTTGCCTTTAGTAAGCTGCTTAGATTAAGCATTTTTTTTTTTTTTTTAAATGGATGGAGACGAGTGCAAGTTGTGGAGAGAGGAAAATACTTTTATGGTTCCACAAACGTCACGTAAATTGGGTGAATGTAAATAGGTCTATCCGGTTATCTATCTGTCTATATCTGTATCTGTCTCTTTCTGTCTCTATCTGTCTCTGTATATCTATATGTACATATATACGGATGAATCTTTTTCAAAAGACGTATATGATCGAACTAGCGAAAGACACAAAATTGTATGCTACTTCAATCTTTGTGCGACGGATTCGATTCTAGGTTTTTTTTTTTTTTTTTGTCTCCTACATCATTCTTCTTCAGTTATTTTACGCAGCGTTGCAATAAATTTCTACTAATTCTGTGCGACCTATTTATTTCGCTCCTTCTACTTATTCAACTTCGGCTTCTTAGCGTTTATCGCCAATTCTGAAATTTTTTTTTTTTTTTTTTTTTTTTTTTTATGTCACCATAAACACGAAAAGTGTGGAATATGACATAACTTCAACGTAACAAGTGTTGTGAGATGTAAATAAGAAACGTATGTATTATGTGGTTGTCTGACGAAAGAATAAACAAAATATACAAAATTATATACATTTATATTTTATCCCTTTTGGTACGTGTGGAAAAAAAAAAAAGAAAAAAACAAAAAAACTCCAATTAAAGCGCAGCTTGCTACTTTCAGGGGCTCACTTTTTTTTATTTTGTCATTTTGCTTTATTTTACATATTTATTCATATAATTATAATTTATTCATCTATTTATAATTTATTCATCTATTTATAATTTATTCATCTATTTATGATTTATTCATCTATTTATATATTTATTCAATCTATTTATATATTTATTCATCTATTTATAATTTATTCATCTATTTATATATTTACTGCTATGACAACTCCTATGTTAACTTCTATGCTAAGTCCTATGCTTATTTTACTTCCCTCATTTGGATCCTAATTTCAAACAGGAAAAACAAAATAAAAAATATTTTCAGAACTGGTAAAATTATGCATAAGTTTTTCCTTTTTTGTGCCTTTTTTTTTTTTTTTTTTCCCCATCGTGCTCATATAATATATATGTATACACAAATACAAAAATTTTTCACGTTTCTCATAAATATGTACATGATATATTTATATGCGTGATATGTAACTAGATACATATATGAACATTTTCACATACATAGATTTTACGTATAAATATATATGTTGTATATATTTATAATTTTGTACTGTTTTAAATATCTCCTTTTTTTGCTTACAACAATTTATGAATAAATTTTTTTGAATTAATCAATTTTCTCCTACCCCTTTTTTTAATAAAATTAAAACGTATTCTTTCTTTTTTCATGAAGTAAAAATTATATATAAAAGTTCTGGCAGCTTTTTATCTTGGACGGATGGGATATCCGTTAGCATATCAGCTTTTCAGAAAAATTAATGTTTAATGTGGCACGCAGCATTTTGTCGTGTTTCTTTCCATTATGATTGCATGATACTGCAATATATTTTGCTGTACCATCTTCTCATGCCGTGTCCTTGACACTTTTCACAATGAGAAAACGAAAAGGTCAATGGTGACACATCGCCTCCAATCACTCCAATCACTCCAATCACGCCAATCAACACAGTACATATTTTTAATCTCGACAAACAAAATAAAAACGAAAGAATAAGCTGATTAATTCATCCTGTTTAGCTGTCAGACACAAAATCAGATTGCCTGCACATATGCTTGCGCATTTTTTTTTTTTTTTTTTTACAACATAATCAAATTGAAAAATTATGTACATGCACAGATATGAAAACTTCTTATATGTATATGATTATACTCCAGGTTTTGATAACAACATATGAAATTTTGGCATTGCAGTTGATTACTGTGTTTTTTTTGCGGTAGAAGGAAGTAGTAGATTTCCCATAAATTCAAGAACACATATATATAGATATGTTTATGTGCATATCTGTGTAGCACCATAACCCGTTTGAATTTCCCCATTTGAGATTCCCCGTTTGAATTTCCCCTTTTGAATTTCCCCGTTTGAGATTCCCCGTTTGAGATTCCCCGTTTGAGATTCCCCGTTTGAGATTCCCCGTTTGAGATTCCCCGTTTGAGATTCCCCGTTTGAATTTCTCCCTTTGGGGTGAAGAACACAATAACATGTGATGATTACAGGACGCAACACACACAAAAATGAATAAGAAAGAAAAGAAAAAGCTGAGATACATGACCAAGGAGAAACAGTACTCCATTGAGGAAATTGATAAAATTGATGTAAGACGATACAACGAATTATCTCGTTTCTCGAAAAACAAAAACAAAAGAAATGCACTTAAAGGCAAAGCATACGTGAAGAAATTAATTTTACGTAAGCAAAAAAAAGATGAAATAAAAAAAAAAAAATCCTTAAATATACCTGTGGAAAAAAAAATACCAAGAAGTATAGAAAGGCTAGCTATCTTTGATGAAAATAAAATTAATGAAGCAAATGTAAATTTTTTATTGGATGAAAAATGTATAGATGAATTTAGCGACTATTTTAAACAAAAAAAAGAACCAAATATTGTTATAACGTCTATTAAAAGACCATCAAAAAATACTATATTATTTATGAAAGAATTATCCTTAACATTTCCTCATATTTTTTATGAACCAAGAGTGGATCATTCAATTGAATTTCTCATCAAAAATTCTATACAAAACAATTTCTCCACCTTTATATTAATCGAAGAGGGAATAGATAAACACCCAAAATACATGTTCATTTCAACTCTTCCAAATGGCCCAACAACGAAATATTCACTAACCAATGTGCTTTATGCACACAAAAAAAAAACGGACATTGAAATAACGACTCTTCCACCCGAAGTTTACATTACGAATTTTAACACATTTATTGGCGAGAGAATAAAAAGACAACTTCACACCTTGGTCCCCTTTAACCCTTCTTATAAATCCCAGAAGGTTGTTGTTTTTTACAACCAACGGGATTTTATTTTTTTTCGTCACTTTAAGTAAGATATCTTTGCTGCTAACTGTTCGCTTTGCTCATTTTGCAAATTTATGCACGCACACTTGTGTGCCTTCCCCACACTGTTACAATTTTAACACCTTATCGTGTTTTATTCACACGTTTCCATAGTCCATATTTCATATTTCTTCTTGCCTTATTAGCTTCATGCCTTATTAGCTTCATGCCTTATTAGCTTCATGCCTTATTAGCTTCATGCCTTATTAGCTTCATGCCTTATTAGCTTCATGCCTTATTAGCTTCATGCCTTATTAGCTTCATGCCTTATTACCTTTTTGCCTTATTACCTTCATACCTTATTACTTTTTTTTTTTTTTTTTTTGCCTGATCACACGCAGATATAATTTCCTCACTAAGAAGAAGTGTAAATTAAACGAAATTGGACCGGCATTTACTTTGCAGCTCCTTAGTCTTAAGGTAAATTTTTTTTTTTTTTTTTTTTTTAAAAAGTCCTCGTGTTTTTTTTTGGCTTTTTTTTATTTTTTTTTTTTTTTTTTTTTTTTTTCTGAACAGTTCATATTTTTTCTTTCATTAATGTAGCTACGAAATTATACTGTATTTTATATTCCACTAATATCACATTATATTGTTCTTTTTTTTTTTTCTTTTTTTTTTTTTTCTCTCTCTCTCTCTCTTTCCAATTACTGTTATGCCTTTTCGGAAACCTTTTTAACCATCCTCCCCATTGTTATGCATATTTATATATTTCATTTTTCCATCTTATTTACATGTAACATCGCACATGCATAACTTTTTCTTTTCATATTTCTTCTTTAACCTTAATAGGATGGGTTGATTAACGACAAGGAAAAAATGTATGAATTTGTTCTTAGACCAGATATGAAAGTTAACAGAAAGAAAATGTACCTATAAAGTATGTCACATTTTTTTTGTTGATCCTTTACAAAAGAAAAAAAAAAAAAAAAAAAAAAGTGGTACTTGTTTGCATCGAATTATATTTGCTTTGATATAAGTTTAGCTTTAATTTGTATTTTTTTTTTTTTTTTTTTTTTTTTTCTCTTTTCTTTTTTTTAATGGTTCAATTTATGTCGTTTAAATTTAAATGCCAAATTCGATGTGCAACATGGCATATAACGTATGCATTTTTTCTTTCTTTTTCCTCCTTTTTTTTTTTTTTTCCTCTTTGCACGACAATTTTTTAATTCCCACATAGCTGCTTTATGCTTTAACAATGCTACATTATTTTTATCTAATAAAAAAATAAAAAATAGTTCACATAAAAATTACACACACATAAAAAAAATTACTACAAAGGTGTTTAGAACACACATTTGTTTCGTAAAAAACACAAATTGTAAGAAAAAAAGAATAGAAAAATCTTCAAAACGGGGGGGAATGCTTAAAAAGATGTAGAGTAACAATGATGTAAAGAGGATTAAAATAAGAAAGAAAAAAAAAAAGGGCTGCTAGTTTATAGATGGGTCATAGAAAAAAGTAATGTAAAATAATGTAAAATAATGTAAAATAATGTAAAATAATGTAAAATAATGTAAAATAATGTAAAATAATGTAAAATAATGTAAAATAATGCAAAATAATGTAAAATAATGCAAAATAATGCAAAATAATGCAAAATAATGTAAAATAATGTAAAATAATGTAAAATAATGTAAAATAAAATATAAAATAAAACAAAAGCAAAGTGAAATAAATAAATGGATTTGAGGAACCCCCTTTTCCTTCTAATTTACTTCTTAACAAATTCCATGTGTTACATTTGTTTTAATCCAAATTTGGATAATACAAGTAGTAGTAGGAAAATACACAATATATTTAAAAAAAAGTGTTATATGAAATCGTCTAATAAAATTTTTTTAAAAAGTAAAAAGACAAAATTTCAACTAAGTCTGATTTTTAGAAAACAAAAAGATCAATCAATGATAAGAAGTATTCCGTCTCATGTACGAAAGAAGAAGAAAAAAAAAAAAAAAAAAAAAAAAGCCAAAACAAAAACAACAAAACTATGTGATCTTTATAACAGTACCGTACTTAATGGAAAGAAGCCAAGGGTAGGGGAGGAGAAAAAAGTAAATAAAAAATTAATGAGAAGAAGGCTACTAAAATATTACAAGTTAAAGAGGAAAAACGAGGGTACTGAAGAAAATATTTTTGCAGACAAGGAAAAGTATTCCATATTTGACTATGTGGAAAATAAACTTAGTGGTACTACGATACACAAAGATAACTTTGATAAATACCACACTAATGTTATCAATAAGGACAAAGAAACTGTCGATAAAGGAAGAGACACGACATTTATTCCACCGATTGCATTACAAGGAACCGACATTACTGGAGAAACGCCGATTCATGGAAGACATAGCAACACAAACAATATGATAGACCACATGGGGAATGTACAAAAGCTTTCATACCCAGCAGAAATACGAGAAGACCAAGATGGACGAGAAAACAAAAGAGATGATGAAAGAAAAATTTTCGCAGATGGTATTCAAAGTGATAGTTTACCCAAGACAGTTGATCCAATACAGGAAGGAAATAAATTGGGCGAGATAAGTAACCAAAATGACGAACGGGAAAATATAACCTCAGAAGTTGTAAAAAAAAAAAAAAAAAAGAAATTAAAAAAATTAAAAAAGAACATGCACATAGGGAAATACAATAGGAAAATATTTACATACCCCAAAAAAATATCAGTAGATGATGTTCATGAATATATCGAGAATAAACATCTAGATGAAAAATACATCCTACAAAAAGACACATTAAAAAATGTTTTTGTTAATAAACCTCTTTTCAATTTCTACAATTTTTATAATTTTTTCAAAATTGATCATATAGAAAAATATAACAAATCAAAAGTACTAAATTTAATTTATTACTATATATACAAATACAAAAACAATGTAGAGAGTCAAACAAAATATGAATCTGTAAAGACAGATGATATTATGCAAACATATGAAAATATTGCCGATGATAAAAAAAAAATGAAACATTATTTAGAATTCTACATTAACATGAATAACAACAAGTACCTTTATATGAACATAGACAAGGATTACACTTTAAAAAAAAAAATAACGGATGCATTCACCATAAGCAACATTAATAAAGTGGATTCACTTCACCTGCACAACTACAAGGTCGTGTGGACTGTTAGGAATGTTCAAGAGGTACTGCAAGGGGAGGAAAAAAAAAAAAAAAAAAAAAAAAAAAATGTGCGCAAAGTAGAGAATATTGAGACGGGACGAAACGGCATTAGGCACGCTTATCAAAATAAAATACAAATTAACAATACATTCAAACATATTTCTTCCCCGTTTCTTCCACAATGTTCATGACGAACATATATGTGTAGATGTAAAAACGGCCTATAGTACCTGGAAATATATTCATGAAAACTCTTTCCTTTTTTTTTTTTTTTTTCTTATTATTTTTAGAAACTATTTTGGAGATTTCGAGAAATGGGCAATATTCCCTTAATGACCTCTGCATTCTCATTTGCAGGGAAAAAATCGTTTAAGTTAAAAATTTGGCTTGATGGTCACAAATCCGCAAAAAAGGGGTAAAGGAATTATTTTATTTTGTTTTATTTTGATTGCTTTGTTTTGTTTTATTTTGATTGCTTTGTTTTGCTTTATTTTATTAATTTATTTTTTTCGTTAGGCATTATTTTTATTACATTTTTTCGCCCAACATATTAGCACTTTGTACACATATATTACTGGATAAATGCTTTATCCATACACATCTTACCCCCTTGATGTTACATTGTATAAAAATATTTTGCACATGTGTTTTTCTCTATATACACACCATATATATCAACACATTTTATTTTTTTTATATTTCTTCTTTTTATTTTTTTTTTTTTTTTTCCCTTTGATTATGATGAACATTTTAGATATGTAAGTGTTGCCTTGAAGCAAGTGGCAAATTATGGATTACTCGAGGAGTACATATGCATGTCCCTGGGCGGAATCACGAAAGGACCATTTTTGTTTTTATCAAAAGAATATTACCAAAGTTGTTACAATTTCTGCAAGTTTGATGAATTAGATTTAAAAAATGACGAATTACAGTTAAGTGTGTTTGTTTATGATGGCATTGTATAACATTCCCTGTACCTTATCCTTTATCTATGTTATACCACGTATCAGTTTGCCTCCTCCTCTTCAGTGCTGTGACATCATATATGACATGATAAAGAATCTTATCATAACTTTGTTGATCTTAGCTGAGGTCAGATTTGCTCATTTTATTATTCTTCTTTTGGCACCACCAGACATATATATATATATATATATAAACTACTTTACTTCCCAATATATATCCCACACGAGCGTGTTAATTTACATTTTTTTTTTTTTTTTTTTTTAAAACCTTCTGCACACAGCTGGGTAAGGATGTGTATGCTATTTTTCTTTTATAATTCATCCTAATTAATTTTGTATTTTCATATTTCGTTTGACTCCATTTTATATACACTTTCTTGTTTTTCTTTTTTTTTTTTTTTTTTTTTTTTTGTCAATATACAAAAACTGCTAGCATATAGCATCGTCATCATGCATGTGCCCTCTATTTATTATTATCATTATATAATAATTATTATTACTATAATTATTATAATTATTACAATTATTTTTTTTTTTTTTAATTTAACATTTTAAGTTCCTTTTAAATTATTCCCTTCCGCTCTCTCCACATTTTATTAAAATGGAACTTTTTAAACTAATTGAGCATGGGGGAGGGGGTAAAAAATATTTTGTAGTTTTCACACAAAAAAAAAAACAAAAAACAAATATGTGTAAACGCACTTTCATGCTATCCGTTGTGTGATGCGTTGCAGGTTATTTTTTACCCTGAACAGTTCATATTTTTTTTTATTTTTCGAAAAAGTGTGCATATCATAATTCACTTCTCTGTTTTTTTCGCTATGAACTGTTGTTTCGTCCTTACATTTATCACTACTGAGTGATTCTCGTTATCTTTCAATTTAGTAAAGCCAACTCCATTATCACCCTTCTCCCATGTGTGTTATCTCCAACCGCGTCGTGTTGTGCGCTTTGTTCTTATTTTTCTCTTTTTTTCTTCACATTTTGTTCATATTTTCTTCACATTTTGTTCATATTTTCTTCACATTTGTTCATATTTTTTTACTTTTATTATTATTATAATTATTATTTTTTTTTTTTTTTTCGTTCACACTTTGTTCATATTTTTTTACTTTTATTATTATTATAATTATTATTTTATTTTATTTTTTTTTTTTTCTCTTGCTTTCACTCGAAGAGGTCTCACTCTATTAATTTTTTCCTCTTCTTCGGTTTTTTCTCCTCAAAGAGATCTGAACTATCGGATGAAGACTCAAAATTCTCCATGTCGTCGATTGAATTATTTCCTCCACCCTCTTCGTTATCATCAGTAGGCTTGTTTGGGCTATCACTTCCTTCATTAAAATTAAAATTAAAATCTTCTTTTTCTTTCTCCCCTCCTTTTTCCCACTTCTCCTCTTCTTCTTCTTCTTTTCCCCCGTCGTGTTCCAAACCTGGATTCACGTCTACCAAATGTTGTGATGTATTTATGACCTGTTCTGATATGTGATAGTTAAGTTCGTTAACATCTCTTAGCAATTCATCATGTATACTTTCTTGACTTTTCAGTTTTTTCATTTCTAACTCCATTTTTTTCCTTTTTTTATCTTCATATATTTTTTTTTGTATATTTAGTTTTTTCACATTCTGCATTTTTTTCTGCTTGAGCATTGTTGGTAAGCTGCTTTCAATATAGGGCTTGATTTTTTCTTCAAACTTTTTGTACGTATTTATTAGGTATTTCCTACTTGCCAGATTCTCCAGGTCTTTTTTTTTTATTTCAACAATGTAATCGTCCTCCTTGTAATAGTTATACTCTTCATCTGTAATGTGCGTGTGTGTATAAGTGTGTATATGTGAGTGTGTGTTTAAGTGTGTATATGCGCGCGTGTGTATACGTATGTGTACACAAAATGAAAAGAAAACATATATGCCAAATATGTGGTTTTATTGCGGTTAGGAATGGTGAAAAAAAAAAAGTAAACAAAAATTGAACAGTAACACATGTTCGTCGCGACATGTATACTTCACTTAAGTTTGCTATAATGTGTGTATATCATGCACATTTATACATATCGATAAAGTTTAAAATGTGCATATTTTGAAATTGTTCTCTCATATAGTTGTCCGGAGACGTACCTGAAGCAAGGAGCTGGGAAGAGGTGGAAAAATGCTTAAGTCGCAACAGCGTCAGTATGGCAGAGAAGGAAAAAGTTATGAGGTCCTTCATGAGAAAAATGTTTTTTAATTCGACATAATCATAACTCAAGTATTTGGAAACAAATGAATCGATACAGATAATAAATGTATTCAATATGGATAAGTCGTGTGGCCACTTAACATAAGAGATGTATAACATGTTAATAGCATCATCGTACTTTTCCATTATGTGTAAAAAATTTGAATAGCACAGGAAAAAATGTTTATCATTTATTCCATTTTTTATACTTAAATTGAAAAATAAATTGAGTTTATTTAGAAATAATTTATTTTTTATCAGATCGTTATTTCTCATCAAATGATTAAACAAGTGAAGAATTATATTTCTTAATCCTGATTGATGGTAAAAAGACAACTTATCATTCGTATTGATTATTAATTGAAAAGATTCACTTGATAGTTCATACTTTTGATTTATACTCAACAAAATGGATATTAAGCTTGCTGCAAAGAAATTATTTTTTATATTTATTAGACTATTTATCTGGTTATATGTTTCATTTATTAGAATTTTTTTTTCTTCTTTATTTTTACAATTTTTTAATTTATAAAATTTTATTATTGCCAAGTAAGTATTAATTAATACATCATTTTTGTAATTTTCATTTTTTTTAAATTTTTCTAAAGCGTATATACTATAATCATAATGTTTTCTCATAACATGTATGTATGACTTTAGTAAAAATAGATTAACAGAATTAGGATTTTTTATCAACCCTTTGTCTATCACTTCTTTTGCTTTCGCATGGTTTTGCATTTGGATGTATATATTTGCCAATCTCACAAAAGGGCTTTCATAAGTACTATACATTTCGGTGTATAATTTGTACATGTGCATAGATGTTTGTTTATATCCTATGTATTCGGATAACAATGCACTGTTGAAAGATACAGACAAGTATATCCTCTTCAAGTAATTTATTATTTTTCTATATCTCTCTCTATTACTTCGCTTTATATATATTTCTTTCAAGTTTTTTTTTTTTTTTTTTTTTTTCCACTTGCCTATAAGGAATTTCATTTCTCGAATTCTGTGTTGTCGTAACATGGCATCCAAGTGTTGAAGTTTTTCCCTGTTACTCAAAATAGTGATTCGATTCAGATCTCTTTTCGATTCACTTTTGTCAGAAAATGATGCACTGGAAGGTGCATTTGCGGGAAATGCCTCATAAGGGTTCTGTTCTTCTGATTCTCCAACCGCCTTAGACTTTTTCTTAGTAACATGATTCACTGAGGGTGCATTACGCTTACGTGTAACATTTCTTTTGTTTGTCTGATTTGTGTCAGTTGTGACGTACCTACTTTTGATTTTGTTTAATGATAATCGTGTCGCGATGAGATCCTCCCTCTTATGAAATGCATAGTTGTAGTAAGTTAAAAATCGTTTGATCTTTATGAATATTTCTTTTTTTAACAGTTCCATTAAATTAGCAGATTGTTCTTTCTTATTACAAAAGAAGAGAGAAATGATATAATTGTTGATAATCTCGTATGATATTTTGTAATGCTTGTTTTTTTTCTGAAAAAATGATTTGATTTCATTTATTTTTTCCATCTCCTTATGATATGCTTCCATCCCATCTGGATTATATTTGGTTAAAAATAGTTCATGCATTTTTACTTTCATTAATTTTACATCTAGATCTTTTGAAAACATATATTCATGTGACTCCAAAATGTCACTTACATGTTGTAACATTTTAAATACAGTTTTCATGTTACCATCATTTTGATTACTTTTGGAAAATTTGCTCCTAATAGTAACATGTGTTGACTTGTCATTATCTTGATACTTTTTTTCTTCCCTTTTCTTTTCGTTATTTCCTTCTGAGATGTGGTGATTCCTCCAATTTTGTTTTCGATCTCCATCGAATGTTGATTCCAAATGATGAATTGTATTTGAATTTGTATTTGGAATCAACAGATTAAAATTTAGAAATAAATTTCCCGTGTGTATGAAAAAATATATATACAATTTAACAAAGTAAGCATTTTTGCACTTTTGATAAAAATATAACACATTTTTTTTGGCTTTGTTGTATTTCTTTAAATATATCAAACATATGGTGTGATAATATTTGTTTATATTGTCTTCATAAATTTGTAAACTTTTATGATAATATTTTAAAGCCTTTCTGATATTTTTTATAATATGGTGATAATACATTCCTATTAAAAAATAATATTTACTTAGACATTTTTTATTAATATAATTAAAATGAATTTTTTCCTTTAACATTTTTAAAAGTTTTATTGATTTACTATTTCCATGCATTAACCAGATTTCACACAAATCCAGATATATGTACATCATCTTATCACACAAGTGTAAATCACTATGTTCTGATCTTACATGTGATGAATTCTCGTATTTGTTCATTTCTATAGATTCCTCATATTCATAAATATCATTTTTATCAATATAATATGATTCATCATCTTTATTCAGTATTTCATCAATACCTTTAGACGAGTATCTTACTATTCCATTTTCCAAATAATCATAATAATAAATTAGCGTCATGTTTATTATCTCTTTAATATCAACTTTGCTAAAGTTTATCCTCTTTTCCATCCTGGAATTATCATCTATGAGATCTATCTTATGCTTCTTAAAAAATGAAGTGCACCTAGGTTCTGCTGGCACACCTCGACCTATGTCTCCCCTGCCCACGACAACACAATTTTCACGTCTTCCAAGATGATCATTTTCAGGTCTTCCAAGCTGATCATTTTCACGTCTTCCATGCTGATCATTTTCAGGTCTTCCAAGCTGATCATTTTCACGTCTTCCAAGCTGATCATTTTCACGTCTTCCAAGCTGATCATTTTCAGGTCTTCCATGCTGATCATTTTCAGGTCTTCCATGCTGAGTACTTTTGATGCAATTCTGCATCGTTAAAAAAATGTTATCATTAGTGTTGATTTGACCTTGCGTTCCACTTTGACTAGCATAATTTTGATTTATGATTTCCATTTGGGGTTTATCAAAATTCTTAGAATCACAATCCTCAGTTGGGTCTTCTCCTATGGAATCAAATTCAAAAAAATCATATTGTGGTACATCTCTCACAAAATCATTGTACATTGCAATTTTGTTCATATAATTCATGAGTAATAACCACCCATTAGTTAAGTAAGCTATCGGATAATTGTCAAGTTTGATAGATGAAGTAAAACAGAAAGATGCCATGTTCCATTCCTTTTTTTTCACATAACAAATTCCAATTATGTATTTTATTATAGATTTGAATTTTCTCAATGTTTCCATAAAATTTCTCAGTTTAATACATTTATGGAGGAATTTCTCTTTCGTGTGTTTTTCTTCCCTTACATTGGTATTATATTTATTATTGCTCGTTTCCCTTTTTTCTGCATCTGCACTTTTTTCATTTTTCTCTCTATTCATAAATTTTGATAACCACATTGTTGGTGCTTTATTGTCATTATTCAAGGGTGTATTCACCTGACTCTTCATACGCTCCAAATCATTGCTATATGTTGAAGCTAATGATTTTAAAAAATTTTCCAAATGTATCATGCGTATCAAAACGCATGATGAAAACTGAATGCATAGATCGAACTTATAAATTAAACATAGGGAGAATGATAAATAAATGGAAGAGACAAAATCGTACCTATTTTTCTTTATTAAATCGATAAATATATATATACTATCCATTAAATAATTTAATGGATTCAAGTATTCATTTTTTGTCTTGCCTTTCCCTGTATTTCTAAAATCATTTTTTGCTCCGTTCTTACTATCATTATCATGATCAGCAAAAGCAGTAGCAGAAGCAGAAGCAGTAGCAGAAGCAGTAGCAGAAGCAGTAGCAAAAGCAGTAGCAGAAGCAGTAGCAAAAGAAGTAGCAGATGGAGCAGTATCACTCTGTCTCAACATAGGTCTTAAGAAATGATTAGTTCCATTTTTATTGTCACATTTGTTTACTATGCACAAATATATATTCACGTTGTATATCCCCTTAATTAAATAGGGTGATAAATAATCATAATGAACACATGATGGTGACACCTCTTCATCATTTATGTTATATCCAATCTTCTGCATGATAACATCAGCTTTTTTTTTTTCAATTTGATTCATTAAATTTTCCAATTTTATTTTTAATTCATCTTCCTTATTTACATTTTTCACATTTATTATTTGTTCCAAGTTGTGCAGTAGTAGAAGCGTGTTAAAATTGGACCTCTCACCCTTGTCACGCTTCTCATCCTTGTCAATCTTCTCACCATTATCATCGTTTTGGTGAAAATTCTCTCCCTCCTTTATCAAGTCTAAAAAAAGCTTATAATAACTTTTCTTATAATATGCTAGGCACACTTCTACCCAGCTGTTAACACTGACATTTTCATCTTTCAAAGTATTTTTTATGGTCACGTAATTTTCATCATTTATGTCTTCTTCCCTTATGCTAATTATGTTATTTCTCCCAGCGAGGTAAATCATTTTGAGTCATATGTGGGGTGGGTGCGGGGTTTTGTTAATTGGCCATTAAGGAGGGGACACGACGAAAACGTCAAAAAGGTGAAAAAAATGAAAAAAATGGACAAGATTTGCAAGATTTGCAAAATTGACAAAATGGAAAAGCTTCAAAACGGAAAAGCTTCAAAACGGAAAAGCTTCAAAACGGAAAAGCTTTAAAACGGAAAAGCTTTAAAACGGAAAAGCTTCTTATTGCACGAGTTTGCTGGGAAACTTGCACAGGGATGAAATGTCCTTATGGCCAATGTGGACGATCCTGTTATATTTATGACCTTACTACATTTGTGCCGTTTCCCCCTACTACTACTACTACTACCACCCATCACCACCACCCGTGTGCGAAAGAATAAACGAATGATCGAGTCACTTGAAAATATAATAAAAAATTGTGGACACTGCAATGTCTCAGATCTGATGTTGATAACTGAAACCTGTCAACTGGGTCAACAGCACTGCAATTGCAAGTGGCGAAAATTGACAGTTAATCATGCAGTGATGCTGCAGACGTGCATACACGTTGGGATATAGCACAAAGGAAGGCGACAACTTCATGCTGCAACTTCATGCTGTAACAGTCCCTCTTTTCTGTATTTTCTCTACCTCCTTTGCCCTTTTTGGTCTTCCAATTTAATCGTTACTTATTAGTTATTTTTTTCATCTTTTTAAAAATTACACAACTTGCGCGAAACATAAAAGAAACGGAATGAAGTAGAAAGAAAAGGAAAAGTATGTCATTATTTACTCTATTGATTATATTGTGCTTTTTATAAAAATGTCAAAGGGTGATTTTAAAAACTAGGAAAGAGAGAAAATCATTTTTCTTGCTTCCCTTTTTTTTTTTTTTTTAAAAAAAAAGTTTCTTTAAAAATGGATGCTTGGGGGGAGGGGGAGAGGAATAATCACCTTATGAGAAAAAAAAAAAAAATTTAAAAAAAGTGTCATGGGGAAAAAACCTACACAAATAGGTTAAGATGACGAACTTAACAATTAAAAGATGAAAAGTAAAAATAAAAAAAAAAAAAAAATGGTCGAAAAATTTAACGAAAACATATTATCTGATCGCCAACATCACCATCACCTGAAAGAATGTTAAAAAAACATTCAAAAATATTTACTATTTTTATCCCTCCACATGGAACAATTTTTTTTTTTTTTAACAATATCTTATTTATAAAAAAAAAGAAAAAATACTTTCTTAAAATTCATTAGAAACATTTGCAAGCATATGTGATGGAATATATATAATAAAAAAATTAAGTTATACCTTCATACAAACTTGTAGAGCACAAAATCGCATCATATCTGTTCATTGCAAAAAATGTAAAAATAGAGACGTAACCACATGACATTCCCCAATACAAGTGATCATTTGGTGAAATGAAAAATGTTTAACTGGTAAGAGTCTGGAAAAGGGTTTTGGCTAGAAACGAAGACCGCACAGCTAGTGGGGGAAAAAAAAAAAAAAAAAAAAAAAAATAAAAAAAAACGCCACATCATACTACATATTACATCACAACACATCGCGTTATACCACATAGTACTTCTTAAACTAACCAATCTGGGCCAGTTAAAGGTGAGTAAATGAACCGATAATTAAACGAATAAATATACTCTTATTATACATATATACACACATGTATATGTATATGTGTGTGTATACATCGTATCCAAACATTGTAACACGCGTGAGAAGGAGAAAATTCCAAAATGACATGTATGGAAGAAAGCAAAAACGGGCAAGACGGGCCAAATTTACTTACGAGATATCCAAAAACATAAAAGTTGTTTGGCTAGATACACGTGAACATAATTCATATACAATAAAGTGTAAAACCCACATTGATACATCGTCCTTACACATATATATAATGAACGGACATTCGTTTTTGTACTTATAAAAATGGTATATATACAAAAAAAAAAAAAAAAAAAATTGCAAAGTTGATTATATATGAGCATATAAAAAAGCGACAAATACGATAACGATTTATACTCAGATTTAATTGTAAAATTTACGGAATTTAATTTTGGATAAATTTGAATAAAAGTTCTCCTTTTGAAGCTTGTTCCACACATGTATATTCAAATTTTTTTTTATTTCCCTAAGTAAGTTTTTTTTGTCATAGTTTGATTTTTTAACAATTTTGCTGTCCTCGTGAAAAGGCATAAAATCTTCCCTTATGATATTAGAAAAAGAAGTTACCCTTTGTAACAGTTGTAAATATTGTATATACAAGTTTGCTGCATGATTAAAATCGATATAAATGACTTTCTTATTAACAAAGGTAGGAAATATATTCATGTTTAGAATTATATCTTTATATTTAAAGAATATATGTGGAAGATTTGTTCTTTTTTTTCCCCCAACTTTATCTTGTACTTCTTCACCACACTTTTCTCCTTTCTTCTGCATGACCATTTTGATAAAATCCTGAAAAATATTCATGCGATGATTGACAAAGCTGATATATGCAGTTTCATAAAACTTATAAAAAGAGTAATGATTTATCCATTTTACGTTTTTATTAATATCATGAATTATCTCGTCCCATTTTATGAATGCATTCAAGTTAATATTTCTTTTCAATATAGTGATTAAATTATAGTTATTGAGATAATTATACCTCGTGAAGTATGTCACATATAAGCAGCTGTTACAAATAAAATCATTTTTATTTCTTTTCATATAAAACTTGTTCATATGTGCATTATTGGAGTGGTGTGTTTTTTTTATATGCTTAAAAACATGTATGTTTTGTCGCCTTATTCTTTTCATCCATACATTTTCGAATAAATCCATAAAAAACACATTTTCTAGAAATATTCCCAATGTTTGTGTATAATCATATTCTTCTTTGGCTAGTGCATGATCACAAAAAACAATGTTGCAATTTCCATGTCTAATTCTGTTATATATATGTCCATTCACACTTTCATCTGTATTCCTACGATCAATTAAATAGACATTATCAACAATCTGCTTTTTTTCACAATCAGACAAACATTTCAGTTTCGGTAATAATATATAGACAAAGTAGTGATAATAAAAATAACTAATTTCACTGGTAGCAAAATGCACGACTACATTTTTTTTCTTCTTCCTGTTTTCACTTAAAATTCTCTTTTTTATGTAAAAATATTTTTTATAATTATTGAAAAAAATGTCCTTCTTGGTTGACCTTTTTTTAAAAAAGTTTTCTTTATTATATAGGTTTAAAATTATATATGAAAATACACGACTAAAATGGTGACTGCCCTTTAAGTATTCCTTATAAATCTTTATCATGCTTAAATGAAGTGATGTGTGTGTGGTCTTACTTTTTTTTTTTTTTTTCCTCTATTTCTAATCACATGATATACCCTCCCTGAGCATCACACTGTTTTGCTTGGAGAGAAGGATACAAATTTCTCCTATTACATTTCTAAAATTTTTCAAGTTTTCCATTTTTTATATATCTACTTTTGAGATAAAAAAAAAAAAAAAAAAAAAAAAAATGTATATATAAATAAACAAAGGGATGAAATTACAGTTTACAAAGAAAAAAAAAAAAAAAGGTACATGCCTATATGTGTTCAATATTCGTCAAAGTGGAGAAAAAGTAATAAAATATGCACATCTGAATATGTACATATGAACAGGAAAGAAAAGCCTTCAAAAAAAAATTATACATATATATATGAACATAGGCAAAAGTATACATGAACAGTAAGAAAAAGCCCATGAAAAAAAAAAAAATAAAAATATGCAGATACATATATATATATATATATATATATATATATATTGTGCACATATTGCATGCATATTCTTGTAAACGCATGAACAGGAAGAAAAAGGCTATTCGAGAAAAAAAAAAAAAAATGTATGAACAGGCAAGGGAAAAAGGCCATTTAAAAAAAAAAAAAAATATGAACGAATCATGCGTAAAAAAAAAAAAAAAAAAAAAAAAAAAATGGAGTATATTTTTATGACACATGTATATGCATATATTCCTCCCACATAAAAGTATTAGCATTGGCACAACCTTTTGCACCTTTGGTTCGATATTTTATTTTTATTCACATATTACAAACATTTTGAACTTTTGCAGTTTTGCTTTTCCAGTACACATTTTTAGCTTACGACATATATGTTATATACACGATGCTGTAAACACACACGAATGAACATAATGAAGTATATTCTGTTGGTATTGAAGTCCACCTTTTTTCTATCCCTTTTTTTGTGTGCAAAAAATGGAGAAAGCTTAAAACATACTAATGCTAAGCTCCTATTTGTACATAACAACACAGATTTTTTTCAAAACGATGGTCTTAGCGTTTTGCGAAATAAAACGAGTGCACAAAATAGAAAAAAAGTTTTTAGGTTTAAATTACAAACATTGAGAGATCAGAAGGATGGGGAAGTGCACTATGAATTAACCTCTGAAAATGTCGAAAAGGTTTTAAATTTAATTAGGCCCAAATTGCAAACAGATAACGGTGATGTTGAACTTGTAGACATAAAAAATAACAATTTGTATATTAAACTCTTGGGAAACTGCGTAACATGCAGTTCAAACAGCGTGACAGTATCTCAAGTTATTAAAAAGACTTTAAAAATGTACATAAGGAATAAAAATAATGAAGAGCCAAATGTAATAATCATCAATTTTGACGAAATAAATGAGGAAAATATATATAATTGCCTAAGCGATTTGAAACCATATTTTGATTTTCTCAGTAAGTGTCAAAAGGTGATTTGTGTATATCACCTCGGTGTTGTGTGTGAAGTGGAGCTTTAAAGTGGTAGACGCTTCTATTTCTCCGACCCTTAAAAAATAAAATAAAATAAAAACATACTCATACATGCGTGCATACATCCGTACACACGTGCATATACACTTGAAAACAAGCATGCAATATAATCAACGTACACGTGAACTGCTCACCCTTGCTACATGTGTACACACAACCATAAATATTCATAGGATGCTCCTAAAATGAATTTCTTCTTCCCCACCCCCTTCTTATTTTCAGAGGTGAAAGTAATAATCAAAGATCTCATAAATAACAAGGAAAATATTAACAACTCCGTTTCGTTAACTTTTAAAAATATTGACACAAGCATAGACAGTGAAAGAGGGAAAAATGGAGAAACTGAACAAGTTAAAATACCATTTAGCGTGAAAAGCGAAATAACAGAACGGCTAAAACAGAAATTTCCATCCCTCACTGTTAATTTTGAGAATTAAAAAAATCAAACGTATACACTTGGAATTACACAACTTGTTTGTACGCGAAGATTTTTTTTTTTTTTTTTTGTGAAATTTAACTAATGTTAATCGGAGGAGAGATATTCACTGCTCCATTTTTTTTTTTTTTTTTTTTTTTTTTTTTTGTGTGTGTGCGCGTATGTGTATATATTTATTTGTATCATTTTGAGGTATAGGGTTTAAGGCTACAATAGAAAATCGAAGTGGTGCAAAAAAGGGTATAAATAAAAAAAAAAAGCAATAAATGCGATAAATGCGATAAATGCGATAAATGCGATAAATCCGATAAATGCGATAAATGCGATAAATCCGATAAATCCGATAAATTCGATAAATGCCATAAATGAAATAAAACTAAACAGGACAACAAAATAATGAAATATTGTCAGCATGCACATGCTGCACAAAAAAGACAGGGATGTGATGGGAAAAACTTGGGGGAAGGGAAACCGAAGTCTCGATGAGCGCTGCAGTGAAATATATATAACTAAGCATATGTAAATGTAGCATATGTAAATGCAGCATATGTAAATGTAGCGTACACACCTGTTGCACACATGAACGGGCATGAATGGATGACCCCCGCATGCACTGTTGGGCAGGTATGCTACACCGTTACATGTTCGGGTGGCCAAGTACGAAATTTGACTCTCTTATGCTTCAAGTGAAGAATATCAGAATCGATGTATTTCTCTTGATAAAGCTCCTGTTCTCGGTTTTTCTTGTCGTGTTGTGTTTGAAAATGTTCTAAAATGCGAATAAGTTGGGATTCCTTTTGTTCATCTGTTAGTACATCCCAAAAACATTTATGAATATTAACAACATTAAAATTTAACTTTTTAAAAATTCGATTTTTTAAAGATATGGTTCCATTTACCAATGGTCTGTTAAAACCAATTGGATGAAAATAATCATATTCAATACATAAGTTTAAAGGTTTATAAAAATGGGATGTAAAAAAACAATGTTGTTCATCTATTTTCCTACCAACTGATAGGTTAATAAAAAAGTTTTTTAATTGTAATTTCTGTATGATATTCTCCATTTCGAGTTGCATTTTTTCAGATCCTTGATTTTGAGCAGTTATTAATATATTATCTAGCCATTTTAAATGTAAATATTCTTGAATATGTAATGGGATACTTTCTTTTATCATCAATTCATTACATGGTTTTTCAACATCGCAGCAATATAATGTTATGTACAAATAATATTGAACCCATCCACTTTCTCCTATATTTTCTTTGGTTAACCCTTCACAAGCATTTTTTAAGATTTCAGGTAAAAAGCTAGAAATTCCATTTTTCTCTTTCGAAGGAAATTCATACATATTGTTCATAACAATAACATATGATAATAAAGACCAACAGAAATTGGTCATATCCTTTTTTGCTTCATCTTTGTTTTCATATATACAGTTAAGTATTTTTTTTATTAAATTGTAACTTCTGGAAAGATTATTTTCTGAACCAAATTGTACATCTTGATCTGTTAAACCTAAGTATGATAAAGAAAAACTTATCATGCATAATGTGGGAATTCGAAACTTATCTAAATTCATTTCCACTATTTCTAAAATTGTTGGAAGTAGAAAATAACATCGATAATCTAAACAACATAGTGCATACAATAATCGTGGACAATGTCTAGCTTTTATTTTCTCCTTTCTTTCGATCAAATCAAACACCAAATATTTAAATAACTTCAATTCATGAATTCCTTCCTTGTCTTTTATACTCCAGAAGGAATTAAATCCGAACACATTCCCAAGCTGACAAAAGCATCGAACTAGCCAATTGTAATTTGGGTAATCCTCCTTCTCAATGTATTCTTTATACAATCTGTTGTAACAAGGTTGGGAAAGGGGAAGAAAAAAAAATAAAGGGCGAAAATCATGTACTAGCCATTTTGATTATTGTATGTTGTCTGCAGAAGATCATTTGACATGTCTACATTTTTTCTTTTTTTAAGAAGAATGTGTGCTTAATGGAGGGGGAGAGGGGAAAAAAAAAAAAAAAAAAGAAAAAAAATATACGCACCGCAAAATAGATCGAGGATTCGAATAACATTTATCCAATTTTTCAAAATAGAAAGATAAAAAATTTTCAGGAGGCACAAAATCAAAGATATCAATTTTTTTTTTTTTACTCTTGTCATAATACTCTTTTGTTAGATATGAATTTTTTATAAGAGATTCTGTTGCAATGTAATTAATCCTCTGCTGGAGTGAGCCTTTAAACTTCTTTCCATTTATCACCTGTCTTGCTATTTTTAAGTTCATATTGAGTCAGTTTATATTGCATCGGACCTGGGGCTAGTACAATTTAAGGCTCCTCAACCATGCTTATATATATATATATATATATATATATATATATATATATATATTTACATATGCACATGCATATATATACTAACTTGTGTGTAATTTTAGAAAGATATTGGTTAAATTCCTTTACACATGTAAATGAGAGGATGATTTTCATGTGAGTCTATTATTACACCCACTTGTTGTATATGTGGAGAACTGCACATAACATTTTCGACATTTACACATATGGATCAACAAATGAGTGAAGATTTGAATTTATACTTTCCAGGTATTTCGAGAGGAGAAATACCTGAGTTATGCTGCAGTTCCATTTTTATATCTCTTTGAGTTAGGGGAGGATGGTAAGAAAAAAAAAAAAAAAAAAAAAAAAAAAATCGTTCCAATTTTTGTGAAGTTTGGAACTATTGGTCCCTCATTAATGTTGAGAAGTATATATAATGGTGAAGTGCATGGAATGTGTGGTGAGGTGGCAAAACACAAAAAAAAATAAAATAAAATAAATAAAAAATAAGATAAAATAAATTAAATTAAGAAATGTGGGGAAATACAACGACAAAAAGGCAAACAAAAAAAAAAAAAAAAAAAATAGAGATATCACATTAACCCTCCTCCTAAAAACCACGTGCATAATATTGGAGAACATATATTATTTGCACTTCCCCTTATTTTTCTCTATTTTTTACTGGAATGGAGAGAAAAACTAACAATTGAAGATGCATTAGTAAAGTCTACCACCACCATCCTTCTTCTCAGGTGATTGATTATAAAAGTTGTATTATTCTCATATTGCTATAATTTGATAATTTTTGTGCAGCCAAAATTTGGCTCTACCCCTTTCTGCACAGAATACAATTGATATGGATGGATATTCTTTTTTTTTTTTTTTTTTTTTTTTTTTTTTTTTAGGATAGTGAGGGGACCCTTTATTTTTCATTGTTCCGTTTTTTTTTTTTTTTTTTTTTCCTTTTTTACCACATTTTAGAGATAAAAATGCGGGGTTAATTTAGAAGTTTCCTGTTTGCATTTCATTACCTAACATCTTTTTCTATTCACGTTTGGAAAGATTTTTTTTTTTTTTTTTTTTATAAAACCCCCCATTTTAGTTGTCAAAACAGTGTTACTTTTTTATTTTACTTTTTGGGAACTCGAAGTAAAATAAAACAAGATATATATATATATATATATATATGCATAGAGCTATTTTATTTTATTTCATTTATTTTATTTCATTTATTTTATTTCATTTGTTTTGTTGTATTTTGCTTTGTTTCACTTCCGTTCATTTTTTGTGCCTGCTTAGTTGTAGGGACAACTCCTTTTTTGAACATTTCACCAGCAGTATTCCAAATTTTAAAATTCCTGAAGAATTTTTTTTTTTGTCACGAAATATGTTTTCATCATTTAGTTCTCGTTCAGAATCGGCAGAAAATTGTCTTAAAGCACTGCCTTTTTTTTTTTTTTTCCCAGAAAAATTGGAACTTGTTCCATATGTAGTTTTCACAATAATGAAATTATGTTTTTGTTTTATACACACGTTTGTTCATACAAAAACCTGGACTTGTTACCTGAAAATAATAAAAAAAATAAAAATAATAATAACATATTTTAATTTTTAATTAAAAGATTTATTGTTATATTTATTATTTGCATGTTCTATATATTAGCATATATGTTACACAACCCAAATATTATTACTTCTACAAAGATTTGTCTAGAATTTTATCAATACGAGGTTAAGGAGGCATCCTTTTTTTTTTTTTTTTTTTTTTTTTTTTAATATATAGCCCGATTGGAATACAAAATGGAAACTCAAAATCCAAGAACAAAAAGTGAATATTTTGAAAATTTGCTGCAACAGTTAAAGAATAAAAAAGATGGAATAGTGAAAAATGATGTAATAAATAATATAGAATATTACATAGGAATATTAGTAAATATAAATTTAAAAAATGTATATAACAAAAATTACAAATTGGTATACATAGTTTTGGAAATTTTAATGAAAAATAAATTGAGTGTAGAACCCATGATTCTAGACAAAATATTGTGCTTCCTAAATTTGAAGCATATATTACGGAAAGATAATCAAGTTAAAATTAAAAATATTAACAATATTTTGCTACTCATTAATCAATATGGCAGAAACAATCTCAACATGAACAATTTATTTAATATCCTATTTGATACAATCCATTTGCTACTGGAAATCCTTTCCGAAAAGAACATGTACGCCCGTGCCCCTCGTGTAGACTATACTTTGGAAGATGTGGAAGATGTGGGAGAAGTGGAGGAAGTGGAGGAAGTGGAGGAAGTGGAGGAAGTAGAAGAAGTGGACGGAGAAGCTTCACCAGTTGACAAGCGTGTCGAGACACTCTCCAAATCACAGCGGAAGAGAAAGAGAAAAAATGCAAATGTGGAGAAGGCAGAATTAAAGAAGCCTAGGGAGAAGGAGGAGACCCTCCAATTCCATAAAAGAAGAAAAAAGGTAGATGACAAAGAACCAGAGACTCAGTTCAAAAGTGACAAGTACAAAAGTGACAAGTACAAAAGTGACAAGTACAAATGTGACAAGTACAAAAGTGACAAGTACAAATGTGACAAGTACAAATGTGACAAGTACAAATGTGACAAGTACAAATGTGACAAGTACAAAAGTGTAATTCGAATGAACGATTACATTGTTAATATAAACTGTCTGTTTAGTCTCTGTTTTAAAAACTATAAGCCCATGACCAATGATATAAAAATATATGCATTATACAATAACATATTTGGATTATGTTCCTATGTGTATGATTATATTGCATATGTAGAAGAGTTATCACTGCAGAGAAGTAGCAATTATAGAAGTAGTGGTCAACATAGTAGCAGTTATGAAGCAGGGAAAAGGGGTCATGAGGTTGTCATTGAAAATTTACATATTTTGAAAAGAAATTTAAAGACATTTATTACAATCAATGTAGAAAATATAAACAGATCACATTTTAAAAGTGTTTACACATGGTATATAAATAGTGCACAAGAATTAAAAATGAATTATTCATCTTTCCATTTTACGGAAAATGAAAAAATTCTTGAAACAATATATATCATATTAAATAAGATATCTAATGAAAACCCAACTTTTCTCTTTGATCAACATAGTGATAAATTTATTAGCTCATTATTAAATATAAATAAAAGTAAAAAAGATAAATTAATTTATTTTTTTAAAGATGATATTTCTTTAAATAAGAAGTATCCCTTTTTAAGTATTGCCAAAATTAGAGGATCTATAAAAACATTGAATATAATAATAAAATTCCTTTTCTTAAAACATAGTACTTATAACTTCTCTCATTTGCAAACTTATTTTATGTTATTTATGTTGATTCCACATTTCCAGTTAACTTTTTACAATAAATGTGTAAAACATGAGTACGCTAAATTGTTTCATTTCACTGAACCAAGGGAAGGTGAAAGAAAAACAAAAAAAAAAAATTTACATAAAAATGGAGAATCTCTACATATCACACAATATTCTCAAGAAGAAATAGATTCAGATGAAGATCTATCTATCGAAGGTTTTTCATCACACAACGCAAATAAGGTTGAGAAATCCATTGCAGAATCACTTGGAGGATCTGATAAACAACTGCATACACAATTGAGTATTCACAAAACACCATTATTATATTTTAAGAACGCCCAGGTTAGAGTCTCAAATTCAAATTGCTACTTCGAGGAGGATCTTGATTTGAATATCTTCAAGGAGACACATACCAATATTCATGTACTGGTAGAATATTCGAAACTAGTTTACAAAATTTTACATTATTTAAATTGTAGAAGTAGTATAAGGAAAGACACCTTTCTGTTTATTAACATGACTTACTTTGTAAAGTACATATTTGATTGCTTAACGAATGCTTATTTTTCAAATCGAGGGGGAAAAACAAAAAATGCTCTTCGACAGTGTAAGCCGAGTGGTAACAGAAGGAGTGGTAGTAGTAGTAGTTCTACTACTTCTAATGCATCTACTGCTTCCAATGCATCTACTGCTTCCAATGCATCTACTGCTTCCAATGCATCTACTGCTTCCAATGCATCTACTGCTTCCAATGCATCTACTGCTTCCAGTGCATCTACTGCTTCCAACGCTTCTACTTCTTCTAGTAGTAGCTGTGCTGGCCTGCACAAAGAAAGAACTGGTTTTCAAGGCTTGAAAGTCTGCAGGCACAAAAAAATGTACATAAGTGGAAAACCACATTTGCAACTGTTTGATGAGAATCTGAAAAAGGTGTTCAGCACTCTCCAAAGAAGGAAAAATAAGCAACTGTTAAAGGAAATAGGTGGAAATGACAATGAGTGTGTCAGTACAGGAGGGGAAGGGCACGAGGTGACGAATCTGCAGTTACTGTCGAAGAAAGGAGGAAATAATAAAAAAAAAAACAGAAATAAAAACCTGATGATATATCTGAATTATTTAATATATGTGAATCAAATGAATCTGATAAATGTAATAAATTTTGATATAAGTCCTAGAACAATTATTTTTTCAACTATATTTAATTTTGCAAAAAAAATAAATGTAAATGTGCAGTACAGTAATACCAGAAATTTAAATATTTTTAAATTTTATCATATACAGAATTTTAGTAGCTATACAGTAAAAAATATTTTAAACAAATATGTAGAAATATTTGGATTCACAAGTTTTTTAAAATTTCTTCACTACTACATAAATGGACAATTTAACACACATAGTGAATACTCAAGGAATGTTAGTTTTTTATTGAATTCAGTTTTGATTAACATATTTGAACAAACCATGATAAAATGGATAGATCAGTTAACAAATATATTAGATTATTTTATCAAAATGTATGAATACCACATATCAAAATTGGATATTCTACTGAAAGGAATGGTAAACCCTTTGGTGAAGCAAGGTCAGAAATCATACGTGAATGGAACTAGTACTCACGTTTCTGGCAGTGAATATAATAACACTTTGAGAATCCAAAATTTTGAGAAAGATTTTGCTCTTCACATGAAACAAAGAGGAGATACCTCAATGTATCATCAGACAACCAATTACATGACAATCATTTTAAATATAGAAACGCTGGAATACATTATTTGCTGCCTTTTAAAATCTATTCATAAGAATAATATAACCTATATTTTGTTAACATATATTAAACAAATTGTACTTTTACATTTGAGAAAGGAAAAAAATGAAATTTTTTTCTATGAAAAAGTCCAGAAGAATAATTTTTTCAAAACAAAATTTTCTCATTTTTCGCATAGCCTTTATGTCTACTATTTTTTTAATTATACTATATCTAGAGTCACTATATATGCCATATTGAACAAGCAAATAAAGTGTGACGTGAAATCTACGTTCATTGCTGATATAGTTACAATTATGGAATCTGGTTTCTCCGACATTGAAATTATGTATGACTTATGTGTTAAGGAAAAATCCATGCACGTGTTTTTAGATCTATTACAAATTGTCTTGCAGACATTTTCTTTTTACATGTACTTTGTGGAACTGAACTTTATAGGTGAGTCCTTCCCCTATCCAGCTTGGAGATCTAAAGAGATGAGAGTTCTCTTTCTGGACTTTCTGGCAAATTGGATTTTTCCATGCTTCACTTTTGTCCCACCTTTACCCTAAACCTTGAACCAAGAACCAAACTTCTACTCAATTTCTACCCAACTTCTATTCAATTTCTACCCAACTTCTACCCAACTTCTACCCAACTTCTACCCCATTTAACACATCCACCTTTCCATCCCTGCAGACCTGACGAAACTAACCACGTACCTCAAGACATTTCTCCATCTTTTGAAAAAGAATGCCTTAGAAGACTACTCATACCCAATAAAAAAGAAAATATGTAAGATGATTGCAAACTTGTTCATATACAACAGAACATTCCTTGTGAGGACATTTAAGAAAGAAGAAAATATGTTAGAAGATATGTACATAGAATTTACAAAAATTTTATTTCTAGACATTGATATTATAAAAAATAAACAGAATTATAATTTCCTTTTTGATTTTTATTTTTTCATAAAGAAAACAAAAAAATTACAAAGTTTTTTCATGGAATTATTTTCACTTCATTTTATTATAATTTTGAATAATTTCGACAAAGATGTGCATCACACAGAATTGACAAAAGCAAACGATGACATCTACAATTCTACAAAATTTGCAAAAGAATCATATACGTATTTGTCTTCCCACGTATGTGCATTAGTTAAAAGGAACAAAACCCTTTTTAATGAAAAAAAAAACAAATGGTATGAAATATTCAACTTAAAGAAAAAATACATGTGTCATAATAAATCATACATTTTCAGCAGTTCAACGCAAGATTTCACAGATAATAAAATGATGAGTATATTTTCAGAGAGTAGAAAAAGTGATCAGCTTATCAGATTCATAGCTGCTCAAAAATTCACCGAAGACATAACAGCAAGCACTGTAGCAAATGCAGATATATGTGTTTTGAGCAACCTTCTAGCCTTGTTCAGTGGGGTCGAAAATATACAGGACAATTTGTACACACTCATTTGCAAAATATCTGGAAATTTTTCGAATTACAATATTTACTATGAGCACATTTTGATTAATCTTTTGTTTTCCTTTTGTAATAATATATCCCAACCACAAAAAGCAAAATCCAATTTGAGTTTGAAAAATTTTTTATTTTTTATAAAATTATCATACCAGGTTCTTCAAAGGCAAAAGGAATACATGAACAACGGAATTTTTATAACGAATAAAAATATACTTGTTTTGAAACTCATTTTTCACATTTTCTTCATTTATATAAATATGTGGACTCTTCATTCCTTCACAGTTGAAGTAACACATCAGAAGGAGGAAATTGAGAAATGTGCAAAACATACCCAAAATAACATTCAACCTGTTTCAAATAACAGAAAACATGACTACGAACCCTTGAAGCAAAGTGAAATAAGAAAACATAGAATCTTTAAAGGAAAAAATCAAAAGATGAAAAATTGCTTTATTTTTTTTATAAAATATTTCATGCTTATGCATGAATTGGTTGTATTAAAAGAGGGGTGTGATGAAGGAGAAAATGCAAATTCAGCCATAGGTGATGACTACTGGGAGTGCTTGACGAATCATATGCAACACAAGACCAATAGGAGTGGTAACAATGAAGAGATGCAAAATGGGTGCCACGACGAGAGTGGAAATAGCGACATCAGTTATTTACTGGAAAAGTTGAAAAGCTTTGTGCACAAAATTTTAAGCACTGGCAGAAGCGGTCGAAGTGGTAGTGATGGTCGAAGTGGTAGTGATGGTCGAAGTGATAGTGATGGTCGAAGTGGTAGTGATGGTGGTAGTTGTAATGCCACAGTAAGCATGAACGCACTATTTCTGGACATGATCGAATATGTTTTTATATCTTTTCTCCTTAAGCAAAAATTCTGGGAAGAAATAAACGGAAAAACTGTTTTCAAAGTGATTAATGCATTTAAAGATATGAACGTACAGGTGGAGGACACCTTGCGAACAGTTAACAAGAACTATACGACGTTTGTATATAGCATATTGGTTTTGAAAATTTTTAATATTAAGGTGATAAAATCGGAGAAGGAGATAAAAGAGGAAAAAGTGATGATAACGAGGAACGCTGGAGAGAAATCCGAAGACGATTATGGGGAGGAAGGTGCTGACACGAACGAACTTCTAAACAGTAAGAGTGAATTCCATGTGAAGGAAGAAGAAGCACAGAATGGAGAAGGTGCTTGGGATGATGAGGCTGCTGGTGAGAATGGAGAAGCTGCTTTGTCTGAGGAGGACACAAGGAAAATATTTTCTGTGGAGAAGAAAAACAAAAAGCTAGGTAAGAATATAAAGAAGATGAATAAGAAGATAACCATGGATAAAGAAAACTTGACTCGATTTTTCAAATTGTTCCTATCATCACTCAACTTAAAGAAAGAGAAGGTTTATAACTTCGAAGAGAAAGGAAGAAATTCAAGTTGTGTACTATTTTACAATATTATATATCACTGTAATAATATAATGGTTGAATGCAATCAAGAAAAAGCTGTTTTTATTTGTTTAAAATATCAAAATGTTATTAAAAATATTTGCACATTGTTTAATTATGGAATTGGCGAAGTAAACCAAGTCTTAGAATATGTGCAAAATGAAATGAACAAAATATACGTCCAAGAAGAAATAAAAAATTGCTTATACTATTACAATATGCACATAATAACATTAATATACTTAATTTCGAACAGTAACAAATTTTGTTCAGAAATAATACATCAGAGTAGAAACCCCAATGATACTTCTTCCTTTATCACCTTATACCTTTACCTTATGAAATATGTACACACTTATTTGGATAATAGTCAGAATCTCAAAAGTACTTCATCCTGTCTTTATCTCATGCTGCATCTGGTGTATAAGTTATCACAGCTCTTCGTTTTTTTCTTCACTCGTTTCAAGAGTAAAGCCAGAGGTGCGCGCATGCATGTGTGTTTTTATGTGTTCGCTATTATGGTTATAGGTACATTTTTAACCTACGTAACTTATTTGCATATTCACAACATATACATCTTGTGAATTCCACATTTATGCAGACGGAAGCTACTTCATCCTTCTAGGATTCGTAAGCAATTATTGCAACTTTCTAGTTAAGACGATGGATTTATTGTAATGGAGAGAGGGAAAACATTAGCATGTCGTGCGAGCAGAGTCCCCATGTTAATATGTCTGCGTGCACGTTTGGCAGTGTGTGACGCGTTTAACATATGAATATGCACATGAATATGCACATGAATATGTACATGAATATGTACATGAATATGTACAAGAATATGCACAAGAATATGTACATGAATATGCACAAGAATATGTACACAAATATGCACACGAATATGCACACGAATATGCACACGAATATGCACACAAATATGCACACAAATATGCACATGTTTACACACCTTTGACCACCTCCCCTTCCCCAAAGAAAACATCTTATACAAAGCAGCAACGACAGTGATCAGCCCAAACCAGAAAAAACATTTATAACACATTTCTACATCCTAAATAACTGTGGACTATTCGAGAGGAAGAAGTTTTACTTGTATCTGCTTAGTCATCAACTCTTTGTTCTATTGTATGAATTCTTCAACATACGTAAGTGCAAACGGAAAAAATGGAAAAAACGGAAAAAACGAAAAAAGCAAGAAAGCGAAAAAAACGAGAAAAAAAAAAAAAAAAAAAAAGTAGCAAATGCCGGAATTCCTGTTTATCCCACATTAGCCCAATACTAAATCATAAGAAAGAAATAAAAAAAAAAAATAAAATAAAATATGTTCCTAACATCATAAATGTACATTCACCATAACGATGTTCTTTTTCCCTTTGCAGAGAAAAATGAACTCATGATGAAATCCAAAAGAACGATAAATGAAGTAATCAAAAAAGGTGGATATGCAATGGACTTTTTGTGTTCATATTTGGACTCAATTTTTTATCTTGACAGCAGGTAGAGATTTGTTATCAGCGATGACATTGCTATGTACATATGTGAAGTTATATATATGTTTGTACATACAAGCATGTGGATTAAGAACTTAACACAATATATCAACCCATATGTGTATCCACTATTGGCAAAAATGTGTGGATAGCAACATGGAAAGTGTGTATCAGTATCATTTTACTTTTCTTTTGTTTTTGCATATTGTGTACCTATCACATATCACAACTTGTTATCCATTCGTTTGTTTTCCCCACTCATACATACATGCATACATACACACATACATGGATACATGCACACACCTGTTGCTCTCATGCAGAATAAACAAATTGTTACTCAGGAACGCAAACTTCCTCATGATGTTTCTACGAACTAATCGAAACAACCTTAATTTATCCACAATAGCCTTTCCCATAGTTATAAAAATTGTAGATATTTATGAATTCATTTCCAAGAAAAGTACAATGGATGAGGAAGAATATGAAGAAAAAAAAATTCTCAAAAACATTTTTCAAACAACTGTATCCTTGCTTCAACATAGTTCTGTTCAATTTTGCTATTTATCCCTCACAGATAGAAAAAAAGAAATTTTTAATGCACTATCCAGCTAGCTTTTTTCCCGAAAAAATAAAACATTGCCTGACCTGTTCATGCGAAAGAAAAAAAAAAAAAAAAAAAAAATAAAAATAATAATATAAACTCATATGTACGTATTAAGCGGAGATGCGTTTATTTATTCTTCACATATGGTTTAAAGATGTTTGTTTTTGTATTTTTCATTTTTCGTTTTCAATTTTTCGTTTTTTATTTTTCGCTTTTCATTTTTCACTTTTCATAATTCACTTTTCATAATTCGCTTTTCATAATTCGCTTTTCATAATTCGCTTTTCATAATTCGCTTTTCATAATTCGCTTTTCATAATTCGCTTTTCATAATTCGCTTTTCATAATTCGCTTTTCATTTTTCTCTTTTCATTTTTCTCTTTTCATTTTTCGTTTTTCGTGATTCGTTTTTCATTTTTTGCTTTAACTGGATGAATATCCACGGGACTCTTCGCTCGACTGAATTTTTCTACAAAGAAATGGAAAAAGACAAATATGCAACCACGCCGTTTAAGCACAACAACTGTTGTCCTTATGTACCGAACCCCCTCTCCCCCCTCCGTTGTTATCTGTCAATCAGCCATTTGGCAAATACAGATATCTCTAATATGCAATATTGTTTTTTAATAAAATGAACAAACGTAAAGGGGGTTTGAAAGAGAATTTCCTTCGTAATTTGCTTGGTAATTTTCTTTCAAATTTTTCCTTACAACAAGTATCGCGTTTTCAAGTAACACGTTTGTGTGACAATCGAAAAAGGCAATGTCCCCAATGACATGGTCAAATTTTATTTTGTTGTCTCTTTTGCTTTTTATAAAAATCTCAATTCTGGATTTTTCTTCATACAGTTGCGACATTTTTTTGTGCATTATGTTTCCCCTTTTGATTTTTCCTAATAAATCGGATGGCAAAAAAAAAAAAAAAAAAAAAAAAAAAAAAAAAAAATGATCAAGTTTCGAAATTTGGCCAAGCTCCAATGCTAACATGTGCAATCGTAATAGATAAAAACAAAAGCCCCTCATTTTTGGAAGTACCAAACGACAGGGCTCAAAAACGTACAAAAACAGAACAACACACGAGCAGAGGTGCACACAAAAAAAACCTGTGTATTTTTTAACAAAGTTATCGATTTTCTCCTCAACGAGTCTCTTTCTCAAATTCAGTTCCCGTAAAATATCTGTAAAATTGTAGAGGGTGAGACAAAAAAGTTACGTTTGATGTTTTTCTTTTTTTTTCATTTTAGATTATATAGGTATATAAGGAAGAAATATTTTTTCAAATAAATGACTTAAACTCATTTATCATTCAAATGCATTTTCCCCCTCTTTGTGTAATTAGAGTAGAAAGAAAAAAAAAAAAAAAAAAAAAAAAAAAAAAAAAAAAACTAAAACGCAGTTCTACTTTTTTTCTTCACATTTTTTTGGTATCCATTTTTTAATACACATATGTCAGTGTTATTAGTTTTGGGTTGAACACAGTAAGGTAAATAGTATTTTATATAATTAATATTATTCAACTTTTGGTAATTATTTTTCATGTGCATTATAATTTTTTTTTGTTTATCAAGCAAATTTTCTTCGTAAGTACTTAATCCTCCTTCTTTCTTCCTCTGTGTCATTAGAATGTTATAATTAACATCACATAACAAATGTTTTCTTTCGTTATACTGCTTTTGTAATTCCTCCAATATGAATTTCATGTCAAAGTGTTCACTGAAGAAGTTCATTTTCTTTGTTATTACCTCACTCTGTAGTATTCCTTTTGTAAGTAACATTTTATCAACCTTTACAATGTTACATTTTGATGTGTCTTTCTTTGCATCGTTTACACAACTCATTTGTCTTTTATCAGATTTATCATAATAATTCCTCTTTTTTTTTTTTTTTTTTATTCTGTTCAGACATGTGTCTCTTTATCTGGATTTAATTTTTCCAATAGAAACGTTCATCAAAAATGGGGACTCAGCGTAGGGGTAAAAAAAAAAATAAATAAAAAAATAAAATAAAATAAAAATAATAAAAATAATAATAAATAAAATAAACTGAGAAATTAAAAAAGTATTCTTTTTGAAGGCACAAAAATTTGTGGTGAATGCAGAAACATCAGTTTGTATAGATGGGAGCATAAAATCAATGATCAAAGAAAAACATCCGTCTTATGTTCAAAAACATGATCTATCATTATATTAACATCTTATCACCTATTTATGTGATCTGCAACCAATAGTAACCCTTTTGTACGTTTTTCCAGATAATATGTTTTAGAAAGTATAAATAATTCCCTTGCATCACATATATTTACAAACATGTGTGGATGTGCAAACGGAGGGAAGAAGCATGCGTAAAAATAAATCATCCATATGTGATAAGTCTCATGCCACCTAGGTAGAAAATCGTTATATATATTAATACCTGCATGACGTTTGTGTATTTTATATGTACATATATATATGTAGTATTTCTCTGAAAAGTAAAAGAAAAAAAAAAAGTGTAATTTTTTTTTTTTTTTTTTTTTTTTTTCTTTTACACAATAAAATTTAAAGAACACAGGAGAACGACTCACATTTTACCGTCATTATAGTTATGTTAAAGTTTAATAGTAAAAAAAAAAAAAAAAAAAAAAAAAAAAAAAATGTGAGAACAAATTGTAGAAACCTGTGCGATTGATTCTTGTATAATGTGATAGTAAAATTAGGTAAATCTTAAATTGTTCAAGAAACATAGAAGAATGTGAAGAATAAAAAATAAGGTAAATGTATAGCAAACGAACCGTAAGCGATACATAAACGTGTCGTAAAAGTACCGTTAAAAGTATGGGTAAAAATAAATTGGCTTTATAATGCAACCCCTACACACAAAATATTTGCAATTGCCTACCCCACCTACCCCCATTTCTTTTTCTCTTCCACTTCCTTTTCTCAAAAAAAAATTTAAAAGTTTCAGAAGAAAAATGTAATGCAGATTCTGATGGTACTATATTTTGTTCACGTAACCTTTATATGTATACCAAAACATTTTTTACCTGCACACGAGCACATTTAATTAATGTACACAAAAAAAAAAAAAAAAAAAAAAAAAAAATACATTAATAACACCTTGCCCAATAGCATACATTTTATTTATTTCTCTTCTACAATTTTACATCCATTTTTACGTTGGCTAGAAAAGAAAAAAAAAAACTCTAACAGATCAGTGGGGGCATAATATATAAAAAAAAAAAAAAAAAAAGATAAGAGAATATAATAGAATAAGAAAAAGAAAAAAAAAAAAAATAGCACAGGGCATTTATTACTTAAGCAGCATTTTTAAAGAATAAATGTTTTAAGTTAAAATATATACCTAACACGAATTCATACATATAGATATAACACTCTCGTTCGCTATCCCCTTATCTCTATCTTCATCTCTCTTTCTCTTTCTCCTTTTTTTTTTTTTTTTTTTTTCTATTTGTTATAGCTAATATGCTAATCCGTTTATGTGAAATTTAAATTTAAGAAAAAAAATGACAAACATAGCTAGGGAGCTCCTGAAGAAGCAATTTATAGGTACACATGTCCTACATGATAATTTTTGTTTACTTGTTGTTGCTGTTGTCATGTGGGTTTCACTTTCACGAGAGAGTTATGACATAAGGAATGCACATCAGTGGGAATAACAGAACATCCAACTTGTGTGTACACTTGTACACATTCGATAAATATGTGAATACAAGTGCAAATGAGTGAACATACACATATGCACACTTACACACGTTCCCACACAATTTCTGACAACAGAACTTTCGCGAGATCACAACGCTGGTTTTTCTGTTGGACTTGTTGACGACTCAAACTTCTTCGAATGGAACGTATGCTTTGAAGGACCAAAAAATACTTTATATGAAGGTTAACATGAAAAACAGTTACTCGTGTTTAAGCATCCTTTTTTTTCTTTTTTAAATTTATTTCTTTTCTTCCTTTTTAAATTTCTTTCTTTTTTTCTTTTTTAAATTTATTTCTTTTCTTCTTTTTTAAATTTATTTCTTTTCTTCTTTTTTAAATTTATTTCTTTTCTTCTTTTTTAAATTTATTTCTTTTCTTCTTTTTTAAATTTATTCCTTACATGTACACATGGAAAGATGTGCATAAGAAACACATTCAAATTATGTTCACCCATTCCTTTTATATATACGCAATTTTTTTTTTTTTTTTTTTTTTTTTTAATAGGAGGTATATACAATGCCACTCTTTCATTTCCCTCGGATTTCCCAAATCAACCACCTCAAATGAAATTCACCCAAGAAATGTGGCATCCAAATGGTTTTTTTTTTTTTTTTTTTTTTATTTTAACGCTTTGCTGAGAAGTATTTTCTCCATATCAGCAGCACATTATTTTTTTATACATGTATTTTGGTTACATTTGTTCATTTTTACAACTCCAGATTTGTTCAAGTGTTCATTTTTTTTTTTTTTATTTCTTTATTTCTCTGTGTTGTGTGTATCGTTTCAGTTTTCCCGGATGGGAAAGTCTGCATAAGTATATTACACCCACCAGGTAAGTGAAAATATAAAAAAAAACACATCAAAATAAAAGGAAAAAGTGAATAAAAAAAATTCAATTGTAACATATGGGAAAAGGGTTATATGTGTATAAGTATTTTTTCTAACATGTGTGGGTGTTTTTTTTTTTTTTTTTAATTTCATTAGTTTCATTTCTTTGTTCTCATTTTTTAATTTCATTGATTTCATTTCTTTGTTCTCATTTTTTCTCATTTTTTCTCATTTTTTCTTCTTTTTTTTTTTTTTTTTTTTTTCCTGCACCTGGACAATCAAACACAGGTGTGGATATATACAACGAGCAAGAAAAGCCAGAAGAACGGTGGAGACCCATCTGGTCAGTCGAAGGAATTTTGGTTAGTGTAATTTCAATGTTAAATGAACCCAACTTGGAATCCCCTGCCAATGTAGATGCTGCGGTATAGTTGCTTTATATGAATTCGATTTTACTTCTCTGCACTATCTCATTTAGTCACTTTTGTTTTTCTGTTTTCTTTTCTCTTTTTTTTTTTATTATTTTTCTCGTTCCACACATGAGATGTGTTACACTCCCTGAATTACTTCCTCTGAAGCATGTGCATTGCCATAAATTCTCCTGCCTCTGTAAATGTGCAAACGTTTGCATGTATTGCTTCATTTAGTCTTGTTGCAAAAAGCACTGGCTTTCATACACACATTGGTTTATCCATTCCTGTTTGACAGACCAAATGACACACGTTCATATATCCGCACCACCACCACCACCGTTTTATTAGGTTCAAATAAAAAACAATCTGAACGAATACAAAAAAAAAGTTCGCGCTTTAGCTAGAATGTGCTAATAAAGGTAAATATTCAATGACCCAGTAAGGAGAAGGAGAAAGTTACGTCTTAGGATTAACATTTAATAATGAAGATATGTGGTACGAGTCATCCGGTACTTACCTACATTTTTTTTTTGCATTGTGCATGATAAAATGGTTAACAAAAGCTGAGAGAATTAAAAATGCTAAATTATAACATGCGCTTAAAGCAGTTTTTTTTTTTTTTTTTTTTTCCCCCTCTTTTTATAAATCCATGCACAGGTATATGCACAGGTATATGCACAGGTATATGCATAGGTATATGAATACATATATACATACATATATACATACATATATATACCCGTTTGCACGTTCATATAAACCTTTTTAAGAACCTACTTTCCATGAATTCAAAAAAGAATGCTTATATTGTTAAAAAAAAAATTTTCTAAAATCATCATTTGTCAGTTGCGTGGGGCCACCACCCTCGCCTGTGTCATCTACCCGCTTCTCCGTTAGTGTGTTTGGATTGTTTGATTTGTTTAAATTTATTCTTTTTTTTTCAAGTGGATAGTTGTTCCTAGCGTTATTGTTAAAGTAGTGATTATTTCCGTTTGGATTACTTTTTTTTGTCTTTTCGATTCCTTGATTATCTGGTTGACCATCCGATTGATCTCCTTCCCCATTTTTACTTCTCCTTTCTCCATCTTGACAAAACTTGGACACCAAAATACTTCTACCATCAATAATGGAATCATTAAGAATCAATGCAGAAGTAGCATCATTTGCATTCTTAAACGTAATAAAAGCGAACCCTCTATTCCTCTTAATATTGTTTTCTGATACCTTTTTGCTGAGATATATTTTCTCAATTTCTCCTATCTGTTTAAATAGCTTTTCCAACTTATATTTTCTGGTGTTATAATGTAAATTTTTCACAACAATAGTGGAACTATTTTCCTCTTTTTTTTTTTCTTCCTGAGCCTGTTTATTTTTCTCTTTGTTCGCTTTTATTTTTTCTACATTTGGTATTATTTTTTTCTTTATTATCGGTATGCAATAGTCCAAGCTGAACTGTAGATCTTCTAGAATCCCTTCCTTTATGGATTCAACACAAGACACTACATCTTCGTTGTTCATAAGTTCTATGTAACCGTGCCTGCACAGTGAGACGAATTTATGTACATATATATATGTGCGTGTGTGTGTTAAAATTATTGGGGGAAAAAATGTTTTGGGAACGATAACTATGAAGAAAAATAAAACAAGATTATAATGTAACACGAAAAAAAAAAAACTCTCACAAGAGTCTCTCCACTTTTGTGATCTAATATAAGATGATTCCTACGTTGGCGGATTTTCTCCAAGGAGACGAATGTCAAGTGGAGCAATTGAATGGTTACAAAGAAAATTTGAAATTTCCTGTTTTATTCGTACATTATCTATTCCCATATCACATTTAATGAATTTAATAAAAACTTTTTTTTCCTCATATATACTTTTCTTCGATTTGCAAATGGCAACATAAAGACTAACATCTTTTATCATAAATTTTTTGTAATTATCTACATTACTATCTTGTAATGTACTAAAAAATATATATGCATTTTCTTTATTATCAAATTCTATGTAAGCAAAAGTTTTGGATTTCCCTGACGAATCATATACTATTCTTGTATCTACGTATCCATTAGCATTTGAAAAAAAAAGAACTAAATCGTTTTTTGTTATTTCTTCGGTTAAATTTTTCACAAATAATTTATTTTCTTCTAACGATGTTATATTGTTTAATAGTTTACTTTTGTTTTCCATATGTTCAATTAAATAATGTTTGTTTTTCTGTACCTTTTTGTTCCTATCACTGCAAACGCTATCGCCATCATCATCATTATCACCATCACTATGTGTGCCATATCTTTCACTTTGTGTTTTTTCATTTTTTTGGGTGTCTTCTTCCCCTAATGGCTCATCAGCATTATCTTCATCCAAAATGTTTAATGAATTTGCACAATTATCTTCATCATATTTCTCCACCTTTTCTATTTTTCTTCTTTTCGCCTCTAATTCAGTTTCTGACATAATATATATTCTTCTCTATTTGGTGCAACGGGAAGAAGGGGTTGGTGTGGTGGGATATGAGCTTTGTAATCTTTTTTAGAGCTTTTTCCTTTTCTTCTTCGTTTTTTTCCTCGTTTTTTTCCTCGTTTTTTTCTTCGTTTTTTTCCTCGTTTTTTTCCTCGTTTTTTTCCTCGTTTTTTTCTTCGTTTTTTTCTTCGCTTTTTTCTTCGTTTTTTTCTTCGCCTTTTTCTTCTTTTTCTTCTTTTTCTTCTTCTGTTTTTTTTTTTTTTTTTTTCATGTGTCGCATTGTGCCATACACCATGCCTCTCTATCTGTACTCTCTACCTATTCTGCATTTTTTCTCTCTTCTTTTTTCGATCATCAAAATTAGGGAAACTTTAACAAAGTGGGAAATTTAGCTGATTAGAAAAAAAAAAAAAAAAAAAGAAGAAAAAAAAAAGGTAAAAAATATCCACACAACCCATAAGCACTATGACGTTAACAATACTGTAAATGGCCATGCATTGGGTTTTGAAAAAAAAAAAAAAAAAAGAAAAAGAAAAAGAAAAAGAAAAAGAAAAACAAATATATATGCACAATACATATGCAACATAAGCCTTACATTACAGGAATATAGCACCACTACATGTATTTTCTTTTTTGCATCTTTTTTTTATCTTGTGGATTGTGTTCAAACATCAAATGGGTACTACTCCTTATCGTGGTGGGGTCACCATTACTACAGTAGGCTCACTCATCAGCGTACGCAATCTTTCACCTGCTCTTCCACTAAAAGTGCTATTTTTCACACATGCATGTATTTATTATGTGATCATATATATGTGCATGTTTTTACACCAAATGTATGACTATCTTTTCTCCATTCTACATATGGGGAAAATTTGAGAAATTTTTTTTTCTTTCCATTTGATAGAGGTGTACCTGTATTTTTCCATTTGATAAATGTGTATCCATTTTTTTCCTTTTTTTTTTTTTTTTTTTTTTTTTTTTTTGCACCTTCTTTTCACACTGTCATATTATTACCTATACGTGGCTTATCAAAAAATAATTTTTAGTAAATTCGTTTTTATTTCTCCAGTGCATGAATCCAAAAAAACTGCGCAGCTGATGTTGAAGCAGATACATCAAAATGGTGATACCACACATGTATGTGCACATGCATATATATATATATATATATTTCTTAGCATCAAGTAGCTACATGGTAATGTAAGAAAAAAATTAATTTAAAGTCCCACGCATGAAGTAAAGCGAACTCTTAGCTGAAACGGGTCCCTATATCTATTGCATCTGGTTCAAATAAAAGTCCTTTTCTCCAAACAGTACGAGCGAATATACCCTTATATAATATATGCCCATATGTATATATAAATTATTTGTGCTAACATTTTTTGCAAACGTTGAATGATAATTCCTCCCAGGATGTTGTAAAAAAAAAAAAAAAAAAAAAAAAAAAAAAACATCACTACATTTTCTTTGCATTTAAAAAGTTGCTACAGGAGGAGAAGCAGCTGTTTTTTTTTTTTTTTTTTTTTTTTTCTCTCCTTTTTAAAAAATTCACAAAATCGGTAATATAGAAACTCCATTTTGAAAATTCCATTTTTTATCCATATAACTACATTCTTTTATGACATTCTACTATTTGTAAAACAAAGAAAAAAAAAAAAAAAAAAAAAACGGAAAGGAGAAAAATAACAAGAGGAAAAGATCGATTGTGGATTGGGGGGGGGAGATGTCTCACGTATCCCCAAATATCTACAAAAAAAAAAAAAAAAAAAAAAGAAGATATACTTCACTCCCACTTCATGTTTTTTTTTTTTTTTTTTTTTTTTTTTTTTTTTTAAACTTTAATTAATCATTTAATTCATTAAAAAAAAGAAAAAAAAGGGTAGCAGAGCTGTTCATAAATTAGAGGATAGCACTCATAAAAAAGTCTTTCCCTAAAAAAATTTAAACTATTTATTTTTTTTACATTTGTTTGTATTTTTTTTATATATTTTTATTTTTTGAGAATTCTCCATAAATGACAGCTCCCACACTCATTTGAAGCTTGTGTAATCAGAACTACTGGCATAACGTGTACGTAATTGTATCTATATATATGTATACGCTGATATTATACAAGCATTTTGTACAAGCATTTTGCACACACATATTGTACGCACAGCAAAAACTGTGGTAAGTGCTTGGGACAGAAATTAGACATGGCGAACGGGTGGTCAGCAGAGAAAATTTTTGGGGACGTGACGTCCTACACATATGATGATATTATATGCCTTCCAAGGTACATAGACTTTCCGTTAAGTGAAATTGATTTGTGTAGTAATTTGACAGAATATATTTCTCTTAAGACACCAATTATATCATCTCCAATGGATACAGTGACAGAACACAAGATGTCGATTTCTCTAGCTCTTTGTGGAGGTTTAGGAATAATACACAATAACATGAGCATTGAGAATCAAATTGAAGAAGTTAAAAAAGTGAAACGGTTTGAAAACGGGTTCATATTTGATCCGTATACATTTTCCCCTGAACACACAGTGGCAGATGTAATAGAAACGAAAAATAAAGTTGGATATAAATCATATCCTATAACGGTAGATGGAAAAGTGGGTTCTAAATTAGTTGGGATCATTACAGGGGTCGATTATCTCTATTTAACAGATAAAAGTAAACAAATAAAAGATATAATGACAACAGATGTAGTCACAGGAAATTATCCAATAAATTTGTCAGATGCAAACAAAGTACTATGTGAAGAAAAAAAAAGTGTTCTTCCTATTGTTAATAATAACTATGAATTAATAGCTCTTGTATGTAGAAATGACATGCATAAAAATAAAATATTTCCACATGCATCTAAAAGTCAAAATAAGCAGCTAATTGTAGGTGCATCAATTTCAACTAGAGAACATGATTTAGAAAGAGCTAATCAACTAATTAAAAACATGATAGATGTTATCTGCATCGATTCTTCACAAGGGAATAGTATATACCAAATTGAAACCATTAAAAAAATTAAAGAAGCACATCCACACTTACCAATTATTGGTGGAAATGTTGTTACTTGTGATCAAGCCAAAAATTTAATTGATGCAGGTGCAGATGTACTTCGGATTGGAATGGGAAGTGGTTCTATTTGCACTACCCAAGATGTATGTGCTGTAGGAAGGGCTCAAGGGACAGCTGTCTATCATGTAAGTAATTATGCACATACAAGAAATATTAAAACTATAGCTGATGGAGGAATAAAAAATTCAGGCAATATTGTCAAAGCATTGTCCTTAGGTGCTGACTTTGTTATGCTAGGAAATTTATTAGCTGCCACAGAAGAAAGTTGTAGTGATTATTATTTTGAAAATAATGTTCGTTTAAAAATTTATCGAGGAATGGGTAGTATGGAAGCTATGTATAACAAAGGGTTTAATTCTAAGGGACGTTATCTGGTAGAAGAAAGAAAAAATGAAGGAAATTGTGATCACAATGAAGAAATAAAAGTATCTCAAGGGGTTTCAGCTAGCTTAGTCGACAAAGGATCTGTTTTTAATTTGATTCCACATTTAGTAAAAGCTGTTAAGCATGGATTTCAAAGTATGGGGATTAGAAACATACCCGAACTTCACTCCAACCTATATACTGGAGAACTCAAGTTTGATGTAAGATCCTTTAACACTATCAAGGAGGGAAGAATAAGTGATAACCTCATATTCACTAATAAAAAATTTACCCCATGAACCAATGCACTTCGAGTTGAGGTTATAATGTGGCTACTACAGAAATGAGTATTCGTTTTTAGGGACAGAAAAATGAATGCGCCCACAAGGAGAAATGTACCATGTGCAAGCTAAAGACACTTTTGTGTGTATGTGTGTGTTGCATAGACTGCACATGGATGTACATATACATACACACAAAAGTTTTTTTTTTTGTCCATTTTATGCTCACGTGACTTCTACATCATAGACAGCTATTTTTTTTTTTTTTTTTTCACCATCACCCCCCTGCCCCTGCGGATACCCCATTGCTTAATCCTATTACACGAACAACGAATCAGGAAATAACAAAAAAAAAAAAAAAGTAAAAAATAAAAAAAAAAAAAAAAAAAAAGTAAAAAATAAAGAATAAAAAAGAAAAAAATAAAAATAATTAATTGTAACCACCTTAATTAGATAATGTTACACATTTATAATACAAAATTGTTACAGTATATAACGTCACACATTATAGTTTTTCTTCCTCTTTGAATGAATTTTTTTTTTTTTTTCCATTTTGGCAACATTTTATATGACCCTGTTCATAAATTACAAACATGAATACATACATATTTAGATCAGAATTATTATGTAAACTTAACTTTATTTTACTCAATGTTAGAAGGTTGGCTATAGGTTATATCCCTCCTATTTTGGAGAGTACAGCATAATATTATCAGCGTATGTGTAATGGTCCTCCAATGTTACCTTTCAGGTGAGAGAGGTGAATAAATATGCCATTTTGCTTACTTTTAAAATAAAAATAAATAAGTGAATAAGCAACTAAATAGAAAGGAAGCTTCCCATTTCCTGCTCGTACATGAAAAACGTTATAGCAGACAGAGATGTCAGAACTAACGGGACTTGGCACAGTTCTGCAAACTTATATGATGCCACCAATGTGGTAAACCAAAATGGCCTAAAGAAATTTATTCCTGTTTTCATGTTCATTTCCCTTTTGATGTTTTCACTTACGAATGAGAAATGAGGATTTTCTTTTTCTTTTTCTTTTTTTTTTTGTTGTTGCCTTTTTCATCCGCCTTTCAAATTCTACACGTTACGTGAAACACTGACATGGGATTAGATTTTGAAGGAGAATGCATTTTATTAAAATGTTAAAAAAATGAACAAAAATAAAAAAAAGGACGAACAATACAAAATTTCCTTAAAAATGATTGCGAATGGAAATAATTCTAGCTTAAATCACAATGCAAAACAGTTTAGCCATTTTTGAGGTATCCACGGGGGGAAAGAATGTGTAAAAAGGGGAAAAAAAAAAATAAGAAAATAAGGTAATCGAAAAGAAGGTAATAGAAAATAAGGTAATCGAAAAGAAGGTAATCGAAAAGAAGGTAATCGAAAAGAAGGTAATCGAAAAGAAGGTAATCGAAAAGAAAAGTATAATAGGAACTGTGCAGCTACGGCTGTCATAATAACAACAAAAATTCGAAAATACCGTAACAACAGCTGATGCTGCAAACAATGGTGCGAAAAAAAAAATAAGGTAGTAAAATGAAGTAATAAAATTAAATGAGTAAAAAAAATAACAAATGGGTAATAGTAGACAACGCTTCACAACACACAACAACGTATTAAAAATAAACTTGTGTCTTTTAATCTATTTTCGATGCCAAAGGGAAGCATATCACTAATACCTCCACATGTGTGTAGCGACATATATATATATATATTTTTTCGTACGCATACTCGTACAGTGAGAAAAACATATGGGGAATTGGCTGTGGCATGACTAAATGGGGCGCACCTAAAAAAAAAAAAAAAAAAAAAAAAAAAACGAAAGAAGAAAAGGGAGGCTACTAATGAGTCTTCCCCAATTGGCACACGCAAATGAGGCAAAATTTTCCAAAATTGAAAAATTATGAGCACCCAAGCGAAATGGCTAGATTCACGAAAAAAAAAAAAAAAAAAAAAAAAAAAATGCACACGCGAAGTGGCTAGATTCATGAAAAAAAAAAAAAAAAAAAAAATGCACACGTGAAATGTTGTAAGTGACGAAGTGGAAAAATATATGTGCATGTGAAAATACACCCAAAATAAAAAGCATCAGCGTAAAGGAATTGCCTCTTCGAATAATCATTGAATCACTGAATCAATGTGTGACATGTGTGTGTGTGTTTGGGGTAGGAGTCATACCTAGCTGCTGCCCTGCCCTGCGTAACGTTCCGCATGTTCATGGTTCACCTGCACCATTTTCTGCACCCAAAGGTTTACATAGCTGAGTAACTTGCCATAATACAATTCGTCATACTTGTAATACAAGGAATTGGAAGGAAAGAACATGGAGGAATGTTCGCACTTTTCCTTCTCAGCATTTTTATCAAAGTGCTTCATGACAGTTTTGTCAATGTGATCATACATCAAATTGATATTTTTTTTATTTATGAAAATAATTTTTTTCAATGTATGATTATCTATAAACATGTTAAAAAGGGACCATACTTTTTTAAAAAAGGTAGGGACATTTATTATATAAATTCTGTATAAAACATCTGTATAGAATTCGTTAAAAATGTTAATAATTTTTTTTATGCAATCGACACTGATCATGTTATTTAATTCAAATTTTTGGCAATCCACAACTACAACAAGTTGTAAAATAGATTCGTCAAATTTTTTTTTGTTTCTCACATCCATTTTTCCATTTCCACTATGGTAGCTACTATGACCATCATTCGTTGCACTATTTTCTTCATAACATATTCTATGATCAATGCTGTTCATGCACATATCAACATGATAAACGAGAAGTAGAAACAATTCATCCTCTTGCATATTTAATTTTTCTTGTATTTTTATATAAAGAATTGGTCTACATTTCAAATCAAATCCACACCTGAAAATATTAGTTTTCATTAAAATGTCTTTAATATACAATGGATTAATAAAAGCATTGTTTCGATCCCCTGTGCAATTATTCGGGTTGATATTACTCTTGGATATGTTTTCTTCCTTCTGTTTAGATTTTTCCATCGAATTTTTTCCATTTTTTATTTTCCACTCATTCTTATTAAAAATTGAAACTGTCATTTGTCTCCATAAAATAAATTTAATAATTTTATTGTATGTTTTTAACAAGTTGTAATCATAAGTATCCAAAAAACGTAGAATGGTTATATCACTAAGAAAATATAAATCACTGTAAAAAATGCTAATTTTTTTCTTTTCATCACTTTGTTCATTATTTGTGAAAAAATTCCCCAGCCAATTAACGCTACTTTTTATTTCGTTGTATGTGTCTTCAATTTTGTTTCCTAACACTGCACTCAATTCGTTGTTTAGCAAATCATACGCCTTCTTGCTTTTGTCTTTATGTTTTGCGTTCTTATCAGTTGGTGTTCCAGTTACAGTTCCAGTTACAGTTCCAGTTACAGTTTCTTCGCCACCCCCCTCTTCTTCTTCTTCTTCTACTTCTTCTTCTCCATTCATTTTTGAATTATCACAGTCTGATGCACCCACAGATGTCCTACTTGTACCCATTTCTACTTCTTTCGAATTGTTTGAGCCACACACTGCGACCATTTTGTTCTTATAATTTTTATATGCTATGGAATACAACTCCTTCTTTATTTTCATAAAAATATCTGTGTGTTCTTTTTTTCTATTATTCAGAGCTATGTTGTTATATTTCACATTATTTCCATCCAAAAATCCTACATTCCCATTTTTAATATAAAAATAATCATGCCTCTGTGCTATATCAGCTCCGATATATTTGTACTTTTCTTCCTCCTTGATTAACCCCATGTCATAATCCAAAAAATTGTCCAAATTCGTCTTGTTCTTCCCTTCGCTTACAGCCGTTTCATCGTTGTTGTTATTGTCAATGGATATGAAGCTTTCTGCATCACTCATTTTGGGGACACGCAAAGGATGTCGGAGTGTAGCTGACCGAGTGGGAATGGGAAAACTTTATGAGGATGGTGAAAAAATCGAAATAAAAAATGTACATTCGGAGGAAATAAATGCACATTGAAGGAACTACTTATATGTTCAGACTAAAATATTCTTCACCAAATTATTTCTTACATAAAAAATTCCTTCTTGCAATAGCTCTCCCCCCACCCAAAAAAAAAAAAAAAAAATCATATATATATGTTATGAATTAGTACTACCTAATTTTGAGCACCCTTTGTAAGGCATGTTAAAATAGTTCTCCTCACTCAAGTGTGAAATTAATTCATGTAATTTGCACAATCCAATCATCCACTTTTCTGTATTTCCCTTCTTCTCCGTTGTTCTACGTCTCTACTTCTTCGTTGTTCTACTTCACTACGTCTCTGATGCTCTACTTTTCCAATTTTTTTTATTTTATTTTTATGAATACTACTTAAAATTTGTGAGACAAGTAAGCTAGAAAAAATGCCTTGAGTCAACAATACAAGTTTCTGTTTTCTCTACTCATATGTCTTTTTAAGGAATGACAAAGTTATGGCTCACCATATATATATATATATATATATATATATATATATGTATATATATATGTATGTATATTTTTTTTTTTTTTTTTTTTTTTGTGCTCATAACACGCAGCAAGTGCTAAGTGGAGAATAATGTGCTGCTAGCACGGGGAAAAAAAGAAAAAAAAAAATTAAAAAATGTTTATAAATTCTTAGCAGCATTTGCTAAGGAAGAGACCAAATTCGTCCATTTTTTGAGTGAACATTACAATTTTCGCAACGTTCGGCAGTTTATTTCACAATTTGTTGAAGTTTGCTAAAGTTTGTTGATGTATGTCCAAGTTTTTCGAAGATTTCCGCGATTTCACACCTTTTGGTGTTTTTTTTTTTTTTTTTTTTTTTTCTTTCCTTTTTTTCTTTTTTTTTATTTCTTTACATTTCTTCCTTTTCCCTTTTTTTTCTCCCCCCTTGTGTGTTTGTTCAAAAATTAAGGAGAATTCTGAACAAGTGTACATAAGACGAAAAGGGCGTTAAAAAAAAATAAAAATAAAAAAAATACATGTACATGTGCATGTACATATGTATACAATACATATACATACATATACATACATATACATATACATACATATACATACATGCATCATACACATATGTATACACACATAAAAGTAAAATAAAGTGGAGTAAAGCAAAACAAAAAAAAGAAAAAAGGACGAAGCAGAATAAAGCAAAAAAAAAAAAAAAAAATAAATAAATAAAAAATAAGGAACAACCGAACGAACGTTAATTCTCGAGTTTGTGTTTTTTTTTGGGAGCCCCTATGCACACTCAATTATTTTATCAATCGCATAACATTTCTTTCTTTACACACTTACAAAATTGAGGAAAAAAAAAAAAAGCAGAGTCCACATTGCTTCCCCTTCCCTCCCTCGTGTTGTGAACCAATTTTGTGAAAATATTTTTATATTTCTCACTCTCTTAACACCTTTGTGTAATTAGAAAGTCCAAAAAGTAATAACAACTCGAATTACACATCGGTGGTAGAAAACATTAAAAAGGAGGAAACCTGATGATACACCTTTTTTTTTTTTTTTTTATTATTTTTTTTTTTTTTCACGCAACTCTGTCACACACCCCTTTGTTATGCATTTTTTTTTTTTTTTTTTTTTTTTGTGCATTTTCAAATGTTTATGTGTCTCCATATAACATAACGTTTCCTAAATATAGTTCATTCCCGAAGTACTGAATCTTACCACCATGGATATGACTTTTGCTACCCCTCGATGTGCTTAGTATATTATTAACATTACGTGTGAATTACACATGGCATCGTACGATATGTTTCCAGTTAGCAATCTTCACTCGATTATGTCAGTAGAGGAGGATCATACAGGGAGGAAAAAAGAAAATGCAAAAGTGAGAATACAATAAAGAAAAAAAAAAAAAAAAAAAAAAAAAAAAAAAAAAAAGGACAGTAGTGGACAGAAAAATAATAGATCTTCAGTTTTAAGTTCGCTTCAACCCCTACACCTGTGTGATCTGTTGTACCTTTAAAAGAATTCAAATGTTTCTATGAAAACAAGTCAGACTTGTTAGCAAACACGATTGTATTTCTAGGAATTTGCACACAAATAATACATACATACAAACATACACACAAACATGAATACAAACATACACACAAACATGCATACAAACATACACAAACATGAATACAAACATACACACAAACATGCATACAAACATACACAAACATGCATACAAAAAAAAAAAAAAAATTCACATACAGAGTAGCACATATTTCCCATGTGCATGCATGCCGATTTAGCATGTGCAAAAAATCACTGTCGACGTTGTACTTTTGTGAAAATTGAAAACAAAATCAAGATGTAAAAAAAAAAAAAAAAAAAAAAAAAAAAAAAAAAACTATGGCGTGAAAAAAAAAAGAGTGACTATTGTTGCTTCAGACAAATTGGGAGGAACGGATCTCCTTCTTCACTCTTCATCTGCGATTCTTACAATTATTCAGTTGACTGAAAATTGCGTCTAATGAAATGCCATATGTTTTCATCAGTAATGTCAGAAAAATGCGAAAAAAAACTCTTAAAAATATTAACACCTGTAGGATATTCGCTACTATTATGAACAACACGCCCTTGAATATGTATTATATGCTTAAATATGAGGATTAACATGCGCATAATATATTTATTATATAACTTCTTCTCAACCAGCTGATGTGACAAATACAAAAATTCCTTCATTTGTTTTCCATATATGTAACTACTATGATAGTAATGAGAATGCGTATTCATTTTTGAAAAAAATATTTCTGCATTGAACAGGATAAAATGGACAATATGCAAATTTAAATGTTCCATATTTTCCTTATAATGTGCTAAAAAGGTCTTTATGAATAAACGAATATCTCGAAAATTATACATGTAGTTATTCACGTATCGGTATGCTTTACTTAACTTGTGCATGTTATGCACGTCTTCATTTTTTGCCACGTTATGCACGTCTTCATTTTTTTCCACGTTATGCATGTCTTCATTTTTTTCCACGTTATGCATGTCTTCATTTTTTGTCGCATTATTCACTCCTCCCTTTTCTCTCATGTTTGGAGAGAGGGCCACCTCGGATGTGTGGTCTCCATTCTCTCGCACGTGTTGATTAATTTGCTTCATGTGCTGTTGTTGCTGAACGAAAAGCACCTTCTTATATATAGAATAAAAAAAGAACTCGATAAAGCTATATACATGCTCATTTTGCTTCTCCTCGATGAGGTTCAAAATATTTAAAATATAAGTGTGAGGATGTGTACTGAAATGTCGAATGTCGTACTTGGAGAGGGTCTCTAGGATTTGCTTCATACGTTCTGTTAACACTTTAAAAACATCATAATTTTCACATTTTAAATTTGTCAAATTGGAAACTTTAATAAAAAAAACGATGTCATAAATATTTTCCAAATTTAAGGAATTAACAAAATGATGAAGTAAGAAAAAGAATTTTTTCCATACTTCAATCAAATCAATTTCGAAAAAGGACAAATATTTAAATGCCTTAATAACAATGTATATATCTTCATACAGGTAATATGAATATTGATCTATGAATGAAAAGATATTCGTCTCAACCAAGTCATACGCTATTTCCGATACCATGCGTAAAGCATCTGCATTTTTATAGAATAAAAGACTCAGAAGGTAAATATTGTAAATAAACTTTAGCAAATGCACGTTACGAAAGTTTACAAATATGTGGATGTCGTGCGTGAAATCATACAGAAATTGTTCATCTTTGAATACTTCTCTGCTTATGAGGTACTTTTGCTTGAATGATGAAATTTCCTCCTTGCGTTTCAATAGATTCAAAAGGGTATCCTCAGTTGCGCTGCTTAAGCTGCTTACACTGCTTAGGCCACTTTCACCATTTTCACCACTTCCATCACTTTCACCACTTTCACCACTTCCATCACTTTCACCACTTTCACCACTTTCACCACTTTCACCACTTCCATCACTTTCGCCACTTTCACCACTTTCACCACTTTCACCACTTCCATCACTTTCACCACTTTCACCACTTCCACCTCTTACACGACGCAGAGTGTAGCGTCTGCCACGAAAGACATTCCTGTGATAATCTCGAATAAGGATGGATTTCCTATAGCCAAATGTGAAAAAGGAGAGAATCTGATTTATTTGAAAATCTTTTAGCAAACTTTTCTCCTGCAAGAGCTCCTGCTTGCACCGAGTCATGAGAATAGAGTATTTGCTTCCTGTGAGGAATTTTTCTGAATTAAAAAAAATACTTAATAAATCTTCCACCCGGAATAAGGAAAAATTGTTTGTAAACAAGATCATTAACTTGTTTACAATTTCTTCGTTATGATTAAATTTACAAATCATTAGGTAATTAAAAAAATGAAATAAAAAATTTAGATTTTTTTTTTTTTCTTGAATGTATTGGTTTTCCAAATATGCCATATAATTTTCTTTATTCTTTTTTTGTTCTTTTGTTTTGGAATCGTAAAAAAGTATGTTACAAATGTCTTTATTTTTCTGACAACTTTTATTTCCTACTTTTTCTATTACCATATTTATGTCTTTTTCGAAATGTGCAAAAATGTAGCTGAACATATGGTTATTTACATACTTATGTTTAACAAGTATAGGTATAAGTAATTTGAAATGTACAAATTTGAACTTTGAAAATTCAACTTTGTCTCTTTTTAATGTTGAAAAAATGTGACTCATAATGGATATGTTTATTTTATTATGTATACTACTGTTATAATATGTGTATTCATTCAGATAAGCCAGTAGTACAACTAGCGAATCGATATTAAACATATGCAACGATTTTGACAATATCAAGAATAGTAAGTTGTAGATATTCAAATTAACATAAAATAATTTCAACCTGTTCATATATTTTAATAAAAAAATAATGTTATTACTGTTTAATGTAATAATCCTTTCATTATCTGCTCGTCTGAATTCCTCCTTTCCGAATACATATAGATAATATTTTAACACATGTTCCAACGTATCAGTTATATGTGAAAATCTTCTATCATACAGATATTCCAGCATGTTTACATTTTTAAATCTGTATATATACATAAACATGTACATAATATTTATTATCTTTACTGATTTACTTTCTTTAAATATTTCCAGCAATGAACTTACACTTTTGCATTTTCTAATCATGTCGTTTACTTTTTTTGCCTCTTCGTCTACTTGGAACATGTCTATGAATTTTTTTTTTATCAATCTATCCACAGTTTTCTCATTCGATCCACATCTCTTTATTCCTTCTTCCACGTGTTTCTCAAAATCATTTTCAAATACATTACTCAGCTCACCTTTGCTCTCCTTAACTTGCGTAACTTCCCCATTCTTATTACTTTCATAGAATTCCTTCTCAATGTTTCTCACAGATTCGTTTATGTAGCTATCTCTTTCAAGGTGAAATTCTTCCCTTATGTTCCTCAAAAAGTGCACGCTTTCTAAATCATCCGTGTTCATATCAGTCTTTTCCTCACTTCCTTCCACAGCATCATCCGCACGAACGCCCACCTCACCAATCGCACCACCACCCACCTCACCAATCGCAGCGTTAGTCCTCTTCTTACTCTGCTCCTCCATTTCACCACCTCTCGGATGTAGGTCTTCTCTGCCAAAGTACTTATCCCTACGACCTTTGTAAAATGTTCTGGGGAAATTATTCTGATAACTGTTCAGAAAATCATTCATCATGTTCACATCTACATGTTCAACTAACCTTTCTTCATCTTCATTTAATGAAAATTTATCCTTATATTTTATCTCCTCTTGCAGGTATTTTTTTTTTTTTAAAACTCGATCATAATCATAGCTGTATTCCATTGTCATTTTTCTCTTCTCTCCATTTGCCATGTTTTGATCTCCTGACCCAGTGTTGAGATCACCTGAACATGACTCGTCTTCCTTCTCTGTTTCATCTTCAGTCTTGCATTTAACCAGGTTTGATAAACTTCTAGGATCTTTTTCATAATTACAGAAATTGATTTCTAGGAGATCCTTTTCGCTTAATGCATCCATTTCGTCTTCCTTTCTTTTTTCTTCTTCCTCTAGTTGTTTTTGTTCTTCATCAGGTTCATTAAATATCTTATCTAACTCTTTAAATAATTTTTCATAATTTTCATTTTCTTTATCTTTCTTTTTTTTTCTCGCATACTTCCTGCTCCACTTGCTCTTCCCCTTGTCTCTAACCACGTTAGCAAAAGTTGTATTTATGTAACCATGTTGTCTCTTCTTCATTCGACAATCTTGAATCTGCAAAAGAAACGCTAGTACAAACATTGCGTAGAAAGCTAGTTTCCACATTTTCCCCACGTGCTGCTTAAGTCCCCTCTCTGCCTCTTCTCCTTTCCCTTAGCTGCACCTACAAGCAACCACGTCAGTAATCTGAACAAACTAATGAAAAAACCTCGACACGTGTTAAGGCGTATACACGTATTCCTCCTCCCTTTCTGTATACCTACACACACACACACACACATTTCTCACCCCTCTCAAAATAATCGACTATTCAATGAAGTATAAACATCTCATCTCAGTACATTCTTCACAGGGTGCGTGCCAAGAAAAATAAGGATCAAAAAAGCCTCGCACAGAAAAAAAAGGCACAAGAAAAGCTGGAATAGAAAAAATGACAAAAAAAAAAGGCTGGAACGGAAAAAAAAGAAACTTGCTAAATGTTATGTATCTATGTCCATTTTGCTAAACAGCGAAATGTCAACTTGTTCCACTAGAGTGCTCCTTTTTTTTTTTTTTTTTTTTTTTTTATTAAAGTATTGCCATTTCGAGAACTCTTTCACCTGAACAGTTCAGGTGAAAAAGAATTGCTACTTATTTTGGAATGAATAAATAATAATAAAAAAAAAAAAAAAAAAAAAAAAAAAAGAGTTGGCATAACCTTTTTTACACAAACGCTGAGACGAGACCAAAATATATAACATTCCTATAGTGTCATTATTGTATTCCTAAGGGAATCACAATTTTACCCTAAAATAACATTGTGATGAAATGGAGTTTTTCTGTTAATACGGATGTTAGCATATTGTTTTAGCAACTATACTACATTTCTTCCATTGCACATGGTTTTTCCTTGTATTTTCTTTTTCTTTTACACTTTTTTATTTTGGTGGGTGCAGCGGGGGAAAGGAGAAAAATTTTTACAAAAATGAAAGGGGATGTGTTACTTTGCAATGTCAGGCAGTTTCAAATAAGAACAATAAAATGGTAATGTAAAAGGAACAACAAATGAGAGAAAAAAAAAAGAAAAGAAAAAAAAAAAGGAAAAAAATAGAAAAAAAAAAGGAAAAAAAAAAGAAAAAAAATTATGTGCTATTTGGGGAGAAGTGTGCGTGTAGGATATATGAAGCGGAAAGGTATATATATATATAAAAAGAAAAAAAAAAAAAAAAAAACTAATTTGAAGATATAGAAACATAGTAGCGGATAAGGGTAACTAGGGTGGAAAATGAATGAGAATTTATTTCATAAAACATAAATTCCTTTTCCTCTTGTTCATCAATTGGTTGAAGAGCCAATTCATTGCAGGATCTACGCCATGTCCGGTCTTCGAAGAGCATTCTGCCAAATGACTTTTTTAAACAAAAAAATGAAAGTGAAAAAAGATGGACAAAGAAAAAAAAAAAAAAAAAAAAAAAAAATTGTTGGAATTGGTGAGTGAACACAAGTGTAATATTCCTTTAGAGTGGTCACCACGCCTCTTCGTACCCTTTTTTTTTTTTTTTTTTTGTATGTATTACCAATTCCTATCAACAATGTGATCAATTTTGAGTTCCCCTCTAACATGTTGCAGTAACATACATCCTTTCTTGTCTTGTTTACTAGCCACAACTAGGAAATCATCAATATGGTTGTAGTCCTGTAGTACCTTATAGAATCCCTTTTTTGCTATGTAGAAAAGAAAAAGTTGCACAGAATTATAAGTAAAAACAAAGAGAAGGAATATTTGGGGATACATTTTTCAAATGGGTTACTTCTATCCATATGATATGGTATTCACTCCTGCATCTCCCCTCTCCATTTCCCTCTCCATACTACATTACTTCCAAATTTTTAAACTCTAAAATGGGGGAATTTTTTTTTTTTTTTTTTCTCATTTTCTCGATGTTGTATTTTTCTGCTTCCTCTATTTTCTTGTTCTCTTTTCTTCCTTTTCTCTTAATACCTATTTTTAACCTCCCATGATCCGACAAATCCATGCAATAAATAACTGCGTCAATGTCTAGCCTGTTAATGGACTCCTGTGTGTGCAGGAAAAAAATGAACAAAATGGAGAAAAAGAATAAATCGTGGCAATGTCAGGGCAGACTCGCATGTTGACAGTCTGACCACTGCCAATCGATTGCCAACTGATGGAGTGAAGATGATTTATTTTATTAGTTAATTTTTTATTAGTTCATTATTTATTATTTCATTATTTTATTTTTTTTTATTTTTTTTTCATGTTACATCGTCCTCTATGCTGTAACGCGAGTCCCATATGATAATGGAAAATTCTTCGAAATCGATTTTCTCCAGGAGAAGACCTATTGAGACATGACAAAGAAATTATATATAAAAGGGAAATCTGACAAGTTATGTGTGTATGTGTAATTTTTTTTTTTTTTTTTTTTTTTTTTTATGGCACTAAAATGATAAACTTGTCTTAACAGTATTTTCAAAACATATCTTTGCAGTGTTTTCACAAATATCGTACAGATCCAAAATTTGTCAAAAAAAAAAAAAAACCTTGGGACTGAAAATGCTTCCACAGAAGATATAAACTCTCTACACACTACCACTACCACTATCACTCAGAAGTAAACTTACCTTCAGTAGGTTTCACCTTCAAAAATCGATTATGCAAGAGGTACTTGACAAATGTAGTTTTCCCACTTTGAGCAGGACCACAAATTCTTATTTGAAATGTTATCTGTTTACCCAAAAACTTGTTGCAACAATCTCGAAAAAATGTTACCATAGCATTACCCATTATAAAATGTGCATTCGCAAGTTGACAGATGGTGGGATTAATAAGATTCGTTCGTTCGTATCTACTAACTGTAGGTGTGTCTTGCCAAGGGAATGTTATATGATCTAAGAGTGGGTATGTCTGCCTATCCGTACAGTGCATATCCTGTTTTCACCTGGTTAAATGTGTATGTATTCGCTTGTGTAGCGCTTGCTTTTTCTTCTGTACTGGTAATGTATGAACATGTTTCATTCATGAAAGTTAATTGAACTTCCCTGTATGTACACTGATTTGTCGTTGATCGAGTGTAACTCTCTTTTTGTTTTCTTTTTTTTCTATAAATTTTTTTGTTGAATCACTTGGATCCCAAATTTTCAGTTCCCCTAGGTCCCTCACATGCCTACCTCTAATCTCATTATTCTTATTATTATTATGGTTTATTTATTATTTGCCCTTGTTAGTGCAGTTTTGATTCAGTTTTGATTCAGTTTTGATTCAGTTTTGATTCAGTTTTGATTCAGTTTTGATTCAGTTTTGATGTAGTTTTGATGCAGTTTTGATGCAGTTTTGATGCAGTTTTGATGCAGTTGTTATTGCATTTATTATTATTCTTTTTTACCTGGGCACGAACTATTTGCTAAAACAGAAGGAAAAAAAAAAAAAAAACTAGTGCATTTCACTTTTATGAAGCAAAAGAACTACATGTCTAAATGTTAATCATGTGTGACTAATTTCTGTTGTCTATAAAATGTTGAAAACAACAGCATGAACTGATCACTTCAAATGCATAATGGAGGGGAAAAAAAAAAAAAAAAAAAAAAGCACACACATGTATGTAAATATTCATGTATGTATTTATGTGCGTATGTACACACATGCACAGTTCGCAACTGATCTAAACAGTTTTGTAAAAATGAAAGAAAAAATAGACAAATCAACAAGGGCCCTGACCCAATGTTAAAAGGAAATACGCGCGACAAACGTCAAATTGATTTGCTCCATGTAAGGGTATACATCACGGAAGCATAAATTTGTTCTTATGCATATGTACATTCAGATGAACTCTGGGTAGTAAAATTAAAGTGGAGCACTGGAAAAATAGAATAGCGAAAAATGGAATAGTGAAAAATGGAAAATTGGAAAAAAGACTATTCACCCGTTAAGTAGCCCACGTGGATAAGCGATGGCAGATGCATGGATTCTTAAAACAGTTCAGCTTGTGTGCCACGTGTAGAACTCTAGGTGTTCCAGTTAAAGTGAAAATGAAAATGTGAAAACGTGAGGTGATTAAACGCTAGGTGTGGAAAAGTACCAACGTCATGCGCAGACAAAATGGCCACGTGGTTAAGTATGAGCTGGACAAACACGCATGTATATATGTGTACATGTATATATGTGGAAATATATGCCTATATGCACATGTGAATATATGCTATCGCGTTGCTGCAAGTTGACACGAACAGAAATGAAGTGTCACACGTAAAGTTTCATCTAGAGAAATAAAATTTCCTGTGGAAAAAAAAAAAAAAAAAAAACCTACAGTCATCACATTCTCTCTCTTTTTATTTCTCTGCAATGTGCAGAAGAGTGGGCTAGAAAATGATTTTCTGCAACTCTGATAGCACTTTCCACAATCGAAAAAGATCCAAGGAACACACACATCATACTTGGAAAATGTAAATTAGTTCTTTTCTCGATTGCTATAACGACATGCACGTGCAAATGGTGATTAAAAAGGGGGTGAAAATGAAATAAAAGGACTTGTAGAAAAGACAAATACAAAAAAAAAAAAAAAAAAATCACAACATGAAATGTGGAAATAAACGTTTTAGCAAAACCATTTAATGCTCGTCCTTTTTTTTTTTTTTTTTTTTTTTTTTTACCTTTTAATTTTTAGATATATTTTTTTTTTTCCTTTTTTATCTTTTAATTTTTAGTTATATATATATTTTTCTTTTTTTATCTTTTAATTTTTAGTTATATTTTTTCTTTTTTTTTTTTTTTTTTTTACCATTGAAATTATGGAAGTTTTTAATTTCCACCTTGTAAATTGTGGCGCAGGTGTGTCCAATTCTCGCAAATTTTTTGGAATTTTTTTTTTCTTTTTTCTGTTTTCTTTATAAAATAGTTATTTTTGCTACTATGTGCTAGTGGTGACCAAACTCATTTTAGAGTTAACAGAATGAAAATGTAAGTGATGAACTGGTTAGGTGTGTTCTAAAATGTGTATTGAAGCAGACAGTGTAGTAAAGGATGGATCATACAACGAATCAAACAACAAATTAGGCAAAAAATTAGATAGCAAATTAGGAAACAAATTACGCAACAAATTACGCAACAAATTACGCAACAAATTACGCAACAAATTACGCAACAAATTAGGCAAAAAATTAGATAGCAAATTAGGAAACAAATTAGGCAACAAATTAGGCAACAAATTAGGAAACAAATTCGGCAACAAATTAGGAAACAAATTAGGAAACAAATTAGACAATAAATTGAGAAACAAATTAAGAAGTGACGCACGCATAGAGGGTGATGCATGGAGGCTATAAGATTGACAACAGATAGGTTTATCATTATCATAAGCCTGGGGACATGTGCATACATGCAAAGACACACACACCCTTATAGATGCACGCGCATCAAACTTCGAATCCAGTAGCTCAAGCTGAAGAATAGATTCGTCAATTCCTCCAAGTCATGACCACATATCACGTAATTTCTTACTTTTCTTTTAAGAAGTTTCAAAGATTGCTGTTTTAAATAATCACATGCCAAATTATGGCTACCAAGAACAGTATTTCGAAAAAAAGTGATCAAAAATTTTTGCCTTTCAACTTTCAACAATTGTAGCTTATCTTTGTGCATGTCCACTCCTAAATGGAACATGATTATCTCCATTATGATTTTGTTCCAATTTTGCAATTCCATATCGGATTTACAAAAAAAAACATCCAAGAAGGTAAGCATTATATGCCTAAATGACGTGGTGTATTTTTCCTCCTTATTCAAATCGATATACAAGTGTTCACAAAAAGTTGTCAAGTTTGGCTCCTTCCTAGGGAACATTATTTTATTTTTTATCAGCATAATGATGGATGAGTAAAACATCATAGAATATTCTTCCAGGAAATATATGTACACTCTGAACAGGCATAACGACAAATTGTTCAACTTTTGCGAATAGTTCGATTGGTATAAATTGTTTTCTCCTGTTTTTATACTCGGTGTATCATTGTCATCCCATGTGTAATTTTGCATACGACTCATTTCTTTAAGTGTCTTATATTCTCTTACGGTCTCACGTGCATTAGTATGAGCATCTCGTCCATCATCTTGGCAGATGTGCATATTTTCTTCTTCCTCTTCTTCTTCTTCTTCTTCTTCTTCTTCTTCTTCCAATCCTACCCCCCAGAGGAACAACAAAATGACAAAAGAGTCGTTCAAAATTTTCATGTATACATAGTTAGAACACATTGTGTACAAATACCTGTTGCTAAAAAAATTTTTATAAAAGCTAGAAATTAGTGTACGAGGAATGTGGAATGTTCCGTCTTTTACAAGAAAAAACAAATAATGTGATATTAAGGAGGATATTACTAGAGGGAAGTATATCTTTGCACTGCTATAGTAGTAGTTCTTATCACTTTGTTTCATTTTTTCCACCATAGTGATATACTTGTGTTCTTCCTCGCGATGTTCCAGTAGTCTATACTCATCATTTGTGTATATGAAAAAGAGAAAGGTGCTTTGAATTTCTCTCATTAAATTTATATCCTTTACTATATTTAGAAAGTTCCCTGGAAGTGCTTTCACAATGTCCAAATAGACGAAGAGAGACATTATTTTTCCTTCCTCCTCCTGTACCTTCTCTCCTCCATCTACTAGCTTCAACCCCCCCACATCTGATCCTATTTCTGGATCTACTTCCTTCCCCATTTCTGGATCTACTTCCTTCCCCATTTCTGGATCTACCTCCTTCCCCATTTCTGGATCTACTTCCTTCCCCATTTCTGGATCTACTTCCTTCCCCATTTCTGTATCTACTTCCTTCCCCATTTCTGGATCTACCTCCTTCCCTATTTCTGGATCTACCTCCTTCCCTATTTCTGGATCTACTTCCTTCCCCATTTTTGAACCTACTTCCTTTCCCACTGATCCCCACTCCATCTTTTCTACATCTCGTTCATACATGTTCAAAAATTGAAGCAACACGTTCAGGGTATACTGTAAATTCACATGAAAAGTGCAAAAAAAAAGACTCATGATCCCTGCTGCCATTTCCTCAGAATCTATAGTTCTTAAAAGAGTACCATAAAAGAAGACATAATTCTTCCCTAAATGGTTAATAACAAGTTGCTTCCTCAAAAATGAACATAACAAATTTTGTTTGTCATTATTTCGAATACTTTTTGTGAATAATCGGTCGTTCTTATTACTCGTATCTACATCATCTTCTTTCTTTTTAGTAGAAAGGGTATAAAACACAATCTTAGTTAAGTTTGTTAAAGCCACAATCTCTTCCTCTTTATTCATCTGATACCCCAGCTGTTCCCACATCTTTCTTGAAATACTGAAAAAATATGGATTTATAGATGAACTAATGTAAAAGAGAAATTCAACAAGGATTGTGCATATTTTGTAACATTTTAATGTATCATTTGAGAAACATTTTAACTGATAGATAATAATTGAGCATAAAACTTCGAATGGAAATTTGAAATAATAGCCTAAGTTATTTATGTTTCCTTCCTTCACTGTTCCCTCTTGTCCTTCTAAACTATCACTCTGAGTCTTATTCTCATCGATATTACTTCCGTTTTTGTCATATTCATGCTTACCAATAGTAATATCTTGTGTATCCTTACTAAGCAGGATGATGTGTAACTTTTTCACAAATTCGGCATGCAACAAAGAATGCTTAAAATATACATATCTGTACTTGTGGATGGTTACCTCTTCCATGATGTTCATATAAATTATTCCAAAAACGTTTAGAACAATGAGATCACATTGGTTGCTTATGTTTTTACTGTGCTTCGACTGAGGAAAATGCATGTCTGCCCTCGGTTTGCATTTCATTTGAAACTTTTCATCACTCGGGAAATTTTTTCTAACAGAGGAATCACTCCCAACAGAGGAATCACTCCCGAGAAGAGAAACTCTCCCGACAGGGAATCCACGACCATCATCTCCTGATGTATGGACTGTTTCTGGAAGGTCTGTAGGTTCGATTTTCCCCTCACCCGGTGACTCTTCGCTTGACACACCAATACTGGATGATTTACTTGATATATCACACTGTAGATGACTAAAAGAATATAATTCTCGATTGAACGATAGGAATTTATTTCTTTTCCCTTGAGTGTGCTTGGCTAGCTTAAGCAGCTTAGAAATATCTGTTGCATATGCATTGAGTTTTGTTATTATGCCGTTAGGGCAATAGATGAAAATGGAAAAAAGTAGGCATTCGATAGACTTCATATATAAATAAAATTCGTCTGAGAAGGGTTTCTTTTTTTTTTTTTTCTTTTCTACATGTGCACTTTTGTCAAAATGGAATTTGTACATGATCAATAATTTTGTGTACTTTGTAAACATGTCTAACAAGATATATTTTATTCTTTTCAAAATTATTTTCATTTTTCCAGACACCTTGAGACCAGGTCTATTTTTCCAATGTGTGCATAATGAAGTGTGTATGTTTTTTTTTTTTTTTTTTTTTTTTTTTTTTTTTTTCAAATCCATTCGATCAAACTTGTCCCAGACAAAACCAAAAACATATTTGAAAAAAAAAAAATATTTTTTAATTTTCTTCTCTAAAAAAATAAAAATTGTAATAATTCTATTTATATTTTTTTCTCTCATGTGTTCTCTACAATTACTCAAAAAATTTCTATTTAGATATAGCGCCATCCTGTCATATGATTTTAAGATATGCTTTTCACTTGATTGGTTTAATGTCCCAGTTTGTACAGGATTTTGTAATTTCAACTCTTCTTCTACATCTACGACACAGCAGAAAAATAAAAAAATTTCGTTGTTAACCAAATTCGTCTTCTTTAAAATTTCATACAATATGGAGAAGAGCATGTAACATGTTTTGTCAAAATTGTGTGCATATTTCTGGTGACATCGAAACTCTGCTTCTTCTCCTCTTTCGTAATATATTTCGTTAAAGAACTTTTTATTATGTAAGTATATACATATCTGATCGATGACTTTATTAAAGCATTTGTAAAATAACATGGTTTGTTTTGGAGTATGTTCAATATTTTCATTATAATATGAAATCATAACAAGCATACTTTTCAATATATCTGTAAAGAAGAGATTCAGAAAAAGAACATCATTTTTTTGATAAATGCATTTCATTATATCACTTAAAACTTCGTTAAAAAAGGAAAGCACCCTTTTATGAGAATCTTCACTAAGGTATTGTGTTATTTTCATTGCTTTCAAAATTGTACACACAAGAACTTTTAATATATATAAATTAACATTTCTCGATTTTATTTCGTACACAAATTTACTTCTATCTTCATTTATTTTTGTGTAGTTCAAATCATCATCCCTATGTTCCTTTTGATAATATCCATTTTTCAGATAGACACTTTTGTCTTCAAAGGAACATATGAATATATGTTCAATTGAGTCCTCCTTTACATAAGTTGTTAATCTTTTTCTAGAATTCTTTTTAATCTTTTTTTGGAAAATTATATCATTTTCCGAATATTTTCCTTGCTCCTTATTTTGTTTTGTGATTTTTCCACTACATTCATCATTTGTTAATTTTTCCCATTTTCCTTCGACAGAATCAAGCAATTCCACTTGGTTTTTGATACTCCGGTAGTGGGCATTATGCTTGTCCTTGAGGTTATTCATATGATTCTCATCATCAGAGTTTTGATCTAAACTGTTCATGCAATTTTGTTCAATATGTTGACATAAATGTTCTCGGTTTCCTCTAGAGGGGTATCCTCTCTTTATAATAACCAATTCGTTTGAATATGTGTTACACTCAACTGATCCATCTAATAGCACTGCGTAGATATTATTAATTAAATTTAGACAAAAATCCAATAAGCAAAAAAGAACAGTGGTATAGTTATCCTGGTGTTCTCTCACATATCTAAACACATTTTTTATTTGTTTCCTAGAAATTCTCTTTAATTTATAATTGGAAAAAAATATGTCTACAAATTCTGAGTCAATTTCATTTTGGCCTGTAAAAATGTCAAAGCCATCTATGATTATATTGGTTAATTCGAAGAGAACGTCATAAATATTGTTTGCTTCATTTAAATGCAATTCGTGGTAAGCAGACAATAACATTTGAAATATGCTATCATTATTAAAATTAAAAGAGATACACACATCAATTATATCTAACTTGTTAATTTTTTCTATGATTTTTTTAAAAAAAGTATAATCACTTAGTGCCTCATATCTTTTAACAAATAGATTATACGAAAAAAGGAATTCATAATATTTATTTTCTTCTTTTAAATTCCTCAAAAAGGTATTTATATTTTCTATTATCTTGGAAAATATATTTTTTTCATTCTTTATATTATCAAATGTATGTAAAGTATTTTCCATTAATTTGCTTTGATCTTCTTTTTCTTCTTCTTCTTCTCCCCATTTCTTAAACTCATCAGGAATACCACTACTGTCACAACAATCCCCTATGGGAATAGCATTGTTATTCACAAATCCTTGACTACTTCTGCTATTTTCTTTGAACATGATATGCTTACATAATGTACATTGTTAAAAAAAGATTACAAATGGTTCACTAGAAATGTACACATTAAAAATAAATAAAAATGGCTTATGTTATTTTAGTATATATATTTTTAGGAATGCTTTCTTTCAATATATCCCTTTGTAAACATTAGCATTTTTTATTTATGAGTTCAACTAAATAGTTTTAGTTCAAAAACATATCCGTCGTGGCTGTATAAATGTGGTTTTGTTTTTTTTGAGAAATGGGAGAAATTGGCTTAAAAAAAAAAAAAAAATAAATAAATAAATAAAAAACGGATAAAAAGGAGGAGCAAACAAATGGTGCACAAAAAGTGTGAACGAAACAGCGAACAAAGTGAGTTGCGAAAAAAAAAAAAAAAAAAAAAAAAAAAAAAAAAAACGGAAAAGTATGAACAAGCTAGCTTTTTTCAACAAAAAAGAAATGCGTCAAATGGGACATTCCCTTGTGTATTTTCCCCCGTTCTTCAAGAATATAGAAAAAAGTAACATGCACACACATATGTACTTTGTACTTGTACGCAGTCACTACTGCAATAAGTTTATATAAGAACACAGAAAAAGGAACTCAAAAAAAAAAAAAAAAAAAAAAAAAGAGAGAAAATAAGAATTTGTTCAAGGATGTCTTAATATATGATTGTACAAAATGATGTATGAACGGTTCATAATTTTTTGTCTCAATTAAAATCTCAATCCAAACGGATATGTAATATTATACATTTTTAATAAGCCTATATGAAAAAAAAAAAAAAAAAAAAAAAAAAAACACAAAGCGTGATATATCAAAAAATAAGGTAAAATAAAATGATAAAGCCAAAAGTTTGTTACATTATACCATGTTCCTTTTGAAAAAGAACAATAGGCCTTTATTTTGTTCATTTAATTCTGTTCATTTAATTCTATTCATTTGATTTTTTTTTCGAACATATTGGAAAAAAACGGCTAAATGCAAAAATAAAATAAAATAGGGGGGGTTGAAGAATACATAATCAAATAATCTAAAAGATTTTACCAAAAAAAAAAAAAAAAAAAAAAAAAAAAGTTTGCATAGTCAATTTTTTCTTTCATTAACTTTGCAACAAAAGAAACGGTTATGGTATAAATATGTAGTAAGCGTAAAGTCTTGAAAGGAAATTTTATGATAAACAATTAACACAATTTTGCCGTCTACAAGTGACCGCTTCTCATTGCACACAACCCAATGGTAGGGAAGGAGAAAACTAAAGATTCAGTAAAACATGTCTTCATTTTTTAAATCCATCAAGTCCCCAATATCATGTAACATCTACAAAGAGTGCGAACATGAGAAAAGGTAATATAAGTAACATTATCTCTCATTCTTAAAAAAATGCAGCTTAGAAACTCGTTTAATGACTTAATATATTTATGTGTATGCCCTTACTTCCATTTGGTTGTAAATATTAACTGCTGGAATCTTAATTAGTACTATGGGTTCCCTCATCGAATCAGTGGAGACTATGGGGAAAATCACAGCAAGGGGAATGAGGATAGTGCGGCGAAATAAATAAATAGCAAACACAGTCAAGTGAGATATGAATATACACACGAGTACCAATGCCAATATGAATACTTGCGCACGAGTAGGCAATAATTTTTTTCAGCTAATTTGAATGCTGAAAAAAATTGCATGTGACACTAACCATCAATTTCCGTATCTACGTCAAAATGGTCTTCTCCCTTTTTCACATCCGTTGAGTCGTCTCCGTTTGTAGTGTTTATTCCATGGTTATATTTAATGGACATTTGTTTGTCTACAAAAATGCGTGAACGGTACAATTGAATATCACAGAGTCTCATCATGTCGCTTTACTGTTTGGTATTATCATACCACTTTATTGTGCAGGAACAGTGTATAATTTCTTAGCCTCACTTCCTCTGGTGTATCCGTGTAACTCCTTTCGAATTTGTCGGGACAATTCCTCCTGTCCCTTGAGCAAGGATTCCAGTTCTTTCTCCTTCGCATACATTTTATTTATATCAATAGAGTTTGCTGTATCATCCTCTGGTTCTGTGTTTTTCCCATAGAGTAGTATTTTCATTAATTTATCTTTTTGCTCCTTTGATAATTTTTCAGAATAATCCTTATAGTATACGTTAATAGGGCGTTGTATTCGTTTGGCCCTAAGATGAAATTGTTCATTAAATGAAAGGGATAAAATAATAAGGAAAATAACAAGAAGGAATATCATTTTGTTTGATTCAGTTTTATTTTTTTTTTTTATCCCTGTAGGAAAGGACAATATGGAAACTGTTGCATTAAATAAAGGGATGAAGAAGGACAAAAAAAAAAAAAATCTCACAATTGCTAACTTGTCAGTTTGCGAAATTGTCTATTTGTGATCAATGGTAAGAACACTCTAAGGAACGTTTGTCAATCACTATACCAACCTTAATCGTGAGTACATTCCTCAGAACGTAGAAAAAAGCACATTCATTGCACTTTTTTTTTTTTTTTTTTTTTTTTTTTTAACACATAAAGGTGTGTTTAATGCTGATATGAGAAAAGACATTTTCTTATTTTATATGTCCTTGCGTTTTGTCTATATGACGAGCTGTGTATATACAAGAGGCAAAAGAAAAAAAAAAAAAGGCGTGAACAAAATATGCGAAGAAACGGAGTAGTATGAAAAATATAAAAGTTGTTCCTTAAAAATAGTTCATAACCTTTGTCTCCATTTCATATAATGTATCATCTGATTTGAGACTTCTTCCGTGGAGACTTTATTTATGTATTCGATGTATGCCTTTTTTTTCAAATGAATAGATTTTTTTTTTTTTTTTTTTTTTTTATTTTTTGGCTACCTTATTGTTATATTAACCATTTGTTCATACAAACAACTATGACCAAATGAGAGGTTACTGTTTCGCACCGTTGCTTATTATACTGACCATGTGAACTTAATAAGTTTTTTAAGAAACAAATTGGTTTGTTCTTTTATTTTTTCAGCAGAAAAAGGATGTTAACAATTTTTTCCATTGTCAAAAGTGTGTGTAAGAATAAGCATATACTGGAACTAACAACATTTCAGCGAAAATTTTCTGAACGACAAGGTTAAAATGGTGTTTTAAGTTGTGCGAAGATTTTTTAGGTCACTTTTTAGGTCACTTTTTTGGTCACTTTTTAGGTTATTTTTTGAATCATATTTTAAGCCATTTTTTACGCCTTTTTTTAAGCCATTTTTTACGCCTTTTTTTTTTTAACATACTTATCTCAATGCTATAACATTCCCGTGACGATGACAAAATAAAGGTTTATTATTTCTAAAAAATTAAAGAAAACATATTCTAAGGAATAGTTTAAAAGAAATAAATGTGAACTAAAACATTGCAGTACTAAGTGAAGGTCATTTTCGAAACATTATTGTGTTCGTGGAGTTTCTTGCCTTTTCTATTTTTCCATTTATATACTCATGACGCTACGAAGCGATAGAGTGGCGTAGGTGAATAGGGTGCAGTGTCGAAGTGTACGAATTTTATGTATGAAAGAAAAGAAAAATGTGACTAGGTTAAGCAAAATGAACAACTACCAATTAGGGAAAGATTCATTTCAGAATAATGAGCATACCCAAAGCAGCAGGAAATAAAAAGGGAAGAGTGGAAAAAAAAAAAAAAAAAAAAAAAAAAAAAAAAAACATGCATCAGGAAACTTGCAAAAAACACACTCAGCGTCTTTTCCTTTTAACCCCCGTTTGAATTACCCAATTTGGAATTTAATCCAAAACATTCTGCATATTAAAAGGAGAAGGTGAGAGGGAAAACGTGTTTTACACCTTTTTTTTTCTCAACGGGTTAAACCATCTCTTCGACATCATCGAAAAGGAACCCAAACCATTAGGTATACTCTGCTTTCTTCTTATATCAAAATGATTTTAAATATCATTCCTCATGAGAAAATCAACATCAGTGGTGACCATGCCATTGTTATTCCTAATTGGCCTCATAACGATCTATGTAAAATGTGTAAAGTTAGCTAAGAAAAGAAACAATCGAGCAATTATTAGTTACACTAAAGAGATATATCTAAATAAGAAGAAAAAAAAAGCGCATTATACAAAGTTTTATATATGCAACTTTACACGAATATTAAAAAAAGAAAAAAAAAAATTCAAAGAAATTTTTAAAATAAACAGAGGAAGCGGGACAACATGTTCATACGAATGGGTGGAAGGAGATGATAATATAGAAGTGAAAATATCTTTAGCACCGGATGTGAATCCAGAGGATATACAATACACTTTAAAAAATGATTATATATATGCAAAGTTGAAAGACAAACCACAAAGTCTTATAGAAGGAAAGTTAAAAGGTTCGGTAGACATCAATTTTTCTACATGGTTTTTAGAAAAATATGATGATTATTGCATTATGAACATTTATTTAAAAAAGAAAGATAAGGGAATAAACGAATGGGTTGGAGTAGTTGAAAAGGAAAATATAATACACATACAGTATGATAATGTTTCATCATCAAATTCTAATTTGGGTGCATGTACATACAAAAGTTTGAATCCAAATGAATTACTATATAGTCAACATTTTGAAAATGTGAAATATGATGATATATACAATTTTCTTCTCAACTGGGCAAATACAAAATCAAATAATCAAAATGAATTTGGTATCCCTAAGATGAAATTAAAAACTACAGTTATGAACAATGAACATGAAATTGAAATTATCATTTTAGGTTATAACTTAAAATGGGAAGCAGAAGATAGCATAGTTCTGAAATTAGCTTCTTCACATAATGGTGTAGAATTAAATGTACACAGAGGTAATGTAGCTAGTGGTATTAGAGGAATTCATGGAAATATGGTTAGTTTTCTTGTTAAGGAATGTGAACAAAGGATCATTAAAAAGCTTCAGCATGATTTGAAAGGTGTTTTTTATTTAAATCCTTTGTCTAAAAAAGCTGAAGACATGATGCATAAACATTGTCCACAAAATAGCTATAACTATGTAATGAATGGTCATGGGAAGCCAAAGCATATCTCCATAAATCGTGATGAACCCAATGATCAAATGGAAAATGGAAAAAATATAAACAATGTATGTAACACTGAGAAAAAAGAAAATGAAGAAAATATACATAAGAAGAACGAAAGAACAGAATTGAAAGAAATCAAAAAAGATTCTCCAGAAGAAGAATTGATTGTGGAAGAATTAAAATTAAATTCTAAGGTGAATCTAACATGTGAAGATAAATCGAAAGAACCTGAATTTATGAAAGATTGGTCAGAAGAAAAAAAAGTAGAATTTAGAAGAAATTCAGTATTGGAATTAAAAAAAAATTTAGAACTTTCTCAAGAAAATAAACTCACGATGAAATTGGAGGATTACATAAATCACATGAAAATATCTTTTGATTTGACTGAAGAAGAGGCAAAATTGGTTTGGAAAAAGGGAATGGCCAAATCGAATGAGCATAAAAACAGAGAGCGTTTTTACAGATTCATTGAGGTAGAAAATCTTACTGATAAGATAAGTATGTATGAAAAAATTCCCGAAAAAGGTAATGCAAATCCAAGCATTGGTAGTGGCCACCATACAAGTGAAGAAGAATATTCCTACCGCTATGCAAGTCAGGGAGAAAAACCTGGGAGCAGAATTTCTGTGCATCCTTTGAGTGTAGAATCTAATCCAGATAAATTTCCCAATAAAGGAAATCTGCTTAATCCAAACAATGTTGACTTCCACTTGAATGAGCAGAAGGAGAAAAATCAAACGATACACAATATTGATGTTATCGATTTAACTAAGAAGGAAAAAATTGACAAGGTGGAAAACAAATTCAAAAGTGAAAAAAAGGAAGGTAACATTAACAGACGATTCTTTAACTGCCTAGAAGAGGAATTACTAGATCCAGAAGACAAAGAAAAATTGACTTTGTATGAAATATATGTGAGAAGTGAGAAAGAGGAAAAACGAGAAATGAGAGAAAAATGGAAAATAAACGAACTCAGATTAAACACTCTGACACAAGAATTAGCTTATGCAGATGATGATATGATTCCAACAGTGTGTAATAATTATCGAGATTTGCTTCTAAGTGATGAATATGCATGCTTGATGAAATTAAGGTTAGAAGAAAATCCACCAAAAAATAAAGAAGAACAGAAAATTTTACATATAATTAATTCCTTTGCTATGAGTCTATATGATGATATAAAAATAATTATGGAACATGAAGAAAAGGAACATTTAAAAAAAATTCAACTGATTTGTGAAAAAGCTGTATATGATGAAAAAGGATTAAATGAATTTATTGAATCCATGAAACCTCTACTCGATTATTCATTCTTAGGATATATAAAACATGCTATAAAAATGGAAAAAAAAAGAATTAAAATGCAAAATATTGATTTCCGGGAAAATCCGTCTGATTGGTTAATAATTTTAATGATTATACAAAAAGGAATTTATTCTATTTTAGAAAAAGACATATGGCAAGATGTTATCAACATTACAACTATTATCTGTCATGATCAACCAAGTGTCAGAAAAACAATTCTTACAACTATGCTTGCATCCATGCCTAAAGCAGATTGGATCTTTTTCAAAGATGTTATTAAAACTATATATAAATGTGTTCAAGAAAAAAAAATAACTGCCAATCATTTTCCTGATTTCCCACATATTCCTGAAGCTATTTTTCAACTAAACTATGACATAGAACAAGTTTTACCAGATTGGTTCATAAAAGAAATGCTTGATCAGTATGACAAATCCGTAGTGGAATTGATGAAATCTAGGAAACCCCTTTTCTGGAAAATGAAGGAAACAAAATGGGATAAAAATTTTGTGCATAATTTTAAGCAGTTGCAAGTTGAGAAGTATCACCAATATGAAAAGTGTCTGGAGGGACCTGATGAATAAACAGCTGAAGTAAACGCACGATCGATGAATCAGTAGAGGCGGACACCTACACGCATATGAAAGATGTGTCTTCATGGGGAGAGCGAAAAAAAAAAAAAAAAAAAAAAAAAATGTGGCAAAAAATAAACATGTAACAGAATAAAAGTGTGGGAAAATAAAAACATAAAACACAGGCACATTGTGAGAAGCAGAAAAGTGTCTCATGCTTTACACATTCTATAGGGCACACCAACATTTACTTGGAACAAACATTTTAAGCTCATTTTCTAAGAAAAAATATTGTTTAAAATTTTGCCTTGAAAAAAAAAAATAAAATAAACTCTTAAAAAAGAAATTGAAAAATATGGCCTTAAAAATTGCATACAAACACTTTGTCATGTATAATTACCATTTTAGTTCTTCCTATTTTGGAACAACTTCAGTCTGCTCCCATATTGTATACACATATATATATATATATATATACATGCATGCATACATACGTACATTTATGTATGATTTTTCCAGTGTTTTTCTAATGGTCAGCAAGTATGGATTGGACGAGGGGGAACATAATTTTTGCCAAAATTCGGGGGCCACCATAGGGTTGAACGGGCAAACTGAAATGAAGTGCTAGGAAAGAAAAGAAAAAAAATAATAACCAAAAGTTTGCAATCACGATGTATCCACAGTGCAGTGGTAAAGCATATACATACTTTCATGCACACACATATGCACTTATCTTATGCAATGAAAACTTTCAAAGAAGTAAAATTTTGCTTGCAATTTGAGTAGGCTTGTCGATGAAGAAGTTCTGCCCTCAGTTGGCATAACACGCTACGTACTGCAATTTGTTTTTCCCTTTTTTTTTTTCCCCTTTTTTTTTCCCCTTTTTTTTTCCCCTTTTTTTTTCCCCCTTTTTTTCCCCCCTTTTTTTTTCCCCCTTTTTTTTCCCCCCTTTTTTTTTCCCCCTTTTTTTTCCCCCCTTTTTTTTCCCCCCTTTTTTTTCCCCTTTTTTTTTCCCCTTTTTTTTTCCCCCTTTTTTTTTCCCCCTTTTTTTTTCCCCCTTTTTTTTCCCCCTTTTTTTTTCCCCTTTTTTTTTCCCCTTTTTTTTTCCCCCTTTTTTTTTCCCCCTTTTTTTTCCCCCCTTTTTTTTTCCCCCTTTTTTTTGTCGTTCCCTTTCTAGCCACCTTCCGCTAAACATGCTACGCAGCCATTTTCACGTCCTAAGCTGAAATTGGCTAGAGTCGTTAGATCCATAGAAAGTGTGCAAGCCCCAGTGCTGTCAAAACCATATCCACACACACACTCTTAATCAGTAAAAATAGAAATTTTTATATTACCAAAAAAAAGCATGAAAAAAATAAAATATGTTCCACTTTTGTGGAAACAAAAGGTGGAAATTAATTGTACAAGATACAAACATTATTCTTCTTATTTTTGCAAATTCGATAAGAATTTTTTTTTTTGCACAACTGGGAAAGGTTAGTATGTATCACGAGAGTAGAACCTATTCATTTGTGTAGAACACAGTACTGAAACTTCTTCTCATTTTTACACGTTGATTGGCATGTTTCGATTCTGTGTAAATTAATTCCTAGTTTACTTTCACAACTGCTGAATGTACCACTTTTTTTTCAACCACTTCGTCTCCTTACAGATACAAGCAAAAATAAATACATAAAATGTAATAATTGTTACAATTACATAAACATGGATACGGTACCTCTGTCATGTCACGTAAGTTCGAGTTTTTTTTCCCCCCTCCCCCCCCTCCTTGTCCTCACTTCTCAGCTCCCATTACGGGGAAAACCCTTACTTAAGAGGAAAAAGCACATGTCAAAATTTGTGGTTTTCTACATGCAAGATTTTTAGTATGTAACTTGTGTAAATAAAATTGCACTCATACAAACATGTATAGTCCAGCACAGTTACCACCCCTCACCATGAATTTTTACAGTCTTGCAATGCACTTATTAACGTGGAAATCTTCAAACAATTCAACTTCTTTGATATTTTTAGTTTGTAAGAAATTTTTTAAAAATATGAAAAAATCTTATGGACACCCCATTCGTCCCACTTATGAAAAAGAAATCATTCAGATATTACTTCCATTTGAATCAAAACCTTTGCAAAAACTGAAGTTATATTGTACCTCATTTTTTATTCACCTTTTTCACGCATCAGACAAAGCACATACTGCATAGACAAAGGGTATTTAAAAAAAAAATTTAACGATATACAGAAAATTTATCATCCAGACAAACATGCACGAAATGAGAAGGTAAGTTCAATCTCGTAAGTATAGCAAATGTTATAAATTAATTTCTTTTTTTTTTTTTTTTTTTTTTTTTTTTTTACCCCTCCTTTCACTGTTTTGTTATGAATTGGTGAATTTTTGCTTTTTACTTGCCTTTTTCTTTATCACGCATGTGTACATAAAGCTTCGACTTTTATGTTTCCTTTCTGAAAAATAAGTAAAGTATGGATCGTTATATTTCTTTTATCACTTCCTTCTGTTTATTTATCACTCCACTCTGTTTATTCATTTTTTTATTTGTGCCTAACACACCACCAATTTACAGCTAGACCAAATAAACGAAGTCTCGAGTTACCTGAACAGTGCATACCAAACTTTACAAAATGATGTTGATAGAGCTCTATACCTGCTGAATATCAAATACAACTACAAGGTGAGAATTTTCGAAAATCGATTTGTTTTCTTTAACTCTGTTGCGTCTATGATTGCTGCTATGCATGGAATGTTTCACCCTTTTTGACATGTTTTAATTCGTTTCGTCTGTTTTATCACCATTGAACGTAACTTTTCAACTCCCTTTGTTTTGTATGGAGAGGTGTGTCTATGTCTGTCTGTGTAGGGGTCCTTTTTACTGTTTACTCTCTTGGATCATTCTTCCTGGAAACTACTATCTCTTCTTCACATTCTGCTTTTTTTCCCTTCGCTCGTTAAGCAAAAAAAAAAAAAAAAAAAAAAATAAAATAAAAAGACAGAGTGACACTGAAATTATAGCAAATTTAATTATAAGCTATCCAATTCTATTTTCACACTGCCACCCTTTTTTAAGATATCGGATGATGAAAACATGGATGATGATGAAGAATTCTTGGCAGAAATTGTACAGGTAATATATAAAATGTCAAAAAATTTGACAATCGTCAAAGTGAGGGAAATTATCTTAAAGGATTATCATTTTTTTTTTTTTTTTTTTTTGTTAAATTGTGGTGATACTTCTCTATCATATATACATCCAACGAACGAAAAACAACGTGTTATTTATTATCATCATCATCATCTGTTTTTTTTTTTTTTTTTTTTTTTCCCAAATTTTTAAAATTTGCCTAAGGTGAATGAAGAAATCAACAACCCAGAAGCTAATATTTCTCAGCTGACAAAGTAAGAAAAAAAAAAAGACATGAAATTATGATACATAGATAATCCCATAGGAAGGAGAAGATAGGAACACTTTTTTTTTTTTTTTTTTTTTTTTTTCATTTTTACACTCCCATAGTTATACCATTTATTGATGCTAAGCAAAACTTCATTTATAAAAAATTATTTTAGGGAATATAAAGACAAATACATGGATTACATTGAAAAAATTAAAATATATTTTGAAAACAAGGTAAACACATATGAACTATTTTTTTAGAGTGTATTATTTTCCATTGTGTTTACTGCTACAATCTAAATTTTACGTCAATTTCATTGTTGTTATGTCATACTTTACGTCTTCCTTATTGATTTTCCGTTTATGTGTGGATACATGTGTGTGTATTTTTTTTTTTTTTTTTTTTTTTTTTTTTTTTTTTGCTTCAATACTCCCCCCTCTGAAGCCTTCAAATAAATTTTTCTACACCTGTTTTTATTTTCATTGTAGGATTTCGAAAATATCCTGAAGGCCTTAAAAAAATTGAAATTTATAAAAAGAATATTAGATCGATTGCAAGACTTGTGAATTGATGTTCTGTGTGCCATGTGTTAGTTATTCGTATCTTTTTCTGGATGCATTTTTTTATGCATTTTTTTGCTGCTTTATTTGCTGCATTTTCTTATGCATTTTTTTGCTGCTTTATTTGCTGCATTTTTTTAACCCATGAAGGGATATCCTATTTCTTTGCACTACAAAGATTTATTTTACCACATTAAAGCTTCTTTCTTATTGTTGCATGCTAACTTGTTCCAATTTGCTTTTTCACTTTGCTTCCATTTGGGAAAACAGAGCAATCGAAAAAGACAAGACCAACATTCGAATGTACCTAGTTCATTTCTTTCTTTTTTTTTTTTTTTTCACACTTCCCTCATCCCATTAATGGGTCATGTCGAAGACACAAAAAACCTCGTCCTTATGAAAAAAAAAAAACGGGCCTCTTTACTAACGTTATATTAAACAAAGTGAATGTTAAAATTTTCAAAAGTTTGAGTTTAAGGAAATTTCTTTTTTTTGCGCACTTTGTGGGAGAAATGGAGAAAAATTTTACTGTCATGGGGAGAAATTCAAAAAAAAGTGGAAAAATAGAAAACGTGCAAAAATGGAAAACGTGAAAAAAATGGGAAACGTGAAAAAAATGGAAAATGTAGAAACAGTAGAGAACGTGGAAAACGTGGAAAACATGGAAAAAAGCTCCCTTCCTGCGCATGTTCGGATAAGCTTAATCATAGTTGTCCCAATTTTTGCACACAAAGTGGGGTGCTCTCCCCAGAATTCTAATTAAATTTATGCTTTTTATTTCCCTTTCGTGCCAATTTTCATACGGCTTCTTTTTTTAGCATGTACACAATATCTGACATAAGAAAAAAAAATAAGAGCACCCAAATTTTGTAATAACTCAAGTCACAGATGGATAAGGAGCAAGTGTTGTGTTTTCTTTCGCGTGTGCTTGATATGTAGTGTGCATGATAAGTGTGGAAAGTTTTTTCAAAGATTAAACACATCGTGGTGCCATTTTGTCGCTATGGGATATATACTATCGTATCGGGTGTGTAATTTAAATATGTCACAACGTCATCCACACTGGGCAAAAAGCATCAACATTAGCACAATCACAAGCACTACCACTAGTACTTGGACTAGCACTTGGACTAACACTAACCTGCGCTTTATTTCTAACTTTAACGACACGTGTAGCACAACTTTCGTAGGTAAAAGGTGCATTAGGTCGGAACCATACATTTTTGAGGTGCTCTGTCGAAGGGGTACTTCTTCCTGTTTTTCCAATATGGGTGCATATTTTTTTCCCCATTTTCATCTGCTTCATGTTTTTTATTTCAGTATGAATGAACCTTATGTGACTTGTTAAAAATTTTGGTTGAATATATTTCGATGAGCCATCTAAGTGCACCATGAACACATAGACCAAGGAGTGCATCGTTGTAAACCTTGAATCCGTAATATATGGGTAGTATTAAACAAAGAACGTAGAGAACATAATTTTGTATGACTTGCTTGATTATGTAAAAAAGTTTAAAATATTGATATTTACCTGACTGGTCAGGTGATGAAATGTTATCCAAATTTTTGGAAATATTTTCAATGGGTGATTTTAATATTATATATGAAATTATAGATTTGTTGTAAAGATCTTTTATTAGGAAAAAAAGCTTATTTAATTTTTTCTCCCTTTGTTCTGCATGTTCTTTATGTACTGCATCTTCTGCATGTACTGCATATTCTCCACGTTTCACATGTCCTGAATTGTGTGCAGCTACTGCAATCCTATTGTCATCCAGGTGGTGAAACCTGTTTGAAATATTGTTGGACTTCCCTCCCACTGCTACTGAATCTTGTGCAATTTTTTTGAGTTTTTCTGAATAAAAATGAACAAAAAGAAATATATTATCGTGTGCATATGTTGCCAAACCATTGAAACATAACAAAAAAGTTTTTATCATATTTATTGTCATTTTTTTTAGAAAAGCCATGTTTGAATAATATTTTTTTTTATATTTGTTAAATAAATTTGTTTGTTCCACAAAATTTTTTTCCTCTGAAATTTTACTAGACAAAATTTGACAGTATTTTTCGTTAAAGTAAAAGGAAAAATTTAATAAGGTTAAGGTAAATACACAGCCTATGGAAACTTCTATAAATAATCTTAAAATGTCATTACTTTTACATATCATTATAAGTCCAATAATCCCTAATATATGCACACTAATAATATATGTAGCTACATTACTTTTAATATTTGTGTAATAATTATTAAAATAAAAATTTAGAAACAAAATGGCATATGTTAGATATAAAACAAAACTTGCTATTGCATTTCTTACATATATTTGATTCTCTACATTTTTTATTGCATAATAAGATATGAATATTCCTATGAACATTTGAAATATTTGTAAGCATGTTATAAATTTTCTGATCTTGTACAGAATTTTTGGTAATATATATATAAATCCAAAATAAAAATACATCATTGTGTGTACTACTAAATTCAGGAAAACAAAATAATGTGCATGAGAAACCAACTCTTTCTGGGAGTATAGACAATAAATTACAACACTTAAATGATGGTAACTGTGTAAAAAAGTTAATTTTTTTTTTTTCAAAATTAAAAATATTGTATCTCCATATTCAACTGCTTTAGTTAATGTAAAAATACTTATTACTGCTCTTGTTTCTGCCCTATATTCTGACTCTTCCATTATTATACATTTTAATACATCTCTATCATATATAAGAATCAGTAAAACCCCTAACAAAGACAAAAATGATAAACATATATTCCATGTCACTTTTACTAACTTTGCTTCTATTCCTTTTCTCTTTTTCATTATTTTCTGCAACAGTAGTATTATGGGGATGTACAAAACAGACATCATCAAAATGGCACTTTCATATTTTTTTGCCAATTCTCTCCCCTTCCCTGCAACCCAAAATTCCCTGCTTATCAGACTCATTTGAGGAAGAAAGAATCCGAAAAAATAAACACAAAAGCTAGTAGAAGTACAATAGATGAAAAAGGTGACAAAAAATCTGTGCAAGGGTAGCAGCTACCAAATGTATACGTGTAGATGGTGTTTTACAGCTCTAATCTCTCAATCGTGAGAAGTAAAAAAAAAAAAAAAAAACGTTTTGTAATATTTTTGAACTATTCACCATAGGTTATTTTTATTATTACACAATGCAACCAAAATATGGAGGGAAAATGTTCTTTATATGTATTTATTTTTTTTTTTTTTTTTTTGTGGTATTATATATGTGAGGAGCGCAAAAAATGCTTTTTTCTCTTTTTTTCTTTTTTGTGCTATATATATACATGTTGTAACAGATTATTGTTTGAATGCTTTATATATTTATGCACTTGTTCTTTCCTTTATTTTTACATTTTTTTTACGAATTAATTTTTTTTTTTTTTAAAGTCCTGTTATTCAAAACAAGCATGAAACAAGGAATTGTTACCAAGTTCGACAAAGTGAGGAAAGTAAAAAATGAAAAAAAAAAAAAAACAAAAAAAAAAAAGTGTGCCTCATTGGTGGCGATTCTCCCTCCCTCCCCCATTGTGATCTATAAACATAAGAACAGAAAATACATGTATAAATTTTTGTAATAAACAAAATGCAAATGTTGGTGTATGCGCACCTGTTTAAGCATGTACACATATTTTCCTTCTCCAAAAGGTGGCCAGAGATATATTCTCCTCTCTCCTTTTTTCAATGTGTTTGAAGTGTTTGGAATGCTAAATTTTTGAATTCCATAGACACCACAACGCCCAATTTGGGGATATACCAATTTGACTCACGACATGCTGAAGGAACATTCACGAATAAAATATTCATCATTTTAATAAAAAGAAAAAAATCAAGAAGTAGATGAATGAAAAAGCTAAGGGGAAGAAGAGAAATTGAAAATGCAGTGCAGAACAAAGAACCAAGTTCATCTAGAACGAGTTATTTACATGGATACGTCAAATTCAAAGTGTACACTCGTAATTTTCATATAGGTTCTCCTATAACCCCCACACACACATCCACTTTGGTATATATCATCAAACAGTTTTGCATTTCATTGGAGAAAAAAAAAAAAAAAAAAAATGCACATGTTTCAAACTGCTGTACCAATTTTGAATCATTTTTTTTTTTATACCTTACCCATTTATTCACCCAACTTATGCACAATTAACTATACGTTCTCTCACGTGTCCTAATTGTTATCACAAAATGAAAATATTTATCTTGTTAGGAAATTTGTTGACAATTCTTATTATCGACAAAACTTGAACTATCGTTAAAGAAATGAAAAACATTTCAGCGCACACTTCAAAATGTTACACATTTAATGTAGATATAAGGTTGTGTAAAATTATAACATTATAATTGTGCTTCAAACGAAAAGGATTTTTTTTTTTCTGTTTTAAGAGTTCAGTACATAGGGAGAGACACTCCACGTGTACAAGAGAATGACAGCATGATAGAAGTATTTTTAAAAAAAAAGTTTTGGTCATGATTATCGTGTGATGTGAGAAAAACAGTGGTAGGGATGGCAGCGAAAAGCCCTGTTTTGGCTAATACATGACGTCAAAATTATCTAGTCTCTTTGCCACAGCCCAATCAAATCCATTCCAATTTTTTTTTTTTTTTTTTTTTTTTCTTCTTCACGTTCATGTAATTAAAAAATATGAAGAAATGCCTCTTATTGCAGTTAAGAAAAAAAAGTAGGGATACAAATTGTTAAAAGTTGCAAATGGTCATGTGTTGTCAGATTCATCCCTCTGTTCACATATCTCCTTGTTCTACATTATGTTATATGGGGACTTGGTTATGCAAAGGTCTGAAGTGTATTATTCTGCTTCTCCTGTCTGCGTGTTATATGTTCCACACAGTTGTAAAATGAAAAACGTGTGTTTATTATGCCTCAAACTTTTTTTTTTTTTTTTTTTTTAGAGAATTTTTTTATTCTTAATGTCACTCTCGTGTATGTCAACATTTTATTTCTTATCTCTTCTTTTCGTTACGTCTGGTTTATCTCATTTTATTTTATATTTCCTTATTGCATAAACTTTTATATTATTCTAACCAATCTTGGTGAAGCATTTTTACATGTGTTTTATATTTGTCATGCATATTGTGCATACGGCACTTTTTTTTTTTTTTTTTTTTTTTTTTTTTTTTTTTTTGCGCACATTTCACCCCATCTGTTATTTCGCATTTTCCGCTATTTTCTGTGTGTCACTCTGCATTTTTTTTTTTTTTTTCTTTACAGTGTTACATTTTCCATGTTTTCCTTTATACTACTTTGTTTTGTTCTTTGTGCTTTACTTTATTTCATGCATTCCTTTCTGCTTTATTATTTATTTTATTTTATTTTTTTACCTTGCGTTTCACTTAATTTTTTAGATTATTTTTTTCTTTTTTATTTCCGTACTTTTTACCGTAAATATATATTTTGTTTTTTTTTTTTTTCACCACCCTTTTTTTGTTGCACTGGAAAAGGAAAGGAAGAACATAGGATTACTCTCAGGAAATTCTCCTTTTTACCGTATTTCACAACTAATGTACTCCTCAAAGGAATAAAATTATATTATATATACATATATATATATATATATATATATATATATATATATATATATATATATTTTTAGAGAGAATTTTTTATAATGTGTATCCTTTACATGTATTTGGATATTTCCTTTTTTCTTTTTTTTTCCAAAAGTTTTTAATGCGTATCCCTCCTATGTGTTTGGACTTTTTTTTTTTTCCAAAAGTTTTTAATATGTATCCCTCTTCATGCATTTTGACACTTTTTTCCCAGTGTCCAATTTTAGTGCATTATAATTTGAAAAACGTTTCTTCTGCCATCAATTCTTATCTCTTTTTCTGGGAACACTTCCCATACATTGTTTTGACATTATGCACAATCTTACGATTGTATATATATACATACACACACTCGTACTCGTTCATCCCATGTGGTACCAACTATTCCCTGTTATTTATTTCACCGTTTTTTGCTCTTTAGAAAACAAAGGGTGAAGAGAGTAAAACGTGAATATGTTTTGACAGATCAGTTGATACTCAACTGGGAAAATGATATGAATATAAGATATATATATACATACATAGGTTTATGCGTATTTGTATGTATGTGTGTGTGTTATTTTTTTATTTTATTTTTTTTTTTTTTTGTCCACTCCTTTTTGCAATTTGTTGATAGCTAGAAAAGGGGAAAATATAAACAGGAACATGTGTATTTCGATACACACCATAACTTTGTGGTAATTTATACCATCTTGGCATGTCTCCTTTTTTTTTTTTTTTTTTTTTTTTTTGTGTGTGTGTGTGTGTGTGTGTGTCTATGTGCCTATAAATTTTGTGATCTTAACATTCGTTCGAGTTAAGATTAATCTACATTCAATCCATATTTTGCATCACTCATGGAAGTGTGAAACTTTTGTTTGAATTTTTCTATTCATGTGATTTTTTTTTTTTTAACCTATCCAGATATTGTAGGAACATACTTTGTATGGTGATAGGATCTATGTTTAATATTCGTTTTTCCTTTTTGCCATTTCACATTTTTTCTCTTTTCTTTTTTGCCTTTTCGCTTTTTTTTTTTTTTTTTTTTTTTTTTCCGTCTATATACAATTTGTTTTCTATTTTTTGTAAAACATTCTGAACAGTTTAGAATTTTTTTTTTTTTTTTCCAACATTGTAGGAATGAGATTTACACAATTTTTTGAATATTTTTTTTGATCATTTTCGTATAAAACTATTTATAACTCTATTGCATTCTGCTCCAATCTATTTTCCTCCATTACATATCATCCAATTTAAGCGAAAATAAAGAAGTAGCAATTTTGCTTGCGTTTGTGATCTTCCCCAATTTGCGCATAAAAAAAAAGATATGAATAAGTAGAAAGGTGTACAGAAAAGAAAAAAAAAAAATGTCAAGTGAAAAACGTGGTAGCAAGATTCACGTATTTGTCATAAACGATGTGAAGAGTAACGATAAAGAAGATGAGAAAAAGGAAGAAGTGGATGATACTTTAAAGTCCGATGAATACAAAGTCAATGGTTGTGATGAGAATGCGTTGAATACAGGAAAGGAGGAATGTTCTGAAACCAAAAATAAAGAACGAAAAGATGGAGACATTGGTGGAGACCATGATAGAGGCACCACCAATTTGATGAAGAAAAATGAGGAAATCATAAGGCACAAAATTTACCATCCACAAGTTAGAATTATTAAAGTAAGTTGTGGAAAATCTATCATTGGGTTCTTATCGGTTATGGGGAAAGTATACTGTTGGCATTTGAATGGATTTGACGATTTTGATAAGAATGTACCGTACTTACTAGTAGGTAACATTTTGAAAAATAAAATAATCAACGATGTAAGTAGTGGAGATAACCATATTGCTTTTATTTCGAAGGAAGGAGAATTATTTACTTATGGTGATAACACATATGGCCAGTTGGGAAATGGACAAAGTGATGGGTTTGTTCCAGATGATGCAGTAGGATCTACCTTAGGTTTAACTACAGAAATGGCTCCTTCTGCTTCTTCCTTAGGAAAGGATGAAAAGGATCGAGAGGAAATGAAGGGAGAGGAAGAGATGGGACAGGGGAAAAAAACATGCCTTGGAGACTCTGAACAAGTAGATGCAAAGAATCAGAAAACAGATGTGCTGAAAAAACAGGATAAATGCAAAGTATACAAAATAGACGTAGAAAATAACATCGTGAAATATGTATACTCAAGAGATAAGTATACACTGTATCTAACCATTGATGGACTTTTATATGGGTTCGGATTGATAAACGAACATCTAATAAAAGGACAAAAAAATAAATACAAAAGTGAGAGAATATTAAAGAAACCACATCTGATACATACAAATAATATATCTTTTAAAAAAATTTCTGTTGGGAATAATTTTATTCTGGGAATTGATTTTCATAACTTGCTTTATTCATGGGGTGATAACACAGATGGAGTTCTTGGACATGATAATTATGAAGCATGTTATGAACCCAGGTTAATTGAAAATGTTAAAAATGTAATTTATGTAAGTGCAGGAAAAGTTAGTTTATGCAAAACCATTGATGGAGATATTTACATATGGGGGGCCAATTATGGACCTAAGCCTAGTCTCATAAAAAATAAATTTCATCAAATGATTATTAATCAAAATTTTATTATTGGTTTATGTGAAAAAAAAAATATATGGGTGAAAAAAATTGACAATTCATCTCATGGATATTATATCAACAATTTGAAAATAAATTTGTTATGTTCCTACGATAATTTAATTATCGGTGTGGAGAATCACGAAGAAAGGGAACTAGTAGGACCCATTCCTTTAGATGCAAAAGAATCAGATTCTAACTTGACACAGCAGAAGGAACATAAACAAACTGATAATTCCAAGCAGAGCAAAAATAATGATATTACGAATGCACATTTGAATGTTAACTCAAGTGGTGCATCTATCGCTACCGATTCAGTAGGTTTAGCTAGCACCAAAGAAGAAATACCGAATAATCCTACAGAAGGTGCAGATAGTAGCGAAAAAAATAGTTGCAGTGAAGGAATAAGTTATAGTGACATATTTCGCTTTGAAGAAAAGGAGAGGAAACAGAAATGCAACCCAGATGACACAGTCTCCAGTGCAGAATCCAGTGCAGAATCCAGTGCAGAAATCAGTGCAGAAATCAGTGCTAATGGGCCAGCAGATTCTGAAATGAATAATGATTCGGATGATCTTAGGAGGGGCGACACAAATGGTCATTACAGGCTGGGCACAATTGAGAAAGGGATAAAAACTGGTTCTTGTGGTGGTGTAGAGGATCTGAGAACAAAGTGTTCAGAGTTCTCGGAATTGAAATCATATCCTTCATGTAACTCTAATGAAAATTGTTATGAAAGTGGTGGTGACATAATGAATGATGGAAACAATGAAAATTGCAATACACTTGCGAGACAGAGAAATGATTTCCTGATGAATCAAGAAAAAGAAACAACGGAAAATAATTACTATGAATTGTTAGATACAGAAAGGAAGGAAGAAGATTACTTTGATGAAGAAAACTATGATGAAAAATATTATGATGAAAAATATTATGATGAAAAGTACTACGATGAAAGTGAAGAGAATTTCTTATTAACAAATTTGTGTGCAGAATCTGAATCTGTTAATCCGAATGCTAAACATTGTGTACTCATTAATAAACAAGCAATTGATAAACAGAATTCCCATTTAAAATCTGCATTGAAAAAATTTGCTACAAATAATAAAATTAAAAAAACTGTCTCATTTTCAAATTACGTGTACAATTTAACTAAATGTAACTATGAACCCATGAATGGAATTTCTAGTGATGAGGAAAGCAATGATAGAAAAATGGATAAAAGTAATGATGAAATGAAGGAAAATGGGGAAAATGATAAACCTGATCAAGTGAACGAAATTGACAAAATGGATAAGCATAATGAATCCGAGAAAATAGAAGAACACAAAATAGGAATACAAAATAATCCATTTAACATATCGGATAGAGACATTACCAAAAATTGTAAAAAAGAACAAAACATGTCATCCATTATTGATATGAATATAAAGTGCAACAATCCAGGAAGAAGCGATTTCTCAAATTATGATAATTTTTCTAATGATCTGAAAAATACATCAAATGGAAATTCATTTTTAGCGGATATTAACATGAATAATCAATTCGTATGGGATGAATCTTCAGAAGAGTGTATAACCCATGAGGATACCTTTAATAAGGATAGAGAAAATGCTGCTAAGACACAGACAGAAAGTGAATATATTACAAGAACAGAGTTATCAAAAAATTGTATTCCAATTCAAAATGATGTTTTCACATATCAAAATGAATTGAAGAAAGAAAAAGATATTATCAAAAATGTATCTAACGATATAAATGATCTCAACAATGATTATACGTTTGAGAATCATGCATCTGAAGGGTGTTCTTGTGGCATTTCAGAAAACAAATATACCAATTGGACAAACTCAAATATATGGGGATACAATTTTACCAGTACAGGATACAAGGATGCGGACCAATTTGAAAAAAATTCGTACAGTATTCTGAATAAGGATTATGGTATCAAATATAATTTTATTCAAAAAGCAAATAATTTCAGAAATGGAATTAATGAATATGAAAAAGGAGAAGAAAAGGGAGAGGAGACAACAGTAGCAGCAGCAGCAGCAACAACAGCAAGAGAATCCGATATAGAGCACCTGTGTAAGGTAGAAAAGGAATTAAATCCAACTATGATGTACAATTGTGTTGATAATAACTCCTGTAGGATTGTTACTCCAAGCGATTCGACCGTGAATACATCAAGCTGCCAGATTAGTTACAAAAATGTGAAAGACAATCATTCGAAAAATGAAAGCATAACTGTGCACACACCTGAATGGGGAGGAAATCAGTTAATTTGCGAAAGTTTCGAGATCAAGCCAAATAAAGAAACCATTCCACAGCTAGCTAAAAATAAAAAAGACACACAAAGAATTCAAACACTGAATACGAATGGGGATAGAAATATAGGCACAGGTACGAAATTGGTGATGCATAATGATGGAAAGAGCATCTTCATAAATACTAGATATTATACAAGAACTGTTCATATTCTATTAAAAAAAAAGACACAATTAAGAAAAGTAAAACAAAGAAGAGGAGTAGCAGAAGGAGCAGCTGCAGAAGTAGCCGCAGAAGTAGGAGGAAAAAATAAACGCTCGTTTCAAAAATTGCATTTGCACGATAGAGGAAAAAAATTGAATTCCAAGTTTTACCACTCCAGAAGGGTCCACTTTTTCAAAATAAAACATTATATATGTAAAAACGTAAAATACGAGATTGCTAAAAAAATAGTAAATGCAAAGAATGAGTGCCCACCACCTCTTTGCACGAAATCGGATCCATGGGATGTCCAAAATGAATATAAAGAGAATATGACAATACCTGCATCAGATATTTGTAAATGCTGTGGAGGATATACATTCCACGTCAAAAACACACATACGAAAGAAAAATCAAACAACAGTAATCAAATGAAGGAAACATTGATTACTAAAGGAGATAGAGATTCTGCTAAGAAGATATTTGTATCGAAGAATAAAAAAAAAAATACAACTTGTAATTTAAAACCTATTTTGAAGGAAAAGAAGATCGTGGGAAAACTTGAAAACTCAGATAATGGAACAAAAGGTGTGATTTGTAAAATGGGTATGAAACAAATTATATCCAAGAGTATGGAAAAGAGTATGGAAAAATCTACATGCAGTGCTAAAAATATGACGACTTCAAAAAATGAAAAAAACAGTGTAAACAAAAACAAAAAAAAAAAAAATAATGAGCAAAAGGAGAAAAATTTTATGACATGTTCAGATGATAATGTTTCAAATAAAAATTTCATACAGGAAAATCACAGTGAAAAAAATATCATAACCAAAATAAAACGAAATTCATCCATGTCGAACATCCACAATAATTTATATATCGATCCAAATGCAGATCAAAATGCGGATCAAAATGAGGATCAAAATGAGGATCAAAATGAGAAATTTGCAACATTGAAAAAAAAAAAAGAATATTTTTCCGATTCTGAAAATATATCTAAATTTGTTTCCCGTTCGAGGTCAGGGGATATTTCAAATTTATGTTCATCAAAAAAATGTTTTGAGAATGAATCGTACACCCGTTGTTTTAACAATATCACATGTAAGACGAGAAAACAAAAATGCAAAGAAAATGTTTTACAATGTCAACAGGTGAAGGAAGAAAAGGATATTAATTCTGGAAATGATAAACATCCAGATTTAGAAAATGATAACAGCGGTTTCTTAAGAGAAACAGAAAAAAATAATCATGTATGCAGCAGTTTAACAAGAAAAAAAGCAACAAAATTTCAAGCTGAGGTTAGAAGCAAGCCTGCACCAGAGATTAGGAGCCATTCCACACTAGAAACCAAAAACAAATCTTCAGGGAAGAAACAATTAAGTCGAACCGAATGGACAAGTGATACTGGGATTGTCGAATGTAACAAAGGAGATAATTTTCTTGGAGACAAAGGAGAAATAAGCAATAATAATATGAAAAAATATTCCAATACAAATATAAGAAACAAAGGACGTATTAATTCCACGCAGAAGAAAGTTAAAAAAAGTACAATCGAGGACACCACACTGTGTCTTTATAATCAAAATAATATGAAGGAAAAAAAATTAGGACAAACAAAAAAAAAACCATGCATTAAGAATAAGAAGACGACAAGAAACGTAAGCATAGACATACTCAGTATTACAAATAATGAAAAATGGGATTCATGCAAAAAGACTATTAACACAAAAGAAATTTCAAAGTGTAACACTGGATGTGTCAAAATAGATCAAGGGAAAAATCATGAAGAAATTGTTTCCATAGACGATGAGTCATTGAAAGAGAATTCTGCATTTAGCTACGAATCGCAAAGCGTAAAAAATGAGAAAAATAATAAAAATATAAACAAGAAAACGAAAACAGATAATAGTGGAAAAAGCAATATAAATGAAAGTAGAAATGTAAATAATAATCGAGGAATGCTGAAAAAGCTGGAAAAACAAATTAGACTAATGAAAAACGATGTAGAACTTGACAAAGATACAAGAAGACACGCAAATAAAAAAAACAATATTCACAAAATTGATAAGATACATAAAGAAGAAATTGAAATATTCGACAAAGAATATTCCACAAACAAAGATGAAAAGTGTGAACGTTTGTACCAAAATGTGAAAGACAAATTAGATTCGGATGTAAAATTAAGGGAGGAGAAAAAAAAAGGAAAAAAAAAATGCATAAAAAAATTACTTAAGGATGTGCTATTCATTTATAACGAATATAAATGCATAAAAAAAGAAAAGGAAGAAAATGAAAAAAAAAAAAATTATCTAAAATATTTACTTGAAAACACTGTAATAAAAACAAATGAAATGATTAGGATTAACAAAAATTCCTTTCAACTGTATATCGACAAAATAAGGAAAGAAAATGTGTTTTTAAAAAATGAATTAGATGAAGAATCACATCAACATCATTATGACTTACAACAATTAGTCAACAAAATAACACATTTGGAAAAAGTGAAAGATTTTATAGCTAGCCAAAATGAGGAATACACCAAAAGAAATATGACATTAACAATCGAATGCGATAAATATAAAAAAAAAGAAATGGAAACTCGTAGCATTGCTGATAACTATAAACGAAATTTAGAAAAAGAAAAAAATAAAAAAAAATACATACTCAGGAAAATTGAAAATTCCTTAAAATCGTGGGAAATCGATTACAACGAACTCAGCAGCAAGTACAACCTGCTCAGGGAGGAAAAGGAGGAACTAACGAAACGGAATGAGGAACTAACGAAACGGAATGAGGAACTAACGAAACGGAATGAGGAGCCAACGAAACGGAATGAGGAGCTAACGAAACGGAATGAGGAGCTAACGAAACGGAATGAGGAGCTAACGAAACGAAGTGAGCAGTTAGAGAAACTAAATGAGGAGCTGTCAAAACGGAATGAGCAGTTAGAGAAACTAAATGAGGAGCTGTCTAAGCGCTGCGATAATTTGTCAAAGATGTACAATCAAGTGAGCGAAGAAGTTATCTTACTTAAGAGAGAAATAAATGGAGAGGAGAGAGTAGGCAGGGAGAGGGTAGAAAAAGTGGATTACTTAGGTGGTAAATATACATCAAATAAAAAAAACATAAATAACAAACAACATAAGATTCTTATGACTAGGAATAATGGAAGTAATGCAAAAGGATGGAATGATGGATCATCCGATAACCATGAAAGAATGACAGAAAATAAGGGAAGACAGAAAGAGGGGGAAAAACATATTTTACATTTGAAACGTGAGAATGAAGAAGAGGAAATAAAAAAGAAAAAAAAGGCAATTCATGAAAAGGATACAGATTTATCAAAAACTTTGGAATTTTTAAAAGATAAATTAAAACAGAATTGGAAAAATTTCAAAAACCAAGATTCATTAGTAGAAACAATTCTTGAAGAGGTAATTAAGATGGCATTTAACAGTATAAATGACAAAAAGGTAGTAAGAGAAAGTAATCACAAATTGGAAAAAACGGCAGTGAGAGACCTTATTCAACATGTCATAAAAGGAGATATTGGAGATGAGCAGGTAGTGCACCTCTCAATAGAGAACACGGTGTGTGGTAGTAGTGGATCTGCTGAGAAAGTTCAAGTGGGTGGGTTGATGCAGGACGAGGCAGGACAAGTGGGAGTGGAAGTTGAGGAAGTTGGAGAGGTGGAAGAAGTTGGAGAGGTGGAAGAAGTTGGAGAAGTGGAAGAAGCTGGAGAAGTGGAAGAAGCTGGAGAAGTAAGAGAAGTTGGAGAAGTGGGAGAGGTAGCAATCTCATTTGACGAATGGGACGAACGCATTGATTCAGGAAAAAGAGCAACCCACAGGAACAAGTGCAGTGATGAGAAGAAAAAGGAAAAACTTAAAAAGGTTGTAATGGAACAAATGGAGGAAATATTGACTTCCGTTGAAAAAATAAAAGAAAATTATTCGCACGACAGTAAAGAAGTTAGAACTGATAAGATGGAAGGAGACAATTTGGTAAGTAGTGAATCTATGGAATCGAAAATATCCATTTATGATATTCAATCCAACGGGATCCTTGTGGATAATGAAGAAACTCCCTTAAACCAAACAGTTGTGAAGAATGATGGAAATAGTCAAGGTAAGTTCAGTAAGGCAGAAGAATGGAACGAACAGAAGGAGAAATTCACTACATATGCGAAATCTACAAGTTTGAAAAAAAAGACACAAACGATTACACATTCGAAGTTGCAAAAATCAAGGAAAAATAAACTGCTGAGTGAAACAAGTGGAATGTTGAATAACATAACAAATGCAGTGAAAGGAAGTAATGGAAGCAATGGAAGTAATGGAAGTAATGGAAGTTATGGAAGTTATGGAAGTAATGGAAGGGATTCTATGAATCGTTCTGATGGGTGGTGTGATGAAGATGAGGAGCAAGTGAAGCAAAAACGAAAGAAAGAAAAGAAAATTTACAATGGTAAAGGTGGTAAGGGGTATTCAAATGAACAGAATTTAAGAACGAAAATTAGAGATATCAAAAAGAATGACATTGAGAAAGGGATAGATTTAAAGAGAGCCAATTCATCAAGTATCGACATGCAAAAGAATGTCCAAGATGGGATATCATCAAGTATGACTATTTTAAAAAAAAATGCACAATTAAAAGAAATCGAAAATAATGGTTTTTTATTAATGCAAGATGGCAGCGGTATAAATAAAAATAACGCTTATCACAGAAATGCAAAGTTCAATGATTCAGTAGTACCAAAAGGGAAGATGAATACTAGAGGGATTAAAAGAGAAAAAAGTGCAAGTACTAACGATGCACACAAAGGTAATAACCCAAGTGATAACCTGAAAACAAAAAATAATGAACTGAATGATATATTAGATTGCATTTTCGATGCATCAACGGATCAGTCATCTCTCAATGAAAACATGCTAAATATTCAAAACTTGATCGAGAACAACCTTAAAAACATTTTCAGCGCCCGCGATTAGAATGGATGGCAGCCATGTATGGAAGTAGTGGACGAAAGTAGTGCATATAGACCTGTGAATTGTACATGCATGGTAAAAAAAAAAAAAAAAAGACGTGCTCTTTTCTGCTTTATATATATTTTCTCCATCACATATGCACGTAAATGTGCTCGAATGTATCCATGTCTACACATGTGTTATAATATAACCATATATATATATATATCAAACGTGGGTGAGGGCATGACGTATGAACATTGCACCCATATACTTATATGTGTTAAGATTTAAATGTTAGACCAAGGGCAGTTTTTTTTTTTTTTTTTTCCCTTCTAAACATTGTATATTTTTATTATGGCGCTTTTTTTTTTTTTTTTTTTTTTTTTGGTCTTTAATGGAAACAAATTTTAATCTCTCTTCTACGATGTCATAAAACGTCCTTCATCTTCGGGATTTTTAAAATGGAAAAAATATTGACCTTTTATTTTTTTTTTTTTTTCCACTTTTTGTATTATGATTTTTTCTTTTCGTTAACATCTTACATAGTAAAAAATGTGAAAGTTTTCACTAGCTCTGTATATATGCATATGCAACACGATAATTTTGTGTGGGACTTGTTTTTATTTCACTTTATTATTTTACATTATTATTTTACATTATTATTTTACATTATTATTTTACATTATTGTTTTACATTATTATTTTACATTATTATTTTACATTATTGTTTTACATTATTATTTTACATTATTATTTTACACTATTGTTTTACATTATTGTTTTACATAATTTTATTATTTTTTTTTTTTTCTGTTGTTATAAAGTAAATCCACTTAACTAAACCTTTTGATAGTAATTAAAAAAGCTCTTGTTAATTTTTAATTTTTATACCTCATTGGATTGGCATTTTTTTTATTTTTTTTTTTTTTTTTTCCATATGATTATGTTTTATACTACAAAACGGAAATTTTTTTTTCTTTTTTGTATTCCACAAGACTTTTCACACTTTCACCTCCTTTTTGGACTTTTAAAAAGTGGTAGTATATATTATATAATACTTGATTAACAAACAGTTATGAGTGTAATAATATATAACATGTTAATTGAAATAAAAATAAAAAGCTTGAAAAGTTGTATTTTTTTTTATATTTTTTTTTTTATGTGTTTTCACATTTTGACGTTTCTGCGTTATAGGCGTTTATACTTGTGTGGGATACACATTATTTTTACCTTTATTTTTTCCCTCCTCTTTTTAACCTTCCTTTTCTTCCTTTATTCCTTTCCTCTTTTCATTCATTCTTTCTTTACTTTTCTTTTCTTTTCTTTTCCTTTTTTTTTTTACACGAATTTTTCATCTTCAATCGTGTTAAAAATATTTAGAAATAAAAATGGAAATAAACTGAAATCGCTTGGAAGTGTTTGGTATCGCTTGAAACCATTTGAAACGATTTGAAACGATTTGAAACCATTTGTAATCTTTTGAAAATTGTTTGAAAATCGTTTGAAATCATATGGAAATGTAACACGTCCTACCGATTTTTGTTTGTTTGTTTTATTTTGTTTTGCTTTATCATTTACTGGGTCCATTTCCTTTTTTTTTTTTTTTTTCCTTTGCCTTTTTCAACAGGAAAAGCATTCGTTTACAATTTTTTTAATTTTTTATATAATTTTTTACATTTTTTGTATTTCTTTACATTTCTTTACATTTCTTACATTTCTTTACATTTCTTTACATTTCTTTACATTTCTTGCATTTCTTTACATTTCTTTACATTTTTACATTTCTCACATTTCTCACATTTCTTACATTTCTTTACATTTCTGTACATTTCTGTACATTTTTTTATATTTTTATTTTTTTGTATTTATAACATATGCTCATTCCAGACCAAATAAGACACATGTTAAAAAAAAGGAAAAAAAAAAATTTATATATTTCCACCCCATTTTAAGACAATTTTTTTTTTTTTTTTCCTTTTTTTTAAATGCTTATTATTTTCTTCAAGTTTTACGTCTTCGCATCATGTGTTACCAGCCTTCCCGAAACAGCAACTTGGTTTCTGGAATTGTGACCTACTTGGTTGATTAGTAATAATCCATGACACTTGGAATTTTTAAAGGTGCAAATGGATCAGTACTAGCTCATCTTGTGAAGTGATTTTCATATGAAAATGAACCATTATTTCATTCTATTTTTACGCCTCTATTTATACAACCCATCGTACTCAACTTTTTACATCGTTTTTTTTATTCAGTTTTTTATGCAACTTATTTTTTTGAACTCCTTATTCAAATCATTTTTATTGTTTTTTCTGTTCTTTTTTATCCTTTACTCGGCCTTTTTTTTTTTTTTTTTTTTTTTTCTCTTTTTAAAATGCTTACTTGTGCCGCCAATCCGCTTAAGCAGCAATGTCGAAAAATGTAAAATCTGCTAAAAGTTTCAAATAATGGATGAAAATCACACGAATAACAAAATAAAAGTTTTAAATTTTTTTCAGAATGAAGAAATACAGGAAAATAAAGAGAAAACACACTATTCTAGCAAATTCGAAGTAGGGATAATATATACATGTAAAATGAGTTACAGAAATGTCTATGGATGAAAGCAGTTCACACGCGCTCATCAGCTTTAGTGTGTCCATTCCACTGTCTCATTATTATTATTCTTACTGCTACGGTCGTTACTGCTACTGTTTATTATTATTATTTTTTTTTTATATAATGAGACCCGTTACATGTCTTGAATTTGCGAATGTGAAATCGGTTCAACTGTATTGGTGGGTCACACCATTCCGAACATATGCAGTGTAGTTCTGAATAATTCTTTGCAGACACATGTACCCAAATAGTTATTGCCGTTCATGCATTTTATTAACCTTTTTGCAGTGCTGTACATGCCTTTTTTTATTTCATCACTGATCATTTTATCATTTTATCATTTTATCACGTGATCACACCATCGTACCACCATTTCATAACTTCATAACTTTATCATTTTTTTTTTTTTTTTTTTTTTTTTTTTTTTTTTTGGCTAGTTCGAAAAGGGAATAATCCGCAACGCTATCGTGTCAGGAAATTCGAGCAAGAGTACCAAACTGGAAGAAAAGGACAGAGAGAAAAAAAATTGCATAATATTTCGAGAACAATGCGAATACTGTTTAACTAATTTTTCTATAAGTGGACACCTTATTTTAACAAAAGAATCGTTACTGTTTGAACCTGATTTAAGAGACAAAAATGTGATAACACACGGATTTGGTACATATCAAATATTTATTGATTTGTATGATATATATGAATGTGCACATATTGTAATGCCAACGAAAGATACTTACCTTTGTAATAATGAAGATACGTGTGGATTTATTCAAGTCTTGTTAAAAAGTATATACAGTAGAGTATGTGATGATTCTTCGCATAAAAAAAATAGTATGGGTAATTGCTACAGTCATGTGAATAATAATACAGTTAATGATGATATGAATAAACAGAAAAGTGTTTCATATTACAAATATATTAGTAGAAGTTTATCGTATGTATTCAATTTAGCACAGCCATTAGTTCAGAACGCATCTCCTTTTAAGGAAGAAAAAAATGATCGCATCTTTGGCACAGCCAATTATTCTTCACATATTTTAAAGAATGTTACAAGTAATGACAATTTAAACGAGGAAGAAAACGAGAATGAAAATGAAAGTAAAAACAGAGGTGAAAATAGAAATGGTGAGTTCAAAAAAAATAGCCTTATAAATTTTGACATTACTTCACCAAAGAACAACATTGTAGAACATTTACAAGACAGAGATTTAAAAATATATCAAAAGATTAACGAAACAGATTATAGTAAGGTAATTACATCTCATCCAAATATAACCTATAAGAATAGTCTGAATTTAGCGAATTCACATTATTCATTCAAGGATGAGGTAAAGCATGCTATAAAGAATAATGGGAGTACTTCCATTCCTTATGAAAAGACAAAGAGCGAATCATTGAAATCATCGAACATAGTCACATCACATGAGGGGTATAGTTCCTCACAAAATGTAATTTGTAATTATAAAAGTGAACAAATTTCGAACGTATGTAATGAAAAGAACCATGTGTCCAAATGTCCTCCAAGAATTAACAATCACCAGTTTGCTAATGAAATCACAAATCAGAAAAGAATTTCCGATATTATGTCAACACAAATGGGTGCATCAGATGATTACTTCACACGTAAAACCATCTTAAATGATGTAGAATCTTTGAAAAGAGAAGATTCCATAATTTATGAAAGAGAAACAACACGTTCCTGCTCCAAGTCTTTGAAAAATATCTCCTTCGAGATTCATCACACGCAATTGGACTCTTCATCCAACGTGAATAATTATTTGAAGGATTGCGTAAGCATTGATGCAAGCCAGGGAAATTATGGGAACCAGGGAAACGATGCAAACAGGAGTACGACAGAATTTGGACAGAACAGCGAACCAAATAAAAAGGCTCACAAAAAGTATGAAGAGAAAAGTTTCATACTCTTCAGATTCTTTAACAACAATAAGGCATATGAAACTACGACGAAGATAATTAAAGAAATTGATGAAGTTAGAAAATCAGAAAATAAAATAAAAAAAACCATCACCGCAGTTCCATTTACATCCAATGAATTGTTAAGGTGTATTATTGAACAGTCATTAATAGCCAAAGAATCTAAAAATAAAATCTTCGGAACGGCAAATTCAATGAATGATATTAAGGATTTAAAATATTTAGCATCAATCCCCAAATTGGAGTATATTAATGGCTCTGTGAGATTGTTAAACAAAGAAATCACAAAGCAGATAAATTATTACTTGCCACCAACCTTGAGTATCAAAATATGGAAAATGGCTTTTTGCTCAAGTATACATGGTGTTTCATTTAAAACATTATACAGAAGTGTGTCTAATAAAGGAAGTGTCATTTTATTAATTTACGACATGCATAACGTCCTCTTTGGTTGCTTTCTCGATAAATTATGTTGCGATAATTCTTATTACGGTTCTGGGGAAAATTTTCTTTTTACTTTTAAAGATCCAGAGAAGAAATTGAACGAAAATCAGATCAAAAAAAAAGAAGACAATGGCGATGGCATCGTCGACAAAAATTATGGCAAGCAGCACATCGGCAGTAGTGTTAACAATGGAAGTACAGGTAACATTTATAAAAGTCATAACAGTGATAGCAGTTCTAAGAATTATAACACGGGTAGCAGTTCTATGAATTATAACACGGGTAGCAGCAATGGCCAGCATGGAAATGGGCGCAGTGTGGACTCGAAAAAAAACATAGATAACTTTGGTGATTCAGAGGAGATCAATGATAATGTAAGAAGAACAAATACTAACCAAGATATGAAGGACATAAAAATGACAAATAATTGGAAAATCTCCAATTCGCAGGAAAAATTAGCAGTCGATTTTGAGCCCAACATGAACGGATCTTTTGACAGTTTTTCCAAACAGGAAAAAAGTCCCGATTCTCCAATAACCATCTCTGATTACGTGAATAACCTGAAAATGAATATACATCATGTGAACTGTGAAAAAGATAGTGATGAAGAGAACTATAAGAAGAAATATAAAGACAAAGAGAGTATTGTCAAACCTGATGACTACAGTGACAAGGACAACAATGAAAATTGTGGTGGATCTTCTAACGATATGCATTACAAAATGAAAACGTTTAACGGAGAAAAATTTAACCATTTGATGAATCCCCAGAATAAAAGTTTCTATAAGAGTGATAAACCAAATACAGGAATTATGAGTAAAAATGAAGAAGAAGAAGAAGAAGAAGAAAAAAAAAAAAAAAAAAAAATCAAAATAATAATGATAATATGACCATACAGGTGTACACATGGACAACTCGAAATAATTATTTTATATATTCTGATGAAAAATCGATAACAATAGGTGGTGGAGATAATTATTCCTTGGTTATCAATGATGATTTGTGCAAAGGCCAGACAAACAGAAGTAGCACTTATGATAACGACTTGTTAACGTACGATGATGAATTTGAAATTCAGTTCTTGCAGTTATGGGTATTTGATGATGCATAGAGTCTAAAGGAAGACTTGACATAGGGATGTACACGTCATGGGGGATCACAATGAAAATATACCTAGCGTAATGGAAAGATGTTACAACAAAAGTTAGAATATAAAATTTATCCCTAAAGTTGTGTACCTTACCTCACATGCAGTTACATGTATCCTACCGAACTTCTACAGAGACATTTTTCTTTGGCCTCTATCGAAATAAGAGGTGGCTCTCCATCAACCAACGGATCGTCCACTTGATACACCAAGTGCTTGTGCAAGGATGGCAGATATGTGTGGGGCCCCAATATAGGCCTATGATAACGCGTATACGTATGCATATATATATATGCATGCATACATACATACATACATGCATACATACATGCATACATACATACATACCTACATGCATATACACATTTAGCATATTTTTTGTTCTGTTGTATGCACATAAAATGATTATTATGTGTATACCCATTCTTAATGCACAAATATGTGGATATATACACATGCATACATTTTTTTTTTTTTTTTTTTTTTACTCATTCACGCGTTCTCATTTTGTACTTTGCAAATTATGCAATTTTTCTAATTTTTTTTTTATGACCATATGAATGTGGGGATTGTTTTTATTTATTTTTTTTTTTCTTATTTAATTTTAATTCAATGAAGACAAAATAAATCTAAAGAAGACAAATTTATTAATTTTATCTGTGTTAATGAGAAAATAAAAATTTAGGAAAGCCATATAACTGAAATGGGCTTAAAAAAATGTGTTTGCATATTTCTGTGTGCAAAAAAAAGGGTATGCATGAATTGGTGTATTTTTATATGCATGCAAATGTTTAATATGTACATATGAACATTCATGTGTTTATTTATTTTTTTTTTCTGTGCACATTAGCGGCTAGCCGTTGTGAAAAAAAAAAAAATAATAACAAAATAAAATACGTAAATAAATAAGTAAATAAGTAGGTAAATAAAGAAATACGTAAATAAATAAGTAAATAAATAGGTAAATAAATAAATAAGTAAATAAATAAGTAAATAAATAAATAGGTAAATAAATAAGTACATAGATAAACAAATGCATGCATTAACAATGCAGGTAAAAAATGGGAAAAAAATTATAGACGGGTTAGGCAAAAATGGCACTCCCAATTCTCAGCTGGGTTGTTCTGTGCTTAATGGCTAGTTCAAGGTCCCCAGACATGCCCATACTCATATGAAATTTTTTTCCGCGAAAAAAATTATTTATAACAGGATTATTTAGCAGTTTATTTTTAATATCATTCAAAATTATGAAGGAGTTTTCTCTATTTGTTATATCTAAGGAGGAAATCGTCATAAGTCCCTTAAAAATTAAGAATTCACAATTGTTAATAATGTACAAAATTGTACTTTCAATGTCATCATAGTTGCTATGCATAATTCCAGTTTTATTCGGGTCGTCTGTTGTCTTAACTTGCATTAACACACGAATTTTTTTTAAATTGTTATTGCCATTTTTTAAATTTTCATTCATAATTTTTAAATAATTATTTAACAAAATAGCTTTTTTTTGCTTATCTAATGATTCCACCATGTGCAAATTTTTTACATTTGCTAAAGCCTTGCATTTCTTTGATTGAAGATTCCCTATGAAATGCCACTTTATGGTTTGTGGCAGCTGTCGTGACTTTTCTTCCAAAGCTTCAAGAGAATTCTCCCCAAAGTGATATTTTTTGTCATATGAGTGGATGTTATTTATTTCCTCATTTCCTACATATTTGCTTACAATTAATATCTTCGGTACGTCTACGCAACAGTTATCGCAGATGGATTTTATTTTATTTTCAATATCTTTCAAGTTGTTAATATATTTCATTTTTCTGGTGTTCACGCTAGGGAGTGTTCTTATCAAGAAAAGAAGCGGGTTTGCCTTTTCGACAGATATTTAGTTATATATTTACATATCTATTTATTTATTTACTCATCTATTTGTTTATTTATTCATCTATTTGTTTATTTATTCATCTATTTGTTTATTTATTCATCTATTTGTTTATTTATTCATCTATTTGTTTATTTATTCATCTATTTATTTACTCATCTATTTACTTATTTACTTATCTATTTATTTATCCATTCATCCTATCTATATGTACCCACCTATTTATAATTATTTTTTCTTTCTCCAGAACACGTTTATGTAGAATTAACGCCTTGATAAATCAGATCCATGTATGTAATTTCTGCCGTGGAAGAAACAATGCTGGGTGAGCCCATATGTCCAGGGTAACTTGTTTTAAAAATGTTAGTAAGAACTTGTTCTAAAATTACCAGTTTCGTGTTTAACAACCTACACTTTTGCTATATTGAGATAAAATTATACATAACATAAAAAACATGTATTTCACGCACATTTTTGAATTATTTCGCTCCCTAATTCATTTGCAATATGAAATTATAATTTTTTTTTTTTTTTTTTACTTAAAATTTTATATTCTCTGCTTAGGCATTTTTACCAGTTCAACTACACTTGTTTTATACATTCGACAAAAGTAGATATAATTTTTTTTTTTTCGCTTTTACCATTTCCTCTCCACATTTTTCTGCACAAATGGACGACAAAATATTTTTTTTAATAAACAACTCCACTATTCCTCTACACATACATGAACAATCATCCTGGGTTAGTTATTAGTCGGAAATATATATATTTTTATGGTGTGAAAACATGTGCAACTTAGTTATACCGTTGCGACAAAAAAAAAAAAAAAAATAAATAAATAAATAAAACAAAATAAATAAGCATTATGGGCATAAGAATGTTATACAGGTTCGATAGCACAAATAGTAAGGGACATTATACCTACATCACCAGCTGTAAGTAAATGCTCCCATACCGTAAATATTAAATCATACATAAAATCAAAAAAGGGCACAATAGGTAGGTTCTATTCCAAAAATTAAGACGCAAGGCTATTAAGCTGAAACTGCTGCAGACCCCATATATATTGCTCCTGAAGAGTTATATCCATGTATAATTTTCATATAATATGAACATTCATGAAGATGTATGCATATGTGTTCGCATGGAGAGTAACAAAAAAGCAATTTGCACAACAACTCAAGAGGGGTGTATGCACCACATCAAGTGGGTAAAAAATGTCCAAATAACTACGCATCTTCTGCTTCATTATTTCCGAATATGCAGTAGGAATGCACATACAAAATTGTCATACAAAATTGTCATACAAAATTGACATACAAAATTGACATACAAAATTGACATACAAAATTGACATACAAAATTCATGTACATAATTCACCTATTTGCAACATGGCAAGAGCATGGAAAATAAAAAAAAAAAAAAAAGGAATAAAAAGGGGACATAAAAATTCTACTCGACTTTGTTCTTATAGGGATGGGTGCTTTTTTCGCAAGAGCCCCAGTGGTCAAACAGAAGGATCAAAATGAATAAAAAAAAAGAAAAAAGAGACATGTAAATGTAGAAATAAAAGGGGTAAAATGGAAAATGCACTTTTTTATTTTTTTCATAATGTAATGGAGATCGAACAGTAAGGAAGTAATTCAAATTTAATATATTGTAACCTTTTCTTAGGTAGTATATTTGTATTTTATATACACCATGTTCAGTTGGCAGTTGAAAATTTTTATAATATGTTGGATTGTCTATACCTTTATAGATATTTAAAAAATTTCTTCTATTAACTTTCAATTTAATAACATCAAATTGTACATCATCCTTTTTAAAAGGTACCCAAAAATCATTCTTCAATTCGTAGAGATCAATGGACATATGAATTAAATCATTTACAAAAAAATTTTCCTCCTTTTTATTTTCAATTTTGTGTAATTTAAAATTGTTATATCGAATAATACCAATTTTTTTAAAATTCCACAGAATTATGTCTTGAGAAAAAATTTTATTTTCTTCATTAAGCTGGAAAAATAGATTGGAAAATATTTCTGTGGATGACGAAAAAATAAATCGGGAATTATTTTCCAATTGAATACCTGACACTAATAGTAAATCAGTTCCTTTATTATATTTTTTTCTAAATTTATCATTCTTATCAAAAAGTAAACAATTTTTTGTGCATGTCACAAGTTCAAGAAAGTACTTTTTTTTCAACAATATGGAATGTGCTGTCCCTTTGAATAAAATACGTTTTATTTTGCTTGCATGCACTGGGATGAACATGCTTGAATTGGAAATAACATGATGAGAAAAAATTGGTGTATTTTGTATTATTTCACTCGTATAAAATGAATGTTCTACTTCTCCTATTGTAATTTTCCTTCCATCATGAGAATTTTTTTGTACATTTGGCAAACTTTGATTAAAACTGTCTATGACATATGACATATTTCCATATACATTAACATTCAACTGATTTAGAAAATGCATTCCACTTTTTCCAATTACACTGTTTACACTTAAAAAAATGTTTTTTTTCTTTTCCAGAAATCCTTTTACATAATTGATGTTTATGTATTCCATAACATTGTCATCCAGAACGTTTAATATTATTACTAATCCATCGAACATGGCTTGATCTGATGGGTGCAGTTCACATTCCTCCCAGTTTGCCATGCAATTAGAGTTTCCACTGTTGTCACTACTGTCACTACTGCCACTCCTACTGTTGCCTCTGCTGCCACTACTGCCACTTCTATGCCCAATTTGTGCGAACTTTCCAATCTGGTGACCTCTCCCATCTTCACCTCCTCTCAATATTTGCAAAAAATCTCCATGAGTTTGCAGCAAATTTTGTATGTTAGTCACAAGCACTAATTTGCTTTCACTGAATTTTTTTATTTTATTTTTTATAACACCTTTAATGGACTCCTTGTCAAAAGAAACCCTTTCTAATTTTATCTTTTCGCACCCACATGTTCTTATGATAATAAATAAAAAAATAATTAAGCATAGAAGAAATACAATTCTTGTTGTTCTTTCGTTCTTCATTATTTCCTGATAATTTTATGGTCTTCGTCGCTTGAAGATGGAAAAAGTGAGACATAGATGATACGGATATTTTATTTTTCTGATTCCTTTGTCTCTGCACGTTCAGATATGTGTGTTCAAGAGGAAAGAGTGTCCATTTACGTTTAAAAAATTGTGGAATTATATATATATATATATATATATATATATATATATGACCCATGCAGGTGTAATCTTTTACACTAATGTTCTGTTAAAGTTTTTTTTATGAAAATGGCAATAAAAGTGATTGTTCCCTCCCTTTTTTTTCAATTTTTTCGCTTCTTTCGTCCTCTTTCCCCATCTCTTATACGAATCTACAACCACAAAAAAATAACTCATGACAGCAGAAATATAAAAAAAAAAAAAAAAAAAAAATAATATTTTTATTCTATAGAGTCTCTCCCAAATATGTTACTGACTCTTCCCAAAATTGCGACTTTTTTTTTTTTATTTTTGCACAATATTTATACATTGTATCTAATCGGAGAGGTAAGGTTATATCTTTGGTAGGAAGTGTCAATTAAAAAAATGGATAAATTTTGTTCGTAATGATAAATGTGGATATATTTATACATGAGATAAGTACTGGAGTGGGGAGAAACTATGTGTGATAAGTTATCTTCTCTCCTTCAGCTACTCCAGTACCAACGTAAGAAATGTTATAAAGTTGTTAAGAAAAAAAAAAAGAAGGAATTATATATGCAAGCAGAAATGGGGAGTAGTATAAGTGTAAATTTAAGGAGGGTGTTAATGTGTTTTATTAGAGGATTGGTTATAATTGACATTTTGGCTAAGCGAGTATTCTATTGTATAAAAAAAAAAAAAAACACATTTAAGGAATATAATTTTGTAAAATGAAAGCATAAAATAGAAAACACCTTTAAAGGTTATAAATTCACAATAAGACGAAAAAGTAAGGAGAGATTCTATTTTTGAAATAAAAGTTTTGTAATAATTATGACAACCTAATGGGTCTGCATTAGAGAATAAATTAGTGTATAACACAAAAAGGATGCCCATTATAAAAGTGTGTGCAAAATGAATGAGAAAAGGAAAAAAAAAAAAAGGAAGAAAATATTGCAAATGAAGCAAAGATGAAGAAAATGAATCAAAGTAGTGCAAAGTAAAAAAAAAAAAAAAAAAAAAAAAAAAAAAAGGACGCGTAACACATTCACACGTTTAATCAAATAAAACAAACAACGCTTATCCCCCACAGGGTCTGTAGGGTCTGTAGCGTGTTCAGGTACGCCAATTCCATCACAAGGATTATCTTCAATTCAACACAAGAGTTATCTTCAATTCAACACAAGAGTTATCTTCAATTCAACACAAGAATTATCTTCCATTCATCACAAGAACTATCTTCAATTCCATCACTTTTTTTTTTTTTTTTTTTTTTTTTTTTTCTGGCATAGTTGACTTTTTCCTATGCATGAATGCTTGGATCACTTTTTTACCTCAGCTCCTGGAGACAAATTCTATTCATCGATAGAGGGGTGTCTAGCAATGATGACAACATTGTCTTTATAAAATTTGCTGATGGCAAAGATGGAAATACTTAGAGATATAATACACAAAATGAAAAAATAAGCATAATACTTTGTATTTATGAATTCAAGAATTAGAGAAATGAAAAGGGCACCAATAAAAAGAGAATAATAAGAAAAAAATGCTCCCACAACCTTACTCTCCTTTGGAAATAAATCAAACACAAGTGTCCATATAACATGTCCGAATCCAAGAGATAATCCAATTAAATAAAAAGCTATAGCCATAATTAGCATAATTTTATGTACAACAGTTGTAAAGTCAATAAAATATGATCCTGTTAAACATGTTACTGAAATGACTTGGATAAGTAGGCCACAAATTAGCATATTTTTTTTCTCAAATTTATCAACAAATTGTGTACAGACTATTGAACTAATAAGATATAATAATATAAATCCAACTGATGCAAGTGTATTTGCCAGTGTATTTGAAAGAGCATGAAAAAATAAAAATATTGTATTGAGAAATAAAAAGGATCCATTTGCTGAATATAAGAAGCATAGTAACATACCAATAAAAGAAGTTTTCTTTAATGTATCATTTTGAAATAAACTTATGATTGATACTTCTTTTGCTAATAAACTGACTTCATATGTTGATTTATGTTTATGATATTCTTCTTTTTCATCAAAATCTGCAACATTTATCTTAGTCTTCAATTTATCAAATTTTTTGAATTTTTTGGATTCATATAAATGTAAAGGGGTATCCATGGTAAATACAAAATAGAACAAAAGTAGAGAAACTAGACTAAATATTAAAGGCATTGCAAAATGAAGTTTATACATTAATGTAACAAACCAATGCCATGTCTTCTGATTTTTAAGTCTGATACTTATATACGAAGCTCCAAATATATAACTAATTAATATTCCTACGGCAAAAAATATCTGTATATAGAACCCATAAAATTTTTGATGCTCTTTTGGAGAATATTCCAATACATAAGAAGGTGCTGTTACAACTGAACATCCAATAGCTAGTCCAAAAAAAGCTTGAGAAAATAAAAATATTACTATATGTGGAGAACTATATAGAGATAATAAACTTCCTATAATATATAAATAGTGACTTACCATCATACGCTTTCTTCTGTTTGCATCCTTGAAATATAGAGAAATTAAACATCCAAATAAAGCACTCGCATATAGTGTGAAATAAAACGTTGCAAAATACCAATTTTCCTTTTTACATCTTGCATACCCACGAGGGCAAATTTTAAAGTCTGCCACCACCATCTTTCTGGCCAAATTTATTGCAGACAAGCACAGCCCGCAGTTCAGTATGGATAAACACGCATTACTGATAACTTTCGTAAGGTATATCATTTTTGTCACGTCGAGGGGGGTGGAGATGTGGTGAGAGTAGAAAAGAGAAAGTAAACAGAAAAAAAAGAGAAAAAAAAAGAGAAAAAAAAGAGAAAAAAAATGAGAAAAAAATGAGAAAAAAAAAGGGAAAAAAAAAGGGAAAAAAAATGAGAAAAAAAAGAGAAAAAAAATGAGAAAAAAATGAGAAAAAAAAAGGGGAAAAAAAAAGGGAAAAATTTTCTTCGTTGTGTTGGATACCAACTTGATTTGTTGTTCACTTCACCGATTATTTTGACTGTCTTTTTTTTTTTATTTTTTTTTAATTTTGACTCAATTTTAAGTCTTCTTCCTTGAACATGCTTTTTTTCATATCGATTGGCATGTACATGTTTTATATGGAAAACAAGAGAATCTGTTCGTTTACAATTTTGTGTTTGCAAAATGTTAATGAGATTCTCCTGCACACACGGTGGACACACATCCGTTACATCTATTTGGATTTGACTACGGTGTATATTTTTGTATGCATATTGGTTTGTTGATGAATAGTTGGGATATCCTTTTCTGTTTCATGTAAATGAAGTTGAGACACTTAAAAAAAAAAATGGAAAAAGAAAAAGAAAAAAAAAAATGAAGTAACACGAAACAGCGTGAAGCAGCATTTAGAAAAATAACATCGTGAAAACTGTATATTTTGTGAATAAATATAAAAAATTGAAAAAATAAAAAAAAGAGTAACATAATAAAGTAGACATGATCATGTATGTATATATATATATATATATATTCAAGTATATTCATGTATACACATTTATACACATTTACACACATGTATTGGTGAAAATAACCCAACGTATAAGGCATACACGTGAAAAGTTGCAACATCAGAATTAATATGAAAAAGCCGGCAAAATAAAGAAAAAAAAGAAAAAAATTGTGATCAAGTGTTGCAAAAAAATAAGAGTCTACACAGATAATGGGATCAAAAATTGTGTCAATGCATTTTCACACGATGCATGCATTGAGTGAATTTTTTTTTTTTTTTTTTTTTTTTTTTTTTTTTGAGTATATATGTGGGGAGATGGATGGGGGCTAAACAAGAAGAATCCACAATCCAACATATTTTTACAAATCTTCCTGCACTCCTTCTAAAAGTTCATCTACTATATCAATCAGCGTGTCCAATTTGATAGGAAAAAGGAGAATTTTTTTTTTCTTCAACTTGTTTTCACCTATATATACAAAGCATAAGGAGAAAAAATGTGTAAGGACATGGTTTTATGCGTAACGAACGAGGGTTCGCAATTTTCATGGTGTGTATAAGTAGAAGCAGATAAGGAAATATCATTTCAACAATAATACATTACAACCATCTCAAGAAAAAAAAAAAAAAAAAAAAAAAAAAAAAAAAAAAAAAAAAAAAAAAAAAAAAAAAAAAATTGGCAGTGCCAAAATATAAATTTGACTAACCCTTAGGGTAAATAGCCACACTAGGGTAAAAATCAATCGATTCATCAAACATGTCATTCAACTTAGAATCCATGGTAGCTACTAAAACATCTTTATATTTATTTTCTAAATGAAAATAATTAGATACACTTTTCCAAAATGAAAATAGTGGTTTACATTCTTTACAACCTTCCACATGGTAAAAAATTAAAATAATTTTCTCTGGGTCAAGTACAAATGATTCAAAGTTATTGGCACATAAAATTTGATAATTCTCCTGTTCTCTTCTTTTAACTTCTTTTTGAGATTTTACAATTCGAGAAAGTTCATTGTTATAAAATTGGTTTATTATATTGGATACTTGTTCATATTTCATGTCTTCTGCTTTCATTTCTTTAATATATTTTTTAGGTCTTAACAATCCGTAAAGTACATCAACTGATGCATCTCTGTAATCTACCACAAGGATGAAATTCCCACCCATTTCTGTCCCAACCAATTCAATTATTTCATCCTTCTTGGGGAAAACAAATTTTAACTATATCCATGAAGAATGTTAAAAAAAAATAAAGAAAAATAAAAATGTGTGATATGTTGATTGTGCAATAAGATAAGAAAGAAATGTATTTCTCTTCCTAATGCATCTTTACATTCATGTAGTGGAAGATGTGATGACATAACGTATATGTTTTAGAACTCATAAAACAACTGTTTCTGTTTCCACTATTACATGAATATGTGGTAAAAAAAACAATCCTACCTGTGGATGATGCTTCAGTATGACAGGAATCAACTCTACATACAATGTGTCAGAATAAAGACCAAAATGGTTGTAAATATACACATAAATTTCACCTTTCAGAGGTTTATTGATTTTTCTACTATAATTAATAATGACAGGAAATTGAGCCATGTAATCAATGGCAAATGTAAGTATATCATTTGAAACCCATACATTATTTTCAGGTTTGTATACATCCTTATATTTTATTCTATCATTTGGAAGAGTTGCACCAGGACCGTTGGAAATTTCAATTCTTGTTTCATCATATTGGTCAATGTAAACTAACCCAACTGATAAATTAGGTAGTTTATGTGTTTCTCCAAAATGAAAAAATTTATGTACATTATCAGAATTTTTTAAACAAAATGCAATAATACTTGCATATCCTTTCTTTTTTTGCATTTCAACATATTTATCTACATTATTTATTTCCATAATTTCTATAGAAGGTATAGGTAATAATTTAAACCATTCTAGAATATTTTCTTTTGTATATTTTTTACTAAATGTATACCCTTTTTCTGGATCGAAATCTTTAAAGGTTAATATTTTGGGAATGTTTTTTATTTCAAAATTATCAGCAGTTTTTTTGAGTGCAATAGTGTCTACATATACAAATACTATTTCATCATTGGCTATCTCGTTAGATGCTTCAACAAATTCTTTATACACATTTTTGCACTTCAACTCTTTATTGTTGCAAAATAAAGCTATACAATTAAGTGTGTGTTGACTATATATTTGTAATTCAACATCATGTGTCAAATGTTTTACATTTTTCGATTGTTCATCTGAAATTCCATCCCATACCACACATTTAACATACGCATCGTAATAATATGTGAAAAACATACAACAAAACCAAAAAAGAAGGGACAAGTATATACATTTCATACTCTTCATCTCCAGTTTTAATTAACAAAATCGTTATAATTTTTATTTATCAAATTGTTTATATTCTCCTTGATGAATGTATTCTTAAATACAAACACATGTAGACAATGCATGTATATATATATATATATATATATATATATATATATATATATAAGTGCTCTTAATAAATATATCTTTCTTTCTCTTTTTTTCTTTTACTGTGCACTTTTGCAGGAATTCACAAGGGGGAAAGTGTGTGTGTGGCTTATGGCAGCAGAGAAGTGTCTGGGATTACATGCATAAGAACGGTTTCATACGCACGTGTACAAATGAGTATGCAATTGTTGTTACCCTACTTCCTTTTCCTGCTGTATATGAAATTATCAAACATGTGCATATGACTGTGTATAACTAAGGGGTGTATATAGAAATGTGCACAAGATTAACAAAAATCAAGTTACTATTTTGTGTGCTGATGATAAAAATAATCGCAAACTTGTCATGACAGAAAATATAGTACCACAATATACAAGTATGTCATAATAAACTTAAAAAGAAAAAAAAAAAAAAAAAAAAAAAACTTTTAATCACACGAGTAAAAATTGAGCTTCTACTAACCCCACTTAACTTTATTTAGCGCGTGGATATAAGAAATGAATGAAAGACGAAAAAAAGGGAAGAAAAAAAGGAAGAAAAAAAAAAGAAGAAAAACTCGGACACAAATGGTAGCCATGTAATGTTATTGACAAGGAAAATAGTACTCCAAGTGGTACCCTAAATGGAAATCCTATTAACACACAAAATGGCCACTCCAAATGGTGGTAGAGAATCCAAAGAGTGGGGAAAATCAGTCTTAGAGCAATTATGACAAAAAAAAAAAAAAAAAAAAAAAAATAGTAAAAATTCGAAAAAATGCTTATATGCACGAAAAATTGCGTACAACGTACTATATATACACAAACCTTTTTACATGCACTTTTTTTTTTTTTTTTTTTCTTTTTTTTCTTCGCATAAAACAAGGGTGGCTAGGATAAGAAAAAAAAAAAAAAATGCCACGTTTCTTTTTTTCTCCAATTTTCACATCTTCCACATTTCACACTTCACATTTTCTAGATCACATACCATGGAAAGATGTTAAATATTGATTCTCATGAACTTACTTTTGCATTAATACTTAGATATCCACCTCGATCCAAAACGCACACCAGAATAAAATTACGACATTAAAACCTTCATTCAGCTGAAACATTTTCATATTTGCTCTTTAACTCTTCAACAAACAAAATCCACAAATTTTTCTTTCTGTGAACTCTTAAGCGTACATTTATATTGTGTTTTAATTAAATTTCGCACTATTCTTTACACATGTCTTTTTGGGAAGGGAGAGAGTTGGGACCGAGCTACACCTTTACTGGCACCACTACCACCACTACACGTCTTTCTAGGAACGCTATGAATCTTTTATAGGAATACTATATGCTTCCTGCTGGAATATCAAATGACTACGTCCAATCGCGTTTAATCATTTCTATTCATTCCCAATCACGTCCAGTGGGAACATTAAGAAGGTGATATATATATATTATTTTTTATCACAAATATTTAAGTCTCTCTCAAAAATAAAGTTATGCTCATTTTAAAGCTTAATTTGTCACTTTTTATATAAGCAAAATTACACATTAAGAATATATAAAACATAAATATAAAAAAAGGGTACGAATTTGCAAAGACGCAAATTTTGAAAATAGAAAAAAGGAAAAAAAAAAAAAAAAAAATAATAGGAAATATAAATATTAACGCACTTTTGTATGAATGTAAAAAAAAAAACCATGATATACAAACACAGAATAAGAAGAAGAATATGAAGGAAGGGGGCGCACATACATACACATCCATCATTCGACGACGTGCTTATATATATCCGCCTTTTCGGATACAAATATAGTCTGATGAATTTGTCTAGCCTAACTTCATATTAACAGCAACTTGTTCTATGCATGTATGGGTAAAAATGTGACATCAAAGGCAGAAGTGTTACTTCAAAAAATTATAAATTGTGCAAAGTTATTTTGGGTGGGGGTTGGGATTTTTTTTGTAATTTTTTTTTTGTGTTTTTCTTTTTCCATTTTTTGGTGTTTTTCCCTTTTCTTTTTTATAATTAATTTATTTTCTTTTCATTTTCATTTTCATTCCCCTTCTTCCCCCCAGTTCTCATTCAAAAGGAGGATTCGTTTTTATTCAGGGAGTAAACATTATTCCTATAGTCCCACCGTAGAATGCCCTTTTCACCTTCATCTCTTCCACTGCAAACATGCAAAAGTTGAGCCTCTCTTCCATCACTACCAATAACAATTAAGCATGGAACATCACTTCTGGGCCCGGTGCCATAGAATGGAACTTCATAAGGATTCATAACTCTGAAATGTTTTTTTAAAATATCTGTTAAAGGATCAGCTATGTCAACATATAGCCATGGCATATGCTTCTTGTGATCTTCAAAGGATGTTCTATCCGGATCCGTACTCACAAAAATTATTTCAATTTTTTGACTAGATCCTCCCTCGTTAATAGTTTTATAGTACTAAAAGTGGAGTAATGATATGTGTGTAGCAATGGAGGGTTTGTGGGAGGTGATGAAATTTTGTGTTATGCTGTATATATGTAGATGTACATGTGCAGGTAAATCTATGGATGTGTAGATGTGTATGTCAGCTATCAAAAATGTACTACTGAAAACAGCTTAATTTTATAAAAGCATGAATATTTTTTATTTTTTATATCTCTATGCAGGCTAAAACAAATGGAAGGTGCACGTAATATAAATAGATATACTTCACTATGTATAATGCATACACATACCTGTTGTAGGAAGGGAAGAAATGCCCTACATTTGGGATCACTTCCGTTGGAAAAATATAAAGCGACTGATTTTCCAACTAAATGTTTCTCGCTCACGACTGTGTTGTTGATATTCTTTAGTGACCCTTCTGGAAAAAGTATGAGATCTGCAAAAAAGAAAGAAAAAATGTGTCCTTGCTTATGTTAGCAAACTCGCATATACACATACTCCCATGTGAAAACTCGCGTATACACACATTCGCATAAGCAACCCCACACTTATGCACATTCAGTTAAACACACCAGTGTGTACTTTTACTTACCCATTTCCCTGTAGTTAACGGCCGCGCTTACAGATTCCAGCTTCACGTTATCAATATTTTCTGCAGTTCTTCTTTTTTCCGCTTGATATGGAGAGTTAAAATTAGAACAAGCCATTTTGAAGGATAACGAATAATGTAGCAAATATTAAAAAGGGGTAGAAGAAAAAAAAAAAAAAAAACAGAAAAAAGAAAAACTCTTGTATTTATGAAGAATCAATAATAAAAAAAAAAAAAAAAAAAAAAAAAAACTCCTTGTTTGAAATCTAGTTTAATTAACAAAGGTACTCGTGTAAAATATAGCTTGGATGAGGGTGCTTATTCTTCTCTTCTTACAGCATATGTATATATGACCTCGAAAACGATTTTTTTTTTCTTTTTTTTTATGTCTATCTTAAATTATTTTGGTTTTGATTTGGACATTAGTTCTGCTCAAAGCTTTGTGTAGGCTTGGTGTAAATAGGATATAATTTTGGCATAAATTTGGATTGCGTTTAGCATAAGTTTGATGAATGTGTTATGTAAATTTGGAAAAGCGTGATGAGTGCTTGATGTGAACGAACACTTGGTGTAGGTTTGATAGAGTTACACAAACGTCTGATATAAATTAAACAAAAATTTGGGGGTGTAGTTTTAATGAATATTAGATGAATATTTGATGATTGTGTGTGTGTGTGTGGGTAAATATATGTTGTATGTTTTATGAAGGTTTGATATAATTCTGATGGATGTTTTGTTCAAGTTTGATGGATGTCCGGTGTGAATTTGTATTAGTTCGTATTAACTTTAGTGTTAGATTGATTTTATTTTACGTTTATAGATTTTTGTTTTGGTAATAGTTTTGTTTTATTTAAAAATTTAATTAAATTATTTATTTTATTTTTTTTTTTAAATAATTATAATTATATTTTAAAATTATTCTATATTTATATTTTTTTATAATTATTTTTTTTATTTATTTTAATTTTTTTTTATAAATCTTTTAAAACATTTTTTCAAGATTTTTTCTAAACTTTAAAATAACTTTTTTGATTCTTTTATAACCTTTCTTTTCTTTTTATACTTTATTTTTTGAGCTTTTATGCAAAAAATGTTTTTTCTCTAATTATTTGAAGCCTTGGGATTGTAAATACTTTTTCTTAAAACAGTTGTATAATTTAATAGTTGTACACATTAGCTCAGAAAATACAACATCTTTTCGTCTTTTTTTTATTTAATTCTTTTTTTTTTTTTTTTTTTTTATTCTCTTTTGAGCGTTCATGCAAAACATGTTTTTCTCTAGCCATTTGAAGTCTTGTATTCATGAATATTTCTCCTAAAACTATTGTAGAATTTAATAGTTGTATACATTTGCTCAGAAAATACAATTAATTTTTGTCTTTTATTGTCTTTTTTTTTTTTTTTTTTTTTTTTTCTCCCTAGCTAGCCATCTTAATGCATCATTTAATCTAAAATAGCTACAAATAAAATAAACTAAGTACAAACGTTTTTACAAAAATGGATAAAAGAAAAAAAAAAAAAAAAAAAATATGAACTGTGCATGTGAAACAACTCTCTAGTTTTATGACGATGAGTGTAAGTATCTGTATTTTTTATGTAACACATAAAGGAGTGCTCAATTGTTCATGTGACTGCCATCATTTTGTCACACTAAATAACTAGCGACTAAAAGAAAAGAAAATTGAGCTTTTTTCTAACAGTTGTGTGATTGATAGTGTAATAAAAAAATATGATAATGTAAAATATGAATATAATTCGTTTGTAGTTGTGCATGTAAACATATATACTAAGCACCATTTTTTTTTTTTTTTTTTTTTTATATACTATTTTTCTGCAAAAATGAAAAATTGTAACGTAGTATTTGCGAATTTTAATGCTTCTTGATTTTTTTTTTTTTTTTTTTTTTTTTTTACATCTCTTTGAAAATACAACTTCGCACGTTTCTTACAAATTTAATAATACGTTTAACAGGGGGGGGGGGATGCAAACATATGCAAGCCCTAAATGATAGAACAGGTAAAAACCAGGAATTAGTACAAAAGTATGACAAAGTTGGGATATGCCTTTGACCCAAAAAATATATTCATAAAAAATTTACACACATGTTAGTGTATGTGCCCATATATGTATGTTACGTTTATGAGGAAAGACATATATTTTGTGCCATTTCTGATAAATTGTAACTCCTTGGGAAACATATATGAAACCTTTATTCTGAAAAACACATTATAAGTATATCCATACCATTTCTGTTTTTTAATACTTGATTGAACTTGATAAACTTTTTTTTATTTTTTAAAAAGATTTTATTTTCTCGAAGGGGTAGAATGTGAGAACTTAAATCTTCTATACAAATGAACTTATGAAAGTAAAGGTAACGTCAGACACATAATAAAGTTCGGAAAAAAAGAAACAGCAACAAAAAAGAAGAAAAAAAAAAAAAAAAAAAAGCAAAAAAAAAGCAAATAGGCAGATAGGTAGGTAAGGAAAAGGGGTTGAAAAGGTAAATACAAGAAAATTGCACATTATTTTGCAAACTTGCAAAGTGTGTTAATTTCACTTTTATTACTTTTTATTCTTTTTTCTATGCAAACTAATGCTCATGAAGGGCTAAGTACGAGGTCTTTTGACACCCACATCAAATGTATAACTTTGTGCATATAACCTTATCAGAAAAACCATTTCCCTTCATTTTGCTGATGTACGTTTGTTTTAAGGCTAATAATTATGAGTTTTTTAAAGTGATGTTCTCCCAATTGCATGTTTTGTATTATTCACCTTCTTTCCACTTTTAGTTGCCTCTTTAAGTTTGCCTTGGATCATATGTAATTCCTAAGAGCACAGACAAAATAACACATTTGTAATTTTCACAAAAAAGGTGAAGAATAGTTAAGTGGTCATTATGGTGGGAAGGTGGTTCCGTAATAATTTTGCATTATAAACACTTTATAATGAACACTAATTCTCCATTATGTTCCGTTCCTATTCTTTTTAAATAAGGGTTTTGTCTTTTTTAGTAATTTTTGGTAAACTATACCATTTTTCTATTTTTCCTGACAAAAAAAAAAAATTTATCGCGCATACGTGCATGTGTATATGTACCCACGAAGAGCTAAATGAGATGATTGTTTATTTTTCTGAAGATGGAAAACGGGACAGAAGAATTTCCCTAATTTATTCCAGTGCGTGTGCAAAAACAGGTTTCACACCACGGCGTTTAAAATGCACCTCTAGAAGGGTTAACGTTTATCATGGAGCAAATAGAAAAAATTAAGACATCAAATGGTGGAACACATTGGTAAATAAGTAAATGTGTATGCGTATGTGTATGTGTACATGTATATTTGTATGTATATATAAATATGTGCACATACGCACATGTATACAGAGCAAGTATATATGAGATTTCTTTCCGCTTAAATGTTCCCACAACAGAACAGTGAATAGGAAAATGTGTAAAAAAAAAAAAAAAAAAAAAAAAAAAAAAAATTTCACCTTAAAGAAACAACAGGAAAAATTTTGTAAGTGCAACTTGAGCACATTGCCATTTAATATTTGTTCAAAATACGTTGCAAAGGGGATAGGTTTAGTGACATCATATATATATCGGTATCAATTCACACAAAGTTACACCTTTCCACAGCACCCCTGCTGTCGTCCACCATAATTGTTTTTTTCGTTTTTTGTTTTTTTTTTTTTTTATTTTATTTTATTTTTTTTGTTTGTTTGTTTTTTCCTTTTAATAAATATTTATCTTTTTAGGCGTGAAAAAGTCTGAACAGCCAATAAAAGTTCTCTAGAAAAATGAAAGTGAAAACGAGTGAAAATGAGTGAAAAAAAAGTAAAAAAAAGTGAAAACAATTTCCGTGTGTTCACTTGTTCATTTCACTTTTTCTTTTTTTTTTTTTTTTTTTTTTTAACTTGTTTTACCAAACCTGTTTCACTACCTTGATGGCAATTTTGTTCAGTGTGGAGAATAAAAAATATCACAAATTCTAACAGTTGGATTATTTTATTTTTTTTAGTCTATTATTATTTTTTTATTTTTTCTTATTTTATTTTATTTTTTTTTTTTTCTTTTCATTTAAAAAATTTTGCGGTTATTTAATTCGTTGTAGGAATAAAATACACATATGAACATTCTTGTCCCGACAAAGTCATATAAAAGACCAGCAAACATTACAACATAAATGAATATCTGGCTACACACCTACACCCTAGACGTTCCCTTTTTTTTGAAAAATGTTCGACACACTGGTAAGTGATGAAAATTTATACAATTTAGTATAGATTTATTTTTGTGTTAGAAGGTAAATTTATTTTATATTTTTTTTTTTTATTTTTTTTTTATTTTTTATTTAAAAAAAGTGTTAAGAATCAGATATATACCCCAAAAGGAGTGGAAAAATGTTTACACACAAAATGAATTGTTTTTGTTCCTTTTTTTTGTGAAAACTGGAGTGAAATTTTGTGGTAGAAGAGAGGATCCATGGTAGACACACAAAAAGAGGTTCGTTGTCTCTTTTGTCTACTCCCACATGAGTTTATTCATCGCTCTAGATATGAACATGTTCATGCGGTTCATGTATCCACAGACACTCATACGTGTGCATCTCAACATTTGTAAAATATGAATATGCACTTTTTCAACATATATAAACGATTATCACCTCCCTTTTCACACATACAAGGAATTGAAATTTTCGGAAGAGAATACACATTCTCCATGGATGGAATAATGACATGCAAACCCAAGAGGTCTTCAATAGGGAAGTATTGCAAAAGTTATGAATTGACACATGTGAAAATAACACATTCTCAATTTTCAGAAATTTTAAATGTCCTTGGAAAAATATACCGACCAAACACATACAACTTTGTTTACAAAAATTGTAACCATTTTTGTGATGATTTATTTGAGTTATTAAGTGGAAAAAGATTATTTCATACATTCATGATTTATTCTCGATTAGGAAAACTTTTCGAAAATTTTAAAAATGTAGCTTTATGTGGTTATATTGATTCTATGGAAATTTCACAGAATGACAAGCAAATGTATGTTTATGCTTTAAAGTTATCCAAGTCAATCATAAAAAGGAATAAAAATGTGACAAAAGGTGCGCCAAACAGTTTGACAAACAGTTTGCATAACACTTCACCAAGCATTGTACCGCACACTATGCCGAACAATGCACAACCAACTTCACAAGCCAGTTGTTTTAATGAAATAAATAATGAATACACGAACAGGTGTTACAACCAGGCTCCTCTATATATCTACCCATACTCAACCTGTCCCAATAATTCTTGCATAAGCCAAAATGTCTACTATGGTGAGAATGTCTTTAACAATTCGATAGATTGTTTACGGGATGAAATTCAGAACAGCTTTTTCCACAGCGGACAGTTTAGAACTATATATTCCATAAGTACAACTGGTAGCTTTTCAATGACATAACGTGTGCATGCATATGTATCTGTGTCTCTCGCTAATAAGTGACCCTGGGGAACGGATAACAAAAAAATTGTACATGTTTCCACGTTTGCTTCGTGCCTCCATGTCGACCAATCACATTATTTGCGCGTTGTATCAAATAATTTATTCATTTATTTATTAATATCACTACTACTGCCATCACTACTACTACCATCACTACTACTGCCATGACTACTACTGCCATGACTACTACTACCATGACTACTACTGCCATGACTACTACTTGCATCACTACTACTTGCATCACTACTACTTGCATCACTACTACTTGCATCACTACTACTTGCATCACTACTACTTGCATCACTACTACATGCATAACTACTACTTGCATCACTACTACATGCATAACTACTACTTGCATCACTACTAATTCCATCACTACTACTACCATCACCACTATATTTTTTTTTTTTTTTAATTCAAGAATGTAATACGAAAATGTGGCTTTCTATCACCAGCTAGCTACTGTGTTGTGCGTGATTCCATTTTTGTGCTCATGTCTCTTCCCTCATCACTATCGCATGGACACGAAAACAAAGACTTATCATTTTAAAATGAGATTTATACTTTTACTCATTTTAGATGAATGACTTAAAAATAAGGTATCTTTAAAAATAGTTCATATCACCTCGTATGAACATACATAAATACATATGTGTGCACACAATTCATTTGGAATAATTGTATACAAAAAACAGACCTGACCCCACACATATGCACATATGGCTTATATTGATGGATGGATAAAAAAAAAAAAAATGGGGGTCACACAATTGATAACGAGATTTGGCTAGTCGCCCTTTGCATGTACGTGCATACATGGGGGGTGGGATGGGGGTATTTAAAAAAAAAAAAAAAAAAAAAAAACACATATATATATATATATATATATAAACATATACATGTGTGCATACATATGAGTGTCCACTTTGCTGCATCATTAAAAGGTCAAAGTGGGTACATTTAGATAAATGCAAAATTCACAAAAGGGGAGCAAATTGGGGAAAGTTTTTTTTTTTTGGTTTTTCACGGTTTTCAGAATTTTTCCATTTTTCATATTTTTTTTTTTTTTTTTTTTTTTCTGCCTTATCATTCCATTTGGAAATATTACGCTTTCTGCATTTTTTCCATAATTATGAACAAATGCATGTGTGTATATTAACTCTTTACACCTGGGACGTACGGGTCCATAGGGACGGGGCGGATGTGCTCTTTCTTGCTGAACTCAACAATAACGAGATATCTTAAAGTATTTCTCGTTTTTAAAGTTTAGCACTCACTTGATTATTCAGCTTTGCACTAGCATGTATCATGAATTAAATAATAACACAAAATATGTATGTTCTTCATCTATTCCTCGAAAAAATTTTCGTCCGTTAATTTTTTATAATACTTCCTGGAGAAGCGGGTTAATTTCGTTCTTGTTTCTTTTTTTTGAAAAATTTGATAACTTTGGGTAAGATTGGGAGAACGAAATTGTAAGGTGTGGTCATAATCTTTACTTTTTTTTTTTCTCGTCCTCCCAATACCCTGCACATTTACTCATATCAATTTTTAACAGCGTCCAGCAGCTAGTATTTAACAGATAACATATAACAGATAGCATATAACAACTAACATATAACAGATAGCAT